CCCTAACACACCCTAACACCCTAACACCCTAACACCCTAACCCCTAACACCCTAACACCCTAACACCCTAACACCCTAACACCCTAACACCCTAACACCCTAACACCCTAACACCCTAACACCCTAACACCCTAACACCCTAACACCCTAACACCCTAACACCCTAACACCCTAACACCCTAACACCCTAACACCCTAACACCCTAACACCCTAACACCCTAACACCCTAACACCCTAACACCCTAACACCCTAACACCCTAACACCCTAACACCCTAACACCCTAACACCCTAACACCCTAACACCCTAACACCCTAACACCCTAACACCCTAACACCCTAACACCCTAACACCCTAACACCCTAACACCCTAACACCCTAACACCCTAACACCCTAACACCCTAACACCCTAACACCCTAACACCCTAACACCCCTAACACCCTAACACCCTAACACCCTAACACCCTAACACCCTAACACCCTAACACCCTAACACCCTAACACCCTAACACCCTAACACCCTAACACCCTAACACCCTAACACCCTAACACCCTAACACCCTAACACCCTAACACCCTAACACCCTAACACCCTAACACCCTAACACCCTAACACCCTAACACCCTAACACCCTAACACCCTAACACCCTAACACCCTAACACCCTAACACCCTAACACCCTAACACCCTAACACCCTAACACCCTAACACCCTAACACCCTAACACCCTAACACCCTAACACCCTAACACCCTAACACCCTAACACCCTAACACCCTAACACCCTAACACCCTAACACCCTAACACCCTAACACCCTAACACCCTAACACCCTAACACCCTAACACCCTAACACCCTAACACCCTAACACCCTAACACCCTAACACCCTAACACCCTAACACCCTAACACCCTAACACCCTAACACCCTAACACCCTAACACCCTAACACCCTAACACCCTAACACCCTAACACCCTAACACCCTAACACCCTAACACCCTAACACCCTAACACCCTAACACCCTAACACCCTAACACCCTAACACCCTAACACCCTAACACCCTAACACCCTAACACCCTAACACCCTAACACCCTAACACCCTAACACCCTAACACCCAATTTATATGTGTGTGAGTTATTTTATACTTCAAGCAGTTCCTCGAAATAATTAAGCTAAATACTTAACGAAAAATATCTAAAAGAATTAAATTATTAATGGATCTAGTTTGTCCATATCTAAACTTCTATTAAAATATTAGATTAATGAAAATGAGTCTCGATCATATCATAAACTTATTATATTAAAAAATTTAATTATTATCTTCTTCATAAATTTGTAGAATATTATTAAGAGTCTACCCAACAGAAAAGCTCCCGGTCTAGATAAGATAACTAACGAAATTATTAAGAAAGGTGGAGATACCCTAGCAGAAGCTATTAGACATTTTCTCAACTGTTGTAGATTGAGAGGTATTCCTGATGAAGCAAATGAAGCTAAGACAAAACTTATTTATAAAGGAAAAGGAGATCCAGAAGAAGTCAATAACTACAGATCTATAACATTAATGAGCAATATAATGAAATTTTTTAGACAAGGCTGAAACTTAAGAAAATCGATCTGTCCTAATTTACGATAGGTTTTGCTCATGAGTTTTCATATCATAGTTATATCAAAATTCTTCTAGCTCTACGAATAACCGATTTTTTGTGGTAAAAGCATGCTTCCTTGAGTGAACGAACAAACATTTTGTTCCTCACAAAGGGGGCGATGAAGTCTTCTTGTAAGACTTCATCGTGTCCAGTGGTTGGATTGCTTTAGAATAGGTATAACCTTATGGCTTAAAGCACTCATAGCTAATCTAATTTTATTGTATATTGCTATATCTTCAGTCTATGAAACTTCACTTTTCATTTTACAATCTCCATTATTTATAATTTACTCTCAACTGTCTTCCTCTTGATGAATCCTGAAAGGCAAAGCCTAACTTTACAAAATCTTTCATTTCTCTTTTCACACAATCATCAATTCTTTTCTTTCTTGTATAAATAATTTCCCTATTCCTTTTCTTCTTAACGACTCGCTTACAGGGGGCAATTTTTTTAGAAATTTAAATGAAAGCCTTTGGCGCAAGTATGGTATCGCGCTGGAAACTTTTCCAATTGATTAGGGACGAACCTCACCGGAGTAGCTGATCTCATTCCAATTCTGAGTCCCATCTTCCTCAGGGTAAAACCTTGGCCCAGATGTCAGCATACCATCAACCCAAGTAAAACCTGGCTATATGCACATCATTAAACGCCATCCTCCTTTCTTGCCATTAGGTCCTTGGGTCACCCCTTGCCATACCATTTTAATCTTTACCAAGGAATTATAAAACATGAATCCTGAAAAAAGATAGGTAGTTAAGGAAGACTATATAAGACTATATAAGACTTCGTCAACACATATAAAATTGGTAGTTATCAACATTCTGAATAAGCTTTTAAAAGAAAATGTTCAAGCTTTGAAGCAGTTGATGGAAGAAATACTAAATCCCCCCTTCCTTGATCGAACAAAATCATTGGAAAAATCCCTATTTTTTACCCCAAAAACCCACCCTCCATGAGCGAACAAAAGTTTTTTAAGAAAAAAAAAGTATATAAGTGATAATTATTATAATAAAATCTCAAGTTAATTCTGTTTAATTTTAAACAGCTTGCATTTTAAAACATAAATTTTACAAATTAAACTAATTGTGAGTGAGTGAGTAAAAATTTTTGTACTGCAAACCTGGCTTTTCCTTCTCAAGTCATTTGCTATGCAATTACACAATATAGGGTTTTACTATAAATAGCTTCAATAAAGTGTTTCCTGGATTGAATGGCGAAGTTTATAAAATGAAACTTAGAGAGTAAAATATAATCATTTATATAAAATTCACTAATCAATCTAAAAAAATTTTGTTGAAAGCCATTTAAAGTAGTTACAAAAGAAGAAATTAAAGAGATAATATGATTGCAGGCAAATTTTGGAACTCCCCGTATCCAACTGCCTGTCTAGGCTATTCAGATGAAAGATTTATGATTTAAGAGAATGCCAAATAGGATATAGAGGGATGTGCGTCATTCTTGCAAAGATAATTCTCAAGGTTATATAAGAATGAATGCATAAAATGTTATGGAATAGTTAGCAGCATCTTTAATTGCTTAGTTTTTTTGAAAAACCATGTCATTTTTGACAAAAATTTAAAAATATAATTATTTTTTGCAAATTTTCACCAATATCTTAACCATCCATAAAATTCATCAAAAATAAATGAATTTGTTTGCAATATTATTTACCAATACTATTATATGAAATAAATTTTGATAGTTCAAGTCCCCAAGTCTCAACATTAACTTGCTATGAGTAGTGGAGGAAAATAATTATGGCAGATATATATTACGCAAGAAAAATTAATTATAAACTTATTTTTGAGCTGTCAATTTTCAAAGGTTATTTATAAATAAGAATTTAGCTTATATAAATAACTAATTCATTTCTGATAATCGACCACAATATATATAAATGGTAATTTATCGAAATAGTTTATTATTAAATTTTTTATATAAGCACTATTTTTGTTTACTAAAGTAAATTCCATTTTGAGTTTGAATAATATGAATAAAGAAAATCAAAATTCAAAAATTGACTTCAACGAACAAGTTATTCTTAATTCAAGCCTAAACACACAAATTTTTGATAAAATCTTCATTTCAGACCTAATAAAGCTTGAATATACTAAAGAAATTGATTTCAAAGTTGTTTCGCTCTATATTAAGTAATCTATATCTAGGCATATAAAGCAAAATCACTTTCAATTTTCAGAAGAAATTCCCAAGGAAATTGATGATTTAAGCGTAAATCAAATTTTGGTGCTTAAAGAATGAATCTTGATTCATATTGAAATAAGTGAGGGAAATAAAAAGGTAACATTAATTTCAAACGAGAAAAGGATAGATGAAGAAAAGGCAAATATTATAAATCTCTTGGAAAATTTCAACAGTATAAAATTTAAAGAAATTTCTCTAGAAAATTCCTCAGAATTTGCTTGTAACTTTGTCACAACTGCAAGAAACTACTTAAAAGATCCAAAGTCATCAATTGATCAGCTGATAATTAAGAAAAATCCCCAAATAGTTATTGAAGAACTTATTAATTTTGTCTACAGCATATCCAAGATTCCTGCAAAAAGACTATTATTCCTGATTCAAGAAGCAAGAGAACTTGCTTTCCACTCAAAAGATTCTGAATTAGATCACTCAAATTTATCATTATCTCCAAATACTGATGAAGACATCATCCCCGCTTTCGCAAGGCGAGAAAGAGCTTCTCTAAAATCATCACAATTGCCTATTAAAGAAATCACCAATACAATAAACAATAAATCAAAAGAAATAAAATATTTTCATGAAATCAAAAGCAAGCCCTTCATCCCTCAATTAAACACAGATTTAATAAACGAAGAGTCAAGCATCGCGATAACAAACCGAGAAAGCGTTCAGATATCATCAATGACTTCTAGAACCCAAAGAAGTAACAGCTATGACTTCAAAAGTGACGAAATCGATGAGCTCAGAATTGATCCTTTTGAACTTGAATATTCGGCTTCTGAAGAGCAAAGCAATTTATCGTTTAGGCTAAGCGGGACTATCACAACTAATTTTTCTGGTCTAGAAACTCTATCAAAGCCCCATCAAACTCCAGGATCTGTAAGTATGGGATCAGTCCCTGAGTTTGTAAGAGATTCTTATTTGGAGTATAGCGAGTCTCAGCATGATAGCTTAAATGATAGCTCAGTATCAAACCATTTTGACAGTGGCAAAACCAGGTTTAATGATAGCTTGACCAGATTGAATTCTCCAAGAGAAGGGGCTTATACAATCCAAGACATTAAAAAGCATTTTAATTTGAATGATATAAAAATGTCGCTTGAAACTCATGATAATACATTTTATAAGTCAGAAATCACTGAGTTGGGGGACCGAGGGTTTGCATATATGAACCAAGAATTTGAAATTATGAACAGGCCAATTAAGAGAGACCTGCCACAATTAATGGTGGAAAGAAAAGTAGTATCAAGCTGCCAGTGCTCGAAATGCTCTATATTTTAGCTAATTTAAATATAAGTTATTTGCAAAAATATACATATTGATGATTTATTTTAAAGGGAAGTTCATGTTCATAATAGCATCTTCATAATTAATCTCTAACCTCAACTTTGCTACAATTGCCTTGAAATTATCAATATTTGGAGGCTCTTTATCTTCCAGTGCCTCAATCGAAGGTTTTTTCAGTTTCTCAATAATGCTCAGCTCTTCGTACTTTGATTTTTTATCATCAAGCAGCTTCAACTCATTATTTACAATTTTTATTTTTTCATTGATTTTTTTCTTGACTTTTTCTATGTTTTCTTTTTGCAAAAAATTTCCAAGCTGATTTATGTTAATTAAAATTATTGAAAAGTTCCCTGTTATACCTGAAAGAGTATTTATCTCCACTTCGCTTTGCGACTACCTACCGTCTGCCTATCGGCCATGCTCCTCCATAAATGTGTCTCACACTAACTCGAGTGTAGTGAGATGGGCTGCCATGCCGTAGAAAATTCGAAAAGGGAATTTTGGCCGAGTTTTCGACCAAGACGGAACTTGTAGCTCAGTACAAATCTTCGGGTATCGTACTGAAATTGGCCGACATGCTCAAAGGACCTTGCTAGGCCTTTCTTTTCCCACTCCAAGCATCCATCTTCCCCAGAGGTAAAACTTTGACATATAATGAGCTGCGGTCAGCCTAATCCGACATTGCACTCCAGAAAAAACAAGTAAAACCTGGCTTGATGCACATCGCCGAGCGGAATCCTTCCTTCCGCAAGGTTCCTGCGTTCTCCAAACTTAGGTATTAAGAGGGTGGGCAAGCCATTTTAATGCATAAGCTGATTTATGCATTGAGCTGTATTTTCTTTTATTTTTTTAATCATAATTTTTGCATGTTTTTTCAATTCACCGGTATGAATTTCCATAGCAATATTAATTTCGTCTGTGTAAGTTTTCATTTCTTTTGCTGCAGTCTGCCATATCCTTTTGACTTTATTTATTTCTTTTTCTTGCGAGTCGATATTTTCCATTCTATTTTTGGCAACTTCTGTAGCTCTTGAGTCGCTGAGCAAGAAAGAGTCATGGGCTTTGTGATCGAAAACGCAAGCTCCACAGAGCAAAACGTCATCATCTTTGCAGTAGGCTATGATCTCTGAGTTATGCTTGCTACACAATTCTTTGTGCTCTTTATGCTCAGACACATCAAGTAATGCATAGTTAACAGGCAAGCTATAAACTTCTTTAAAATTCATTGAGCGGCAGACTGGACACTTGATCACTGACCTCTCTTCTGCAATTTTTTCAAGGCAAACCTTGCAAGCTGTATGCCCACAAGCTGGAAGAACTAATGGGAAATGCGATATTACGTTATATTCATTGAAACAAACTGGGCAGCCTATAAATTGGCGATTATGCTTTGACTGAGGTCTGAGAGGGTACACACAAGGATATGAAGGAATTTTTGAGTGCTTCATAAAAGTGTACCCGAATTGAGGGGTATCAAGTCTTGAATCAAAGGGAAAAGGAAACGAATATCCAAGGTTTTCATATTCTGAGACAGAAACTGAGTCTGAAGAGCTTGAAATGTGAATGTCTTCGTCTGAGTCGAAAATTTCATTTGGATTTGCTTGAGATATCGAATTTCGTAATGAAGCTCATCTTGAGTTGATATCAATATTTTCAGTCCGGTCAACGATTTCATTGTAGACATCACAGGAGTTCAGGTGGATGTGCAAATGAATAGAGCCAAGTTCTTCGTTGCAGTAAGGGCAGCACCCTTCTCTGAATAGTTCTTGTTCGTGCTCTTCTTGATCGCTTGGGATTGTGTCCATTTTAAATAAGATTATTTCTTGAAATGATAATATTTATTTTACTTCAAAGCACTCTATATCACATAATTTATAAATCTTGCTATTATTTATTAAAATTAACTTAATTTCATAAAGAAATTTTGTAAAATCGCCTAATTGTGATTAACGCCGTATATACCCCTTAAACTTCACTGTTTAATCTCCTCATAATTTTCCAATAAATTTTGCATTAATTACATTTGCTGTCTGATCTGATATAATAAGGAGAATAAACCATTTAAATTTTTTAAATGGTTTATGTGGTTAGCAAATTTTTATTTATAATAATATTTCAAAATTAAGTGCTCTAAGACTCCTCTAATGTACTTGTTCTTGTGAGAGATTGCTTATTGCTGTTGAGTCTAGCATTAAATATCTGCTGATTAAGAACAATTGTTTTGAGCATTTCTTCTTTTGTATTGCCCCTTAAATCATAGCTTAGTCTTCTTAAGTCAGCTTGATATTTATTTTTTTTTCTGGAATGACTTAAATTTAATGCACGCCTTAAGTTTTCACAATTGACAGTGGTTGTTGATGCTTCTTTTCTATCAATGCAGTTTCCCATATTTATCTTTACAATTTGAATTTTACAATAAAGATGAGCATTTATTTAATTCATATCGTTAAGGCAAAATAATTAATTTATTTCTCGAGCTTTTTTTAAATACTTCTACAAAAGAAAATTCAAATTAATAGCTATATAATGCCCTGCTATTATTTATTTGCCTTTACAAGGTAAAATTTGATCAATATAAAATTTCGTATCCAATTTTGCTTCTTCAGAGACAAAACATAATATAAGCAATTTATATATTTGATAAGAAGGATTAATTAAAACTTTATTTTAATCCTACTTTAAATATCTAAATCGCTTAATATATCCAATAATTTATTCATCAGCTGACGATATTCCATACATGAGTCACCTCTCAAGATAAGCTGGCTTATCTATCATCTTGCACAATTTCTTAAGCCTCTTCACAGATTTTGGCTCTTCACCAAACGGTAAATTATATTCTAAATTCATCATTAATTTCTCCCCTGTGTCCATGTTTTCAAATTTCCTCTTCACCTCTTTCACAACATTTAAATGCTTTTGGAGCCCTCCAACTATATTATTCATTGACTCTCTCAGCTCTACACTAACAAACTGCTGAAACTCTGCCGTTTTCCTCCTGAATTCCTCAGCGTTCTTTTGAATCATTTCTATCAGTTCTCTTTCAGCGAGCTCAATAGAATTGCTCATCAAAGCTTCGTCTATATGATGAACATATTGGTTAATCATTTCATAAGCACTTGTCCAGACATTGATCTGCTCTTCCAATTTCACCTCAATTTTGCTGATTTGATCCATTTTTTGAGAATAATAATAAAATGGTGTCGTCTAGAAAATTCTTCTTGGAAGAATTTTCTTTCCTTTTGGCAATTTTATTATTATAGGGTTCAGTTTTCCCAGTGGAACCTTATCTAGCTATATCAGGTAAGCAATGGGGAGGGATGCACAGCCTCCTCGCCTGATCCTTGGATGCTTGGTGGGCATAGGGTTTTACTGCTTGACACTCCCGAGGAAGGAGATCCATAGGCGGCAAAACGCGCAGGAGTCAAGTTTTTTTAGCAAGGCAACGCAGCCCGTGAGATGTGGCAGCCAATTGGCCGTCACTTGTTAGAATGGTCCGTCGACTCGATAAAAAGGATGACGTCGGAAATGCCCGGTGACATCATCAATTGGTCTCTAATGGGGTGAGCCCTTGTGGCTTTATTAAATCACCCTACGGAGCTGGAAAAGCACGTTAAACACTCTAACTCCCCCCCTCCGTGAATGAACAAAAAAATTTTGTTCACTCACGGAGGGGGTTAATTTTTTTTTTTAAAAAAATTTATATTTAAATTTTATAAAAAAAATTTTTTTTCGAAATTTAAAAAAATCCTAATTCGCAAAAATTGGAAAGCAAATATTAATTTAATTATAAAATTTATGTTTTTAAAAGCAATTCGTTTAAAATTAAACAGAATTAGCTCTAGATTTCATTATACTAATTATCATTTATATATCAAATTTTTTTCCATAAAACAATTTTCTATTAAAAAAAAATTTTGTTTCACTCACGGAGGTGGGTTTTTTTGGTCAAAAAATAGCGATTTTTCTAATGGTTTTGTTCATTCACGAAGGGGGGAGTAAGTAATGCTAATGGTCCATTTTTTGAGACACCAGATTAGAAACCTGCTCGGACTCCAGGTCCATACATGAGTGCTCCTTGTGCTCAAAAAGACATTTCCCGCATAGGAGTTTTATGTGTTCTTGACAAAAGCCAATTATATACAGGCCATGCTCAGGGCAGCGTTCTTTTTCTTGGATTAGTGCTCAGTTTATGGGCAGAAATTCCATAAAAGAGTTGAATTCTTTTCTGTCATACGGACATTGGCTCATGCCTATACTCACTTTGATTTTACTCACGCATAAATAAAATGGCTTTCGCTCAAGCGAAGTTAGCTCTGCTAACTTTCTCTCACTCAAGCAATTTTATTTATGGGGTTGAGTTTTTACCTCGAGAACTTCTGCAAGCAATAGTAGTTTAACGTTTGGGGATAACCAAAGGAACTGCTCCTCAGTGCGTTCAAGACCTTGAGTTTTTACCCCCTCAGCACACCCGAAGGAGGTGGACCCTTAGGCGGAACACGCGCAGGAGCTGAGTCGAATAAAAGTCGTGGCGACAGCAAAGCCCGTCGAAGCCGGAACACCTTATTTGCGCGTGCCCTGGAGCAACAAAAGGGATCGATCTAGGTCCACGGGCCCGACACGTGTACAAATATGGTGAAAGCTCTGGAAACGGCTACCCCGTAGTGGATGTTAAACGTTAATGATAATAAGATAAGATAAGATTTTACTCACGCAAATTCGGCAGAATGTGTGGCCACATGGCAGGCAAATGGGCATTTTTTCAACAGAATCGTATGTGTCAAGACAAATCGGGCATTTTTGATAGGAGCCTGATGGGTGGGGACCATCAAGGTGCTGTCATGAAGAGTGCTCAAGCTTCTCAATCAGTGCTTTTCCGTTTTGTATATCCCCAGCAATAGTGTGGTAAGTTGAATCAATCAAATCACGGTCTGTGATATTTTTAGAGCCTGATGACACGGATTTTGATTTTTTTGGAATCGTTTTGGATCGATAGCAGAGATTTGAATCTGAGTCGCTATCGTGGAAGTTATTTTTTCATCTGATCTTGACCATTACCGACTTTTAATTATATTGGCCATTTGAGAGCATAAACCAGATAATGGCTCAAGTCGATTAACATAAACAATGGCGCAATGATAAAAGAAAATTTTATTTTTATAAAGGAAATTTCAATAGGATGTTCTAATCTCGCGAAAATTTGAGTATGTATGTAAAGGGAGAATAATGCCTTGGCCTTGGAGATATTTATTTTTTTCTACAAGAAAAAGCATTTAATTTTGAATAATATGATATTTAGCATCTATTAAGTATAACTTTGAAAAATAGAATACTTTGCGGTTATTTATCCATTTGTTATCTATTTAATTAGTTATCTTGCCCAGTAATTATGTTCTAAATATGTCTGGAATTTAAATCATCACCAATACAAATTGATCTCAATTGTTTTGATTATTCAAATCTAGAAATTTTTATAAGTTCCACTAAGATTAATTAAATCGATGCATTCCTGAGAGAATTTATAGAGGTTTCCTCTATATAGCGCTGAAAGCGCAGACATTTTCCCAGGAGCTTTCCAAGTTCGTCGGACCAAATCGCTTTTGGTCCGACCAAGGCATTGATTTGGTGCAACCACCGATAAATTCCGATCAGAATTTATCGGCCTTACAGCGCCAAACATAGGAAACTTCTATACCTCTATGAGCTCATCACTTATTATAACGGGCTCTCAGCTAACGCTAATTGCTTCTCCTTGGCTACATTGTGCCTGACTTGCTCCTGGGGCGTCTGTGCTCTTTCCATTTCCATGCCAGAGGAAAATCCCACCCAGGTATCATGCCCTTTGGCATAAGAAAAAACCTCTGCCTAAATATACTAATTCCCCTTCGTGAGCGAACAAAAAAAATTATTATATATATTTTATAGAATTTTTTTTTTTCATAGCTTTGAAAAATTCCAATTTGTATTAATTTGCGAAATTATGTTTTAAAATGCAAAACTGTTTTAATTAAACAGAATTAGCTTTTGATAAAAAATTTTTGTTCACTCACAGAAGGTGAGTTTTTTAGCAAAAAAAAAGATTTTACAAATTCTGTTTACTCACAGGAGGGAGTGGGTAAGTATCCAAAGCTATTTTTCGGTGGTTCCTCCTCCTTCTTTTTGGAATTGCCTGCAGGTGTTGAGGGATATGCGCTAAGAGGTCGGATGACCATCTCCACTATATTAATACATAAGAATCACTAACTCCCCATCTCCGTGAGCGAACAAAAAAATCTTGTTTGCTCACGGAGGGGGGTTAATTTTAAAAATGTATGTATAAATTTTATAGAAAAAAATTTTTTTGTTGTTGCAAATTTAAAACAAATATTAATTTAATTTGTAAAATTTATGTTTTAAAAACGCAATTTGTTTAAAATTAACAGAATTAGCTCGAGATTTCATTATACTAATTATTACTAATATATTCAAAAAATTTTTGTTCGCTCACGGAGGGTGGGTTTTTGGGCAAAAAATAGGGATTTTTCTAATGGTTTTGTTCACTCACGAGGGGGGGAGTAAGAATGAACTCTTCTATTATTAGACTATTTATTCATCAGAAAAAATTCCAAACTAATTTTTTTATTTTTGATAATCAAAAATACAGAATTCGATGTGTTGAAAATCGAACTTTAAGTTACTGGGTAAAGCAGTTTTTCTACTCTAGTTCGTTTAACTTTACTTGCAGCTTTTATTGAATTTTACTTTATTTGTGATGATAGAAAATTTAGTTCTACTATGGAAACAAAAAACAAGGAATTAGTTTTAAAAATAAATTATTGATTTAATTTTTGTTATATTTGGAGGTTTATTAGGAAATTTTTGAAAAACAAGCAGAATTTACCTTTATTTTATAAAGAAACAATTTTCAATTTTGTAATTTTTAATTAGACTTTCAAATAGTGATCGATTTTTTAGTTTTTCAGGGCTTAGCTATCGTTTTTATAATTCTTTTTTACTGCGGTCTATAAATTTTTATGATAAAGGTTAATTTTCTAATTGCCAAACATTTCTATTGTGATCGAAATCTAATAAATATGCACAAAAACTTAGAATATTAATTAAATGACCTTAATACCGGAATAAGTCCGTGAGAATTATTTTCAATTCCTGTTAGTGTCAAGTCAAGCACTATTGGAGGTGGACTTTTATGAGGATTATTAGCGCTTGGGCAGCTTCATATGTGAATGTGATAGGCTTCACTATCGGCTTTGAGAATCTGATGGTTTGAATTGTACTTGCAAGCTGTGTATTCAAGAGATTTTGGCTTTTCTCCGAACGTACTAGAGCTTATTGTTTCTCTCAAAGGGTGAGAAGTACATCTGGGAACATGATAGTTCAATTTAGCTTGGGATATGTAAACGTGACAAATGTTGAAAGGGCAGTAAACAATTTGATGTTTAATGTGAGTGAAATTTCGGTCTTTGCAGCGAGAAATGTGGTATTTAAACTGATCTGGTGATTGCAGACGGTGATTTTCGTTAAAGGGGCAGGTTGTGAAATCGTATAAATCAAGCTCTGAAGTATTGATTTCCATTTTAAGATTATTATGGGAATTTTACTCTATTGACACATAATTTAATAGAGGCAATTATCTTCAAAAAGGATTGTTGGGTAAAATTCTTAATAATTTCTAATCGTCATTTTTTGAATATGTTTAATATAAGATTTTTTAAAATTTTATAGAATTAGATCTCCGTGAAAACTTTTAAGGAATCATATACAGATTAAGAGATTAAGTATAAGTGATTTAATAATTCCTAAAATATATTGTTTTTAGTATTGATTGAATTTTATGATAATAATAAATTGCTTCGGATGAAAAGTTAATTCACTCCGTGAATTCCTTTTCCTTCATCTAAATTTTATCATATAGGTTAGGTTTTTACATGAAGACTTTTGTACATGAGGAGAAAATGGCAAAGAATTTTGTATTCGCCTGCATTATGCATCGTGTTTTACCTCCTCCAATGTTGATATATAGGAATTATCTTGCGCCATCCTTGGGCAATTCCTATATAAGGCAGGACCCAAAGGCCGAACAGACGCTGAAGGAAAATCAGCTTGAGGGAGTCAATATTCAAAAACGTTAGTGTTTCCTGTACTTCTGGATTCTCATATGGCTTCACAGGGACTCTGTGCAACTATCACTTGAAGTTAAATGATAATGATTGAATTTTAGCTATATCCCCAGTTTTTTATCGAACACCTGGGCTAAAAAATGATATAAAATAAGATTACAATATTTATTCTTTTAATACATTTTTTAAATAAAAATTTTAATAGGCAGGGAATATAAGTATTTGAATTGAACTGAAGTGATTTCATTAATTGCAAATATTATGGATAATAATAAAATGGCTTCGGCGGATAGGGTAATTCACTCCGTGAATTCCCTCTCCTTCTCACCCGCTTTTATTATTATAGGGGTTAGGTTTTTACACGTGGACTTCTGTACAAGGTGGTGTAAAATGGCGAGGACCTTTTATCTCGCCAGCCTTATACAGCGTGTTTTACCTCTTTCCCTGCTGATATAAAAGGCAGGACCCTTAGGCCGAACAGGCGCTGGAGGAAAGTCGGACAGAGCGAGGCAACGCGCCAAGCCGCTAGTGTTTCCCGTACTTCTGGATTCCCAAATGGCTTCACGGGGATTAGAAGGAGCGAGCCGTACAGCGAGGCCCGACTCGAGTACGCGAGTAGCGACAAGACGGAGAAAAAATATGCCCTCGTAGCATTGTGCATCTAGGGGCCCAACTAGAGGTCGAGTTAAATTAAGTAATTAAGTAAGTAAGCAAATATTATGATGCTTTAGTAGGATGGAAGCTAAGGCTTTAATATTAAAATTACAAATAAAGTTTCCTTAAATAAGAAAGAAAGGTTAGAATTTATTTCCTTAAGGATTAAGAAGAAAAAAATTATTTTTTTATTTTCTTCAAGATATTAAATAAAATAGCGAAGATGAAAAAAATCCGTTTTAATTAATGTCTTTTTATTGTTCCAAATAATATGGTTAAAAGAGTGATTTGCAGACTTGATGGGTATGATGGGAGCTTTCCCAAGCCTCAAAAATTGAATTTTATTTATCAAATAGAACTAGGGACAACTGTGAGCTTCCAAATAGAAGCAGGATCAGCCATAAACACAGAAAACACCGCTCTTGTGCTTGACATAAGCCAAGGCTTAGACCCAGAAATGCAAAGATTTCAAGGCTCTCTCAGTCCTCTAGGCCATTGAATTTGCGAGGTCACATTCTCTACTCCAGGAAACTATAATATTTTTATTGAATACACCCACACAAATTCTGAAGATCAAATAAAAGGATCAGTAAATAATCTTATAGTCAGCCCAGAGCTAAGAATCGGAGGGAAATTGCTTCCTTTTAATGGAATCTGCATGCAGACTGTTTTATGCCTCTCTCTTGGCCCTGTAAGCAGATGGGTTGAAGTATTTCAGCACCAAAGAGGAATTGGATACAATTTATTTCACCTTACCCCAATTCAAGAATTAGGCCAATCGCAAAACTTATATAGCATTAATGACCCTAATAAGCTAAATCCCGAGCTATTTCCAGGACCTGAAAGCGTAAAAAATAAATAGGAAGAATCAAAAATTTATGCATTGCAGAATATTTTAGCACAGCTAGAGGGAGAAGGTATTGGGTGCATTCAAGATATAGTTCTTAGCCATGTGGCAGAAGGCAGTGATTTTTTAGAAGAATACCCAAATGCTACTTATAATTTAATAAACTCTCCCTACTTAGCTGCTGCTTATGAGCTTGATAAAGCGTTAAAAGAATTTTCTATATCATTGTGGAAACGAAGGGTGAAAAGCTATGGAAATAAAAATAGAATTGAAAATGATAGGGACTTAAGTAACATCATGAGAATTCTGAAGACAGAGCTGCTTCCTTCGCTGAGGCTTCAAGAGTTTTTCCAGATAAGTGTTGAAAAAGCTTACCAAGACTTTTCGATTTGTGAAACAGCTGAAATTTTGGATGCGGGCTTAGCTGAAGAGTTACAGTCAAAAGGGGCAGATTATTTTCTAAGAAAATATGCTGTCACTGGAGAAGGTGAAGGAAGGTTTTCTGCTAAAATCAACGGCCAGGTTATATGAAAAGTACTTAACAGCCTCAAAACGACTCGAAATTTAGCCTTTCCCGAAGCAAGAAAATTGATAAATGGGGCAAACATATATTTATTAGGGAGATATGAAAGGCACCTCGCAGAAATCATAAGTAATCTTGAAAGTGAAATAAGGTACCAGAAAATTGAAAAAAATAACGTAGAAATCACGTCTGAAAACCCATTAGTTAAGCCTTATTTCTGTCATCTCAGAAATGGGAATTATGTATTGTTTGATGGATTTATTATAGGTAATAATGAAATATTAAAAGATTATGCTGGCATAGAAGGATGGCACTACTTTAGAAGAAACGTTGTAATATGAACTGACTGTGTTAAATTGAGATATGGAAGGAATAGAAACGATTGTCCTGAACTCTGGGAAAGAATGGAAAAATATGTCACAAGTGTCGCTAAAATTTTCAAAGGAATTTACCTTGACAATGTCCATTCAACGCCTCTGCACGTGTCTGAATATTTTATTGCAAAGGCTCGGATGGCAAATCCTAACCTTTTTGTAATAGCAGAGCTTCATTCGAGTGACCAGAATAAAGAGGCTTTATTTGCCAAACGAATAGGCATTAATTGCATTGTCCGTGAAGCTATGGTGGCAAATAGCACCAAAAGCCTTGGAAAAATGATTTATGAATACGGAAATGGCGAAATCTCAGCCTTAGGGAGTCTTGAAAAGTCTGATTTAAACAGCAGCAGCTTACTTGGAATAAATCCTGAGCCAGGAGACATTAAGCTATCTGCAACGCCAATTCCTATAATATTCTACGATTGCTCCCACAAAATTGAAGCTCCAGCACAAACGCGGACTGCTCAAGACGCATTACCAAACGCTGCACTTGTAGCCATGTGCAACTGCGCAATTTCTTCTACACGCGGATATGACGAACTCGTCCCCTGTCAGCTTTCAACAAATTTCGAAAGAAGGCTCTATAAACTTCCTACAAGCACAGAGCGTAAAGTGACTGAAATTAAAGTTTTTGATGAAGATTTTCCTGAGCTCGTAAAAGTCTGAGTAGAATACCATGCAGAAGAGCCTGCCAGAGAAGTCTATATAAAAGGCGAATGAGACAGCTGGGCTGAGCATACATATTTAGAAAGGGTCGGAGATAATCGATGAGGAATAATTTTGCTGTTTCCTAAGTCTTATACAGGAAGAGAGTTTAATTATAAATATGTGGCGGATGGAGTATGAAAATATGACCCTAAATATAGGTATACAGGCACTGGAGAGTTTATTAATAACCTTTTATCAGTAAATTCTAGAGCAAAAGGTCCTGGAAACTCAGAAAATTTGTACCCCGCAAAAAAGTACCTTAATTTCTTGCACACACATTTAGTAGAAGCTGGGTATAGCGAAATTTTTGTGAATAGCTGTGCAGAAGACGTAATTATTGTCGTCAGACAAAACCCTACAAATCTGGACAGCTATGTATTGGTTGCAAGAACTGCTCATTATCTATCTCTTGACCCTGTAGCTGTTAGCGGTGTCAAATTGCCTGGAATTTTACATAGGACTGACTTTATAGCCACTTTAACAGTCAAAAAAGCACCTTTTGAAGAGCATCCTGAGCTTATAAACGGGCTGATAGGGAATTTAGAATTTACCACAAATTTGGCTCAGTATTGCAATGTTTATAGAGACAATAACTTAAATATCGATGTCTTGAATTTTTTTAGAATCCCACCAGCCTTTATAGCTGTTTTTAAAACAAAATTTAATGCAGGAAGTTTAGAGTCTATTGAGCAGGGATATGATTGTATGTCAAGCTTTTATTCTTGTAGGGAGATGCTTGAAGGATTAAACTTGCAGCAGATAAATCATGTACTTTGGAGATGCAGCCAGGAAGAGCTAGAAATGTCCGGCAAAAAAAGAGACCTGTATGCAGTTCCTGGGTATAAGGATTTTAACTATGCAGGGCTTGGAGGGCTTGCTGCTGAATTTTTGAAAATTATAGAGGAAAATAAGCTTGGACATGAAATTTGTAATAATTTAAAGCAAGGTGATTGGCTTATTGACTATTCTGTAGCAAGATTGCAGGCTTATGAACTTCCTGAAAGATTTAAACAATTTATATGCGACCATTTCAATAGAATCAAGAATTTGCCACGAGAAATCGTACCTAAACATTTTTCCAAAAGTGTTCTACTATTATTTAGAAACATAAAGTTGTATATTCTGAGAGAATTATTTAAAGAAAGCAAGCTATTTCATATTTCTGATGACAGCTTAGCTGATATCTTAGGATTTGCCGTGTTACAGTTCTGAGGAAATGTCCCAAGATCAATTTCTTCAGAGTCCATTTGTGCAGGCTTGCCTTATAACTCAATAGGTGCTATGAGATGCTCTGGTCGTATCGCATTTATAATTTTTTTAATGATGATTATTCCCTACCTCATCTTAACATTATGAGAATTTCTACACAAAATAGCACAATTATTTTCTATTTCACAAGAATTATAATGTAAATTGTATATTTCATTAACTCCCCCCCCCCCCCTCCGTGAGCGAACAAAAAAATTTTGTTCGCTCACGGAGGGGGGTTAATTTTTTTTTTTAAAAAATTTATATATATAAATTTTATAAAAAATATTTTTTTCGAAATTTAAAAAAAATCCTAATTTGCAAAAATTGGGAAGCAAATATTAAATTTAATTTGCAAAATTTATGTTTTAAAACGCAATTTGTTTAAAATTAAACAGAATTAGCTCTAGATTTCATTAAGAGGACTGCTATTATGCACAGGTATGTGGCAAGAAGCTAGAGAAATCATATTAACTTATGCCTCCCTAATGCAGAATGGCTTAATCCCAAATATCATAGACCCTAATAATAACCACCGCTATAACGCTCGTGACACTACATGATTTTTCTTGCAGGCTCTGCAAGACTATATTAAAATGTCCCCTGAAGGCTGCGAAATTCTCCACGAAAATATCAAACTCCGATTTAAAAATGGGGAAATCGATTTTTCTAATTCCCCACCAATACAGCTAGCTCAGCTTGTCCAATTAATTTTTCAGTCACATGCAGCTGGGATAGAATTCAAGGAAAAAAACGCAGGGGCCAGAATAGACCCAAATATGAAAATTGAAGGTTTCAATATAAAAATCCGCCTTGACCCTCACACAGGCTTTATTTTAGGAGGAAATAAATGAAACCGCGGCACTTGGATGGATAAAATAGGGAGCTCCTCTAAGGCTGGGAACAAAGGAACTCCTGCAACCCCTCGAGATGGCGCCGCAATAGAAATTATTGGTCTCCTCTATTCCAGCTTAGACTTTTTCTCAAAATTGCATATGGAAGGGAAATTTCCATTTGAAGGGGTTATATTGCCAGATCGTACAAATTTGAGTTATATAGAATGGAAAGCAAAAATTGAGCGGTATTTTGAAACCCATTTTTATATTCCAGAAGATGGCAGCTCTCCTATTGCAGTTAGGAAGTATATTGGGATTCCTGGAATTTATAAAGACACGTTTAGAAGCTCGATAGATTATGCTGATTATCAATTGCGGCCTAATCAATGCATAGCTATGGTGGTTGCTAGTAAGCTATTTACCCCTGAGTGTGCAGTTATTGCATTAAACCAGGTTTCTAAATATTTGATGCCAAATGCTGGGCAGCTTGGGATTAGGACACTAAATGAAGAAGATAAGCATTATAAGCCATTCTATGACAGCTCTAATGACTCAAATGATGGGTCAATTGCGCAAGGGTTTAGCTGCCACAATGGCCCAGAATGGGTATGGCCTGCTGGCTACTTCTTAAGAGCACTGCTCCTTCACAATGCTTCAAGCCCGAGCTTTGTCATGAAATGCCTCAGCGAGCACAGGAAATTCATAGAAAATTCTTCATGAATGTCCATGTGTGAGCTAACTGATCGTGATGGAAAAGAAAACAAATTTTCAAATATGGCTTATGCATTGAGTGTGGCAACTCTAATAGAAGTCCTTTATGATTTATGCTAATTTCTTATTAATTATATTGCCTCTTTAACAATATTCTGTTTGTAGTAGAGAAACTCATCAATACTTCCAAGAATGTCTTCAAAAGCTCTATGAGGGGCAACTTTTGTGTGGGGGTTTAGGCCTGGGTATCAAACTCTTGCTATTTCTTTGAATGCTGTAACGTCAAGAATTTTGTAGGGGTGGAGGCAGCTTTCAAAGAGCCTTGGCATGTCTTTGATAAGGAATAATCGGTCCATGTGTACAGTATTTCCGGCAATTATTCCATTCTCAATGTTATTGTCTTGCAAAAAAGTCAATATACTGCGATAAATTAAGCTAAAAGTAGTAGCTTTGATGTATTTTAAATGCAAATTAGGATTTTAATATTAAATTACCTGCTGCATTTATTTTAGTATAAAATATCAGCTCTTCAGCTTGGTGAAGAGTTGTATGGCTAGCTTTGATATTTTCATAGAGACCTGATGTTTGGTGCATATTAATAACAAAAGGATCCATAGCTTCTAAAACTGAATCATCAGCATGAATTGTGATGTTCGGACCATAAATCAAATTTTCCCCTTGTGTATTTGATAAAACAACTGCGATTTCTACGATTGTGTCCTTATTTATGTTGAGCCCTGTAAGTTCAAGATCAATTCATACCCATTTTCTATTGTCCATTTTAATAAAGTCATATTTAAAGCTTAGCCCTTGGTTTAATCTTATAAAAATTGCATAACTATGTATTTTTTTCTTATTGATAAACAAATTCCCATAGGGAGGTGAGTTAGAAACATACATAACGTTAACGTATTTTCCGTTAAGTTTATAAAAATGAGCTGCACAAATTTGACAAAATTGTCCTCTTTTCGTCTCGATGCAAAGCATGAGGCATTATTAAAAGAGTTAGACCATGAAAAAATTTTATCTCAACTAATTTACGAAAAAAGCCTGAAGGAAAAAGAAATGTATTTAAACGAAATTAAAAGGCTTGAGTCAGAAAAAAGGAAAAACTTACGAAGGAGCCAAGAACTTGAAAACAAGTACAGAGCAAGCATCAGGATCTCAAAAGAAAATGAAAATTGCTCAAGCAGGTGCAGAAGCACCCGAGTTCCCTTTACAGAAATAAATCCAAACCAGCCCAGATTCCAAGATAAAGGAATTTCGCCTATTAAGATAATACCAAAAAGAAGCTTAAGCAACCATTTTTCGATCTGTGTGAGCACGCAGACTGAGAAGGCAGCATCTCCAGAAGTAGAAGAGCCTGCTTTTCTTGATACTGCTGAGTTGGTTTCTCAAGGATCTATCATAACAGCTTTAAAAAATTCAAATTTGTCGATCCCGCTACCGTTGAGGTCATCAAGTACCAAATCGTCGGGGACAAGCACTAAAAGATCAGGCCAAAATGGAATTTCACCAGAAGATGGAAGAAATTCATCAAGGTTTTCTAATTATGCGGAGACATCAAGGAAAAATCCTCTTGACTCTTTGCAACAGGAAACAGATAGGAATCCTATGACTATAGAAGAAGTAGGCTTGGAAACAAGAGAATTTCAATCAGTAGCTGACATCGAAAGTCTGGAATACTCAAAACTTTCTGAAGATCTAAGCCCATAATCATAATTTTTAATTTAAAATTTAATATTTAGGCTTATTTATTACTATAAAGTTAATTTTCACATTAAGGGAGATCTCAGAGACAATTTCGGGATTTGAAATAATACCTAATTGCCTGAGAGAATAAATAAGGATATTTTTATAGCATAATAGCCTTATTAAGCTTTAAATTTTCTATGTAATTCTAAAACATCTATAATTTTTTAATAATTGAAGGGGATTTCCATATTTTCCCGCAAGCAAAAAAAACAAAAAGACTATTGATGTTTAAAGGAGCAATCAAATCAATGATTCATCATTCCAGAGCTTATCATCACGTATGAAATATATTCTGCTATGATTATTTGAAATTTTCAGTTTTTTTGGGTATAACTTTGCAGGTATTCTAAAAGCTTAAATGTACCAGAAGAGCTTAAAATTTTTTCCTAAAAGCCCCTTATTCTCATATTCAAGTCAAAAAAACTTATAATTGCTAAACATTGTCTAATAACTAATGGAAATTTGCAATAGCAAAACTAAAAATGGTTTGCTGTTCAGCTTACAAAAAATGAATAGGCTTCCATCGATGGACAAACTAATTGCTAAAACCATCATACCATTTTACAAAAATAAGAGAAAATTGAAGCATTGATCGCTTGTTCTCACTTTTTTCTGCAATCCAAAGAGTAAGGCCCTGAAGCCACCTAAAAAAGAATATCTGCGTTGCAAGCTAATTCGAGGTCACAAGCGCATTCTGAGGCAATTAAGAAAGTGCGTGATGCCTAGAAAGACGCTGAACAGATTTGACCATTCAAGTCACAGCGCTCGCAGACTTTTTGATATGCTCAGGAGCTGCTACTATAGAAATGCTGAGGAGCTTGATCGACTCAGTGAAACATCATCGGGCCCAATTACAGATGGAAGAGCAAAGCGAAAGCACACGCCTTTGGCTCATGTCGAGAACAGCTTTAATGTCACGTTCTGTGAGTCTTATTTTAGCCCAGCTTCTATACGGGAAAGCTATTTTTTATATGTTGAACTGGTGTTTTCAGAATTAAATCCAGAAATCTTGTGCGACAAGTTTGATTTCTGGTGCTGCAAGAAGCGGAGACATGATGGAACTTGCGTTGAAAAGTGGCTATTAATGAAGGATGTTATTCAATTTAATATGATAAGTGAACTAGGCAACGAGCCTATAGTTCCTTCAGAAATAATTCTCCCCAAGTATGATTTCGGAGGATCAGAAGAGGCTGGAGTTTCTGATATAAAGATTGATACTGCTTCTGAAGATTTGGAGATGAGAAATGACAATTCAGAGGACTCTAGTTAATTTAATCTGTGAGGATATAAAAATAGGTTAAATCGGAAGATCGTTCATTTTAATAAAGTTGTCAGTAAAATTTTATTTAGAAGAATTGATTGAGGATTTTAAAGTGAAATAGAGAGATAAGTCAGAGATTGGATAGAATAAATTATGTGGAAATATACCCTGGCTATAGATAAAAAATGTATTGAAAATTTATATTTTACGAGGATAATATGGAAAATTCTGAGCTCGCTCAGAATAGAAAGTGACGTAAAAATTATGAAGAACACTCTAATTTTAACATTAAATATTATGTTAAAATTGGAGAGTAAAAATTTGGTATATATGGCTAGATAAGTATATAAAATTCAGTGTGAAGATAAGAATATAAAAAAAATTTGAAGAAATAGTCTCATTTTTTTTTTAAGAATTTCAATAATTTTGTAATATTATATTGTGGTTAAAAAATTTCTCGCCCACCAAGGCGGGAAGGCTACAGTTTATATTTTATATCATAGAATAATAAATTATACAGTTTCGTCTCTATTTTAATTAGCCGCGAATTTTTTGATAATTTTTGTATGCCCATCTTACAATTGAATTCTTTAAGTTTAATAAAGAAAAAAATCTGATATGAAAACTCTTTATTATAAAAAAAAACCAATTTCAGTGTTTATTTAAGATATAGCCTAAATATTCTTTCTATCATTATTCCAAATAATTGCTTCTATTTATATTTTCATATTTTTGCAAAATTCCTTAATATAAAAAAAATTGATAGCCAGTTTCAAAAGTTTGTGCTTTAGCCTTTAATAATGTTTTATATTATCAAATTCTCTACAAATAGGAGAATTCTTAATTGTTTAATTATTTTTACCTATTTAGTTCTTTGTATTACCTAATTTGCATTAAAACATTGTTAGTAAAACTTAATCTGTAAATTTCTAAAATATGGTCTCACTTCTTATAAATAAAATAATAAAAACCTAATGGGAATATGCTGCGTGAAAAGACAAGAAGCAAAAGAAACTGCCTTAGTTGCAGGTAAAATAATGACGAAAAGATTGTCCAAAACTGCAAAAATTGAAAGCCGAGATATCGGAATTATTGTAAGCACAATCTGTATTGAAGGGAGTTGCTCTTCATCAAGTTTCCCTCGAAAAGACCTAAAAGCCATAAAAAATAATGGCTACGAGATAGAAAATAATAGAAGAGATTCGAGAAGATCGAACTTGCCATTAATTCCGCTTAACGAAATTGAAGAAAATCAAAAACAGAATTTCTTTATACAGCCTCCATATAGAAGTATGAGCAGCGCAGTTGAAATCTCTAGAAGCCCTGAAAGCAGGCCAAGGGATTTATTGAGTTTAATTAGAACGAGGAACCCAAGTTTTGATAGTCCTATATCGATGAGTGCAGTACAGCCAGAAATATCTTTAAGGCACGTAGTAACAAGTGATATCAAAATATCACCTACTATGTCTTTAAACATGAGCCGACTTACCCCAGAAACCACCCCAGTTCAAAATAGAAACTTACTATCCAAGACATCATCTTTTCTGAATATTCCAGGAACTGCAATTAATCGTCAAGAGTCATTTCTCAGCGAGGATTCTGCAGTTTTCAATGAAAGTTTTGATTCTTTCCAGGGCAGAATATCTCCTGTCGATATTCATGCTCCATTGGAAGATTCAACTAAAGACTTTCAAACTGCGAAAACTATGAGAAAATATGTATCTTCTTCAAGAAATTATTCAAGAGAAAGCTCAAGCGTTGAAAAATCAACTCTCAGACCTACATCTAGAAATTCTTTATTACCAAATAAAAAACTAGAAATTTTACGCACAAAAGAAGTCAACAAAGTCAAGCTTGGAGCAGATAAATTTCAGTTAAATCAATACACAGCTGAAGGCTTATTGGGGCAGGGAGCATTTGGAAAAGTTTATAAAGCCAAAGACAGCTCCGGAAATCTTGTAGCTATTAAAATATATAATAAAAAGCAGCTGAGGCATAGGTGGATAGGAAAAGCAAAGACAGCGCTTTTTGCAGTAAAATGTGAAATAGAAGTAATGGAGAAGCTTGAACACCCTAATGTCTTGCAGCTGCTAGAAGTCATTGATAATGATGATTCTAATAAAATCTACATGATTTTAGAGTTCGCCCCTGGAGGAACAATAAATGATCATTCACCTATGTCTGAAAAAGAAGCCAAGCATTATTTTAAGCAGCTAGTCCTTGGCATGGATTATCTCCATGAAAAGGCTCTTGTAGTACACAGAGATATAAAACCCCTAAATTTACTACTCGATGCAAATAATAATTTGAAAATATCTGATTTTGGGTCTGCACAAGAAATGGCTAACGGCAGAGACGAATTTTCTAATAGTGCAGGGACTTGGGCATTCATGGCTCCTGAGCTGCATGGAGGAAATGGGTCGTTTCAAGGCAGGCCAGTTGATATATGAGCTATGGGGGTGACATTATTTTATATGATAGAAGGAAAAACGCCTTTTAATGGGAGAAGACTAATTGATTTATATGAAGCTGTTAAGAATGAAGAGGTTGTCGTTCCTGATAAGTTTAATGAGGACTTAAAAGACTTGATTTTAAAGATGCTTAATAAAGACCCAGAGCAACGAGCAACTCTAGAGCAAATCAAAGCCCATCCTTGGCTTAAAAATGTATAAATAACTAAAATTAAAGTAAGAATTTATATTAAAATAATATATTTTTTATAATATGGTCTTTTTATTCACAAGTGCTTCAAATTCTCTTAAATCAATAACCCCATCCCCATTAGTATCAACTTCCCCTAGAATTTCATCCCAGATTTTACTATTTGCCATATTTCCAGTGTCTAAAACCATCCTGATTTCTGCTGCAGAAATAGTCCCACTTTTATCTTTATCAAACAAATTAAATGCAGCTTTTAAATTTTCGCTTGATTCTAATTTTTTTCGATCAAGTGTCGCCTTTAGAAATTCTGTATAGTCAATGAAGCCACTTTTATCACTATCGACATCTGCCATTATTTCTTCAACAGCAGCTTTTGACTCTCCTCCTTCCATGAATTTCGTATATTGGTCAGCTAATTCTTTTTTGGATATTTTTCCATCACCACTGACATCAAGGGTTTTAAATGCTTCTTTTAATTGTTTGGTTTCATCAGAAGTTATACATTGAGACGTAATAAAAATGCTTACAGCTTCTTTTAATTTACTTGCACAATGGAAATCTTTTAATTTTGTTAAAACATTTCCTAATGAATGCAGGTCTTGATTATTCGGGCATCTTCTCTGAATCCAAGGGTGATTTAATGCTGATTCTGCAGTCAGCCTTGTCTCTACAGGACATAGCAAGCTTGAAATTAGGTCTTTAGCTTCCCTAGATATATTCGCCCATATTGGCCCTGTAAATGAGTAATTCCCTTTTAATATTTTATTCAAGATTGCGTTGTCATTGATTCCGTCAAATGGAGGACACCCGCTTAATAAAGTAAAAATTATAACCCCAATGCTTCACATGTCGCATTTTGAGTCATAATTCCCAAGTAGCACCTCTGGAGCCACGTAATAAACAGTTCCAAGGGCTCCACGAATTTTTGCGTTTTTTGCACACAATGTGGCTGTCCCGAAGTCAGAAATCTTGACATTGGAAATATCACCTTTTGTTTCTATCAAAATATTTTCTGGCTTCAAATCTCGATGAATTATATTGTGGCTATGCAAATATGAAACCGCCGATAACAGCTGTTTAATTACGGTCGCGCAATCGTCTTCTTTTAAGACGTTTCTCTTAGAAAATTCGTCAAATAGTTCTCCGCCTTGGCAAAGCTCCATTACAATATAAGATTTTCTGGGGGTTTCAAAGTACTCAAAGACTTTTATGATATTGGGATGGTCAACTGCCTTTATCATTTCAACTTCATTTAAAAGCTCTGTGTTCGCCTCCGTGGAGGGTTTGTCTTTGAGTAGTATTTTTATAGCTCTTAAAAGATTGGTGCTACGGTGCTTGGCTCTACGAACTTCTCCAAAGGCACCTCTGCCCAAGGATTGACCAAAGTCATATACTTCATTTATGTCCAGAGAGTTCTCACGAACAAAGATGCTAGGAGTAATTACGAGATCTACAGGTTTTGTAGCTTTTGCCCCTAAGTGTTTTCGAGGAATGCAGCCCATTATTATATAGATTTTATAAGCTGTTACTTTTTTTTAATGAAAATCATTTTAGAATCCAAATTTTTGCATCAAGAATTTAATTGAAATTTCATAAAATAATGCAATATATTAGATTAAGAAAAATTCTGGGAGTCATTTTGCTTATATAAATATTTTTTAAATATATTTAGAAAATACTAAAAAGAACTCACATCATATAGTCTGTGATTTATATATATATTAACTCTATATCTATAAATACGAATTATTAGCCTTATACAAAAACTTTTTTTTTAGGATTTTTGAATATATTCCTGAGTAAGTTCGATTTTTTCAATTCACTATTTTGCATATAGTTTGATCAGTTTATTTATAGTCAAAGAATTTAATTTTCGTAGACTTGCGATAGTTGAATTTTTGATTGCATCATTTAGGTGATTCATATATTTTTTGGCTTTGCTATGCAGGCTCTTCTGTCAGAGAGCAATGCTATTTTATTTTTCAAGCAGATTTTCAAATAACTTAACACGTTTGCATTTTCTTTAGCATTTCTTCTAACTAACTATAAAATATTTGAGTAAAAAATTTTTTAGTGTTATTTATTTTTATCAAGCACATTTATCTTTTTAGAGAAGGAGCATCTTTTTATAGTAATTTGTAGAAGCTGACCTTAGCTTGCATGATAATTTCTTTTATTTCTTATTCGATGTGCTTTCTCATAGCTATTTTAATAATTGATTCTAAAATTGATGGAAACTAATACAATAAATGATGCTGAGTTTCATGTATTCCATTCAGCTAAGCTTGCAATACAAAACCTGAAATAGTAGCAATCTTTCTTTCGCTCCTTTGAAATTCTTTCGAGATTAATTTATATTCAATTGGGTTATTATTTTATATAATGAGATTGAGCCTTGCTTTGGCCTGGGGTTTTAAGATGTGTTCTAGTTAAATAACTTCAGCTGCCCTAATATGCTTCTCAGACCCCCTCAGCAATTAAATACACATTTCAGAGATCCGCTTGTCCGAGCTCAAATTAATCACCTATCTCTTAAAACTTGATCTAGCAAGGGGATGATATGCTAGAAAATAAATATTTGAAAAAAATAAAGACTTCCAAATGGAGACAGAAGACTCAATAAATCGCAAACGAGATTTGAGCAGCAATTACTTTCCTAGACGCTGTCAAAATAAAGTAAAACATTTTTTGATCTCGCAATTTATAAAAACAGTGAAAAATAATTTTTATCCAATAATATTTCTTTTGAAAGAATTTTATGCTAAATTACCAAGTGGTAAAGTTAGCTCATAATCTTGAAATGAATTTTTAACTGATATAGCTAATTTCACAGAAAATTTTGAATAATCTCAATTTAATTAAAAATTTTAATAAAGGGACGCTTTCTCCGACTATGTTGGATTTGATAGATTAAAAAGCTAAAATATAATATTCATGCACTTTTAATTATCTTTTACTTGCCTAAATTCTTCAGTTTCCAATTTCTTCTTTAGTCTTTAGTCAGCAAAAATAAAAAAAAATTTACTTTCATTTAAAAGATCTGGAATTTAATATTTTCCTACCTATAATATTATAAGAAGATTTATATAATATTTCAAACATTTTGGCTTTGGTGTCTTATTCTAGCTTAGGGAGTTCTTTATTTTCAATTTTCGCATTATATGCGTCATCATTTTCTTTGCGTTTTTGCACTTTCATAGCTGGTGCAAACGCAAAATCAGACTTAATTCCTCTCATAACTTTTTCGAGTTTTCCTAAAATCTCGTTTTCTTCTCTATCGGCGGCTGAAAAATCGAAAAGAGGATCAATTGGTCTCTTTTTTGGGACATCAAGGGTTTTGGGAATGGAGATTCGAGGATAGTTAAACAAATCATAGAAAGCCCTTGATCTTGAATCATGAAGAGTGTGATAGGCTACTGATATTTCTTCGTATTTCGCGGAGGATTCTGATGACTTGTTTTTGTCGGGATGCCACTGGATTGCCAGTTTATAGTATGCCTTTTGTATCTGCTTTTGTGATGCAGTTCGTGGGAGACTTAAAATCTTGTAGAGGTCGCGTTTTTCGTCCATATTAAGTATTATAACAGTGCTTAAAAATTGTCAATGCTTCAAAAGTTGCTTTAGAAAAGTCTGGAATTTCCATCTTTTTCATAGATCAAAAAATAAATCAATATGAAACTTTTAACATCCCCCTATTAGAGCAAACCTTTTGAAAATAGCCTTATAAATTATATTTTAACAAAATATCAATGATTATTATAATGAAGTCTCAAGCAAACTTTATTAGATTATGCTATAAGATGCAGATTTTAGATATTAAAGAGCGTTTTTATTTAAGATTGTGGATATTTTTAAAATATGAAATAAAATAATAAATTATTTTAAAAAAACATTAGTAAGTCAAAAAATTTTGCTTGATAATCAAGAGAGAGGAGTAAGTAATGATATTTCGCAGAAAACTTTATGTTAAAAGATAAAAGAAATTTGTATATTGATGTGTCAAGAAGATTGCACAAAATGCTCATGAAGATTTCAAACAATTTTCGCGAAGTGGGGTTTAGTTTTTATGCAAAATCTGGACAAAGATAATATTTCTAGTTATTAATAGACATTTAAATTTATTTTTGACATGAATTTACAAAAACGTTTTCCAATTTTTCATTACATTTCAACCATAGAATCCATTATAATTATTGCATTTATGCAATAATTAAATTTTAATAGTAAATATAATTTTTGGATAAGAGGAAATAGCTTATTTATTAATCGTTACTTAATATTTCGGATACACATTAAAATTGCGACACGTGCCAACCTGCCCTCTTGGCACAGCAGCCCATACCTTATGGCTACGGCGAACTGGGAGACTCCAAGCTGAGAATCCAGTGTACAGGCCCCAAGAGATATGTATATAGGTAGCTTTTGGCTGCTTTCCTGTGGTTGGAAATGGAGTGCTCAACAACGTCCTTTGGATCCTAGGGCCCATGGGCATTTCTCTATCGAGAAACTGGGGGTTTCGGCCTAGGCTACAGGGAACAGTCTTTTTCCTGTAGCTGTCTGAGAAAGGCACTCCGAGACCCGTAGACTCTAAGGAGTTGATTCTTGGAATCAAGCTCTTCTAATCGCCCCTAGCCGCAGAAATCCATAAGCCGTTCCTCAAGAAGCCTCAAGGCAAGAAGGAGACAGAAGATACCAGAAGGGCTCTCGTAAGAGGGATAGACCCTCTGGGCTGGAGTCGAAAAGCGGATAAACCTCCCGTGCAGGAGGTCTTTGGTGACTGCGTCACCAATATGGGCTAGCGCCTGACTTTAATATTCTAATCTTACTTAATATTTCGGTTCTTATCTAGCTAAAATTTTAATTTATTTCCTTGATATTTAATTTTACATTTTAATAAAATATACCGTTTGAAAAGAAAATCAAAAATATGCTGAAATTTTTTATGAATGGCTTTAAAATAAGCTGTAACATTTTTATACCCTGAGCATGCTATATAAGAAAGCAATTCCCTGATTTAAGAGATATAAATTAATGGAAAATTATTATAAATCATAGCTTTAGTTTTAATAGGAAATGGAAGAACTTGAAGAAAAGGAAAGGGAACTCCCTTATGACACAAAAATTAAAGAAGATTTGATTAAAGCTTATAGAGAATCTGGCTTTATTACAGAAGCTAATGCTGCAAGAGAAAGACTATGAGAAATTACTCCATTATCTGAAAAAATGTGACTAGAATGGCTTGAAGACGAGCCATCTAGTGGCCTCTTTGCTCGCTCACTTAAAGATTTTTACTGTAATTTCTATTTAGACCCAAGTATTTGCCTTCTCTATTTAAAATTCTTCCCAAAGCAAAATACTCCTGAGCATGCCAAAATTTTTGCTGATTTAACCTGGCATATCCGATATCAGCCTCTATGAGAATACTATATTTCCATTAAAACTGACCTAAATGAAATCCGAGAGCTCTATAATAAACAATTTTCTATTCCTATGGAATACATGGAGAAATCCTTTCAAAATTACCTGGCATGGGAAAGAGATTTAGAAATAAAAACAAAAATCCAAGAAAAATACCTTGACACCTTTGCTAAGTGGCAAGAAGAATGTGAATATAAAACTCAAATTGATTTGTCTATTGAAAATAACAGTGAGGCTGCTTTACTGGTGGGCAAGTATGAAGTACATGCCAAATTACCTGCCTTGATAAAAAGAAATATAAGATATTTTGCATTAGTGTCACTGATAAGCTATCAACACCCGATAATAGCATGCTAACACTATATTAAATATACTTTATTTCATATACAAATTTTTTTAGCTAGTAAAAATGTTTAGACTAATAAATAAGACAGCTAATTGAGAAATACTCTGAATTTCGCTTTATTATCGCATTTAATGAATGAATACAGACGATTTTGCTTTCAAATAGACAGACACAAATAAATAAATTCAAGCATAATTATCTATCATAGGTATATACATAATCTAATGTCGATTAATGCACTTACTCTCCCCCCCTCCGTGAGTGAACAAAACCATTAGAAAAATCGCTATTTTTTGCCTAAAAACCCTCCGTGAGTGAACAAAAATTTTTTAATAGAAAAAATTTTTATGGAAAAAAATTTTGATATATAAATAATAATTAGTACAATGAAATCTAGAGCTAATTCTGTTTAATATTAAACGAATTGCTTTTTAAACATATAAATTTATAAATTAAATTAATATTTGCTTTCCAATTTTTGCGAATTAGATTTATTTTAATTTCGAAAAAAATTTTTTTATAAAATTTATATATATTTTTTTTTTTAAAAAAAAAAAATTAACCTCCCTCCGTGAGTGAGCAAAATTTTTTTGTTCACTCACGGAGGGGGGGGGGAGTTAGCACATTAGATCTGTTTAAATAGCTGATTTAATATAAAACACGATACGTTAAATTTAAATTTAATGCAAAAATATAAACTAAACTTACTAATCATAAAAAGTTTGTATATATATACTAGAGATATGATATATGTTAGTATGCTATAATTTCATTTTAATAACAATACTAAATATCTCTTATATTTCTTATTATCAAGACTTGGTAGTTTGGTATAGGGGGGTTTCAGGCTTGACCATACTGGCAAATTTAAAAGTTTATTTAGAAAATATAAAAGATGATAAAATAAAAGGATATATTTTGGAAGAGACCATACAGAAGGCACAAAAATTGCCTGAGGTTTGGTACGATTATTTGAATTTTGCAGTAAAAAATAAGAAATTATATAAAAAAGTGGCAAAAAGGGCTGTTAGGAATTGCTATTGGGACATAGGCTTATGGAAATTGCTAATTTTAGCATATGAGCGTGCTGGAAAACCAACAGAAAGTAAGAAATAATTAGACATCAAGCATAAGGCCTTGACTTCCTCATTTACAAATGCATCAGATTACACAGAGTTTTGAAAAGAGTATAGCAACCACATAAAAAGATCTGGCGGTGACCAGCTAGCTATCTTAGAAGAAGGCGAAAGCTGGCTTCAAGACTGTATGCCTCCTCAGCACTTAGTCTTAAAATCCTATAGGGCTTCTCTTCTAAAAGACCATTCTTTATATGAAGAAATCGTCAGAGAAAAAGGCGATTCCTACACCTTATGGACCCTATATCTAGATTTTCTTATCCAAAAATCTGATAATAAATCCATTCGAGAAGTTTTCAGAAGAGCATTAGAATATACAAAGGACTATCCTCAAGAAATCGCAAGGAAATATAAAGAATGGGAGTCAAGCCACGGAAATTTAGAAGAAATAATCCAGAGTATTACTAAAACTCATAGCAGAATAAGGAGAAATCTAGAGCCTCCAAAAAAGCAAGTAAAGCAGCAGGCTAAGCCAATTAAGGCTGAGACTGCAAGATTTACAGTCTTTATACGGCCGATTCCTTTGAAAATGAAAGAAACAGAGCTTCAAGAAATTTTTTCACAGGTAATTCCAGTCAAAGCTTGCAGAATTGTAAGAAATCGTGAAGGAAAATCCAAAGGGTACGGGTATATTGATTTAAATTCAGAACAAGACATACAGGAATGCATAAGAGTTTTCAATGGAATCGAGCTACAAGGGACCAAAATAACTGTAGCAGCTTCCAAGCCTCCAGAAGAAACTAAAAACGATGAATTTTTGCTTTTCGTGAATAACTTGCCATATGAAATAGAAGAAAACGAGCTAAAAGAAATTTTGAGTAACTACGGAGATGTTTCTACTATAAGAATTATTAGGGATTTAGAAGGAAAATGCAAAGGCTATGCATATGTAGAATTCCACGAAAAAGAAGCTGTTGAACACGCCATCAAAGCAGCTCAAATCAGTATTAAAGGCCGAAACGTGCTGCTTTTAAAATCAGAAAAAAAATCCCAAAATTTCACTCTGCACGCTAGCAATTTGCCTTACGGCATCACCGAAGACAGCTTATCCTCATTTTTCAAAGGAAACTGCAAAGTGACGCTACCCAAAGACCAAAAAGACAAACCCCGAGGTTTCGCCTTCATTGAGTTCGAAAAAGAAGAAGACGCCCAAAACGCATTAGAAATTGAATTCCCAGTAATAGAAGGAAGACCAATCGTTATTAAAAAATGCGCAAACACAAATCCTTCCAAAAAGAAAAAAACAATGAACAATTCAGATTTTAAAAAATTTTTAAGATAAATACTGTGTAGGTTTCTTTTTAAGCGGCTCTCTTGGGTTAGATAAGCTTTTTACAAGTCCCTGGACTTCTTTTTCGTTGATTGTTTTTAAGGCTTTTATTTCATATAATAGATTAGAGCTGCTGGCGTTTGATAGTAAAGGATCATCTGTTTCTGTGACGTAAATTTCTGTGTTTCCTTCGTCATCTTGTTCTAATAAATTAGCTGCCTTGGGGTAGGTATTTATAATGGATTTGGCTAGAGAAATCATAGCTTTCATTAATGGGAGCTCACAGTGAAAAGCAATTTGCAAAATTCTTTTTAAATAGGCAGCAACCATCTCATAGGAGTATTGCTTTCTATCTAAAAAAAGCCATGATAATGCTTTAATATAAGTCTTTTGGGCTTCTTTGGTAGTCGGGATAGAAAGCATTGAGGTGTAAAGGACTTTTATCAGCGTGGACTGCTCTATATTTGCAGTTTCTCCTATCAAGCTTAAAATTTTTATTGAGGATTGTATGCATTGCAGCTGGTTTTCTCCTTTTAATTTCCCCGACCCCAACAATCCCAATAAATGCTTGACAAGGTCTAAAACTAAATCAATGTTAAGCAGAGAGCAGTATTTAGCAGTGCCTTTTAGAGCTTTGGCAAAAATAAAGGACTTAGGCCACTGCTTAATGATCCTGAAATAAATGGCCAAAACTTCTTTTAATGTTCTTTGGTTGCTTTGGACAAGTTTTTGCTTCATGACTTCTTCTTTGGTTTTTCTTCTAACTTACCACCACTCTCTAAATTTGAACAAAACGGTAAAATTTGCATTTTTAGTTACTTTAACCCCCTTTTAAATTGGAACAATTTTGTTTTTCAATAGGAAAACTTAACAATGAAAATCCTAATTTTATGAAATTAGTTTTGATATTATTTAATATGCAAAATGAAAGTAGAATGATATTTAAAAGTTTTCACACTGAATTTTAATTCTTTATAAAAATTATAATCCGTTGGCAAAATTTCTTATGGACATTATACGCGCCATTTTCATATGAAATTTCAAATTAAGAATTTGCCGCACTAAAATCTGCGTTTTGAAACGCATATTCGGTTTTTACATACCAAAGTCAAAATGACATGCATATGCATGATCAGAAATTTAGGCAATAGATAATAAATTAAATTCTAAACATTGTGCTGATAAACTAATTAAAATTCAAATTTAAAAAATTTTTTTAAAAGAAAAAACCAACTAATTAACTTTGATCTAATTTAATGGAAAAAGAGCAAGTACACAGAATCGACTATTTTTTTTAATTATTTCTTCTAAGTCTTTTTCGAAGTCTTCTTCAGTCTTTTTTTTCTTTCTCGGCTTCCCGTTTTCTTCTGCTTCTAATTGGTTTAGGTCCATTTCTCCTATAACCTCAATCAGCTCATCTGGTATCAGCTTGTACGACGTGCTTTTTATTAATTGGTGGATTTCTTTTATAGCTTTAAACCTAAATTCCAGCTCTTTCGACTGCAAAATTTCCTTTATCGCAGGGATCACAATCTCTGGCTGCTTTGTAGCAGAGCTTAAAACGATTTTTAACAGCCTTTCTCTGTAATTAAAATGCATGAGCTCAGATAAAAGCCGTGCCACACATTTTAAAGCTCCTTTTTGTGCCTGAGATTTCACTGTAAGAATATTGAGATATTTGTCATAGTAATTTAATAATGTGTTTTCATAGATCTGGACAGCTTTTACCTCTTTGGAATGCTCGACTTTTTCTTCTTCAGTTTTGATTTCATACCCAGGAAGAATATCAATAAAAATCGAGCACAGAGAAGTTATAGCAAGAGCTTGGATATACTCACTTGGGTCATTACATAACTCGATTAAAGCCAATATTTTGGTATGCTGCATCTCAGGGCTAGACAAAATCAGGGTGGCTGCATGGGCGATTTCGATTCTTTTTTCTTCTTTGGAGAGCTCAGCGTAGCTTGGAGCTTTTTCTTGATGTTTTAAAAATTCTCTGGCTTGCTGGGACTCTTGGTGCTTTGCCTCTTTTTTATTTCTGCGTCCCATATTATTGTAAAATTAGCATATAAGATACTTTTAATGGAAAGTGTTTGGAAAGTTTACAAGACAAAACAATGTAACAGCATCCTAAAGAACCAGGAATGCAGCCAAAAGGAGTACTGCACATTTTTTCACGACGAAACAGACCGTCGGCGGACTTTAAACTTATCATATGAGCCCATTCTTTGTTTAGACTCGATCACGTCCGACCATTGTTTGCATGAAACCTGTAAGTTCTGCAGAAATTTTAACGAGTATATCTATCATCCTCAGAATTTTAAAACCAGAGAGTGCGTAAACCGCAAACTTGGCATTTCCTGCACATTTATATCGTGCCCTTATTTTCATTCTCCAGAAGAGCGCTACCAATTTCAGCTATTACGAGAAAATATGACCAAGCACAACCACGACAACGAAGGCTACGAGTCTGAAAGCGAAAGCGAAACGCCTCTTCAGGCTAAACCTATCGCTAAAAAAGAAACTTCGGTGCCTGTAGAAGTTAGAATGCCTGATCTAAAAAGACTCCCCAGTGAGCGTGGGTATTATGTTCTCAAAGAAGAGGTAAAAAAATTCGAAGACAGACATACAGAATTTAAAGCCTGCTCAGGCAAAGTCTTTAACCCAAACCTAGCGGTTGATTTAATTACCCCTTATATATGTGCCTTTCTAAATACACAAGGCGGGACTTTATTTTATGGGATTAGAGATGATGGACTGGTAAATGGGGTTACGCTGACTAGAAAATTAAGGGATCAGTTTAGCACAATTATTGATTCAGTGCTTAATGCATTTACCCCACATTTAAGTGCTGATGACTATCAGATTAATTTTGCTAATGTCCATGGAAAAGATGGGCAGAGGATCAATGACTTGTATGTGATTGAGATTAAGGTAAAAAAAGGAGATAAAAATGAAATTTATTTTTCGAATAAAGGAGAAGCTTATATAAAGAGAGATGCAAGCATTTCGCTGCTGAAAGGGCCAAATCTGCTGAAATTTTTCCAGAAGAGAAGCAATGGGCAAGTTTCGCCGTAGTATTTATTAGTAAAATTATCTTATATAATTGCTTAAAATTCTTGCTATATCTCCACAGGATGCATGAGGCTCTCCTGTGGAAAAATATGGATGCTGAAGCGCTTGGGATGCAGAAATTCTTTGTCTAGGGTCATACATAAGCATTTTTTCTAGTAGATCTCTCGCCTCATTGCTAGCTGTAGGGAAGGCTCTTACAAAGGAAATTCGTGGGGATGCGGGGGATGGTCAATAATTGGGAAGAATATTCATTCCTTTCCAGTCTTCTTCTCCTGGGGTTCCTAGTGTATTAAAAATTTTGTTGATTTGGTCTATAGAAGTATTTCCTTTCAAAAATGGTTCTTTATTAATCATTTCCGCAAAAATACATCCAACTGACCACATATCCATAGCTTTTCCATAATGTTTGGTGCCAAATAGCAGCTCAGGAGACTGATACCACAGTGTGCAGACTCCAGTAGTTCTGGGCGCTTCTACATCACAGACAATTTTTGCTGTCCCAAAATCAGTGATTTTTATTTGCCCATTCCTTGAAATTAATAAATTTCCTGGTTTTAAATCCCGATGCATCACTGAATTCTCATGCATAAATGCTAGACCTTCTAGTAATTGTTTAAGCAAGCCTTTGGTTGTTGATTCATCGCTAGTCAAATGAATTACATCATTTAAGGCACTTTCTGCTAGCTCTAATACTAAATTGATATTCGAATTTTTATAAAAAACATGGTTTAGGCATAAAAAATAAAATTTTTGAGATAAGTTGCAGGATTTTTTCTATAAATTAAATGCAATTTTGTAAATTTGGATGAAAAAGTACATAGGAAATATTTATCTCAATAAGTTTTTTAAACATAAAAAAACATCATGAAGACGTATGATGTTTGGATGAATCAGCTCTTGTAAAATCATGATTTCGCGCAAAGCTGTAAAGTGGATGCCTTCTCCTTCTTGTAAGACTTTGATGGTTTTTATGGCCACATTTGTGTCAGTTTGGGTGTCAGTGTAGAGATGTACTTCTCCATATGTACCTTTCCCTAAAAATCGAACTCTTATATAGCGGGATTGTTCCATGTATATAAAATTGTAAAATTTAATTTAATCATAAAATTGAAATAAAAATTATAAATAGAAATAAAGTGTTAATTATTTTAAAAAGTCTTAAAAATATTATTTCTTATTAAAGACTATATTTAAATGAATCAATTATAAATAACACTGTAAAAACAGCAACTAATAAATATGCAAATAATATGGTCAGCTTTTGAAAACAATAAATTAATTTAAATGAACTAATAAGCATTTGTATTTTTTATTTACAGATTATTATTGATAAAAATATATCAAGAGTAGGCAGTTTTGCAGTTTTGTGCAAAAATGTGGAATTCTGAGCTCAATCAAAAAATTTAAATTTCAAATTAAATGACAAAAATTACTGGGAACAGAAAAAATCAAAATAGCAATAAAATCGGTATCAATTAAGATGCTCTAATTAATAAGGTGATTATTTCAATATGATTTAATTAATTATGACCTTTTTTCTGAGTCTCAGATTTCAAAAATCTGATCAATAGGTCTTCACATAGCCAATAAAATATTTTTAAATAATTTTGCAAAACGATAGTCTTACAAACTAGATAAAACATCTTTAATGGCCTATTTTAAATATATATACTAATGGATGCTATGCATGATTTTAATTAAATTCATAATTAGTCTCAGGCGCTATGCAATTTTTCACTTATTTTTATTACAAATATTAGTATCTACCTAAAATCCTCTAATTTTTTAATTTTATGACTCTAATAAAAATCCTGATCTTTAGCTGTTTTAGATGGCATAAAAATTAAAAAAATGCAAGAACTAAACATCCAGAAAGGGTCACTTCTCGCAGAACGATTTTGCGTTAATGCACTTGTAGGCAAAGGGACTTTTGGAAGAGTTTATTCCGCTGTGGATTCACAAACCAACAAAGAAGTCGCAGTAAAAATTGAGACAAAAAAAGGAAAGCACAGCCAGCTTCTAAACGAGGTAAAAATCCTCCAGAAGCTCAAAGGCGTCACTGGGGTCCCAAAATACCTCTATTCCTCCAAAGACGGTGACTATGGCTTGCTCGCAATGGAGCTATTAGGAGAAAGCATCAGATCGAAATTCGCTAGATTCAATAAAACGTTTTCTTTAAAAACAGTGCTACTAGTATCAGAAGAAATGCTGGAAAGGATAAGGACTTTGCATGAGTATCACTATATACATAGAGACATCAAGCCGCAGCAGTTTATTACTTCTTACAATGACGTAGAAAATACTATTTATTTGGTAGACTATGGACTGGCAAAAAAATATGTAAATAAATCAGGGGTTCATGCAGCTTATGCTGAAAATCGTTCATTTGTAGGGACTTACCATTATGCATCGGTTAATTGTCATGTGGGAATTCAGCAAGGGCGAAGGGATGACTTGGAGTCTATGTGCTATTCTATTGCGTTTTTGCTTAATGGAGACTTGCCTTGAGTTTCCCGAAATAAAAAAAAATATTCGCAAACAAAAATTCGGAAAATAAAAGCTAGAACTTCTCCAGCAAAGCTTATGAAAGGCTTCCCACCTGAATTCTGTGAGCTGCTAAAATATGTAAGAGGGCTTAACTTTGACACAGAGCCTGATTACAACTATATGAAAGGGCTTTTATCCTCAATCAAGCTAAAAATCAACATGGCAGAAGCAATTTTTGATTGAAATTTACCACTCAGAGAGATGACAAAAACAGAGACTTTAATGATTAAAACACGGACAATAGAAAAGGAGTCAAAAAGTAAAGAAGGGGACACTAGATTTAGGACTTTGAGTTCTCTTTTCCATGAAGAGCTATCATCAGAAAGCTCAAGAACTGTTGAAAAGCTTAATCTTCCTAAGTTACTCAATAGAGAAATTCTTCCTAATTCCACCCCCTCCTTGAGCGAGCAAAACCATTAGAAAATCCCTATTTTTGAACAAAAATTTTTTATGGAAAAAATTTTGATATATAAGTGATAATTATTATAATGAAATCTCTAACGAAATCTTTTTAATTTAAACAAAATGAGTTTAAAATATAAATTTTACAAATTAAATTAAAATTTATTTTCCAATTTTTGCGAAATGGGATTTTTTAATATTTTGAAAACAAAAAATTCTATATATCAATTTTTTTAAAAAAAAATTAACCCTTTTCATGAGCGAACAAAATTTTTTTGTTCGCTCGCCGAGGGGGAGTAAGCATTCTTGCAAAGGACTTTCGGAGTCCAAAACTTTGCCAATGTCTTTTCTGTTCGCAAAGAAAGCTCAAAAGAGCTACTGTAAGGAAAATTTGGTTAGGATGAGATCCACTAGTGCTGAGATAGAGAAATCTGAGTGTCTGCAAAAATCGAATTGTGTTGTATTCTAAATAGAATTGCTTCATTAAAGTCTCGTAAATTATAAATAATGGATTTTTTTTCTATAGTTAATTTTTTAGGAAAATTACTTTTTAAAGTGCAAGTTATATTTATTTTGCTTTAGGGAAAAGGGAATTAAAATCAATATTGTTTTAGGTGGCTATTATTATATTTTTTGGAATGTTTTTCTTATCATCAATCTCTATTTTGAAAGACAATATAAATTGGATATTTCATAGTCAGCTTTAATCCATATTTATAAATTAAATTTTGCTTCAAATGAGGATAATCACGATATTTTTCATTTTACCCTCACTAGTCAGCATAATCTCTCTATCAAGGTTCAATGATCGTGCACTTTGATAGTTTGGCGTTTCCTCGTGAGGCATTTGATTGAAAATTTAATGGCTTGTCTCATTATCAAAACATTTGGACTAAAGTTTCCATAGAAAATATTAAAGTATTAATAGTGCACGATTATTTGATATGTAGCCCTCTCTATCAGAGTCTATAATCGAGTTTTATGAAGACCTATTAAAACTATATACACGAAATTTAGAACTAGATTGAACTCAAGATAAAGGATACGGATTGTATGCAAAAAAATCATTTAATTTACTCCCCTCCATGAGAAACAAAAAATTTTATTTCGCTCAAGGAAAGGTTTAATATTTTTTTAAAACATTCTAAAATTAAGAAGTAAAAATTAATGTAATTATGAAATTTATGTTTTAAAATGCAACCTGTTAAAAAATAAACAGAATTAGCTAGAGATTTCATTATAATAATATATACCAAAATATTTTTTTTTTCATAAAAATTTTTGTTACTCACGGAGGGTATACAGTGTCATACTCACCATAAGCAGCAGCTATTGCTGTTTATGGTGAGGGTAGAATTGCATAGGTGTTTTACCCCAAAATTAGGGATTTTTCCAATCGCTTTGTCGCTTACTGAGGAAGTGGAGTTAGGAGAAACAGTAATAGAAATCCCCAAGTCTTTATCTATTTCTTCCTTTTCTGATATACCATGCACGAATGTATTTCAAGGTTTATCCCGAGATTCCCAGCTTATAATAAAGCTTATTTACTATCATTGCTCAATAAACACTGACACTCATACCCGATACATTAAATCTTTCCCTTCTTTCCTCCCAAATTTTCCATTCTGGAATAAAACCCATTGAAATTTCCTCAAAAATCATAAATTTTCCTTTGAATTTCCCTTAAATGACCCATTTTTTCTTAGTGATTATTCATCTTATATCAAAATTCTCCAATCTCATCAAATTTTGTCATCATGTATACTTTAGGTCTTCTTATAGCTAGTCCTGAGCAATCATTTCCTGATAAAATCTGATTTTATGGTAATTAAACTAAAAATTATATCGGCCAATTCTGGCCAGCCAAAACGAGACTCACTCTATATGCACTCAATTGAAAATTGAAAATGAGGAATATCGATGATTCTTTCTAGAGCTTTTCTTTACAATGTCAATAATACTGAAGAGCTTTTAATAGCACCTATTCTTGATCTAGCGAATTACGACCCAAGCTATGTTGAAAAGTTTTGGTCCGGCTACAAAGTAGGACTAGGAGGAGAACTGATATTGAGAGCTGAAAGAAATTTTGCAGAAAATGAAGAATTTGTATGAAGTTATGGGAGAAAGGATAAAAATATAATGCTGCTTATGTTTTATGGATTTGCTGTAGAAAATAATCCTTATGATTACCTCCAATATGAACTTGGAGATGAAAAATCATGCTTGGAGGAGTGGACCGCGGGGAAATGCATATATTAGATTACGATGGGTATTTATAGTCTTTACTTCCTGAAGCGCCGTGGCTCTCTCAAGGCAGCTTGAGCCAGGACCGAAACCCCCCTGTTTCTCGGTAGATATGATCTTTAAAGCCAAATTTTTCAGGAAGCCTTTATTTCAAACCCAAGTGCCAAAATTGTCCAACTCTGCATAGCATCTTCCAGATCGTCCTATTGAGGTACCCTTTTAGACTGGAGAGACTAGCCCTGAAATATTTGCTTAGCCTGTTTTCCCCTTTTTCTCCGGACTATTCCGAAAAAAATTCAATGTGTGTGCAGTCCATAAAAGCAGCTTAGGCAGGTAAGTCACCCTACCTCTATTGGACACTCATCTGGGCCTAGGCGTTGCTGGCAAAAAAGATGTAAAAAACTTCCACTAGCCGGCACTAATCAGTGGAAATAATGCTAGGCCTCTCGCTGCAAGGCTAACCCAACCCTTCGGCTACTCTTTGAACCAAAAATTGCATCTGGATAAACATAAAGACACAGCCACTGGGAGGACGGGTCGCTCGCCAGAGCCATTTTATGAAGATGGCAATGCATATATAAGATCAAAAGAAATGAAATTAATGCTAATTTATTGAAGGCTATAAGAGTAAAAAAATCAGGAGAAGAAGTTAAAAAAATTGTGAATTTAAAAGATTTTTTTGAAGATTTGCCTTCAGAATCAGAAGGAAAAGAAAGCAAAAAAAGCTTAATTGAAAGTATGAAGAGCTATATGAAGATTTTCAGAGATTTTGTAAGGTGAGACAAAGAATTTGAGAAAGAGGAGTATACTGAAGATCAAATTTATAGGGAAATAGTAAAATATCTAAAATTAAATTAGATTAAGTTAGAGTAGGCCTTGGAGGGTTATTTTAGCCCTCTATCCACATTGATAGGTTTTTGTTCTTAACGGTCCTAGCACCAGTTTGTTTTAAACTTTTTTCTTCTAATGTCACAAAAAATTGGTGACGTCAATAATCTATTGGGGAGACTCAATTAACCCATATGGGCTATTCTAGCAGCAGAAGTCTCTCTAAGCACCTAAGATTATGAGTAAAACGCTTAATGCCTGCTTCTCATTTATCTGCCTTATAAAAGCAACACATTGCGCCTGCATTTTGCGCCATCGATATCTTATCTGTGGGATGAAAAACTTCTGGTCGTTCATGGAAAATAGTTTTTCGCCATATTAATTGGTCTATCTAAAAGAAGAAAGGAAAATTGTATTATATCATTACACAAAAATGCAAAAATTGCTATTGAAACTAATGACTACGCAATTAAATATAAGTTTATAGTTAACTCATGGAAAAATTAATGGGCTTATAGTAAATTTAGCACATAAATCCTAATAGTCCAACTTTCTAGTTTCCAAGTAGTTAACTAAATATAGCAAGAAAAACAATTCTTGCATATAATAAATTTGACCTAGTTCTGTTTTTAGATTATGCAGAGATCTAAGCAAAGAAAGTTTATTATTCTGGTTAATATATGTTCCTAAAGGAATAATCACGCTAGAATAACTAGTATGAAAAGATTAGAGGATCAATGTAGGCACTGCTTTAAGGAATAGATAAAGAGCTGATCCTGGTCAACAGAGCCAAAAGTGTGATTAGAATAAAATTATTATATAAATGGAACTTTAATAAAAGCAAGCAAAATCTTTTCATCTTTGCAAATCAATTTTTCATAACTCTAATAATATAGAACAATACAATTTAAAGTATTTCGCGCATATATTAATTAAGATAATTTTTAAAATTTTTATTTACCTGGAAATTTCACTTGGCAGATCCAATTTTGCAATAATTTACCATTCAAAGATAAAATACTTGAAAAATAATCAAATAAAAATTTTCTTGTTTTTCATTCATCATGTTCATTTTGGATTTATGAATAATTTCACCAAGTCTTTGTTGCTTAAAAAATTCTCCTTTAATCCTGATTTTTCGCTCTCTTCATGAATAGCTTTCTTCCTCTCTTTGCATTGCGAATTCTCATTCTTCTCCTATTTTTCATATCAATAAAAATGTTTTTGCTTGCATTTCTAGCATTAGCCCAGGCTCAAAAATATTACCTTTGTGACGATTATGGCCACGCTTGCAAGATCGGGACAACCTGTTGTGCTCGTTCAGACGGAGGCTATGGTTGTTGCCCTCTTTCACAAGCTGTCTGTTGTGCTGATTCAGATGGCCACTGTTGTCCATTAGGCTACCCAGTCTGCGATATCAAGCATAAAAAATGCACAAACCACCTATTGCTTGGGCAAACAAAAGAAATTCTTATCAAAGAGCCAGCCTTAAAAAGCTCTGGAGTCGAAATGGCAGAATTTGTATTAGGATTTTTTGAAGGACTCGGCAGCCAAATAGGAGGCGAGTTGGTCACAGAGTGTTTTAATGACGTATCTTCTGCCCTAACTCTAATTACAGAATCTTTGGACTCATTTGGAGGTGTTACTACTTTTGACTTTGACTTGGCGATTCAGCAGCTAAGCCAAGCTTTGACTCATTTATCACATGCAAATTATGAGTGCTCGACTGCCTTAGGGCCAGGACTTGCAAAGCTTGAAAAATTCTTTAGCCAAATCAGCAATTATGAAAGTTTGGAAAAATTGGTACTTGTGAATGCTTTAAGTAAAAGCAATTATATATGGAGAGAATGGGCAAAAATAGCTGATGCGAGTTCGGAAAATAAAGGGTTTTATTTCGGGAGAGGGATAAGCATTTTATTTGAAGATTAATATAATTCGCTTATATAATAAACATGGGAGGAAGTTTAAGTTTGAATTATGACTGCTATGGAGCTTTTTGGAGGTTGGTATATAAAGGTAAGAAAATATTGGGAAAAGAGCAGAGCGAGAGAATGTCGATTTTAGAAGAGGATGAAATTTGTCAGGCTGGACTGCTTTCTGAATGCGAAATTCAAAGACTTTTGAATGAAAGTCAAGATTATGGTTCTAATAATTATTTAAAAGTGTAATTTATTTTTGCTTTGTCTTCTAAATATTTATATATTGTGCTTATTGGATTTAGTATCTTTAGATCTTTTTGAATTTTATGAGGAAGATAATATTTAAAATTTTTAATATAATAAATTTATGATATGATCGAGACTCATTATCATTAATCTAATATTTTAAAGATTTAGATATGGAAAAATTAGGTCCTTTAAGAATTTATAGAAATTTCCCATAGATGGCGCTGTTTGCCCTTTTGAGGAAAATTTTTTTGGTTTGACCAAACCATATGGTACTGGTCGAACCAAAAAAAAATTTCCCCAGTGGGCAATTTAAGAGCAAACAGCGCCATCTATGGGAAATTTCTATAATTGTTTTAGATATTTTTCGTAAAGTATTTAGCTTAATTATTTCGAGGAACTGCTTGAAGTATAAAATACCTCACACACATATAAATTGTTTCGAATCCAAATACTTGTAAGAGAGTTCCGTAGAGGAAGCTAATTGCCCAATATCCACTCCATTCCGAGCAGAATATGTTGCTCACTCCCCCCCCTCCGTGAGCGAACAAAAACCATAGAAAAATCGCCATTTTTTGACCAAAAACCCACCCTCCGTGAGTGAACAAAAATTTTTTTAATAGAAAAAATTTTAATGGAAAAAAAATTTTGATATATAAGTGATAATTAGTATAATGAAATCTAGAGCTAATTCTGTTTATTTTTAAACAAATTGCGTTTTAAAACATAAATTTTGCAAATTAAATTAATATTTGCTTCCCAATTTTTGCAAATTAGGATTTTTTTAAATTTCGAAAAAAATATTTTTTATAAAATTTATATATAAATTTTTTTTAAAAAAAAAAATTTAACCCCCCTCCGTGAGCGAACAAAATTTTTTTTGTTCGCTCACGGAGGGGGGGGGGGGAGTCAGCATTATAATACCAATAGGTGATCCAAGGAGTATGATAATTTCTATTGAAGTAACGGTAACAAGCAAGCCTAGAGTCTTAATTCTTCTAGTGCTAAACACCAAGCTTAAGAATATTTCAATAGGTATTGTAATCCCAAGCGCCAAAACGATATAAGCGAAATATTTCCCTTCGTAGTCTCCAAACAGAGTCTCAGCTGATGCTGAGAATCCTGACTTACTCCTCCCTCCGTGAGTGAACAAAACCATTAGAAAAATCCTCCGTGAGTGAACAAAAATTTTTATAAAAAAAAATTTGATATATAAGTGATAATTAGGATAATGAAATCTCGAGCTAATTCTGTTGAATTTTTAAACAAATTGCGTTTTAAAACATAAATTTTACAAATTAAATTAATATTTGCTTCCCAGTTTTTGCAATTAGGATTTTTTTAAAATTTCGAAAAAAAATTAACTCCCCTTCGTGTGAACAAAATTTTTTGTTCACTCATGGAGGGGGGGAGTTAGTATTTTCAAAAACATACAGCAGAAGCCCTTCTAAGAAAAGCTCAAAAACAATAACAGTTCCCAATACAAATAGTCTAGCTTTTCTTGAATAATTTTTTCTATAGTATATCAACCCAAAAACTAAGTGACCTTCAAACAGCAGAGCAAGCTCAGTTTTAGACACGTCCTCAGACTCTAATTCTATTTTCTCGTCTATTTTTGGTTCTTCTAGAATAATATCTCTTCTTTCAACAATTTCTTCGTGCTTTATCTCAACAGATCCATCTAAATCTTGAACAAAAGTATTTTGTCCGAAATGCAGATTATCATTCTTTTGTTGAGAATTATCTAAACTGCGATCTGCAGGGGAATTAACAGGAGCCACTTTAATGCTGCGTTTTTCTTTATGATCAGCCCGGTCCAAAAAGATTATTATAGGAATTAAAATCAGAATAAAGAAAAACACAGATGCCAAAATATAGACAGGAGCATAGTTCTGAGGGCATGATTCTGAGTCTGTAGGGGTTGGGAGGTCAGGGATTGCGATTTTGGTTTGGCCGAGCTTGTACATAGAGAAATGATAAACTTCGAAAATGATGCTTTTCTCTTTGATTTCTTTGATGCTACAGCCATCATATACCCAGTCTTTATCAGTTTCATTATAAAATACACAAGTCCAGTTATAGCCATCCTCAATACTGTCATAAATCGGCATTTCTAACGTTACTGGATAATCCTGGCTTGAAAATGGGACATACTCTTCTGCTGATTTTGTTAACGCATAGCTTTTATAAGCTCCAGATTGAGCAAAACTAAGTACTGCAACGTCTGAATAATCATTTGAGGTGTTATAATAGTCAACCTTGATGTTCATAATATCTGTATCTGGATAGCTAAAATGAGATGGGAATGAGACAGTCCTATTTTCTCCTAGAGAAATCGTTTTATTAGTCATTGCACTTGGGAAGTTTCTATGCTTAAAAACTTTAGTCTGAATTGTATTTTGAGAGCCATCTAGTGCGCTCTGAGTTACCAAATCGTTAGCAGTAGCTGCAACTGTCCAAGTTGATAGGAATTTGTCAGCAGCTATTATATACTCTTCTAAAGCTTTTCCCTCATAATTAGTAGAATTCCCATACAAAAGATAATCATCTACTAGAGCTACAACAATTTTAATATTTTCTTGTGTAGGCACTACTGTAGGATTATCAGAAAGTATTCCATCAAGCCAGTCAAACATACTCTGGAACATCTCAATAGTCACTAAACTAGTCTGTCCCGCCATCGCATAGACCGATCCTAGCACACTTCCTAGCAAATTTTCATCAATATCATTATTTTCCACATAACTCTGTAAGTCACTCCACATCTGAGAAAACAAAGAAGCCTCAATTGTAGCAGAGCTACAAAAAATGGCTATAGTAGATGGAATATTATCAGTATCTATTATATTCATCAAATATGCATCCATTAATGAAGAAGTTTGTAACAGTCTGCTGGAATATTCTGATGTAGTTATTTCAGTTGAGTAATCCGCACACGTTTTCAGACTATCACAAACGTGGACAGTCAGACTGTTTTTATTAGGAAGCAAATAAGCTTGTATAGAATTGGTTTCTGAGGTATAGCCAAGGACATAAAGTTTGCTATTTCAGGCATCGAAATATGTATATGTTAATGGATAGTCTGACTCATCTTTGTCATAGCAGCCAGAAATCCCGAGATTGAACATAGTGACTAAGGCTGTGCCGCTGCTTGGGCTTAATATGAAATCCCCAGAGCAGGAAGCCCCTGAGTTTACTGTGACTGGCAGCTGAGTAACGAATTGCAGATTTGAGGAGTCTATTGTGATGGTAAGAGTAAAAATATAGCTGGAGCCTTCTATCAGAGAGCTAGATGGGAATGAAATAGATGATAGATAATTCGGAGAAATAGAAATATCTGCACCTGTTTTTTCTGACCAAAGAATTTGAGCAGGAGCATTAGAATTAATAGATGCTGAAAACTGAATGTTTTGCTGAGGACTGAATTTTTGCAAAGTCATGGTTATTGCAATAGAGATTTCAGTGGAAATATTCAAAATGTTGATTTCTACCATTGCGCTTGCACTTCGAGTGTCTTTTGAAATCGTGCAGATAATGTCCCATAAGGCTCCTTTAACCATCCTACTTGTAGGAATTGTCAAAGTTGCAGCTGTTTCATCAACTAGCAGTATTTCTCCGTCACTTCCTAAACAGTCTGACTCGTCTTCGCTATTTTGGCAAATCCATTTATAATTTAAGGTTCCATTGGGATCATCAGGGTCTTTTGAGCCAATAGCGTTTATTATATAATCTTCGCTGGGAGAAACATCACCGCTGGTCTTCGACAACTGAATAATTAAAGGTGAAGCAGTGACTGTTATAGAAACCTTGCCACTTCCAGTCAATGTAGCATTAGCATTCACTTGTGAAGCAGAAGCAATAAAAGTATATGGCCCTCCTACAGGTAAAGTATTTTTTGGGATCGTCAATTTATCAGATTTAGCGTTTTTAAGTATTGCATCATAGTTGATAGAAGGACTTGTAGATGTATCATAACTCCATGTCCAGGAAGCAGGGCTGGATGTAAAAGTGGAGCAATATGAGGTGATTTTTGCTTTGAGGGTTTTTGATGAGGAATACCACATACTGACTGAGTTGCCCTGGTCAAATATAATAGACAAAGCGCTGCCTGCATTAATAGTGGTCGTAAGCGATGCTTGGTTTGAGTACCCTAGGAAATTGGTTGCATTTAAAGTAACAGCTAAAGTGGTAGATACAGATGTAGGGAAATATGATCTAGAAATGGAGATAGAAGGAGTATTCTGAGAAGTTATGAAATCGAGTAGGCTTTTATTAGATGGAGAAATACGAGCAGACCAGCTATAAGATAGAGGAGAGCCTAACCCCATTTGAGATCTTTCGCCAGAATATACAAGAGCATCTGTCCCACAGCTTAAGTAAAGATTTGTTTGGCCACTAATAACAGCAATTGGAGAAGGTGGTGCAGTTGATGAAATAGCTATAGAAAGCGGCTGATATGCAGTTGTGCAGGAATCTGTGGTATCTTTAACAAGATATGTCCCATCAAGGTAAATAGTTTGTGTTCTTAGCCCATAATGGTTCCTCTTTAATATAAAATTATTTTTATCTAAAATTTCTTTTCTAATATAATTTCATTGCATAAGCCCATAATAAGTTCCTAGAGCCACCTTAAGTGTCTTGGAATCTGCCCAAGAGCAAATTGGGCTGCTTCCAAGTAAAACATAAGTTGAAGCCTCAAATACTTTGGAACAGCCTGGATCTAGTGAGGTATCAAGTTTGACGTTGAAGTAGACATAAAGATAAGTCCATGCCGAGCTGAAATCTGCTGATTTTATATCAGTTGGGGAAAGATATTTCTTACAAGCCACACATTTACTGTTAGACAGAATATATCCACTATTGCAAAGACAACTTTTAGTAGCACTATCATAAGCGGAGTTCTCAGTGCAAGAGCAAGTTGTCTCTGAGAGCTCTGCATTTGTAATACATTTGGAGCATTTATTTCCATTATCAATGTCACATTCTGTGCAATAACTATTGCAATCTGCTTTGCAGTAGCCAGAAGAGTCAGAACTGCTAAGCGTAAAGCCAGTTTGACAGTGACAAAACTGGTCAGTTGAATCAAGATAAGCATGACTTTTGCAAGTGTCGCACTTTGTATTACTAGAGCATGAAGAACATGGAGAAGGACATTGCAAGCATTCTTTGGATGAAAGATAAAACCCTGTTAAGCATGAGCAAATCCCATTATTTATTGGATTGGTATTAGAGACACATGAATCGCAGATAGCATCAGATAAACAGGTTGAGCATAGCCCAGAGCATTCTTTACATTGAGAAAGAGAAGCATTAAAATATTCATGTTGAGAACAAGAGCAAGTTCCTGTGGAAATATCAAGGGTAGATGTATCAAGACAAGAAGTGCAGAATGTCTCCGATGTGCAAGACTTACAAGGACCTTTACAGTCTTGGCAAGCTTTTGCTGCTGAGTTAAAGTATTGAGTTTCGCCACAAGTGCAGAGCTTTGTATTATTGTCATATTTCATGGCAGAGTCTATACAAGAGGTGCATGAAGTTGAGTCTAAACAGTCCTCACAGGTTTCATGGCAGCTTTGACAAGATAAGCTATCCTTGTTAAAATAATAATTTGAAGGGCAGCTACACGTCCCTGTAGTTGAGTTATAAGTCATCGTAGAATCTTTACAAGTAAGGCAGAATGTTGAATTTAAGCACTTCTCACAGATTCCTTCACAATCTTCACATGATTTGGTAGAATAATTAAAGTATTTTTTATCAGGACAGGCACAAACTCCAGATATTTCATCATAAACCATAGCAGAATCTGCACAGCTTAAACAGAAATCCGATGATGAACAAGTCTCACATGGGCTTACACAGTCAATACATTTTTCAGATTCCAGATATTTAGACACTTGGCATAAGCAAGTTCCATAAGTTGAATCATAATCCATCGTCGAGTCAATGCAACTTAAGCAGAAATCAGCAGACTCAAAACAAGTTGAGCAAGGACTTTTACAAGAGCTGCATTCTTGCGAATTAGCGTCATAAAACTGGCCAGATGGGCACGAGCAAACCCCAGATGTAGGATTTAATACCATTATTTCTGGATTTATACAAGAATAGCAAAAAGAAGAATTATAGCAGGTAGCACAAGGAGCTATGCAATCCGTGCAAGTATTATTTTCTATGTATGTTCCATTAGGGCAGCTTGATATCAGGCATGAAAATCCATCATAATAATAGCCAGATTTGCATTGAGTGCATGAAGAAGCATCAAAACAAGTAAGACAGTTCTCCATACAAGGCTGGCAGAGCTTTGTAGTATTTTCATAATAAAATTGTTCCTTGCATTTACAGCTACTAATATTTGATGGATCTTGGATCATATTGGCCGAATCAATGCACTGGCTGCATTCAGTTGCATTGCAAACTGAGCACAAAAAGCTGCAAGCTTGACATGTTTCTCCATCATAATAAGCAGATCCGACACATTTGCAATTCCCTGGGCTAAGCAAATCTACTTCTTGTAAATTTTGGTCGTCACAAGCAGAACAGTTTGTAGCTGAAATACAGTCATCACACATAATCCCGCAAGGAAGACAGTTAAGACCATCAGAATAATGCTTATCTGGGCAACAAGTAGTTTTTTTGATAATAGCGACATCGAGAGCTATTTCTGGCTTACAGGAATAGCATTCACCTGATATGTCTTTGCAATTTAAACAGCCTGATTGGCAAGGTTGACAATCCAAACCATCATAGTAGTGGCTTGAAGAACAGCAGGACCTAGAGCTTTTTATTTTCAAATCTACGATCATTTGATTGCTGCAGTCTTTGCAGATTCCTGTTATATCCTCACATTCAATACAACCTTTAGGGCAAGGCAAACATTTGCTTCCATTAAAATAATTTCCAGGGCTACATTGGCATGCGTTTTGAGTAGAGTTATAAAAATAACCATCAGGACAACATTTTTTTGAGCTGACAATCGCTATATCAAGAGTCATATCTTTAGTGCAAGATCTGCATTTGCTTGGCCCTTCGCACTCTAACCCTTTTGAGTGCGAACAAATCGATTGGAAAAATCCCTAATTTAAATAAGAAACTAAGTTTATATAAATATTTTATATACATAATTAATTATTACAATAATAAGATTTCCTTTTAGTCAGCTCATTCTAAAACATTAGAATTTTTTAAATACAAAAATTTAAATATATAATTTTTTTAAACGCTAATTTAAGACTGGACAAAAATTGTTCGCACTTAAAAGAGGATTAAGCAGTTACCCAAACATAACTTGCATTCATTTTCAGCCAAATCATAGAATTCTCCTTTAGGACAGCATTTTGATGAGCTTGTAAGAGTTATATCCAGGGTCATTTCTTTGCCACAAGATTTGCAATCACTTAGATCATCACAGTCTAAACAGTTATCTGAGCAAGGTGTACATTTTTTCCCCTGACTCTCCAATTTAAATTTGAACAAGAGTTCAATTTTTTGGTTCTTTAACCTCCCTTTAAATTACAACAAATCTTTTTTAATAGGAAAATTTTATAGATGAAAATACTAATTTTCATAAAATTAAGAAACGAATGCAAGAAGAATGCTATTTAAACAATTTTTCACACTGAAATGATTAATTTTTTTATTAATTCTTCAAAATAATTCAACATTTGCCTCAATATATTTTTTTTTTTTATTTTTTTATACCTAATGGAAAAAGTGCTCACTGTCAGAAAAAATTAATATATAAAAAAATTAACACCCCTTAAATTTGAACTGGAATTTTTGTTCCAATCTAAAAGGAGGAGTGAAGAATCATAAAATTGTCCTGGCGGACAACATTTTTTAGAGCTGACAATAAGAGTTTCAAGAGTCATTTCTTTTTCGCAAGAGTTACAATCACTTTGTCCCTCACATGCTAAACAATTGCTTGAGCAATCTTTGCATAAATCTTCAGCTTTATCATAAAATTGGCCTGTAGGGCAGCACTTCTTAATGCCCAATACTTCAATATCAAGAATCATTTCCTTTTGGCAAGAACTGCACTCATTTGCATTTTCACATGCTAAACAATTTTCTGAACAAGGGATGCATCCTTTTGTAGAAAAATCATAGAATTCTCCTTCAGGACAACATTTTTTAGAGGGGCCATCAGGAAAAAAACCCTCTGCCATTTTTGACGATAAAAAGTAGCAGAAAAAAAACTATCTAGAATTTTTCCTGATGGAAATTTTTAGAGCTGACAATTTGCGCATCAAGAGTCATTTCTTTATCACAAGATCGGCATTTATCTGGATTATCACAAAATGAACAGTTGGATAAGCAAGGCCTACATTCATGATCTGGAGTGCTATAAAATTGTCCTGAAGGACAGCATTTTTTCGAGCTTATAATAGTAGTGTCAACAGTCATTTCTTTATCGCATGATTTGCAATCATTTGAATCTTCGCAATCAAAGCAGTTGGCAGAGCAAATTAAGATTAAATGGTTTATAGTCTTACAGATTTGATACCTCCACATGCTTGTGGCGCCAGAGTCTGCTTGCCTGAGGTATTCAGTTGCCTGAATCCTATCTCAATTGCGGTCTACTCCCAAAGACCTGGGCTTGCAACGATATCTCTGAGTCTCGACGGGTTAGAAAGATTGCTTCACATAATTCGGACGTTATGGAGGCAAATGCCAGCCCGATACCCCTGTCGGCTACCTTGAATGAGGGAGGAACCAGAAAAAAAGAATCACGACTTTCCAGCCGGCGGCGAAAGAACCCGCGGCCCAAAAACCCATCCGGATAACTAATACTTGGACTTGGATCGCCACCAGCTGACTTCCATAACTTACCCTCACCATACACATTATTTTCTCCCGCACATAATGGAGTTCGTGCCAAAGTTGAGAGGAAATAATCCTGAAAGATTTTACAGTTTGGACAGTTCTGTATAAGCTTGGAGAGCATCTGGCGGTGCTGGAGGGTCCTGAAGAATCACTGGAGGAATAATAAGCGGAGATGATGAAGGCGCAATGGATGGATTCTGAGGGGTTCATGCAAAACTCCATATGGTCTACATTGGAAGCGCAAGTAGGTGATGCATAGGAGTTTTTGCGAAGTTTTATGAATTTTTTGCAGTTTTATGAAGTTTTATGAAGATTTATAAAATTTTATTGGATTTTAATTGGTCTCATCAGAGATGATAACCGTAATTCTATTTCTATTTCTTACCCTCACCATACTAACGTTTTAGGCAAGCTTAAATGGCCTGAACCTTGGTTTAGGCTATAGTAATTTGGCACACCTCAAGGTAGTGCGCTATCACCAAGGGCATATTTCATCACCGACTCTATATGAATTATTAGGCAGAGCAAGGTTTACATATCTTCTCTTTTTTATCATAAAATTCCCCAGGAGAGCAGCATTTTTTGGTCTTGCTAATGGCTAAGTCCAAAGTCATCTCTTCTTTACAAGAATAGCACTTATCTTTTCCAGAACACTCTAAACAGTTATAACCCAGAACGGCTAATTGCTTGCCTTAAGTTATAAATCAGTAGAGTTGGTTCGGAACCAAAGATGCCAAACCAACTTCATGATTTGACAGTATGCCTATAGTAGCATTTGCCAATTCGTGGATTTGATTTGGTTCGAGCTAACTCAGCAATTCGACTCCAATCTCAAGCCCAGGGTAACAATAGGCTGTCCTGGGCTATATCTGAGCATGGCTTGCATCCGTTTTCGCTTTTGTCATAGAATTGTCCTTGATGACAGCACATTTTTGAGCTTATAATAGTTGTATCAACAGTCATTTCTTTTTCACACAATTGACAGTCACTTTCACCATCACATTCTGAGCAATTGGGTAAGCATGACTTACATATTTTTTGAGTTGAGTCATAAAATTCTCCTTCAAGGCAACATTTTTTAGAATTCGAAATAGCAATATCAAGAGTCATCTCTTTGTCGCAAGAATTGCATTTACTTGGTCCTTCACACTCTAAACAGCCACCTAAACATGTTTTGCATATATTTTCTGCTAAGTCATAGAATTTTCCTTTCGGGCAACATTTTGATCTACTTACAAGAATCATGTCAAGCGTCATTTCTTTATCGCAAGATTGGCATTCATTAGATTTTTCGCATTCTAGCTCCCCCTCAGCTCTCGAGCAATTATGGGTTTCGGTATACTTTTTTGATAGTGGGCATTTCAATGAGACTATTTTGCTCAATATATTTATAATGTGGCATTGACAGAAAAATAACAAAATATTATAAACGATCATTTAGGATTAGTAAGCAAAATATTTTACTCCTAGCAAAGGAGGTAAATTAATTTTTGCAAGAGGAGCTAGTTTTCCCAAAAATAGACATTTTTTAATTGTTTGCTAACCAATGCTGGGAGTAAGCAATTAGTAGAACACGATTTACAGATTTTTTCAATTTTATCATAAAATAGTCCTTGAGGGCAACATTTTTTGGGAATAATTATAGCTAGATCAAGAGTCATTTCTTTATCACAAGTGCTGCAGCTCCCTAGCTTTTCACATTCTAGGCAATTTGGCGAGCATGATTTGCATTCATTTTCTATGATATTATATAATTGGCCTTTAGGGCAACACTTTCCTTTGCCTTTTATAGTAATATCAAGATCCATCTCTTTATCACAAGTCTTGCAGATTCCAAAATCATCACATTCCAAGCAATTTTCAGGACAAGGCATGCACTTAATTCCATTATAGTAGCTCGAAGGGCTACAACAAGGCTTAGAATTTGCTATTTTTACTCCAATTTATTGAGAATTTCCATTTATAAAAGTATTATTATTTTTATTTTATTAAAAATAATAATTTTCCTATCAATAAAATAATAGCTTATTCTTATGAAATTACATATGTCTAAGGCCATTTCTTTCTCACAACTTATGCATTTTTGAGTTATATCCTCGCACTCAGAGCAATTAGGAGTGCAAGAAGCGCATTCAGAGCCATTATAAAATGTGCCTTTAGGACAACAAGATTTTTTGCTTTTAATTTTAATGTCAGCAGTCATTTCAGATCGACACCGAGCACATGAGGTTGTGCTATTACAGCTTAAACAATTTTCAGGACATTTCTCACAGCCAGATCCACTATAAAAAGACCCTTCCAAGCAACAAGGACTCTTCCTAATTATTTCTACATCTAATGCAAGCTCAGGTCTGCAATTGATACATTCTCCAGTAATATCTTTACAGTCCACACATCCATCAGGACAAGGAATGCATTTTTTCCCATCAAAATAAGTAGATTTGGGACAGCATCCAGTGCTAAACTTAAAGAGAGTTGCATCAATTATCATTTCTTTTTCACAGGATTCTGAATTGTCCTGACTCCCCCCCCCCTTTAAAATTGGAATTAATAATTTTGTTCCAATTTAAAGGGGGGTTAATTTTATTTTTTAAAAAAAAATATCAATATAAAATTTTTTATAAAATATATAAAAAAAATTTCAAAAACTTATCGAATTAGATTAATAAATTTGTTTAATAAAATGCTATTTACTCTTTATCCTTTAAAACAAAGCAAGGTATAACTAAATTTTCATTATTAGTTAATACGCCACTATTAATTGGTATCAAAATTATTTACACAAAAATTATTATTTTTATTGATAAAAAAAAATTAAAAAAAAAAACAATTTTAGAAAATTTATCGATCAAAGTGCTAATTTTGTTTAAATAAGATATTATTTATACTCTATTCTTTAAAATAAAGCAAGAAATAAGTAAATTTTGAAATTTTATAAAGAATTCCTATTGAATTTATATCAAAACTATCCAAATAAAAAATATCATTTTTATCAAAAAAAAACAAAATTTTTAAAAAAAAAAAATTAATTTGTTTTTAAAATTTAGCAATTAAGGATAATAAATTGATTTAAATAAGATGTTCTTTATACTTTTTCTTTAAAAAAGAGCAAGATATAACTAAATTTTTAATTTTAGTTAAGAAAAAACATTTAACTTATATCAAAACTTTTTAGATAAAAATTATATATAATTTTTTATTATAAAATTAAATTTTGTTCCAATTTAAAGGGGGGTTAATTTACCAAAAAAAGTGGAAATTTTACCGATATTTTGTTCCAATTTAAAGGGGGGGGGGAGTGAAGAAGTCTTTTAGTGTCTGTTTTTGACTGCTGATTTAGCTTTTTGGCGTGACTTTTTGGAACTAAAGTAAATTCGATATAAACGTCTGTTCCGTCATTGACTAAAACTGAATCATCAAGTTCTACCGCTTGAAGTAGGGAGAACGGCAAGAGAAACCAAAACAGAATTAGTTTCGACATATTTTATAATGCATTAAATGCTAGAAATTATAGATGAATTGAATTGAAACGAGTTCAAGATATGCTTTGAACCTTTTAATATTTATGTATTTTATTAAAAATGCTATCATATTACTATGAAGCCGCAGTAGCGACTTCTGGCTTTTAAATCGTTGGTATGATAGCGATTTTGCGAGCCTACGCTAAATTCTGTATGCATCAATATGAGATGGTTAAATATTAATTGTGAAGAATTTTTACTCATGAAACATGAATTACATTTATAGTTAAAGGTATTTTTTCGCCTAAATAGCGATAAACATTAAAGAGTAGCCTAAAACTAAGCAAATATTTATTAAGAAATAATTATCAAATTTAATGATCACTTTATCATATTTATAGGTCAATTTCATCAAATTTTATTGAAAAGATTTTTTTGCATAATCAGAGGAGAGTTTTCTGGATATTTTATTATATAAAAGGCATCAAATAAAAGTTTATCTTATTAGAAAATTTAGGCTTTAGGAAAGGAATATGGAACACAGAATAAAGATGACGTCTGTGCATCCAGCTAATGATCTTGATAAATTTTTTCCTAATTAAAGTATTCTTGGAGTAAGAAAACTTAATAAAATGCATTTTCAATTTTTCTTCATACCTTAATTCGTTTATCAAAAATTCATGTCAAAGAGATTTTATAATTTCGCTAAAGCATGAACTTTAAGCTCCATTTATCTAATTGCTTATCTAAATATTTGTTTTGAACAAACCAAGATTTTATCCTTAAATTAAGAATGTTATAAATCACATAACTTCTGAGTGCAAGAAAATTGATTCTGGCGAACTAATGGCCATATTTAATACTAAAGCTAAATAAATATTAGGAAAGCTAAATTTTCTAGTCAATTTTAATGTCATCTAAGCTGTGGAATTTCTAAAAGTTATACTTGCCCTTCTTTCGCTTGTATGCTTAATTTCTATTAAAATTGTTCTTATTCTGAATAAATCAATAGGCGAACTAAATAAATTCTTGAATCCTAGAAAAAGAATTATGCACCAGCAGCATATTCAGCTTTAAGGTCTTCTCCAGACAAAAATTCAGATCATATATCTTTCTTATATATAATGAATTGCATTTGGAGAAAACTTATTGGATTTAATTATGTTTATCATTAATTGCTATGCCTGTCCTTCTTCTCGTCTAAGGATGAATTTAATTTAAAATAATAAAAAGTTGAAATATTAGGCTTATGACGTCCTCTTTTCATTTACACTATATATATAATATGCACGTACTTCAGATTGAAGTTGTTGGGTAATGTGCATTTATAATTGAGTAAAATTTTGTCATTAATACCTACTACCCTTTTTGATTATATCACTTATTCGTGCGAAGTCTTTTAATTGTATTTTAAATGACTTATTTATTGTAAGCAAATATAGCTTAGGGTAGCTTATTACTCGCCTTGGACTACAATTTGAGATCAACTCTTGGAGCTGATTTGTAACTTCACGGTCTGATAATCCCGAACAAACTCTATGAGTCTCCAATTGATAGCCCAGGACGAGCAATGAGCTGTCTGGCCTATATATTAGCTTATGATGAATTGCCCATTAAAGAGCTATTTTGGAAAGCCAGATATCAGTTGGCTTGCTAACTTATAGGTAGCCATATCATCTTATTTGAATTGGCTAGTCTAAAGATCCTTGCAGCCCCTTACACGTTCATAGAGGGATATTTTTTTAAGCTTATATAAATTTTATAATTCATTGTTTTATTGAAATTTAAAATCCAAATTGGAAAGTAAAAATATTAATTTAATTTGCAATATTTATGTTTAGAATCAAGTTGTTCAAAATTAAGCAGAATTATTTAGAGTTTTCACCATAATAATTATTATTTATATACCAAAATATTCTTTGCTCACTTGGATTTCTTAATAATTTTTTGTTTAAATAAGGAATGGGGAGTTGTGGAATATTTTTAGTAAATATGTATATATTAGAAGCACCATTTACAGAAGATATTTGCATTCCAGAATTATCAAAATATACCTAAAATATAGGAATTGCCCCACACCGGGAATCGAACCCACGTGTGGGGCCATTTTTGGTGCGTGTAAGTCGATGTTGGCCACACACCAAAAATGGCCCCACACGTGGGTTCGATTCCCGGTGTGGGGCAATTGCTATAGTAAAATGTTGAATAAATAGTAAAGCATGCACAAATTATGGAATTGTATAGAATAATAATAAATATGATTTTAATATGTCTGGCAGCTTTACAGCTGGTCTCTGCGGTTTCAAATCAACACTACTACTCCAATGTTGACAGAGAAGCTCAGAATCAATTTTAAATTATTATAGTTACGAGTTCATAATAAGTTGTGAGCTTACTACCCCATCCTTGATTGATCAATGACTCACTGTTAATAAATCTATATGGGGGATAAAGATTTTTGTATAACTATTAGCTCCATCATTTATCTATTAAAACTATTCCCATGCAAATATTTTATGCGCTAGAGGTATTAGATGGAGTATCCTATAAATTAGAACTTGCTTATAATCGCATAAGTAGTGACTATGCTGTAAATTTCTAATATTCATTATTCTCAAAGATAGGTAGTAGATTTGATATGGGTTAGATTCTTGACCATGAAGCAAATGCGAGGAGGAAGTACTTTCATCTTATTCCCAGTGCATCTGCTAAAAATCAGCATATTATATAAACCCAGAATCAGCCTACTACAAGCTATGATTCACCTCAACACCAAAACAGTCCTACTGGAAGCAACCAAAATCACTACTTACCATCAGATTTTGGAAACTCAAAAAAGCTACCAAGAGGAGCTCAAAATCCCAACCTGCCGCCTCACACACAACATAAAGAAGGGCCAGAGGACTACGAGGTGAACCAATACCCTGATGACCTATATGGAAGAAGCCTACAAGAATCAAACGGTACATCACACGGCTGTTCCTATGACCAATATTTTGACAGCAATACTGAATTATGCACAAATTGTCGTGCGAGATTTCCTGGGTGCTTATCATGCAACGAAACAGCTTGTTGGTGGTGTGATGCCAATAAATTTCTTACTAATGATGGCTGCATTTCCTGTCCAAAATATTGTTCTAGGTGCGAAAAAACAAGCTGTAATGAATGCTACAGCGGCTATTTCTTAGACACAGATGGAGAATGCGCTATGTGCATCGAAAACTGTCAAGTATGCAATAATACTTCCTGCTCTGTTTGCAATTCTATGCATTATTTAGATGAAGTTGGGGGATGCTCTTTATGTGAATTTAAGTTCCCAAATTGCCAATTTTGCGATGGATCTGTCTGCAAGCAATGCAAATCAAAATATGGTGTAAATTCAGATGGACAGTGCGAGCTATGTCCTAAAGGATGCGACTGGTGCCAGAATGGAGAATGCTTAATATGCGACAAAGGCTTTTACTTAGACACTGATGGCCAGTGTAAAATGTGCACTAGTAATTGCTTCAATTGCAATATTACTACCTGCTTTAGCTGCAAGTCAGACTTCTATTTAGATTCCTCTGAAAAATGCAGACCATGCCCAGATGTTAATGTTAAATGGCTTTGTTCTAGGCAGGGTCGCGGATTGGTGCTTCTAAATCCACATCCTCAGCGGATCCCTGGTAGACACCATCCTCGCCGCATCAGGCAAGGGATTTATCATCCTCTCAGAGTTTCTGCTGATTTGACCTTTCCAAGGATAGTCTCAGAAGTAGAACCCCCAAGTCCAGGAATCAGTATCCTAGGTCTCGAGGAAAACCTGCCCGATATATAAAGGATTATCGAACTCTTTCTGCCCTTTCTTCACACTGGGCTGTTACGTGCTGGTGTTAAAAGAGGTCGGGCGGTTTTTCGTCACCAATTTTATGTATATAGTCTATGCCAGATAATTGTAATTCTTGCACCGAAGCAGGATGCAATTACTGTGACTATGGATTTTTTGTAGGCACAGATAATAAATGTCACTCATGTTCTGAAAAATTCGGGTACCTGTGCAACAGCTGCAATGAAGCGGCTTGCTACTATCGTGATAATCATTTTTTCACAAGCACTGACGGGACATGTGCTAAATGCTCTGATTGGTTTCCAGGCTGCGACCAATGTGATCATAACCATTGTCTTAAATGCAGCTTAACGTATTATATGGATATAAACAGCAACTGCAATCCATGTGGTTCTGGCTGCGCAGACTGCTTAAACCCGACTTCTTGCAAGACCTGCTTAAATGGTGAACTTCCATATTCAGATGGGACTTGTGAATGCAATATTAGGGGTTCGTTCTTTAATAGTGTTACAAATCGATGCGATTCTTGTAATGTTGGATGCAGATCTTGTGATAATTCGGAAAGCTGCTCAAAATGTTGGGCCTCAGGTATGGCTAGCAATGGTGATGGGAGTTGCTCTTGTGTCCAAGAGAACTATGTCTTTGCAAATGGTCAATGTCGGCCTTGCTCAGATTATGCCTGTGAAACATGCAAAAGAATAGATATAAAGACGTATTCTGATTACAACTATAATTATTATAGTACTACCTCCTCTTACAACTATAATGATTATAGTGTTAGGTGCTTGACTTGCAAAGATGGGCATTATTTATGGAGTGGAAATTGCTATAGCTGCCCATCTGGGTGCTCTGAATGCAGTGCTTCTACAAAACAATGCAAAAAGTGCTTCGATCCTGATAATATGCTAATTGATGATAAGACAGGGGCGTGTTATTGCAAGCCTGGCTATCGATGGGATGACTTAACTCATTCTTGCAAACCTTGCTTATCTGGATGTGCTAATTGTGAGGGCAGAGAAGACTGGTGCGAGACTTGCTTTGACCCGAAATATATGATAAATGGCTTGAATGGAATCTGCTATTGCCCATCTGGTATGCCTTTTAACCAGACTAGTTTCCGTTGCGAATTTTTACCATCTAATTGTGCTGAATATGGATCTTCAGGGTGTACTAGATGCAATCAAGGGTTTTTCCTTTATGATAATTCTGGAGTCTTAGAATGTTTATGTAAGATTTTATTTAGCTTGTTCTGAGTCCTGTAATAGCTGCGATCCTCATCCTGGGTGCTATTTATGTGGGACTACAATAGAGAAAGACTCATCGACTTGTACTTCTGACAATTCAGTAGGGTACTTAACCAGTTTTGAAGATGGAAATCTTATCCTTGACTTTGCCTATGATCTTCCAGAGCCTCTGAGTCTTAAAGAAATTATTATAAAGAGTCCTGGGAATTTCGATACCTCGTCATGGCGCATGACTCAAATTACTGCCAGACAATACATGATTACTACTAATCTTCAAGAAAGCGATTTTCCAATCGACGTCAGATTCAAGTTTAATCGTGGATAGTTAAGTAATCATTATTTATGATTAACTTATATTCTTTTTAGAAAATTAGTTTATAAATGGTTCATTTATTTATCACTAATTTCTTTAATATCTCAGCTAATGAATACATTTAAATAAGCTAACAGAGTAAAATACATTTTTTAAAATAAGAATTATTTAATAATAAAAACTTTTATTACATTAAAACAAAAAAAGATGCAAAGTTACAAGAGAAAACTCTTCAGTGCGCTTCTACATTCTAAAATAAAAGCTGTTGATTTAATTTTAGCTAACTGAAATCAAATTAATTATGCAAACATTTTTCTAAGCCAGCAAAGATAATTTAGACCATTTTCTGATTATGCCAAAATGGATTTGATAATCAAATTTTTAGCTTACCAAAATGTTTGCAGCATCAATTTTAATTTAGTTATTTATAAATTTTCTCAACAGAAATTATCTTTGGCTAGGAGAAGCATAAACAATAAAAATTTTTATATGGAAAAAGAAGTTGGGATTTTTATTGAGTTCAAATAGCTTATGATTTCTTATTCTAAGGTGTAAGACCAAATATAGAGCAAATTTTAAAGGTCTGTCTATTTTAAAGGGAACTATTTCCTGTAAGAAATTTATGAAAATTATTAGGGATTTTTATGATGCATGATTCCATTAATAGGATTAGGAACCTTAATTGAATAAAAGGTCAGATTTCAAGTAATAATATTAAGCATTAGATGAAGCATAATTTATAGCATAAAAGTTATAAAATCTAATTCTTAAACTAAATAACTTAATAAAATTCTTTTCTACATTAAAAATCCTAAACCCGAACTTTCAGATTGAAGCATAAGTATTTGGTTTTATAATCAATCCAATAAAAGCTTTGGTTTAGCATAATAAGTTCTAGAAGCAGCCCGAAATTTTAAAAGCAATTTTATAGGGTTTTAAAAAGTCTAAATGTGAAACTTGCTTAATGTTTTGTCAAAATTTCATAACAATTGCATTTCAAATGCTTTATTTAGAATCAATTATATATTTAATCAAATCAATTTGCGTCACTTTTGAAGTTTATTTAATTTAGTCATGCAAACAAAATGCTTAAGATACCCTTTATAAAAATCCACTGGCGAAAAATGGTAAGCCTTTTCTATATGCTCTCAGCCTTTAAGTGAGCTAAATCTATCACAAATATTATAAATTATTTCAAAATTTTTTGATATTCACTTTAGAGTTTAAAATTTTGATAGAAAAAATTGTAGATGAATTAACATTTATTATGGTTTGGATAATTTTGATAGCTTTTCAGCTTGTGCTCGTCACATCAAACCAATTCTATAACCCTTCAGAACAATTGACCGAAATCAAAGGCAAAAAGCAGTATCAGAATCGGTCACCAGCAGACTCTGGAAGATCACAAACCCAAGACAGCCTAAATAGAGGAAACCAGAATCAAAATTTCTCACCAATTGACTCTGGCTCATTCAAAAATCCAAATGAGGCAGTTACGGACTCAAGAAAAGTGCAGGGTCCCAACAAATCTCCAATAAACCAAATTCCAAATGGAGGATCAGCAGAATATAGAACGAGCCAAAATCCTTATGGCTTTCCAAATAGCATGAACGACCTTGGAAGAAGTATAAAGGATTTAAACAATTCATCACCGGCAGAAAGGAAGCTTCAAGAAAACGGTTGCAATCAAGATCAATACCTTGACAGCGGAACTGGGAGTTGCACTGAGTGCCATACGAAGTTCCCAAAATGCTGGTCATGCGATGAAACAGCGTGCAATTATTGCATTTTAGGCAATCTCAATGCTGATGGAACATGCACTGCATGCCCAGAGGGTTGCGCTACTTGTAGCCAGACAGGCTGTATTAGCTGCTATGATCATTATTATATGGACCCTGATGGTGAGTGCTTACCATGTGATATGTACTGTGAGAAATGTAACGCGACTTCTTGCATTAAATGCTATGATAGATATTTTTTGAATGAGTTTTCTTACTGCACTAATTGCCTTTCAGCATTTCCTTATTGTCAAGAATGTGACATATCAGGCTGTCAAGTCTGCTATGCAGGGTATCATTTAGATTCAAATGGCAATGATGGGTTTGCTAATTGCACTCGCTGCTCTTCAACTTTTCAACATTGTGATACATGTGACAAATCAGGCTGTCAAGTCTGCCTCAATGGGTATTATGTAGCTCCAGACGGCAAATGCAACACGTGCGATAAAAATTGTCTTGAATGCAACATTTTGAGGCAATGTATACGGTGCGATTCACTCTTTTATCTAGATAGCAATTATAAATGCCAGCCTTGTTCAAGTAATTGCACCTATTGCGATCAAAGAGGCTGCGGTAGCTGCCAAAGGGGCTACTACCTGGACTTTGACAATTTTGTATGCAGCAAATGCCCTGATCATTGCCAAGACTGCCAGGCAAATCCAAGTGTATGCGCATATTGTGATGGTGGTTATTATTGAAGCTCTGAGGGTAAATGCAAGCTGTGCTCTGAGAAGTTTGGTGACTTATGCAGTATTTGCGATGAGACGGGGTGCCTTAGCTGTGATTATAACTCTATCCCCAACTCTAACGGTACTTGCATATCCTGCTCAGAAGTTTATGAAGGCTGTAGATACTGCAATATGGACTACTGCATGGATTGTGATTATAGCTATTACAGAGACAGCGATGGAAAATGCAAACCATGCACTCCAGGCTGCAGACAGTGCATCGATTCAACGTCTTGTATGAATTGTGAATATATGAGTACACCATATTCTGACGGAACTTGCGAAAAACTCAGTGATGAAGGCATCTATTTAAATGCCCTTACAAATACTTACGGGTTTTGTTCGCATGGATGCAGAGATTGCAATAATTCTACGAGCTGCAACAAATGCTGAATTTCAGGGATGATTAACAATGGAGACGGAACCTGTTCTTGCCGGTCTAATTCTTATGTCTTTGGGAACGGCTTTTATTGCCAGCCTTGCTCTGATTGGGGTTGTAAAACCTGTAAAATTGTAAGCTTGACGGAGAATAATGTTTGGGTCAAATGTATTGAGCCGGTATCAGAAATTAAGTGCTCAGATCGAAAAAATATGATAGAAAATATTTTTGGGCAGTGTGAGTGTGCTCCTGGGTATGGATTTGACTACTCATCCCCAAGGATTTGCCAGTCTTGCCCATCTGGATGTGCAGTTTGCAATACTGACTTATATATATGTGATGCTTGCTATGATCCTTACTATATGATAAAAAGTTATGGAACATGCTCTTGCATCGGAAATATGACATATAACCCATCTACATTTCGCTGTGAGAATTCAGCTTCAGAGAATTCAACAGCTAATTGTGCAGAATATGGAACTTCAGGGTGCTCTAAATGTGAGCAAGGGCATTTTCTTTATGATAATTCTGGAGTCTTAGAATGTTTATGTAAGATTTTATTTAGCTTGTTCTGAGTCCTGTAATAGCTGCGATCCTCACCCTGGGTGCTATTTGTGTGGGACAACTGTAGAAAAAGAGTCATCAACCTGCACTTCTGACAACTCAGTAGGGTACTTGACGAGCTTTGAAGATGGCAATTTGATCCTTGACTTTGCGTATGATCTCCCAGAGCCGCTGAGTCTTAAAGAAATTATTATAAAGAGTCCAGGGAATTATGATACCTCGTCATGGCGCATGACCCAAATTACTCCAAGACAATACATGATTACTACTAATCTTCAAGACAGTGATCTCCCAATCGACGTCAGATTCAAGTTTAACCGTGGTTAGTTAAATAATAATCATTATTGGTTACTTCATCTTTTATTTCGGATTTGTTTATTAAATCATCATTTTCATATGTCACTTTATTCTTAACTTCTTTGTTTTTTACTATCAACTAGCTCCCAAGGTTACCCATCATACGGCCAGTCAACAAAACCTTGGTTTTGCAATTTTTGTAACTAACTCCGTGCATCACTATCAAAGCTATATTTAGCCGCCATTATATTAATTTTAACTTGCCACTAATGACTGCATCCCATCCCCAGCAACTTGTGCAGCTATTTGCATCACAAGTTTTGCATCCCTTTGAACAAAACTCTACATGGCCTGTTGAGGGATTATAAAAAGTTCCAAGGTTATTAGTAGGACAAGAGCCATCATTATATGGCATAGCAAATGGCTCCATGCATCCAATACATGTCGAAAAGCTAGCACAGTCACCACATCCTGAATTGCACCGAGCGCATTGCTGACTGGCTGCATCTAACTTCTTTAATTGTGCCTCAGGTACTTTTTAGCGTGCTTCAGTATCATTTGGAAAAAATATGTTGCTCAAGTTTAGAATGCAAAACCAAAGCTAAAAAAACTCAGTCGAATTATTTCTTAAATTTCGTTTTCGCCCAATAATAGCTGAAGTATGCTAAGTTCGCATTTTTTATATAGAATATAGATTTTGCATAAATAGAAGCATTTCTGCTAGTGTCCGCTATGCTATTTTCTACAGTAAATCAATTATGCAAACCATCTACAATAATTTTATATTTTTTGAAATAGTTAAATTTAAAATCTATTAATGTATTCATAAATTTTTTATTTTATATATTTTATTGTATCTTAATAAATGGAATAATGCTAATGTTTATTATTTATTATATAAAAGTTTGGTACAGTTTTAATATATTAATAGCTCATTATTTGAAAAATATGTAGTCTTTATTATTAAATTGAGAGTAAGTAATAGCCAATATTGCATAAGCTGCAAGTATTGAATGTGCAAGTATCGCATAAACTGAACTTTGTCCCGCAACTCAAGCATGTATTATAATCAGGGTCAAAGTAAAATGAGCGTGGACAGCTCTGCCTGTATACGCAAACTCCAGTGGATGATAAATCGTAGTTTTGGTCACAAGTAATACAAGCTGTCCCATCAGTATTGCAAGTAACGCAGGAGTCTTGCCCCTCTATGCATGCTGCTGCATTTCTCTTGGTGATGTTGAAGGCTCTTCGTCTGATAACGTCTGATTATTTCCTGAGGCAACTAAAAGCTGCAGAGCTAAAAATAAGCACAAAGCTTTTAACATTTATTATATCATCTACAATTTTTAATATGAAAATAAGCTTGGTTCCTGAAAATTGAAACTCAAATTAACTAAATATTCACAAGGAAAAATTTCCTTAATTTTTAGATTTTAAGTATTTGTATATTTTATTAAAAAGAGCTTATTTGCTAGAAATTTTGTTGAGAGAACTGATTTTTAGAATATTCGGTAAAACTGATTAATTATCATAATTTGTGGTTAATTTTTGTAATGAAGCTTATATTAGGTAATAATTATTAAATATGCAAATTATTATTAGAGTTAGTTATAAAAGCTGACAATAAACGAGTAAATTTAAAATCACGAATAAATAGAATGAAGCCTGAATAAAATATTTAGAAAGCATAAAGCTTAAGATTTAGTGATAAAGATTTATAAAAACAAGTCATGCTATAAAGCTTTCTTCATAAGAATTGAATTATGGAGTGGTGAATTGTTTTAACCACATAAGGCCAAAGAATTCCCAGCTTTATAAAGAGATTAGGGAAACACCAATAATTTATACTCCATAATAAGCTTAGTTCTATTCTAAAAGCTATTTGAGGAAGAATGATAGCCGCTAGAACATAAAAACTTTTAATGGCTTATCAAATTGTTTCTAATCGATTTTAGTGAGCTTGAAAAATATAATTTTAATTTGCAAAAACAAAAATTTATGACTCAATGCTTACTTTCCCATTTTTTAAATGACTTTGAGCATCATTAATTTTTATAAAAATATGTAAATTTTACCGATATATTGCTGAAATTGAAAGGAGTCTGGATTAAAAAGTTCCAACTTTTGGTGCCAAGAATTGTTATGTCTGGAAATAACGAAAAATAAATAAATAAAATTTTAAAAAAAAAGTCCTCCAATCGATTTTGTTTTGAAAAAGATTTAGATTTTAAGTGACCCTTCCGATCTGCTCCAAATATTGGAGAAGAAGATTGCTTTGAAGAAAGACACTACCATAAATATCTAGCTATACATAAACTTTGCGATTTCAATTAATTGCAATTGTAAATTTCTGTTATTATATTTTTACAAATCACTGACTTAAAAAAAATTAATCCTTCATAAATGAACAGAAATTTTTCTAGTCATGAGTAGAAAGTTAATAGCTGGCCTTATTTAGTATTCATTTTTATTAGTAAAAATTTATTTCACATTAAATTAAAGGTGAGATAAATAATAAATGTCAAAGGACTTATGCTTGCTTTAACTCTGCAGCTTTTAAGTGAACAGTGCCTCCTAAAGTAATTAAGCTCCTAAAACAGCGAAAAAAACGCAAAACAGTGCATTGAAGGGAAGAAGTTGAGTTGCTTGCAATTCTGAAAGAACAGCTTGTCTTTCTTGCAGATATCTAGAACAAATGGTAAATTCAGCAGGAGTTTGCGTATTTCTTGTCATTTTTTATTACTTTGACCTGTTCGCCTTAATTGTTTAGGATGCAGTAATAAGTTAAATTATGTGACTGATGCACATTAAAAGGTTGCAAATAAGTGCATTGGGATTCGACTTACTCTAAGTTTAATCGGAAATAAAATTTGTATTTATCATCCAGATCTAGAAAAGCTATTCTAACTCTCTCTTCTTTTTGGAGAGCCTAAATGTTTTTAGAAATTTGTAAAAATTTAAATACTTATTAATCAATACTTTTTTGATTTTTATCAAAAGGAGATTATATTCGATGTATAAAACCTACATACCTCTAAATATATATAATAATAGCGAATCTTTCAGTTTTACAAATTAATAATTTTAATGCTTTTTTTAGCACATGCTAATATATTGCATACTTTATCTCTTCTTATAATATATAAAATAAAAAATATACATTCTTTTTTAAATATTTAGTATAATGAAAATATATTTTCCATATAAAAAACAATCATAATAAATGTCAAAAGTCTTATATTTGCTTTTAGTTCTACAGCTTTTAGGTGCCACAAATATTCATAATACATCCTTAAGTGAACAGCCTTCCACAACAGAGAGACAAATGCAAAAAAATTGCACTGAAGGGCAAAACGATTGCGTTGAGTGCAATAATGAAAGGACTGAATGCGTCACTTGTAGACTTCTAGAACAATATGTAGATCGAGTAGGAGCTTGTGCATGGAATTATTGTCCGTCAAGAGATGATGATTTTTTGTATGTTGATCCTGGGAGACCTGGGTGTAGGAGGTGTCATGGAAAATTCAACTTATGTGACTGGTGTACATGAAAGGGTTGTACCACATGCAAGCATGGATATTACGTACTCCAAGTTTATATCAAACAAAATATTATCACATTTTCATGGCTAGTGCTTATTATTTTTGATTACCTCGAAAATAATATATTTATTAAATCTATTTTTCTAAAACTAAATACATATACCCTATTTTTAAATTTTCTTCGAAAGTTAGTTTTCAATGTGAATTTTAAAATAAAAGAGACAGAGTTAGATCCTATAATGAAGCATTGCTCTCGCTGCAATTCAGGATGCGGTGACTGCATTGATTCTTCAAGTTGTATTCGATGTATGGAGCCTTTTTCAGTGCCATACTCAGACGGGTCATGTCCTACAAATAATTTTGGAACTTTTTATAATCCATCAACAGGCCATATAGAATTCTGTCCAAAAGGATGCAAACATTGTGATATCAATGGATGTATAGAATGCTGGGCAAGGGACGCAACCAATTACGGATTATTTTGTCGATGTGATAATCAAGGCTGGAAATACACTAGTTCTCCCGCTAGTAGCTCATGTCAAATTAGAACTATTCCTGAGGGCTGCGATAGACATAGTTTTGAGTTATTTGACTATTGGGGGAGTGTGTATTGCCATACTTGCAAGCCAGGGTTTTTTAAAGAAGGGCATCAATGCTCTGCCTGTGGTTTAGGATGTGGTAAATGCAAAAATCGGAATTCCTGTGAATCATGCTTTGATCCAGAAAATAGCTACATAGTCGGCAATCAATGCATATTCTTTTAGGTGCTTTTAGCAATGAATAAAAGGTAGTTGCATTACTTTTAATGATTTTTTTTGGATAAGTAGGCTTCTTAGTTCGTTTTTAAGTTTATATTGTTTGTGATTGCTATCTTTACTCCCCTCAATAAGCAAGCAAAAAATATTTGTTTGCTTAATATAAGGAACATAAAATAAAATGGCGACGTCACCAAACCCATCCCCTCCTAGACCTGCTTCGACTTTGGGGACCTTGTGAGGTCTGAAGCCAAAAAAACCGAGCAGGAAAAGAGTCTAAGGGTATTAGGCATTTATATTCCTGTCTTTTATCCAGCAATGAAGACTTTGTGTCTTCCCGATGGACACTTGAGAAAAAGGCTTATTACTCTAGAGACCAATAGTGCCGACAAATCCATAGTTGGTACCGATACTAGCTAGGGAGTTTATCCCTTGCTGCAACTCTAGTCACTCAATCACTGTCAGATTTTAACCTGAATACTCAAAGTTCCGAGACAGAATTAAGAGTCAGGCCGAAAGCATGAGAAGAGCTATCTATGATGGAAATGCTGAAATACTCAGAGAGCTTCGCTAGCAGCTGAGCGAATCTTCTATGAAGATTCGTCTCGGGTATGACGTAAAAGGAGGAAGAGCCCTAATCTATAATTAATGTTAATGCTAATGCTCAATATGAGACCAATTTTTGTTCTTAAAAATTTTATTAATAAATTGCCGTTTTTTGGACAAATTAATATTTAAAGATCCGATTGGCCAGCACTACTGGAAAATACAACTATAAAATACTACCTTAATTTTCTAAATTTATTACAAAATAAAAATAATAAATATATGGAGAGTAAAAAATTAAAATCGAAATTGAAGCAGAAAATTCACCAAGTATTTCATCTGATGCAATGTACTCAAGTGATGAAGATGAAGCCTCTGAAGAATAAATTTCTCCTGAAAATTGAATTGAAATAAAAAGAATTCAATAGAAAAAATGGCAGGCCTCCAATGAGCCCATATCAAATCTACTTGCAGACTCGAATTACATCATTGAATTTATTTAGGCCTTTTTTGTCGAAGAAATTATTATTGAATAATCAAGAATTCGAATTCTTATGCAGAAGCTCTTACAAAAGCACGAATCAATCTAGAAGAAAGAATAATATGGTACTAATTACTTCTCAAAAGCTTAAGAAATGTTTTGGGATAGTAACTATGATTGGTCCAATAAAATCTTTCAAAAAACAGAAAATTATCTACAGTCTCTCTTTACCAAAATCAGGAAATATATGAAGTTATGACATCTAGGAGATTCCAAGCCATAAGTCGCATGCTGCATTTATCTGCTCCGCAAGATTTTCAAATAAATCAATTATCCAAGCAAGAACCAATATTCTCTATGATTCGTAAAAGATGAGATGTTAACTATTCTGCTGGAAAATTTATCTCCATCGATGAATCAAAAATAAATTCAAAAAAAAATAAGGAGGACTTTATTTTGTTATAATCTTCAATTCTGCCTTAGTGATTCTTATTCGGATTAAATTCAAAACTTAAAGTAATTTCCCCACCCGCACCCTATATTCCATACACAATTTCGAGCTGACTAAATATACTCTGAATTGTAGAATTGAAAACTTTTACGGCAAGAGCTTACGTTAAATAAAAAAAGCCATTTAGGACATAAGTGCAAGAGGCAATTATACAGGTCACTGTTGATAATATATAAATTGCATTGCAAGTTCAGCATAAAATGGCATTTGACTCAAAAAAAATTATCTCTTTTCTTTTATGGAAATTTCCGAGAATTGGAGCACACCAGTTCTAATTAATCCAAACAAGATTGAAAAGAGCTGAAGATTAATCCTTTTATAAGAGCTAGTCAATTGCTTTAAATTTAGGCTTAAGTCATTATAAGAATTAAAAAATGCTCACCTGTGATTGAAAAGTGCTCTTCAGTCATAATAAGAAAGGAAATTTTAAAATAAAGATTATAATTCATATATGCTAGAATTAATATTTATATTTCTTGAAAAATCGTAAATCCTTTATTTCTACGCAAATTAATATTTGTGAATTTATCCTCATATATTACGAAGAATTAAACTTTCTTAATATACAATAATGGCATTATAATAAATTTTTTATCAGCAGTCTATTTTATATTAAACAAACTGATTTACCAAACTATTTCGTTATTTTAGCAATAAGTAATTGTATAACAGGAGCAAAATGGTCTTTGAGCTTTAATATTCATGAAATATGGTAAATCTCTATACATCACGAAAATGAAAATTCTAATTAAAGGAATCTTCATTTATTAAATTAAATTAATTCTTACACCTATCACTATATATTTCATATACGCATTCCTTCAATCTAAAAATTTTATGTATAATTAATTTTTGAAAAATTATAAAAATTCCATTCTTTTAATCATCTCCTAAAAATATTTGCCTCTAAAATCCTAATATCACAAACCAAAGTTTTTCCTATACAAAACCCTCTTCTAGACTTAGGTGTTATAAATATGGACTCAACTTACTTGTGGGTGTCTAAGAATGCCTACAGTCAATTTGTCCAGCCAGATGGTAGAAATCTCTATTGGACTGACGACATTAACTTTGAGCTTCCTATTATCATGGAAACTTCAGGTCAAGGCTCCACTCCTCCGCTGACATATATCAATATTTTCCAAGACGCTCTACAAACCCACGCCCAGCAGGCAGCATTGCGTGTAAAACGTGGAGGCAAATGGATCACATGGACTTTTCAGCAATATTATGACGATTCCTTAAGGTTCGCCCGAGCTTTGATTAATCTTGGCATAAGATCTCGGGCAACTGTCAATATCATTGGCTTTAACGCCCCTGAGTGGCTAATCAGCTTTTCCGGAGCTTTATTTGCAAGCTTGGTTCCTATTGGTGTTTATACCACAAATGGCCCAGAAGCTTGCTTTTATGTGGCGGATCATAGCCAAGCCGAAGTAATTATAGTGCAAAATGAAGCCCAGCTTCAAAAATACCTGACTATATGAGACAGACTTCCTAAATCACCTCTCCGTGAGCGATAAAAAAAACTTGTTCGCTCACGGAGGGGGTTAATAATTTTTAAAATATTATATAGTAATTTTTTCAAAAAATTAAAAAATACAACTTTGCAAAATTTGGAAAGCAAATATTAATTTAATTTGTAAAATTTGTATTTTAAACGCAATTTGTTTAAAATTAAACAGACTATTTCCTTATACTAATTATCACTTATATATCGAAATTTTTTTTCATAAAAATTTTTCTATTAAAAAAATTTTCAGAGGGTGGGTTTTTGGCAAAAAATAGGGATTTTTCTAATGGTTTTGTTCACTCACGGAAGGGAGAGTAAGCTAAAAGCTGTAGTTGTTTATTCGCCTGGAGCAGGGCTAGAAGCTATTAGAGCAGGCCGTCAAGTTTATACCTGGGAAGAATTCATGGCAACTGGCAGCGATACTGAAGGAAAAGAATTAGCCAAAAGGATGAAGGATATAAGTCCAGCTCAATGTGCAACTGTAGTCTATACTTCTGGAACAACTGGACCACCTAAAGGTGTAATGCTAAGCCATGATAACTATATTTGGTGCGCCAAAACTACAATAGATGACGCTAAATTAATGGAGGAAGGGGAAAATGTGGTAGTTTCTTATTTGCCACTGAGCCATTCTGCTGCACAAATTATTGATATTTTTGGGTCACTTTATAAGAAAGCCGCTTTATGGTTTGCTGATGAAAATTGTTTGCAAGGGACTTTAGGGGTTACGCTGAAAGAAGCAAGGCCAACATTTTTTATGTCAGTTCCTAGGGTTTATGAGAAAATTGAAGAAAAAATCAAGGCGATTGCGGCAAGTAAAGGGGATTTAGCAAAGAAAATTGGGATATGGGCAAAGCAGGTAGGGCTTAAAGCGACTTTGGATCAGCTGCAGCAGAAGCCGACTTCTTGGAAATATAGCCTAGCTAATACAATAGTGTTTTCAAAGGTAAAACAAGCATTAGGCCTAGACAGATGCAAAGCTTTTATTGTGAGCGCTGCACCAATATCTAAAGCAACGCTTGAATTTTTCCTCAGTTTGAATATACCACTAATGAATGTTTACGGAATGTCAGAATGCGCAGCCCCTGAAACAATGAACTATCTTCATAGTAACAATGTATGGAGCGCTGGACAGCCTATTAATGGAACCAGACTTAAAATCCTCAGTCAAAGTGGAGAAGAAGTCCCAAGAGGAACTCGTGGCGAAGTCTGCATGAGAGGACGTAACAGATTTATGGGGTATTATAAAAGCGAAATAGAGACTAAAGCGACAATAGACAAAAATGGGTTCTTACATAGCGGAGATGAAGGATATATCAATGAAAAAGGATTTTTATTTATTACAGGGAGGTTTAAAGAGCTGATTATTACAGCTGGTGGGGAAAATATTCCTCCAGTTCTGATAGAAGACGCTATTAAAGAAGAGTGCAGGCTTATTTCTAACTGTATGCTGGTTGGAGACTATAAAAATTATTTAGCGTTACTAGTAGCTATTAAAACGGAGCCTGGTCCAGATATGACGTTGACAAGAAATTTATCATCAGAAGCCCTAGCTCCCACATCCGTTGACGAACAAAGCCATTAGAAAAAATCATATTTTTGGCCCTCCGTGGCGAACAAAAGTTTTTTATGAAAAAATATTTTGATATATAAGTGATAATTATTATAATGAAATCTAGAGCTAATTCTATTTAATTTTAAACAGTTTAGATTTTAAAATATAAATTTTACACTTAAAATAATATTTGCTTAAAAATATTTAGAATTGGGATTTTTTAAATTTCGATTTATAATAAATTTTTTAAAAGAAAAATCACACTCCACGAGCGAGCAAAATATTTTTGTTATTTCACGGAGGGGTAGAGTAAGAATTTTGGCAGAAATTGGGAGCACAGCTAAAACTTATATTATATAATAGGCATTAGGAGCTTTGGTAAATAAGTTCGTGTATGCATTAAATTGGAGTCGCAAACAAACTCACCCTCTTAGCACCTTTAGCTGGAGCCTTATGCAAGGGAGGATGATATTCGGCGATATATCCAGTTTGCTTTTATTGGCTTGGTTGAGAGCAATGCCAGATAAGACCAGCTGCAGCTTGGTGTTGAAAGGGAATGCTCTGTAGTGCCCGTTGGATAGCCGGGCAATTTCCGAGCGTGATACATGAGTTGCTTTCTGATCAAAGAGTTCCATTTTGATCGACACCTCGTAGAGAAAATTCATTTTTCGATCTTCTGGTAGGGCAAACTAAGTCAGATGCACTATACAGTGATTCATTCTGCTGCACTCCACCTAGTGTGCGAGCCTATTCTGGAGGAACATCGCCGATAGGTAGATGCAGGCAGTCGCAAAACAAGGAGCTTCTTAATAATCTTAACTATCTCCCCCCCCGTGAGTGAACAAAAACCATTAGAAAAATCTCTATTTTTGCCCAAAAACCCACCCTCCGTGAGTGAACAAAAATTGTTTATGGAAAAAAAATTTGATATATAAATTATAATTAGTATAATGAAATCTAGAGCTAATTCTGTTTAATTTTAAACGAATTGCTTTTTAAAACATAAATTTTATTAATAAAATTAATATTTGCTTTCCGGTTTTTTGCGATTTAGGATTATTTTTTTAAAATTTCGAAAAAAAATTTTATAAAATTTACATATAAATTTTTTTAAAAAAACAAATTAGCCCCCTTCGTGAGTGAACAAAGTTTTTTTTGTTCACTCACGGAGGGGGGAGCAAGAACTAACGTAAATAAGTTTGTGTCCAATATTTTATAAGAAAATGATTTTTTAGTTGTATAATAATAAATTATAGCTTACTTAAAAATAATACGATGAAGCTATGAATGACCAAAAAGTCAAAAAATATATCCAAGAAGGAATTGACATTAAATTAACATTAATTAATTATAAAATAAGATTTCTGCAGGCATAAAAGCTATGCACGCCTCCATAATGCAATATCGCTTGCTTACTGTCTTGTTGCATACTCTGTTAACTTTTCACGAATGAGGGCTTGCACTTGCTACCCTTAACTCAGAATTGCTGAGTTACATGTTGCGCGTCAACAAGGTTCAGCTTCCAGAAAATTCGAAAAATCGATTTTTCTGGGCATCTGTCACCTAAAATGGAAGCTCAAAGCTCAGGATGTAGCACCCGGTATCATGCTGGGAAAATTCCTGAGTGATTAGGAGAAACCTCACTGATGCTGCTGGGTCTCTCTTTCCATCTTCAAGTTACTTCTTGCCCCATGGGGTAAAGCCTTTAGCCTGGAGCGAGCATGCGTTCGGCTAGTCCCGACATTGTTCTCCACCAACCCAAGCAAACCCGGCCGTATGCATATTACTCAATGCCATCCTCACTTCCACAAAGTCTTTGGTTTACCCCAGCTGCAGGTGTTAATAGGGTTATTTTTTGTCATATCATTTTAATGTATATTAGAAAGAATTGATAGAGCAAATAAAAAGGCTATTTCAAAAGCACAACACGTCAGGAAATGGGTGTTTTTGCCAACTGATTTTTCACTTCACACTGGAGAGCTGACCCCAACTATGAAACTTAAAAGGAAATTTGTTGCACAGAAATACGCAGAGCTTATTGAAGACATCTATAGAAGTCCTAATTTATAAGTTGGCTAATAATTATTTAACAATAAAATTTGCTTATAAAAATCATAATTAGAATATTCAGTTTAATTATCATTCTATGCCTGTTTAGGTTTCCTAGTGCTCATAAATAAATACCCAATAAGCCCAGATAAAGTGACTACTCCAAAAATCAATAAAAATTTCGGACCTTGCATAGCCCATTCTCTAGGAGGGTAAAAATTGTGAATAAAGCTTTGGGTATCAAGATAAGGCTACATATTTCATACTGTTACGACCAGCCAAAATGTGTAATACACAAAAATCGTGATTCCGGCCAACATTAATGCACCACCAAATGCTTTGGAAGACATATTAAATTTTATTGTAAACGTGTCAAGACATCTTAATAAAGATGTCTTACACTTAGCTCAGACATTCTTTAGATTATTAAATTTGTAAAGTTATAAGCAGCTTAATAATTAATGGTTTATTTCTATAACTCTTATTTATATAGCAAAATATAATGATGATATTTTTGACAATAATTTTCATAATAAACTGCATATCATTAGTTCTTTATAGAGATTTTCGATATTTTGGGTTTCAAAATTTAAGATGAAACTTTCAATAATCTTTCCTATATTTCAGCATATAATAGTTAACAGAAAGTCTGCTCTACATAAAGCCCTGGGGTATCAATGTTTCTACTTATGGACTTTAGAGAATAATGCGCAATTAAATGCTATCTTTGAGCATGATTTTTGGGAGATGCTTATAAAAGACTGAGTCTTTTAGTGGAACATGAAGAGAAAGAGATATTTTTGAAAGTAGAATGTATATGCACAATTAATGGATAGAGGTTGATACAAAAGATCTGGCGAGTCTTGACAGCTTTCGGCTTCATTATAAGCTTTATGGAGAAATTATTCTAAATCGAGGAAGTCGTGAAGCTAATTTTTTTATTGTAATACCCATAATTTGCTATTATAAATTTGCAGATTTGTATTTCAACAGTTTTGTCTCATAAAGGAGGCATTCATGCATTCTTACTGTCACTTTTACATTTATACAAATAAGCAATTATTTTATTCTAAAATAAATGATTACCTAAGAGCTGCCAAAATTAAGTAATAAAATATTATATAGGATAAAATGCACAAAAGAAAAGAGTTTCAATTAGACAAGCTCAGCTTAAGAGCTAGCCGTTCAACTACAAACTTAGGCCAAATAGAAAGGCCTGTAATAAAAAGGTTCACGCTTATACAAAGAAGCCCGAGTAGCCCTAACAGCCCTGTCAACAAAAATTGGGAGGATGCTTCTGATTCTTCTTATAAAAATAAGGGGTTTAGCAATAACTTGGATATAGAGCCAATTAATTCTAATTGTGAAAACAATTTCTGCGAAGAAGATTCATTGGTTAGAGACCTTGTTGAACTGATGGAACAAACTAAAGATCAAATAAAAGAAAAGCAGCAGCCAGTGAAAAAAGCCAGCAGAGTTTCAAAACAAACTAACAAAGTCCAAAGCCAAAAGGAACTGATTAATTTATCCACTGGTTTTAAGATAAGAACAAAGGTTCTTTCACCCCAAATAATACTTATTCCAGCTAATATTAAAAAAAAAATTATATAAAATTGATAATTTATATAATTTTGATTTATTAGCTAAATAATTATTTAAAAATTGTATTAATATTAAAATTATAATTGTTGATAGCATTCTTCTGTAATGAACTGGCTTATTAAGAGAGTTAGAAGATCAAGTGTAAAAAAAGAAAACGAAAAAAGATGAAATTTGGTTCATTAAAAATGTTCATTAGCTATAATAAAATTATGCATTTTTGAAGACTTTTTAGTTAATTTCATAATAAAAATATTGGCTTAGATAATATAAAATAGTCTATTTTTAGTATAAAAAATTAAAGCTTTATAGGTACGTCAATTATTGAGATCATAAAAATAGTCAAAACTTATGTCTATATTTTAAAAACATTGAAAATGTTATTATGGCTATAGCATTTTACCATAAATTACCTTAAATCTCCTTTTTCTGTTTTATTTTAAGCAATTTATAGCAAATCACTATAATTTTCTGATCTTTATCATTTCATATAAATGGCCTATACGTTTTACATTATCCTCATTCCTTTTTAATATGATACTATATTTATATAAATGGGCTGTTGTGCTCCGAGGCCTGAACAAGAAACAAAAGCTGACAACGAAACCAACAAAAGCCGAGATTCCCTAATTCAGTCAATAAAGCAAAATCCTATCAAAAGTTCTCGCACACATGCTTTCTCAAGAAAACCTTCATTTAAACCCAATACAAATGTCAGCGAAATAATCGAGCCAGTTATTACAAATAACTTACAAGGATCTCTCAAGCAATATTACCAAACTGTAAAAATTGCATGCAAAGGCACAGATAAAGAATTTTTAATTGCAATAGACAAAAGAACACAAACCAAAAGAGTTTTGAAAAAATACCCAAGATAAATAAAATGGCATTCGGTTCGAGAGAAATTGGCTCTGCCAATTTTCTCTCCCTCATGGAATTTTATTTATGGGGTTGGGTTTTCTCTCGAGAACTTCTGCACAGCAATAGTCGTTTAACTTTGGGATAACCAAAGGCACGACTCCTCAGTGCACTCAAGATTTCGGAGTTTTTACCTCTCAGCACGTCCCCACGGGAGGATGACCCTTAGGCGGAACACGCGCAGGAGCTGAGTCTGGACGAGCGACGGCAACGCGCCGGGTGAGATGTGCGGCGATTTATCTGGCGACTAGCCTCATAGAAGGCTTGGGTGTGGGCTGACCACATATTCCAAGATGGCTTGGTGACGTCACTAGTTGTCGCTTTGACCCTTTTTAATTAAGGGGTGTGGGCACTAGACACCTTAAAAAACTATGTAACTAAGTAAAGTAAGAAAAAATACCCAAGACCTAAAAATGATATAGAAGTTCGTGAGCTGTTTTTAGAAAAAGCTGAAATTCTAAAGCAAATGGTATAAAATAAGCAGGATCATCCAAATATTCAAAAAACTTATGAGTCAATCGAAACATCCTCATGCTATTATATTGCTTCTGAGTATTTTGGAGGTGTCGAGTTATTAAAAAAAATCATAAGTGATTCATATTTGAGTGATTCTATTGCAAGCCAGTGTATGTATGATATTTTTAATGGGTTAAATTATTGTCATCAAAGAGGGATTATCCATTCACACTTGAAATCAGAAAATTTATTCTGTGCTAGATTAAGTTTTACTATAAATTTGTAGAAGATTAGCACCAAATTATTATTTAAATAAGGATTATTACCCTTGAAATAGATAATATAATAGGAATATTTTTTGAAGCCAAATCATCAGACTCTCGTCTTAAAGTTGCGAATTTTGACCTTTCTAGCTATTTATATGGTAAGAAAAATGTAAAAACTACAGTCCGAGATGTAATGGTAACTTAGATGTATTATAAAGCTCCAGAAGCTTCAAATGGGATATCTAATGAAAAAAGTGATTTATGAAGTGCAGGAGTTATCCTACATATCATGATCACTGGAAAATTTCCGTTCATAGGAAATAATAAAAAAGATATCTTGGCTTTAACCAAACAAGGACTGGACTTAACCACTCCACAATGACTTCAATACCCTGAATCTTTAATAGACTTATTAAAAAAGCTTCTTGCTTTCAATCCTGCTGATAGACCTTCAGCATTTGAAGCAATGAACCATCCTTGAATACAGTCTAATTTAAGCAGTCCTTCAGGTGCAAATCCTCTATATAATTCAAGCACTATTATGGATTGCATAGAACTCCAATTTTTTTAAAAATAATTCTAATAAATATGCGAATTATATTAAAATTTTATAGGGGATAAATACAAGATAAATAATGCCCAATAACAAGCAGTTTCGTGAGCTTTCTATACTCAAGTGCATTAACTCAGCTAAACGATTTCAGAAAAAAATCAAAATTCGAAAAATGCATCCTAACCTTCATAGCTTCAAATACCTTAACAAAAGAAGAAGAAAAGCAGCTGACTGATTTATTTGAGCAGCTTGATACTAATAAGGATGGAAAATTAAGCAAAGAGGAGCTGAAGGCTGGGTATGAACATATGGATATTGATGCAACTATTGATATAGATGCGATTATGAAAAGCTGTGATGCTGATGGGAATGGAACTATTGAATTTTCTGAGTTTTTGGCAGCTGCTATTGATTGGAATAAAATGATATCGCAGGAAAAGCTGAAAAAGGCATTTAAATTGTATGTGAAAATTTCATGAGTTGGCTAAGAAAATGGCTTGAATATATTGATAGGCAATTGAAGGTAAAAAACTATATACCTATTATAATAAATAGCCTATATTAAAAGCTTAAAAATTAAATTAAACATTTAATATAAATTCGCTACATTTGGGTATATGATATCTCAGGAGATGGGTCTTTAAATCTATCCGAGCTTCAATACTCAATGCCAAAAGTTCCAAAAGAAGAGCTCCAAGAATTCATAAAACTCTTATTTCCCCGCAGGGGTTTTCGAATTTAAAAATTCTAATTTTGCAAATATTTATAAATAAAGCATTAATTTAATCAAAATAAATATTATTTAGAATGCACCTGTTAAAATTTAATATAATTAGCTGGAGATTTCGTGCTAAAAATCATTATTTATTATTAAAATATTTATTAAAAAATTTATTATTTCCCTGCTTTTAAAAAATAGCCTATTACTAGCACAGAAGAGTCAGACAAAAACCACGATAACCTTATAAGCTACCAAGAATTCGTAGCATTTATGAAGCAATTAATTAAAAATTCATAAATTTATTTTAACTTCTGTGTTTTTTATCAGGATGTTTCCCGTTCTTCTCATCTTCTCTTTGCCTCTTAGATTTCTTGTACTCTAAAACTTCGTAATCTTGTAGCGGCACCATCATTGAGCAGATTTTTTCTGCGACCTCTCCTTCAATTTCTTGGGCTTCTTTTCCCATTCTTACCCTTAACATCCCATCAAATGGATTTCTTAAGTGGTTTGTGGAGTCTAGTTCTAGTCTGCATTTCTTAATTCATCTAATTCTAAAATTAGCAGCAGTAGACGGGTCATCTCCAAAAATTCCTGGCTTAAAATTAGGGTCAATATCTCCTACGATTTTGGCAAACCCATAAAAATATTTATCATCCCTAAAAATCAAAGCAACATTTTCGCTTTGTTTTAATGAATTTCTCAAAACAGTTAAGTTTGAATTTGTAGTAGCCCATGCAGAATGAATGAGGGCTGTCTGAACTGCCTCAGTTGTTCCGCATGCAATAAAATAGCGGGAAGTCCCTTGAAATTGGACCTGCCCTGCAGGGAGAAATAAAGAATCAGTTTTCATAGGCACCATTGAATGAAACATTGGATTAATTATCTCAGCAAAATATTTATCGGGGAGATATGTAGGTGGTTCGTTAGTTCTTTCGTGTCTTTCCTTGCATTGAGGACCTTTTATGCAAAATCCAAGCTCGTAACGAGGGCAGCGCTTCTGGTTTGGGTCGATGTGCTTGAAAACGCAGTCTTCTGAGGTGCATGGACGTCCTTTGGTAATTGATGAACAGATCGGCATTCTGGAAAGGTCGTATTGGTGGAGGTATTCACACTTGTCGTCCTTTTGACACAGACCTTTGAGTCAGTGCTTGCAGACTACTGTCCACTTTCGTCGGTCTATTGTTTGTTGTTTATCTTGCATAGAGTCCATCTTGGGTAAATTATTATATTTAAGGAATTAGAATATAAAAATTATTGAAATTTTATAATCAAAAGCTTCTTATTTGTGAAAAGGCGGATAATATAAATTTTAATTAAAATATCTAAAATATCCTGATATCCTATATATTATAAATTTTATAGTAGTTCACCTAATTATTATATGAACAGAATTTATTGTTAATTAATCGCAATTGTGATAATTGACTAAGGAACTTAAGTATAAATTAATATTTTTTCTTACTAACTAATATATACTAATTGACCAAGAATAGCCCACTATGGAGCCATTCTTGGTCTGCCAGAAAAAATTTTGACAAAAAGATCCTAATCTGCCATTACCACTGAGTTTTGGTGTTTCCAAATTTTTTGGCAAGCCAAATGCAATAAAAAAAAATTGTTCTTTTGCGATGATGCATTTGGCTTGTCAAAAAAATTTGGAAACACCAAAACTCAGTGGTAATGGCAGATTAGGATCTTTTCTGCCATTTACCACTGAGTTTTGATGTTGCCAAATTTTTTTTGACAAGCCAAATGCATCATCGCAAAAGAAACAATTTTTTTTATTGCATTTGGCTTGCCCAAAAAATTTGGAAACACCAAAAAACTCAGTGGTAATGGCAGATTAGGATCTTTTGTCAAAATTTTTTCTGGCAGACCAAGAATGGCTCCTTAGTGGGCTATTCTTGGTCAATTAGTATAGGTTAGACTTGCAGTGAATACAAGAGTTGAGAGAATTATTTTCCATTTTAAATAATAACTATACCCATACATTAAAAATGATTACTGCTCATAAACCTAAAAAGAACATGACAAAGCTTGACTTAAGTCTGACCTTTTCACCAAAGCACAGAAGCACAAACAAATATGACCCTCGTTCTCCACCTGGGTCAGCATTAAAATCTCCCCACCTAAGTCCAAAAACAGATAGGAGCTGCAATGAATGAAGTCCTATTCAAAAGGTGAAAATTCTTAACACAGCGCTTTCTAAGTTTGAGTGTCCCATTTCCAAGAAAGCTTTAAATAGCCCAAAAAGAAATCATTTTGAAGGAAATTCTGAAGCCTCAACTCAGAAATCGTTTGAAAATTCATCAAGTTGCGATTGCAAACACTTAGCTATAATAGAAGAAGCTAACGATTTAATTACAAATTTGAGATTAACGATATCAAAATTAAAGAAAGAAATCAGAGAAAAAGATGAAAAAATTTGTTATTTAGAAAAATTTTTAAAAGAAAATGAAAATCAATTCAATAAGTTACTTGTAAACCAAGAAATCTGCTCAGAAAAGAACGAAAAAAATAAAGATGAAACAATTAAAGCACTTGAAAATAAGCTGAAACTTCAAGAAAAAGAAATAACATCTCGCTATGCCAAAGAAAAAAAGATTTTTGAGTTGCAGATGTTAAGTCTTGAAGAAGACATGAACGAAAAGCTTACTAATGACACTCAGACGAAATTAGAAATTGCATTTCTTAAATCTCAGATTTCAAAGATCCAGGACATTCATACTCAACTTACTAAAGAAAATGATGACTTAAGAAATCAAATAAAAGAAATTCGAATGGAAGAAATAACGAAATATTCATTTCAGATAGCATCTGAGCTATCTCAGCTATCAAGCTTTATTAATTGGTTTCAGTCAAAGGGAGAAGTGAGCTTAGCTGCAATTCTTTTGGCATGTCAAGTCCATGTTGAATCAAATCAATCACCAGACTCTGTTGTTAAGTCTTTAGAAAATGCAGTGAAAGAAATAAGCACTATAAGAGAATTTCTATCGAATTATCACATCGAGAAAACTAGAGGTCTCTAAAACCGGGTGTTAAATTTGCCATTAATAAATCATACGATAAAAATTATTTTGTGATTTAAAGTTCAATTAATTTTATTTTAATGTAAAATAAAAATAAAATTCCAATTTAATAATGATTTGAGCTAACTATAATTAAGTGCAATTCGATAGATATTAAACCAGAAGAAATGTATGATAAATAAAATATTTATTTGTGTATATGGCTTTATAGTCAATCTTAAAATGGATTAAAATGTGATTACATATTAAAATAAACTAAATTATTCAACTTGTATTTTTAAATAACTTTTTATGCTTTTATTTAGGTTTTCACCATCAAAAGTCTTTCAATTTCTCTAAAATCAATTTTTTTCATAATAAATTTTTTGCATAAATTTAAGCTAATTCAATATTTTTACATTTAATCCCATAACTTTTTCATTTAAAATCCTTATTTTCGCTAATATTTCCCCAAATTTCCAGCTTATTTTCTTAGATTTAAATTATTCACCCCATTTATGGGTCCATATCTTGATCTAGAAATCTTATGGCTCAGACCTTATAATATAAATGACTTATTACGCCAAGCAAGAAACGCGTCCAGAGATTGGAGAATTCTATGGGTTCCATCACGTTCGTTTTTACGTTTCCAACTCAAAGCAAGCTGCTTCCTTCTATACATCTCGCTTTGGGTTTTCCCCAGTTGCCTATGAAGGATTGGAAACAGGGAACCAGAAATTCTGTACCAATGTGGTCCGAAGCAACCATGTAGTCATCGCTTTTACCTCAGCTCTCACCCCTGAAGACAATGAAGTGAATCGTCACGTTGGCAAGCACAGTGACGGAGTTCAAGACATTGCCTTTACTCCTCTATGCAAAAAAAAAATAAAAAATTTTTCCTTCACAATATAAATTGTTTTTAAAAATTTCATTAGACAAAGAAATTAGTGTAAGCGACGCAAGAGGGATGTATGAAAAAGCGATAGCTAAAGGCTGCAAAAGCTTCCGTGAGCCACAAGTTTTGCAAGACCAATTTGGATCTGTCATAATAGCGTCTCTTCAGACTTATGGAGACACTGTTCATACGCTAGTCCAAAATGTCGATTATACAGGACCCTTTTTGCCTGGCTTTAGAGCAATTACAAAAGATGATCCTTTAAACTCTGCTTTTCCTCACTCCCCCACCCTTTAAATTGGAACAAAATATCGGTAAAATTTCCACATTTTTTGGTAAATTAACCCCCTTTAAATTGGAACAAAATTTAATTTTATAGTAAAAAAATTATATATAATTTTTATCTAAAAAGTTTTGATATAAGTTAAATGCTTCTTCTTAACTAAAATTAAAAATTTAGTATATCTTGCTCTTTTTTAAAGAAAAAAGTATAAAGAGCATCTTATTTAAATAAATTTATTATCCTTAATTGCTAAATTTTAAAAACAAATTTAATTTTTTTTTTTAAAAATTTTCAAAAAATTTTTTGTTTTTTGGTAAAAAATGATATTTTTTATTTGGATAGTTTTGATATAAATTCAATAGGAATTCTTTATAAAATTTCAAAATTTACTTATTCCTTGCTTTATTTTAAAGAATAGAGTATAAATAGCATCTAAATTAGCACTTTGATCGATAAATTTCTAAAATTTATTTTTTTTTAATTTTTTTTATCAATAAAAATAATAATTTTTGTGTAAATAATTTTGATACCAATTAATAGTGGCGTATTAACTAATAATGAAAATTTAGTTATATCTTGCTTTTTTTTTAAAGGATAAAGAGTAAATAGCATTTCATTAAACAAATTTATTGATCTAATTCGATAAGCTTTTGAAATGTTTTTTTTTAATTTTTATATATTTTATAAAAAAATTTTATATTGATATTTTATTTTAAAAAAAAAATTAACCCCCTTTTAAATTGGAACAAAATTTTTAGTTCCAATTTAAAGGGGGGGGAGTCAGGTAAATTATGATATTATTGATCATGTTGTAGGAAATCAGCCTGGCGGCGATATGACTCCTACAGTGGAATGGTATGAGAAATATCTAGAATTTCATCGATATTGGTCAGCTGATGAGTCTGTAATTCATACAGATTATTCAGCATTAAGGTCTGTTGTGGTTGCTGACTGGGATGAAGTGATCAAAATGCCTATCAACGAGCCTGCAGATGGACTTAGAAAAAGTCAAATCCAGGAATATGTTGAATATTATGGTGGAGCAGGCGTACAGCATATTGCACTAAAAGTCAATGATATTATTTCAGTAATAAGCACTTTAAGGGCTAGAGGTGTTGAATTCTTAACCTTTTATATAAAATATTTATTTTTTAAAAAAAAAATTAATTATATATACCCTTTATGACAGCCGAAAAACAGTGCACTGGAGGTCTTGGCATACTACTCAAAGACAGTTCTAATTGCTTTAAAAATGCTATTAATTCTTTTATTATCCCTAATTTTTTATTAAAAATTGGTTCTTTACAATTTGTTTTTGCCTTTGCATGGCATACCAAAAATTATAAAATAATGTTTGTCAACAGTCTTAATGTGCATATATATGCCTAGCGAAGATCATTTTCAGGATATAGCGGCCAGAGCTGTAGAATTTGTAATAATTCTGTCAAAGAGATAGAAGTTCCTCCTAAATATTACGATAATTTAAGAAAAAGACTTGCACACTCTACTGTCCAAATCGAAGAAGACTTGAGAAGGATTGAAGACCTTCATATTTTGGTTGACTTTGATGACCAGGGGTATTTATTGCAGATTTTCACAAAACCAGTAGAAGACAGGCCCACACTGTTCTACGAAATTATTCAAAGACATAATAACAATGGATTTGGAATTGGAAACTTTAAAGCCCTATTTGAATCATTGGAACAAGAACAAGAAAGAAGAGGTAATTTGGTTTAATTTTAATAAGATTTTTACTGAAATTTGTGTTAAGCCTAAGTTTATATAAAGTAAATGTACCTATATTAATAAATATTTATTAAATTGTTAATATCTTTATTTTAAATACTCCCCCTCACTGAGTGAAAAAAAAATTTGTTAAATAAATTTTATAGTTTAATTTTTTTCCAAAACTCAAAAAAACTTATTTCTAAATAATTTTTAAAGCAAATATTAATTTAATTTGTAAAAAATTATGTTTTAAAATACAAGCTAATTAAAATTAACAGAATTTGAGAGAGATTTCATTATCACTTATATATCAAAATATTTTTTTCATAAACAAATTTTTATATTAAAACAATATTTGTTCGTTATGGAGAGCGGGATTTTACCAAAAAAATATCAATTCTTCCAATGGTTTGTTCGCTCACAGAGGTGGGGAGTTAAGAACCATCATATTCATATCCTCAGCAATCCTTTCAGTCTCAATCAACTGTTTCACTAAATTAAAAAATCCCATAGACAAGCTCCCTTCACAGGGTAGCCGAATTGGATTATTTTTGATTCCATCATATAATATAAACCCAGGCAAAAGCACAACAAAATGATAATTCGGACAGTCAGTTATTTCTGATTGACCTTCTGCTGCAAATTGTAAATGAATATCATGCAAGGCTTGGTTATTAATAATAACCTCAGCAGCTTCTAAAGGACTTTTATTACTCACCCTCTATAAATTAGAGCAAAACAGCGGTAAAATTTACAATTTTTAGGTACTTTAACCCCTTTAAATAAAACAAAATTTGTTTTTCAAAAGAAAAATTTATAAAATGCAAGCAGAAAGCTATTGTTTAAACATTTTTCACACTAATCAATTAATTTTTTTAGTTATTTCTTTGTAAAAATAAATTAAAAAGTAAAAGTATTGTTCTCAATATATATTTTTTAAGCTTTTAAAAAATATAAAAAGTATATTTTTTTTTAAAAAAAATTAGCCCCCCTTTATATTGGAATAGGATTTTTTGTTTCAATTTAAAGGGAGTAGTTAGCAATCTGTGATTTTATCTCAAATAATATGCTTCCTTCTTGAAGATCTGCATTTGCAGCAAAAATTCCATGCAATGCAGCAATTAATCCGCACGCATTGTCTAATACAGGTGTTTGCTTTATAAAATTTTCTAATTGAATTGGCTCTCCTTCAAAAACAGAGCTTTGCTCATATCCTTTTTACCCTTATTTTCCCTTAAACCATCTTAAAGCAAATTCCTATTGGAAAAATCAAGTTAAAATGCATAAAATTTATAAGCCAAAAGTATCGCGCTTCCTTCTACTTCTTCATCAAAAGAAAAAATTTCAGAAAATTCCCATTGGCTACTCAACCCAATTGTACGGAAATATTGAGTAAAAATTTCAGGGTCGCTTTCTAATGCAGGCCAGTTCATATTTTATTAAACAAGAATTATTTTAAACATTAGCAGGGACAAGAGGATCAAAGCCAAGCTCCTCGACAGGAATTCCAAACTCAAACAGCTTCCCTTCATAGGTTTTCACCATATTGCTGTGTGCTTCTCTGATTTTCTTCAGCTCAGTTTGAATTGCGGCGATTTGTTCATTTTTAGAGTTTTCTACGTCTTCAAGGGAAGAAGTTACCATTGCAATTGCTTCTGGTCTAAGCTGGGCTGATTGCAGGATTTGATAAAGCTGAACATTTTTGGCTTCAAGTGTTTCTTGAATTGTTTCTAATTTCTTTTCAAGAATTAAGCTATAGGGCTAATTTTTATATATAAAAATAAAATAAATACATTTTCCATGTAGAAATTAAGCCAAAGATACTATTTAAAATTTACAATTATATAAAAATTAGTATAGGTTTCGTAAGCCAACTTTTTGTTGAACTTCTAATATAGAGTCTTGGAACCTTGCATAGATTTCATCTCTTTCTTTCATTATGTAATCATGCTCTTGTAGTAAAACTTCATACTCCCAGGTCCAATTTCTGATTTCTTCTTCAATGTCTGTAATACGTTTAAATGTGGTATGGAGTTCTTCTTTGTCTTTCAAATATTGCTCAAGCTCTTTTTTCTTCTCTTCTATACATTTTTATAATAAATTTGTATTTTTTTTAATTTTTTTAAAAAAAAATAATTTTTTAAATAAAAAAATTATACTTTCAGCTGGGTTTCTTTTAGAGGGTTCACGAAATGTTTATTTTCATATTGAAGCTTGTGTAAGGTCTTCAAGTCAGCCACCTCTAATTTCCTAAGCCTAACCACGTCTTCTTGTAGCTGCTTTATGTGAGAAATATTTGAATCTGTTATATTTTTATAGTAATTCTGTATATCAAGCAGCTTTTGTTGGTGTGTTTTGGTCAAATCTTTGATGGCTGCGTTCATTTTAGCTTCAATTTGTTCAATGATTCTTTTCTTTTTTTCTTCCATGTCAATCCTCAGCCTGTTCATTTTTTCTGTGTATTTATCTTTTAAGTCAATAGCCTGTCTTTCGAATTCGTGCCTCAGCTCCATTTTCTTTTTGTCCTCATCTTTTTTAAGTGATCTTAAATATTCGCTTTTCTCTTACCCTTTTCCATTAAAAATTAATTACCAATTTTCTATCAAATTTATTATACCATTCTATAGTCATCTTGACAGACCTCTTTTTCTTTTTCTTGTACTTTAAGTGCCCTTACGTCATATTTAAGCTCTCTCTGTTTCAGCCTGTGTTCATCTTCTGAGTTTTTCAGGCCCATTTCAGCTTGGGTTTTCTCTTCAGTTAAGTTGTCAAGAGATGCAAATAGCAAGTGCTTGACCCTTTGTTTGCAGACGTTAATCTCAATGTCGTGCTTTTCTCGAAGTTCTTGGAGGCTTCATTCTTTATTGCGGTAATCGGCTTGCTTTTCTTCAAGAAGCTTTTTTTCGGCCATCCAGAAGTAGTTGATGCGCTCTCTTTCTTGTTGGTAAAGAGAAGCAAAGCCGTTCTCAGTTTTGGCTTCTTCTTGGAGCTCTGCGAGCTCAAGCATGAGGTTGGTTTTGTATTCTTCGCTTTCGATGTCTTCGACCGCTTCTGCCTTGCGGCGGGCTTCGGCCTCACCACCTTTTTTACCTTTGCCTTTGCCTTTACCTTTGCCTTTACCTTCTTTGGCTCCTTTGCCTTTACCTTTGCCTGGCATTTATTAATGGCAGTTATGGAGAGTTGAAGCGATTAAATCATTGATTTTGAATAAAGCGGTTTTAGGTAATTAATTTTAGCTTGCTTTTTTGGATCTAAATTAAGGATAATTTTTATTATTTTAGGGTTAAAAATTATTTATTAAGGTTTATCCTAGGGATATTTAGCAATTTTTTCAATTAATTCATAGTAGCCTTATATACATAATAAATCAAATATATAAAAAATTCAAATATTTAAGGTTTATCTGTTTTAATCGAAATTGAAGAAAGCTCTGATATCATGATTTCTTTCCCAATAAATTCTCTACTAAACCTTCTTTTGTGCTCTTTTGAATAGTGCGGTCTTCTTTTTGATGACTTTTTTGTTATAGCTAATGTTCCAGGCTTTTTAATTGTCTGTGAGTTTAAATTTTTGAGCCCTGAATAAGCTCCAATCCAGTTCGTGTCACTCGCTTCTTGAATAATAGGGAAATTCACTAACTTATATATAGTCATAGAATTAATAATGTCCTGAGAGTTTACAAGCGGGGATCCATCTTCTTCTATATAAGAATCTTGCTCAATAATCACATTTAAATCTGTCCTTTCCCTTCTTAGTTTTTCTGTTTCTAACTTAATTTGTTCAGAAATATCAGGAAACTGAATAACCAGTTTATGAAAATCAGTCTTACCCACAAAATAGCTTAAGCATAAAGTTTTAGCGACAACTGAGTAAAAAGGCTTTTCATCAGTAATTAATTCAATATCTCCAACTACAGAGCCTTTTGTTAGAGTTTTTATTGTTTTTTTGCCATCTATAGATCGTATTTCAGCAGACCCTTCTATAATAAAAAACATTTCGCAGCCAAAATCATAATGATATATGATATAATCTTCTGGTAAAAATAATCTTGGCTTAAGCAACATAGCCAAACTTTCATACAGTTCTACAGAATCTGTTAGCTGAAGGTATGTCACTTCTTTAAGAACTGGCCTATTGCACTCATAAATAATCGAATTCACAATATTCGATGGCAAATACATATATAACTGATTAAAATCAATTGGCCCATGCACCTGGCTTAAAGATGTAGAAAATGCATAAAATGATTTTAGCTTTTTCATTAATTGTTCAGATTTTTCAGATTTATTTGTGACACTAAATGGTGAATTCAGCTTATTAATGTAGTCTTGTAATTCAGATTTGTGGGATTCAATGACAGTTGCCATGAACCCAAAAAGCATAGCGATAAGCATATCTCCTATAAAAATCAGGAAAATCGTGACCACTCTTTCAGTATCATTGGCTTCTTGCATAAAAGAGTAGCCTGTCAAGGTTAGGATATTTAGTATATAAAAATATGAAAATGAGGTCTTATTTCAGGTTGTCGAATCTTCTAGATGGTTAGACTCAGCCCAGGAATATCCATCTTCTTGCCAATTCATAAAGTACCACAAGCAGCTTAGCCAATGGATAAAAATGACCGCTATAACTGTCGCTTTTATACAGTTCAAAATAAACGATATATGTCTCCACTGCATTTCCATCTTCGAAAACAATGACTGAAGCCTAAACACTGAAGCAATCCTCAATAATCTTAATAAAATAATAAGGTAAAACGGGTGCTCAATTCTCATCATGTCAAATATCAAGTTAAAAGGCGACATTCCTAATATGTCGAAAATAATAAAATGCTTATGATGCTCAATATCCATTTCTTCATCATTCTTTTTTTTCCTTGAGAAAATAGTATATTTTGTAATTATTGCAAAAAATACTATGGATTCTGATACACAGATAACTTCCATTATATAGAGAAAATAGTTTAGTTTTATATTGAAGCATACTTCAAGAGGAAGGGCAAAGGCTGTGTATATTAGAGTAGCCATGTGAAGCAAAGTTAAATTCATTCATCTATTGCTTGGCTCTATTGATAGGATTTTTGAAATTTTGGGCGCCATTAATTTTTCTGTTCTTTTTTGGTACTTTTTGGCTGTGCTTGGATCATTTGAAATTTTTTTAGCTATTTTATCAAATTTTGCGATAGCTTCTTCGATGCTCTCTGCGCAAAATGTTTCTTTTATCCTGTTTTCAGCTAGTTTTTGCATAGATTCATATCATTCAGGGAATGCATCCATTAGCATTTCAAGCTGATCAGCTTTTAGCCTGGCTACTTGGCAAATTTTAATTGCAACTGCACTTGCTGTCCTAACTGGGATTTCAGGAATAAATGAGCCAACTTCTCCAAAATGGTCACCCGTTTTAAGTGTTTTTACATTAGCTTTTCCTCTAATATCAATAATATCAGCTTCACCATCTAGCATAATAAAAAAATGGGCCGAAAAGAATTTTTACCCTATAAATAAATAAATTAATTCAATAATAAGCCATAAATGCATAATTTAACACTGGACTGCACTAAATTAGTTTAATCTTATTAATAGCTTATTTTCCATATGCAACCTATAAATCTCATTGATATTCAGTATAACAATATGAGCCAAACTTGCTATTCATAGGGTTTTTTATTAAAATATTATTATTGTAGCAGATCCAATATTCTGCAATACTATTACTATTTAGTATCAGAATTTAAAGAGGGGAGAAGAGGTTTTATGCTTGACTATAAGAATAAGTATAAGAGTAATAGAAAATAAATTAGTTTTATATTTATTTAATTTGCCCTTATATATTTGCAGCAATGATTAATAATGACCAGCTTTACATATAATAATATATAATAATAAAAACTTTTTAAAATTATAAGAGCGAATAAAAAAATTCTGCTCGCTCAAGGATAGGGATTAATTTTATTTTAAAAAAAAAATTACCGTCAAAAACGTGGGTTATCAAAAGAGCGGAATTTATTCCAGCAGGGTAAATTCCGCTCTACCCTAAAAAAATCGTTATTCCTTTCACCACCATGCATAATTGGGTCCCCAATTAAATAAAATTCTGTATGGCAAAGTCTAAACATTGTTCTCGCCAGCTGCTCATGTATTTTTCCATCCTTTTTCCTAAACAATTGAGAATTTTGAACAGCTTCCCTATACCTATAAAGTTGTATATCAGACATAAGAGTCGGTGTCAGATGTTTAAGGATATCTTGATCAATTATTCCTTTATTTGCTTTTCATAAATAATTAAAATAGTCATTTATCTGTTTCATGAATTGTTGGTCAACTTTTTTCTTCTTGATGAAATCCCTGACATATTCATAATTATCTTTAAGCTTATACCTCCTATTCGAAATAAGCTCCTTGAACAGTGAACAAATGCTTCCAAAAAGCACAATAAATACAAAAAATCCTAGAAGGAACATAAAACAGTTATAAACTTTTTCCCAAGGAGACACACTAGTAATATATCCATACCCAACATGGGACACAACCATAGAAGCCCAATGGTAAGCATGGACCAAAATTGTGGAATTTGACAGTGAATCATGTACGCTAAAGTTACTTTTTGATAAATAAATTTTATAAAACCATGAGTGGACTGTATCTTCACTTCTACCAATTTCAATAAAAAAGCATGCACATAAATGGTTAGCCATGAAATATATTACAGCTACTTCAAAAAATCTGAAAAAAATAAAATATTTCATTCTATGTTTTAAATAATCAAAAACTTCAACCACACAGTAAATTCCAGAAATTCTTATTATTGAAAGTATTGATATTATCCATCTTGGCTCTGGTGTCTCGCTTAGCGAAAATATCATAGCAAATGGGAGAAATAAAACAAAATTGTGGACGGATTTTCAAAAGGCTGTTTTAGGCTTGACGTTAGGAAATTTCTTTTTTACTGCTGAATGTGGGCATTTAGATATTACATCATATAACATCCAATAATACATGCCAAAGATTAAATAAATCACCATTGAGCAGATTTCCAAGCTGATCGACCAATGCTCATACTTGTACTCAAACGCAATTTGGAGCGGCATCCATACGAAATTATAAAAATTCACGATAAAATATTCTGCATTTATATGAAGCTTTGCCTATCTATAGAATTAATTATTATAAATTTATATAATTTAATTTTTATTTTAGCTATAAGGTATTATATTCAATTGCATTAAGCCTATACAAACTGCTTCCATCTATAGCTATGAAATTTGACCAAAAGTGGGTTAAACTGGAACACATAAACAGGGACATCTCCATTCGGGAATATTTTAGTTTCCATATTATCTTGCGTTGCATTATTTTCATCTTGGTCATTTGATATATCTTTCGGTTTTTCTTCTTCTTTATTTTCCAATGATGTAAATTTAAGCGTTTCTGAGTCATTTACATATGTAACCAGTGCTTTCATACTATTGTTTTGCATAGTAACCCTGTTCATTCTTTCTCGCTCTGCTGCAATTTTTCTTACTTTTTGAGAAAAATCAGGGTAGTTATTCATAACAAAATTAAAATCACTCATGGACAGTATAGCCAGAGTTGTGTCAATTTTTGCTCTTACGGTTGCACTTCTAACAGAAGGAACTATTTTAAGCAGAGCAATTTCTCCAAAAACCATGCCACTGCCTAGCGTATTAAACACAAAGCCTGTGGAGGACACTATTTCTACTTCTCCTTCTAAAATAAAGTACATCTCTAACACCCCTATTTTCAAACAGAGACAAATCTGTTTAAAAAAATTATTTTTAAAAAATTATAGTCTAGGACTTTTCTGGTTTACCAGTAAATGATAATAGAAATCAAAAAAATAAAGCAAAATTTTTTATAAGTTGTACCCTAATTATAACTACTAAAAAAAAATACTCGCTATAAATAGAAAAGTAAGCCAAGTTCGCCTTCTGTGACTATTCTTTCCCCTCCACATACCATAGAAAGTTTGCATCTTCTTATGATAGATAAAATAGCACCTTTTTCATCTTCAGGGAAAAACCCTGATTTGGTTAGCCCTGCAAATAGGAAATATCGGATATCAGTCCTGAGGGACTCAGGAAGATCCAAAAGAATTTCTTCGTCATCACAGCCTTGAAGCTTGGTCCATAGAAGATTATAATAATTTAGCACACGTTGCTGGAGATCCTTAGAAAGTTTGCAATGGCTCATTCATTGTTTTATGATTGACACTTTTGCTAGGTGTTCTGTATGATTTTTATGATAATTTGTAGCAAGATTCCAAGCTCTGCTAATTAAAAATGCTTCTAAAATGGTCGACACGATCAGAAATATCATGCTTAATACTTTTTCAGCTGTCGTGCAGACTGGGATATCTCCATAAACCCCTAGAGTTACTATAGAGTAGCCAAAATAAAGTAAGTTTACATACTGGTCGAAAATAGGGATATCTAGAATTGTGTCATCAGGGTTATAGTAGTTGTTAAGAGCAAACTGGTTAATGAAATTTTCTTTATTGAACCTAGTATTAGGGTTAATTCAGTACTGTAATTTTGCTAAATAAAAAGAAATACAAGCTACATAATGTGCATAGTATATAACTAGTGTTATTGACTCAATAAGAGTTATCAATATTATAGACGATTTCATATGCTGCTGCAAAAATCCTAATAAATTTCAAATTCTTTTCGCTTTAAAAAACCTCACAAGCTTAAAAAATGCTGCTGCATATCGAGGCGCGTCAAAGGCTATTAATAGAAAATCAATAGGAACTGACGAAATTATATCCATTAATAAATAATTTTCTAAATAGTTCCTTCTTATTGCATCAATATCACTGTTATAAGTCCCATGCTCTGTATATAAAGAAGTATTAGAACATACAGCGATATCAACAATATAAATTACGTATGCTATAACGTCAAATGACAGTCATAAATCAAAATCAGGATATTCAAAGGCAATTATAAATGGGACATAAAAAAGATAAAAACCAAAACTAATGGATATAGTAAGCAGCCAGATATAAAAAAACTGAGAAAAAGGATCAATTATGTAGGACCCTTGGACATCGTTGGTTTTGGCGACTGAAATGAACCTTTGGATGCAGGTTTTTTCTGAGTGGTCGATATGAGTCCCAAAGCTGGGATCTGTGTTCTCGTCAGAGCTGTCTGAAGAATCAGAGTCTGACTCGTCAACTTGTAGATCACATAAGTAATCAATATCTTCGGTGTTTGTAGTTTTAAGTCTTTGCTCAGCTACATTTTTTAAAAATTCATGATATTCAGGATAGTTTTGAAGTACAGGCATAAGGTCATTTTTTGATATTGACGATATCATTGTCGCATTATAAGACCTCACTGATAGTGACCTTCTCTGGTCTAATAATACCCCAATCTCTCCAAAATAGTCACCTTCCTCTAAATAAGCTATAATGGTTTCAGAATCTGCAGCAATCACTTCAACTGTTCCTATTTTAATAAAAAATAACTCTTCTGCATAGTCTCCTTGCCTAATTATATAGTCTCCAGCCATAAATACTTTAGGTGTTAGGCATCTTACAATAGACAGTACAAAAGAAGGGTCCGCCATCTCAAAAATCGCGACTTTAGGGATCATATCTGAATGTATAGACACAGAAATTTCACTTTTTAGTGATAAAGGAAGCTCATCTAAGAATCCTCAGTCAATAAAATGCGAAAACTGAGTCCTCACAAAGTAATAATACGCCAAAATCCTTACTTTTAGATGAGAATTTATATGGCGCAGCCTGCACCATTTTTTCGCTCTTTCTAGTTTCTGTTCTGTCTCGAAATCTTTTGCTTTTACTGTAATCAGCATATGAACAATCAGTCCACATATAAAAGCACATGTAAAAACTCCAAGTATCATAATAAGTGCAGAAATTACTTTTTCTCCTGCTGTATTTGGGATTGGGCTGTTATAAGAAATTCTTGATATCATGCTTGCTGCTCAATAAAAAGCGTCTGTATAAATTTCATATGTTTGGGCGTCCCCATCAATTCAAGGCTGTAGCCAATTGTATGGGTTATTTTTTTCAACTTCAATTCTTCCTACAACTAGTAGAAGCATTCCTGTAGACTGAAAAATTACTAACTCCCTATCCTTGATCGAACAGCTCGCCATCGTTCGATCAAGATGGGGGTTAAAAAAAAAATTTTCCCAAACAATTTTATATATAAAATAAAAATATATTTTTTTTTATATACTTTTTAAATAAGAGAGTTAAGAGTATTTAATAATTATTTTTACAGAATTAATTTCAATCTCTGAAAACAACTTAATTAGGCACATCTTCCCAAGCTTTTGATAAATAATATATTTTTATATATATAATTTGCATGATATGAAAATCGTTCGATCAAGGATGGGGGTTAATTTCCCCAATTTTTAGGAATTTTTACAGTCAATCGTTCGATCAAGGATGGGGTGGAGTAATAAAAGAATCAGATATTTGCATACTTTCATAAGAAAACCGCCAGATGCTTTTTTCAATAGAATTTCTTGGTTTTCAAAAAATGTAAAAAATTGAAAAAACCTTAAAGTTTTTAGTATCCTGACTATCGCAACGCCCCAGCCATCTAGATTTACAGACATTATCAAGGAAAAGAATGAGTAGGGTATAGACGAGATAAATAAGCAAATATTATGCAAATACGTCGACTTCTCATGGAGCATCCACATACGGCTCCACACTTCTAAATTTTTTAAAATTCATCTTGAAATATAATCACATAAGAGAATAATTTCAAAAGAAAGCTCAATAGCTAGCCATATAGACGATGGAAACCCTTTTATCCCTAGAAAATATGTTGCTGTAAAAATGTTGTATAAATTTACTATCAGGATTAGCATCGCTCATTTTGTATGAAAATCATGCTCACTTGTGGATGTTAATTTTATATAAGTCTGCATTTCCAAGTCCTGCTTTTTCTTATGTTTTCTGAAATTTTTCTCTTTCTTGATAATACCAGTTCCAAGTGCCTTTTCACTCAGTTTTTCAATGCCAGGGTTATAGCTATCGACCCTCATAAAAGAGCTGGGGTTAATGCTTGAACCTCTTACTATCATTTTATTTTTATAAAATTTTATAGGAGTTTTCCCTATATGGCCCGATAAGCCCGTGGGTTCTCCGTAGAATCCCTCTGCTGGTTGAACCAGCCAGTGAATTGGTCAAACCAACGCACTGAGTTGGTTTGACCAACAGAGGGATTCTTCGAAGAAACCACGGCCCTTATCAGGCCATATAGAAAAAACTCCTATATCTGCTAATTAAATTCTTTGCCGGCTATTTGTTTCTCTAATTAACTTAATTAATAAAAAAATTCCTTCATATCACCTCTTAATAAATTAATTTTTCAATTTACTTTATTATTACTTAATGTTATCTTACAATCAAGCCATTGAAATTATCCCTAACCGACTCTACTGAATAAGTAACAAATCTCCACCCCGTAACAAAGCGAATTCCTCATATTTCTGTATAGATAATGTAAAAGATATATAGGAGCTTACCTATGAGCCTTTTAATCAAGATTTCGGACCAATTAACCTAGGAATGACATATAGGTTTTGCGTCGAACTAGACAAGCTTATAAAAAACCCTTCATTATCTCAGCATCAGATTTTTCATTATACTGCTTTGGATCCCGTAAAGAGGACAAATGCAGCTTATTTAATGTGTGCGTATCAAGTTTTGTTTCTTAATAAAACAAGTGAAGCAGCATGAATGCCATTTTCTGTGCTGCCGAGGTTTCTTGACTATAGAGATGCAGGGTTTGGGATGTGTACTTATAAATGTACAATATTGCATTGCATTCAAGGGCTGGAAAGAGCTTTAAAGCTTAATTGATTTAACCCGAAAACGTTTATCCCTATTTTTATTGATATTTTTATAACAAATTTGCATATTTATATATAATTTTTTTTATAAAGTGAATTAAATATGTCATAATTTTGAAGAGTACGAGAATTTACAAAGGATAGAAAACGGAGATATGAACTGAATTATCCCAGAAAAAATGCTGGCTTTTAGCTCGCCAAGCCCAAATAATGTTGATGGGGATGGGTATAAATGTTTTACACCTGAGGATTATTGTCCTGTTTTTAAAAAATTAGGAATATCTACTGTCGTAAGGCTAAATAAAAGGACTTATGAAGCAAACCGATTTAAGGCTGAAGGAATAAACCACTATGAGCTGTATTTTCTTGATGGCAGCTGCCCGTCTGAAGAAATCGTAAAAAAATTCATAAAAATCGCTGAAACTGAGCCAGGTGGAATTGCAGTCCACTGTAAAGCTGGACTAGGAAGAACTGGGACTCTTATAGCTTGTTATGCTATGAAGCATTATGAAATTTCAGCTGCAGCTTTTATTGGATGAATCAGGGTTTGCCGCCCTGGAAGTGTTCTCGGTCCCCAGCAGCAATTTTTAATTGATATGGAATTAATTTGCAAAAGTTGGCGAAATATCATATTAAAATGGTGTAGTGACTAACTCTCCTATAGCTGACATCCCATAGAGATCTTGAATAAGTGAGGATGTGCATACGGCCAGGCTTTACCTGGTTTAGTAAGATGCAATGTCGGATTTAGTTGTCCACATGTTCAGTCAAAATTAGGGTTTTTGCCTCATGGGAAATGGAACTGAGAGTTGGAAAGGGGACATCCCGTGAAGCCAATGGCTGTTTTTCCTCGCCAATCGGGACAGTTTTCCAGTATGAACTAGGAGCTACACCATTTCCAGTTTGGCAGTCGGCTAAAATTCAACCATTGAAATTTTCATAGGTGAGCAATCTCTGTTTAAGCGCGTCTCCGGCTATTTAGCAACAAGTGCAGTCCTTTGTCTGGCAGGAACAGCATTCGAGATGTTATGTAATGTGAACTGGAGAACAAACGGAGAAGTGTAAAGGGAGGAGGCAGTCTTTTCAAGAATAACCTTGAACTTTTCTATAAGTAGCATGATAATGATAATAGCAAAATAGTGCGATTTTTTCTGCAGACTTTGATAATCAGACAGTTTCCTGAAAAATTTGCTGTTTGAATCTCTTGCTCAATTCTTTTATAAGTTGTCTTTGACATTTTGCGATTTAGAACGTGCAGGAATAATTATATGTAGCCGGCGAAACAGTGAAAGTAATCAAAATTTATTAAAAAAATTAAAAGACGAGTTTTTAGAAAAAACAGAATTATTACATTAAAACGGCATAGAGTCAACCACCCTCTCTTAACACCTATAGATGGAGAAACCCAGGAGACCTTATGAGAGGGAAGATGGCGTTCGGTGATGTGCATCTAGCCAGGCTTTAATTGATTTGTAGCGCAATATTGGACCAGACCGACCGCAGCACATTCCAGATCAAGGTTTTCCCTCTAGGTAAGATGGATGCTTGGTGTTGGAAAGGGAAAGCTTTACAAGTCCTTTTGACCAAATCTGGCAATTCCTAGCGCAATACGGGAGTTACACCCAGGGTGCAAGCTTCATTTTGGTCAACACCTCGGTCTGAGAATTCGATTTTAGAGTTTTCTGGAAGGGCAACCCAAGTCAGGCATACGACATTACAGCCTATCCCGCTGCACTCCAGCTAATGTGCGAGCCCATTTCTGGGGTGCAGGTTCAATGATAGTGGATTTTGATAGTGTGCTTCTCACCGAAGTATTTTTGGTCGAAAAATTGGTTGAAACTTCTTGATAATGAGACATTTGACAAAAAACCCGTCAAATTTTGAGCAAATGTCACACTATTTAAAAATTTTCGACCAATGTATTTCGATGAAATGTACACTGTCAAAAATCCACTGTCATTTGGCATGGAGCCCATTTCTGGAGGAGCATAGCGGATAGGCAGATAGCTGGCACGTGAAGCAAGGCGGAGATAAATATCTTTTGAAGTATCACAGGTAGCTTCTCCATAAACTTACTCCCCCCCCCCCTCCGTGAGCGAACAAAAAAATTTTGTTCGCTCACGGAGGGGGGTTAATTTTTTTTTTTAAAAAAAATTTATATATAAATTTTATAAAAAATATTTTTTTTCGAAATTTAAAAAAATCCTAATTTGCAAAAATTGGGAAGCAAATATTAATTTAATTTGCAAAATTTATGTTTTAAAACGCAATTTGTTTAAAATTAAACAGAATTAGCTCTAGATTTCATTATAATAATTATCACTTATATATCAAAATTTTTTTCCATTAAAATTTTTTCTATTAAAAAAATTTTTGTTCACTCATGGAGGGTGGGTTTTTTGGTCAAAAAATGGCGATTTTTCTAATGGTTTTGTTCGCTCACGGAGGGGGGGGGGGGGGGAGTTAAGAAAAAAAACAGAATTAACACCAGAAGAATCCTTTATAGCAAAATTTGGAGATTTTGGGCAAGCTAAAAGGCTTGTTAGTGCTAAAAAAACTAATCAATCAATAACTCCTGAAAGGAGAAGAAGCTTAGATAGGGTAACCTTTATGCAGGCTTATACACCTTCAACGAGATCAGCATCTGTTACCTACGATTCAGGCAAAACTAAATCTTATAGGAACAATGCAATACAGAACATTTTTATGTCCAGACCTCAGAACTATAGGCTGCCTTCTCATACCCCGATTACTAGAGGAAAAGCACCGATTTAGATAAAAATTTTAAAATTAAGGAAAACTCTCGAGCTGCTTTATAATATTGTCAACTTCGCTTAGAAGCCCTTCTGCGCTTGGGATATTTCTATTACTTTCATAATATTCTTCGGTTTCTTCTTCATCTTGGCTTGAAAAAGTTGCCCTTCTACTTGCTTCTTCTAGCTTCCTTTTCAATCTTTCATTTTCTATTGACAATCTTGAGCACTCCCTCTGCAAATTTTCTATGATTTTATTGCATTCCCTATTCATACATTTATCATTATTTCTGGTATTTCCATATGAATTTGGCTCTGGGCTTGCTTTTCTGAAAGATTCATTTTTTGGCTTAGAAAAAGATGCTGTGAGAGTTCTTCTTGGTTTAAAAGCTGAAACAATAAAGGTAGGGTCAGGCTGCTGGTCATTGAGAATCTGATCATATAAAATTGTATATTTATCAGTAAGGGCTGTGTGGGGATATGATGTAAAATTATCGACAAGCTTATTAAGAATTCTCGTTAAGAAATTCATTGAGTCTTTGTTGTCGCGGATATCAATTACAAGTAAATATTTATTTTCGTCTAAAAGTCTTTCAGTTTCTATAAAAGATTTTGAAGTAAGATGGTTGCCGCGGATATCAATATATTTCAGCCATATATCACAATGCAATGCAGTTAAAATCTGCTCCCAGCCATAGTCGCCAATGTGGTTGTAGCCTATTATTAGTTCTTCAAGGCCTTCAGAGTTTCCTCCTATTGATCCTCTTAAACTTTGTGCTCAGGTTTCAGTATCTCTTCTTTCACCTTGTTTTCCTATAATTCTTGATATCATATATTCCTCATTTAATTAATTTTATTCTGAAATTTTTCTATAAAAATCATATTGTTTATTTAAATTACAAAGGTATATCCTGATTTTTCACCTAGTTCATTTCATGATAAATCTAGACTTTTCAATTGATTTTGGTTACTGAGTGCAGATATCTTATTTTATTTAAGCTTGATTTTATGAAAATTTAAAAAAAAAAAAATAAATACTCAGTATAAAAGAATATAATAATATTTCAAGCTGTGGCTCTGAAAACTTGCAATGGTTTATGACTAGCGAAAGCACAGATGAAGAAATCAAGCCACTTGCAAGCTGCTGCCAGCTGCTTTCTTGAAATTCTAGCCCAAACAAGCAAAGCTGCTGTAAGCATTGGTTTTTTGCCAAGTTATTGCACAAAAACATCGAAAATCTGTGCATAATTGAAGGGTTTGCTGCGATGGGCTTTGCATTAGGCTCAGAAGACTTATTTTTCTTATTTGCGGATTTTACCTTAATTTTCTTTTCATAGCCTATTGTTCACAGTTTTATACAGTTTATTTGTTTTATATTTGATAGGATATTAGGCAGATGCCGAAGCTCTTGACTTGAAATATCGTCTAGACAAAGCTCGATTTGATTTTCAGTTAAACTGCCTTATATTTACCTTTCAATTAAATTTTTATTTGGAGGACATTTAAATTTGTTAGAAAGAGCAAGGTATTGTGATTTTGGGTCTGCTTTTGGTTTTTTCCCAGATGGGCTTCGAGGTCTCTTATTAGAATTTACCTTTGGTTTGGCTGAGAGTTACTTTTCATTTTTAAATTATGATTTCAAATAGATGAATTTAGCTTGTTCGTGCTATTTTAGGTAAATAGAAAGAAAATTATTCAATTACCTTAAATATTTTAATTTTAAATTATATTCAAATCAATAATTCCAATTTAACTAAAAAATCTTATTTAATTAAACTGAAATCATAATTTGTGCAATAATTTTACAAATTAAAATCAGACAAGCAAAGAACAATAAATATTAGTTTATGCTTTGCATTTATATGCGGTAAGGCTAAATTAAAAAATTAATGGATGAAATATTGTCATTGTCCAGAGAAGGGCTCATTGACAGATGCCAAAATCAAGAAAAAGAAATTAAAAGTCTTAAAAGAAAACTACAAGAAAAAGAATATAAAATTGAGACATTAAAATTTAAATTAAGGAGAACCGCATTTAAAGATCCATCAATTTTGATGAAAGAAGCTAGAAAATTAAGAAGTGAAGTCACAGAAAATTATGGGAGTAGCGAAAATGAATTTTGGAATGCGCCTTTATCAGGCAGCTCTATGAATAAATCAAAACTTGAAGATTTTGAATCTTTCAAGCATTTATTTCTCTTTTCTCCTTCACCTGCCAATAAAATCACTTTAAAATCTAAAATTCCCAATGAAAGAACTGAAAGGAAAGAGAATTATGTTCAAAAGAGATACAAAAGCACAATGGCAAGATATCAAAAAAATCCTTTGCCCGCAATCACTAACAAAGGGGTAGTTTTATATTAATTTTTTTTCTGATTAGAGTATTTGAAAGTTAAAATAGCCTTTAATTTTATAAATTTATGCTATAGAATGCAAGCAGTCTAATATAATTTTGTTATAATCAATATTGTTTATATATAAAACTCTTTGATCTAGTATTAGGGATAATTTCTTAAAACAGGATGATTTTTTCAATGGTTTTGCAGGGATGGTAAGAGGACTAAAAAATAGACCTCAGCTGAATTTTGTTATAAATAGTAAATAAATTGAAACTTTTGATAGCGCTTTTAATTAAATTTTCATAAAAATGGAAAAGAGTCTTATGCTTGAAGAGATAGCTGATGAGAACTACGAACCTACAGACGCAGAAATCAGAGAATATGGAGAATATATTGGTCTTATTCTCCCAGAAGATGAAAGTTTACTTTATATTGCAAGAGATGCTCTAAAAGCTCCATTACCAAAAGAATGAAAACCTTTTCAAACCAGAGATGGCGATATTTATTATCTAAATATAGAAACAGGCGAAAAAACATTTGAGCATCCTTGTGATGCTATCTATAAAATAATCGCTAAAGAAGTAAAAGAAATTAAGCTGAGAAAAGATGATGATAAAGATGGAATATTGCCTATACAAGATCAAAAAAAGATTCATAGTCATAATTTGCCATTTTCAGTGCCAAATCCTAATCATAAACCTCCTAATAAAAGATTAACTCAAGAGGAATATGATATTGAATTAGAAAAAAATACAAAAGAAATTAATGAGAAATTTGAAAACAGTTTAAAAGAATTAAAGGCCAAATATGAAAAAGAAGAAAAAGATACATATGAATACTTAAAAGCCAAAAAGATTATGCAGGTTTTTGCATATGAAGAAAAAATTGCAACAAATTGTGATGAAGAGATAAAAAAAATGAAAAATAAAACAAAGAATATTCTAACTCCCCCCTCCGTGAACAAAAAAAAATTGTTTTTTTTTCGAAATTTAAAAAAATCTTAATTCGCAAAAAATTGGAAAGCAAATATTAATTTAATTTATAAAATTTATGTTTTAAAACGCAATTTGTTTAAAATTAAACAGAATTAGCTCAAGATTTCATTATACTAATTATCATTATATATCAACATTTTTTCCATAAAAATTTTCTATTAAAAAATTTTTGTTCGCTCGCGGAGGGTGGGTTTTTGGGCAAAAAAGCGATTTTTCTAATGGTTTTATTCACTCACAGAGGAGGGGAGTAAATGAAATAAGCGAAAAATTAGAAGATTATAAAGGAAGAGAAATAAAGAAGATTAAAGAAAACACACAAAGAGAAATTGATTTAGCAATGATAACTGAGCCTGGAAATAAAGAATTAGACAATTTAAGAGCTGAACTAGATATTGAGCGAAAGATTACTCAGGGGTTTTATGAAAATGTTTATGAACGCACCCAGCATTTTGAAACAGAGAAGCTTAAAATAAAAAATAAAATCGAAAGAGAATATAAAAATTCTATAAAAGCCTTAGAAGTTGATATTTTGCAATTAAAAAATGACGAAATGCAATGAAATAATAAAATTACCGAAGCTAAAAATGAATTTCAAAAAGCAAATGATGATGAAGTCAATAAGATAAAATTGCATTACCAGCAAGAAATAGACGAAATTAAACAAAATTTAAGAAATCAAATTCCAAATAAAAAGAAAAAAGCATTAGAGGAGCTCTCTGTCAAATTAGAAGAGCAAGTCAAAAATGACACATATACAAAAATAAGTGTATATCGAAAAGCTAAACAAACTGAGCACAAAGAAAGGCTTGAAAAATTAGTGCAGGCTCAAAATTATAAAAAAACTGCTGTGAAGTCTGTATATGAGCCTAAAGCTGCTTTTGATAAAATGAAAAATTTAGAAATTGAGCTAGAATTAGTAAATAATCAGCTTTACCTGAAAAACGAAACTTTATTAAAGCTTCAAGAAGAAATAGAATTTTTTCATAGCAAATATTACAAAATGAATAAACAGTATGATGTTTTAATGAAAAGTACTAGAAAAATCCATCAGCCTCACTCTAAAAATGAATTATTAAGCTCTGAAAAGAAAAGGAAATCCCCGTTTTGTGGGTTAATTTCATCGAGTAAGCATAATGAGATAACTCCTGGGCCAAAACGCAAAAGGGATAGAAATAGTTTGACAGATACAGAAGAAGAAATAATTAAGAGTTGAAGAAGTGAGAAACCTGATAAATTTGAATATGTAAATGATCATAGGCAATTTCCTTTGCATTCAACTTCAAACTTTACTGATAATCAACTTCGTAGCTCAGAAATCAATCTTAAAGTATCTTACCGGCATGCTGATTTAGCAAAAGAGTTTGCTTGGAAGCATTCAAATTGACTAAGCAATTTGAAAGCTGATATGAATGTATTAAAACCTAAAAAAATCAGATAAGCTTAATTATTTAAATTATTTATTATCATAAAAACAAAACAATAGTTCTACTTATTGGCTTAACTCAATTATTAAGATATTCCCCAAGGTAAAAAGTCAAAGCAAACCTATTGCTCAACAATAAAAAATCTTTATTTTAAAATTTCCCACCTCAAATTGAATAATTTATTAATGGCTGAGGTATCAAGTATTCTTGCTAATCTTAGAAAGTTAGAATCCAGCCATGATCTCAACCCTCGACTCCTTATGCAGCTTCTAGAGCAATTCAACACAGCAATACAAACAGAAAAATCACTGAAAGACTTAAAAATCTATTTCAGCTCTATTTTTCCGTCTTTGATAAATATCTCAATGCAGATTCCAGAAGTAAGAATAAATAGATTGATGGGTTAGTTTGTGACCTATTTCGAGTTTTTTCTCAAGAAGGATTTGATGTCTCACAAATAATCACACAAGAAATTCTAAAAGCCACAAATGAACAAGTAATTTCAAAAATCCTGAATTTTATTGAAGTCGTTTTAAATTCTGTAAAAAACATCTAGGCACCAAAAGATAAACAAGAAATCCTGAGAAATCGCTTTGAGCATGCTTTTATAAAGCTACAAGAAAGAGCAATAACTTCAAAACTAGCAAAAAGGATAGCAGAACTTAAAGCATCAAACCATATATTGGCAAGCCAAAAAATAAATTTTAGCGATTTTCATACAGAAGATAAAGTAAGGCTTATAGGTGACTGGCTAGCTCAAGGCCCATTTTTAAAGACAAATGATGGTGAAATGGTAAATGTCGACGGAATTATTATGGCTGAATTTTTTTCTGACCAACATAACTTTCAATTACTTTTAGATCACATTTTTAAGCATGAAAATGGTGCCACAATAGCATTTAAAGCTTACATTGACCCTCAAAACTCTTCAATATTCCATAAATATCATCAATTTGACGCAGTTGAACTGACCATGCACCATATCGCTGATTTCTTCTCAGCACATGTAGAAGAAGTCAAAGTAATGATGGCTTGCAAACTAATTGATTTCTGGATAAAAAAAGACGAAAATAGAACCCTTGCTCTGTTTTTCGAACTCGAAATAGGCGAGCATATGATAACACATATAAAATTTGGAGCAATTCAGCATTTTTTGCATTTTGTTATAATAACGAACCACTCAATATTGATTCAATGGAGAAATAGAATAGTAGGCGAGCTTTTGCCAAAATTTATTCAAGAATTGTTGCAGCTACAAGCTTATCATTTATCAAATATCACAGATGAAGGAATTGATGTATTAACTGGCATTGCTTCATTTTTTGAGCAGCTTTTAAGTGACGCACTATCAGTCCCAGTCCTTTCTAGTGTGGACGAAATTAGAGATGCTGAAAATAAAGCCCTTTTTAAAGAAGCTGAAGTATTGAAAAGCTTGCTATTGGTAACTAATGGGACTGTGCTAATGCAAGGGCTAATAGAAGCAAGCTTAAAAGAAATCGACCACCCAAGGTGGCTTGAAGTAAAAAATGAGTATTTAAATATTCTGATTACAGTGGTAAAAGCCTGCAAAACTGACAATTTCACACATATTTCGATATTTTTAAACCCTGATGTGATTAACTGCTTGCAAGGAGAAATCATGAGGTTTCAGCTTTCCACGAAAAATAAAATAATCCAGCTGAATGCGTTTACAATACAAATTCCTATAAATCTTTATTTACTTAACTTGTTCAGAGCTCTTGCAAATATTCTTGAACTTACCCCACAAAATGTATGTGCAATAGAAAGAGAATGCTGGAATAAGCTATTTACTTGTCTTTTTGTGTATAAAACTAATGCGATTTTGTGCTCACTGATGAAAAAGCTGTCGTTTTATATGTTTGAGTGCAAAAATGAAAAGAATTTAAGGTATATTTTATTATCAAGAGGAGTTTTAAGCAAATTAGTAGCAGCAGCTATAGAACCTATAGCGACTGTGGAGGAAAGAGATTTCAGATATTTAGCTAAAGAAACATTAGGGGTTATAGTCCAATATGCAACGGAAAATGACAATGATTTGTCAGAAGAACTCAAAAGACATCAGTCATGACATGAAATCCCGAAACATTTGATAAGGAAAAGCACTAAAAATGAGAGGTATAGTTTAAGAAAAAGAACTGTCGCGTCTACTGTGGGGTCTCAAAGCGAAGAAATAAAGCAGTTGATGAGGTCAAGAACAAATAGATACGTATAGTTTTAAAATAAAGGTATTTTATTTATGAGAATTTTTTTATTTTCCCATAATTTTATAGCATTTATTCAAATTTCTAATAATAACTATCTAAGCTTTAACTGTCTTAAACTTCATTGACTTCTTCTTTAGCTCCTGCTTATACTGCTTTTCCTCCATTTTCCTCAACTTTTCCTTGCTCAGCCCTTGCAATTTTTCTTCCTCCTTCTTTTTCTGTTCCAATTTTTTCTTCAGTCTTTCTTCTTCTCTTTGGGCTTGAACTTCTTTCATTTTTTCTTTTTCAATCGCAGATCTTTCTTTATCAGCTGCCGCCTTTGCATAAGTTGATAACTTAAGTGTGTGTACTAAATCTGTTAATAATAAGACTAATTGTGCTTGTTTTGGTATATCTTCGGCTTCTTTTTTAGTGTCAGGCTTGATAAAGTCACATTTCATATGTATGGAATACTGGCCTTTTCCGATGACTTGGTCAGTGATATAGATCATTTCAATTGTAGGGGCGAGGTTTTCAATTAAAGCTTGGATCTGAGGGTTTATGAGCCATTCGACGACGTCTTGGCTTTCAGTGAGGACTGTGAATTGGTTTGGTACTGGTGCTTTAACTACATGTGTTAAGGTTTTTAAGTCTTCATATTTTGTTCTTATGTTTTTTAATAATGAATTTGTAACTAAAGCAAACACTATTGGGTTCTGTGTAGATGAAGAAATTGGGACTTCATAAGAAATCCTGTCCTTTTCTTTCCATAGCAAATTCCCAATCAACAAATTAACGAGATCTTGTCTTCTGTTGAGCTCTAAATCTGCTAATAAATATGCGCAGTTATACCTCCCTGTCGCATAGTATTTAAATGCATGATACCCATCTTTCCTATATATTGTTTACAGCATCTCGCCCTCGCCTTCTTTTTCAGCGATTCCTACATGACTGAAGTTTTCTTGGAAAATGGATTTTAATAAATACATCCACCGTGTTGCAATTTTTTCGTTTGAGCCTTTGCCTATGAAAAAGTTAACTCCATAGAAAAACAAAATTGAAATCATGATGGTCTCGACGAAAAAATTGTGAGGTTGAGGTTGGTATTCCAGCTTCGTCATGTTTTGGAGGACTTCTTCTTTTTTGTTGTCAACAATATCAAAATCTAGGTCTAAATCGTCGTCGGTGTATTGAGAAAGAGCTGCTGAAAGAAAGCTTGTGAACAATAAAGAAGACATTTATTAGTAAATTTGGTAGAGGATAATTTTAAAGAGATAGAAATTTGGGTTTTTTAAAGATATAGAGGATGATATAATACGAGATATTTAATTGTTTTGGAATGTAAATCAATAATAAATCTTTTGGTTATTTTGAAAATAAAATAAATTCGAAGAAAAATATTATGAGCACAAAAATTAATATTTAAATCATAAAATTATAATTTTAATATCTTTAAATTATCGTGTTCATAAATAACAGGATTTTGATCTTTTTTAACTATTTCAAAATCAACACAAGGGTTATTCGAGCCGTTAGTAAAATGCTTCGCGAAGGCTTCTCCATCCTTCTCACTTATTGGAGCCCCGCAAGACAAGCAAAACATTATGCCACATTGATTCGAACCTTCACAGCAAATATAATACCCTTTTTCTATTTTATATTCTCTCATTTTCTTGCAAAAAGGACATACTTGCAGCATTGAGCCTAGTTTTTTCAGTTTTTTATTATCCTTATTAAATTTTTTGCGAGTTAAGTGAATCATTTTTTTGGTGGATCCAGTGCAATTATGGTGAGATTTAGGGGATTTTAATCTTTCAAGACAAGAGATACAAAAATATTTGTCACAGCTGCAGCATTTATATATATCTTTATAAGTCTCTGACTCAATGAGTATTCCATTGCTACATTTGGGGCATTTTTTATATATGAAGGTTTGCTCAGGAATAATTGATGGAAGGGCTTTTATGCTATTTATTGCTTGCGATTGTGAATCAGCAGAAGTTGACTGGAAAGATTTGCGAATATCAAAAGCCACTGATTGTTCTAAAGACATTTCGACCTCCTCGATTACATATAATTCTTCATCAACCTCTTCCTCTTCAATCACTTCTGAGTCACTGCTTTCATAGTTATCTTCTCCATTTTCTATACCATTAATTTTGACTTTTACTGGCTCTTTAAGAGCATTTTCATTTAAAGTCTCCTTGCTTTCACTTTGAGAGGAGAGATATTTGCACAAAGGGCAGCAAGAATGTTCTTCATTAAAGCACATTTCACAGATTTTATGATTGCAATCAAGTATGTGGCTGTTAGGATTTTCATAGCAATAATCGCATTGAACACTAGTAAATTTGCAAATGAAAATTATTGATTCACAATGGATGCATTGATAATTTTGGGATTCTTCAATAGATTCTTTATGATAGTCGCATAGTCCATGGAATTGAGCGAAATTTACTTTTCAGGCTTGCTTCTTTTCACATAGAAAACAATTTTCATTACAATCGACTATATTTTCCATCGTCTATAAAAATTATCATATTTTTGTAGAATTACCTAATTTATTAGCCTAATCTTGTATAATAAGCTTCGCTTTCTTCAACAAGGGAAATTCTTGGCTTTCTTCTTTTAGTCAAAAATCTTCTAGCGACAAATATTAAAATTGCTCCAACTACTAAAACTTCAGCTAAAAACATCCACCCATAAGGTTTTTCAGCAACTTCACAGACATCCGAAATGCAGTCATTTACACAATTTCCTGATTTACTTCCACAGTTCAATATACATCTTTCTTGGCAGGAATTATTGGTGACTTTCAATCTGTTAACCACCTCTTGCAAGTCCTCAAATTTATTCCACGTAACCGTAACTTCTTCAGGCTGAGGCAAAATTTCTTCTATTTCGATTTTTTTATTAGAAACCTCAAATACTTCTTTTGGAATCTCAAAGGACATTTTTGACAAAACATCTTCAGGCTTGACGAACCCAGCATTATTATTCGCAAAACAGTTGCAGAGCTCGCTGCACTCCTTCATCATTTTTCCATTGGCAGAGCATGAGTTTACACATTTTAGGTCACAAGATTTAGCTTGTTTTGGGGCTTGTATAAGGTTGATTGATTTACTATTTAAAGTTTCGCTGAAAAATTCGGTTTGTGAAGGTTCCAAAGTACAGTGCTGTTTAAAGCAGTCAGATGTAGGAGAAATAGTGAGGCAAGATACTAATGCAGCGTCCTCACATTTTATTGCTGAAGCATAGGCAAGATAAAGGATAGACCAAATCATAATTAATGCCATATAAATTAATTAAAATTAATCAGGTAAAACTAATATAGATTTATTTGGTAATAATAAATTATATATTATTGTGCTAGTTTAATTAGGGAAATTGTATTTATGTAAGAGTTTTTAATTATTCTGTTTCTTTTTCTTCCTTAATCACCTGCATTGCTGAGCTATCTTCAGAAAATGAATTCTTTTTCTTCCCAAAGCTGCTTTCGAACTTGGATACATCTTCTGTAACTGGTGTGAGATCTAGCAGTAGTCTAAATGAGTGTTTAAGCTTTCTCCCCATGACCTCACTGAAAACTTGTAAGAGTTTTTCATCTTCTTTGGTAAAAGTATCATAAATTTCAATGTCCCCAAATACATTGTGGTAATGCTTATTAGTGACTTGGATAGCCCCGATGATTTCATCATCACATTTTATAGGAACTGCCATAAGAGACTGGGTTTTATAGTTAAAAATTTCATCAAAATCTGTGATATTTCGAGGGTCTTCATATGCATTAGATACGTTAACTGTTTCTCCTGTAGTTGCAGCATAGGAAACAAGTCCTGAGTTTAAAGGAAGCTTAAAATCTAATCCTGAGTCTGCAGCGATTAATATAAGCTTTTCTGCACTTCGGTCAATCAAAAATATCTGGCATCTGTCAGCATTAATTAAATCGCCTGCATGTTTGGCTAAATCTAGAGCTAAAATCTGACCTGGCTTATCTTTGCTTAAATTTTTGATAAACCCGAGCAGGACTTTTGTTTTATTTTCATTATAAATTGCTTGCTGATAGTAATAAGCGTTTCTTATAGAGATTCCAGCCTGATGCGCAAGTTTTGTGATGATTTCTTCGTCTTTTTCAGGGAAAGCTCCAGTTTTTTTGTTTAATGCTAGAAGAACACCTATTGGTTCTCTGTCTTGATTTAGAATTGGGACTCCTAGCATAGATTTTGATACAAAGCCAGTTGTTAAGTCTACTGAGCAGTCAAATCTTGGGTCAGAATACACGTCAGCAATATTAACACATTGTTTTGTATTAAACACAGTCCATGTGAACCCTGAATTTTCATATAAAACCAATCCTTTGGCTCCTTTCCCTACAATAAGTTTTAAGCACTTCTGTGTTGGGTCATGGATAAATAAGCTTGCCCTTTCGCAATGCAGAAGTTTGCATGTCTCATTTATGATACTGTCAAACGCGTTTCTTGGATTAGTCTCGGCTGAGATTTTTGATATTGAATTAAAAAGGCTCAAAAAGTCGTGAAAAGAAATTGATCTGTTGTCTTGAAGATGTGCAGCTAAAAACTGGCGTGGGTTTTCTGGCTGAGCAGTTACGACTGCTTCCATCAGGGTTTCGAAAAGTTGTTCAATATTCTTTTCAATGAAATAAGAAGAAGGATCGGCCATTGATATTATTTATTATCAGATAGATATAAAATTTCTCGCATAGTAGTATTTGATTGAGTCATGGATTTACTTATATAACCAATAATAAATAATAAAAATACAAATAATATTTTCTTTCCTTAGATATTTGTTAATTAATAATTAATGTCAGTTTTGTCATCTGAAACACCGATTCCGGAAGCTCCAAGACCAATTTCTGTGCAGGAAATGTACCAGCTCACACATATGGAACAAAGCGAATGGGGCATTGAAGGCTACAAAGCTCCAAAAAACCATATCTATATCAATAAAGAGCACAAATTCCCAACTGACAAAAGAAAAGATGCAATGGATGAAGCACTTAAGAGGTCCAAAGACCCAGATCCTACTAAATACGCAGAAACTAAAGAGCAGATATTAAAAAGATACTGGGAAAAACCCAATGGGAAGTTTTTAAATGGGAAACGAAAAACAGAAATCGACGAAATGGTTAAAAGAAGCAAAAGTGTCCCTGCTCCTGGGCATTATTTTAAAGACGCTAAAAAGGTTTCTGATAAAGTCAAAGAAATCCCTCTCGGCAAATTTGAGTAATTTCTATGCAGCAAAGGACAAAGGCTCAACTTTTTGACCACAACGGAAAGTTATGCAGAAGAAGTCCCTGAGTGTGGGAAATATAAGCCGAATTTTGATTTAACTGAAGAAAGAAGGCCAAAATGGAATTTAGGAAAAGCAAAAACGCCAATAAAAGTAGAAAAATCAAAAATTGGGCCTGGGATGTATCATGATGGAATAGAAGTTGCCATCAAAAAAGCAGTCACGCCATCGACCAAGAGCTATTCAGTACCAAAAAGTAGGCCTACTGGAGCTTTATCTACCCGTGCGCAACAAACTAAATTTGTACCTGGCGTTGGTGCTTATCCTGATGCTGAGCTAGCTTATGCAAAATTCCATGTAATGAAAAAAGGAAGAATGGCTGTGATTTTGCCTTATAAAACGAAATCATTTACAGATGAAGTAACCAAAAACGCTTCATGGGTGCCAGGGCCTGGAAGTTATAATATTGGCCCTCCTGTGAAAAAGCCTAACTAATAAATATGGATTTTTTTATGTCTAGCAAATTATCACTTTATCATAACCTTTGGTATTGGCCTGATCGCCTGTGCATTCCTCTATTTTGATAAACACCCATCTAAATTAATTGCATCAGAAAATAAATTATGGAATCACAAACATTATGGTCTTTAAGGTCAAGTGTTTTTAGCAGAAACAAAAATGTTTTCCAGAACCCTTCCTTGGAATATACTGACCAAATGCTAGAATCAAGATTTTTATCTGAAATTTTTAAATTTCAAACAACTTCATTCAATTACACATCAATTAGTCTCTTATTTTTTTTAGTTGGCTTATATGTTTATGGTAAAATCCAGACTTTGTTTATCATAGCAATTGTGCTATCATTATTACCCTTTGCGATATTTAAAAGACTTTCCTGGCTCCCTAAAAGGCTGCTTTTAGAGTTTTCATGTGTGATATTTGAATGAGAAAATATTGGGAATGGGTCAATTTCGGAAGGCCTTGGATGCTTTTTTTTTAGCTTTTTTTTATCGTTTTTATTGGTGAAAAGATGAACTTTGGCAATGAGTTTTGGAATACTTGAAGGGGCTGTTTTATGATATAAAATAGGAATTTCAATAGGAATTGTAGTACCGATTTTGACTTATACATTTGCAAGCTCTGTTCTAGAGAAGGACACAAGAGATTTATGGCTTTTATATTACACTTATAAGAAGCTGCATGGCGCTTTTCATTATTTTTTTATGAGTTCTCCAAATGCGACTTTTATACTGAATTCAGCTGGGAAAATCATTGTATACAATAAGCAAGCCATGAATTTGTTAAAAAAAATCAATAAGCCTGAAACTTTACTAGAAGAAGGTCTATTTAGTGACATTTTTTCTGATTGATATAAAGATTCCATTGATTTATTGATATCTAATGCAATAAAAGGTATAAGAGGCCAAGACGAATTTTTGTTTCTCGGAAACGAACAAGTAATAGGCATAGAATATAAAGAAGATCTTGGCTGTATGGTAGAATCTGATAACGTTATTTGAAATTCCGAAAATTGTGTCAGGATGACCTGCATTGATATTTCAAGCCAAGTTATGATAAGATCTCTAGTAAATAACCTTTATCGAAACTTATGTTTGCCTGTAGACAGCTTAAACAAAGAGCTCGCTCACGAGTTTGAGCATAAAAAATCAGTTAATAAAGAAACTTTACTGATGTTTAATTACATTCAGAAATGTCTTATTGATAATTTACTATTCCAAACACTATTTACAAGCACACTTATATTGAATAAAGATAATTTTGATATAAATTCAGAAATTCATAATATAGTCGAACTGTGCCATGCAAGGGCGTCCAAGAAAAATATTACGATTTCTTATACGAAGGACTTAGGAATCCCTCCAGCAGTTACAGGAGACCAAGCTATTAATTTTCATATTTTACAGACAATGCTTTGTTTATTTATAGATAAAGCAATAGAAAGTAGTGAAATCTCGCTTATCGTTGAAGTTTCTGTATTTTTTATATAGTCTGCAGTGTCAAAAGAAGTTTCAGTGTCCTACACATTTAATTATAAATCCCAAAAGTTCAAACAATCTGACTATGAACTGATATTCAAGGACAGAGATAGCCCAGAAAGGAGAAAAACTCTTGATGAGATTTTATATCTTTCTAAAACTTATGGTGTAGGAATTGCTGTATTAGATTCTGTACTAAGATTGCTAAAAGGATATGTATCGAATTTCTGTATCCATAATTATAAAGAATTTAGACAAAGTCTTACAATTAGAATCCCATATATTATTAACCTAAAAAAACCAAAAAATAAAATGTTACAGCTAAGCACCCCGCCAATCTATGAAACCCCTTTAACTGCTAAATGGAAGCCTGATAAAGAAAAAAAGCCAATCGATGAGTCACAAAAATTAGAAGCACAAATTAAAGCAATAAAAGGAAGCAGGAGATCGAGCAAATCTGATAATAGAACGATAGAAAAATGCTTGAATCTATCAGTAAAACCAATTTATTCAAGCACAACAGTTAAGTACCTCACAAGCGAAACTGATGAAGATTCCGATGTTTCGAACAAAATGAAATCCTATGCTGAAGGGTCCCCATTTTTAACTGGGACCTCACATATTTCGACTAATTATAGTGCAGCCACAAATTCAATAAACCATGAGCTATCCCCAGTTTCGGCTAATAAAGAATCTATAAAAATTAGAGGTTCCCCTGATTTCAAAAGATGTGAATCAATTTTACAAGAAACTCCAAAAATAAAAATATGGAGAGATACCTTCAAAATTTTAATCGTGGACGATGATAGTACATTACGCTCTATATTTGATGCCATTCTCAAAGGTATTTATGATACAAGCACAGATTTCGCATGAGATGGCTTAGAAGGTGTCCAGCAATATAAAAAGTCTACAGAAAATCATAAGTCTTATCAAATAATTTTCATGGATGTTTATATGCCAGGAATGGATGGCTACAAAGCAACTCAAAGAATTAGAGAAATCGAAAGAGAAATAAATGCAAAAAAAGTTTTTATATGTGGAATATCAGGGGATAAAGATTTAAAAGATAGATGCAAAGAGGCAGGAATGGATGAATTTCGTAAGATCTATGTAGTCGTCAAGCCTCCAAGTGCGAAAGAGGTCAGAAATATTGTTGAGCATGTGCAAAAGTGGTTTTTAAGTCGTGGGGATACTCAAGCTGAAAATTATTAATTTTAGTAAATTTTATTGATAATATTTAATATTCTTTTATAGTAAAAAAGGGAAAATATTTGTAATTTTCAAAGCTAAATTTTGGCTTAAACTTAACTTGCTCGCCTATTGCAAACGCAGCCACCGAGGATCCCTTATAGGATTAATCCTCTTTGCAACGTCGACAGGGAGAACTTTTTTGAGTTGGGATGGGGGTAAACTGGGAATAGGACCGAGCACTAACTTTTCTCTTCTTCACAGCCTGACTACATGGCCTCTGTGAAGTAGAGTTCTGTGTCTCTCTCTCCTTGCTTTGCCAGCTCCTGTGCTGAGTGGGAAGGCTATGAATTTTTTCGGCTTGCTGCTTCGGTGCACGAAGGTTGTACACAAAAAATTCCAAAAAAATGGAATTTCTGGTTGATTCTCGGCAAAAAGGAAAATTCAAATCTGGGAAGTAGCTCCCATTTCCACACTAAAGAAGTTACCAGAATGGCCGATCTAATTATTGCCTGTAGATTTGCTGGGACTTTCCCTTTCCAACTCTAACCCACCTTTTCCCTCAAGGTAAAATCCAATCCTGAAAACAGACTAATGCTAGGCTCTGCATTTTACCAGAATTTCATAGCTACCCATTTATTAGTTGGCAAAACCTTGCTGGATATAAAGAAAAAAAAGTGCTAGAGGCAGGCAAACTCCAACCAAGACGCCATTTTATTTATAAGCTAAATTTCAACAATAAAATAGTTTTCATTTATTCTATTTAAAAATATGAAAATATGAGGATTGAGAAGAACATTTTCTTTTGTCATCATGGATGGCAAATCAATTTCAGCAAAAATTTTAAACGATCTAAAAGACGAAATTTCAAGCTTAAAAATGAAAAACTACACAAGCTCAGTCCCAACTTTAGGATATTTAGTTAATTCTTCCAATGCAGGGTCTTTTATTTATTATAAGAAAAAGGAAAAAACTTGCCACTCAATAGGAATTGATACAATAGGATATGATGTAATAGGGAAAAATGATATATCAGAATTATATGGTCATATAAATTATCTGAATGCTAATACAGCCGTAAATGGAATTTTAGTTCAATTACCAATTTTTCCAGGCGCCAATGAAGCTGAGATTCTTGATAAGGTTTCTTTAGAAAAAGATATAGATGGCCTGACACGTAAAAACATGGGAATGCTTTTTATGAAAAATTCTGAGCCTCTTTTTTATCCATGCACAGCATTAGGAGTATTTGAATTAATCAAAAGTTATGGAATCAATCCAAGAGGGCTGCATACAGTTATCATTGGGAGAAGCAATTTATGTGGACTCCCTCTATTTAGTATGTTCCAAAAGGCGAACTCAACTGTCACTATGTGCCATACAGCTACACAAAACCTGAAACAATAAATTATTTTACATAAAATTGCTTATTATTATAGCTTAATTAAGTAAATATAATTAATAATTCATTAATACGCAAAATATAAGGAAATAATCATGCTTATACCAGAGCAGAATATAAATAAATAATAAAATATAAATTTAATATATAATGATATAACAAGCCAAGCAGACATTTTAGTTTCTGCAGCAGGGAAAGCTAATTTAATTAGAGAAGATATGGTTAAAGACGGAAGTATTGTTATTGATATTGGAATTAATAAAATAAACACGGGAGAAAAGTCTTTAATTGTTGGAGATGTAGATTACGAAAGAGTTAGAGAAAAAACAAAATTTATAACGCCTGTCCCTGGAGGAGTTGGGCCAATGACAATTGCGATGCTATTAAAGAATCTAGTAAAAGCGTGGAAAAGGGCGCAAAATTTCTAAATTAAATTTATAAACCATAATGGACTGATATGGTAATAATAATAAATGGATGATGAACATGTTATCCCTGGCTGCTGCTAATGAAAACTATGATTCTGATTTTATAAAGACATTAAATTAATTACTCAGATTATTAAAGCGGCAATTTCTTCTGCAAGGAGCAATATAAAAAGCTCCCTTTTAACTATCAATTGATTATCAGCAGCCATCTTGTCTTGCAAGCATTCCAGAAGACCCCACAAAAGGGCCAGGAGGCCTTCTCTAATCGCATTGACCTAACTATACACTTGATTCCTGCATGTTCCACCTAAGGTTACCTCTTCGGATGTGTCAAGCGGTAAAACTCCTATACGTCCTAAAATCCCGGGCCAAGTGACTTACCTTATACGATAAGCCATATTTGGTATGGTGGATAAAAGTGAACCAGATAAAACGAACTCTCTAGTAATAAAATTCGTGGAGGAGGAAAGGTTAACCACTTCGACACATAGCTATTTTATTATTATGATTTTATAAAGACAAATTAAGAAAGCAATGCATTCTCTGCTATATTATTTCAGTTGAAAAGCTTTAAAATGATTTTAGGTATTTTCAATAATAATTCACCACTTAGACTATTAATCTTTAATCAATTAGAATGTTAATTATTTATTGTGGTTTTGCTTTAGACTTTCTAGAGCTTTGACATCTCAACCCTTCATTGCTTAATCTTTAACCTTACTTCAAGAATTAATTTAAGGTTTTATTACTAGAAATTAGGGATCAGTCTTTTTAGGAGTCATCACTGTAAATCTTCTCACTGCTGACAATCTTTCCTCTTCAGAAAGCAAATTCCCCTTTCTCTTTGAATTCTTTTCTTTCAGCCTTGCAATTTCATTTTCGATCAACACGCTGCATAAATTTTACTTCATTTCAATCATTAATTTGCACATTTCGTCAATTTCTTTAATTCTTCCCGTGTCTATTTCTTGTTTTTTCTTAACCCTCAGTGAGCACAAATCGTTGGAAAATTCTGTTTTTTGGAAATTGATCCTCCATGAGCCTGCAATTTTTTAAAGATCCCTATGATAATCGCTATTATAATAATTTTATTAAATTTTAGGCACCTTCTTTTTTTAAGCATAAATTTTATAAATAAATTATATTTTTATGTTTCGAATATCTGAAATTTTTAATATAAAATATACATAAATATTACTGATTTTTAGGGACAGTTAGAAACAGTGTTTTTTTCTTCTTCTAACGCGATAATTTTTTCTTTTAATTCTGCTTCTCTTTCTGCTTCTTTTTCGTTTCATTCTTTTATTAAACAAAGACTTTCACTATATAAATCTTACTGAGTTTCTGTTAATTCAAGCTTAGATTCCGCAAGGACTTGCATAGCTTTTTTTTGTGCTGAGAACTCTTCTTTAAGAATTTTTTTCTTATTTTTAGCTTTTTCAATTTTTTCTTTGATTTCTGCATTTTTTTTGGATTTTTCTTCATCAATCTTCTTTAAATCATCTACTTGATGCGCTAATAACGCATTTTCACTATTAATTTTGTCTAATTCTTCTTTAAGCTCATCTAATTGTTTTGCCATCACATTAATTTCATCTAATTTTCTATCAAGCTCTCCTTCATTTTCTTCAATTTTAATTACTTTTTCTTCCTCTTCACTTGAAGAACTTTCATTTTCATGCTTATGAGGAGATAAAGAATCGTCAATAAGCTCTGCTTTGATAGACAAGCAAATCTCAGCGTTTTTATCTTTTGAGCCAATAATTGGATAGGCGTGTTCTCTTATAGGAGTATCACAATAATCAACTAAGTTAAGCTTCACATATCCTATGATTTTGGATTTTCCATTAATTTCAGACAAAATGTTAAGTTTTGCTTCTTTTTCAAGGAATTTTCCTGAGCTTTTTTGGTAGAGTGTATTGATCATAGAAATCATTTCATTTACTTCAATGAGCTTGCTGTCTTGCGTCATAACTGCTTCTCCTGATGTCTCAGCAATTTTATTTCCTAACTCCCCCCCCTCCGTGAGTGAACAAAAAAATTTTGTTCACTCACGGAGGGGGATTAATTTTTTTTTTTTTAAAAAATTTATATATAAATTTTATAAAAATATTGTTTTCGAAATTTAAAAAATCCCTAATTCGCAAAAATTGGAAAGCAAAAATTAATTTAAATTTATAAAATTTATGTTTTTAAAAAGCAATTCGTTTAAAATTAAACAGAATTAGCTCTAGATTTCATTATACTAATTATCATTTATATATCAAATTTTTTTCCATAAAAAATTTTTGTATTAAAAAAATTTTTGTTCACGGAGGGAGTTTTTGGGCAAAAAATAGGATTTTTCTAATGGTTTTGCTCACTCACGGAGGGGGGGGGAGTAAATAAATTTTACTTCTCTTCCAAGAAACTTTTATGTGTGCATCTGTAGGAATTGTCATAGTTATAGAATGAATCCATATCTCATATACCAAAATTATTGACTAAATTTTATATTATTAATCAGATATTATTTATGAAATAAATGCTTTGAATAATTCTAAACAGTTAATATATTTTTAAATCAGGTAAAGTAATTTTTAATTAGAATTTTAAGCTTATTCTCCTTATTAGACAATAATTGTTTTATATTTTATATAAAAATATATACATGAATTTTTCCTTGTTCGTGCCAATCCTACTTATTAGTTTCGCCATTATTATTTCTATTTACTTCTATATAGTTATATTAAAATTAAACTGAATCTCTAATAAATTTTACATTTGATTTCATTCTTGATGCTAATTTTACAAGCTCTTCTGGTTTTTTGCTAGCTTTATTACTTGCACTTTTAAAAGCCAGTTTTACTTCTTCTTCAGTCAAGTTATAATGTGTGTAGAACTCAAATCAAGAAAGCAGAATTCCTGCGTAAAGTAAAAAAATTGATTCAGAGGCATTGCTTGATTTTCTTATCAAAGTGTTAAGTTTTTTATTTTTCAGTTCATTTATACAGTCTTGGCTTATTTAGCACAAATTCATAGGAAATTCATAGAGAATTGCCTTGATAATTAATATTTTATATAAATTATTGTGAAATAATAAATATGGCAGAGTATATACAAATTTTTGAGATCTCGATAGAAATTCGTACAAGTGAGAAATTATGAGGTGGCATCCTAGAATGAATCAAAATATCACTTAAACATGATTTAAAGTGACTAGAAAAATAAAGAAGCTGCAAAATCCCAAAAGCACCACAGTCAGTATATAAGTCATTTTCTGGGAAGGATGAGGTAAAGCCTATGCAGTTCCAAATCCCAATATTAATAGTGCCATCATTGTCTCCACTGGAAAGTATATAGTAGCTGTTAAGTAATGCTTTATGAAATGGGTCATGCTTGTTGAACTTTAGAGCGGAAAATTTCAAAATTTGTTCACATTGGGCTTCTTCTTTTTGTGATAAATCGGCACCTGCCTTTATACAGCATCCAAACATCTTACCTTCCCAATTAATAATAATAAATTCATAAGATCCAAGCTATTTTTTTAAATTTTTCTTCAGCTATTTTATTTTTATTGCAATAAATTTAATTTCAATATTTATCTATATTTAAAAGAATTTAGTAATCCAGTCTTTTTCGCTCCACAACTGGCTATTTGATTCCAGACGAATGCCCCACAAATGTTTTAAAGCTTCTTCAAAGGTCAAAGTCTCTTGAATTTCTTCCAAACTATCCTTATGCTCTTCAATTTCAATGCATTTTGGCATAGTCCCAGTTGTCTTGAACGACTCATGCTCTTTGAAATTTTCTTCACTTTCAGTCTGACTAGGAATTCTCATATATTTTGCTTTAGATTTCTTTTTAGTTATAGCACTTTCTGTGCTAGAAAATTTTTCTGCTGGCTCACCTGTAGGTTCATCAGAAACTGCAATTTTTACGTTAAAAATTTTTTCTTCTGGTTCACCTTCTCCATAGCTTTCATTATCTACCTCTCTTATTTTAATTGATTTTGCAGTATAAAAGTCTGTTTTAGCAGTATAAAATTCGGTATCGCTTACAGAGTTTCTCGGTATTTTTTCCTCTTCAAATGAACTATTAACTTCCCTAATTGATTTGTGAGCAGAAAATTTACTTGCCCAGGCTGTTAGCTTAAAAATTCTTTTTTCTAATTTTAAAATCCAAATTTGTTAATATTCAAATTAATCTAATTTAATTTAAGAATTTATATTAAAATTTAATATATTTAGCTGTTAGTATCATTATTATTTTATGTCACAAATAATTTATTTTTATAGATTAATTTCCCCAAATCAGAACTTTCTCAATTTTTTGCTCCTAGAAAAAGAGGGTGTAAGAGATTCCATCATTGATTTTTGGTCAATTGCGATAGGGCTTATATCTAAATGATCTTGAGCTGGCTGCACTTCGTGGTCAACTGAAGAGAGGTTTATAATTTTAGAATCTTCTTTAGGGTCTTGGAGATTAAATTCAGATATATCAATTTCATTTATAATTTGTGCTTCTGCGAAAAATACATTAGAAGGGTTATAATCTTGACTCCCAGCTGCATAGTCAGCTGACTTTTGTTTATAAAATACAGGAATTTCTTCTTCTAAGTAAGAGCCATACGATTTTGCCGATTTAAAAGATTCTGCTAAAGACTTAGCCTCTTCTTGAATATTTTCACTATTTTCTTTATTTTCTTCTAAAGCTGAATTATCTCCAGACTTTGGATTATTTTCAAAAGTATAATCTTTCTCAATTTCATTTAATTTTTCTGCTGATTTTTCTACTTTAGCTTGACTTAATGAGGAATCTTGCTCTTTTTCTTTATTTTTTTCGTCACAAGACCCATAATCACTTGACGAAAAATACTCGGACTCACTTCAATTTTCATTTTTTGCTGGAAAACTTGAGTCAAGAGCTGCCTGATTTTCAAAATTTTTCTTTTCTATTGGCTGAATAACAGGTATTTCATACGTGAATTCTTCAGGGCTTTTAATTTCAACTATTTTACCAGAATCAATCCTGTTTTCCACAAAATTCAGAGATCTTTCTGATATTGATCTTCTTAAAAGTGTCTCATTTAGACTCGGCTTGCTATTTTTATACAAATTTCCTTGAGTTTTTGGCCTTGCGAACAGTAACTTATTATCAATCCCTAAAAATACACTATTTTCTTCAGAGTTTTGCCCTGTAAACCTTCCTTCTAGCATAAGTTCTGGCATCTCCTCAATTATTGACTCTTCTTTATGATTTTCATCAAAACTTATAGGCTTACACGCAAATTTTGGTGTGCTGACACTTATCAAGCTTTCTCTATCACTTTCATTTAAATTGCTGATATTTAAAATTTTCGACTTTTTGAATTCCATTGAATCTTCTACTGATGGCAAACTTTTTCTGTCTTCTCTGCTGGTTTCTTCTGCACTTTGCAAGCTTTGTCTGAAATTTTGTAAAGCATCTAATAAATCTTGTGAGGTGTCTGAGCTCCCTGGCGGGTTTTCTATATGAATATTCATTCCTTTTGCTTCTTCTGAATTCTTTTCTTCGCTTGTTTTATCATAATTAACTTGAGATATTACTGGCTGTATGTCTTCGTCTACATTAACAATTTCATAAAAAGGGCTTTGCACCCTTTTAGGTGTTGAGTAATTTGAAATTTTTTTGCCTTCTTGTTTTGAAACTACCATCAATGAATTTATTGCAAAATTTGCATCTCGCTCGTCTATTGTTCTGAGAGTCTGGGTTTTGATTGTTTCATTTTCTTTATCAATTTTTTTTCAATCAGGGACTTTCTCTTCCTCAAGCTTATTTTTTTCAAGATTCTTTTTCTTTAACTTTTGCATATTTAGCTTGTCTTTCGGGACACTCATATATCTATGCCTTTTAAAATGGGATCTGGACGTTTTTGAATCTTCACTGGCTCCTCGTTCAGATCTGGTTTCCCGCATTGACCATTCACTGCTGGACAATTCTTCTGTATGCTGAGAGCTTGCTATAAATTTTTCAACGGACTCAGATACAGGATTTAAGCCTCTTGACAAAGCTGATAGGTCTTCTTTATTGACTTCTCTAGAACTGTTAACACTTTGAGAAGGAGACGACTTGTTCCTTGGCTTCGCTAAAGGTGGGACAAGGCAGAAGTCTTCTGATTCTTTAGATTCTGATAGGATTTTTACGCCAAAGGTGGTATGAGTAGTCATAAATGATATTAAGATATGGTTAGAACGGTATTAAGAATATTAATAAGAATTAGGGTTTTAGAAAAATAGAAAATTGGCTTTATTTTATAGTAAATATGCAGAATACCCAGATTTTAATTAGTGTTTTTCATGAAAATGAAAACGGAGGGAAATTCGGGTTATCTCAATGTCCAGGGAAAAACCTGAAAAAAGGAAGGGATGGAAAAGTGCACCAAAGGAGCATTGTAGAAGATTTAGAAAATTTTAAGGCGCGCGGGGTTTCTGTAATTGTTTGTTTATTGAACATTTACATTAACTTAAGTATTTAAGGCACCTAGTGCCAGTCCCAAAAATAGAGACTTGGCCCGACTAGTGATGCCATGGGACATTGTATCACTTAAATGGCGCATCACATGGGCAGACTTTCCAAGACAATGTCGTCGCCAACCGTTTGTTATTAAACAATTATGAGTTACGATCAATAGGAGTCAATCCAACTGTATACCAAGACTCCGCTAAAAGGCTTGATATTACACTTATACAGTATCCTATAATTGAAATGAGCGTTCCTGAATCATTTGAAAGTATGGACGAACAAGTAATTTTCCCTATAATAAATTTTGCAAATGAAGGGAAATTTATTGATATCCACTGCAGAGGAGGAATTGGGAGATCTGGACTAATAGCGGCTTGCTTATTTAAAAGACTAGGAGTTTTTAGCAATCCTCATGAAGCTATCAAATTTGTGAGGAAAAAAAGAGATAAACGCTGTGTAGAGAGCCAAAATCAATACAGCTTTATTGTGAGATATTTTAATTTATAACTATTTTTTAGATTTATTTTATTAATTTATATCATTACTTATTATTTTTTTTTCTGTGGTGCTCCAATTCTAGAAGGCCTAGCTTTTTCACTAGCACTCGGTCTTAAAGGTGGCAAACCTCCCGAGGCACTTTTTACCATTTCACTAAAACTCTCTTGTAAGCTTGGAGCTACTAAATTCCTCTCTGAAGCTCTATTAAGCCCTTCAAGCATGCTTGCCTTCGGCGTCGTTCCTCTGTTATCGCTACTTCTTGTATTTCTCCTTACCAATCCGCTAAAGCTATTCGTCACTGTAGTATTGAGTGAATGCTTTGGTGTAGAATGTTGGCTATCAAACACAAAAGACTGGTTAGGTGTAGACTCGCGGCTTCTCAATGTAAGGGCTCCTCTTCTTGTAACAGTGTCGAATTCTGCTTTTGGCGTTGATTCCCCTGAGTTGTCTCTTGATAGTTTTCCTGACATTGCTTTTGATGCAAGCCCAGCGAGCGAAGAAGGCATGATAAATGAACTGTTTGGAGACCGATTTGGAGACTTTGTTTCACCTGTGTTTATAGTTGACATCCTCAATGTGGGTTTTCTTGCAGATTTTCGTTCTCCATATCCCATTAATTCAAAAATAGTTTGCTTTTGAGGTCTGTCTTCAGTATATATAGCTGCTACCTCAGGGAGAATAAATGGTCCAAGGCCATATTTTCCGATACCATTTCTGAGCATGATTCTGATGATTGCGTTTCTATTGAGAGGTTGGTCGTTGCATATGGCTTTTGCGTCATTATAAATGGCTTGAAGTTTTTGAGATGTTAGAGTGTTGCTATAAGTTCTGATAATGTCTTCAAAAGCATCAAATTCATAGGCATCAGCTTTTGGAACTTCTTTGTCTAAAAATAATGTATCTTTTTTCTGTCTCGTCATATAAACCTCAATTAAAGCTGTCATTTATCATTGCTTACTTATAAAAGACTACCGATTCCTGAAGGATAGCTCCTAAATCTTGCCGAAAGAAGGCGTGCACTCGCTATCCGGTAGTTTTAAGAGTTTTATACCTCATGTCAATATAAGCTTATTTTTTTAAAAATTATAAATTGTTAATTTTGATTGGTCAGGGGGAAAATAAACGCTGGCTTTGCTGAGAGATCCTTTTCAACTCTCTACTTCATTTCTCATAACTCAAAACCTAGATTTAGATTTGGTATGTAGCCAGCTAAATCAAAATTGCGCTTTACCACACCATGGAAAACTTTTTATTTAGCCATGAATATGGCAATTTCATATGCAAGCATCTCAAATAGTGGTTTTTTTGAAGACTAAGATGAAGATCTGAATGAAGCTTTAGCTGAGGTAAAATTTTGGAAGTGAAAAGAGGGATGTGATGAAGAAATTGCAGATAAAAAGCAAGTAGTAGGAGACGAACGTTACTAGTAAGAGCATTTGATAGATTAATAGCTTCCTTCGCGTAATAACACAGGAGTGCTTGGATGATCGAGAAGCAGTACTAACCCCTCTATTCATCAAGTTAGTGAGAGAGGAATAGGAATCAAAAGCTTCGAAAAAAGAGCAGCTAATTTAGATAAGAAGATGGAAAAGATGGGAACTGCTAGAGGGCACTTAAGGAGCCAAAATGCCCAAAAACTAAAATTCCAAAGACCCAAGAAATCCAAAAAACTCAAAAAGCCCAAAAAGCGCAAAGACCAAAAATAAAAAATTCAAAAGATACCCAAAAATTTGACAAAAGTGAAGAGAGTAGTGAAAGTGAAGATAGTGATAGGAGTAGCGGAAGTAGCATGGAAAATGCGGTTAAAGTAGTCAGTTGGCAGAGGTGGAGAAGTTGCAAAAGTGATAAGAGCGACTAAAAAAGCAGAAAAAATGTGGGAGTGCATGAAAAAAGTGAGTCAAAAGACTCATTTGGCAGCATTAGGTTGCCTTAGTAAACCCTAAACCCTACCATATAAAACCTTGCCTAATACACCTTTTTAAAGGTCCTTATAAATTCATTAGGATTTCATCTACATGAATGCAGGTTGATTCATCTCTCCATTTTAATGTAATCCAATTAAAGCTGTCAAAAACGTTGCCTTTGATATCAAAAATCTGTCACTTTTATTGCAATCCTGCATATACTTCAGACTAATCCATTTGCAGAATTCATCTTTTGATAAGTCTCCGCTGCCATCTTTATCAATCTTCTCAAAAAGTTTTTTAATTGTGCTCTGAGAAATCCATAAATCTAAAGCGCTATAGGTGCCTCTTACAAATTCTATACAGTCAATGCTACCTCCGCCATCACGATCAAGAATATTAAAAATGCCTTCAGGGGTTTTCCCAAGCTTAGACATACGATGGCAGATTTTGTAGATGACGAATTCTTCGTCAGTAACGTTAGGAGGCTTTAGATGCTCCAAAGTTTGTGTGCCGCTTTCTCTGTCGTTGCTAAACATAGTATATATTAAATCTATTGCGTCAGAAATTTGAGCATAGCCTCCTGCGTAAATGTAGTCGAGGTTGTCCTTTGCTTTGCCAGTCTTGTTTTTATTTTTGAATATAACTGATTTTTCATATTTTTCAATAAGAGGTGCAAATATCATCCTAGCTTTAGTTAAAAATAAAGCTAGCTGATAACTCCCATCTTAAATTCAACAAAAGATAAGCAAAATTTCAATTTTTTGATACTTAACCTTCTTAAATTGGAACAAAATCTTTTTTATTGGAAAATTTTATAAGTAAAAATACTAATTTTATTGCCTAAATTAATGGTAAAGTGCAATTAAAATATTATTTAAACATTTTTCACACTGGATCGATTAAACTTTTTAATTATTTTTTATAAAATAAATTAAAAACTCAAAAATATTGCATTATATTTTACTTTATTTTAAATTTTAAAAAAAAAAATTACCCCACTTAAATTTGAACAGATTTTTTGTTCCAATTTAAAGGGGGAATAAGGAACTGGGGAAGGGTGATAGAGTTGAAGCAATCTGCAATAAAAAGTAGCATACTGATTTCCATTATCAAACAAACTTTTTAGTGACGGAATAATCTGCGACAGCTGTCTCAAAGCAAGTTTTTGTATCCCAAATACTCTTTGTAAATGTTCTAACAAGAACTCAGCTATTTGTCTCGGCTCTCTTCTGTCCCCTATATCTTTAAGGTCTGATTTATACTTTTTCTCCATAAAATCTTCTAAAAATTTCATTAAATTCAGCGGAGTCATAGGTTTTTCTTTATCCATCCCAGCATCTCTCAATGCAATTAAAATCGGATTTTTATTCATCCAATACAACATTTCTTCCTTCAAGAAAATCCCTTCGTCCATCTGTTCGACAACTTCAAAGTCGTCGATTTCTTCCATTTCTTTTTCAATCCACTTCACCTCAGTCATCCATCTCCACCTTTTAAATGCTCGCTCAGGCATTTTCTGCTGGACTTGGCAAAGTCTGCTGATAATAAAAGTTTTTAATTTATTTTCTGTGAATTCTTTTTCGTATTTTTTTTCGATTTCGAGCAATTTTAGCTCGTTTCTGGCTTCGAGGATTTTTAAGTCCCTTATGGAGATTTCTTGGTGCATTAGTTTTATTTGTTGGCTTATGAGAAGCTGGGATTTTTGGATGGCGTTTTCGTGGTTTTCTATGTCAAGGAGAATATTTGACTGATCTTGGAGAGCTTTTTCTTCTTCTTTTTTTAAATCAAACAGAATTTTGTTTTTTGATGAGATTTCTTGGATTTCTTTTTCAATTGTTTTGATGCTTTCTTTCAGCTCTTCAGCTTTATTTTTTGTTTCTATTTCTTTTAGCAATAAATCTTCTTTTCATTTGTGGATTTCTTTATTTTCTTCAATAGAATTCAATAAGTCCTCAATTTTTTGTTGGTATTTTAAAATATCAGTTTCTTTTTGGCTTATTTTATCATTAAGCCATGTGATTTCTTCAGGCTCAAAATAAATTTCTCCAGATTTTACCCCTTCACATGTATGCATTTTAATAAAATTTAATACTGTGAAATCTTAAATAAGCTTTATAATTGATGAATAAAATAGGGCAATTATATAAGAAATATTAAATTGATCATGCAAAATTTAATAATTTTAAGTTCTTCTTTTTCAACTGTTAGCTCTTCTATTTTAAGTTCTAATTGAGTAATTTCTTCTTTTTTGTCTTTTATGTATTTTATGCACCCTTGATAGTCAAAAATCCTTTGGATAATTTCTATTTGAGTTAGCCTATCACATCGTTCTTTTAATTTATTTGTCAGAATTGTCAAATTATCCCCGGGATCTTCATTCAGCATATCTTCATTTTCTCTTATTTCATTTATGGCTTCTAACAGCAAAGGAAAATGCTTCATATCATTTTCTAAGTCGTGGATGCGTTCGTGGATCTTAGATCTTATTTTTTCATTTTTTACTATAAGCTCTTCTAAAGTTTCATTAAGCATGTTTGCATATTTGTTTTCGGCTACTGACTCTTTTAGTCTTACTCTTACCTATGCTGTTTTGATACTTAATTAATAGATGAATATCCTAATATTATTATTTAACGGTTATCGCCCACTATATTACCAATTACAATATCCTAATATAATAAAATTTTCACTAATTTAAACAATAATTATTATATATAAAGCAGCTTTTTTTTAAAAAAATAATATCGCTAAGATTGTACTAATATCAACACAAAGAAGCTACTTGTATAAAATCTCTGTTTAGATCTGTTGAATTTGCAAGGGACATTGATTCTGTTAGCAGTGCTGTACTTTCAGGTAAGTGCGAAACATAATGATTTAAGCACTGCAAAAAATTTCTTGCTCTTAATTGTTCCTGATAAGCTAAAAATTCTAATTTTTCACCAGGCTCGATTTCATCAAGCACAATTTCATGCTTTCTAAGCTCAATGATTTCTTCATCTTTTGCACATTGTAATTTTAACTCTTCAATTTCAGCTTTCTTTTTTTTGACGAGTGAGATTGATGAATTTCCGCAGCCCATATTATAAAATTATTTGGAAAAAAGAAAGAAATAACGGATAAACTATGTTCGCCAAGGATCCAAAAGATTTTTAATAAAATGCTGATTTTTATTATTCTTATTATTAAAATATTAATCAATTAGGTTCTTAATTCTCCCATTTAAATTGGGGCAAAACATTGGTAAAATTAAATTCCTTTAAATTTAAACAAAATGTTATTAATTGGAACAAAATTAAATAGCAAATTTTATAGGTGAAAATGCTAATATTTATATCAATAGCTTTTACCCAGCTTAGTGGAAGAAGTGGCTGGTAGAATGCTATTTAGACAGTTTTCTCATTGAATCGATTAATATTTTGAATTAATTCTTCATAAAATAGATAAAAATTCAAAAATATTGCATTAAGAATTTTTTTCCAATTTAAAAAAGGAGAGTAAGTAAATTTTAATGATAACCATAGGCTCTTTACTATATACATTAATATGAAGGAGGCAACCAGCTAACCTCTTGGTGCAAATTTCTCAACACCTGCAGGAAATGCCCAGGTGGGGAAACCAAGCTGAGAAGCAGGTCTGCCATTGGGGTAGGTTTTCTCGTGCCTCAGAGAGCTAATCCCTGAGATATGGGTTTTAAGTCCGGAGATATTTGGGAAGGGCAAGATCAGTAAAGTTCAAGATGGTAGAGAGATAAGACTCCTCACAGAGACCCCAAGATAGCATGTGCCTAACACGATAATGAGTTGTGTCCAGAGGAATCAGCCCTTTTAGGGCTTCAAGCCAGAATTTCAATCCGGTTGCGCAAGACTCTCCAGTCTTGTCTGCCGGGTCCCTCAGGGACAATGAGCATGTATGGGTGCAATCCCTGACACGTGCTATGATTGTGAACGTCATAAATTAATTAATCAGCTCTTTGCTGAAAAATATAAATTTTTGAAATATCACCAAAATAATTTACAATCTGATATCTTTTAATTACTAATAAACTAAGATTTATACATCCCTACTCATTAATTCCTTATTGAGCATTTTTTAATTAAAAATATATCATATTTTGTATTTAATTTGTCTTTTACTTTAAGCTATTTATAAACCATTTATCATGAAAAAGCATATTTTTTAAAAATCTCTCTATTAATTGAAAACAAAAAATTTATTAAATTAAATTTCTTAAATTATTAACCCATAGAAACTCTATCATATTTCAGTTCTGGCTCTTTAATAACCACATATTCAAGCTCAGATTTCATTTCAGGCTCTTCTAGCCATGGTCTAAAAATAACCAAAATAATTGGGATACAAATCGTACTAAGCCCAATGACAAACCACATTTTATAGCAATTTGAGTTATCGTCTTCAGGACAATACGCCTCCAATAAGCTTCCAGAAAAAACTCCTGTCAAAATCATTGCAAAATAAAACGGGCAATTACAAAGTGCTAAATAAATCCCTTCAGTTCCTTTTGGAGCTATTTTTACAGTATAATCCAAAAGCCTAGGAATTCATATACACTCACCACATGAAATAATTATCACAAATATCATGCAAAACATGGAATTCATCCCAAAAACTAAAATCAATGGAGCAATTGCCCCCAAAAAGCCGCCAATTACTATGAGCGCATAGCTAGAAAGCACAAAGGCAAGTGGTGTAAATCCTAACGCTCCAACCAGCATCGTTATAGAATGTAATGCTAAATACGCCCCAAAATGAGCTTTACCACCAGACTGTCTTACTAAATACTTACTCCCCCCCCTCCGTGAGTGAACAAAAAAATTTTTGTTCACTCACGGAGGGGGGTTAATTTTTTTTTTTTTAAAAAATTTATATATAAATTTTATAAAAAAAGTTTTTTCGAAATTTAAAAAAATCCTAATTCGCAAAAATTGGAACGCAAATATTAATTTAATTTATAAAATTTATGTTTTTAAATAGCAATTCGTTTAAAATTGAACAGAATTAGCTCTAGATTTCATTATACTAATTATCATTTATATATCAAATTTTTTTCCATAAAAAATTTTTCTATTAAAAAAATTTTTGTTCACTCAAAAAATAGGATTTTTCTAATGGTTTTGTTCACTCACGGAGGGGGGGGAGTTAGGAAAAGTTGCGTCTAAGTGTCCAAAGCAGCCACTTCTGAGAACTGTAATTAACAGTATTGGGTGAGACGTGCGGTCAAGGCTGGCGGCGAAGCTTTGATAGAAGGCTTGGGCCTGGGCTGACCAGGTTAATCCAAGATGGCTCGGTAACGTCACTAGTCTGGCTTAGACCCTTTTTATAGGGGTGCGGGCACTATACACCTTAAACACCAATAATTAGTAAGTAAGTAAGTAATTAACAGTATTAGTGCTGAAAATCTGATGAATTTTTTGGATTTAAATAGCTCAAAAGAAAATTGCACTTCTTCAGTTTCTTCCTCCTCTATATTTTCTGTAGGATCAGTTATTGTAAAAGATACAACCAATGATAAGCCAGCAGCCACCGCAGCTGTGAAATATATTAGAAAATATGCATGGTCTAAATCTGTATCAGTGATCCAAATTCAATCAATAGAAACCCCTGCAATGATTCCGGAAAAAAAATTCCCCATCATAAGAAGAGAATTACTAGTATTTCTTGCTTTTTCGACTGTAAAAAGTTTTGCACCAAGTTCAACTGAAGACCAAGACATCGCGCAGCCAACTGACAAAAATAAAATATTCGCTATTAGGTTTACTATCAAATTTCTAGTGCTCAAAACCATTAAAAAACCAATTAAAGTAAAAGCACTAGCACAAATCAAAGATTTTCTGCAGCCAAATCTGTTTATTATTGGACCTAAAATTATTGCGAAAATCCCAATCACTATTCCTACTAGGCCAAAAATAACCCCTGCTGCGGTATCAGAAGTGCCTTGTTCTTGTGTGAAATAAAGTGGTATCATGGTTGTCAATATGTAGTATACCTTTAATATTTGAAATTAATGATGAAAACTATAAAGGTTAAATTTTAATAGTAATTTTTCTATTTATATATAAAAGATATAGTCCAAGCTGAGTAAAATGTTGATAATATAGACTGAGAATAACTCGAAATGTGATTGCCCAATTATGAACAATGTGTTTGTAAATTCCATTCATGGGGATTGTTTTTTTGCTTTTAAAGATGTGAATTCATTTATTTTTCCTATTAGTTTTTGCCTTTCTTTAGGGTCGGAAGATGCCATTACCATTTATAAGTCGTTTTACAACAATATTTTTAACTGCTTAATATTATGCTTGCTATGCGAAAAGCTGCATTTTGTATTCAAATAAAAATTTATGATCTTGTAAATAGATAAGTAAAATATGATCAAAATAAAAATTCATAATGGTTAGGCTGAATTTATTATAATTTATTGCAAGGAATAAAGAATTTGAATGTGAATGAGAAATAACTAAAAGAATTGGCCTGAATAGTATTTTTATTTTCTGGTAGAGTTTTGTTTGGATGATAAAAATATTTGTTATTTATAAAATATGAAAATAGCATTCTGGAAGGACAATATTGATAAGTCCATATCTTAAAAATTTTAAGGTTGCTCTGCTTAATTGAAATAATTTAATAAATAAAGAGGATTTTAAAAATATAGCTTTAAAGAAAATCATATCATTTAATTCATTTTTTGAGAAATTTGAATTGCTTTTGAATAAAATATATATGGTAACAGAAAATAGATTTTTTAGACAAATTGCAATAAAAGAAATTTTCTTTTGATATATTTGATTTCTATTTGAATATAGTTGTTAAATATTCCTAAAAAATATTAATTTCTGAGAAGATTTTAGTATTCTTTAAATTCTATTTCTAATTACGCTAGTAGGATACAGAATATAACCAAATATTAGGATAGATAAGTATTTTTTATGTTAAACCAGTTATTTTAAACAATCTAAGCCATATTTTTACAGTCTTTTTAAATATAAAAAATGTTTATTTATATCTAATATATAACTAAATATCCACATATATAAAAGCACCCAAATAAGAATTCTGATTTTACAATTTTTAGTAAGTACTAAATAAATTGAATAAATTTATATTTAAAATTTTCAATTTTTGCCATCACATTATGACACTTTCAATATAAAATTTCTTATAAAATTTTATTCAAAATTCAAAACTCAAACAGAAAATTTATTAATATTTTTTAACCACATCATAAGATATTTAAATTATCTTAACTCCATTATATTAATTTTCAAATATATATGGAAATAGTAGAATTTACTGAACATATATTAGAATCGTCTCAAAATTAAAGAATATATTTTATCATTAAATGTCTGTAAAAAAGGCACTTAGTTCTGACAAGTTACTTAAATCGTCAAAACTTTCAGTAAAATTTGTACTTTCGCTTCCTACATCTTCTGATTCTTCTTCATATTCAGTATCACTGCATATGTTGAAATTGTTTCATACATTTAATAGGTCTTGGGACTTTTTTACTATTTCTTCGTCCCAAAGTTCGTAATTCAGTGATGATAATAAAACTTCTTCTAATACTGACAGCTCTTTGGCGTTTATGTGGCCAAGTTTAGCAAGGTCTTCATAAGGAAACTTATTATCTTCAGTAAACTTTAAGGCAATTATTAGGGCTGTAAAAGTAAGCCTAAATAAGTTGGAAGCGTTTATCACGAACCTGGGGAAGTTTTTAACTCCCCCTTCCGTGAGCGAATAAAAAAATCTTGTTGCTCTTAATTTTTTTTTCGAAATTTAAAAGGATCCTAATTTGAAAAAATTAAAAAGCAAATATTAATTTGTAAAATTTATGTTTTAAAACGTGATTTGTTTAAAATTAAACAGAATTAGCTAGAGATTTCATTATACTAATTATAACTTATATATCCAAGTTTTTTCCATAAAAAATTTTGTTCACTCACTAGGTGTTTGGGCAAAAAATAAGGATTTTTTAATGATTTTGTTTGCTCACGGAGGGGGGAGTAAGTAGCTTTTCAATATACAGGTATGCTAACTCCCCCCCGTCCGTGAACAAAAAAAATTTTGTTCACTTACGGAGGGGGGTTAATTTTTTGTTTTTTAAAACAATTTATATTGTTTTTTCGAAATTTAAAAAAATCCTAATTCGTATAAATTGGAAAGCAAATAAAATTTATGTTTTAAAATGCAATTCGTTTAAAATTAAACAGAATTAGCTCTAGATTTCATTATACTAATTATCATTTATATATCAAAATTTTTTTCCATAAAAAATTTTTGTTCACTCACGGAGGGTGGGTTTTTGGGCAAAAAATAGCGATTTTCTAATGGTTTTGTTCGCTCACGGAGGGGGGGAGTAAGGCAAAAACTGTATCGCAGCAGTCAAGTTCATCTTGAATGTATTCAAGATAGGCAAACAAATGGATTGACAAAGGTCGCTCTACTGAAAATATTTCTAAATGCTGGACCTCTGAAACTTGATTTGAAATTTTTTTGATCAACATGTGGCTCATAGCCTCAAACTTCGTCATATTTTTACAACTAATTTAAGAATGACAATTATTTATCAATTGAAAAAATTTTATAACCATGAAATTATAAATCTTCTTACTCCCCCCATCCATGAGCGAACAAAAAAATTGTGTTCGCTCACGGAGGGGGGTTAATTTTTTTTTTTTTAAAAAATATTATATAAAAATTTTAAAGAAAAATTCTTTTTGGAATTTAAAAAAATCCTACTTCTCAAAAAATTGGAAGGCAAATATTAATTTAATTTGTAAAATCTATGTTTTAAAACGCAATTTGTTTAAAATTAAACAGAATTAGCTCGAGATTTTATGATACTAGTTATCACTTATATATCAAATTTTTTCTATTAAAATAATTTTTGTTCGCTCGCGGAGGGTAGGTTTTTGGGCAAAAAATAGGGATTTTCTATTGATTTTGTTCACTCACGGACGGGGAGGAGTTAGATTTTTCTTGGTTTTAATCTTTCAAGCTTGGAATTTTTTTTTTATTTTTTATATATTTACTGACTCAGTGAAACATGTAAGGATATCAGAAATTGAATGTGTTGTGGTCGAATAATGAGCAAAGGGTCGATATAGTCGCCACTAAAATGGAAGAGGGATTCTAGAATCGAATATTGAAATATTATTAAATGGTTGATAATATGGAGACTTGGAAAGTCATTATGGCGAAAAGCTATAATAAAAAATTACTTTTCATGTAATTAATTTATGGTGGAATAAAATTTTCAATATCATCAAAAATATTTAAATAATCTTTAAGACGGTTATATTTTGCGGCTTACCCTTTAATGTAGAGTCTTTTAAAAGTAATGAATAGTTTGAAGCATTATATTTTTTCAAATCATTTAAATCCCTTATTAAGATTTTGTTAATATCGATATAGAAGTTTGCTAAAGCAGTAAACCAGTAGATTTATGATTCCTTAAAAATAGATGCTTATGCTTAAGAAAAAAGTCAGAAAAATAAGACGTTATAGAAATACAGTAAATTCATTCTTAAATTAATTATTGTCAGAATTTTCTGGAATAGGGTGTACTGCAATCGGATTATATTCTTTATATGACTTAGTTTAAAATATGGCATTCTGCTTTATTAATTTGCATTTCTCTTATCAAAAATCAATTAAAAGTGAATAATCAATAAAAACACGTAGAGGGAGTAATTATCATTAATATGATTAAACAACGCTTAAACGAAGTTTTAATCATTTTAGACACCATAGACATTAAAGACCATCAATAGCCTTAATTTTAATTGTAAAATAAGATCATTTATTAAATTTTCCTATAAATGTTCAGCAAATTATTCTAGGCTTGTGGTTTATCAAGAGTATTAAAATTTTTATTGAAGTTTGGCGTATGCATTAATTCTTTCCCCTCCTATAAAATATGGAATTTTTTCATATAAAAATATTATTTTTAAGTATCCTAGCTTTGAATATAAAACATAAATTTTATAAATTAATTAACTATACTTTCCATATGATATGATATTTAAATTTTATATAAAATGATTTAATAACAATTTATTTTAAAAAATAATGAGGTATAATTAAGAATGGAAGTTTAGATTAGATGATTTTGAAGATTCCGCTCAAAGAAAAATGCTTATGATCGCTTCAAACCTTGCATTTAATTCTGGCTACTTATTGCTTATTATAAGCATTTTTCTCAATTTCAAGACAATCTTATGATAGCTTATAGCTCTCATTAAAACGCCTCTAATTAAAACCCAAATATATAACATGGACAAAGGAGACAGTTTTGATATGGAATGGGAAGACGACATCAATAACAACCTCTGAGAGCCAGTTGCTGACTTTATAGACGCCGGAGCATCAGCGATTTCTTCTTTCCCAATCAACATAAAATCCTCAGGCACAAATACCAAAGCAGTTTCATTCACTGTCACATCTAACTATGATGCATCTGCCTACACATATACAGGCTTTACCGATTATAAAAGCACTCGAGAAAACTACTCTTATGAGCCTCTTAACGCTGAACTGCGGCAGCGTAAAGAAGGCACTCCTGTAGGCTTGAAAAACAAAGGCAGCACTTATTTTTTCAATTCTTTGATACAAACTTATTTTATGATTCCAAAACTCGTTCAAGAAATCCTTCAGTTTAAAGTCCATCCTGCTCAAGAAAATTCTGAATCAGGAATAAAGCAAGCAAGCGTTAAATTGGTCCAAGAATTGCAAAAACTGTTTGCGTTCATGATAAGAAGTAATAAAAAATACGTTGACCCTGCAGGTGTATTATAGAATTTTTTAGTGTAAATAATAAAAAAAAAAAAATGGGTTATATTTTATTAAATTTAATGAGAAAAAGGATAGATGCAATTGTGGATGATTTTGGCAAAAAAGTATTTATTGGGATGAACACAGATATAGGGGAATTCAATATGACTCTTGTAGCAAGAATTGAAGAAGGATTAAAAGCAAAATTTCCACCTGCAGCAGCAAGCAAGACTGAAGCACCAGAAGCTATAGAAAAAACACTTATGAAAAAATGACTCAGCTCATTGCTAGGGGCTAATCTAGCAAGCCAAGGATACGTTTCTCAGCTATTTTATGCAAAACAGCTAGATATAGTAACTGCTACTAATGAAGATGGAAGCCCATTTCTCCTCAGAAAACCCTCACTCCCCCCCGTTTAAATTGGAGCAAAATATAGGTAAATTTCCACTTTTTTGGTAAATTAACCCCCCTTAAAATTGGAACAAAAATTTAATTTTATAATAAAAAATTTTATATATATAAATCATAATTTTTATGTAAAAAGTTTTGATATAATTTAAATGTTTCTTCTTAACTAAAATTAAAAAAATTTAGTTGTATCCTGCTCTTGTTTAAAGAATAGAGTATAAAGAGCATCTTATTTAAATAAATTTTATTATCCTTAATTGTAAATTTTTAAAAACATTTAATTTTTTGTTTTAAAAAAATTTTATTTTTTTGATAAAAATGTAATTTTTTATTTAAATAGCTTTGATATATACGAATTCTTTACAAAAATTCAAAATTTACTTATCTCTTGCTTTATTTTAAAGAATAGAGTATAAATAACATCTTATTTAAACAAAATTAGCACTTTGATTAATAAATTTTCTAAAATTTTTTTTTTTTAATGTTTTTTGATCAATAAAAATAATAATTTTTGCGTAAATAGTTTTGATACCAATTAATAGTGGCGCATTAATTAATAATAAAATTTTAGTTTATATCTTGCTTTGTTTTAAAGGATAAAAGAGTAATTATCATTTCATTAAACAAATTTATTAATCTAATTCGATAACTTTTTGAAATTTTTTTTTATAAAAAATTTTTCTTAACCCCCCTTTAAATTGGAACAAAATTTTTAGATCCAATTTAAAGGGGGGGGAGTCAGTCTTTGGAAAAATCGAGCTAAGTGTATATGAAAAAAATTTATATAGTGCTTGGGATACTTTAAATTACTCAAAAACCGATGAATATTGGATTGAGGAATACAAAACTTCAGCTATAAAAGAAAAATGGATTGAAAAACTCCCAGGGATGCTGCTATTTCAAATAAATAGAACTTATATTTCTGGCAAGGAAAAGTATAAATGCTATAACCAATTTTCATTTCCAAAAATTATTTACCCAGACAGATTTCTGCTCGAAAATAAAGAACTAAGCATGAGTAGGAGGAATATTTTGTCTGATTTAATTGAAAAATGCAAAGAACTTGAAGCTGCTATTGATATATTAAGTTACTTTAATCTTCAAAATATTATAATTTTTATTATCTTAATTTTATATATAAAAATAAGTCCATCATAATAAAAAAATAATTAAATTTAAATAAATTCAAAATAAATTTAAAAATTATAAAAGTGGCGGAGTCAGCCTTGATGTCCTTTTTGAAGAGACCGGAAAGCTACTAGAAGAGCAATTTATCCCTCGAGATGAAATAGAAAATCCTTACCCCGACTTGCAGCTTTGGGTGCCTGAAAATTTAGGGATGAGTCCAGATTTTCTTGATGAAATTTCTCCAGTGAAAGAATATTTAACAATTCTTGCATCAAATGCCAGTGAAAAAGTAAAAGATATGGAACGTCAGCTTGAAGAGCTGACAATGCAAATTCAGAGCATTTATGATATTGAGGAGCTAAAAAAGCACCAATACCATTTACATTCTATTATAATTCATGATGGATCTCTAGGCTCAAGCTATTATTATGCTTATGTTTTTGATGCAGAATATGAGCAATGAAGAAAATATAACGACATTTATGTAAACGATGTCACTGAAAAAGAAGTCATGGAGTATGCAACTGGTGGAAAAGACCAAGCAACTGCACACTGCTTAATTTATATTGACAATTCTCTAATCCCAAAAATACCGAAAGGCTTACTAAGGAGCTATACACTTAGCAGCAAGACAGAACTTGTCACAGATCATTATAAGTCTCTCATTTCTAGTGAACTTAAACAAATAGTTGAAGAAGACAATCAAAAATATGAGGAAGAGCTTATGGAGTTTAAAGTTTCAAGCCTAGTAAGAAGAATCACTGATTTTTATGCTATGAGACAATCCCAAGCTTTTGCTCAATTTCTTTCATTTAGAAACAAAAAGCAAGGAACCAAAGAGTTCACGAGGCATGAATTAATTAATTTTGCTGTATGACTCAAAGTCAGAGGTGAGGAACAGCTGAGCAGATGGTTTATTTTGGACTTGGCTGTAAAAGATTGCACACCTGACAAAAGAAGTTTTGAAATGCTGAATGAAGATGAAATTCTCTATGTAAGACTGAAAAAACAGCTTAAAATAATTAGAGAGCCTCCTTTTATAGTCGTTTTAACTGAAGAAAATAAACAGACGTTAGAAAGAGAAAAAGCAGCATTTTACAAGGCATATTTTCAAGCATCACTCTGTACTTATATAATGGAAAATTTAGTCCAAGACAACTTAATAGCTGCAGCTCATGGAATAGTATGAATTTTATCGTTTGGCCAAGGCGACCCATCAGAGTATTTGCATCAAATTTATAAGCTAAACCAAGCTTTAACGTTGAGAATAACATCTCATATTATTAAATGCTTAAAATCCAAGAAAAATGATGGGCTAATTAAACTAGCCAATTATGGAGCATTTTTAGTGTCAAAATACTTTGAAAAATCTAACCCATTTTATGAGCAGTTCCAAAGAAGACTAAAATCAGCCTCAATATTAGCAGAAAATGAGCATAATGGAAATTCTGAAGCAGCCCAAACTTTATGCATTTTTAGATGATATTTGCAGCATTTTTTGGTATTTTTTTTAAATTATTTATTACTATAAATTTACTATAAATAGTATAAATAAAATCAGCGAAGATTTAAGCAGCAGCCAATATAGCTACGAATTCGAAAAAGAAGAAATTCCAGAATCTTTAAAAACAATTGAGAAAAAGTTTGAAAGCTTTGACTACTTTTCGTGGATCGAAGGCTGGCGCAAAGAAGAAGTTGCAAATTCTTTTATCAGCGCCCAAACAAGCCTATCGAAATCCAAGTTCAACTTATGGATATCCCTCAGTGAAAAACTTACTTCCAATGGTCCAATTGATGACTATGAGTTTGATCAAGCCGACAGTTTATCAAGTGACGAAGAGTCCCAATAATCTTAATTTTTCTATTTCTAACTCCATAATAGTCTAAAAAATTTTGTTCGGTTATAGAGTCTTTGTTTAAAAAAATTTATATGTAAATTTGAAAACTGAATTTAAAAAAATTCCAACTCACAAAAATTTGAAAGAAAAAATTAGTCTAATTTGTATTAAATTATACAGAATTAGCTCGAGATTTCATTGTAATAATTATCATCTATATGTCGAGTATTTTTTTCATAAAAAAATTTTTGATAGCTCACTATGTGGGTATTTGGGATTTTTCCAATGGTTTGTTCGTTCACGGAGGGGATTAAGAAGAATTATCCAATTGAAATTAAATTAATGGTGATGGTGGTGCTTTTTGGCTTTCTTAATCTTTTTCTCAAGCTCATGGTGCTCTTCATGCAAATTATGAATTTCTCCTTTAAGTGTTCTTCTTTCATTGCTCAAACTCTGAATTGTTTCCTTCATATCTGCAATTCTTTTTAATATAATAATAAAATGGCTACGTACAGAATTATTTCTCTTCGACAACCCTTCCTCCTCAACAGTTTGTTATTAACGTGGACCTTTATCCACAGTACAAATATGGATTACCGATACGTAATTTGTTGGTCCAAGAGAGAATGAAGAAATATGATTTTTACTGCCTGACAAGGGTGACTCTTAAGCGAAAAAAGCGCTGGGACTAGATTCGAGCGAGTTTAACGCGTCCAGTGAAAACTCTCTGGAATGCTTGCAAGACAAGATGGCTACTGACTTCACTAGTTGGGAGTTAAAAGAGTGGGTAGCGTCTATATCAGCCAAAGAGACACTTTAAAATCTAAGCAATTCTCTTTTTCCAGTCAGCTTCTAATGTATGGACTTCAGCCTCTTTTTCAGAAATTTGTTTGGCGACTTCATTTTCTTGGCTTTGGTCGTCATTTGCAATGATATGCTTTAATTCTTCTCTTTTAGCGTGTTTAGTGGCTTCTAAACCTTGGATTTCTTTGCTGATTTCTGCGTTGAGGCCTTCTTGGGCTGCAATTTGTTGGTTGAAGTCTTCTTCTGTAATAGGGTTCAAGGCTTCAATTCTGGCTTTCAATGTTTCAGTTAAGGTCACGATTTGTGATTCCTTGCTTCTAGTTTAGAGATAAAATGGTGACATTGACGGAAATTGGACTCAGAGGCGCACCTCCTATGGAGCTGGTAGGACCCATTGCTGATGAAGCTGAATATACAGGTCTCATTCCTGTCCTAAGTAGGCCTTCAGTTGTGGGAAGCCGTGCCGAAAAGGAAATTTTATTTCTCCTCCGAAGGTTTTCCCTGTCCCTGCCAGATGGGCTAGACAGGTTTTTCCTACCACATGGTCTTCCTTCATCGGGACCATCGGGGCACTCAGACAGAAGTGGCTCTGCCCAAAGGAGCTGATCCCTTGGACAGGTGGTTTTGACCAGAAATCAAGATGGCGTCAGGCCTGGGAGTATGGTCTCATCAAAACCCGACCTGGTGTCGTCTTTCGAGCTGAGGTGTTGAGGTCCGCTGGTTTCGCCCACGTATGGCCTTTTAAAACTAACTAACTAACTAACTAACTAACTTGCTTCTAGTTTGGTTTTCATAGGCAGCTCTTTCACTTTGTTTTATTTCTAGCTGTTTAAGCAACTCTTCCTGCTTGTCTTTGGCTTCATCTAATTTTTTACCATAATTAGCAGCCTTGCAGTCCTGTAAAAACTTGGTTTGAGAGGCAGTTTCGTCCACAATTGCTTGGTTTGTCTTTTTAGCTTCAGCTAATTCAGCTTCATACCCTTCCACAGTCCCTTCAGTCGCTATATCTGCCAAATCTTTTTCCAGATCAGCAATCAGCGAGTTCTTTTTTTCAACAGTATCCTTCAAATCGTCAATTTTTTCTTTCAGCTGGTCACAGTCTTTGGTTAATTTTACCTTTTCTTCTAATTTTTGCTTTAAAGCTGCAATCTTTTTTTCTTCTTCAGCTTTTTGAGTATCCAAAGCTTTGACTTCTGCTGTGAGTTTTGAAGATTCTCCATTGACTTCTGTGAGCTTCTTGCTGACGTCATTTCTCTCAGCTTTTTTCTTTTCCCATTCCTCTTCAACTTCTTTGATTTTGGCTTCTAGGGCGGCGATTTTTGTATTAGAATCTTGATCTGCTTCCTTTATGTCTTTTTCAAGGTCTTTTATTTCGTGCTTCAGTTTTTTGTTCTCGTGCTCCAGTGATTTGATTTCATCGTGAGTAGTGGACTTCTTAATCTTCCGTTTTAGAAAGAGACTGATGTTTGCTATAGATTTGGATATTTGAAAACAAAAATTAGGAATTTTTGTTTTTGATTAAACTTTAATATAGCTTGGAGAAAAAAATATACCAAATATTTTATTAATTTTGCTATGGTGATTGCCCGAGAATGGCGCTATTTCTGCTATTCTCTGGCAATACGGAAAAATCGGCTTCACACGGGAACGATTTTCCACGTGTGGAGTTATTTTTTCACACGTGGAAGTCAGGATTCTCATGTGTGAAAAAATGGCTCCACATGTGGAAAATCTTTCTCGTATAGAGCCGATTTTCGGGTGCCCGAGGATGGCGCAAATAGCGCCATCCTCGGGCAATTTCTATAGAAGATATTGGCAATTATTATTTTTTGACGAAATTTGAAAAAATTGTATCGATTTTTATAATATTCGTATTAATCAGAATTTCAAAGATTTTAATTATGAAAATTGAAGAGAAATTATTAGAAAAAATCTATAAAGTTTGTTCTTAATTTTGTGGAAGAGCTAGACAAGCTGCTCTTGATTTCGTTTACTTCGTTTTGGAGCTGATTTTTTTCGTTGACGAATAATTTCAATTGGTCAGATAAAGCCTTGACCTCAGGGTCATTCATACTCGAACCACAGCCCATATTTTTATAAGACTGATTTTATTATCCAAAAATTAATGCAATATAGTGGCGATGAAACTAAGTTAGATATTTTAGACAGGATTTAGCTCCCCCCTTTTAGATTAGAACAAAATATAGGCAAAATTTCCATTTTTGGGGTATTTTAGCTTAAATCGGATCAAATTTTATAGGTTAAAATAATTTAATTTTATAAAATTATTTTTGACCTATTTAATTGAAGAAGTATAAGTATAATATTATTTAAACAATTTTCAGGCTGAATCGATTAAATTTTTTAAATTAATTCTCATCAAAATGAATAAAATATTCAATTTTATTTTTTTTTTAAAATTTTATAAAATTTTTTTATTTTAAAAAATAATTAATATCACTTTAACTTTGTATTAAAAATGGCTTTTTTATTCTAATTTAAGGGGAAGTATTAAGTAAATTTAGTCTCAGTAGAAGTTTATTGATAAGGAAATTTGGTGATGTTTTTCAATTTATTGAGAATAATTATTCGCATGCCTAATAAATTATAACCAAACACCATCTATAAATAAAATCTAGAAAATCTCATCAGACTTAGATTTTATTTATTTTGAATACTATAAAATTTTTGCCATACATTAATGCTAATATCAGGCTACCCAAACCCACAATAAACCTATTTATTTTGATTTTCTTTCTATCCCAAAAATTTTAGCTAAAAAAGGCTTACATTTTCTCACATAATTTTCTTCAGCCAAAACCCTGAATATTAAACAAAAAAGTAATCATAAATTTCCCAATTCAATTTTTTCTACCAGGAATTTAGCCTATCATCTACTAATATGATTGTTTTGTAAAATGGTGGATCAATACAGAATAGGTCGAGCATTTCACACAAAAATCCATCAAATTAACGACTATTTATTTATTGGGAGTAGAAGTGCATTAGACGACGCTCAACTTTTACAATCTTTAAACATAAAAAAAGTTTTGCAATTATTAGATTTTGAGATTCCTGCGGATGATCCCTCAATCGAAATCCACTACATCCATCTTGAAGACAACCCAGATTCAAGCATAATTGAAATTTTGCCTGATTGCATTAAGTATATTCACGATGCTGTTATGAGCCAAACCCAAATTTTGGTCCACTGCAATGCTGGAGTTTCTAGAAGTGGAGCTATTGTAACTGCATGCATCGTAGCACAGATAAAATGCCATTCGGTTAGAGAAATTGGCTATCTCCCTTGGAGTTTGGTTTTTCCTAGAGAAGTTCTGCACAGCAATAGTGGCTTAACTTTGGCCGTGAAGGGCTAGAGGAACTGCTCCTAGGGAAGAAAGAATTAAGGTTTCTCCACTCAGCACACCAAGGAAGGAACCTTAGGTGGAGTACCATAGGAGCTTAGTCAGGTAAGGGCAAGACAAGGCAGTCAGTCTTGAGCAGTTGGCTCGGCTGGTGATATTTATTTAGGTATGAACCCTTTGGCTCATAGGCAATTTTGGTCTTGCTGTCAGGTGACATCACTAATTGGGCCCAAAAGGTCGTTTTAGCCCATAGACGTTCGGAAAACTTTCAATATTAAGCTATTCATAATCTCATACATCATGGCATCTCAACTGTTAAGTTTTGATAAAGCCTTAGAGTATGTCCAAGAAAAGCGAGCCTGTGTAGACCCAAATGAAGGTTTTACAGCTCAGCTGAGAAATTGTGACCCAAGAGATTTAGCTTTGATTTTACTATAGATAAAAAACATTAAATATAAAAATCATGCTCAAAAAAGCATTTACCTCAATAAGTGATAAATTGACCTTAACACCTACAGAAAGGCTGCTTAAAGAAGCAATAAATGATGAAGAAGCAGGGGTTCCTTCAAGCACGCTATATAAGATAGCAGAATTAACTTCACAGCCTTTCGAGTACCCAATTGTTATGAGACACATATGGGATTCGCTGAAATCCTCAAATAAACAATGAAGAAAAATTCTTACTCCCCCCCCCCCTCCGTGAGCGAACAAAACCATTAGAAAAATCGCCATTTTTTGACCAAAAACCCACCCTCCGTGAGTGAACAAAAATTTTTTTAATAGAAAAAATTTTAATGGAAAAAAATTTTGATATATAAGTGATAATTAGTATAATGAAATCTAGAGCTAATTCTGTTTAATTTTAAACAAATTGCGTTTTAAAACATAAATTTTGCAAATTAAATTAATATTTGCTTCCCAATTTTTGCAAATTAGGATTTTTTTAAATTTCGAAAAAAATATTTTTTATAAAATTTATATATAAATTTTTTTTAAAAAAAAAAATTAAACCCCCCTCCGTGAGCGAACAAAATTTTTTTGTTCGCTCACGGAGGGGGGGGGGGGAGTTAAAACGTTCCAGGCTATGGAAATTTTATTCCCTATATAAAAAGCTGACCAATATTTTTTTTATAAAAAAAGCTATAATATCCCTAGGGCATTTCCTTTTATTTCAGTATATTAAAATTCGGATCATCACGATGTGTACAAGAACTACGAGACCGACTTGAAGAGCTTCGTAGATTTACCCAATTTTACGCAGTTGATAAAGAAGGAAACAGAGTCACTCAAGTGAGTGAAAAAGCAAGAGAATTGACAAATATTTTATCAGATTTCTCTTTAATTGAAACTGAAAGGGAAAATGCAAGAAAACAAAGAGGAAAGTTTGTTGGGATTTCTAGTGAAGAATTTAAAGGGAAAAAATCAAGCACTGGAGGCTCGGGGAGAAACGAGAATTATATGTGAAATGCGAGGAGAGAGGAGAATAAAATAATAAGGGAAAAGGAAAGCAGTGGAGGAAGTTCCTTTGCACCTGGAATTAGAAATGATGAAACTAGGACAGAAAATGAAAGAAATCAAGAATCTTCAACAAGGCTATCACAAACTCAGCCAAGTGTTATAGGGCAAAGTAATCCTCCAGTATCTCATCCAAATCCTCCTCGAGTGCATCAGCAACCTCAAACAAGTATACATCCTCCTCAAGTTAATCAGCCTACACAGATTGCTCAGCCTCCTCAGGTAACTCGACCAATTTATACAAATCCACCAGCTGCTATAAATAAGCCAGCTCAAAAAGCTTTTGTTCCAGATTTTCCACAAGCTCCTGTTGAAGTTTCAAATCCTTATATGCAGAGACCTCAAGAAGCAATCCAAGTTCAAAATAGTCCTCACTCCCCCCCCCCCTTTAAATTGGAACAAAATATCGGTAAAGTTTCCACTTTTTTGGTAAATTACCCCCCCTTTAAATTGGAACAAAATTGAATTTTATAATAAAACATTATATATAATTTTTATCTAAAAAGTTTTGATATAAGTTAAATATTTCTTCTTAACTAAAATTAAAAATTTAGTTATATCTTGCTCTTTTTTAAAGAACAAAGTATAAAGAGCATCTTATTTAAATAAATTTATTATCCTTAATTGCTAAATTTTAAATAAAAATTTTCAAAAAAATTTTTGTTTTTTTTGATAAAAATGATATTTTTATTTTGGATAGTTTTGATATAAATTCAATAGGAATTCTTTATAAAATTTCAAAATTTACTTATTTCTTGCTTTATTTTAAAGAATAAAGTATAAATAACATCTTATTTAAACAAAATTAGCACTTTGATCGATAAATTTTCTAAAATTTTTTTTTTTTTTTTAATTTGTGTAAATAATTTTGATACCAATTAATATTGGCGTATTAACTAATAATGAAAATTTAGTTATATCTTGCTTTGTTTTAAAGGATAAAGAGTAAATAGCATTTTATTAAACAAATTTATTGATCTAATTCGATATGTTTTTGAAATTTTTTTTTTATAAAAAAAATTTTATATTGATATTTTTTTTTTAAAAAAAAAATTATTAACCCCCCTTTAAATTGGAACAAAATTTTTAGTTCCAATTTAAAGGGGGGGGGAGTCAGCAATTTCCCCAGCCTCCTTTATCTTCGCCACAATATCAACAATATCCAGCAACTAATATAAACCCTCCTCAAAGCTATTCCCAGCCTCAATCTTATCCTTCTCAGACTCAATCTTATCCTTCTCAGCCTCAATCTTATCCTTCTCAGCCTCAATCTTATCCTTCTCAGCCTCAATCTTATCCTCTTCAGCCTCAATCTTATCCTCCTCAGCCACAATCTTATCCTCCTCAACCACAATCTTACCCTCCCCAGCCACAATCTTACCCTCCTCAGCCACAATCTTATCCTCCTCAGTCACAACCCTACCAACCCAATATTCCTCAAAACCAATATTCACAATCATCAAACTCTCCTATGCCTCAATATAATCCCAGCATACAGAGTCCTTATCAGCCATATTATTCTCCTCCAACAAATCAGCCTCCCCCAATTTATTCAAGTCCTCAGCTACCATACAATAATCAGCCAAATTATGGCTACTTAACTTAACTTATTATCTGGTATTTAAGGTGCCTAGTGCCGCATTCCCATGGGGAAATATGGCTAAACTAGTGACATCACCGAGCCATCTTGGAATCGCGGTGGTCAGAAAACTGGCTAAGCCTTCTATCAACGCTAATCTCCAGCCGCCTTCACGTCTCGCCCGGCGCGTTGCCGTCGCTTGCTCGGACTCAGCTCTGAGCGTGTTCCGCCTAAAGGTCATCTTCCCTTGGAGATGTGCTGAGAGGTAAAACTCTGAGCCTCTTGAATGCACTGAGGAGTTGTTCCTTTGGTTATCCCCAAAGTTAAACAGATATTGCTGTGCAGAAGTCTATAGAGAAAACCCAACCCCATAAATAAAATTCAATGAGGGAGAGAAAATTAGCAGTGCTAAATTCTCTCAAACCGAATGCCATTTTATTTATGCCAAATTATGGTTACAATCAGCCACCACAACAATCAAGAATAGTAAAGCATAATATGGATGGCCAAATAAATATTCCTGATGTCCAATTCAACCAAAATACGAAAAAAATTGATCCTCAGCAAGCGATAACAACTCCAGTTGATTTGAATTCTTTAATAAACCTGGATATAGGCATATCCTGTAAATAGCCCGATATCGGCTAGGGATAGAGGCCAAAACTTCCCACTTGGTTTGGCCAAAATGGGCTGGTCGAACCAAGTCATATGAGACTATTTACAGGATATGCCTATAATTTAGATTCAAAGTAAATATGTTTTAATAAATTAAAAGAAAATTATCAAAAATGTGTAAATTTAGACAATTTTTAATTTTTTGAGCCTACTTTCTAAATCTGGAGTGGAAATTGTTAAAAATTGGTTCAAAATTGAAACTTGGTCAGCTCTCGCTTTTAGAAGTTTTAGCTGAACGCTCATAAAGGTTTCTTTAAGCTCTAAAAGACACTCATAGCCTATTTTTGGACAAGGCATCCCTCCGTGCTCTTCTAACGCTTCGATAGTTTTTTTTAGCTCTTCTAACTCTCCATCAGGTAAAAATTTAATTTTAGTGGAATTCTATTATTTTTAATTTCTTTTTCTATCAATTTATTAAAGATCTAATATAATTTTATAATAAATGTAAAAAAATTATACTATATACAATTTTTCCAACTAAAGAGGTAAATGTCTTTTTTCTTCATCAAAACGCTTAATTTCAGCTATTTTTTCTTCTAGATCTTTTTGATAGTTTGGCTTTGATTGTCTTTGGGGCCCTGGAGTTCTAGGGATTATTAATTTTTCGTTAGAATTATTACTTGAAAATGATGGTCTTTTTTCAGAAGAACGCGCGATAGGTTTTATCGATCTCCCAGGGGTTTGAGGCTCTGGCTTTGATTTTTTTGCGTCCAAGTCAATGAACTGATTAGAATTTCTTGAAGGTGCAGTTGGATTTTTTTCTGCATTTAAGATTGATTTGATTTCAGGAGGGTTTGGCTTAGGCTTTATAGCCTGACCAGGAGTAGATGGCTCATATTTGATTCTTTTTGTATTTGACTCGTTTTCATCTTTAGGCCGTAATGGCCTTTTCAAATGAAAAATTTTTGGAGGGGAAGCTTTTTTGCCATTTTCTTTTGTAAACGAAAATGTTTTGATGTCCTTTTTAGGGAATAGTGATTTTTGTTCAGGCTTTTCATCTATTTTTGCTGAAACAGGAGCATTTATTTCAGGTAAGACTGCTTTGGTTTCAATTTTCGGCTGAGGCGGCTTATTCTGGTTATCTTTTAATCCTAGCTCAAATATATCATTATTTGTTCATGCTTGTATAGGGTTGTTTTCACCAAGAGGCTCAGTCTCTACATTATTAAAGTTTGTTTCTGTGTTATTTTCAAATTTCTTGAAGAAATCTCCAAAACTATTTTCGAATGAAAAATTATTTGTTGTGTTTGAGTTCTCGTTTTTCTGAAAAGGCTCGCCTGGCATTTGGAACATGTCCTTGTTGAAGATACTATCAATGCTGTGTAGCTATTACTTGCTAAAAATTGACTGAAGGTTATTGTCACTCAAAAAATTGAACGCGTTGTCTTTATTCATTTAAAATTTTATTATTTAATATGGAGGTTAGAAAAAGGGAATTATATCAGTTTGCATATTTTAATTTTTCAGCAGATATTTATAGTAAGCTGATTTGTATTTTATCTTATGCTATTCTGCAAGTAAACTAAAGTAAAATTTCCTGATAATCGGATAATAAATAATCAGCCTTTACTATTGCCGCTGCAAATAAAGTTAAAAGATATCGCTAAATATTTTGAAAATGAATTAAAATATCTAGATATATTTAAGCTTTTAATAATTTTATTTAAAAAATTTGAAATCATTAATAATAAGTTTTTGAAAGGTAAATAGCTTCATGATTTTTGAATTTATTATGACATCTCTCCAAACTAATCTGCTAAATCAATATTAATTCAGCCATAATTGTTTCAGATAGGCTCAACTTCACACAACTATACAAATTCTGATCAATTTTCCTTTTTAATTTTAATAAAACAAAACAGAAAATCTTCCTAATAAATACTAAATTATTTCTTCATACTCTTTTAATCAGACAATATTCCAACCTATTAAAAAATACATAAAAATGAATTTAATGCTGAAAAATTAAAATATAAATAATTTTAAATCACAAATATTGTCTTATATCACCAATCAATAGTCAAAAATCAATTTTAAATCAATAATGTAATTATTATCAAAAAAAACAAATTTAATGAAATATAAAAAGAGTTGAACTTTTTTGTTGCAAAGCTTCTAATAAATTTGAAAATAAAAGACTTTTCAACATTTTTTTAGCCAAACTGTTATGAATTTGAATAATAATAAATAAATGTCAAGGCATTCATCTAACTCTATAGGTGGCTCAAGCCTCCGTGGCAGCAAATTCAGTTCAGATCGCTCAAGCTTTGAACTTTTACCTACAGTGAGAGACTCGTACATTAGACACATGACAGGCAGCTCAAGCGTCAGGAACATTAAAATAAACATCCCACACGAAAAGGTCCCTTATTGTCCAAATTCAATTCGAACTTCCAAATATACTGTTTTAACGTGAGCTCCCAAATGTTTATTCATCCAATTCAAGCGTGCAGCCAATATTTATTTTCTAATCATTTCAATCCTCACAGCAATGCCTTTTTCTCCAAAAAACCCTTGGTCTATGGGTGCAACTTTTGGATGTGTCATATTTTTCACTATTTTTAACAATAATAAATCCCATATTTTTTATATAAAATTAATGCCTTATCTATAATAAATATAATTTTTCTATTGAAAAGCTATTAATAGCGCTTAATTTAAATAGAAATATGTTAAAAGAAGCTTATGAAGATTATAAAAGACATAAACAGGATGAAAAAATCAATAATACTATAACAAGAAGACTTAACTTTGAAACTGGGGATTTTGAAGAAATTAAATGATCAGAAGTAAATGTTGGGGATTTACTTGAAGTAAGGGACGGGGAATCATTTCCTGCTGATATGGTATATTTATCCTCATCTTATGAGAATGGAATAGCTTATGTAAATACAATGAATCTTGATGGGGAAACTAATTTGAAAGAAAAAATCGCATTAGAAGGAACCAGAAAGCTAGTAAAAGAAGACTTGCATGATCTAATCTGTCATATTTGTTGTGAGAACCCTACTATATCTTTATTCAGATGCAACTGCAACATGCAGTGCAAAGGGGGAGACTGGAAACCCCTTACCCTGAACCAAATTTTACTACGAGGTTGCTATCTTAAGAATACCAAATATATATTTGGTATTGTTATATATACAGGCTCAGAGTCAAAAATAATGCTAAACTCCAAAGAAGCCCCATCAAAAATCAGTAACGTGTTAAGGCGAATGAATAAAATGCTTTACACAGTCTTCATTTTCCAAGGTGCAATTTGTATAATTTTTGCCATATCCTGCATAAGTTGGGGCACAGCTAATATTGAAGACCACGAATATTTAGGCGTCGACTCCAAGCCTCAGGCTTCTGACTTTTTCTTACAAGCCTTGACCTTTTTAGTGGCATATTCTCATTTGATTCCGATTTCTTTATATGTTGCTTTGGAAATTGTAAAATTATCAATGGCGTATTTAATTTCTCAAGATTTAGACCTTTATTATGAGCCAGAAGATAAACCTGCTGTCTCCAGGACATCAGATTTAATCGAAGAACTAGGCCAAGTCGAGTTTATTTTTAGTGACAAAACTGGGACTTTGACTTGTAATGTGATGGAATTTAAAAAATGCTCAATTAATGGAATTGCTTATGGGAACTCTGAGACTGGCTTATGAGACTGCCAAAGGCTAAACCATGTGCTAAAAGACTGCCCAGAGACAGATTTTAATAGAATTGCAGCTGAAAAATTTTTATTGATGCTGTCTATTTGTCACACAGTTTTTCCTGCTGAACCTGAAAATAATGAAGAAACCCCTAAATACCACGCTTCATCTCCTGATGAACTTGCCTTAGTTAGTGGTTGTGCTAAGCTTGGCTTTATTCTTCAAAATAAAACCAATAACTTTTTGCATATAAAAGTAGGCAACTCTGTCCAAAAATGGGAAATTATTGAAGAAATTCCTTTTAATTCTAATAGAAAAAGGATGTCAATTATAGTAAGAGAAACTGGATCTAAACAAGTTTACTTGTTTTGCAAAGGAGCTGATCAAGTTATGATACCAAGGGTAAGAAGAGACCAATACAACCAAAGACTTGTACAGCAGCATTTAGATGATTTCGCTAAAGAAGGGTTAAGAACACTTGTAACCTGCCAAAAACGTCTACTTTCCGCTTTATATATGAGCACTTTTTTCAATGCTAAAAAAGAAGTTATTTTTTTAAAAATTTTATTTTTAGTACTAATGTAAAGGAAAATATTTTTATTTTTAAAAATATATATTTAGAATGCAAGGGATTTAAGTTTAATAAAACTAATTTCATTAAAAATCAGGATTTTTCTAATGGCTGCTTATTCACTAAGGGAAGCTAGAAGCACTAGAACTACAAGAATGGATGATCGCTTGGCGAGAATTAATGCTTTCTTCCACATATGACAAACAAGAAAAAATGGACGCTTGTGCTGAAAAAATAGAGCAGGATTTAGAACTCTTAGGAGCCAGTGCAATTGAAGACAAACTTCAAGAAGAAGTCCCTGAAACCTTACATCTATTAATAGCAGCAGGCATAAGAGTATGGGTCCTTACCGGTGATAAACAAGAAACTGCTATTGAAATCGGAAAATCTTGTAATTTAATAAGACCTGACATGAAGCTTTTACTTTTATCGTCTGATTCTCGAGACGCTTATGTTGAAAAAATTCATTCTCTAGCATCAGAGTTCAAGCTTAATGATAAATCTGCAAAAGAATTAAGGAAAATTAAAAGTGACTTATCAGAAAACATAGCATTAGTAATAAATGGCATTACTTTGACATGGGCACTTGAAGAAAACCAAGATATGAGGAAACTCTTTTTTTCGCTCGCCTATATTTCCGAAAGCTGTATATGTTGCAGAGTCTCCCCAGCCCAAAAAATGCAAATTGTACAGTTAGCAAAAGAAAATGGGCCTTGGATCACACTTGCCATTGGAGATGGTGCAAATGATGTAAGTATGATACAAGAAGCTCATATTGGTGTCGGAATTGCAGGAAAAGAAGGAACACAAGCAGTTCAAGCTTCAGATTATGCGATTTGTAGATTTAAAATGCTGAAAAAACTAGTTTTAGTGCATGGGAGATGAGGGTATAGAAGAATTTCGTTTTTCATTTGCTATTATCCTATATAATTAAACTATTTTAGCTTGTAGAATTATTTTTATTTTCTGACCTATTTACATTAAAAAATATATTTTTATAAAAATATTGCAGTGGTCTTCACTGAAATTTGGTTCGCAATTTTCAATGGTTTTAGTGGCCAAATATATTTTCTCGAATGGTTGCCAATGCTATATAACTCTCTCTGAACTAGTTGGCCATGTGCTTTAACTTTTATATTTGAGCAAGACGCAAATGCTAAAGAATCAATTGAGCATCCTGAGCTATATGGCGCAGGACAAAAAGGGGTGTATTTTACCTTTAAAGTGTTTTGGCTGTGGGTCTTTTATGCTATGTGGCAAGGTATGACGTGTTTTTGGATCCCTATGTATGGGTCATATTATGCAGCGAGTTCTGATGGAGAACAGCAAGGACTATGATGAATTTCGACGTTGTCTTTTACCCTTGTGATCCATTTGGTCACATATAAATTGTTTTTGGAGTCCCAGTATTGAAATATACTGACTATTTCTTTTTCTCTGGGGAGTATTGTATTTTACTACTTAACTGTTATAGTTTTAAATACAACTGCTGTTTCTCGAGCTTTTCAGCCAGAAATCACATATGTTTTCTTCAATATCCTTGGGAATGGAAAAGCTTGAATAATTTTATTTTTGTCTCCATTAATTGCCCTGACCCCTGACTATGTCGTAAAAGCTTATATGTATTTATTCAACCCGAACCCAACTGATGTATTTCTTGCACAGCGACGTAAAAGAAAAACCCTTCCTGCAATTGTACCAGTGAACTCTAAAATGCTAGAAGATAGCAATATAGCAGAAAGCAGCAATATTGCTGACGGCTCAGACAGGAAATTCCAGACTTTTGGCCCAGAATCGTAAATTATTATAAAAATTAAACAGTGATTAATTTTTTTTTAAATTTCTTGCAATTTATCCATACATAACTTACTAGTAAAACTATACTAACTACCACTCCAATAGCGCAGCCTATCATCAAAGGGTAATCAAAAATTATTAGCCCGTAAAATGCCCATGCGAATGAATTCAGAAAAGACACTATTGTGATAGGCAGGTCAATCATTTTTGGGTTCAATGTGTTTATAGCAACTTTCAAATTCTTAGCTGTTACTATATATGTTAAAGTTCCCAGCGTAGTCGCAATATTTCCAACTCAAGTCACTGGAAATATATAGACAGAAAAAACAAAAGTAACTATCAAAAAAATCGTATAGAAAATAACAAACTTCAATTTTTCTCTGATAAAGAAATAGTACAAAATCAGCATCAAAATAGAAGCAATTCCAGTCATAACACAGTTAGTAATGAAAGGGACAATATTTTTCAGAATTCCATAATAAAGCCAAACTATTCTGCAAGAGTGATTTATTCACAAAAAATAGATCGGAATATAGTGCATCTCTTTATCTTTTGCTCTTCTAATCATATTCGGAAACGGTGCTACACAGAGGATAAATGAAAAGAATACTGCAAATGACGTAAGTAAAAGGGTGTCCATATTTTAAGATATTAGTATAAATTAAGGAATAATTCTATTAGGGCTTAGCTACTAGGAGGAGTCAGTCCATATCTTTGAGGCTGAAGTAGTTGGTCGATCATATGATCTACTAGTTCATTGAGCTCTGCACGTGTGTCTTCAAGAGTATTTCCATGATATTCACAATAATATTTAATTTTAGGCTCTGTCCCACTTGTTCGTAAAGTAATGATAGCTCCATTTTCGAATGTAAAGGTAATCATTTGAGTTGATGGAGATATTGGCAGGACAGGCTTATTATCAGGTTGAGAATTATCATACCCAACAGTCAAATCTCTTATATATTTAACTGGAAATCTGCCAATTGCTTTTGGGTATTCCTGTCTTATATTATCAAATACACTTTTTATGACTACAGGCTCATAGCAGAAAAAGTATTTATTTCTGGTCAAATAGTACCCATACCTTTCCCTCAGCCTTTCTAAATGGTCACTAAGCCTAATCCCTTTACTAGCACATCTTTCTTGATATAGTTCATTAAAAACACAAGCTGCCAAAATCCCATCTTTATCCCTAACATGGTTTCCTACACAAAACCCAATAGCTTCCTCAAATGAAAAAAGCATCTTATATCCTTGTCCTTCCAGTTCTAAAGACTTATTAATAATCCACTTAAACCCTGTCAAAACTTCTTCAAATCGTGCTCCAATAGACTCAGCTATTGCTTTACATATTTTTGAAGAAACTGTGCTTGCTACAACTGCAGCTGGCGCTTGGTCTGTATAATGAGATATTTCCCACTCTAATAAAAACACAGCGATTTCGTCTCCTGAATAAATTCTCCAAGTCCCGTCACCTTGGACTTCTGCAATTCCCATCCTGTCTGCGTCAGGGTCATTAGCGATTACTAGCCTTGCCCCGATTTCGCTTGCTTTTTTCATGGAAAGGGCAAGTGCTCCTTGGCCTTCTTCTGGGTTAGGGAATTTTACAGTTGGAAATTCAGGGTCAGGGTCAATTTGTTCGTCAACTACGACAAGTGGGCTGAATCCCCAGGCTTTCCACATAGATTTGATTGTTTCGCCTCCAACTCCATGCATGGCTGTATAGACAATTGGTTCTGAATTACTATTGGAATTTCTTGACCTTGAGTAATTTAATGACCTTTCTATATAAGTTTCAGCGACTTCGTCATAAATTTCTGTAACCCTGCTTCTCACCCATGTGGAGTCATAGCCTCCAATAAGCCATAGGTCTAAATTATTAAGGATGGACTGATGAATCATTTTGTCGTGAGGGTCTACAAGCTGTCCGCCGTTGCTCATATATACTTTGTAACCATTGTCGTCTTTAGGGTTATGTGAGGCTGTAATTTGTATATATCATTTTAGACTGTTATAGGAAAAATATTTATTTATTTAAAAAAGATTGTTTATTGCAAAAAATAGTATACCAATTATGGCTTTCTTTAAAAGAACTGCAAAAGGCACAAAAGGTGTTGGGTTGTTCTTCTTGAAAAGGTACACAGGAATGTTATGAGAAATAAACAACGACGCTGCAAGCTCAGCAAAGCTCTTTGAATTGTACCTTGAATCAAAACCTATTACAGCTCCTTGACGAAGCTGCTCTGGTGAATAAAGTGATTCCAGATACAAAATTAATCCTTGAGTTGCCTGCTGAACTGTTATATGGTTCATAAACGCAAATCCTGCAGCCATTCTGCTTCTCAGCCCAGCCGTTCCAAACTCAATTCTTTTTACTAATGATTTTTCAAGCTCACTATATTGCTGACTCTCCATCAAATTCTTCATTTGTTCCTTTGTGGCTGGGTTATAGTCGATTTCACACCAATAATTTCCTAGCTCTAGCAGCTTGGCTTTTCTTTCTTCACCTTCTAGGTGTAAAGGCATCCCTTTTCCTGCCACGTACATATTGCAAAAATATGGATTATCAAAAACTAGTGGTTTATTATAAAATATCTTTAACAATTAATGTGGTCTTTTTCCGCTCTGGTCTTCTCATGATTTTGCTTTGTTCTTCCATAGCAGTTCTTAAGGATGAACAGTCTGTGAGAGTTTTGCTGAATTTTACTTCTAAGTCTTCTATTAAGCTTTGAAGGTTTTCTATGTCTTCAGGGTCTAAGCTTTGCTCTTTTTCTTCTTGGGTATCCTGTGATAAATTGATCTGACATTTTTGGTAGTTACTTAAAGAGATTATCATAATTTATTTTATAAAAATATATTTTTTGTCTGCATGCGAATTAATTGCAAAAATTGACCCTATTTGTCTCCGATATTTTTTATGCCCTTTTAATAATGCTGGAATATTAATATGACGTGCCCTTATTAAATACTCTTCTGAATACAAATGATTTCGCTTTTTAGGCAGCAACCTTTTCATCCTTTGGATATTAATTGTTTGGTCACTTGGAGAATTCGCATACTGCATGAAATATTCAAATGCCAATTGTTTGCGGACATCTTCTCTTAAAGATGTAGAAACTTGGATTTCTCGGTCTATAGGCAGCCATTTTTCAATGAATAAAGTTACGGTGACGTCTTGTGATGAAATTCTTTTCAATGTTTTTTGGATACTTTTAAGAGCGCTATGATTTATAATCATTTCAATTTTCGCTTTTTCGTTTTCTTCAACTATTGACTCAGGATCTGCATACATAAGTGCCCAAAAATAAAAACAGTCTTTTATAACTGACCAAATCAGCCATGGGAGGCCTATAAAAGTCCACGCAAAAGTTTTTGATTTGCTGAATTTTGTTATTTTTGATCTTTCTACTTCTTGAACGTCTAGATCTCCGCTTTGAGAACTGAAAATTTTGACTTGACGCTTTTCCTTGAGCATTCTGCCTGTTTTGCCATAAATTACAAATCCTTTTACAAAAACAACTGGGATCATTAAGATAGAGACAGATAGAAAAATGCTGAACATAATAAGGGCAAAGGAAATAAATAAAATTCTGCATAGAATATTGTTATATTTAGCTGGTTTTCTTGTAAACAAAACTAATGGAGAAACTAATAGTGTTAAGTAGTTTAATGGTGAAGGCAGCAATATAAGCACTCCATATTTTTCATCCCAAATATATTTCTCATAATATGAAGATAGCGTCAGCCTATGCTTGTTTTCTGCTTGGACAATGAGCGTTGAGAAAACGTTGAATAATATTGCGATTAGTAAATTTAGCAGCAAAACCAGTGACAAGAAAAGATAAATTGATAGTAAAACCCCACCTAACGCAATATGCTTGGTAAATGCAAAAAAATCATAAGTTCCAAGCGCCGCTGCACATAATGTTCTAATTGATGTAGAAAAACTCAAAAAATTCGGGTTGGATTCACTAAATATTGCAGTAAAAATGGCTGCTGAGCAGACTATCAAGCAAAAATAGACAACAAAAAAATTAATAATTCTCCCAATCATAAGCATCAGCATTTTCAAAAACGGCCCAAAAGTCTTGGTAGTAATTAAAATTGACATAAACCGTATCCAAATAAGTATCATCATTATCGAATGCAAGCATGCATTGCACAATGCAGGGTCAATATAGTCCAATTTATTCCCATCCCCAGTATAATAGTTTTGAAAGCCTATCATTATCAGAATCATGTCTATAAATATAAAAATATCAAGCCACACTTTAAAGCCCATTTCGTATACTCTTCCAGTTTTAAATGAAAAGAGAAAATGCAGAACATGCTCAAGAAGAATCCCGCCTATTCAAAATTGGGCTATCCTTAAAAAGACCTTACTTGTAGGATCACTTGCGACGTCTGAAAACGCGTCTGCTTGAATTGCGCTGTAAATCAAAATTTGATAAAGGATCACAAGGCATACGGTAGATAAGGCTTGGGAGTTAAATCGTAAGCTGCATGAGTCGATCCATTGTACATAATGGAATAAATATGGCTTAGTTTTGTCCATGTTTCTGGAAAATCCCATTGCGTCGTCTGAGCCTGAAGGAGAGTTAAGTGATGCATAAAGCCCTGAAGCGCCTATTAAACCATAATTTTTATTAGGCCCAATCCAGAGTTTAGTAATAATGGTCCCTATTTCATCGCTTTCTAGCATATTAGTAAACCCATTTACAGTGATGATATTTAGTGCTGTCCTGTCCAAAGTGTCAGTTTGCAATAGAAAATATCTTAATTCATTTTCGTCCTTAAGTGATTCTTCTATGCACACTCCTAAATCCTTTATATTTTCTGCTGCGGAGAAGCATCGGTTTTCATACTGCAGAGAGGACCTCCCTAGAACTGATAAAAACTCAGCTGCAAGGGCACAGAAAAGCAAAGGCGCTGGGCAGAAAATGATTTCGTCGTTTCTCTTAGCTATGTTTTGGATGTTTAAGCAGAGATCTTTGGTTAAGCTATATTTTCAAGATATAGGAGGAATTCTGCTTAACATTTTGATTGCGTTCAGACAAGTTTCTCCATTTTTTAGCAATGACACAAGTTTTTCTTGTATTTCAACTATTTCAAGCTGCTTTATCGCACCTTCTGATTTTAAGCAAAGCACACATACATCATAATACTCTGCATCCCACGCAACAACAAAATCTTTTGCGCTCGCAATTGTACATTTCTTAGCAGCTTCTTTTGCAATTTCTTCCTGCCTTAAATTAATCAATTTTTGAATAACTCCATCGTCATTAGCCGCACCAGGCCAACTAACTAGCTCTTTCATCTCATGAAGTTTATTTTTCGATGCCAAAGAATCAATGATTTTTGAAAGCCTTAGCCCTTTTGATAAAATTTTCCTTTCTTCGATTGTAAGCGCTTGATTCTTTAATGAGTTCCAAATTTCTGATTTCTTTTTCCTTGTTTTTATAAGTGATATATTAGACTGATAAACATCGCCAGTCCATAGCCTTTTTAAGACTCCCATACAGCATTTCTCAATAGCTTCATTAAAGGAGCTTATAGTAAGCGATGATGGAGAAAGCATAAGCAAATAGCAAGCAACATAATCTAAGCCTGCAGAAATTGACTGCCCAAGAGAAATTGATATTAATGAAAGGTCTGTATGTATTTTTTTCCTTTCTTCTGGAATTTTTATCCCACCTATTGCATATATTCTTAAATCTTGATTTTGGATTAAGAATTCATCTAAAGCAAAAAGTGAATCTTTATACGCTAAATACCACAAAACGAGCTCACGATATTCATTTTTATGCAAATTTTTACGAATAATTTCAAGAGCCAGATTATCTTTACCTGCTTGGACAGCATTAATAATTTCTGCATCTGGAACTGAATAGCCTATTTTACATAGCTCAAGAGCTAGGTTTTCCATGCCACAGCTGAGTGATTTAACAACCGCTTTGCCGGACTCTACAAATTCTGTATTTTTTTCAATGAAATTTTGATTAAATGCTATTTCTATGGCGAGGTTTTCATCAGAAGCTTCAATTGCATCAAGCAAAGCAATTATTTCTTGATTTTTCTCCATCTTTTTAAACTTCTCTTCTGGCTTTGGAGAAGGGATTGCGGACTGGGCTTGTAGTAGGCCCTCTTCTTCTGACATCATTGATTTGGTTTGTAATCCAATATACTGGTCTTGTTTGGATTCTTCATTCTGATTTTCAGTAGGTTGATGCCCGGTTAAAATAGAGCCTAAAAGCATTTTTTATTAATTGTAACGTTTATAATAAATTAAATATATTCTTTTATAAATGAATAAAAATTCTATGGAGAGTTTCTATTAATTGTAAATTTATTATAAATTCATATAAAATTATGAATGAAACTAGCTCATTATTCACAGATTCTTCAGCCTCTAAAAGTGCGTTAAAACTAAATCAAGGCGAAAGATCGAATTTATTTGCAAAATTAGGTGCAAGTGTCATTACTCCTCATTCTTCTCAAAATAAGTCTCAAAATCTCAAAAATGATAAAGGAATAAGAAGCTCAGTAGTAGAAGACAACAAAAATGAAGGGATTGTATTAAAAGATCCTACTTATGGAATAGAGCACATACATGGATTCAGGGTCGCTAATCTTGGAAATAATTCACTATTAAAAGAACTTGATGGATATCAAGATTCCCAAAGACAGAAATACCAAAAAATAGACGAAACTCCAAAGCCAAGAGGATTGGCATCATTAAGACACCCTGATCCTCCAAACCATGCTATAGAAACACAAGTAAGCATTTTTTCAATATCAGACCAAGATAAACTTGTAAAGAAACCTATTGGCCACGCTATTTTATTATCAGGAGATTTATTAATAACATCAAATTCCATTATTTCTTCAGAACAGTCTGAAGTTTTTATCAGAACTTTTAACAACCGTCCTATTTCGATTATCAAAGAAAAAAATTTTATTTCCAATAAAAATTGGAATTTTACCATTTTGTCTGTGGCAAATTTTTCAAAAGATTATGAAGATATAAGGACTCCGTTTAGCCTTATGCAGAGGAGTGTGGTAAAAATGATTGATCAAGACCCTTGGGCTGATATGAATGTAGTGAATATTGATCAGAAACAGTTCTGTTTTACTTCAGGAAGAAATGAGAAGTTTTTGCCTGGGTCAGGGGTATTTACTAGTAATTGAGAGCTCCAAGGGATGTACACACATTCAATTTCCTATTTAAACTTCGCGGTTAGGTTTGAGCCGATTTTAGCATATTTAAGATTGAATAGAGGGCCTTTATATTACCCTGAGCTGGAAAATTTGATTGATCCTTATATAAATCATATTGATCATTCAAAATCATCAAAACATTATCAAAGCTACATAAATTCAGTGCAGTCTTTAATGAAATATTTTGATCCCAAGACTTTCATTAATATGTAATTATACACTAAATCTATTGGAATTTTGTAAAAATAATGAAAATTTAAAGAAAATTAGAACCAATTAAAGAATAAGTTAATGTTATGGTTAATAATTGATATTATTAATAAATTTTTACTAAAATGGTTTTTTAGCATAAAGTCTAGGTAAGGAGCAGTTTCTATTTAAGCTCCTAAATAATATTTACTTGGATTTTTCTTTTTCAAGCTCAATTCTTCTATGAAACTCTATCTCTTCAGCTTTTTTTAAAGCTGATAGCCTTTCACAGCTTAGCTGTTGGCTTTTATACTTTTGATGCTTTATCTCTATATAAAATTTACTTGAATCTTTAACTCCCCCCCCCCTCCGTGAGCGAACAAAACCATTAGAAAAATCGCCATTTTTTGACCAAAAACCCACCCTCCGTGAGTGAACAAAAATTTTTTAAATAGAAAAAATTTTTAATGGAAAAAAATTTTGATATATAAGTGATAATTAGTATAATGAAATCTAGAGCTAATTCTGTTTAATTTTAAACAAATTGCGTTTTAAAAACATAAATTTTGCAAATTAAATTAATATTTGCTTCCATTTTTGCAAATTAGGATTTTTTTAAATTTCGAAAAAAAAATATTTTTATAAAATTTATATATAAAAATTTTTTTTTAAAAAAAAAATTAAACCCCTCCGTGAGCGAACAAAATTTTTTTTGTTCGCTCACGGAGGGGGGGGGGGAGTAAGTAATTTTTTACTTAATTCTTTAGTAGGTGTTGGATTGTGACTTAAAGCAATAGAACTATTGGCCCAGGGGCAGTTATGGAACCTTTTTCAACGAAAAAAATCAGGACTTGTAGGTTCACTTTGAAAAAGCCTTGCTCTATCCAATATATGCACGCCATACTCCTTACCCCCGATCCTTGATAGAATGATTCCAACACCCCATCCTTCATTGACCAATTTTCATGCTGTCAAAAATAAAATCCACTCCCACTGCATATCCTAAAATTTAACTACCTATATTTGATAGTAATATGATTATAGTAGATTCATATAGATTTCTTTATCGAACAAAATGTAATGACAGTTGAACGACCAAGTCAGATTCTATCAAAGGGACGAGCTGGATCTTTATGCCAGGAAGGGAAAAAAAGTGGCATTTAAAAAAATGGTTGACAAATGTGAACAAAGCTGAGAAGCAAACGCCAATTTTTAGAATGGCTTTATTATAACTATTTTTCCCTATTTTTTTTCAAATTAAATATTATTATGAATTATAGAAAATTAGATATCGATAAGTTAATTTCCTAGTGTAATTCCAGAGTCGCTTCGACCTTTAAAGGCTATAGAGATAACTAAGACAAATAACTATAATTAAAAAATTTGATTTTTGAAGTACAATACTAAATCCATATAATATAGTATTGCATCATAAGCAATTTATGTCAATGAAAAATTAAGAGTCGCTGTGGTTTTTAAAAGCAGTAAAGAGAAATAGCAGATAGATGCTTATGTTGAAATTCTCATCGAAAATCATCTATTAAAAATTTGACTTTTTTAATTTCATAAAAAGAAGGAAAAAATAGGTAAGATACTTATCAGTGTCACTTAAAAGATATTTTAATTTAAAACTAAATTTTATAATAAAGCCATTTAAAAATTGGCGTGCTTGCTTTTCAACTTTGTTCACATTTGCCAAAACATGTCACTTTTTAGCCCTTCCAAATATACAGATCCAGCTCTTCCCTTTGATATAGTCTGATTTGGTCATTCAACCGTCCATTACATTCTGTTCGATAAAGAAATCTATATAGGTGTATGGGCTATATATTTGGTGATATATTTTTCCTCAAATTATATTAGCCCCATCTCTATCAAGCAATCGCGAAAGGTTCAATCCAGGCTAGTAGGAGTTAGAAAAAGTTTCATAAGTCTTCGTCTCAATAGTCTGATGATCAGAAATCGCTAGTTTTGACAAGCAATTTGGTGAAATGGTATTTTTCAATAATCCTCTGTCAATAGAACTAATAAAATTTTACTTTAAATAAGACTTTTCTTCTTGACTCAGCATGTCTTTTCATAAATTATGCACTTGTCCAGTTTTTTGTAAGGTAAGTGGCTCTAGCTTAGAAAACTTCATTTATTAATTTCAACTTAATTAAAATTAATTATGGCATTAATGGAAAGCAAAACCGATTTTATATGAGTGAAGGGCAATAGCTGAAAAAAAGGCTGGATAAGTCGTATGTCGGTATAAATAGTCTGAAATTTCTGAGACTGAGAGGACGTTATTTATGTACTCTGTATATAAGAGGGTGTAAGTGTTTTCGCCATTTTTGAGCTCTTTTTCTAAAGAGATGGTTTGCTGGGAATAGAGGAGAGTCAGGCTTATTATGTTGTCAAAATAATTGATTTTCCAGCCAAGGAGACGCTTGACATCATTTTTCATGTTTTTGATGGTTTTCTTGGCTTGGATTATTTCACACTTATAAGAGTCTAGCAAATTTTGTAAATCAGGAGACGACCTATCTGATATTGGGGAATCAAAATTAAATCTTTGAGATTCAGATTTTTTTATTCTTTTAGCACTTTTATCATTATCTTGAAAATTCAGTGATCTTTTCAAGTTAAAATCATTAAAATAGTAATCCTCTTTTAAGCCTTTTGTCTGTTTTTCAAATAATTCATTTTTCATTTCCAGCTGTTGTTTTGTTTTCAAATACAAGCTTTCTAGCTCTGCATTTCTTTTTCTTACCTCCTCATTTCTTTCTTTTAACTTCTCAATTATTTCTTTTGCGTCTAAATTCCCTTGTTTAATCGCTTCATTTTCTTTACACTTTTCCGCTAGCTCTTTTCTGCATTCAGAAAGTTCCATAGTAATTTGGATTTTTGCATTAAAACTTTCTTGCTCTTCATATATAAGCTTATTAATTTGTTCTTGAAAACCTGTATTGTGTTCTCTTTAAATTTATTACTAATTAATAGCTTAAAATTTCTACTGGAAAACTAAAAGGGGACTACAATATTAGATTTCTGTAAATTTTCATTCTGTTTTTGCAATGATTGGATTCGGCATCTGAGCTCAGTCAGTGTGTTTATGAGTTCTGAGTTTTCTTTTTTTAAATGAATTATTTCTTGCTCAGATTCAAGGGTCAGCTGAGAATTTCTGCTTTTGAATTCTGCTCGAGAGGACTGTTCCATTGTAAAAAAGGGGGTTTATTATATGAAAATCATATATTGTAGTAGACATTTATATATTAACAAAATAATTGTAAATTAAACTGAAGCTACTGAAATTGGTTTAAGTCTTCTCAATGGGTGCTGAACTGGCTTTTTTCTTGAAAAATACAGAACTCCAAGTAGCAATATTAAAATTCCTGACACAATAAATTGGACGACCTTGACCAAGTCTATATTATCGGCATCAGGCCTAAATGGGCTCCAAGTCCTCAATTTTTTCTGCGTCATTTCATGCCATTCAGTTTCATGATTTACCACTTTTTCCTCTTCTATCCCTAAGGACTTAAGATTTCTTACCCTTTCTTCTGAAATTGGTGCTGGATATACCCAAGTGACATAATCATCTTCTTCAATATGAATATCATAGTCATAAGGTAGCTTAAACCAATTGTCAACTACAGAGTTACCTTGCGCTGTGAATTCCAATAATTCTTCCATAAGCCATAAACAGTCATAATTCGATAAATCTGGGTTCAAGCAGCTGGAATCTCCTACTATTGCAATACGGCTGACATCAAAATCAATTAGACCAATCACCCCCATCTCTCTTGATTTGCTTGTTTTTGGATCTATAAATGATTGGGATATTAAATATCCATCAGCAGGAAATCGTGTGATTTCAGATCCTTGCATAAACTATAGTGAAAACTTACTGAGAAATGTTTAGATGTGTAAAATCCGTCGCCTGAGTAGCTTCTTGATGCTCCAAACTCCATGAAATATGGAGACAAAAGCTCGTTTATTGTAAAAATGTTTGATCCTGGTATTCCTGACGTTAAATTTGCTTTTTTTAGCTGATTTGAAAGAGATTTATGGTCTCCTCAGTCTGCAAAAATTATGAGGGAAATCCCAGAAATGTCAACATCGTATCTGATTTTTTTTATATTTAATTAAATTGATTGTAAATCTTTATAATGATTAATTTTTTTATTTTCTATTAAAATTCGTATATGCTGAGTATAAACAAGCTTAATAGCCAATAAAATTAGGCTATTTCATAATCAGTAAATGGGAGCTCTGGGTCAATTATTAGATATGTAGAGTATAAATTAGATTTCACACAAGAAAAATCTGTGTATAAAAAATCAACAGTATAGCCTAATGAAACTATATAATCATATAGCTGCAAATGATTGGTAAAAGGATGGTCTCCTCTTCAGTCAAATAAATAGTTGTCTTCTTCTTCATCTCTTATAACAATTCCATTTTCTGGGTATTTTAAATTATGGCTCAAGTCTCATAAAACTCTAAACTCCTTTTCAGGAACCAAGCTTGTTTTAAAATTAAGGGGGATTGATAAATTAAAATCATCGCTTTGTAAATTAATTGTAGCGTGCAAAGAATCAGCATGATAATGATTTAAAAATACAAAAACACCTACAGATGCAGTATATGCAGAAAAATTGGCGATTTCTATATTTATTTCTAGGCTATACGAGCTTTTTTCAATTGAATATAAAGATAAAGCAGCAGATGATTCATTAGGATGAAATATTGTGAAATTTAAAATTAAAGCAGACCCATCTGCATGTCTAAGTAGAAATTACAGTCCTTGTAAATTATATGGGTAAAAATATTCATCATTATTGCTGAAATTTGGAGGGAATGATGAAATATTTTTTGGTTTTTGGAAATATTCTTCTGCATTTAAAATGTCGAGTTTTCCAGCACCTTGCTCAAATATAGAAAATTTAGGCAGTTTTTCAGCAGAATGGATTAAGGCTTGCTTTATCAGTCCAGGAGAATAAGTTTCGTTATATATTAATGCAAGGCTTCCAGCAACAATTGGTGTTGCAACTGATGTCCCAGAACTTGACGAGCATTTGCCGCCGACATAGCCTCTTATATTTGACGCATAAGTTACTATATCAGGCTTAAACCTCCCCATTCCACCTCTCATTTCCCACAATGTAGGTCCTCTGCTACTAAAGTCAGCTACTTTTTCTCCAGATTCGTCTAATCCGCCAACTCCTATCACCTCAGGCTGATCTCCAGGATTACTTAATGTCCCAAATCCTGGCCCATCATTTCCTGCAGCTGATATAATAGTAATTCCGTTCTCTACAAGCTCTTTTATTTTCACTACAAAAGGTGTATCAGAAAAATCTATTCCTCCAGTCGATAAGCTAAGAATTTTTATTCATTTTTAAAAAATTCAATTCTAATCTACAGGCAAATATCTAATTTTTTACATAAAAATATAATTAATACTCCATATTATCGGTTTTATATATGTGAAATTGCTATATATCATGCTGTATTGCATAATTAAAAGCTTCTAGAAACCACGATGTATATGACTCTTCAGAATCCTCGAAAACCTTTAAAATATACAAAGTTGACTCTGGGGCGATCCCTAAACACCCATCTTGTGTGCTTGATATAAGTGATGCCATAAAAGTTCCATGCCCTGTGCTGTCTTCGCAATCAAGATCATTTGTAAAATTTATACACCCTTCAATCAGAATTTTACTAAGATCTGCGCTATTAATCCCAGAATCAAGGATCCCTAGTTTTACGCCTTTTCCTTTCTTATTCTGATCCCATAAATATTTTATCGGTAAAACTTCTTCTAATCGACGGCTTTTTCCTTGTGACTGAGAAGCAAGGGTTTTTCTGTTAATTTTCTTTTGAAGATAAATAATTTAAAGTTCTTTGCCTAGCAGGACCGGGGATTTGCACCCATACACACTCATCGCTCACTGAGGAGTCCCGTTTGGCACCCTCCTTGCTGCCTCAAACAAGGGATTCGCGCGAAGCATTCTTGGCTTCCATGACCTCTAGAGCCTAAGAGCCAACTACCTGGCTCGAAACTCCCAGTTTCTCGTTGGACAAATGCTATCTCTCGAGTCTTGTTCGTGGGAATCAGCTTCCGCTCGGGGCTATCGCCGATCTTGTCCTTTCCAATGGTTGTTCCAGAGGAGAAAGTCCGAGCCTCATGGATTAGATCCCTGGGTCCCGAGTAAAAACATAGCCCGACATACATAAAGGGTTCCGCCTCTTTTGACCTATATCCCCACCACTGGACCGTTGCATACATATGTTGAGGAAATAGGGTCGAAAGGTCGGGTGGCACGTGGTCGCCATTTTTATGTATAACTCTTTTGAAGATAAATGCCTTTTAAATCAGGCAAAGTCGATGAATCCAGCTCTTCATTTGAAATTATGAGGAGAAAGTCTGAGACTGCTTCCATTTGAGATGGGTCATGCTCAACAATAATTGTTGCTTGTGCTTGGGGAGGGAGTTTTGAGAGCAGGCTGATGCGGGTGTCATAATAATTGAAGTGTAGAATATATTCAAAGCAGAAGCCTAAATATAAAAGCAAAAGAAAATACAGTATTTTCATATAAATAAATTATGATAACAACAATTAATCTTCTATACATTTTTAAATAAATAGTTTTATTCATATTATATATTTTTAGAGACTGATATTTAGGATATATTTTATATTAAAGATCTCAGGCTTCTGGCTAACTCATCTCTTTCATACTTTTTCAGTCGATTTTTTATTGCAAAAGCTGAAGCGGCTACTGCAGGATTTTCTCCAGGTTTTAGTTGAACATTTTCAAACTTATTTTCGCCTAAGTTCACTCTTAATATAATAGGCTCCAAAGCAGATTGCTTTTTGTTGCCAATACTTTCTACTGAAAACGAGACAGATTTTATGGATGATTTTTTCTTATACTGTGCTGGATTAAGCTAAATTTAAGCATGTTTTGGTCTATCAATACCAGCAGCTATTTCAGTCAAAAATTACTTTTATTAGCTTGGCTATATAAACCCAGTTAGGTATACTTCTCTTCTTGTCAGTCGAGCAACGCTTAAGAATTCCTCCTCTTCTTTTAATCTGTGGAATTAATTGCAAACCTGCCAAATCTTCTGTCGAAGAAGATGATCTGACTCTTGATTGTGGTTTTGGGAACCCTAAGAAGCTTGAATTCATATCACAGGATTCGCCAGACATGGATTCGCTGCTATCTTGATCACAATCAGATAAAGCCACTGGCTTAGCCTCAGGCAGATTTAAATTAATTTTTGGGATTTCAGGAAATTTTTTTTCCCAATCCGTTTCAAAAATGCTTTTTGGGTTTGAGACCGGATTTTGGATCTGAATTGAATAATTTTTAACTGGCTTGAGAAGGATTTTTCCTTCAATTTTAGGATTATTAAATGTAGGTCTAAGTGATTTCTGATACACTGGGCTATCGCCTATTTTAGGGTACATTTCTTGGAATAGAGTACTAGTTTCATGCGAAATCACCTCATCGATAAGCAGAAGACGGAGGCTATTTGCGTTGAATAAAGAGCACAAAGAATGATTGATTTCTAGCATTCTGAGAAACTGTGAACAAAGGATTTCTTTTTCATTCTTGAAAACAAGTTTTATAATTTTGTCGAAAACTCTTACTCCCCCCCTTTGTTAGCGAAGAAAACCCCTATTTTGTGCCCATAAACCCATCCGTGAGCGAGCAAAAATTTTTTATGGTAAAAAATTTTGATATATAAGTGATATTTAGTATAATGAAATCTCTAGCTAATATTTAATTTTAAACAAAATTGCGTTTTAAAACATAAATTTTAAAAATTAATAATATTTGTTTTTCTAATTTTTACGAATTAGGATTTTTTTAAATTTCGAAAAAAAAAAATTAACACCCCTCCATGAACGAACAAGATTTTTTTTGTTCACTCACGGAGGGGAGTTAGTTTTTCGTCAAGAAACCTTACACAATAGTCCTTTATGCATGATTTTACAATGTCTGGGGAATCATCCAAGCCGTTTTCTGGAATAATCATCTCAATTATACCCACTAAATCATATAGAATTAGGAGTAAGGTTCTTTTGTCTAAGTATGATAATTTAAGGCATAAATCATATACTTCAAATATCTTAAGGCATTTATCATAGTAGTTTCCTTTTCCTAGCAAAATTACAGTTAGCTTCAGACTTTTCAAATCATAGAGGCTATTTTTGTATATTTTCTGTAAAATGGCTGCCGTTGATGAGTTAATTTTTAACAATGATGGTTCTATGTTTGCATCAGAAAAAAAGCTTTCCAAGTCTTCTTGGCTTATTTTCACTTCTGAGAATTTTGCCAATTTGACATAAAGCTCATGAAAATCAAAACTCGAGAAAACTATTGAGTCTGTATAGCTTATTAGGAACTGATCTTCAGAAGATATCTTTTTGTATCTCCTAGAAAAGTTACTAACTCCCCCCCAATTCTTGATCGAACAACTCACTATCGTTCGATCAAGGATGGGGGTTAAAAAAAAAATTTTTCGGGAAAAAAAATTTATATATAAAATAAAATATATATATATATATATATTAAATAAGAGGGTTAAGAGTATTTAATAATTGTTTTTAAAGCAAAAAATTGAATTAATTTCATAAAATATCAATTTTTAATATTTTGATTTATTAGTTACTCTTTTAAACTTTATAAATTTTAATTTGTTCCTTACTGAATTAAATTTTTTTTTTTTTAAATTTTAAAGAATCTGTATTTTATTAGATTATTGAGTTTTCAAGCCTAGGTTGATGGCTAAATCACTTCGGATGGTTGATTCCGCAGCTTTCTGTCGTCTCAAAGCCTCTGAAAACAACTTCATTAGGTACATATTCCAAGCTTTTGATAACTAATATGTTTCTATATATATAAAAAATTGCATGATATGAAAATCGTTCGATCAAGGATGGAGGTTAATTTCCCCAATTTTTAGGAATTTTTACAGTCAATCGTTCGATCAAGGATGGGGGGGAGTAAGTGGATAGGAATTGCAGCAACCCATCTAAATCCTGATTTTAAAAATAATAATCCATAATTTTTTTCCCTATAATTAGTTTACTTTTACAACCATATCGCAACTTTTAATTATTTGAATATGTTTTTAGCCAGAAACAAGCAAAATAATTTCTATTGAATTTAAATAGATATTGGAAAACAATTTTAAAAAAGTATGGCGTAGCATAATTACAATATGAAAGTCCAAATCTTATTGTTCATATTATTTTTGCTAGCACAAGGAAAATACATAAGAACAACATTGACAATGACGAGAAATAATAATTGGCAATATGTTTCGAAATTTGGTATGGATATTGGAGTTGGAGATTTTTCCATGAAAGCTATGCTTATTTATAGAAATAAAAATAAACACAAAACCCAATTTTTAATACATACAAAAAAATACTAAATTTTATGCGAATTCACTATATTTAGTATAGATTATTACGAGTAACCAAGGAATTCGAAGGCAAAAAGCACAACTTGCAATTCTCTATATTTATAGACGAAGAATGGGAGCAAGACCTTTCTTCACTCTCATGCACAGAAAAAAACAAAAGAGCAAAATTAACATATGATTTAGCATTGCCACTTGATGGACAATTTTCAGGGGATATGATTAGGATTAGGATTATTAAAGTAGGCGTTAGCCATATTGGTGACGCAGTCACCAAAGACCTCCCGTACGGGAGGTTCATCCGCTTTTCGACTCCAGCCCAGGGGGTCTATCCCTCTTGCGAGTGCCCTTCCGGTACCTTCTGTCTCCTCCTTGCCTTAAGGTTTCAGTCTTGAGTGGGCGGCTTATGGATTTCTGCGGCCCTGCTACGGGCGATTGGAGTAGCTTGATTCCAGGGATCAACTCCTTGGAGTCTATCGGGTGTCGAAGTGCCTTTCTTCGACAGCTACAGGAAAAAGACTGCTCCCCTGTGGCCTGGGCCGAAACCCCCAGTTTCTCGGTAGAGGAATGCCCATGGGTCATCGGATCCAAGGACGCTGTCGAACACCTCAATTTCCAACCACAGGAAAGCAGCCAAAACCTACCCGGATACACACCTCTAGAGCCTGCACTAGATTTCTCAGCTCGGAGTCCGTCCCAGTTCGCCGTAGCCATAAGGTCTGGACTACTGCGCCAAGAGGGCAGGTTGGCACGTGTCGCCATTTTAATGTATATATTTTCAGGGGATATAGTAGGCGAATTATCTCAATCAGTCAGACCTCATGTCTGGTATTTTGTGATTTCTGACTGCAATAATTTATTAAATGACCACGCAAGAGTAAAAGTAGAAATTACAATGAGAAATGAAGGAAGAAATCATCTTTCAGTGGAACAAATGGGCCTGAAAAGCATATATTTGGTTTTAGCAGTCATATTTTTGCTAGGTCTAGGGGCAAATATTTTAAAACTCATCAAATACTTCAGAAAAGAAGAAGAGGTTCAGCTTACCATGGTATGGCTAAATATGGCGATTTTCTTTCAATTTTTATCAATGATTGTTTCTTATTTTAACCTCACAATTTATGAATCCAATGGAAGAGGCTTAGGAGCTCTTGATTTTATTGAGCAAGCCTTAATTTTGGTATCTCAGCTAACAATTACATGTTTACTTATTATAATAGCAGAAGGATGGACTATAGACAAACCCTATAAATTGTCCTATAAGGGCAGGATATTTGAGCTGGAAACTCTCCAGTGGCTGGACCAACTGAGGTAGTCAGACCAACTGGAGAGAGATCCTTTTGCCAACTCTCCAATTGGTTTGACGAAACTGAGTTAGTCCAATCACTGGAGAGTTTTCAGCTCCAATGTCCTGCCCTTATAGGGCTGTTTATAGGATTTACCAATATACAATATAGTGATTTTCCTAATGCAGATATTTATATACCAATTATACTAATAGTCACATTTTTACATTTAGTTGTGCTGGGACTTGGAAAAATCAGTGATGATTCTTCTTATAAATTCAGCGAATATGAAGGAATAGCAGGATTAGCATTAATTATATTGAGATTCTGCATGTTTGGGTGATTCCTCTACAACGCAAAATATTTATTTTCTCTGACAAAAGCACAAAAAAGCATTCAATTCATATACAAATTTACTGTAGCTTCAAGTGTATATTTTTTGTCATAAATAAAATGGCATTCGGTTCGAGTGAAATTAGCTCCGCTAATTTTCTCTCCCTCAAGCAATTTTATTTGTGGGGTTAGGTTTTCTTCTGAGAACTTTTGTACAGCAATAGCGGTTTAACTCTGGCGCGTATAAGCAGAGGCACTGCTCCAAGTACATCAAGAGGCTCGAAGCTTTACCTCTCAGCACACCCGAGGAAGGTGACCCTTAGGCGGAACACACGCAGGAGCTGAGTAAGTAGGAGCGAGGCAATGCAGCCCGTCGAAGCCGGAACGCTATATTTGCCTGTGCCATGGTGTAACAAAGTGGATCGATCCAGAGGTCCATGGGCCCGACACGTGGACAAATATGGTGGCAGCTCTGGAAACGGCTACCCCGTAGTGGACGTTAAACGATATAGATAATTAAGTAAGTAAGTAAGTAAGTATATATTTTTGTCAATGCCAATTTTGGTTATTGCAAGTAAATTCTTTGCCTTATATGTTAGGGGGAAATTTATTATTGGGGGAACTCTATTTATGCAGATGGCGACTTTTTTGTTTCTTTCTATTATTTTTTCAACAAAAGGCGAGTATTATAGAATTTCTTCAATGTCAGCAGTTCTTCCTGGAGCAAAAATTCACTCATATTAAGTAGGATATTTTTTATTTAATTAGAATTATTTTATGATTTGGCTTGTAAATAATTTTACTCAAACCCTTCAATCTTCATCATATAGCTTATTTTTAGTGTATTCAGCTCATCAAGGGAATCTTCAATGCTTTTATTGATATTCCTTATCTTTTCTTTGGCTTCAAATCTCGACTCTCTCATTCTAGATATCTTTGAAACCGTTTGGGTTTTTATATTTTTTAAATACTGCAGCTTTTTCTTCATATTTTCTATATCTTCTTGACTAGTCGGATACATGTGCTCTTCTTCTCTTGCCATTTTTAATTTTTTAGTCAAATTTTCTCTTTCTAAATTGACTTGGTCTTGGATTTCAATTGACATTTTTTCATTTAAAAGTTTGCAATTGTTAATTGTATCTTCTTTTTTCTTTCTATACTGCTGGAATAATTCTGATTTTTTGTCCTCGTGCTCAATTTTCTGCTCAATTATTTCTTGTTCTATTTTTGTTATTATTTCTTCTCTTGCCTGTATTTTTGATAAAATTTCTCTTTCTTTGAGTTCAGGAATTTCGTTCTTTTTGTCTCTGATGAAATTTTGGATATCTCTAGCAACTGCAAATTCGTCAGGATCGAGGGCTTTACAGAAGTGGTCGAAATTGTCAATGCGGGATTTCAAGATATCAGCGTTCAGTGTTAGGTCAGTAAATTGCATTTGCATGTTTCTGTTTGAGCCTTTTAAGTCTTTTTTAGCTTCTAAAAGTTGGGTGTTAGCTCGGCTGAATTCAATTTCTTTTTCATTATAGCCCAGGACTGCATTTAGCTCGCCTTGGGCTAACAGATTTCTCCTGCTCGTGGACTTGGCTTGGCAACTTATGGAGCCGGACTAGCTCCATGAATTGCAGAGAAATTTGTTAGCCTAGGACGAGCTAAATGCTGTCCTAGGCTATAGCTTCCTCCCTCCAAAGAGCAAAATTTTTTATTACCTACTGAATAGGATTAATTTTCAAAAAATGTTTATGTTTATAGAATTTTCTAGCACTGCTATGCTTTTAAGTCCTCTTAACTTGAGATTCAGCTTCAATAACAGCTCTGAACAACGGTAGGTGGATCGGCCTAACCGTCTAACCGTTAAAGTTATTAAACCCTTCAGGACTTCTCTAGTCCGTACCAGACTCAGCACCGACCATCTCTTCAAGCCGAGACTCTCAGGAAGCTTGAACTTCTCTCACTAAGCTCGGATAATAGGGCTTGCCTGATGAGCAGGACAAGGACCCTATCCCTAACTGCCATTTTAAATATTGTGTTTCAAAAAATAGCATAATTTAAAGAAAATTCTATTCAAATTAGCTGGAGATTTCATTATACGCGTATTTCATTTTATTTTTGAAAAGTAGAATTATTTAAATGATTTTGATTACTCACGGAGTTATGAGTAAGGAGTCTTTCAACATCCCTTAATTTTTCTTTAATTCCTTCTCGCTTTTTCAAATAAATGCTCGTTTCTGATGATTTCTCTATAAGCAATTTTTGGTATGTATGAATCTTTTCAATCAGCTCAGAGTCCTCAACATTATGCTGGCAAGTCTGCATCTGCACATCAATATCTGCAATTTGATTAATTAGCTGTCTTTCCTTGCTTTGCAATGCTAATAGCTCATCATTTTTTTCTTTCACTCTGCCTTCAAGCTTCTCATGCTCTTCATTTGCCTCTTTAAGATTTTTATCAATGTCTCCAATTGTACTTTTTTGGACCCTGATCACCGTTTTCCTCTCTTCAATAATATCTTTCATTTGTTTTATGCTTTCTTTGCATACAATGTCATCTAAAAACTCATTGCTGAGCACATCGGAATTCTTTTCAGAGCCGTCTGAGCTGTAAGATAGATCGAGATCATCAGATTCAGAGCCTGAAGGAGACCTATCCTTATTGCTAATAAATAATTATCCTATTTTCTTATTTTAATAATTTTTTATATTCATTTTGATAAGTTTATTATTTTTTGGGTTTTTTTCTTCTTTTTTAGATGTTGGTTCTTCTTTGACGACTTCACTGATTACTTTGTAACATTTGAACTCGACAGGAATGCTTTCTGATTAAAATTTACCATGATATTGTGGGAGTGGGATTGGGGATAACATCTGTGATGTAGTTTCTTTGAGGGCTGGAAGCTCTTTAAGCCATCTGTCTTCTTTTACTTCAGTGATACTTGGCCTGTCATTTGGGTTTTTTGAAAGCATTCTGCATATCAAATCTCGTGCAAGGGGAGGAAAGCTCAAAGGGAATTTTGGCTTATTTCTTGCTATATTTACGAGTAGATTTCTTTTTGATTGTGACTTGAAAGGAGTAAATCCTACTAGCATTTCATATAGAAGTACCCCTAAGCACCAAATATCAACAGAAGTATTGTGGTCTTTTTCTTCAATCATTTCAGGCGGCAAATACTCCAATGTCCCACATACTGTTTTTCTTGGCTCAAGCTCTTCTTTGCTATAATAATTCGACCATCCAAAATCAGTTAATTTTACACGATTCTGTGAGTCTAATAAAATATTCTCAGGCTTAATGTCTCTATGAATAATAGCTGGGACATGTGAGTGCAAATACTCCACAGCAAGGACAATTTCTCTAAAATATTGTGCAGCTTCGACCTCAATAAATTGCCTCTGCTTTTGTAAGCGATGGAAAAGATTTCCTCCGTCTGAGCATTCCATGATGAGGTAGAAGTATTTTTCGTCTTCAAAATGATTGTAAAGCTTTATTATGCCTTTTTATAGTATAAAAAAAATGTTAAAATAATTGCTTTTAATTAGAAATTATCATTCATACAAATAGATATATATGAGGATGGTTTAGGTTATACATAATGTATACTTCTCTCTTGAACTGGCTTAACATTTTGAGAACTTTTTCTTTAGGGACTTGCTTAAGAGCATAGATCGCTTTAGACACTTTATGACATACAATTCATACTTGGCCAAATGCACCTTCTCCGAGCTTCTTTTCAAAGGTGAAGTCTGAGCGTTTTAGTTCTGGCTCTTCCCCGCTGAGTACAGATGGGGAATCAAAGAGATATTTTGTAAATTGTTGGGAAGCCATTATAAAAGAACTTTAGTTTTTTATAAAAATTGAGGTATATAAAAGCATGTATTATTAATATTCAATGCTTAATAGAAAAATATTTAAATTGTTGTGCTTATAAAATGAGCTTTTATATAGATTTAATTTATGAAAATAAATTTAATGATAAGTAAATAAGTAGCTTTTATCAGTAAAACACTTTATTTTATTTATGAAAGCTAAAAAGTATTCAATATTAAATATGTTGTCAAATCTCTCTAACGATGTCACAAATCAGTTGAAACAATGGCTTGAAGAGATGAATTTAGCTGAAATGACACCAAAAACACAAAAAGCACCGCTAAAAAGGTCAAAAATCGAGGATATGCTACAATACAAAAGTCCTAGCCCCTTCATGAGCGAGTAAAACTATTGAAAAATCCCTATTTTTTAGGAAAAATCTAGCTAGAAAAATCGTTTATATAAAATATGTAATATATAAATGATTATTATAACAATTTCTCGAGCTAATTCAATTAAACTTTAAACAACTTGCATTCTAAAGCATAATTTTAATAAATTAAATTAATTTTTACTTTAAAATTTGGAAAAAAAAATTCAAATATAAAATTTATATATAATTATAATTAAAAAATTTTATCCCTGTAAGAGAACAAAATTTATACTCACCAAGGAAGGGGAGTAAAGAGAGCACCAAAACTTTAAATCACCTAAAACAAGGTGACAACCAAAGCCCGCTCAGTCAATCATTTTCCTATCCAAATGAGAGGTAATATTTCACTAGAAAGTGTAGAAGACAGGCTCATCAAAGCTGGGATCACTTATTCTCAAAATAAAGAAACAAAACGCAAAGCAAATGAAGAGCAAAAGAAATTGGAAGAAGAAAAATTTATACAGCATTCTGAAAAAATCAGAAACACAGGTAGGAATGAATATTTACATAATTTAAGTATAATTATTATATATTAATTTGCTTATCATAATTAGCTAGAAAATTTTCATTTTTCATTATGAATTAATAAAATATAATATAAATTAAAAATCTAATTCAGTTAATGCTTTATAAAGTTTATGAACAAAAACAAAACCAGAGAATCATACAGCAAACTGAGCATGAAAACAGCCTAATCAAAAGTCCTAAACCTTGTAAAGGATCTCAAAAAATTTTGCAAGGCTCTAATAGGAAAGGAGACGTTGGACAAAGATTATATAATAGCGCAACAAAATCTAGCAAAGTGCTGAAAGCAAAACAAGTCTTGAGTTATTTGGACATGAAGAGTGTTTCAAGCCCAAAAATCAATACATCGTATACAGCTCATAGTGTAAAAAATACAAATATTTCAGAGAAAAATATTGAACAAAAATATCAATTGTTAACTCCTTCCCTATTTAAACCAAAACAAAATATTGGTAAATTTTTTTCAGAATTAATTAAATGGCTGATTCATTGGTAAATTTTTCATTTTTTTCAAAATTAATTCAATTGAAACAAAGTCTTATTTTTTATAGGTAAAAATAATATTTCTATGTAAATAGATTTGATACACAATCTAATTCTGCTAAATCAAAAATTTGCTTATCTCTTGTCTATTTAAAAGGAAAGGGTTTTCGACAAAGTTAAAATCATGGAAATTTATTACTATGAAAATTTTATATAAAAAAATATAATCACTTTAATTGGAGCAGCATTTTTTTTTCAAATTTAACGAAGACGATTAAGTAAACAAATACCTGTAGTAAAAGAAGAAAAATATTATCGATCACAAACCCCGACAGCTGCACGTAAGGTTTCCCCTATCCGACAAACAAAATCTCGTGAGTCAACACCTATAAAAGAATTCCCTTTCAAGCCTCACATATCCAAAAAAAGCCAAGTAATTGCATCTAAACTTGAACCTTCTAGCTCCAGACTGACTAAAATCCCAAGACTCGACATATCATTTGACGACAAAGAATGCACGTTCAATCCAAACATTGATTTAAATTCATCAAGGCTTGCCCAACGACTAAAAGATAATTCTACTGCTTCTAAAACTGAAAGATGAGAAGCTTTATACGAGCTCAGACATCACAAAGAAGAGAAAGTCGTAACCACAAGCTTCCTTGATGAGAAAATTTTATTAGACGACCACAGTCCTAAAAGAACGAAAGTAGAGCAAGAAAAGTTTATTAGTAAATTAAATGGATGGGCAAAGGTAAAAGATGATGTATTACAGAGGAAAAGAGATGAGAGCATAGAATACGATCTAAAAGAGTGCACTTTTTCACCAAAAATTCATGGTAATGCGCAGTTTGATGAAGTAAATCTAAAAGGGTTTAAAGGAGTTGAAAAATATTTACAGCGGCAAAAAACTGCAAGGGAAACTCCTTCTAAGGAGTTTCGGCTGAGGGAAGATAAAAGTCCACCAAATGATCATAACGAGTCAAAGCTAAAATGCAAAGAAATGAGCTCGAAAGATTTTCTCAGTGCAATCTTTCAGCTTCATATGCAGCTGAATAATGATTAAACCTAGAAACACATATTATCGATAATTTTAAATATTTCTTGTTTTATCATACCCTTAAAATCGATAAATTCAATAGCTACATTACTAATTATAGCTTTTTGCCTTGAGTGGCGCGGTATGGGCGCCACTTCGGCAAGCTCCTTCTTCCAGTTGGCCGAGCCAACTCAGGTTGGTTCGGCCAACTAGAATTGACGAGTGAGGCCTTTTGGGGAGACTTGTCAATTCTAGTTGGCCGAACCAACCTGAGTTGGCTCGGCCAACTGGAAGAAGGAGCTTGCCGAAGTGGCGCCCGTACCGCGCCACTCAAGGCAAAAAAGCATATATAGAAAGCTCTTTTATTGAAATGAGCCATTTTTCAATCGCATTTCGGTCATATTTCGAATTTCCTTATAATTCGCATGAATATTTTATATAAGCCCAAACCTCTAAGGACTCCTAAAAAGACATCCTATTCTCAATCACTTCCAAAGCTCAATAAAATAGCAACATGCACGCACCACAATAAATGTTTTTTCCATTCCACTACCGCCCCAGACCTCTCACCTGCAGCAACAGATCGCGTTTTTGTAAAAGAGCTTGAAGTAAAAATCGAAAGCCAGCGCAAAGATCTAGAAGAAAGAAACGTAGCCCTTGACTCCTTAGCCACACATTTTGAAAATTTAGTCAAAATGTATAAGGAAGAAAAAAACAAGACCCAGGAATTAAAAGAAAAAAACCTTGATTTATTGAATGAAAATCTAGTTATAAGGAAAAACTTTGAAGAATATAAAGCTAAAAAAAAAGCTGAAGGAGCCATAGTGACAGAAGGAAATAATGACTATGAAAATTTGAAAATTGAACTAGTTGATATGAAAAAAGAGCTTGAAAATAAGGTAATTTCCCAGCAGGAATTTAGAATATACCAATGAAATTAATAATTTATATAGCCAAAATGAAGAACTTGAAAATAAAATAAAAGGCTTGGAAAAAGTGTTAAAAGACGAAAAGAATAGGTATGAGAATGAAATAGTCCAGCTTCAAATCAAAGGGGAGTTTTTTAAAAAAGATTTATTAGAAGCCAATAAGAAGATCCAGGAATTAGAAGAAGCAAAACCAACAATAATTTTGATGCATAATGATGAACAAGGCAGCAAAAAAATTGAATTAGTAGAAAATGAGACAGAAACTGATAAAAACCAGTTTTCTGATTTTACAGAGATGATTGGATTTTTTAATAATTTTGAAAAGCCACAGATTGAGGTCTGTTTAGGCTTAGGGTCGATAGAAATACCTTCTGGGTGCGATTGGATAAAAAAAGCTGAAGCATTGCAAGACCAAGTTTATAAATTAACTGACCAAATGTCGCTTATGGCTAAACATAAGCAGGAAGCTGAAGAAAAACTTGATAGAGCGCTGGTTGCAAGAAAAGAAATTGTATTCAGTGTTGAAGAAATGAGAAAAAACCAACAAATAGAAACGTTTAAATATGAAAAGTTGATACAGAATATATCTACTGAGTATAAATATAAAGAAGCAGAAATAAAAGAACTTGAAGAGTTATATAAGAGTAGTGACAGCCAAAGGAAATTTATTACTGAAAGCCTTAGGGAGCTTGAAATAAACAACAGCCAATTGACAGAAAAGCTTGAAATTTCGAATATAAAAATTGAAGAACTTACTGATGAATTAAAATAAAATTGCGATTTGGTTTGAGAGAAATTAGCTCTGCTAATTTTCTCTCATGGAATTTTATTTATGGGGTTGGGTTTTCCTGGAGAATTTTTGGACAGTAAAAAGGTTTAATTTTTTTATAAGATATAGGCACTGCTCCAAGTGCATCAAGAGAATTAAGTTTTTTCTCTCAGCACATCGAGGAGAACGACCTCAGGTTGAACATGTGTAGGAGTATATTAAGGTAGAATGAGTGCAGCATGCACAGTGATGCTTTTTCGCCAGGATGCGAAGCTTGTTTTGGATTACCGAGTAGGTCTGAATATGGTAATACCGGTGATGCCATCACTTGAAGTTAAAAGGGTGCACTTCGAACCTAGTCACCCCACTGAAGAAGGTAAACACGTTAAATTCTAGCTACCCCTCTGTGAGCGAATAAAAAAATTTTAGTTCACTCGTAGAGGGGGTTAACTTTTTTTTTAAAAATTATATAGAAAATTTTTTAAAATTTAAAAAAATTCCAATTTGTAAAAATTGAGAAGCAAAAAAATAATTTAATTTGCGAAATTTATGTTTTAAAAAACGCAAGCTGTTTAAAATTAAACAAAATTAGCTAGAGATTTTGTTATTATAATTATCACTTATATATTACAATTTTTTTTTCATAAATTAAAAAAATTGTTGTTTGAGGAGTGTAGGTTTTTGGGCAAAAAATAAGGATTTTTCCAATGGTTTTGTTATCTCACGGATAGGGGAGTAAGTAATATAAGATTAAGATTGATGAATTAAATAAATTAAAAGAGCAAGCTCACCAAAAAGAAATCCAATATGAAGAAATTGATAAAAAAGCTGGAAAAACAGCGAAATGAAAAGATAGGACAAAAACATTGATAGAAGAAAATAAGGAACTTAGGCAGAGAAACTTAAAGTTAGAGAAAAATCTTGGAGAAGCCGCTAATAAAATGGAGCGAGAAAAAGAAAAAGTACGAAATAGCGAGTACCAATCAGAATCAAAAATTCGTGAGTTACAAATCGAATTAAATAATGAAAAAAATATCAATACAGTCCACTCCCAAGAGATTTTGAGATTAAAATCTTCACAAGTTTTAAAAGAAAAAGAAAGCTCCAAGTTCAATGTTTCAAATGATGACTCCCGAAGCCAAAGCCGCATTCAGCAACTAGAAACAGACTTAGCCAAATTCAAAGAAGAAAATGATAAGCTTCTAAAAACCCAAGAATACTTTAAAAATCTTCTATCAAATAAAACCCAGCAAATAACTCAGCTTGAAATTCAAATAGATGAAGCCAAAGCTGAAATAAATAACCCACAGTTTAAAAATCTTCAATTGAAGTTTGATGAATTGTGCTTAAAAGAAGAAAATATAGCCAAAATCTTGGATAAAATCAAAGATATACTATTTATAGATACTCAAAATGTCTTAAAGCCTTAAAATTGTTATAATCTTTTATAGTAAACTTGAAGAGCGCAAGCTTTTGATCGTTCAAAAAAGGTATATGTTCACAGCATTTGACGCTTATTTATCGTGTTGTGTTTGCTCAAACACTGTAGAAGATGCAGTTGCTGTTGACCCATGTGGGCATCTTGTGTGTACAAAATGTAAAGATGATGGCGACATAAATTGTCCACAATGCTTGCAGAGGTTAAGATTAAGATTACGATAACTCTTTGTCGACCCCCACTTAGCTTAGTATCTAACAGTACAAGCCCTTCCCCCATGAATTCCATCCACTAGCGAACAGCTCTGAACAACGGTAGGTGGAATCGGCCTAACCGTCGAACCGTTACAGTTGCCTATGGCCCGGACGAGTCTCTCTTGGTTCCTTGAATGTGATTCAAGTACACTTGGGGCTGCCGAAGCAGTCCCACGCGCTGATTTCCTTCAGAAAGAATGAACTTCCCTCACTAGGACAAGTATAGGTGACAGAACCCTAACTCATACATTCCATATTTAATTGTGCTTGCAGAGGATACAAGGATTTATTCGGGTTAAGCATGCAGATGATATGAATAGAAAGATTCTTGAGCAAAGGCAGTTAATTGCAGAAATCTTAAATTAATTTATATTATTAATGCTTCAAAAATAAAGAGTTTTAGTTAATGAAATGCAAGAAGCGTTTTGGATTATTTTTAAAATTAATTAATTTTATTATTAAAAATGGGTAAAATAGGTGATATTGATCCACAAGAAACTGACGTCATTTCTAATAAATATTTTCGAAAAATATACTTAAAATTTTATATGATCTTTGAGTGTTTTCCTATTGGCATAGGAAAATACTATAATGTTTGATTAGTGGATAAGCTATAAGGAAGCTAATTATATTTTTATTGCAGAACTGATGAGGAAGTTAAATCCCCTTGATAAACAAGCAAATTTTTCAACTCACTATAGGGGTTATTTATTTTTTTTAAATATTTGAAATAAAAAATTAAATTTAATTTATTATTTTATATTAAAATATGCATGCTGTTTTAAAATTATATAATTATTATTTTTAATATTTTTATAATAACTTTTTATGACTAACCACAAAATGGTATTTTTCTAATAGTTTTTGCTAAGGGTGTAGTAGGAAACAATTCTTCAGTAGAAATATCTACTTTGATAAAATAATAGCCAATAGGTAGTATAGATTTTATTCAAATAGAATTTCCAGATTCTTCGATAAACCATTTTATCAGGCTCAACCATTGATGAATTTTAATTTACAAAAATAAAATTCATGAGTATTAAATCTCGCTTAGGCGAACGTTTACGTTCATTTCACTTAAGCATTCCCGTTGCGATTGAAATTAGCCATAAACCTTACACAAACCCAGAAGACACAAAAACTCACACAAGCAGACCACTGCCTCTGCGTTTACCAGCAATTAAGACTACAAGAACTAGTAGTAAACTACTAGAAGTAGTGTCACCCACAGACAGTAATTTGTCATCACCTAGCCCAGATTATCTCCTTAGTCCGCGGTATAATAAAAGGTCGAGTTATCTTCCATATATTTATGCCCAACTTGGCCAAAATATGCCGAGGAGTTACGAAAGCGGCCTTTTCGATGATGTAGCTAAAACATATATGCCAAGAAAAGAGTCATCAATTAATTTATTGAGTGAGATGGGACATAGAGGAGATAGGAAGAAGACAGTTGCTTAAATTTAAGTTTAACTATGTAACTCTTTGGATTCAAAAATTCTTCTAAAATAATTCATCTTAGTCTCATTGCTGGCAATTTATTTGAAGATTAGCTTTTTTAATGGTATTTAAATATAAAATTATTGGAAAAGGCCCAAATTTCTTTGCCATTACTTAATAAGAACAATGAAATATATAATATTTTGATTCGGCTTAAATATGTCTTTTAGAAACGGAATTGGGACTAATTTATGAAATATAAAATAAAAAAATTCTTTATTCAATTCAAAGGTTTTTCTAAAAAGAAAATTGAAGGCATTGATTCTATATGCAGAATGCCATACTTAAATAAAATGGATCAATTTGCATCTGAATTGCCGATTCACAAGTACAAAGACCAAATCCTCCAACTGATCTGCGAAAACCCTATCGTAATGATCACAGGAGAGCCAGGCAGCGGAAAAACAACTCAGATCCCTCAATATCTCCTAGAAAGCTCAGATCTCCCTAGAATCTTAAAATCCAGCAAACTTAAAATCGCCATAACCCAGCCGCGAAGAGTCGCTGCAATTGCGATGGCCCGGCGTGTCAGCTATGAACGAAAGTGTGGCTTAGGAAAAGAGGTCAGGTATAACATAAATAGGTCGGATATTCAATTCGATTTGAAGATTGCACTTCTTCTAAAACCCAAATCAAATATATGACTGATGGTGTATTATTAAGAGAAGCTCTTCAAGATAACCAGCTATCAAGATACTCAGTCGTAATTTTAGATGAAGCCCATGAAAGAAGTCTAGACACTGACATTCTTTTAGGACTATTAAAGCAAGTCGTCCAGCTTAGAAAAGATTTCAGACTAGTTGTGACTTCAGCTACACTGGATATTGAATTATTTCAAAATTATTTACTCCCTCCTCGTTGAACGAACAAAACGATTATTTTTAGTCAAAACCCCTATAAGCAAACAAAAATTTTTTATGAAAAAATATTTATATATAGGTGATGACTAATACAACAAAATTTCCAGAAAATTCAAATTAAATTAATTTTTGCGATTTTGGATTTGTAAATTCCGATAAAATACTACTATAAAGTTTATCTAGATATTTTAAAAAAAATTAATCCCTCTGTGGAAAAAAAAATTTTTTGTGCTGGGGAGTTAGGAAATTGTCCGTTAATTCAAATAGAAGGAAGACAGTATGAAGTAGAAGTTTTGCATAGCGCAGTAAAATCGGATCTGAGGGTGGAGTTTGCAGTGAATGCGGCGATTAGGATCCATTTGCATGAAGGGCTTGGAGATGTGCTGGTTTTTCTTACAGGGAGTGAAGAATGCGAAAAGGCTTGCAGAGTGTGCTTTGATACTTTACAAAAATTAGTAGCGAAAGGAAAACCTGTTCCTTCTATGATGATTTTGCCACTTTATGGGGCAATGCCAAGTGAAGAACAAAGCAAAGTTTTCAAGCCATGCCCTGAAGATACCCGAAAAGTCATTTTTTCTACAAATATCGCAGAAACTTCTCTTACAATTAATGGAATAGGCTTTGTAATCGACTGTGGATATATCAAACAAAAAGCTTATAATCCCCGAACTGGGCTAGATGCTCTTATGGTCACTCCAATCTCGAAGCAGCAAGCTAAACAAAGAGCAGGAAGAGCTGGAAGAACCCAAGAAGGAAAATGCTTTAGGCTCTATTCAGAAAGCTTTTTTGAAGAACAGATGGCTGAAAGTGCGGTAGCTGAAATAAAAAGTATATTAAATTTAAACTTGCATTAATAGAGTTTTAGCATGTTGCCTGGATCTGTAGGATGATTAAAAATTTGGAATGGGTCTCACAAGCCGGAAATTTTCCAATGTGTCAGACACAAATTCCTTATGTGCAGCCACTAAATGTGGAAACTCCACATATGGAATTTGTGTCTGACACGTGGGAATGTCCTGATGTGTGGACCATCCCAAAATAATGTCAATAGATAATAGCATCACCAGGCATTTCCGGAATCATCCTTTTATCTAGCGAAGGGCCATCCTAAGCAAGTGGCAGCGAACTAGCTTTCAGACCTCGTTCGTGTTGCCTCACCTTTCCCAAAATTGACTCCAGTGTGTTTTCTGCCTGAGATCTCTTCATCGGGAGTGTCAAGTAACAAAACCTATGCCTCCGAATTACCCTTGATCAGGCTCTCATTTTATTCGGTGAGTCGACATTATATTTTAAATAAAGCTTCTCTAGTAAAAACTAACCCCATAAATAAAATTCCATAAGGAGAGAAAATTAGCAGAGCTATCTTCTCCCATACCGAATGCCATTTTTATGAAATAAAAAGAGTCAATTTATCAAGCACAATTTTGACTTTAAAAGCTCTTGATATACGAGATGTGATAAATTTTGGGTTTATTGAGCCTCCAGACCACGAGGCACTTTTAATGGCACATAAACAGCTTTTTTTAATTGGAGCTCTTGATGAGGATGGCTCTATCACGGAACTAGGCAGATCTTTAGCATCTTTGCCATTAGAGCCAACATATTCTCGCTGTTTGATTGCTTCATTGATTTTTAAATCATATTCTGAAATGCTCAGCTTGGTTGCTATGCTTTCAACTGAAAATATATGGCAAAATGTCCCAAAAATGGACTTAGAAAACACAGAAAATGCAAAGCAGGCCCAATTGCAATTTATTGATAAAAGTGGAGACCATGTAACTTGCTCCCCCTCCGTGAGCAAACAAAAAAATTTTGTTTGCTCATGGAGGGGTTAATTTTTTTTTTATAAAATTTTATTTTTCGAAATTGAGAAGGAAATATTAATCTAATTTATAAAATTTATTTTTAAAATGCAATTTGCTTATAAATTAAACAGAATTAGCTAGAGATTTCATTATAATAATTTTTTGTTCGCTCATGGAGGGTGTGTTTTTTACCCGAAAATAGGGATTTTTCTAATGATTTTGCTCGCTCACGGAGTGAGAAGTTATTTAAAAGTTTTTGATTCCTGAAGGGATAATGAATACAGTGAAGCTTGGTGCTATGAAAATTTTATTAATGCCAGAGCTTTAAGGCAAGCTAGGGATATCAGAGGACAGTTGAAAACTATGATAAAAAATTTCAGGATCAGTGGACTACCTGAGGAAAAACTTTATAATGAATTAATGGAAAAAAAAGCTTTAAGCTCAGACTCCTCAATCAGACTAAGACTGGCGTTATGTTTTGGGTTTTATATGAATGCAGCAAGAGCTGTATCATATGGCCAAGAAGGGTCATATTTAAGTGTCTCTGATGGAACAATGCTTCATGTAGATAAACAGTCAAGTATAAGTATATTGGGAAAATACCCGCCTTGAATTATATACACTCATCTTTCTGGATCAACTCTTTCGCATGGATCATTAAAAGTGCTCAGCAAAATTCGAAGTGAATGAATTGAAGACCTTACACCAAAATTAAGTCAAGCTAATTTAGAAAGACTTGTAGGGCTGCAAAAACAAAAAAGGCCAAGAGAGCCTTCTATAAATGAAGAAAAAGAAGCAGAAGACCCAGCTATTAAGGTAAACCAAGCTCGCGAACGTTATTTGAAGAGAAAAGTTAAAAATGATACTTAATTATTATTAATTTCACAAAGTAAACTAAAAAACAAATTAGCTTAATTTAAATAACTTCTAGTTAAGCCTCTCGTCGTAGCTTGGTGATGCTATTTTTCTCGGTCTTGTCGTTGCTCTCGAGCTCATGTCGGCTTGAAATCCGGCTCGCTCCTCCTAGTCTCCATGAAGTTATTTTTAACAAAGAAGTACAGGAAACACTAGCAGCTTGATGTGTTGCCTCGCTCAATCAATTTTTTCTCCAGCGCCTGCCAGACCTAAGTTCCTGCCTTTTATATCAGCTGGAAAGAGAAAAAATTATGCATAGGTGGGCGAAGGATAAAATTCCTCTTGTGCATAAGTCCTCGAGTATAACCTAATACTATTGGGTAATGGAAAGGAATTCACTGAATGAATTACTTTTCATTTGAAGCCATTTTATTATTTATTCACAAAAAAATCAATAAAATTCCTATATAATTAGAATTTTAATAATAAGATTTTTATTTCATTAATTATAACACAAACATGGTGACCTGGATTCTTTTTCTGTTCCAGTCAGCGCTTGCATGTGATCTTCCAGATTTGCCGCCTCTTTTAAGCTATTTCTCACCTTCATTTGAAAACACTAAACACTTAGAAACCTCAGGAAGATTTTTAGCTCCTGAAGACAGCTTGACATGGGATCTCAATTTACCAGAAGACTCCTGAATAAGGTAATCCATATACAGAATTTCCGCAGAACCTCGCCTTCACGATCTCAAAATATCAATCCTTAGATCTTCAGACACTATTTTATCCTCACTCTCCCTTTTAAATTGAAACACAAAATTCTGTACCAGGCTAATTTTTCCAAAATAAATATTACAATAATTTTTTTTTATAATTTAAAAATTAAAATATAAATTGAACACAATATATTTGAATTTTAATTTATAATATGAAGGATTAATTCAAAAAAATTAAACTATTCAGTGCGAAAACTGTGTTTAAATAAATATTATACTTGCATCCTTTCGATTAAATCTATTTTATAAAAATTTGTATTTTTCTTCTAAACAAATTCATTGAAATAAATTCTTGTTCCAATTTCAAGGAGGAATCAAACGCTGTCCAAGAAGAATTCTTAATGATTTCAAATAAGCTTACAAAAGGAAATTACTACATAATCATCACATCCACAAATGCAATTATCACTGACGAAGAAGATAAGAAAAATGATAAAGACTGCAATCTTCCCAATCTTTTTTTTAATATTGCAATCCACCCCTACTCAAATCTGCAAGAGTTACTCCCAAAATCTTTAGATAACTATATAGAAGGGTTCCCTGACTTATCTGATGCCAGTGATACGCTTGAAGCTTTTGCCCCTTATACAGGGACTCATTCTACATATCTACTGAAAACATCAGATATTGCACTAGGAGATTCAATAATAAAAACCTTTGAATTTAATAATCCTGAGGTAACTCAAGATTTAAAAGACATAGGGCTTACTGGAATATGAAAACTCACATTTTCGCTTCGTAAAAATTATTTAGATTATGATTTTCTTACTGGAGGAGGCCTTGGTCTATTGTTCTCAAAAGCAAAAACAAATTTCACGAAATTTTCAAAACTTCAATGTGTAAAAAAAGGGTCATGTCTGTTTGGAAGACGAGTTGATAAAAATGCAGTCACAGTATATTCAGGATTTGGGGCAGGCAAATTTGCTGTTACTGTGTTCTATTATGGGATGACACTGGCTGAGCATGATATGTTGGTCTCTATTGGTGAAAAAATCCCTTTTTCTCTTCACGTGAATATTGAGCCAGTAATAGAAAGAGAAGACAGGTTTAACTGTGAAGCTGCACATATACCAGCAAATCTGAATGGTCCTGGGCTTATGGATGCAAATGGGTTTTTAAGATACTCTGATAGAGTAATAGCTGATTTTCTCAATATAAAACAAGTCACTGAGTTTCAAATAGAAAAATCATCTGTGCTAAGAATTGCTACTGTAGAACCGTCTGGGATTGATGTAGATATCTTGCTTAAAAACAACCAAGGCATTGAAATTGGAAAAAGCAACGCAATTGGGGAAAGCGAAGGAGTGCTTAAAGAACTCCCTGCAGGAAAATATACAATTGAGTTTGGAGTATTAAATAGTGTTATGGATGACCCTCGACACAAATTTTGTGAAACTTTTATATTAGAAATCGGAATTTCTCCACACGAAGCAGTTAGAGGTCTTTCAGACTTTTTAGGCTTAAATACATGTGAGGACAATACTTCGTTTTTATCTGAAAAATTCGCTAAAATCAGTGAAAGTTTAAATTCAACGAAGTCAAAAGTTGATTTAAGCTCAGCGCCTGGAGACTTTTTCAGAGTCCCATTAAAATCACTAATAAAAGGAGAAGAAATTGTATTCCAGTCAACTTTTTATTTGCCAATTTCTGCATACTGTTATTTTGATATTTATTCAGATTTCGTTATAAATGATTTTACGATTTCATTAGAAAAAAGACTGCCGAGGGAAAATACAGAAATAATTAAAGGAGACACAACTGACGCTCTGAAGCTTGGAAAGCATGATAGAAGATCTTTTCAAGGAGAACTCGCTCCAGGAACGTATATTTTTAGTATAAAATCTGGCCCTACATCAAAAGAGCTATCATATGCTACTAATGAAATTGAAAATGTTGAAGCTTTTGATAACTATAATGTTTTGCCTCACTGTGGAGCTTTTCAATTAAGAGGAAAACTAGTAGGAACTAGTGAAACTAAACTGAAAAAATGGCCATGTTACCAAGAAGATGCCCAGCTTTTCCCTCCTACGCTCAATACACTTGATAAACTAGGATTAAAAGATACCCCAACAGAATATTTGCCAGTCACAAAAGTGTTTATCCCAAATATAATGTCTCCAAATTCCTATACCAATGCTACTAATGAGATAGCATTTTATTTAAACACAGAAAGCTTTATTAGGGTTTCAGCAGAAAGTGAAGGCTCACCTATGAGGGTATCTCTAATACTAGGGAAAAGTGAAATTATAAGTGATGGGGCACCTGGAGAAAGAGATGTCTCTATATATACATTTAATCAGATTTTAAAGCAGCATCAGAGTTACAGATTAGTTGTTTCTTATTACCCAAACTCTAAAGATGCGTGCCATACTTATTCTTTATTAATAGAAATTGCTTCAACTTCATCTTTAGTAGCTGGGTCTTCTAAAAACTGCAACCAAAAGCTGCCAGGTGGGGAAATAATGACAGAGCGTTATATTGAAAACACTGGACCAATCCTATTTGGTTTCAATGATCCTGAAGGGTATTCTCAGCTAATAAATGAGCTTCAATATGAGTTTCTGCAGTCCTCAAAACCATTAAATATAGAAATTCCTTTTAAAATTACATCTGAGACCGCCCTTCTTACAGGCCATATCCAATCAGATTTTCTACAAAGTGGACTTATTCTGCAAGTCCTTAAAGATAAAGAAATTGTAGAATACGGAAGTTTTGAAGCTTCCCATAGATTTGAACTCCCAGCATTTCCATTAGCACAAGGAGACTACACATTAGTATTAAAAGAAACTGGGAAATCTTTATATAAATCCTGTGTGAAATTCTCTACAAGTATTATAGTAGAAGACATGATGTTATGGGACGACATTGAGTCCATGATAAGGAAAACTGAAACCTGCTCTTTTATTGACCAGCCTGGATCACTTAATCTGGTAGGGCAGCTCCAAACAGGAAACTTGCACTGGAACAAAGAGCTAGAATTAGATGTATTAGCAGGTGCCAGTCTATTTGATTTTGAAATTGGAGAAGACTCAATAATTAGGGTATTTGTGGTCCCTCAGAAAGAAATACAATTTGAAATAAGTTTAATGAAGGCTGGAGATATTTTTGAAACGATTCAAAAAGTGACTGTAGAAGAACTTAGTGATGGGCTGCATAAATTATTGAAACCAGGGAGCTATTTATTAGAAATTAGTTATTATAATGATGTAGCGTTACCTTCTATGCGGCTTTGTCCAAGTTTCGAGATGGACCTACAAATTATTACTATGACAGAGTTCCAAAAAATTGCATCAGTTTACCAATGTTCAGGACCAGCAGCTCTTCCAACCGTTTTTGATGCGAAAACAGGTATAAATGAAGTTAGTATCATGCATAATTCTCAAGCAATTGACCATGTGATTGCTCTTGACTTTGAAAAAAACAGCGAATTTGAAGCTATTATTTCTTTTGAAAATGCACTGTCAGGGTTTATCTCACTTGAGCTGTCTAATGAAAATGGAGTAGTTGCAAGAATACATTATAATGGCGTGGTTAATCAACCCACCCTCTTAACCCATGTATTCGGATACCCCAAAGGTCTCCGGGACATTGAGGAAGGGAGGCTGGAGTTCGATAAGTGCATCCAGTTAGGTTTTTCTTGGTCTTTGGTGAGCGCAATGCCGGATTGACTGACCGCATACTTTACTTCTATGCCGAGATTTTGCCTCAGAGGGAGATGAAAGGGAGATGGATCAGAAGTTGGAAAGGGACTTCCCAGTAGTGTCAATGGTCTTCGTCTTGACCATTCGGGGACTATTACCCAGCATGAAACCAGGAGTTACGCCTTGGGCTACGGATTTTCATTCTAGCCGAGAGTCGGGGTGAGCGTAGCGTTATGGAAGGGAATAAGGATCTTCGGATCTCAGCAGGGAGCTTTTCTATAATCTAAGTAAGTGTAGCTGCGAGGTAGTTGCAAGATCAATAGGAATTGAAAACTATAGTGAGCTTATTATGGATTTAGAAAAAGGCAGCTATATCTTAAAAGTAATTTCTTCACATGGCACTGAAATACCAAATGCTTGTTGGCCTTTACAAGTATCAGTTATGACTTCTGATATAACTGCTGACCTTATCTGCAATGGAGGCGAATTGCCACCTTCCCTGACTTCAAAATATTCCAGGACCTTTGGAGGGCCTCAAGCTAGAGATGGATCTATTTCTTTTCACGGAGTTTTTAACTCCCCCCCCCCCCCTCCGTGAGCGAACAAAACCATTAGAAAAATCGCCATTTTTTGACCAAAAACCCACCCTCCGTGAGTGAACAAAAATTTTTTTAATAGAAAAAATTTTAATGGAAAAAAATTTTGATATATAAGTGATAATTAGTATAATGAAATCTAGAGCTAATTCTGTTTAATTTTAAACAAATTGCGTTTTAAAACATAAATTTTGCAAATTAAATTAATATTTGCTTCCAAATTTTTGCAAATTAGGATTTTTTTAAATTCGAAAAAAATATTTTTTATAAAAAATTTATATATAAATTTTTTTTTAAAAAAAAAAATTAACCCCCCTCCGTGAGCGAACAAAATTTTTTTTGTTCGCTCACGGAAGGGGGGGGGGGGGAGTAAGATAAAAGAAGAAGTCAACTCAGAAGTCCTCAAAATTGCTGCCCCAAAAAGCGGGATTGCAAGAATCATGACTATTTCTCATAATCCTAAAGTTTTCATTGAAACTGCAGTTTACAAAGATGCTGATTTCAGAGACCCTTTAGCATATTCTAAAAATAAATCAAACATGGGAAGCTATATTTTTATGATAAAACCACAGAAAAACCCTTATTATTTATTAATCACATATATAAAAGACAAAATCGAGGAATCCTGCGTAACTTATGAAATGAAAATTGTTATTGAAACTACTCAAGAAGTCGAAAATATTTTGAAATGCAAAACAAATGATCATGATCTTGCCAAAATTTTGCCGAAGACTACTATTAATTTTACGAAAGAAAAAGAAATGTATGGGTCTGATAATTTTGTGATTTTTGATAAATGGATGATTGGGGAAAAAAATAAGTTTCCACCTGGAGTAATATAACCTGAGCCTCCTTTTGGCTCAAGAATACCGACATCTCCTGATATAGGAAGAGGAATTGGTTACCAGCAATTGTTGATAAAACCAACTCCTCAGATGACAGATACACTCTGTATTGGAGATTTGCCATCTCGGAAGTTGGTTTTGCCAACAAATGCTGGTAGAACCAACTCCTTCCAGCAGATGAAGACCTCGATATAACCCGAGCCAGAAGGAGGCTCAGGCTATATCAGATGGGAATGAAAATTCGAACTTTATGTATGAAATGACCCTGAATTTGCCAGCCAAAGCACTATTGTCAATTGAGGCTACTTATGATTTTTTAACAAATGATATAAGTATGATATTGACAAAAGATGATCTCCAGATAAGTAAAAGTAGATGGGAAAGCCTTACTGACGATGAAATAGGTGAGCTTATGAACTTTGCAAGTATTTTAGAAAACGAAGAGCTGGAGCCAGGAGAGTATAAGCTCCTGCTTAAACAAACAGTAGCTTCTAACCATTTAGTACAAAGATACAAAGATATTGATTCATGCTTTCCTTTTTCCTTTAATATAGAGTATATCCCTGTGGTAGAAGAAAAAAAGGCTAAAAGCTATATGATAACTTTAGCTGACCCTGGGACTTTGACTCATCATAACCCTAACGAAGATTTAAATATTCTTCTTGTTTTTGACGTTCCTATTGAAAATCCTAAAGAAATAGGAAAATTGGTGACTTTGGAGAGTGACCAATATGTAAAGGTGATAGCTGGATCAATGCAAGTGTCTCAAAATAACCCTAATAAGCTGAAATTTAAATTTGAGGCTGCAAAACTAAGAGAAAGCACGTGCTATCAGCTAAAAATTGATGATAAAACTATAACGCCTTCAGGGTTTCAATTATTATCAGATGGTCTTAGGCACAGCTACTGCACTATAGGCTGCGTTTGCAATCCCAAAGTAGGATAAGGATTATTAAAGACAGGGTGCTAGCCATATTGGTGAAACAGCCACCAAAGACCTCCGTATGGGAGGTTCATCCATTTTGCGGCAAACTGCTCAGTAAGTCTTGCTGTAACCGGTACAGTTTTCTTCTCCTTGTCTTGTGATTTCAGTCTTGAGTGGGCAGCTTATGGATTTCTGCTACCCTGCAACGGGCGATTCGGAGTAGCTGATTTTAGGGATTGGCTGATGAGTCTATCAAGTGTGAGTGCCTTTGCTTGGCAGCTATAGGAAAAGACTGTTCCCTATGGCCTTGACCGAAACCCGATTTCTAGGCTATGATGCTCAAAGGTCTGAATGAAATTGCTGAGCACCTCCATTCCAACCACTGGAAAGAAGCCAAAACCTACCCGGATGCACATTTCTGAGACTGCACTTATTTCTCAGCTTGCTGCCATTTTAATGTATGCAATCCCAAAGCAAATGCAATTTGTAACGAAGCATTAAAATGCGTCTGCCCAGAACCTTATACAGGTATAACTTGCCATGAGTGCATTACTAATTTTTCACCAGTAGACGGAGTCTGTGTTGAAGACATAATTGAAAAATCAGCTTCTATATCTGAAATAACACTGAGCATTACTTCCCCAATGAAAAAAGACCAAATATTAAAAATTTTTGTTACCTTCAGCTCAGCGCCTTATAACTCCCAAAAAGGTAAAATCACAACCCTTAAAAACAATAAAGCTATGATTGACTCTGTCTATGTTTTTAATGATGTAACTCAACAAATTGTCAAAGCAAACTCAGCAATTCCTTTAAATAAAGGAGAAACTAAGTGGAAACTGGAATTTGACTCAGAAGATTTAGCTTATGGCGCTTCTTATACAGTTAAAATTGCCAAAAGCTCGCTATATGATGATGAAGGAAACGAATTCCAAGTAAATGCATCTTTGCCTCAGTTTAAAGTAGAAGCAAAACCAGATAAGCCAATAGGATTTCATAAAAACTGTGGACCAAACGGAGCACTTGATATATTAAATAATTGTTCCTGCTTTGAAGGATATGCAGGCGATTTATGTGAAATTTGTGATAAAGATTTCATAAGAAATGAGTTTGGTGCATGTGAGAGAGTTAAAACACCTGAAGTTATTGAACCAGGCCAACAAGCTGAATCTGACCCATCTGCAATTGTTACTAGCATTTCGCCTGAAGGTAAGCAAACTATTACACAAGAAAACTTTTCTGTGTCAATTGAGCTTTCTCAGCAAGCTTATACAAGTGAAGGATTAATCATAGACAAGCTTACAAACTCTGACATAATTGGCAAAGCTTTTGTACTGATGAAGCTAAAATCAAAAAAATATTGACTTACTTACTTAATTAAGAGGTTAATCGAGGTCCGCTTTGTTAACTCGGTTACCAAGGATCCCTCCAGGGGATTCATCCGCTTTGAGGGACGTCTACTTCCGATTGCCAGTAAAGCAGGTTGTCTGGCTGTCACCTCCTCCTTGCCATTTCGCGGTGGCTCCAGTCTTGAGTGGGTGGACTATAGGTTCCGCGGCCTTGCTTCAAGCTGCAGCGACAAGGTTGCCTGCACATAAAATCCAAAAATGGATTTTCTTGCCGACTGTCGACAAAAGGAAAAATTTGTAGCCCTGGTTTCACGGTGGGCAATGCCCAAGTCTCCTTTGTCCTCGAGGTAAAACCCAAACCAAAAAAAAAAGCGCAAGGGTTAGGCTCCTTACATTACAGGAATTGCTTACTTAGCATAGCTGCCCATCTCCAGCTTGGTAAAACCTTGTGGGATATAATTAAAAATATGTGCTCGAAGGTAGTTGGCACAGCCGACCGCGGAGCACTGAGCATTGAGGCGCCATATTTTTAAATTATATAAATTCAAAAAAATACATCAGGCCAAAAAATGTGGCTGCGTTAGATAAGCAAGGACTGAGATGGGAATTTCAGTTCAATAAAGCTGACTTAGAAAGTGGGGCAACTTATAAGTTCGTCCAAGTAAAAGGAGTTTTATATACAAATAAAGGGAAAATATTTACAGCTCCTACAGTAGTTCCTCCAACATTTGTATTAGGAAATGGAAATAATGAAGAAAAAACTGTTAAATGTTCACAGAACGGCAAATTTAAAGATAATATCTGTGTCTGCAATAAAGGATATGCAGGGGAAGGCTGCTATATTTGTGATACAGGATATGAAAAAAATGAGGTTAATAGCTGTGTTTTGAAAGAAAGCAAAAATATTGATAACTTGTTTACAAATAATGAGGAATCAGTCTGGGGCACCATTTTCTACTGTTTAGGATATTTAGCTTTAGGACTAGCACTATTGTACTTAATTAATAAATACAGAAAGAGCAAAGGCACTCAAAAATATGAAAATATCGAAATGGCGACTAGGAATCAGCCTGATGAAGAAGAAAACATTGATATTCACTCAACAAGATTTGATAGCTTGAGAAGCAAGCCTAACATATTTGATGACTAATAGGTTAAAATAAGTCTTAATAGAGAAAATCATTATAATATTTCCAAAGAAAAGACTAAATAGCCATATTTAAATCAGGGCTGAAGAAGCTATTCTTATCTCCCTTACTCCCTCCTCCGTGACCAAACAAAAAAAATCTTGTTCGCTCACGGAGGAGGTTTTTTTTTAAAGAAATTATGTATAAATTTATAGAAAATATTTTTTTTCGAAATTTAAAAATTCCCATTCTCAAAATTTGGAAAGTAATTATTAATTAATTTGTAAAATTTATGTTTTAAAACTCAATTTATTTAAAATTCAACAGAATTAGCTCGAGATTTCATGATAGTAGTTATCACTTATATTCAAAATTTTTGTTCGCTAACGGAGGGGGAGTTAGTGTTGAACCTTGATTTGATTTTAGTTCTTTCTTCCAAGAGCCTTCTTACACTTGGGTATTGATGAGGTTCCTGCTCTTCATTCTGCTGAGCCTCAGCCTCTTCATTTTTCTTTGGTTCTTCAACTTGCTTATGCAGGTACTTTATAAAAAGCCCTAATAGTGAAAACCCTAAAGCAGAAAATGCGCCTATAAATAATGCCACTTTTATCCCAACCAAAGACATTGCTCTTGACTGCCTGGAAAACATAATTTGCAGTAAAATCGCTAGCCCAGATCCAACTGTACAACTTATCAATGACTTTTGGCTGACTAGTTCCATTAAAGCTCTGAATTTATTACCAAGAATTTTGCTCATCACTGGTTGGAGCGTTGGGATTTTTTGGGTAATTTCTTTTATTTTTTCATCGATTTTATTGTGAATTTCTGGTTTTGGCCTTTCAACTCTGCTTCCTGAGCCTAAAAGCTCAGTTCGTTTGCTAGTAATTCTAACGACTTGATCGTTGGGGTCAAAACTCATGACTTGGATTAAGCCGGATTCTGGAGCTGGGAGAGGCTCAGCTACTGGCTCAGGCTCTCTTAGAGAAGGAAGCTCGTTTTCAACTGACAAGTCTTTTGGCATTATAACACTGTAGATCGGCTGTGGAAGAATATTAATAACTCCTTTAGTATCTAAAGCTTTAGCAAAATCTGGATCTAGATCGTCAAACATCGCATAAGCCTCTTCTCTGTCCATCTTAATGAAGAACGGCAAAGCAAATCTCTTTAAGTATAAAGTAATTTTGGGCACAAACCAGATTTCACATAGGACATCAAATATTGATCGGCGAAGTAGCAGGTCTTGAAGAGGAGCTGGCAGGTAATTAATGATGCCTTTTGTATGGATTTGAGAAAGCTTCCTACTGGCAAATCATAAAAGCAAAAAAGGAAGTAAGTGCATGAGGAGAACTGCTATCAGTCCAAATAAGTTTACCTATATAGTTGATACCATTAGAAGGAAATAAACAAACAATGCAAGATATATAAGAGTTATATCTTTCTTCAAGAATTCTTTTGCACCTGGAAAATAATCAAAGATGCTTGTTTCGCAAGATATTTCCATTATTACTATTTTAAAAATTTACTTTTGTACTTATTTAAGCATAAGATTTTCCTTATATTTTAATTATTATAACAATTTTATAGCAGGCAGACTACTTAATAAGGCATATCTATATAAAATAATTGAAAATGAGGTTACGTCAGATTATGATTTCAATATGACATCACATGTAAGTTATAATAAAATGTGGAGTGGACTAAAGTTTCTTTCTAGACCAATACAATCAAACCTTCGCTGTATGTGGCAGCCTGTTTCAGTTAGCAATTGGACTATCAACAACTATCGATATTTTGCATCAAGCTTGGCTACAATTGAATCTGCAGTAATAGAGCAAATTAAAAACGCAGAAGGTGTGGAAAGAGAAAAAGTGACGAATAAAAGCCTGTTTGATGAAATTGGCTTAGATTCGCTTGCTGAAATAGAGGTTTTTACAAATTTGGAAGAAAAATTTAAAATTACATTGACAGGGGAAGATACCGACGAGGTCAGAGGGGTTGCTGACTTAGTCAAGGTGATCCTAAATAAGTTTAAATAAATTGATTTATTCTCAATTGCTTGATATAACTGCTAAAAAAGTCCTTAAATTCGAAAAACTATCCGTTTTTTAATATAATAGAAATAACGGAAATGTATTAAATAGGTCTGAAACTTATAGTTTAAAATAGCATAAAAGTGTTAAAAATTGTTACAAGCTCATTCTTATATTTTTAGATTTTCCGAATGTTTTTCTAGACTTTCAAAAAATATTTTTTCAAGTTCATCTATTTCAGCTTAATTATCTATACATTTGTATCTATCATTCTTAATTATTTAAAGATAAGTCAAATTATTTTTTAAGTGTACTTCCTAAAGCCTTCTTCGCTTTATGGAGTGTTTTAACATTATTCTTCGCCTTAATAAACGCCAGTGCATCAGGATCTACATCATCAATTTCTTCAATTCCTTCCATATTAGCTGGCATTTCTGACAAAGTTCCAAAGTTTTCTCTTGACAGTGCCATCGTAGCCCCTCCGAATTTTCTTTCATACCACGTTTCAAACTCATTAATCAGCCTTTCTCTCGAAAATTCAATGCTTTGTGCAATCATATTGACTTCTTCTTTCAAATTTTTCATCTGATCATATTCAGTTCTATACACTTTCTTTAAATCTTTTAATCTTTTTATATACTCAAACTCCTCTTCATCAATTACATCTTCTTCTTCGCTTGGTTTATTTCTCCTAATCTGCTCTACTTTTTCTTTGCATTCGTCTATTTCTGATTTAATTCTATTAATCCTGGCTCCCACTTCTTTAAGCCTTGCTTTTCTATCTTTGTGGTCTTCTCTGTTTTGGTTTAGGGCGTTATTTATATCTCTTCCGTCAACGTTTTTAAACTCCATAAATGCTTGGTTTTTGTCAATTGGCTGCTTTCTTTGAGATCCTGATGATTTTTTCTTGTTTTCTTCAAATGATATAGATTTGTTGATGTTGATTTCTTCTTCTTCAGCTTGCATAAAGTGAGTTCGAGGCTCAAGTGCAGATGTGTCCATTGGTTTGGCGTTAGGATTAGCTCGTCCTAAGCCGAACCCTCCAAAATTTTCTTCATCTCCAAGTCCTTCATCAGACTCTTCAATGTTTTTTGGTTCTTTTGGATGCGAAGACCCAGAGCGGTCTACTTCTTTATCAGCTCTCACCTTGAAATCTGAAGCCCCAAGCCTTGATAACGCTCTTCTATATATATTTCTCATCTGGATAAAAAGTTCTCTAACCTGCCTTAAACTGTCAAATTCGACCTCATCTGTGTCCCCATCAAGAAAACTCTCTGCAATTTGCTGCTGCTGGTATTGCTGCTCAGGAGTATAAGGCTCATATACAATTCTTCCACGATTTGCCAATGTATCGTGCATTGCAAGCTCTTGTTTTAGGTCTCTTATTTCTCTTTTATATCTTTCAATCAGTTGTGCAGGGTCAAGTTCTACATTAATTGTGGCTTCATTTGAGACACGCATCATGCGAGTGGCAAATCTTAAGGTAGAAATCGTTTCTTCCATATGGTTAGGCTCAGGCCATATATTTGCGACCATCAGAGTTTTTGAGTTTCCTCCAATTGAGTCTTTTAGCATATATGTCAGCTTTGACTGCCTATATGGGACATGCTCTCTGCCTCTCTCTGACAATGCGATAACTACTTGTTCCAAATAGCTCAAAGATTTATTAATATAATTTGCTTCAGTCAGTGTAAGTCCTTCTGAGCCTGTTTTTTTAGTCCTTTCTGACCCAGCCAAATCAACTAAATTCAGCTTTGAAATGGTCACTTTTTCGCTTGACTCCACCCTGCTTCTGCTTTCTAAATGGACTGTATAGACACAATGGGATCTTGTAGAGTTTTTATTAAGTAGATGTGCAGCAATAGTACGGTTTGTTTCACCTTCAAACAGCTGGTTTAATGCTTCTTCTTCAGTGTTTACAATGCTTTGTGATAGCCCTCTCAGTGTAATTCCATATTTTGGATCATCTTGGATCATGATTGAGCCACTTTGGTCTGATGGTGGGGTTGGCGAAATCAAATCATATATAAGCTCATTGTAAATTTCTGCATAACTTACCCTTATCACATAACTTAATTCTGGCTTGCTCTGGACTTCATGGAAAAGTTGAGAAATCGCTCTAGGAATGACGCCTCGAAACTTATAAGCCTGCTGCCCTCCAAGCATGGTATAAGTTTTCCCAGCCCCAGTTTGGCCGTATGCTAGAATGGTCCCATTATAGCCTTCAGAAACACTGTGCACGACTTCTCGGCCGCATATATCATACACATCTTCTTGTGAGGAGTTATGCAAAATTTCATCAAACTGAAACTTCCAGTGCTCTTGCTGGTTGTTTATGAGGCCTTGGGTGTTATCTTTAGGGATAAACGCTTCTATTGTTTTTTGATCTAGGTCTATTTGAAGATTTTTAGATGCAAAACTGGCTGTTGGACGTGTGCGCACTACAACTTTAACTGCACTTTTTACCATTATATCAAATAAATTAAGCTAATTATGATATTTATTGATCCACTCGTCCATAAATCTATACAAAAAGTCGTATTGGTCTTTGGTTTGGACCATTCCCCAGCGCTGCTCACGGAGTCTTCTGACTGTGCCGAAGACGCTGATTCTTGCATCTTCTTTCATAAGTTTGATGGTCTGGACCATTTGGAAAAGAGCTATAAGAGTGCCTGTCCTACCAATCCCAGCGCTGCAATGGATAACGACATGCTTTTCTTTATGAGATTCTAAGGAGTTTAAAAGGTAATCAATGGAGTCAAATTCATCTTCAAGCTCAGGTGTCCCATGGTCTGGCCATGCAACTGATTGTAAATGAGACACTGTCCTGGTCTCCATCGTCGCTTTGTGGGTGATTTGGAAAACCCGAGCGGTTATAGAAGGAAAAGGAGTTTCTGAGCTTACAAGAGTTATCACAAAATTCGGTAGCTCTATAGAGTCTCCTATGGGGAAATATTGGTCACATTTAACTTTTCCAGCTTCTCTTATGGCTGATATCATTACGATAAGACTTACATTATATTCCCATATCATTCGCCAAAAAGAATCCCTTGTGGATTCTAGAGGGCCTTGTGTTGCTATAAAAAGCTTATGGTCTGGCATAGGATGTTTTATCCAGTCAGCATTGATATAATCGCCACTTTCTAGTGAAACAATTGTGTCCTGGAAAGGAAGGATATCTGAATATCTGTTTAAGCCTTGAAGCTTTGGAGTATTTTGGACTAAAAACTCCATATGCTTCTTGGTTTCGGTGATTTTTCGCATTAACCTGAATTCAAGATCTTTATTTCGCATTTTGGAAAGGTTGGTAAAAGAGGAGACAGGGATCCCTTCTTCAATTTCGTTTAAGTCTTCGCATTGCTTGTAGAAATAGTTATATGAGATATCCCGCCCATCGTGAGGTCCTTCAACTTTAGGAAGTTCCATTTAAATTATTAAATATAACTTAATCAGAAAAATCTAAAATGAAGCTATAATAAGGGTAGAATTTTTAAAATATATAAAAATGAACATTGTCAGAAAAATAATATAAAAATTATGAATAGAATTATTGATATGGATCAAATTAATTTGCTTTAATAGCATAAATTAGTAAAACAAGCCATTATAAGAAACATATATATAAAGTCTATTGAGTGAAAAGACAAATAACAAATATTAAAAAAAATTAATTTAGGAAGTGTATAGGAAAGAAGCAAGGTTGGTTTATTGGTGATTTTAATAAAAATGTCAATCTTACTTGGCTCCAACAATGAGCCTCTCAAACTTACAAAATTTCATATTGACGGCATCATTCATAATAACTCAGCCGAATTCACTTTCCATCAGCACTACTTAAACACCTCCAATGAAGAAATCCACGCAAAATATATTTTTCCATGCATTCCCAACATTACCCTCGTAAATCTATCAACTTACAAAACTAGGTCGAACTCAAGTCTTAAAATAGAAGAAGTTCATAAGGTTCTGAAATCATATGAAGATGCAAAAAACGCTGGAGAAAATTCTTACACTCTTGAAAAACTACAAGAATATGACATGATGGTATATAGCGTTGAGAAAATTGCTGCGAATGAAGGAATCCAAGTTGATACAGTTTTTGCTTGCAAAGCAGAGAAGATGCTTTCAGAGCCTTATTGGAAGCTCAAAATCCCTAAGGAATTATTTCCGCCTGGACATCAAGAAATTCCATATACAGCAGATATCCATTCATTTTGGGACTATTCTCTTAGACAATATAATAAGTTTTTACTTGAAAGTGGAAATTTTATAAAACTTGAAGTTGATTTCGGAGTTGCGGGCTTTATGAATTTTAGCCCAGATAATGATCTTGAAGTCGTTTACTATTTCGAAACACCTCAGGAATCTTATCTTACAATTCAAAAAGACCCAAGAATCAATAGATATTCTTTTTATTTGTCATACAAACCAGATAAAAATCTTCTTGATTTAAGTGAAGAAAGGCTTGCAGGAGAATTTGCTATTTTTCTTGATAGAAATGCTTCTATTGATAGCAAAATCCCATCAGCTACTGAAGCAGCTGCACTATTTATTCGTTCTCTTCCAGAAAATTGCTATTTTAATGTTATTATCTTTGGCAAGCCAATATTTGAAAAAAGTCGAAAATATGACCAATGCTCAATCGATGAAGCTTATTTAGCAATTTCCTCAGATAATAACGATATAACAGAATGCGATTTTTTTGGACCTTTGAAATATGTATTAGAAAGTCCTAGGATTCCTGGATATCCACTAAGCATATTTGTTGTAACTAATAGGAGCACTTGGGATAATAAAACCAAAATTACAAGATTGATCAAAAAGTATAAGGAAGCTAAAATCAATACAATTGGCATAGATTCAGATGGTACTTTTATTAAAGAGCTATCTAGAATAGGAAAAGGCACTTCTTATATGAGCAATAGTCCAAATGAAATAAAGCAAGGGGTTTTAAGATCGTTAAAGCAGGCTTTGAGTCCGACTTTTACTGATATTTGTCTTTCAGATAATAGAATATTTGACTTTGTTTTACCAAATGAAACTTTCAATGTCACTCTGGAAGAAAAAATTGAGATCTCAGGTGTTTTCAAGAAAGGTTTACTTCCAAAAAGTATAGATTTACAGTTTAAAACTGATAGAGTGGGACCTCTTCAGCATATAAATTGAAGCATAGCTGAAGGCCAAATATCAATATCATCCTCAATTCTTATATTAGAATCTAAAAAATATCTTAAGCAATGCGATCAAGGATTATCAGTTAGAAAATCCAAAGAATATCAAGTTGAAGGAGATTTCGCCTCTTTCAATATTGAAAGATATAAGAAAAATAAACTAACAGAAGACCAAGCAGCTAATAATGACTTGGAAGAAAATGCTATTGATATAAAAAAGTCAAGCCAAAGCTATTCAGAGACCAAAGTGCAGGAAATAACTAACTCAGAAAGAAATTTACTGAAACCTGCAACAAAATTAAAGCAAAGTAATAAGCAAGCTAAAGAAAAAACAGTAAACGTAAATTCAACTCCTAATGTACAATCTAAAACTGTATCAGATGAAGTTGCTTATCAAGCTCAAAGCGACTCTTGCTCTATAGATGTAGCCTTGCAGGTTAAAAGGGGAAGAAACAAGAAACTAGACGCCGCTTCTCCTCGTAAAAAAGCTAAGGTAAAAGAAGAACAGATTCAGTCTACTGAAATTAATAAGCTAGAGATTGCTGAATTACCAGAAATATTCCAAAACATGAATGAAGTAAAAGGGGCTGAGAATGAATATGAAGTAGAAAAAATATTGCATCTGCAAAAAGCAGAGGGGTATTGGGAATTTTCTAAAAATTTATCAGATATCGTTTATAATTTACTTGGTTATGACTTAGGAATCTCAAAGCTAGATCACAAATTAATTACCGCTTTAATTGTAGCTTTCCTTGAAGAGAAATGCATAAAGTATAAGGACTTATCGGATCTTATAGTTATGAAAGCAAAACGATGACTTGCAAAAAATGATCAAATACTAATTCGGCTCTCAGATTTTAACACATTATTTTAATCACAATTTTATGCCATTTTATTAATAATTACTTTAAGTAGCTTTAAAAATCAAATTTCATATATAATTATGACCCTCGATTTAAAATAGAAACAGCACATAATGAATTAAAATTTATATGATAAACTCCAATTCCTTCTTTTCCCTTAATTTAAGCAAAATATTGCTAAATTGTTTTGTGGTAAGTTACCTCTCTTTAAATTATAACAAACTTTTAATTTTTTACAAATAGCTTTGATATCCAATCTAATGCCTCCAGGTCAAAATTTTACCTATAAATTGTTCAATTTTAAATCGTAAAGCACTAACTATTAAATAAAGTTTATTACTTTGAATCTATAATTTTACCAAATATTGCTAAAAATATAACAATTTTATCCAATTTTTTTATTAAAAATATGTATATATTTTTAAAGATTTAAATTCAAATTTTAAGGGGGTGCTAATAAATTCCATTACTAGTTTAATAATACACTTTAATAAATTAAAAATGCTCTTCTAACTTTTTTAAAATTAGCTACTGCACTATTTTATTAAAATCTATAACTTAATCAGAAAATGCAATCAAATTAATCATAGATATTTTAATAAAATCCATTTTTGTTTATAATATTAATGTCTTCTTTAGTTGGCTTCAACAATGTTCACCTTGAGTGCACCGAATTTCACATTGATGGTGAGCTTAATTACAATTATGCTGAATTTACTTTAGTACAGTTTTATTCCAACAATTCTAATGCATCAATCGATGCAAAATACGTTTTTCCGATCATTTCCGACATACACCTATCTGAACTCAAAATAGTAAAAGGCGATAACTCGCATATATTTAACATTCAAGAGCCTAATAAGCCTCTAAAATCTTACCAAGACGCAAAAAATGCAGGTGAAAGTGATTTTCTGCTAAAAAAGTTGGGTGACTTTGACATGATGGTTTTTGATATTGGAGAAGTTGCAGAGGGGTCAGAAATAAAAATTGATGCTACTTATGTCTGCAAATCAGAGCAGATAATTCCAGAGAACTTTTGAAAATTCATAATCCCTAAAGCTCTATTTCCAAATAAACTTGAAAATGTTCCTTGCTCTGCAGAAATCACTACAATTTGGGGAAATGAATCAAGAAAACAAAAAGGTGAGGTCAATGTCAAAAATGGGAATTCAGTGACACTTGATAAAAATCGCCACAAGGTAAATTTTATGAATTTTAGCCCTGAAAATGATATTGAAGTAACTTATTATCAAGAAATTCCTAATGAGCCATTTATTATATCTATAGCTCTATATCAATCTCCTTTTGATGAATTTTATAAGAGTTTTTTTATTGGATTATGACCTATATTATGATCCTCAAAACATAATTTTAATCCTGGTCCTATAGAGAGTTCTATAATGGTGAATAGGTTATATTGTTCAAAAAGACGAAGGTACAAATAGGCATGCTTTTTATTTATCCTACAAGCCAGACGAAGAGCTTTTAGATTCAAGTGGAGCAGCACAGATTGGAGAATTCATTATATTGCTAGACAGAAGTGGATCAATGTGCAGCAGAATACAACTAGCAACAGAAGCTGTAGCACTATTTATTCGCTCACTACCTGAAAACTGCTACTTCAATGTTGTAAGCTTTGGAAGTAGCTACGAGGCAATGTTTAAAAAAAGTAAAAAATATGATAAATGCTCAGCTGATGAAGCACATAGAGTCGTTCTTCAGTATAATAGCAACATGGGAGGAACCAACCTTTTTGAGCCTTTAAAATATGTTATAGAAGGCAACAGAATCCCTGGGTACCCTTTAAGCGTCTTTGTTGTAACTGATGGAAATGTGTGGGACAGCTTACTCCCCGATCCTTGATCGAACGATTGACTGTAAAAATTCCTAAAAATTGGAAAAATAAACCCTCATCTTTGATCGAACGATTTCCATATCATCCAAATTTTTATATATATAAAAATTAATTAGTTATCAAAGCTTGGGAAGATGTGCCTAATGAAGTTATTTCAGAGACTTTGAGATCACAGGAAACTACGGAATCAGCCATCCAAAGTGCTTTAGTCATCAACCTGGGCTTAAAAACTCAATAATCTAATAAAATAGAGATTCTTTAAAATTTAAAATTTTTGATTCAATAAGAAACAAATTAAAATTTATACAGTTTAAAGTGGTAACCAAAAAATCAAAATATTAAAAATTGATATTCTTATGAAATTCATTCAATTTTTTGCTGTAAAAATAATTATTAAATACTCTTAACCCTCTTATTTAAAAATATATAAAATATATATATATTTTTTATTTTATATATAAAATTTTTTCCCAAACAATTTTTTTTAACCCCCATCCTTGATCGAACGATGTCGAGCCGTTCGATCAAGGATGGGGGGAAGTTAGAGGAATTTAAGAAGTTAATAGGGAAGCATAAAGATGTCAAAATCAGCACTATTGGTATTGATACAGATCAAGCATTTATTGATAATCTTGCAAAAATGGGCAATGGCACTTCTCAGCAAATAAAGAGCATTAATCAAATAAAGCCAGCCATTTTAAGCTCGCTGAAACAAGTTTTAGTCTCTGCCATTACCGATATTAAGCTGGCAGACTATAAACCATTTGATTTTGTTTGGCCAAGAGACCCATTCAGTGTTTTTTCAAATGAAAAGATTGAAATTTCAGGAGTTTTTAAGAAAGGGAAACTCCCCAAAAGCATCACTCTGCAATTTCAAAGCGAAAAACTGGGCTCAAAAGATATAGAACTGCCTATTATTGACGGACAAATAGTAACTTCAAGCTCAATTCTTGTGCTAGAAGCCAAAGAATATTTGAAGCGATGTGATAAAGCAGAATCCATTAAAAAATCCAAAGAATATCAAGTTGAAGGCGAATATACCTCATTTGATGCTGAAAAATACCAAAAAACTGACTTGCCACCAGAAGTGAAGCCTAAAGCGGCTCCCAAGAAAAAAGTATCAAACGCAAGAACTATAGCTCCTACTATTGGTATAAAAAAGCCATTTAGGCTTAGACCAGGGAAGCTTGCAGAAAGAGAAATAAAAAAATACCAAAATTCAACAGATTTATTAATCCCCAAAACAAAATTCAAAAATATTGTCCGGACTATTAGTAATGATACCATTCCTGACATGAGATTCCAAAAAGAAGCTTTTCAGGCGTTTCATGAAGCAGCTGAAGCATATATTGTTGACGTGTTCAAGGCTTCAGTTAATGCTTCTGCAAATCATAAAAGAATGACTGTCAGACCTGGGGATATGCAAGAAGCAGTAATTGATGTCCAGCAAGCAGGGCAAAATCAGCAAGCAAGTCCTAAACGAGGAAAAACTAGGTCAGGGAGAGCCACTCCTGCTCAAATTAAGCCTCAAGCTAAAAGAACTGCTAAAAAATCTATCCCTCGAAGATCTACAACTCCTAGAAGCTCATCATCTACTAAAGTTTCAACACCTTCAGCAGCTACTCCTAGAACTCGAAGTGCTTCTAAATCAACAGAAGTTGTCTTACAAGCCAAAAGAGGAAGAGGCAAGCAAGCCAAAGTAATTCCTCCTCAAAAAAAGGCGAAAATAGAAAAATCTGAAGCTAAAAATTTGCCTAAGCAACCCCAGAAAAAAAATGAGGTAAAATGCATTGACGTTGGATATGAAGTTGAAAAAATAATGCATCTACAAAACACTGATGGGTATTGGGAAACTTCTGCAAACTTATCAGATATTGTGAATAATTTGCTTGATTACTATGTCGATATTTTTAAATTTAATGAGAAATCGACTACAGCTTTGGTTGTTGCATTGCTTGAAGAAAAATGTAAAGACTATAAGTGTTTGTGGGATCTTGTAGTTATGAAAGCTAAAAGATGGCTTGGTAAGAACAAGCAAAAATTGCTTAAGCTTTCAGATTTTTAATATAATCTCTTTAAAAAAACTCTGAATTATAAATAATAATAAATGTCCTCTCTCGTTGTCCATGAATAGCATTTATGACTTACCGATTTTCGTATTTATAGCAAAATCCCTATAATTATGCTGAATTTCCTTCAAGCAAAAATATTCAGCATTTAAAATAATTTTTGCTAAAAGATAAATAATAGAATTTAATTTTTTAAATTAAAACTTTATAATAAGATAAAACCACAAGATAAAGCTGGCTATAATTAACTAAAAATCTTTCACACTTTCCATTTTAATTCTTGCATTAATTCAATTTTAAATATTAATTAAATTACCGTTAATTTCCAATGAGGTCTAAAAGTATGCCACGAGCTTTTCACAGAACTCTAATTGAGCAAGCACAAACCAACCTTTCTAATGTGCCAACCGATATCTTCTATCGGTTCATGAAAGAGTTGCCTTATAAACTCCTTCCTCAAAGTACTTCTTATAATACTAAGGTGCCAGCTTATCGTAGACCGCCAATTCAGCACTGCCATATCGAAAAACATTATGAAAAAATAGCCCAATCTTCGCCTTCATTCAAAAAACAAATGCTTTTAGAAGCGCGATTTCATTCGAAAAATAACAGTTTATATGAAGAGGATTTGCCTACAGAAAAGCGTTTTTGCCATAGCACAACGCCTGAGCCAAGGAGTATGTCAGTTATGAGGGAAGGAACAATATATGCATTATATATTTATTAAAATAATTTTTTTTTTACATAAAAAGATCCTTTTTCTATATAATATCATCTTAAAATATTTTAATTTAGTCTAAAACTGCATTAAAAGTGCATACTATGATTGGGAAATCTAATGACGTTGTACTATTTGCGCTAAATCAAATGAAAAAAGAAAAAGAAAACACATCAGGACTCTTAAAGCAATGTCAAGAAAAATTTTCTGATAAAATTTCTCTTGATTTAACTTCTCTCAATAAAACATTTAGAAGGAAACATTTTTTTACTGACGAATATAAAAAGAAAGCGGTATTTGACTATAAATCAATCCAAAACAAAATTCAAGCAATTGGAAAAACAAAAACTGGTATTAAACTATGCGGCTCGAAAAGAAGCATTCCATTAGGTATACAAAATTTATAAATTAAACTGCACAGTAATTAAGTAAGCTAAAATTAAATGAAAGCTTTATTCGTCATCTGCATGTATAATTTCATATTCCAGCTCATAAGATTTCCCACAATACCTGCATAGAAATTACCATATAATAACTGCTATCATCCCAATAGCTGTCAAAATCATAGTCAGCTTAAAGCTAGAAGCCCAGGAGCTGTCTTCTCATGTACTGAATCTAGATAATATCAATGGTTGAGCACAAGCACTAACTTCTGCAAGCCCTATCAATCTTGACTCAGTATCAATTGTAACATAAAATTTTTCGAGGACTGGTGCTCCTAGTACGATATAGTTAGTGACACTGACTGGCACGGGGTGCTTTTGGCTCGAAACTGAGCCAAAAGCATCCCGTGTCAGCCAGTGTCACTGACTATATAGTCTTCAGGGAAAAATTTTATTATGCTACAGTAATCATTAGAATTCAGACATTTCATAAAAATTTCATTTATATCGATTTTTAGAGTAGATTTATTTGATAGCGTGAAAGTTAATTTTGGGAATTTGGCTGGGGTTGATGGTATAGAATTTCCATAAAATGTGTTATTTGTTTTTGTGCACAATAAAGGGTCACAATCAGTGCCATAGTAGGCACTTAGAGAAGCAATAAAATGTGAAAATAGCTTTTCAGGGAGCAAAATATAAGGAATTCTTGTCTCCAAAATACCTTCGATTTCTCCATTTCAAAACTCAGAGTTATTAAGAAAAATTGATATAACAGGAATAGAATAGCGATCATTATAATCTATAGGAAACAATTTGAAATCACTGATATGGTAATACTCAGAATCAAACCCACCAAACGTTAAAAAGCCTTCTTTATCCTTTTCACTTGTCATACAAAAAGAAAATACATCCCTTATATGTTCATTCCTACTTGTCACTTACGCTACTAGCAAATCCAGCAAGGAAGGTCCATAATTTCTTTTCAAATTATGCTGACCAATTCCAAAAATTCCATCAATATTAAGTTTTTGATTTTCATGAAAAATTCTTCCGAAAATGACTTCTGACATAGAAAACATCCCAACTCGAATAGTTTCTAATGATAATGCCCCTTTAGCTTCATATTCATCAAATCCTTCATATAAAAACCCACATTCATTGCTTTCATATACATCAGTTGACCAGCATTGTTCAGAATTCACTGTTATTACTCCAAAAGTGCTTGAGTCTAAATTATAAGGATTCCTATGCTCTTCACAATGTGCGCATTCTCTGCTGATGACCATTGTTAAACTTGTCCCAATGCTAAGTTGTAGGTCATAATTGATCCCTCCAATTGCAATTTTTGTAATGTAGGTGTTTCATGGCTCCTTGTTGATCCTAACATTGTTACCGAGGACAATTTGAAATAGAAAAACTGCAAGAACGCTCATAATAATAAATTTAATATTCATTTTCTTACTCCTCATTTAATAGCAACCTTTTTTTTTTTCGTTATTAAATGGGGTTTAATTTATAAAATTTTTGGGAAAAAAAATATATAAAATTTATATTAAATATCTATGGTTTTTTTTATATAAAAATTTCAATTAAGGGTATATATAATGATGGAAGGAGTCAAATGATGGCAACAGAAAAGAGAAAGCACCTAAATGCAGGCGAAAAGATATAATCCGTTGGCAAAATTTCTTATGGACGTTATACGCGCCATTTTCTTATAAAATTTCAAATTAAGAATTTGCCGCACTAAAATCTGCGTTTTGAAACGCATATTCGGTTTTTACATACCAAATTCAAAATGACATGCATATGCATGATCAGAAATTTAGGCAATAGATAATAACTATTTCTAACTTCCCCCCTCCGTGAGCGAACAAAACCATTAGAAAAATCCCTCACCCTCTGTAAGCGAACAAAAATTTTTGTAAATAGAAAAATTTTTTATAGAAAAAAATTTGATATATAAGCGATAATTATTATAATGAAATCTCTGGCTAATTCTAATTTTAAACAAATTGCGTTTTAAAACATAAATTTTACAAATTCAATTAATATTTGCTTTAAATTTTTGCGAAATAGGATTTTTTTAATTTCGTAAAAAAAATTTTTCTATAAAATTTATATATAAATAATTTTTTACAAAAAAATATTAACACCCCTCCGTGAGCAAACGAGATTATTTTGTTCGCTCACGGAGGGGGGAGTAAAGCACCAGCTTAAGATTAAGCTACAGGTAACTTATTAGCTCTTATTTATTATTCTTTTCTCGATTATGCTTGTCCTTATTTACTCTAACTACTTAAAATTAGTAAGCTGTAAAGACTAAATTAGCTTATATAAATTTTATAGTAAATTTTGTTCGTTATTAAATGGCCTAACTCCGCCCCCCCCCCTCCGTGAGCGAACAAAAAAATTTTGTTCACTCACGGAGGGGGGTTAATTTTTTTTTTTAAAAAAAATTTATATATAAAATTTTATAAAAAAATATTTTTTTCGAAATTTAAAAAAATCCTAATTTGCAAAAATTGGGAAGCAAATATTAATTTAATTTGCAAAATTTATGTTTTAAAACGCAATTTGTTTAAAATTAAACAGAATTAGCTCTAGATTTCATTATACTAATTATCACTTATATATCAAAATTTTTTTCCATTAAAATTTTTTCTATTAAAAAAATTTTTGTTCGCTCACGGAGGGTGGGTTTTTTGGTCAAAAAATGGTGATTTTTTCTAATGGTTTTGTTCGCTCACGGAGGGGGGGGGGGGAGTAAGGAAAAATTTTTAGGAAAAAAAAATGACGGTTTTGTTCGTTATTAAACTGGGGGAGTCAGCTATTTAAACTTATTTTTATAAACTTTTTGCTAAACTCTCTAGAAAATCCTCAAGTTTTGTTTGATATTTGGTCATAGTAGGTCTCATTATATCATATAGCTTTAAGGCTCCTTTGGCTTGAGGCCAGAACAGAAAGACCATAAGGCCAACTTTGATAAGGAAAAACAGAGGTATCCATGATAAAAGAAAATCCAGAACTGGATCCATTAGAAGGAAAAGACCAAATATGAACCAAAATTTCAAGCATTCTTTACCGTCGTTTGTCTTATTTGATTCAAGGACTTTTACTGTGTAATAAGATGGGTATGAGCCTGCAATAAATACCAGAGTTGTGTTAGGACAGACAGTAAAAAGAATGAGAAGAAGAACAAGAGTTATTGTGCCAAATGTTAAAGTTTGGACAGATAATCCTGTTGCTTTGCTGATGCTCTGGATGGCTGGAATACCTTCTGCCAATCCGACTACTTTTTGGATAAAATCGTCACTGTTTACCATTTTGTTTATTATTACACGTCAAAAGCACTCTAACGATTTTAATGACAATAAAGAGCGTAATTCAGCAATTGCTTTAAGATTTTTATTATTTTTAATCATATTGCAAATATAAAGATCATTTGCAAATAATCTTAGATTATCTCTAGCAATTATTTCAAAGATTAATTAAATATCAATTATGCTTGCTAAGTTTGGCTTCGAGCATACAAAGTTTTTAAGCTCAATTCTTTGATACCCACTCCTTCTCAATACATTTTCTAGTTTCATAGCAATTTCTTGATAGCTCTTTTGATCTATTTTGCACCCTTTTGTAAATAAATCTAGTAAATAATACAATTGTTCATGAAGTTGCACAACTGAGTAGTCTGAGATCATTATTCCTTTGCATGCCTTAATTTTGCAGTTTGTTTCAATTTGTTTGGTTTTCCATCCACATGTCTGTTCATTGCATTTTCGTTCAGCTGTGTAATATTTCATCATTTTTTCTCTCATCATTCTTGTTACTGAGTTTTTAACCTGATTTATTTGTCCGCTTTTTGTGCAAGTTTTGCATCCGAATGAGTTTTCAGTAGCTTCATACCTATTAGCGCACCCATAACAAATTATAGTGAGTTTATCTGCTCCTCTTAAATTTACATATGAATGAGTCGTTTCAGTACTGGAGGTATTATATTTACTTGGATCTTGACCCATCCAAGTGGCAATTTCACCAGAAGTCACTGAATCTATTACGCTACACAAACGATGCAATGGTGGAAGAATCTGCTGGGTTATGTACCATGTAAAGTCTATTTTTAATGCTCCAGCTGAACTGATAAAATCATCAGGGTGTTTAGCTCTTTCTGCATAAGATGTAGCTTCTTCTTGGCTTAAACTTAGATTATTATAGAGTAGATTCTGGCCAGCCATGTCGGCTTTTCATGTTCCTGGCTTTGCTCCACCCTCTTGCTTGCCTGTATGATTACGGACTGAAGGTATTTGTTGCTCCCTCTAAGGGTTTGCACTCATGACTCAGAGGTAAAGATGCTGGGATGCCGTGCCGTACATCAATGGGGTTGCCCTTTCCTAAAATTAAAAAATGAATTTTCATGTTCGCTTTCGGCTGAATAAAACTTGTAGCCTAGGGTCCAGCTCTTGGTATTGCACTGGAAAATTGCCCGAATTCCAAGCGAAATCCATCTGACCTTGCTGGACTATCCATTTCCAACTTTCAAGTTCCATCGTCCCTTGAGGCAAAGCTTTACCCTGGATGTGATCCTATGCTTGGCTAACCCGATATCGAGTTCCGAGGATCCTCACCGCTATCCCTTCTGTAAAGTCCCCAGACTCTCGGCGCTAAGAGAAGATTCCTCACCACGCCATTATTGAATGTAGCTTCTTCTTGGCAAATTACATATGGAATAAACTGCCCTTCTAGATTTCTCTCACCTCGCTCTTTTAATTTTAAGGCAACTTGTACATGAGGCTGTGATTTTCCATCCTTATATTTTTCAGGCGCTTTTGTTAATTGTTTAGTTATGATGTATACCTATTACAGCGACTAGAAATAATTTCTCTATTTAGCTTTATTCTATTTGCTCAATATTATTAACATGTTTATCATATAAAACAGTATATTCAGATAATGGATACTCTTCTTTTTGTAGTTTGCTATAAACCCCCTCAACAAACTCCCTCAAATTTGCTACAATATCTTCGCTATTTTGTCCAGAGAGTAAAATATCAAGAGCCCCACTTGACACAAATTTAGATATCGGACACCAATCTCTTCTTACCATATCAAGCCCTTTTACTTCTCTTACAAATTCGTTACCAACAAGCTTCATGCATGCATATTTTTTCTTCTTACTCAAGTGAGTGATAAAAGGGATTATTTTGCAATTAAAATTTTTATATTATTTTTTATATATGTAAAAAATTATAACCATTTATAATGAATACTTAGCCGTTTCCCTATCATTATATAAATATAAAAAAGGTTTTCTGTATAAAAGTTTATTTATTATCAAAGGGAATAGGATTTCCAAGGGACCTCCTCTCTAACAAAAGGGAGAATTAAGTAATAGCATGCATTTGAAGAGCCCATCAATTTCAATTTCCAAACATTTAAATTGCTTATTGATTATTTTTTTCAATGTATTTCCAATTTCAAGACTTTTGTTCATATCAGAGAGGTTTGTGTTTATCATAATAGAATCAGTGTCTCCATAAATGACGTCAAGCCCTAGCTTATCCTTTGCGATTTTTACAGCATTTTCTAAGGTTTGACGACCCATCATCGTAATTAAAGCAGCTATTGGCTTAATCCTCGCCCCATCCTTGATAGAACGGCTCGATCAAAGATGGGGGTTAAAAAAATTTTTTTTGGGAAAAAAAATTTTATATTTAAAATAAAAAATATATGTTTTTTGCTATATATACATATAAATAAGAGGGTTAAGAGTATTTAATAATTATTTTTACAGCAAAAAATTGAATTAATTTCATAAGAATACCATTTTTTAATATTTTGATAATTTTAGGTTACTCCTTTAAACTGTATAAATTTTAGTTCCTTATTGAATTAAAAATTTAAATTTTAAAGAATCTCTATTTTTAGATTATTGTGCTTTTAAGCCCAGGTTGATGACTAAAGCATTTCGGATGGTTGATTCCGTAGCTTACTGTCATCTCAAAGCCTCTGACAACAACTTCATTAGGCACATCTTCCCAAGCTTTTGATAACTAATATATTAGCATTTATATAAAAATTTGCATGATATGAAAATAGTTAGATCAAGGATGGGGTTAATTTTCCCAATTTTTAGGAATTTTTACAGTCAATCGTTCGATCAAGGATGTGGGGGAGTTAGCATAAAATCTTGACTGTGTGAAACCAAGACAGCCATACATAGAGTTTGCTGTTAGCTTTAAAGCTTTTTGTTTAATTTCAAGCTGCTCTAGCTTAATTTTATCAGTTTCATTCTTCATTAAACTTCTTGTGGCTTTTCTTCTTGCAACAAGATCACGGATAATGTCAGGCAAAATCCCTCTTGTTTCTTTTTCTGATGGAAGGCCACCTGGCTCATTATCATCTTCTACTCCTTTATTTCTTGTTACTGTAGTAAAACAAATATTATATTCTTGAATCAGAGAAGGATATAGTGAATTGAAATCTAAAAGCAATATGAATTTATCATAGAGACCTGACTTAGGCTCAAGAACGAGACCTCCTAAATACTTTTTTTTATTTTTCTTTCCAACTTCTTCAGTTTTTTTGATAGCCTTGTCGGGCCTTATCTTAACCTTAAGCTATTTTAGAGAAGTTTCTGGTAGCACACTGCGGGTGCGCATCTCACCTTGCTTTTTTAAGCTATCTTCCACCTAACCACCAGTGGCTAATTATACGCCTGAGGCTTGCGGAGAGTGAAGTAGGCTGGGTCACCGTGCCGTACGCCAGACGAGGTAGCCTGCTCAAAAATTCAAAAAAATGGGAATTTCTAGTCAACTGTCGGTAGAAGGGAAAACTTTTAGCCAAGGTCGTAACTCCTGGCTTCAACGCTAGGGAGTTTCCCTAAAAGCCTAGAGGTCTCTGGGCTTCCCCTTTCCAACTCCAAGTCCCACTTTCCCTCGAGGTAAAATCTAGCTCCTAAAAGTGGACTAAGGCTAGGCCCTAAACATACTAGGATTAGTTATAAAAATTGCCCGAGGATGGCGCTATTTTGCGCCATCCTCGGGCAATTTGTATACCTAGAATAGCTGTCCATTTCTGGCTGGCAAAACTTTTCTGACATAATTAAAATATGTGCTCTGTCCATGGCCAGGCTGAGACGCCACATTTTAATTCTATCCTTATCAGGCCATACAAATTTATTTTTGTGGAATTCATGTATAAGTAGCATTTCATTACGTTCAGCTCTTTGATTTAGAAAAGACCGATACCATAAGTTCCCTGCTATATTAGTCAGCTGTTTGGTAAGTGGAATTACTGATAAATGCATTGTAATCTCAAAATTAAAATACGCGTCTTGTTGTGTATGTTTAGCTAATCTTTCAACTCCTTGAACTGAATTTAATAAATTTTCAACATCAATTATTTCTTGCCTATCTTTTTTAAGTATCTGTTTAACAAGATGAGTTAAAGTATAAGTGGTTTGTTTTGAAAGTTCTTTTGTAGATAAAAAGGTATCACATAATAATCTTCCTGATGTCGTTGATCTGTATAGCCAATTTCCTCCAAATGCATCATCTTTTTTTTGGCTTGAATACCTATTTCTTGACAATCTGCCCATGCGAGACCAATTTGAGACTTTCAAAGCTTGAAGTCTGCTTATCAAAATATCTAAAAAGTTCCCTAGGAGCTCATGAGCAACAATTACATCTGCATCAATCCGAATCATTTTGGCTAGAAAGCTATTAAGGAGCACTTTTTCTGACTCAACCACCTCAATTGTTGGATTTTTAGAAGCCACAGCTGGACCGACTTTTTTGACTATAGAAAAAGCATTCACTGTATTAAGATTATAAGGAGTAGGCTGAACTTGATCAATTTGTGAATGAGCGACACCAGAAATTGCACAAATTTCAAGACCTTTTGAATTTCTTACACTTTTTAAAGCTAGCGAAAGGACAGTTAAAGGCGGAGGAATCAAATTTGCCTCATCAGCTGTAAACTCTATTTGTTTAGGACCCGCAATCACAATTTCATGCTTGCAGTGGGAGCATTTATTTTTAGCGATCTGCACATCTTTTAGCTTCATCCAGCAAGGTCCTCTAAGTTTACGCTTTACTAATAAAAGTTCAATTAAGCTTGACCCAGCCCCAAAAATGTGGGAAAACGTTTTTCCTTTAAAATATTTTTCGTTAAGTGGTGGCAATTTTGAACTGTATTGGACTTTCATATAGCTGCTTTTAGGCGGGACATCTGGGAACTCAAATGCATATTTCCTCTCAATTGGCTTGCACATTCATTTATTGATCCCGCATTTCTTACGGATTTCTTCAAGCTCTTGATAAACTTCTCCAGGCTGATCTTTGTATTCTTCTCTTGGTAGGACAAAGAGATTCCTCTGCATCTCTTGTACGATAACACAGATGCTTTCAAACCGCTTGGTCTCTATATTGGAGACTTTTCCAAAAATGAAGACACTTCCAGGCAATAGTTCTTTATCTTCAATTGCGTCATACCAGTAAACGTGGAGATTTCCATTTTCAATAGGGAGATATTTGGCTGAGTTTGATTCAAATGGCAGTTCAGTTTCAAGAGCTTGAAACTCAATGTTAGTGTTGCCGTTTTCTTCTAAAGCCATTTCTACTTTTGATTCGACTACTGGCTCTATTTCCATTTTTGTCTCTTCAATAGGCGCTGTAATTGTAATTGGCTCAGGCACGTTATGAACTTCTTCCATTTCAAAAGTAGGCTCTTCAGGATGGACATAAACTTCATCAACTTTTTTAGGAGTCGTAATTTTTGCAGGGAGAATATCGCCTGCTCTTTTTCTCTTTCTCATCTCAAACTTCTCTTCCTCTTCTTTATTGTTTTCTTCGTTTTTTATTATTTCAGAAAGTGATTTTTTGACTTCTTCTAATGGTCTGCTTTCGTTAGCTGGCTTTTTAGCTACTGTTGGTTTGTTATATCTTTGCCTTAAAGCTTCTTCCATAGCGTGAGTCTGTGTAGTACCTTTATTGACTGCAAAAGTTTTAGGCTTTTGAACTGCATTTCCCATTGACAAGACTTCTTCAGGGTTAATTGAATCATAATCCAATCAAAATATGGCGATAACAAAATTTTCTGGTCAGCCGACATTTTTCTCTTTTTTTTATAATGATAGTAATTTATCCTGGTAATGATGGAACTTTAAATTCTAGCAATACGCAGCAAGACAGCTATTCTAGGAGATATAAAATTTTATATGAATGTGCCACTAACTCAGGCAGAGACTGTGCCCTTTAGCATGCCTGTCAGTCGCAGGTTTGTTTTCTCCGAGAGCCAGAAAGACAGTCGTCTTAGAAAGCTTGAAGTTGTCGCATTGGAATTCAGAAAAGGAGACGTGCATATAGGCGTTATACTTAATTTAATAAGGTATCATCATCCATCATCCCTAAAAGATCGTCCATAATCTTAGAAGCTTCAACACTTTCTGCCTTTTTCGGTCCTTTTGGTTTCATACTTACTCCGGGCTTCATAAAAGTCGTAATTGATTTGCTTTCAATTTTTGGTTTTTTGAGGTTTTCCTCTTCCTCTTCATATGGGTCTTCTTCTTCATCTTGGTAATCAAGTTCTCCATGATCATCATAGCCTATGCCAAAATCATTAGTTATGAATTTGCTGTTTCCTTGCTTTTTCTTCATTTCTTGGTACTCTTCTTCTGTTACGTTTACAAGGATATCGGCTTCTTCCTGGACTTCATATTGTTCCGTTCTTTTCTTTTGTCCGTGCTTTGCTTCTTTGAGCTGGGCAAGGGCTGCTTGTCTATTTTTTCTCATTCCCGGGTTATTTATTATAATGGCGGGACTGAAAATTAATTATAGGATATCAAAATATGGCACCGTTCGAGTTTCTATTCTGAGCAGGAACTCCCCTTTGGTCAATTTTGATATTAGATTTGGCTTCGTACAATGAATTTATCCTGACTATTGCAATAATCAAGACCCTTTTAAGACTCCCTTCTTTAGGAATCTATTTTTTTGAAATGTGTTATCAAACCCAGAGATGGAAACTGGGAGATATAATTGATGCAATTTTAAGTGTTCGAGAATAGGAAGGACAGCAATATAGATATAATGTCGAAGCCAAGCAGTACTGACGATAGTGGGGCAGACTAGAGTTATAGATGAAAGTCTATAACTGATATGATTGTTAACATTAAAAAAGTATAGATAATTGCTTAAATTAAGCCAAACTAATTAATTAAATTAGTAAGTATAGAAGGAACAATTTGGGTAAATAGCATATTTCAGCGTTTATTTATTTACGTTTGAGCTATCAAACTTTATAAATAAAATGGCATCGGCTCGAGAATAATTAGCTCTGCTAATTTCTCTCCCTAATGGAATTTTACTTATGGAGTTTGGTTTTTCCTGGAGAACTTCTGTAAAGTAACAGTAAATTAACTCTACCTTAAGGTAGAGTCACTGATCCAAGTGCATTAAGAGGCCTAATGTTTTTCCTATCTGCACACCTGAGGAGGGTAAACTTCAGGCGAACATGTGCAGGAATTGAGTCAGGAAGTGAGTGCAAAGCGCACAGTGAGGCTTTCTGGTCAGGCGGAGGTGGATCTTGTTTAAGATTGCCGAGTCGGCCTGGAATATGGTATGACGTCGGAAGGCTTGGCGACATCATCACTTTGGAGATAAGTGCGCACTTCTGCTTGCATCCTGCTGAAGAGAGTACGCTAAACACAGATGTACTTAAGATCAAGATTAAGAGTTATCAAATTATCTTCGAAGCTGGCACGTATATAAATATACATTTAAAACGCTTATTTTGGAAATATATTAATAAGTTATACTGAATTAAAAATTGGTTTCTAAAAAAACATGAACTGCAGATAAAAGTATTCTTTTGCTGATAAATATCTTTTTTCCCTTAAAATATCATTAAAATGCAAATACAACTAAAAAGATATATACAGCTCTTAAATGATCCTAATATTATTTACTCAAAATAATAATATTCCATTTTTTAAAAAAAATTGATTTTCTGTATCTGTTTCAATTCATCACAGTGTATTTTTTTAATGGGTTGCGGAGTTACAAAAGTATCAAAGCATTCAGTTGAAGTACCAGGCAAAGTCAATAAAGCTGATAATCAAGAGTCAAATTTCTCCCCAGGAGCATTCCTACAGCGACACATGGGAAAACTCTCTGAAAACTACCAAGAAGTTCGAAAACTTGGTTCCGGCGCCTTTGCTGATGTCAAGCTTTTCATATACAAGCCAAGTAATCAAAACCGTGCTGTTAAAATCATTCACAAAGCCGGTCTAAGTTCTCAACAAATGGATTCTACCTATATGCTCAAAGAAATCAGTGTCTTAAGCTCCTTAGATCATCCAAACATTCTTAAATGCTACGAAATTTTCGAAGACCCCTGAAAGTTTTACGTAGCAACTGAATTCTGCGCAGGGGGAGAATTATTCGACAAAATAATCGCAATGAGCAAATTTTCAGAGCGTGAGGCCTCCACCATAATGCGTCAAGTATTTTCAGCCGTTTCCTATTGCCATGAGAAAAATGTTATTCATAGAGACTTAAAGCCAGAAAATATTTTACTAGAAGACAGCACAGGCTCCCTTAATATAAAAATCGCAGATTTCGGCAGTTCTTGTTTTCTCGACAAAAACAGAAAATTAAGTGGCTGTTTTGGGTCTGCTTATTATGTAGCCCCAGAAGTGCTATCAGGTGCTTATAATGAGAAATGCGACGTATGAAGCTGTGGGATCATTATGTTTATCCTCTTAACCGGAAGACCTCCATACCATGGAAGAGACCAAACTTTAATCCTCAAGCAGGTTAGAGATAACCCTATACGAGTAACCCCTGAAAGATGCCCAGGAATTTCAAGCGAGGCTGTCAATTTGCTTCAAAGACTTCTCGAAGTGGACCCAAACTCCCGTATTTCTGCACGTGATGCAATTACTCACATTTGGGTTCAAAATTATAAGTCAAACGAAAACAGCCACCTTGAAGTGGCTTTGGATGATCTCAAACAATTCCATTCTAAAAGCAAGCTAAAGAACGCTGTCCATATCTTTTTAGCAACTCAGCTAATTTCTCATGAAGAAACTAAAAGGCTGAAGGAAAGTTTCTTAGCTCTTGATAAAAATGGGGATGGGAAAATCAGTAGGGCAGAGCTATATGCAGAGTATAGAAAACATATGAGTGAAAGTGACACACAAGAGACTGTAGAGAAAATTATGAAAGAAGTAGATTCAGACCATAGCGGAAATATTGATTATTCAGAGTTTTTGAAAGCGTGCTCAGATTATAATAAATTGGTTTCAAGAGAGAATTTAGAAACGGCGTTTAGGATGTTTGATAAGGATGGAAGTGGTGATATCACGGCTGATGAGCTTAAAGAGGTGCTAGGAAGAGAGTTGCTTGTGGAGGACGCTTATTGGAGCCAAATTGTGTCTGAGGTGGACGCAAATGGTGATGGGGTGATTGATTTAAAAGAGTTCATAAATCTGATGACAGCAAAAAATTAATCCAATATACATTTTATCGCATTTTTGTATAGTTACTTGATATTTTTACAAATAGCGTCTATGAATAGAATTTTATTCTAGCTTTGAGAAAAGTAAATGTAGAGATTCTATATATGGAATATAATTTCACACATGGGTAACTATCCGTAAAAATAATAATTCCCTGTCTTAAATATAGGTAAAATTTCAATTTTTGGTAAATTAGCCTCCCTTTAAATTTATACATTTATTTTTCTAAAAAAAATTCTACAAATAGCTTTGATACTTAATTGAATGTTGCAAAAATCCAAAAATTAGCATAGCTTGTTTTTTTAAATGGGAAAGTACGTGCGAAATACTATTTTAATAAAATTAGCTATATTCGATAAATTTTATATAAAAACTTTTGAATATTAAAAATAAATTTACTTTAAATTGAAACAGATTGCTTATTGTTCAAATTTAAATAAAGTGAAGGATAAGTAATAATATTTTTTATACATAAAATTTATTTTTACAAAGTTTTCATAATTTAGAGTTAAAATAATATCTTCATCTTTTGCACCATCTTTGGCAATTTGTATGTTACATATATTGGCTATAAAATAATGGAGGAACAACCAATCAAGCATTACAGCTCAGGAGTGTTCTCAGGTGAAGGCGAAGAGAATTCTGGCCTTCATAGAAGAGGCAGTAGACATTCATCTAGAGTTGAGCTGGGTTCTCAAAAGTTGTATCGTCCTGAATTTGATTCTGCTTCAAGAGGAGAAGCAACCAGTGAAAAACTTTGGGAGTTGATGGCAGAATATATATAATTTCTACTCTAAATATCTACAAATTATATTTCCTTCAAATATTCCAAAAATTCATATAGAAATCGCATAGATACTGAGAAGTCAACAATCCAAAAAGCAATCGTAGCCCATGTAGAATACACGCTGGCTCGAACTCGTTTCAATTTTGATAAGAATTCTTGCTTTAAAGCTGCAGCTCTTTCCATCAGAGATAGACTAATTGAAAGCTGGAACGACACCCAGCAGCTGTTTACAGCAGAGGACAAAAAAAGAGTTTACTACATGTCAATTGAATTCCTTATTGGCAGATCAATGCAAAATGCCTTGATTAATTTAGGATTAGAAGATAAATATAGAGAAGCTCTAGAAGAAGTTGGATATAAACTTGAAGAACTTTATGATGAAGAAGTCGACCCTGGGCTTGGCAATGGAGGCCTTGGAAGGCTTGCATCATGCTTTTTAGACTCTTTGGCTACCTTAGACTACCCAGCCTGGGGTTATGGAATTCGATATGACTATGGGATTTTCCGACAAATGATTGTCAAAGGATACCAAGTGGAAATGCCAGATTATTGGCTAGCACAGATGAATCCTTGGGAAATTGAGAGGTCTGATGTAACTTATGATATTTATTTTGGCGGAAGAGTAGAAAAGAAGTGGGAAAATGGCATTGAAAAATCGAATTGGATTCCAAATGAGATTGTCAAAGCAATTGCTTATGATAACCCAATTCCTGGGTACGACACTTTTAACACTATTAATTTAAGATTGTGGAAGTCCATGCCTACTAATGAATTTGATTTCCAAAGCTTTAATCAAGGTGACTACTTCAAAGCAATTGAAACCAGACAGAAAGCTGAATACATTACATCAGTTCTTTATCCAAATGACTCTACACCTAGCGGCAAAGAGCTGAGACTAAGGCAGCAATATTTCTTCTGTTGCGCTACTATTCAAGATATAATTAGAAGATTTTTAAAAAAGCCAAGAGAGTGGGAAGAACTGCCTGATAAAGTTGCCATTCAATTAAACGACACTCATCCAGCCATATCAATTCCAGAACTTTTGAGAGTTTTAGTAGATAAATATGGTCTTGAGTGGCAAAGGGCTTGGAATATCTGTTATAAAGTGTTCAGCTACACAAATCATACAGTGATGCCAGAAGCTTTGGAGAAATGGAGTGTTGAGCTGTTCGAAAGACTTCTTCCAAGACATTTAGAAATCATTTATTTGATTAATTTCCACTTTATGAACCAAGTTGGCCAAAGATATGCCAATGACCCTAAGAAATTTGATATCATGGGGTATATGTCACTTATTGAAGAGTCGAGACCTAAAGCAGTCCGTATGGCTAATCTTTGTATTGTCAGCTCCCATGCAGTCAATGGAGTCGCAGCTCTCCATTCCAACCTGCTTAAAACTCAGCTCTTTGCAAGATTCCACGAATATTTCCCTAAAAAATTCCAAAATAAGACAAATGGAGTCACTCCTAGACGATGGATAAAATGTTCAAATAAAGGACTGTCAGATATCTACACCAAATATCTCAAGTCTAATAACTGGCTTTCAGATCTGTATGAAACTAAAAACTTAATGAGCTACATCGATAATGAAGAATTCCAAGAAGAGTTCAGACAAGCCAAGCTGCAAAACAAGGAAAGACTCGCAAAATGGGTAGAAAAGGAGTGTGGAATTAAAATCCCAACTGACGCGATGTTTGATATTATGGTCAAAAGAATCCACGAATATAAACGGCAAAACTTGTTCGCTTTGTACATGATTTATCGCTACTTTAACCTTAAAGCCATGACAGTTGATGACAGAGCAAAACAAGTCAAAAGAGTTTTCATGGTCGGTGGAAAGGCAGCACCTGGGTATATTGCTGCCAAAAAGATCATAAAACTTATTAATAGCATTGGAGACGTTGTTAACAATGATCCTGATATAGGAGATCTAATGAAAGTCGTTTTCCTTCCTAACTATTGTGTGTCCAGTGCACAAATCATCATCCCAGCTGCTGATCTGACTGAACAAATTTCGACTGCTGGTACTGAAGCTTCAGGGACAAGTAATATGAAGTTTGTGATGAATGGGGCCATTATTATGGGAACCATGGATGGAGCCAATGTAGAAATTGTAGAAGATATTGGAATTCAGAATGCCTTTATATTTGGGGCAAGAGTACATGAAGTTGATAGACTTCGAGTACAGAGTGGAGCACCAGCTGGAAGCCGCCTGCAAAGAATTTTTGATGCTATTAAAAGTGGAACTTTTGGGAATCCTAAAGAACTATCATCTCTTGTAGAATCCCTGGAGCAGCATGATATTTATCTTGTGAAATCTGATTTTTATTCTTATATAGAAAAACAAGAAGAAGCTGATGCGGTATATAAGAATCAAGACCGATGGTTAAAAATGTCTATAACTGGAGCGCTTAATATGGGAAGGTTTTCAAGTGATCGCACAATCCACGAGTATGCTGAAGATATATGGGACTTAGAGTCAGTTGAAATCCCTAAGCCAAGCCTTAGTGCTATATCGAGAGTAAAAAGCCAGCCTAATATCAATCCTACTCAAGAAATAGTTGAGCAGCACATAATTGAGGGTCATGAAGATTGGCAATGCAAAATTGATGACATCCCAGCAGAAGATCTTGAAGCAAGCCTTATGAAAGATGAGGAATCCGAAAAAATTCCTAAGTATTTATACACCTCTTAAGTTAATCTCTTTAGTTAAAATTTATTTGATAGTTGTTCGTGTAGTGGACTTTTTGGTCTTACACTGTCTGAAATTTCGAAGTAAACTAATGTTGCAAAAAATGCTAAAAGAGGAAGTGAGATAATGGTCGTGCGGATTTCCAATACAGTTAGACTAAGTATTATTAAAATACTAAACATCAAAATGTAAAGGCAAGTTAAATTTTCAATCAGTAATAAGTATGTGGAAGATGTATCCTCTCTATAATACGCATAGTTCACGAATAGATTAATTAGTGAAGAAACCATCAATGGAATTCACATATATATAAATCTGTCCGATATTTCAGTATCTTCTAAGTACCATCCTAATAATCCTAATGAAGCAAGCAAAGTAACAAGCCAAATTGCAAGTAGAAAAGCATATCTTTTTAAGTTAATAATTGGATCAAGCAATCCTGGAATTAAAAAAACACAAAATATGAAATAAGTTAATATGGCAAAAAGTCCTGGTAATCATATTAACCATCAAGATATTTCTATTATTTTGTCAACAGATAAAGCACACAAAATCATAAAGCATAAAATTGAGACTGCTCCACTATATATGCAAAAAATTACTAGGTTTTTTGACGTTGGCTTCAAATTGTTACAAAATATATTCATCGCTAAATGTATAGTAACCGGAATAGTTATTATTGCAAAAATTGACGGAATAATAGCTACCGTGTATTTTGTGTCAATGATTGAGTCTGCTATAAGATCTGATACTATTATTGTTGTCACAATGCTGCTAATTATCGCAAGTTTCAATGATTTAATTATTTTTTCATCAGAATCTTGCTCCATTTTTCTTTATTAAATTATCTGCAACCAATAATCATTCAATTTAATACTTAGTGAATTTATATAACGATCTCGAATGTTATAAATATATAAATAAAACAGAAGAAAGCATAATATAAATTATCATTTTTTAAAATTCGATACTATTATATATCATTAAAACATTTTAAATCCAATTTTGCAAAAGCTATCTAATTTTTATAAGTAACAATAGATGCATTTAAAATAGAGATTATAAAATAAACCTTAATCTCAGGGCAAAAAATAAATATTCTATAATAAATGGGAAGTTTGCGAGAATTCCAAGCATTTGCTGACAAAAATGACATCCCAGTAAAGCTAAAACGAACAAGAGATTTCAGCTCTCTTAAAATCGCCAAGCAACAAGTAGAAAAATACTTAATTGCTGTCAAGCTAATTTTTACAAATGAGTACCTTACTCAAGTCCTCGTCAAAGAATATTGGATTTTTAAACAAATCGGGGTCCAAATTGTAGAGCTAAATGATATCATAAAATCTAAAGCAAATAATCTGTTTGAAGCCGTCGGCGCAGGCCTTTTTATGCACAAGTATTTAGAGACTACATCCATGAGTGAAAGAACGCCTGAAAAAATTTTCATCAAGATAGGTATAATCGTAGGGGACTTTATTTCGACAGCAAATATTTTAGAAGAAGAGTTAAAGAAGCCGTCAAGGATGAAAAAAGCTCAAGAGCCATCTCCCATGAAATTCTCAAGGGAACAAAGGTCGACTCCTCAGAATTCTACTAGAATAGAAACAAGAGGTGCAGCTTCTACAGGATTTTCAGGACAACAAATGCCAGCTCAGCAAAATTTTGATAAAATTGATAGAGAACCTTACTCTCAGGCTACCCCAATTAAGCCAAGTCAAGAAAAAATGCCACCACCCCCTAGTGATGAAATTTTAGGGATAAATGAAGAATATGAAGTATTAGAAATCACAAAAGAGACCTTTAGAAATTATTTTAACGTAGAACCTCCTTCATTATTTTTTGAAAACACTGCAATTATTCAAAGCCTTGAAAGAGGACTATACTTGATTGAATTTTATTTCTTTTATAATTGAAATCAAAGCAGCCAGCTCGAGACAGGAAAATTTATCAAGATAAAAAAGAATATAATTGCTAAAGACCAAAATATACTAAAGAGAGAGCTAGAAATGGCACAAAAAGACTTCTTTATACAGATCCAAGCTGAAATGAGAGAATTCGCTAAGAACTCTCCAAAAGAAGTTCCAGTGATGGGAGGAGAATATCTGCAAGCTGATGTCGATCATTTTGCGTATGAAATGGAATAAATACCACTTTAATGACTTAACCAATTATTATGTTTGATTTAAGTTTTTGGGTAAAATATAAAATCAAGATATATCTCTAGACTATTTTGTTAAAATAATGAGAATCGTCAATACTCTTTTGAGGAAGATGTGTAAAAATAAAGAGATAATAATTTTTTTAGCCAATTTAGACTTAAAAAATTCCAAAATGTTAAACTCGAAATTTAATAACACTAGAAAATTATCTTATGAGTTTTATTTAAGCTCTTTCATTATTTTTTACCTTTATGTCTTGAATTTGTGCAATTGCAGCACAACCCTGCAGCCAGCAAAAATGTATAAAGCTAAATATTTCTTACCTGCCAGCATCCGAAAACTATTGTGATCACTCCATAGGTCAAGAACTTATCTTTAGCCCAATCATAGACTTCTTTACGGCAGCTATTTTCAGGCACTCCATTATTTATATCGCTGAACAAATAAATAGGTCTATATGAACATAATCCCGAGCAGTCAAAATGTTTTTCCATTCATTTGATCAAAGGTATGTATTTCTTGTAATCTTTTAAGTACACGTCTTCATAAGTACCTTCTGGAATTATGCAATCGGCAGAGGAAGTCACAGGCAAATCCAAGTTGTCTCTGATCCATTGATAAACAACGTCTTGGACAGCACTTGGGTAGGTTGCAGCTTCTGAGCATGGGTCACAGCTAAGGATATCAGTTGTACCTTGAATATGCTGAGTTTGGTTTGGGTATAGTAGGTCTTTCACTTCGGCATATATGTCACTGTCCATGCCACATGGACAATAGACTGTACAGATTGTTGAGAAAGCTTTGCCAAAACCATCATCAGCCTCTTCGAAGGCATCGAAATCGCGACAATCTGATTCGCTGTCCAGATACTTAGGAAGAAAGTTGTCTCTTACGTAAATTATCACAGCACCAAATGCAACTAGAAGAACTCCAATGATGAAGGAAATGAAAATGAATATGAAAAGTAAGCATTTGCTCCTTTTACAGCCAGAGATAAAGCCGACAACAGCAAAAACTATCATACCTCCACCGAGGCCAATAATCCCGTACCCTGCGTACTCTGCATCAATAGTTTTCACGAACTCGCTATCCTGGACTTCGAAGCCTATCCAGATAATGACTGCTCCTGTGCCCTATATTAATCTTACAAGTAGTAGGACGCAGCTAATGTAAAGGCAGTATTGTAAGCATCTGACATTGCAGCAGCACATTTTTATTTTTATAGCAGAGGTTTATTATAGAAGGTTTAACTAAAAGCGGTTACAAAATACCGATCTGTGAATCCTATGTGGGTAGTTTTATAAAAGGTAAGCAAAGTCTAATATTTCATAAGAAATATACCTAAAAAATAAAAAGACCAAAAAAGTATTTACGTCTCATGTTAAAATTGTTTCAATCATCTTTAGGTTTCGAAACTTTAAATCAAGATTTATATGAAGAATTAAGATCCTTTATTTATTTGGAAAATAGTTCTATTATGATTTCTCTTGTCTGTGATTAGCTATCGATTCAACGCATGAAATTAATTTGAATTCAAAAAGAAACTATCAAATAATTCTAAGGTTTGAAGATAATAATAAATTAAAATCGACTTTCCTCCAGAGCTCTCTACAGACACCAGGTCTAATCATTCAGTCACATTGAAAAAATTTTGAAAATTATACTCTCAACTTTCTTACAAAAATTGAGACTAGATATTCCATAATATAAATGCTCTAATGGTAATATACAAATTCTGAATTGGAGCTTAGGCCTAACTCTTAAAGGGTGAATTAAAAGGGAAATTTAGTCAATAAAACTAATTGAAATGCATATGAAATTAATTTCAAGTTAAATAAAATAATTGATTGAAATTTAAGAGATGTGAAAAGATCACTGCTATAATTTAATAATTAATATAAATGCAAATAAAGTAAAAAATAAGAATTGGAGAGTAAATTTAAAGATAAAGGCAGGTTGCAAATTTTAAACTGATTGATCCTTCATGCTGATGAAAATATAAAATCCAAGTTGATAAAGTCCTAAATGTGCCTAGAAAAAGTGAGAAATAGCTAAAAAGACTCATTTCTGCAGATCCAAACTTAGCTGATCCCCTAAATTGATAAATTCAACAAGATTCTAATTTTTAAGATCATGCATAATAAATTTATTATTGTCATAACTTAGACAATCTCTGAATTAATTTATCAAATAATAAAAATTGTTTAATGCTCTTTGTGTAATATCGCGTAAGGCCAAAACAAAGAAATAATAAATTGTTTAGCCAATATTAGGCTTAAAACAAACCAAAATGTGAAACTGGAAATCTAATAACCTAAGAAAATTATCTTATAGAGTTTTATATTTTTTTCTCCATTATAATTTGAATTCGTCTTTTTACAGCAAATCACTACACCCTAGCAAAAATGTATAAAGCTAAATATCTCTTACCTGCCAGCATCCGAAAATTATTCCGATCACTCCATCAACCAAGAGCTTATATCTAGCCCAATCATAGACTTTTTTGCAACGCATAAAAATGAATTAAAATTAAACAATAAAAATAATCAAATTTTCCTAAGTTTAAAGGTAATTAAGAAATTAAATCCATCTATGCTGCTGCGCAACTCTAGTGAATGCTTCTTGGGCCTCTGCTAACGAATATTCAACATTTGCAGAGACCGGATCTAATCTTGCGCCTCCTTCAGTCATATTGAAAAGAATTTCAACAAATATGCTTTCAACTGTTCTTACAGGAATCCAGCCTGACGGGGTTAATGATTCCATACATATTGATCCTCCAATTGTAACATGCCCAGTTCTGAATTGGAACCTAGGCCTAACTACTCTTAAAAAGGGTGGATTAAATGGGAAATGTGAGTCAAACCTCAGCTCAAACACAATTTCTTGGTTCTGGTTATACTTTGAAGCATATTTTTCGAAATCTTTTTTAAGCTCTTTATCAACTTCAAAAATCTTGACATCAAGTCTAACAATCCACACGTACATATTTGATCCCCCTTCAAAATCAACAGTCAAGCCTTTGCATTCTTTTGAATTTGTCAAATACTTGTATTCTTGCAAAATCCTTTTATTTGCAGTTGCAGAGCCTTGACCAGAAAATGCTTGCTCTAATTTGTTTAATTTTTCTTCTAAAGCTGGATCTACTTTAACTTCTTCTTCGATAGCCTTGGTTTCTTCTTTTTGGCTTGGCCTGGCGATGTCCATGTTTTCTTGAGCATATTCATCACTGTCTCCGTCTGAGAATTCTTCTTCTTCATCAGGGTAAAACTTTCTTTGATATTCTTCTGCTAATTCTGTCAGTAAATCACCAAATTCAATTTCTCCTGATGTGAAACTTTGTTGTTTCTCTATTAGAGTGTCTTGTGCCCATTCAACATAGCTTCGTAGAGGTTTATTGGTAGCTCTGCATTCTAATGCAAAGGTATTGAAGTTGAGTTTGATCAAATGGTCGTCAAATCGGAAGGTAAGCATTGAACCTTCTTGAGATTCAAACATAACATTGAACTTCAAGTCTCCTTCCTTACTACTGGCTGATTAGTGATCATAATCATTAAAGAAGTTCTAATTTTTGGATTATTAACGTTAGTAGTCTAAAATATTAATATACAAATAATAATTAATGAAATTTACGATGAAATTTGAATTTTAGCATAAACATAAAATATTTTTAGATTTTTTGATTCAAATATCTATAAAATTTAGGGTTTTTTAAGATCAAAAATTTGGTTTTTATATTAAAAATTAATTTTAAGATAGAAGTGGGAAATACAAAAAAAGGATTTATAAATTAGCTTTTATTAAAAGAAAGTAAGATAACGCCCTTGGGAGTGGTAACAGTTAATTTATTATATTCTTATCATGTTAAAAAATTAGCCGACTCTGCTTGAAGGCGAAAATTTCGCTATTACTAACCAAGAGGGGAGCTAGCTTCTATTCATTGGAAGAATAATTCAGTTATTCTGTCAGGTTCCATTAAGGTCAATAAATTATTATTAATTGGGTTTTATAACTGTCCCTCTCAGTGAGTGAACAAAAACATTAGAAAAATCCCCATTTTTACCCAAAAATATAAAAATTTTGATATATAAGTGATAACTAGTATCATCAAATCTTGAGCCAATTCTGTTTATTATAAACAAATTGTGTTTTAAAACACAAATTTTACAAATTAAATTAATATTTTCGAATTAAATTCGAAATTTTTTTTTTTAATTTATATAAAAAAAAAAAATTAAGCGAACAAGACGTAAGTAAGAAAATTATTTAAGATGAAATAAAGAATATTTATATTGAAGCTATATGAATTTATATGGTTATCAGTCTTGCCTAACAAAAGACTAAAGACAGTTTTATCTACACTAGAACTATTTATTAAACAATTTTTATGAAAAATCAAAAAGAGAATAAAAGAATTTTCGACTCAATAATAAAAATAGTCTAAAATCATATATTTTACCTAATTTATTCAAATGAAATTAAGAAGCCCGTGTAGCCTAACGGATAAGGCGCTTCCCTCCTAAGGAAGAGACTGTGGGTTCAAGTCCCATCTCGGGTGCTTTTTACATATTTTCCAAAGGTATCTTTAATGCTCATTGCTTATGAAACTCAAATATGCTTCTTCTTTCTCAATATTAATTTTCACTTTGACTAATGTTTTGCTAATAAAACGCTAACTCCCCCTTCTGTAAAAATTTATTTCGCCCACGGAGGGTTTTTTTTTTTATAGAAATTTAAGAATATTCCAATTCGCAAAAATTGGAAAGCAAATATGAATTTAATTTGTAAAAATTTATGTTTTAAATTGTAATTTGTTTAAAATTAGCAGGATTAGTTATATAGCAAAATTTTTTTTTCATAAAAAATTTTTTGTTCGCTCAGTGGGGGAGTAAGAAGTATTTATACTTTCTTCTTGGCAACATTCTTTAAAAATTTAAAATTAATACTTCATTATTTTAATGATATTAAAAGATTTGTTATCTAAAGCAATTAAAATGTAAACTGGACACTGTCTTTTATCAACTGAATAAGCTGTGAATTTTCATCCTCCTCCACTTCAAAATAGTTCTCAATTATCGTTCTCGCCTTCTCATAAATATTTGTGTTAGGATGGCCTTGCAGTTGTTCTAATTTGTCTAACCCTCCACACTCTTCCACAATGTCTGCGAACGGGTTTGTGCCTTGTTCAGTCTTGAAGTTTTCTTGTCCATGCTTTAAAATTCGGTTAATTCCTTCCATCGCTACACTTACAATTTTCACATCTTGAAGTGTAAACAAATTGCAAAGCGCTGGGATGATTCCTTGCTGTACTAAATGTGCGACGTGATCAGCTCTTCCTCCAGCTGCCGCATTGCTAAGTGCCCAAACAGCTTCTTTTCTGATTTCCTTTTCATCTTTTTGCACGATATTAATAATTTTTCCAAACACCTCAGCTGCAACCAAAGCATCTAGCTGTTCCTTGCTCCCTGCACAAATATTAGAGATACTCCAAACAGCTTCTTTTCTGATATTTTTCTTAGGAGAGCTCAATAAGTTTGATAATGCTACAGCTCCTCCCATTCCAAGCACAATTTGTGTCTGCTTGTCATTTCCTGTGACTACATTCCCGATCGTCCTAATTGCTGGTAACTGCACGTTATATATATGATGTCCCAAAAACTGAATCACTCTTGGTATGCATCCACTATCAATTACCATTTCTACCTTTTCTTCCCCTCCTTCTGATAAATGTGACAATGCCCACAAGCAATCAGTCAAAAGCTCCGTATCATGATGCTCCATGACTACTTTTGCCAAAATCGGAATGGCGTCTTTAATCATTTCAAAAGCTGGGGGTGGTTTGCCTCTGCACAAGTTGCTGATAGCCCAGCTTCCATTTTTGATCATTGAAGGCTTGGCTGTGTTTTCTACGCAGTTAATCAACAATTGCAGCCCGTTGTGCTGTAGAATGATATCTCTGCAATGGGCTGCGTCACCTCCGATGTTGCCAATGGCCCAGACAGCTTGCTCTCTGACTTCTTCGTTGGGTGATTCTAGAAGTTTGACAAGCAAAGGAATGGCTCCTTTTTCTACAATGACTTGGCAGTGTTGGTGTGTTCCAGATGCAATGTTTGTCAGTGCCCAGGTCGATTCAAACTGAAGCTGAGGAAACTCAAACCTTTGAATTCATTCTATAAGAATTGGGACGACGCCTGCATCGATGACTTCTTGGATTGGTGGCTGATGTTCTATGCTCAGAAGTTTTCGTAATCCTTGAGCTGCAAATAGGTGACGCTCAGGATCTGTGGCTCGGATTGCTTGGAGCAGCTCTGGGAGGTCTGCAAGTATATTAATTCATAGTGTAATCGGAATTCTACTTATATAAAAAGGCTATTTAATATAATTGGTATACATAATATTTTTTATACTTTTCATTTACTTTGACCCACTCTTGATCATTCGATTGGAAATTTCTGCGTTTTGTGGCTTGGTCAGCTCTTTTGGATTTCCTCAGCTCTACAGTTTGTTCTTCTTTACGACGTTTGATGTCTTCTTGGTTGAATGTCTGCATGAATTCTTTAGCTCGCTGCTCAAGCTTACTAGGCGAGTCTTTCCCTTCAGACATTTTATAATAAATAGGACGAGATTATGGTAAAATAGCGATTTGGATTATATTATATTATTTATGCAGAGCAATTACATTGAAATTTTCCTTAAAAAATCATTTTTTACAGTCTAAATAAGACTCCTATTGGTTATTATTCTTTATAAACTAATATAAAAAATGAAAGCGATCCGCATATTGAAGAGAAGGAGCGTGCCCATAATGGACTCCATCCCTATTCCAAGTCCTATGAGTAGAGAAGTTCTCGTTAAGATGGAATATTCCGCTATAAACCCAGCAGATCTTGCAACACTTGTAGGAGCGTATGACGAGAAATCAGAATATCCAGTAACTTTAGGACTTGAAGGAAGTGGCAGAATAGAGTCAGTAGGCCAAGAACTAGATGCAAGGCTTATTGGACGTAGGATCGCTGGATACTTTCGAATAGGATCCTGGTCTCAGTTTGCAATCTCTAATCTTTGGCATGAAATCCCAGATGATTTGTCTTCAGAACAAGCTGCTGGAATAATGGTAAATCCCCTGACTGCTATTTCGATTCTTAATCTGGTAGGAGATCAGGGGTCTTTTATTGTTACTGCTGCAATGTCAAGTTTAGGAAAAATTCTCATAAAATTAGGCCTAACCCAAGGTAAAAGGCCAATTGGGATTATCAGAAAAAGCTCTCAAATTGAAGAGCTCAAGCAGCTGGGATTAGAAAATGTGCTTGATTCAAGCAGCAAAGACTTTCCAAAGAAGCTGAAAGAAGTTTCAGAAAAAGAGAAGCCAAGTTTTGCTATTGATTTTATAGGCTCAACTATTACCAATTCTTTGTTAAAAGTTCTACAGCCTGATGGGACTGTTATTATTGTTGGAAATCTCTCAGCAAAACCATGTGAAAAAGTAGATCTCACTAACTTGATTTTGGAAAGCAAGAAAATCAAAGGATTTCACCTGAATGATTATAAAGACAATTTAGGTAACTGGGAAAGCATTTTGCGGCAGAATTATTCATTATTTGTCCCTAAAATCGCGTCTATAAAAAACTGGACAAATTTCCAGGAAGCCATAACCGAATACAGAGGCAGCCTTTCAAGTGGAAAGATTTTGCTAAAAATCGAATAATAGGCAGTCTGATAATTTAAATCTTCTTCTAAAACTAACATATAACGAAAGAATATAGCTTTTACTAAAGTAATAACATGAAATTAGAAGTTAGAAAAGGAGAAATCTAAAAGTTTGCTTTAGAAAAAGCGATTTTCAACAGCCGGCCGTTAAGATTTTCGTTATGATGATAAACAAGAACCATGACTGCATCAGCAATACTCTTGAATTTAGCAAGTGCCATTCGTCTGCCCTCACCTATATATTTAAGACCAACTAATTCTGCTTGTTCCGCAAACAGATTTCTAAAAAAGTGCTCATCCATATTTTCAGATATACAAGTTCCTATAATTATTCCAATTTCTACTAAAATCCTATACCAAAGCCTATTTATATAAAAAAAAGAATAGGTTAGACAAATGCAAAATATTTGAAGGCGGGAATATATTTTGAAAGTTCTTCGACCCTGCAATTTTAAAACGTTGAAAAGCTGAGTTTCCAAAATCTTTGCATAAAGCTGCTTTCCTCTCGCTAGAAGGCATATTAATAAAACTGTTGCGTGAAATAGAAACTAGAAGCGTTTGGCCCATAAAAGGCAAGTTATTCAGGTTGTTAATTGCTAAAACAGCTTGCTGGTGATCTTCAAACTGGACAAGCCCCATATCCCTTCGTTTAAAGAAAATTTTGACTCGTAAAACGTTTCCATATAAAGAAAATAAGTTGAAAAGCATATCAGGTGTAACTTTATCAGCCATGTTATGTAGAAAAACGACGTTACTGATATCTTCTTCATTTAAACTTTTTTCTTCTTCCTCTTCAAGTTCCCCTTTGTCTTGTACAAGCAATGTCATAGGGCTATATTCCGCCTTGATTAAGTTGCATCCGCTGTATATATGCTGACCATCCAAAGCAGCTCTAGCAGCAGTGGCAGATTCTAAAGAATCCATTTCAATTATGCACTGGTATCCAAAATTATTAGATTAGATTATGAATAGTATTTTAAGTCCCTAATTCCATGAGTGACATCCTTCGTAGCCGCTAGGCTGCGTTGTGGCCTTGCAAATTGGATGGACTTCCACCTCTGGTACCTCTGAGCCCAGGCCGAAACCCCTGGTTTCTCGGTAGTGGATGCCCTATTGGGTCCGCAGACTGTCGCTGTGCACCACCTTTTCCAAACTCAGTCCCTTTGCTCATATTACGCCACTCTACCTTGTACTCCTGGCCGATCACCCCTTTACGGGATCCTTTCAACTAGAGAGACCGCCATATTGTTGTCTAGTCTGCTTCCCCTTTCCTCAGGTCATCCCTAGGAAAAACTAAACGCTTCCGCGATTCGGGGCAGACCATAGCAGCAGCTTGAACAGGTATGTCGCCCTGCTCCATCTCAGGCAGCCACTGGCTTGGGTGTTGCTGCTGCTGCTGGAAAAAGGAGTCAAAGGAAATTGCCATAGGATCTTGTCACAACCAGCGGATCCGTGCTTATGCCCATCGCTACTGGGATCCAGATGCTGCTGGGCCATCCTCTTCCCCAACAAACTATGCCCGGATATGCACGGGTTACCGTCGCTGGGAGGACGAGTCGGTCGCCATACGCAATTTTATGTATATATATGCACTGGTATCCAAAATTCCTCGGGAAGATCCGAGTTTTGACCACTCTGCCATATGGTATCAAGATTTTCCCAATGACATCAACAGTGACAGGGTAGCGGGCTTGAGTAATCGTAAGAAGCAGTTCTTTAGACGGCTGTGCAGGCTCATGAGGCTTCCGAGTAATCACTTGTCTGCCTGAATATGAAAAAAAGAGCCGATTCCCATTCAAAAATGCAGGGGCTCTCGAAAAGTGCAGCAGACAAAAATCAGCAGCCTCAAGCGAATCAAATTCAACGAAAGCTTGACCTTTATTACGAAGCAAAAACACTTGTTCAACAACTCCGACCTGAGAACAAAGATCAACTACATCTTTTTCTTTTACATTTTGATTCAGACCGCGAATAAAAAGAACCCGAGTCGGCTCATACTCAGTGTTGGACTTCGGGTCAACACGGGCTCTTTTCAAAAGTTTGTCCTCTTCTTGAGGCTCAGGAAGTCGCTTGAATGGAGGTGAAGGGTCCATTTATTTAATTAATTGTACAAGTGATAGAAAATACTAAAAATTACATTAAGGGCTTTCAAGGGATTTTGAAGAAGAGTCGAGTTCAGCTGAGTTGAAGCCTAAAAGGAGTTTTTGGACTGAGGAGTACTCGTTGGCGAGATTTAGCAGAGTTTCATTTTGTTTCTAAATAAAAAGTACCCTTATTATATCTCTTTCGTTTCTAGTTTTGCAGAGGAAGTTTCTGACCATCTCCATGATAACTTCGTCTTCAAGCATTTGGTTTGGGTCCTTATCTTCTTCTTCTATTAGTTTGATTGCGTTCTCGGCCGCAGTTTCTTTTCTTACAAGCAAGCTTTGGGCTGCTTTAGTGAGTGATTTCTTTCTGCCGAGGTCAATGATCGTGTCTTTTCGCTTTTTTCTTCTGACATCTTGAAGGAAAGGGCTATTTTCGCGATTATTTAATTCTCCCATGACGAAGATTTTATCATTTTCAAAAAGTGGAGTATTTGGATCCGGCTTTGTATAGACATATGGAACTTCGTTGTTTAGATATCCAACGCCACGGTATATTCCTAATGCGATGACTGGTCTCGGCAGATTTATGAAATATATGAATATTTCTCCAAATGTGATTCTCCCACTCAAAGAGATAGGGAGGTCAATTGAATTTATTTGATAGTTTTCATCAATCCCAGTTTCTGCATAAATATCTTCATAAATTATTAGTCTTTGGATTAGATCAATGATATAGTTATTATGAAAGCCTTGAGCGATAATGTAATCTAACTCCCATCATTAGATCGCCAAAAATTTGTTATTAAATGAAAATTTTCAATATAAATATTTTATGCTAGCCACAAAAGTGGAGTATGCAATATATTAACAAATATAGAATTTTCCTATAGATGGCATTGTTTGCCCTTGATTTGCCCACTGAAAAAATTTTTTGGTGTGACCAAACCATATGGTACTGGTCGAAACCAAAAAATTTTTTTCAGTGGGCAAAATCAAGGGCAAACTGCGTCATCTATGGGAAATTTCTATATCTAGGAATCGCAATGAAATTGCGTATGAAAGATTATATACGGTATAACCTCTTATTCATTAATATACAGATAGGTAGTTAGATTTGAGATGGGCAAGGGGAGTGAGTTTTATTTTACTGTATGAAAATTGTTCGATCAAGGATGGAGGTTAATTTTCCCAAATTTTACAAAATGCAGTTGATAAAGGATGGGAGAGTAAGGTACTTGAAAGAAATACGTGAGAAGCTGCATATCTTGGCCAAGTGATGAAACTTACTTAACCGATTATGCTATCCATAAGTGGATCTAGCCACTAGCCATTGCCCACCTTGGCTCTTAACGGTTGTCCTTTAGGTTTTCGACCTTATGCACCTACCAAGGCTCAGTTCCCTCGGGCAGAGCCATCGTCTGTGAGATGCCCCTATGCTTCCTAATAGAAAAGATCATGTACTAGGCAAAACTTGTCTAGCCCATCTGGCAGGGACAGGAAAACCTTCAGGTGAGAAACAAAACTTTCCTTTGGCAATGTATCTCCAAGCCTGAAAGCTTACTTCAAAAGAGCATAGAGGCTCTGTTTTCAGCTTCATCAGGATGGGTTCTATCGTTCCATAAGGAGTGCGCCTTGGAGTCCACTTTCCATCATTTTATTTCTAAGTGATGAAAGGCATTGATTCAAGCTCAATTGATGGCTTTTTTTCGAGGTATTTCATATTGATTTCATCAACTAATTCAACTGTGAATTTACAGCTAAAATTTCCTTCAATAATATTGACGATAGGTAAGATTCCGCTATCATCCATAGCTGAGCCTGAAATTCTTGTACTTAAAAGAATTACATGATAGGCAAAATTTATAGCTGTATGTGACAGCTCTTCTACATCAATTAAAGAGCACTCTAGATAAAAAGCTTCTTTATATGACTGATTAATCCTTTCTCATCGCTCATCTGGAGGCTGATCTGACACATAGCATATAGTCTGCTCTGTGATTTTTGTAAAAATATCTAAAAATATTTCCAAATGTTCAATTCTTCCGAATATTAAAATATGATCCCACAATGAGCCTCTTAAATCATGCTCCCACATTATCAAATGCTTTTCTTCAAGGTCTCTGCAGACGCTCTTTTTTGTTATTGGAGTTTTAAATTGAGAAAATTCAGCATATATTTCGTCGCTAAATACAGGAACATGGACTTCAGTAATTGTACTGTCTTCAATACCTCTGGCATCTTCTATATCAGCAGCAATGATAAACGCGTTATCGTCTTCTTGGATCTGATATTCAGTAGGATTTAATAAAATTTCATAATGAATTTCCAATGTTTCTGGGTCTGCCATTTTGGTTTGAACACCAATGAGTAAGGAATTATGCTTTAGATAAAGATTTTTGGCAATTTCTGAAAATTTTTCTCCATAAATATGCTTGGGGAAAGGAGTCAAATAAACTTCGTTTGATAATCCCATCATGTATTCGTAAAGCCAATGGTTATTTTCAGCTTCCTTTTTCATGGTATTTGTGCTTGATGTGACTAGATTCGACATTAAAGTGCTGAAGCCAGGAATAAATACATTGGCAGCTAACATACACAGCTTCAGTTTTCATGAACTGAATCCAGTTTCCCAGCCAGCTCAATAGTGGTGAATTAAGAGGTCGGGTCTAATTAATTGTAAAAACACTGGGATCTCGTTTGAGTGCTCTTTAACGGCACTTGATGCTAGAATTGCGTAAGTATCGCTAGCTCCAATATCATCTTGATATTGATTGGTTAGGATAAATACGCCTTTACTTATGGAAACTGCAGCGTCAATTAGGGTTTGTTCGTTCATAAAATCAGCTTCTAAATAGCTAACTGCTTCTTCGTATAGAGGATGATTCAATATGGAAAGAATTTCTTTTGATGGCTGTTCATTTCTCACAATTAAAATTTTACATTTTTTCATTGGCATGTCATGGTCTGGATGATAAAATTCTCTTACTCTCCACATTTTGTGATCCAGCAGAGTTATTGAGATAAATATTCCTCTCTAACCAATGATTATTTATAGATTTTATGATTATTATAAATCTCATATATTTTATACATTTATATTCAAATATGTGAAATTTGGATTTTTTTGCAAAATAAATTTAAACATAAAAAAAAAAGCCTAAAGGCTAAAAAAATTTTGCATGCTCACAATAGAAGAGTTAAAAACCTATATAAAGTAATTCCATTAAAAGTTCCAGAAACGACTACATGTTTTCCAGGATCTGTTTTATATGGCGTTTTATAAGGAGAGCTTCTTTTAATTAATTCTCCTAATCTTGATGTTTGCTGAGTCATTATAATAACAGCCACAATAATAAAAATTCCAATAAAAGCTCTTGCAAGATTAGTTGTTGGTGCCATATCCCCATATCCAACAGTACCAGTTGTAATAATAATATAATAAAACGCCTTGTCAAAAGTCATTGTTTCACCTACAACTGGAAGTGATATATTAAAGCTCGATGTCTGCTGAAGTGTAAATACAATTCCTGCTGAAATAAAAATTAAAGAAAACACTGAAATTATTGCAATCAAAATTTGTCGAGTGACATCAGAAGCTACAAAAAGCGGCCTTTCTATCAATGTTTTTGGATCTACAGTAGTCTAAGTAATAAATACAGTAAAAATTCTATACAACCTTAAGACTCTGACAACTCGAATTACTCTGAATAATTTTGTGACTGAAACTGTATCAGCATTATTTGATAATTAAAGCATGGCATCCCGGCCATGCAGCCTCAACTCATATTTTAATCAAATCCGGCAAGGTTTTACATTTCAGAAAGGGACAGCAATGCTAGGTAAGCAATTCTGGCTGTGTACAGAGCCTAGCCCAAGCCTATTTTCAGGGATGATTTTTCCTCGCGGGGAAGGAGGCACGGAAGTTGGAAAGGGGAAGCTCAGCCAAGTCTGTTAGGACCAATCGGGCAACTCCCTAGCGTGAAACTGGGCGTTATGTCCCAGGCTACGTGTTTTCCTTTTTGCAGACAGCTGACCAGAAAATCCATTTTTTATGGGATTTTCGGAAAAGCAACCCATGTCAAGTGAATTCGCTCACTCATGAGCCCTGGAGCAACAAAACTGGTCGGCCCAGAGGCCGGTGGGCCCGATGCGGCGAAAGGCAGGCGGAAGCCCTGGGACAGGTGACCCCGTAAGGGACGTTAAGCGTTATAAATCTAATGTGAATATATGTATCAGCATTATTTGAGTTCTGAATATAAATTACCCCCACAAGTGAAATAAAAATAGGAAGAACAACGGCCAAATCAATTAAATTAAGCGGCTTCAGCATGAACTTTTTTTTGTCTTTTGCATTTACAAATCCTCAAAGATAATCTACAGTAAAAAGAAGCGCAATCACAATTTCAAGTGTAGAAAACACGCCACTGCTGTCACTGTAATAGGTTCCAGTAACATAAATAATACATGAAAATACAGTTAATGCAATTTGAAATAAAGTCCCAGTAATCTTCAGAAGTAGTCTTAAAGGCATATTTACAATTGAATCAGGCTGACTTATGACTTTTTTAAGTTCTAAGTTTAAAATTACCATTTAAATCTTCTGAATCTGCTAATTCTGGGTTTTTGCTGATATCTTCTTCTATTGTTACTGTTCTTCGATTAAATGTGATTATAGAAGTTCTAGTTTGGTTGATACGAGAATCTCCAAAAGATTCATTATGTTTATCATTATCAAATTCATCCTCCATTTATAACTATATGCACTTAAAATGAAAATGGGCTATTGCAAAAATAGCATTTTATAAATTTAACGCAATAAAATATGGAATTTGATTAATAGTCATTATAAATATAATCATAAATTTACAGTTAATGATAAGGAGTTTCATGTAATGATTTAGCGCTTAATCCCTCTTTAAAACTATTGGAAAACAGTTATTTTTGGAAAAAAAAAAGTTTTTCACGATCTAGCAACAAATGAAGAAATTTATTAAAATGTATTGATGCATAACTAATAATTATTATAGCAAAACCTCGAGCTAATTTTTATACAGCTTGCATTTTAAGGCATAAACTTTATAAAGTAAACTAGATTTTCTTTCAAATATTTGTAGCCAAGACTTTTTGAAATCCGTTACAAAATAAGAGTTAAGCTTCCTCAATTGCCGAGTAAAATCCATTTTTAAATAGAAGGGTTAGTGGCGCTGAAATTATTCCAAAAGTCTTTAGTTGTATATGATAGATCACTAACTTTTGTTTTTTCATTGCTTTTCAAAATAAATTTATTTGCAAACTTTTTTTCAGGGTTATATATAAAAGGCAATCTTCTTTCATCTGAAAAAGGATCAAGTTTTGTAGAAAGCTGCTTTTTTGGACGATTTTTTGTCTTGCTTTTAGGGAGATACTCCTCCCTAATTATATTAACTTTAACCTCTTTTTCATAAGATCTTCTGGAATTATTAAAATATTCATCTTCATTGAACCTAGGATATGCTAATTCATTTGTGAAATTAATTGGTCTGCTGTTATTTATACAAAAGGGCTCATTGAATATGATATTTGATCTGTTGATATTGCATTGGCCATTTGTAGAGTCTGAAGGAAAAACTTTTATTGCTTCTTCTCTTTGTTTTGGCTTTGTAATATCCCTATTCAAGTTTTTTTGAAAAGATTGAACTTTTCTTATCTATAAATAGATACATGGGCTAGGTAAGAAATTCCGGTATTGTGCAGAGCCTAGCCCTAGTCTGCTTTCATATTGGATTTTACCTCGAAGGAAGCGGGTTCAAAGTTTAAAAGGGATAGGCCAGCAGCGTCTACAGTAAAAAGCTAGAACAATTGGACTATTTCGCTGACTCCCCCCCCCTTAAATTGGAACAAAATATAGGTAAAATTTCCACTTTTTTGGTAAATTAACCAGTTCCTTCACACGACGACTATTTCATAACGACTATTTTTTTTGGCCTATTTTTTTTTGGCCTATTTTTTTCACTATTTTTTTTTGGCCTGTTTTTTTTTGGCCTATTTTTTTTTGGCCTATTTTTTTTGGCCTATTTTTTTTTGGCCTATTTTTTTTTGGCCTATTTTTTTTTGGCCTATTTTTTTTGGCCTATTTGTTTTGGCCTATTTTTTTTTTTGGCCTATTTTTTTAGGCCTATAATATTTTTTGGCCTATTTTTTTTTGACCTATTTTTTTTGGCCTATTTTTTTTGGCCTATTTTTTTTGCCTAGCCTCATTCATGAAGCTGCTGAGAGGACTAAAACCTAATTGAGAAACAGAGACTTTTACTTACGCGATTAATATTGAGTAAATTAAGTGAAAAAACTCCTAATTAAATCTAAAATTCTCGAAATTTTAAAAGCAATTAATTAGTATTCATGGAGTAAGAAATCTGTTAAGGGTGCATTTTTTGTTGGTTAAATCGTTTAAAACACATTAAAAATTATATTAAAACAATTAGTATGGAATTATGCCCAAATATTAGTAAAAATAATTAAAAAATTGTCAAAAAATCGGCCAAAAAAATAGGCCAAAAAAAAATAGGCCAAAAAAAATAGGCCAAAAAAAAATAGGCAAAAAAAAATAGGCCAAAAAAAATAGGCCAAAAAAAAATAGGCCAAAAAAAAATAGGCCAAAAAAAAATAGGCCAAAAAAAAATAGGCCAAAACAAAATAGGCCAAAACAAAATAGTCGTTATGAAATAGTCGTCGTGTGAAATACGAAATTAACCCCCCTTTAAATTGGAACAAAATTTAATTTTATATAATAAAAAATTTTATATATATAAATCATAATTTTTATGTAAAAAGTTTTGATATAATTTAAATGTTTCTTCTTAACTAAAATTAAAAATTTAGTTATATCCTGCTCTTCTTTAAAGAATAGAGTATAAAGAACATCTTATTTAAATAAATTTAATATCCTTAATTGTAAATTTTTTAAAAAAATTTAATGTTTTTTGTTTTTAAAAATTTTATTTTTTTGATAAAAATGATATTTTTTATTTAAATAGCTTTGATATAAATTCAATACGAATTCTTTACAAAAATTCAAAATTTACTTATCTCTTACTTTATTTTAAAGAATAGAGTATAAATAGCATCTTATTTAAACAAAATTAGCACTTTGATCGATAAATTTTCTAAAATTTTTTTTTTATCAATAAAAATAATAATTTTTGTGTAAATAGTTTTGATACCAATTAATAGTGGCGTATTAATTAATAATAAAATTTTAGTTATATCTTGCTTTTTTTTAAAGGATAAAGAGTAAATAGCATTTTATTAAACAAATTTATTAATCTAATTCGATAAATTTTTGAAATTTTTTTTTTAAAAAAATTTTCTTAAACCCCTTTAAATTGGAACTAAAAATTTTGTTCCAATTTAAAGGGGGGGGAGTGAGTGAAACTGAGATTACCTCACTCCCCCCCCTCCGTGAGTGAACAAAAAAATTTTGTTCACTTACGGAGGGGGGTTAATTTTGTTTTTTAAAAACAAATTTATATATAAACTTTATAAAAAATATTTTTTTTCGAAATTTAAAAAAAATCCTAATTCGCAAAAATTGGAGAGCAAATATTAATTCAATTTGCAAAATTTATGTTTTAAAAAGCAATTCGTTTAAAAATAAACAGAATTAGCTCTAGATTTCATTATAATAATTATCATTTATATATCAAATTTTTTTTCCATAAAAAATTTTTGTATTAAAAACATTTTTGTTCACTCACGGAGGGTGGGTTTTTGGGCAAAAAATAGGGATTTTTCTAATGGTTTTGTTCACTCACGGAGGGGGGGGGGAGTCAGGCTTTAATTTTTCCTTTTTTCCGAAATAAAATTCCTTTTTTGGGCTTTTGTACGACAGCCTTCGTCAGCCAAAGCAGAAAACTGCAGAAGTTCATAATCATTCCACTCGACACTGGAGCAGATAAGCTAAGGATTACACGGAGAAACAAAACCATCTTTCAAGTGATCATAGTGGTAGGCCCCTGAAGAAGAAAGGCATAGTCTGCGGCTAGATGGGTCAGATAGGAGTTAAATTTACCTACAAATGCTGGTTCATCAACTCCCCATTTAATATCAGGAGATGTCAGTAAAGTTCGATCCAAAGCAGTATCGGGCTATTGTGTTCTAGCTTTGGCTATCCGGTGAACCATTATCTGAATCCAACAAATTTTCCTGGCGATATCGTAAAAGGAGTGAATTCCCTGTGATCCATAGTGATCCATAGTGACTGCTTTGCCAATAGGCAAGCAAGCCAATCTATAATAAGTTTAAATTTAAGTAAAGAACTTTTCTTATGTTGGTGGCTTCAGTAAGGTCTTTAAGCATAGTAGGAGTTTGCGCAGGCAAAGGAGTTATGTTGCATTTGTCTTTGCCTGGCATTTTGAAATCATCTTGAATATTTATGATCGGAGAATTAAGATTACGGCCTTTATTGTTTTGAGCTCGAATTATTGCAAGATGCTCAGTTTCATGCTCAGCTTCACTCGGAGAAGAATCGCTTCCTCCACTGTCACTTTCATCTTCAGGCAAGTCGACAATATCAAGAGGCTGCCAAAAATGTTCATCTATGGTTGCGCTTTTTAAGTTTATTATGTCTCCTAAATCATCTTCCTCTTCTAATTTACCCTCTTCCACTTCGTTTATCAAATCAGGCGACTCTGAGCTTTCTATTGTTTTAGTTTCTTCTACTTCTAGATTTTGCGGTTTATTTAGTGATTTTAGACGATTGAATAAAATTCTCCTTAGAAATTCATTTGTATTTCTAACTCTTTGCATATAAACTCTATTTGAGGTAAAAATCAAGCATAACTTGCACAAATCTCTTCCTAAAGTTTCTAAATGAGACTCATTCATATGAGAATCGCCTGAAGACGATTCGCCTAATGCTCGTGGATTTTTTGGACCAAAAAATGACGCCTCCATTGTATAAGAATGAGAAACTTCAAATTGAGAATACACCACAATTCTTGCAGTAGTAACCTTCGATTTTTCACATCTGAACCTCGAATCATTATAGCTAAATAGCGAATTTTTCTTATTAAGTAAATGAGGTATAACTTTTGCCAGCAAATTTCTCCTCATATCGATCATATCATAGCTTTTGACTCCACACCCGTACATAAACACATTTTTCTTTTTTCCATGTCCATGCATATCACAAAACATCATTAATTCATGCTTTTCTTTAAAAACCTCAATCATTTTTTTTGCATAAAAAATCGTTGGGTGTAAAATTTTATTAGGACTTAATCACCGTCTGTTCAAATCTACCCCGAGAAGAGAGCATCTAGAGTTTCCATAGCGGACTCCATCAGGATTAAGCATTGGAATGATTTTGAACACAAAATGTTTCCGAAGAGATTTAGCAATCCTTGCATCACTTAATAAAAAATTAATTGCGCCTCTCATCATAAATGATGAAACTGTTTCTCCGCTATGAACTCTGGCAGTAAGTACTATTCCTTTCTTTTTCTTATGATCTTGATTAGCTCGTGCTTTATCATTTGGCTTATTTATACTTTCCTGTCTTATTAGCTTAAGCTTTGAAAGTTTTCTTCCTCCAACACTGACCCCTCATTCATTTGCTTCATCTTCAAAGCTATAATATGTTGCAATATTTTCAGTGATAGTCAGCATTTCACATATATTTCCACAAAGTGATGTGCATAAAGGATTTACTCTGGCTATATTTTTATGGTTTTCTTTGATATATGAAAGGTGCTGGCTTAACTCAGAGTATGTATAAGGTATTGAGTAAGCAAAATATACAAGGTCATTTTCATATTTTCACCTATACGTAAAACTCAAGGTATAGTATTTTCTCCTTGCATAAAAGGCCAAAGAATTTTTACTATCTACATTTTCTGTATATGATATGTTAAGGCAATCTCTCTGCCAGCCTGATCCATTTTCTTTAGCTGATTTTGTTGATAAAACTGCTGGCTTCATCCCACTGTTATAAAGTTTGTCATCTTTCAGCATATTTGTGATTTTAAATGTAATAGAAGTTTTTCGTGGGTTTCACACAGAAAAATAGTATCAATGATTATGAGCAGAGCTGCCAATATCAGAGTTCAAAAATAAAAGATATTCATAGTCAGTGAGCTTAACAGCCTTATAAAGATTCCCAGACTCAAATTTGCTGTTAAATTTCAGTGTTACTTTGTCATCAGGGATTCTTAAAGCATACTCAGGCTCAAAAGTAGGGGACGGTCCATAACTTTTCATCCTGCAGTATGCGTCAATGTCTATATTGAAATATACCTGAATTATATGCTTTATTAAGTTCATTTCTCATATGCTTTGAAAGTCGTTTTGGGCTTTCTGAATGGGATAAATGTTTCTCCAATGAATGGTTATGCAAAGAAGTCATTAATGCTTTTGAATCGTAAACCAGCATTCCTCCATGCTCAAATCTGAAAGGGTCTGATTCTTGGATTATATTAAAGGTATTTATTCTGTCTCTATCAACATCTGAGTATGCTTTTTGATGCTTAAAGATTAAGGGGACATAATCTTGAAGTGTTTTTGCTAATGCAGATTCCATTTAAAAATTTTCTCAATATTCATTGCTAGATAAAGGATCAACTTTAATGCCAAAAAATTGGAAATTTCCTAGGAAAGATTTGCTTAAAATATTTGTATATAAAATTTTATTTATTTTATTCTTTCAAATTCATCATTTCAAGTAATGATGGTTTTGTCCCTGGTTTCAAATACCCAGCAATTACATCTTCTAATTCTTTTGCCCAGATGTTACTAGTCACTTCATCGTTAACTATAAAATATGCTGTAATATCACTGTTTCCTGATACCTTGCATACATGCAGATCTCCATTATATTGCTCAACTAGTTCTTTTAGTTTGTGCTCAATTATTTCAAGGGCTTGTTCAACACATTCTTCTCTGACTGCTGCTTTGAAGAAGCGATGACGCTTTGATAAGTACTTGCTTTGAAGGGTTCGAATGCCTGGCCTGACTGATTTTTTTGTTCTTTGACCTGCTTGAGAGTATGATTTTGAAGATCCTGCTTCCATTGATGTTTTTAGTACTTCTTGATCTATATTCTGATAGAGCTCTTCTAGGGATTCGTGGGCATAAAGAGGAGTTCCTGATAGGCGATCTTGAAAATCCATTTAAATATTTTAATAGTTAAAAATCAAAAATTTGTAAGAGAAGTTTAGAAGGAATGAAAGAAAACTGCAAGTTAGAAGCTCTATAAAAGTTTGGAACTATTAAATATAAAAAGAAAGTTTTGAAAATATTATATAGAAAAAGAAATTAGTAGGTTTTAGAAATTTAGTAAAATTTATTTTGTTCAGAGTTAATTAATTCTAACATTTAAATTATGAAAGAAAAATAATATCATTAACCTAAATCTTGCTAAATAAAATGCAAAATAATCTTCCAAAGCAATCACTATCATATTAATAAAATGCCCTATTTTCAGCTAAAATCACAAGAAAAAATGACCATAAAACATCAGAAGCCTTAAACAAATTTTCATATATAAATAATTAAAATTTTAAATAGCTGTTCGTTTCATCATTATTAATAATTAATGGAGCCCAAGAAAAAATACAAATTCCCTGAAAAAGCTCGTAGCGGCACAATTTCTGATGACTTGATTAGTAGAAGCTGGAGCATCTCAAATGAATCCAACAACAGCGATTCTCGATACAATATCGTGCACACATCAGTTTCTCAGTGTTTTAATGATATATTAGACGAAGATCCAGCTCTTTCTTATAGTGGCGATATCGATTCTGTCTCCGATTTTTCTATAAATATTAGCAGCTTACCGTTTCTCTGTAGGACAAAAACAGGTAGCAAAAAAATTCAGCAATATATTGCCAAGAGTCGGCCAGAAGAAATTGAGCAAATCGTGAATGTTGTTTCACCACACCTTGGGGAAATAATGACTGATTTATACGGAAACTATATGTGCCAAACTTTATTTCAAAGCTGCTCATCAACTCAAAGGCTTTATCTATTAACTCGGCTGAAAGATGACATTATAAGAGTATCAAGGAACCCCCGAGGCACTCATGCTCTACAAACAGCTATCACTCTTGCAAGCCTACCAGAAGAAGAGCTTTGTTATCAAAGGGCTTTGCAAGGACATATAATAGAACTGTCATTAGAAACAAATGGATCCCATGTTATTCAACGGTTATTGGCGACATTAAAAAATAAACATTTTATTATCAGAGAAATTTTGGGACATGTCAGGGAGCTTGCAATAGACAAACTTGGGCTATGCGTGATTAAAAAATGCATCAATGATCCTCAAATTTTTAGCGAACTATTAAGCCACGCTTTAGTTTTGATGCAGGATCCATATGGAAATTATGCTCTTCAACATATGATTGATCAATGGCAAGAGGAGTGCTCATTTCAAATAATCAATTGTATTAGAGGCAAAGTGGCGCAACTTTGCAATCAAAAATACTCGTCAAATGTGATGGAAAAGTGTATGAAGGAAGAAAGGATGAGGGAAGAAATTATCAATGAGCTTATTGCAGACGACAAAATGCTAAGCCTTCTAAACTGCCCTTATGGATGCTATGTTCTTAGAACAGCAGCACTAGAATCAGATCTAAAACAGAGAGAAAGGCTGAAGAATGCGGTGAATTCAGCAATTTCTATGCTGCATCAAAAAAAGTTAAAACAGAGATGGGATGAAATTTTAAGCTATCTAGAATAAAATAGAGGCTAGAATAATGCTTTTACCCAAATAAAATCGAATAAAAAATATATTATTTTATTTTTATAATCCCTCAATTCGACCATGGGAGCAACTTCCTCAAGATATATAATTTCAGGAATTGGAGGTTCACTACTTGTTTTTGCCTTAACCACTTTTTTTGCAAGTGATGAAAACGGCCCATCTGTATCAGGAATTTTTAATTTAGGAAACACATGCTTTTTGAACTCTCTATTACAAGGTCTGTCATCTTGCAAAACATTTTTTGATTTTTTAGCAAAAGTAAGCGTGAGGTTAAAGTCAAAAGATCCAAACGATGTAATAGTGAGAGAGCTAAAAGCATTTTTACGTTTTTTAAAAGAAGGAAAAGAAACTTTAAGGCCAAATGCACTGGTGAATTCCCTTTCACAAAGATTTCCTCATTTTGGGCAGCAGCATGACTCACATGAGATTTTTTATGTTATCCAAGAAAGCATATCTGAAGTAAATAAGAGGCCTCTGCGATCTCTAAAGATACCTGACCTCAATGGCATGGAGAAAGAAGAAAACCTTAAAAACCCTTTTCATGGCCTTATGAGCACTGAAGTCACCTGCTCAGTTTGCGGACACAAATCATTTACTTTGGAGTCAATGTTTGATATATCAGTTACTATAACACCTTCATTGGAAGAAAGTTTTAAAATTCTGTCTACCGAAGAAATTATTGATGATTTTCAGTGTCAAAGATGCTCAATTGAAGCAAGCTTAGAAATTTTGAAAGATAAAAGACATTTCCCATCAGAAATTTTTTGAAAAAAAGTAGAAACATTACGAAAATCATTACTCTCCCCCCTCCGTGGGTGGACAAAACCATTAGAAAAATCCCTATTCTTTGCCCAAAACCCACCCTCCGTGAACAAAAATTTTTTATGGAAAAAAAATTTGATATATTAATGATAATTAGTATGATAAAATCTAGAGCCAATTCTGTTTAATTTAAACGGATTGCGTTTTAAAACATAAATTTTATAAATTAAATTTAATATTTGCTTTCCAATTTTTGCGAATTAGGATTTTTTTTAAAACTTTATAAAAAATATTTTTTTATAAAATTTATATATAAAAATTTTTTAAAAAAAAAAATTATGTGAGTGAACAAAATTTTTGTTCACTCACGGGGTGGGGGTGTTAGAGCGCAGAATATCTGTTGATGATGCTGAAATAGTGATTTTTAGGAAACAAAGAGCATCTTTATGCCACAAAATTGCAAGATTCCCTGATATTCTTTGTATTCATTGCAAATGGCTTGTTCAAGGTCCACTAGGCTACATTCAGAAATCAACTGCTCAAATGAAATTTGACTTAAATTTAGAAATTGATTGACTAATGCAGAAAAAGCTATGTTTAAATCCAAGCCAAAACACAGTAAAATATGAGCTGAGAGCTGTTATTGAACATTTAGGAGGAAGCTTAGGAGGGCATTATTTGACATATAGGCTTAATTCTGGGGTCTGATATCTATGTTCAGATGTAGATGTCCGAGAAGTCTTTGAAGATGAAGTGCTGAGGGCACAACCTTATATGCTGTTTTATGAAAGAGTTAAGTAAGATAGTTTTTTAATAAAAAGTTATCTCTTAATAAGATCTTCCCCAAAGAGCTCTATGCTTCGCAGGCTCACCACATTGGAAGCATGCTTCTCCTTCTTGGATGGGGTCCTGTTCAAATGGTTGGCACAATGTTTTAGCTGATCCAGTTAAGTGGTCTCCTTCAGTCTGCTTACTTTCTTCTGCTGATCTGTGCTTTACTGTTTCTTCACATTCATTTCTCTGGCACCAAGGAGTGAGGACAAAGTTCTTAATCCGACTTTTGTTAGAGATAAAAAAAGTTTACTTGGGTAGTGAGCAAAAATTTTATTATATTTTTTTTTTTCTAAATAATAATTTGATATATAATTATGATAAAATCTTCATTAATTCTATTAAAATTTAAAGCATCTTACGCTATAAGATATAGGTTTTTTTTTATTATATATATTTTCATTTTAAATATTGACAATTTTTTAAGATTCAAAAATGTACTTTATATAAAATAATTCCCTTAAAAACGAATAAGAATTTTGCTTGCTGCCAAGGTGATTTAGCGTTTAAGGCAACCAAAAAGTCAGCCCAATTTGAAGCCTTAATTACCCTTGAGTCCAAATTTTGTTTAGCCTTAGCCAACATATCTGCTTGTATTTGTTCAAGTAAAGCCGGAAGTGTATGCAACTCAGCCCAGCTAACAAACTCTGACTTCCCAGTGTCTCTTCTTACAATTCTGACCTGAGATTTTGCAATATCTTTCATTCCAATTTCGACTCTGATAGGGACACCTTTAAGTTCCCAATGGTTATATTTCCAGCCAGGGTTATAGTTTTGTCTATCATCAAGCTCAACTCTGACTCCTGTCCTTTTAATTTCATCATAAATTTCTCTGCTTTTGTTCAAGACCTCTTCAACCTTATTCTTTTCAAATATTGGGACAATAACTGCTTGTGTTGGAGCAACCCTTGGAGGAAGCACAAGACCTTTGTTATCACTATGAACCATCACCATAACTCCAATAGTTCTTGTGGTTAGACCCCAGGAGTTCTGCCAAACAAATTTCTTCTCTTTAGAGTCATCTTCAAACCAGATGTTAAACATTTTGCTGAAGTTTTGCCCTAAGCAATGAGAAGTTGCAGCTTGGATTCCTCTGCCATTGAAAGGAATCATAGTCTCAATTGAGGTTGTGTAATAGCCTCCTGCGAATTTTTCAATCTCACTTTTCTGTCCTTTGACGACTGGAACTGCTAATAAATCTTCATAGACTGAAGCATATAGGTCAAGAATTTGTCTGACTTCAACTGCAGCCTCTTCTAAAGTTGCATGGGCTGTGTGTCCTTCTTGCCACAAGAATTCACGAGTTCTTAAGAAAGGAGTTGGGTGTTTAAACTCCCACCTTACGACGTTGCACCATTGATTTACTTTTAGTGGAAGATCTCTGTGGCTTCTAATCCATTTTGCGAAGGCTGGATACATGATTGTTTCACTTGTCGGGCGGATTGCAATTGGCTCGCTGAGAGGAGTTTCACCGTTTTTAGTAACCCACGCCACTTCAGGGGCAAATCCTTTAACATGCTCTTTTTCTGTATTAAGAGCTGCTTCAGATACAAACATAGGGAAGTAAGTGTTTTTAACACCAAGCTCTTTGATTTCTTTGTCGAATTTGTTCTGGATTCTTTCCCATATTTCATATGACCATGGTCTCAATATGTAGCAGCCTGAGATGTCATAATACTCAATCATCCCTGATTTTGTGATGACGTCGCTATACCATTGAGCGTAGTTTTCTTCTTGGGTGCACGAAAGCCCTAGAGTTGTATCTTTTTTCTCTTCTTCAGTGGCAGCTGCCTTTTTGGCTTCTTCTTTCTTTTCTTCTTCTACTGCTGAAAAGTCAATTATGAGAGTATCCTCATCTCTCCCGATGTGATGCAAAAATGTGTTTAGGCCTTCTGTTGGGATTTCAGTTGTAGCAGTGTTTGTCATAGGGTGTAGTAAGATATGCTGCAAGTTCAGGACTTCTTTGTCGAGGACGAATTTTACTTGCTTTTCATGGTCATTTGCGAGAGCGAATGGAGAGACTCCACCAGGGACTGCTGCAAGGAGTTCTGTGAGCTTTTCTTCAGGAGCTTCCCTAACCACTCCTCCAGTGCTTCCAAGTTTCTTAGCAAGAGTTTTGAAGGAAGTTTCAGTTGTGTGGACGGCAGATATTAAGTAGAATTTACCCTTCTTGTCTTTCAAGAATAAATTCTTTAAGACCTTTCCTGCGAAAACACCAGTATGCTCTAAGCACTCTTTGACTGTTTTAACTTCTGGGTGCTGAATTGTCTTAAAAGGAATATTTAAGCTTGCAAGAGTTGCTTCAACTTCTTGTTGGTTTGTCAGCCTGAGTCTTTCCATACTGAATAACCTTCTATTTATGGCTCGGGAAATATGGATCATTATTGGTTATTTTTTGGGTAAAATACAACTATTATAATTCAAGACTAATAACTGAATTAGATTTAGATACGAAGAAACAATGGCAACCAACAAATCTTGATATTTATGAAAAATCCAATCTTCCTTTGTCTCAAAGTTAATAAGGTTGAGTAGCTTTTTGGATATTAAAATTGTGAGGGATTGAATTAAAATTGAATTAGTTTGATTATTGTAGTTTTTAGAATGATTATTTAGATTGAAGTAATTAATAGCAATTTTAAGTTATACTAAAACGTTGGTATAGTAGTAAAATCTTCAAGATTGATATAATTTGATTCTAATTACAAATTTATTTAAATAAAGAGTTACTTAAATGTGGAGAGTAAGATACAATATCAATAAAATTATCAAGTTACCTTTAGCCATTTAACGATATTTATGAAATCACTTCTATATCTAATTAAATTTATTTCAAAACTCTTGCCTGTTCAAGTTCTATTTACAGTAAATATTTATTATGTGTTATTACCCTGCATGTTAATTTTATTATATCTATTTATACTACACTTTGATTATCAACTAAACTTCCAGTTTCTTTTAGCTCCGTACTCAGCGACTCATTAGCAGCCTTATTTTTACCCTCCAGCATCTTTCTTTTTTTCTCAATGATCGCTTTGATAGACGGATCCTCAATAATAGCAGCCACATTAAACACAACATGCGTTTTTTTCTGGCTTGCTTCCTCTTTTATATCAGATTCTTCTTTTTCCTCACTCTGTTCACTATCTTCTTCAAATGACTCTTCCTTTTTCTCAAACTTAACAGATTCTTCATATATGTAAAATGGCTTGTGACGAGAGACCATCTACCTTGTGGCGGGTATGCTTATGCATACCGGACGTGGTTTTTGTTGCAAAGAGCTGCTCAAGGGTATATTTAGCCTTGAAGCCTTGAGGGAGCCAACCACACAACGCTATGAAATGGATTGCACTCCGGAATGAGGACTTTAAATGCACATCTTTAATTTAAACAGATTCTTCAATCTTCACAGAATTATAGCTTCGAAAATTGCTGGGCGTAAACGTATCACTGTTGCCAAGCTTATTTAATTTATGGATTTCTTTTATCATTTCTTCAAGCCTTTCGAGTCGACGATTAAGTTCGGATCTAATATCATCTTCTGTGATGCTGGGTTCTTTTGGAGTCCCCATTTCGTGAAGCAGCTCCTCGAGCTGGGACTTTCGTTTAACGAGGGCTGCAATTTTATTTTGAATTTGTTTTATTCTAGATGTGAAATCCTTTTTAACTTCTTTTGAATAATCACAACCCATAATTTTTGATTATTAAAATATAGCTTGCACCCCGTTTTGGATCGGCCTTGAGCACCCCTCCCCTGCCGCCGCCCACCCCCTAACGTTCTAAATATTTAAACATGTTAAATATTAATTTGACAAGTTAAAATATTTGAGGGGGACTTGTCAAATAATATTTTAACATTTAAAATTTTTAGGACCGTCAGGTGGTGGGTGACATAGGGAGGGGTATAGAAATTTCCCATAGATGGCGCTGTTTGCCCTTGATTTGCCCACTGGAGAAATTTTTTGGTTCGACCAGTCCAATATGGTTTGGTCAAACCAAAAAATTTTTCTCATGGGCAAATCAAGGGCAAACAGCGCCATCTATGGGAAATTTCTATACTTAATGGCGAGCAACCACGAGAGGTGTGGTATATATGAAAGTGGTTCCATCATATTTTGTAAGGATTTAGAGGTGTGGGTGGATTTTGAGATTGAGAAGTTTCAGCTGGTCAGATAAAGGATTTTTGTGAGGACTGTTACTATAATAAATTATTTATAGAGAAATGATATCTTGGACAGCATATCAAAAATAAAATTATCATAACAAAATACAAAAATACAAATTATAAGTTATAATTAATAATTATAGCTTAGAATTCATAATGATATAGAGATTTTATGTTTAAAATGTGCAAGTTTACCTATTTTATAAAATTAGGCTCATATATTAGATTCATCCCATTGTGAATTGTATAATAAACTATCAATCTATCAATTTACAAATTTATTGTCCTTGATTACTATTTATATTTTTGATTGCTATGGAGTAAAAAATGGAACCAAACAATCAAAATCAAGCACTTCTTCCACATCAAGAAAATTACCAAGTCGGAACTTATCCTCCCAACCCTGATCAGATGAACTATCAAAGCCAAAACCCTGCTCAAATGCAGAACCCTAGCTACCCTTATCAGCCAGCCCCTGTGATTGGATATGGAAATCCGGCACAAGGCGGCATGGGACCTCCTCCACAAAACTACTATCAGCCTGGGATGGGTCAGCAAGCCGGATATCCTCACTCTCCCCCTCCGTAAGCGAACAAAAACTATTGGAAAAGTCCCTATTTTTTGCCCAAAAACCCACAATAAGAATTTTTTTAATAGAAAAATTTTTTATGAAAAAAAAAAAATTTGATATATAAGTGATAATTAGTATAATTAAATCTATAGCTAATTCTGTTTAATTTTAAACAAATTCGTTTAAAACATAAATTTTACCAATTAAATTAATATTTGCTTTCCAATTTTTGTGAATTAGGATTTTTTAAAATTTCATAAAAAAATTTTTTCTATAAAATTTATATTTTTAAAAAAAAAATTAATCCCCTCCTTGAGCGAACAAGATTATTTTTGTTCGCTCACGGAGGGGGGGAGTCAGTATGCTGGCATGCCCAATTATCCCAATCAGAATTATTCTCCTCAAGCAAATCCAGTCGTAATAGTTCAAGGAGGAGATGCAACTGGAGCAGTGCAAGTAGGAGCACCAGGGAGATGGGGAAATAGTCCTCAGCAGGCTTTTTGTCCAAGCTGTAATAGATATATTGTTACTAATATCAGATATCAGCCTGGAGCAGTGGCCTGAATTTTTTGCATCATTATATTCTGCGTGTTCTGGCCGCTCAGCTGTTTGCCTTTTTGTTTCACACCTTGTATGGACGTCGTCCACAGATGTCCTCACTGCTTTGTGGTTTTGCATACTAAGTCTGCTATGTAGAGACTAACACTAATCTAACCGATTTGTTTAAAACATTTTAATATGAAAATATTAGTAATTAAAATAGAGAATTTTGTGTAAAAGATCTTTGAAGATTATAGATCAATTGATGGAATATCTATATCAAGAACACTTAGTTTTTGATATATAGCATTAAGTTTTCTAAGAATTTCATTGATATCTTCAATCTCTTCTTCGATATATACGTCTTCTTCAATAGATAAAAACTAAATGATAAATACGCTAGCAACTAAATAGTCAACTTCTTTACTTGATTCTTTACTTGTTTCAAGTATCAACCCTGCATGGATCAGGTCTATTCTATCACTCAATAAGTCTCTTGACACTTGCTCCCAAAACTCGACTTGTTTAGATACAAAGTCAACTGTTTTTCTACACAGTTCAGAAACATTTTCATTATCTTCATAATTCAAGTCTTCGCTTGCACTCTTTATTTGATCCAGCTCTTCTAAAATCTTTCCAGCAAGATAATTCTACATCACAATTACTCTGATCTCTCCTGGTATATCATTAGCTTTATCAATCACATTACAAGCTTTTCCCACATTCAATAATTTTGCATCTGTATCCATATTTGCTGCAGCATCTTCTAAAAGCCTCACAATTTCTGCAATAAATTTAACACAATACTCCTTAACTGAGTCTTCTAGAAGTTTGCCTTTTCCTTTCACTTTTTGTTTGACTCCGATAACAAATACAAGAACTTGATTTCTGAGTGACTCACATAAGCTTTCTAGAGATTCCAAATCAATCTCTTCAGATAATCCTAGATGAAACTTATAAATTTCATGCTTCATCATCTCTGTGCTAAAGGTAATCACTTCATCAGAATCTAGCTCTAAGCTGTAAGGCAATTCTCTGCACAGTCTGAGCAAAGCTATTGCCTTATTGTCTTCCATTTTAATTATTTATTGAAGACGCTTATCTACTTAAGTTCTTTTCCCAGCCTTCAAGCAATTGGTGGATGTTTTCCCAGTATTTTTCGTCTTGGTCTGATGTATTCTTGGTCGCTCTGATTTTTTTCTCAACTTCGTCAATTCTGGCGTCTAAAAGGTTAAAAGTGACTGATTTAACCACCCAGTCGTCAATTTCTTCTTCGGTTACCTGTAATTGTTGAGCTGCTTGGGCATAGCTGAACTCTTCATGATGTTTTGCAAGGTCGCATAAAGCTAAAACTCTTATTGTGTCAAGACATTTATCTGCATTAAATCCTTTAGAGGCCAAATAATCTTCGTTGCTTTGTTTGAAGACAAGGTATAGCTTATATCCCTTTATAGATTTCTTTATCCAGCAAAATGTACTGGATTATTGAACGACCAAGAAAGACTCTATTAAAGGAACGGGCTGGATATCGATATCAGGAAGTGCTAAAATGTGACATGTCAAAAAATGGTGACAAGTGTGAAAAAAGTTGACAAGTAAACGCGCCAATTTTTAAAATGGATTTATTATTAAAATAATTTAAAACTTAAGATACTCAATTAGACTGAAGATAATAATTGCATATTATATACTGGCTTTAAATATTTTGATTTATATATGAAGACAAGAGCTATAATTTTGCAAAGTGCGTGACTTGTGAATGCCATTAACTTCGGAGTTCTTATCGACTCACATGACCTATTGTTTAGCAAAAATTCAATATGGAAAATCAAAAACTTGAATTTTTCCAGAACGATAGAATTCGTTTATTATAATTCTAATTTATTCATGAAGACTAGATATATAATTTGCAAAGTGCGTGCTTTGTGAATTTCATTAACTATGGAGTTCTTATCGACTAACATGACTAGTGTTTAGCAAAAATTCAATATATTGAGAATCACAAGTCACACACTTTGCAAATTATAACTCTTGTCTTCATATATAAATTAGCATTAAAATAAAGAAATTCTATCGTGCCGGAAATGCACACATCGAGTTGCAAGCTTTTAATTTTCATTTATAAGCCATATTGAATTTTGCTAAACACTCGTCATATGAGTCGATAAGAAACTCCTAAGTTAATGATATTCACAAGTCACGCACTTTGCAAATTATAGCTCTTGTCTTCATATATAACTATAACTTAACTTTACCGCTTCCTAATGAAGCATTTCTCTCTTTTTTATTCAAAGATTCTTCATCATCAATAACTTCTTCAGCATCACTATCATCGTCTTCAACTACAACAGTAACATCATCACAAACCACAACATCAACAACAACACAACAAAACAAAAAATTTCAGCATCAATAACAAGTATTACAAACTCCATCAAGTCCATACTCATCTTCATCTTCAGATGCTCCATACAGAATCCACAAAACTCCATTTGCTAATGTAGCACCAGCTCGAACCTCCGAAACCAGCCATCAACATACAGAACCAACATTTGTGAATTCACTATGTACCCATGCATCTCTGCATGAAATCAAGCATCACGATAATTCCCTCCGTCTTTGGACTTTCGCGCCATTTTGTGCTGGATTAAAGAATTATTTGTCTTCATATATAAATCAAAATATTTAAAGCCAGTATATAATATGCAATTATTATCTTCAGTCTAATTGAGTATCTTAAGTTTTAAATTATTTTAATAATAAATCCATTTTAAAAAATTGGCGCGTTTACTTGTCAACTTTTTTCATACTTGTCACCATTTTTGACATGTCACATTTTAGCACTTCCTGATATCGATATCCAGCCCGTTCCTTTAATAGAGTCTTTCTTGGTCGTTCAATAATCCAGTACATTTTGCTGGATAAAGATATCTATAAAGGGGTATGAGCTATATTTGGAGACAGAAACTTCTTGTAATATTTTGATAAGCTCTGCAAAGTGCCCAGTTATTTTATTTATACAAGGAAGTGACAGAATTGAAGTGATTTCAGAGGCATCTGAATAAGAAATTAATTGAGAAATAGCTTCCTCGAAATGTGCTTGAGGTAAATCTGAGGTCTCAGAAATCAGCATTTTAATGAATTTGGCTTTTAAGCTTTCGTTGATAGGCAACTGTGAAATTTCCCAATAAAATTCTTGTTTTTCTTCAGAAGCCACATCAGTCCAGTCTTTGCTGAAGTTTTCGATTTTTTGTAAATGTGGCAAAATCATGTTTAATAGGTCAGCGTTTTTAGCTTGTGATAAAATTGCTTTGAAAATTGCGAATTTTAATGATCCTTCTGTGATGGCATCATAAAGTAAAGAAAGAGCTTGCATTGCAGGTCTGCTGGATTCTGTGACTGAGGACAGAGCTCTGATTAAGGACAAAGTAAGATCGCTGTTCTTTTTTGAGTTCAAAAGAAAGGCGATGAGGGTAAAGCGTCCTTGGATGTCTGAATCATTTCCAGATAGAAGACCTTGAACTTGATTAAATAATATTTTCAAAACCTTTTCGATTTTCACTACTTTTGAATGAGCAACCCATTTGTCTTTTATAGATTCTGTGTTAATTAGTCCTTTGGTGCTTTTCAAAAGCTCAAATCCGGGGTCTTCATTAGAGATGTTTACAATCACAGACATTCTTAACCAGAGATTATGGAAAAATGGTAATGAAGATTGTAAAGTTAGTTATACTTGATAATAAGTAATGATCTTTATATGATAAAAAAAGAATCTTAATTATAAGAAATTTAAGAAGAATGGCTGATATATATATGAGCTAGAATTACTATGGATTTTAAAAATTCCTTATTTAATTGATTAAACCAATCTTCATTTCTACTCAAGTATTTTATTATATTATTTAGTAAATGCATAGCTCATCTTAATTTTGTACTCTTCGCAGTTTTTTACTTGCACTCTTTAACAAATTGCTGTATTATTAAATTCCTGAACTCTTCGAAGCTAATACTTTGCTTTGAAAAGCCCCTTACTGCATCAGCAGCTTTAAAAATTACGTTAATCCACATATCTACTTGGACTTTTCCCCTTTTGTCAGACATTTCTAGCACCCTTCCTAAGGTTTCTCTACCTAGCTCAGGGCCAGCTTCGAACTGAACAAATCTAAAGAAAAACAATAATTTTTGAATCAAAAATATTTTTTTGGCTTTTTTTCCATGCATACCCAATGTAATCATGTGAAAAATGTTTGTCTTATGAATTCCCCTTATCCCACTGTGAGTAAGTCCATTGAAAATCCCTATTTTTAGGAAAATTAATACCTAAATTCGCAAGTAAAAGTCTTTTTTATAAATAGACACACGAGAAATAAATTTTATGGTAATCAGTTTCCTATTTTTTATTTCTTCAAAAATCATGTAAAAGAATAATAAGATAATAATTGAATTAAATAATAGTAATATTTCCTGTATATATAATCTTGTATATATAATACAGTATTCTAGAGCTAAAATTTCTGTACATTTTTCACTTCGACCTTCACAACTGCAATAACACATTTTTTATGTAATATAATTTGATATATAACTATGATGATTGCTAAATCAATCAAATTTTTGGCAGCTTGCGAATTAAATTATATTTCCCCTTTCAAATATTCATAATATGGATTTTTGGCCTCGAAGAAAAATTTTTTACATTAAAATATAAATTAGCTCAATTTATTAGAATGCAAAAAAATATTGTCTGTTAACCAAGATGATAGTCAGTGATTCTGCAAATGAGTCATAATTGATTCACAGCTTGTTCTTCAAAGGAGAAAGAAGTAAATTCAAAAATGTCTGGTCACAGATGTAACAGTCAAGCCAGAACTGTTTAAGTACAGCTATATGCACTTCACGCTCTTCAGCATTTAGTCTGCACCAAGAATGGTTTTTATATTTTTCGTATATAGACTCAAAAACAGCATCCATCGTTCAGTATTGCTCAAGCGAATAGCAATTTGGAGAGTTTGCATGGGCAACTGCAGAAAAAGTTTTATTTGAAATTAGCATCCCGTTTTTTGGACGTCTAGGACTGTGGATTTCGAGGCTTTCTTCAGTTTCATCATTTGATGTAAAACTTAATCTTGAAGTGCTTGAGCACCTTAAATACCTTATTGACTTTTTAGATTTCTTAGAACGCTTTAAGCGTTTTATGAGGGTTGCATATTTGTTTATTAATGCAATCGCATTTAAATAAGTAATCTTTTCTTGGTCATCTAATTTAGAGGTCAGTTTATCGCAATCCATTTTATTTCAAGTTCAAATTTTGTATATTTTTTTACATATCTCTAAAAACAGATAACCGATAAATATAAATCTGCAAATAATTATACATTATCGGATGTTAAATTTTGGATATTCAGAATTTAAATTAAAATTTGCATACACTTCTCCCATTCAAAAATTATATCCCATTCATAGAAAAAATATAATAAATTATTAGCACTGCAGCCTCACTAGAGTTGAAAACTATCCATTAATTTGCTCTTAGTTTGAAGAAAATTTATCCGCATTTAAGGTTAAACTTTAAATTAAATTATGCTAAGCTTTTTTAAAAGGAGTCAACTACCCTTAATACTATAAGGATAATGTAAACCCATATTGGACATATCCAAAAAAAGTACCAAACGCCAAATAGAGTTTTAATAATATTGTTTGCTTGATACCTCAAATAAACCAAGTAAGGATATGCCATTTCTGCAACATAGCCTGATGTAATAAGAAAAAGTGATATAATAGAAACAAAAGGATTATTAAAATCAATCAGCAACGTTGATAGCATTGCAATAACAATTCCTATAAGAGACAGACTAATAACTCTATTACGATATGGATCAAATTGAAAGTTTAAATCTACAATTTGATTAACACACAATCTTGATGTATATAATCCAAAAATAGATAAAGAAATCGAAGATACTGAAGTGAAAAAAGCTCCAATTACTCATGGAATATTTTCAAGTTCTTGATAGCTCATATTTTTATTATTTGGACTAAAGGTTACAAGTTCAATAAATTCTTTGAAATTTGGATTTAAAGCATTTCCTATGTTTCCAATTAAAAAATAGAGCACCATTATAATAAAAGTTCCACAACAAATTATTGTTTTAATCGAACTTACATCATTTGTTTCTTTTAGAATTACCGGGATGCATTGGATTGAGCTTGTATCCATAATAAAAAGGCAAAAATTGAGCCAAGCAAACCAAAAATTATCATAATGGATATTCTCCTTCTTTGGCTCCTCGTAGTGATTTACTGGAGGCCATACTATGCTTAAAATAATCATATAAATTCACGTAAAAATAATGAAATAGGAAAGATATCTTAGTTTCAATATTTTGTTTACTTTGCCAGCTTGATAATGCAGAAATGTCACTAGGACTAAAAAAGCTAAGGATATCAAAATGTATTCAGTCGACTTAAAAAAATCTTTATTAGAGCTTGGATTAATGTAAATAAAGATTGCATAAATAAGCCTTGTGCAGTAAAATAGCCATCACATACTTCTCAATGTATACTTTATTGCAATTGCTAATAAGCCTATTTTAGCTGAACTCTCGCCAAAATAAAGCTTTAATAAGCATCCATAATTATATAAATCTCTTGTTGAGCAAGCCTCAACTACTCCAGTATAAAGTATGATACTAGTAAATCCTAAAATTACAATTTGGAGGTTAGCAAAGAGATAGCCACCAACAGCATTGAAGAGAGGTAATGCAAAAATGAACTCTCCAATTGAAAAAGAACAATAAACTAGTATGCATGTGAGAGTAGAGACCATTCTAAAATCGGATTTACTAGGCATCAGCATTTTATTTATAATCAGATTTTAGGATAAATAAATTAATGCAGCTCTATAAAAAATTTAAGCCATAAAAATTATATAAAAGAAAGAGATAAAATATATCCAATGAGTGGCTTATCCTATTTGAAGATGAAATTTTAAAGCTAACTTGCTGTCGAGCTAAATTAGAGAGCTAATAAATAGTAATTATTAGCTTCTTTTTCAATTAATCAGAATATTTTTCAAGAGAATTCGGCTAGATCAACAAGGAAAGTTGGGCCCCTGATTCTTAGATTTTCTAAACTAATTCCTTACAACACAAACAATTTATAAAAAGTAAAAAAATTAATTTTTAAGCACTTATAGAAATAATGGGAGAAAAGCCAGTTATTGGCTATCTTTCTCTGACTCTTAATAGTTTGATCGCTAAATATAAAGAAACAGCAACTCAGGTAATTATGACGATTGATAATGCAGCTGCATCTATGATATCTTCTCCAAACAAGTTTAAATTAGCAAATTCGCCATTGGATTTATCTGAAGAAATCAATCAGATGTCTCACAAAAACAACTATGAAGTTCAGCTATCACAACATAAGTTAAAATTAATGAAACAGGCCAAAGAAGAGCTCGAAACAAAATTAAAATTCGTTGATCAAGAATACAAATCCCTGACCTCAATACCGTTTAGATCAAAATCAATTCGTTCATTTATCAAACAAGTTGACGACGCCGAAAGAGTAAATTTTATCAAAAGAATGCAAAAAGAAAGAGAAAAATCCACTAAATCCCGTGAAGAATTCGTAAAATCCATGGAGGAAAAGCTTTTCAATCAAATGAGATTAGATAAAATCGCTGAAGAAGAATTGCAAAAGAGTTTCATCGATAAAAGGCAACAAAGACTTGACAGAATTCGAGAAAAAGTTGAAAATCAGAGAAAACAAAGGCAAGAGTTATTAGAAATAGGAGACAAAGAACTCAAAAGAGTATATGAAGCAAAGCCGATGTACAAGCAAATGGAAGAAAATTTTTTAAATCAATCCATTTTTCCGGAAATTGATAAGCATAAAGAAATGATGGAAAAAAGAAGAAGGAATTGGCTGTCAATTGATTATGAAGCTTTGCAAAGTCATGAAAGAAATTATTTAAGACAAAAACACAATTAAAATAGAGCTGTTCTGGCAATGGTAGTTCTCTTACATAGGATCAGTCAAGGGGAGCTTTGGTTCTCTGAGGGTTTAACCTAAAGAGACATTGATGCACTAGGTAGTGAAAGAAAGTGTTCTTTAAAGCTGGGGGTGAATGAAGTTCTAACGGTTGATTAACTACCTATCCGTTGCTGCGGAAGTCATATCTCACGTAAAAGCTTAAGAAAAACAGAAGACAGTTGTTCGTGAGCTATCTTACTAACTAAGACAAAAAAAGGAGCAGGAAGGAAGAAGAGAATTGAAAGTAAGGCACAAATTGAATGAGTTTTCTTTACAAGAGGCAAGCATTAATTATTACCGGTCTGAAGCTTTCGAAAAAGCTAAAATTGAGGAAAAAGAAAAGCAGATTAATGAGCTTGAAAAAATAAAAATGAGAAAAGAGCTTGCTAAAAGGTCAAGAATGTATGGAGACCTAGCAATTGAGCTATTTAAGCCTTCGATTTCAATTGCTAAACAAAATGAAATTTTATTACTACAAAAGAAACACAATAACCGGAGACTACATAAGAGCTTACTCCCCCGCTCCGTGAGTGAACAAAAAAATTTTGTTCACTTATGGAGGGTGGTTAATTTTTTTTTTTAAAAAAAAATTATATATAAATTTTATAAAAATATTTTTTTTCGAAATTTAAAAAAGTCCTAATTCGCAAAAATTGGGGAAGCAAATATTAATTTAATTTATAAAATTTATGTTTTAAAAAGCAATTTGTTTAAAATTAAACAGAATTAGCTCTAGATTTCATTATACTAATTATCATTTATATATCAAATTTTTTTTTAGAAAAAATTTTTCTATAAAAAAATTTTTGTTCACTCACTGAGGGTGGGTTTTTGGGCAAAAAATAGGGATTTTTCTAATGGTTTTGTTCACCACGGAGGGGGGGAGTTAGATGAAAGCCATTTTAAACGTATTAATCTGGATTCTAAAGAATCTTCCTACTCTAATAGTGAAATCAACGACAGTCTGTCAATTTCTGATGAAAATAAAGGAAAAGCGAAAAATCTATTAAGACATAGCAGGACAAAATCAATGAGCAATCGAAGTATTTCAAAAGGAATCAGTTCACCAAACAGTACTAATATGAAAAAAGCAGAAGAAAAATCTCCTCCCATTGATAAATCTGTAGACTATTTAAATGAAAGAAGAAAAGTTAGAGAAAAAATTAGCAAAATCTTAGGTCCTGAAAAAATTGCACAAATCGAATGGAAGCCGATCATTTCCAACAAAAATATTTTGAAGCCTGAAAAAATTTCCCTTATTAGAGAAATTGCAAATAAAGCAGAGGAAAAAGCCAAAAGCTATGAAAATTTATTTGTAGGAATTGATTCAAGCAATTTAAATAAGATCGAAATGAACGAGAAAGTTAATGAAGTCTATATTGGTGCAATTAAAGCTAAGCTTGCCATACTTAATTCACTATAAGTATTTTTTGGAAAAATTGCAGTTTATATTATAGCCCCTGAAATATTTTAGATCATTATTGGTCATCCATTTTAATTTCCAAAATTAATTTGTACTTGTCAGCTTTTTTGAAAAGTAAAAACGAAAATGGCAAATCTCCTTTTATGGTTTTAAGGTGCCTAGCCAGACTTATACTGTATAAGGCAGGCGCCATGTACCATAATTTTTCTGGTTGGTATTCTGCTGGGTTATCGAGATCTATTAAGGTGCATGAGCTATAATGAACTTAAATTCAATGCGTTAAGGTCTCTTTCAAATTTGGTAATAATCAAAGAAGGAAGCTGAAAACTCTCATCTATCCTTCTAGATCGATTTCAGGTTGTGGGAGGATTTCTGAAAATTTTCCTAGTTGTCGGGACACTATCACCTCTATTTCTTTTATTATTTCTAACACTACAGTTTTCTCTATTTTTCTTCGGCTTATAATATTCAATATCTAGCCCAGACAGAATCAATGAGTCATCTTCAGGACAGAGATATTGATGATTTCTTAAATTTATGATTAAACAGCATTCATGTGCTGTGTGGCCACACAAAAATATCTTTCAATCACACTCTGCTCTATCTTTACAAATTATACACTCTCAGCCTTCAGCACTAGGAACAGCTTTCATAATATATGTTTCAAGGTCACATTCTTTTTCTCCAGGCCGAAACGCAGGCTCTCACCTATGCTTATATGACCGCTTTCTCAACATTGGATGATCTATATGCTCTATATAGAAGCATCGCAAGCATAAATAAATCTCGGGGCAAGCCAAACACTTAAACTTTTCATTTCGAATTGGGCATTTTCCACAGCCTTCACATCATGAATCAGGATTATGCTTAATTTTTTGCTTTAACTCTGAGATTGGAAGTGGGTCAGGCTTTTGTAAAGTCGCAAGCTTCCATTCAGCTCTACACATAGGGCAAGTAACTATTTCATCATTCGATATTTTGTGGTCTGCCCATATTTTCATACATTTTATATGAAAATTGTGCCCACAGCCATTCTTGCAATATACAAGATCATCAGCGGATTTCATTTCTTCTTGGCAAATTGAGCAGCATTCAGTGTTTAATTTTACTCGTTTAGATATTTCTTTAGCTTTACTTCACGTTTCTTCAATTGAGTCAAAACTAATACATTGTCTGTTATTTAGAATCCAATTGATTTCTGAGTCGATGAAACTGAGTTGCCATAGAAGTGGATTATAAGGATTGAGTTTGAAAATTTTAAGAAGAACATAGAGAGTATGAATACAATGGTCTGGTGAGGTTTTTCTGCAAGAGCATTGAACTGTACTCCCAATACTCACTCGGTAGGATATTTTATTGTCATCTTTTAGTAAAAAAGAGGTAGGGCCAAGCTCTTGGACTAAATAAAAGGTAGAATTTAAAGCTTTTTGAATTAGGCTGTGAGTCTTTGTGGATGGGTGAAATCTGTATGGCAGTTGTCTTAACATTCTTTTTCTTACCTCAGTTAAGCAAGCTGTTATTTAATTAAAACAATTTTTGATAATTTCTATTTCCGGTTTTAATAGAGGATAGAAGTCAGCTTATCATAAATAAGTAAAATTTAAATATTAATTAAATAATTAAAATGCATTAATAATAGATTTCTATTATTCAACCTTATTTGGCTCCAAAATGCAATCCTTTCTCATCTTCGTCTCTATAGTTAAAAGGAAAACCTCACCAGTACCATTTTTTCCCAAGTGCTACTTTAAATTATTATAAGCACCCTTATCAAATGGCGAAAACCTTATATTCCTGCACTTTCAGTTCGGAATGCTCAATTTTTGTATAATTCTGTATCATTCACCTTATATGGAAAATAAGAAACCCTATAAGCAGGGCTGCAGAAATCCATAAGCATTCAAGACTGAAACCGCAAGCAGGAGACAGAAGGTACCGGAAGTGGCAGAGACCCTCTGGATTGGAGTCGAAAAGCGGTAGAGAACCTCGCGTATGGGGTATTTGGTGACTGAGTCACCAATATTGCTAATGGCTGACTTTTAAATGGCTGGCTTTTAATAATCCTAATCCCTTTAATTAGTGAACAGAAAAATATTATTTTCTAACCAGAGTAATTAATTATTACAAGATATGATTTTGGGGTAGGAAAAAAGATATGCGCAGAAGGATTCTATGAAGCTGAAGTAAAACAAGCAGTGGAAGAACCTATAAATCAATCAATTCTCATAGATTTCTAAATAAGTCTTAAATTAAAGCAAAATTCTAAATCATAGAAATTTCACCTATGTGATTTTAATTAATTATTAATTTGAGTTTTTGGTGAAAATAATTTATTATGTAATAATGCTTGCCGATGTTTATTTTACTTATTTTGACATGTCAGCATTAAGTGCTGAAGTACAGTAAAATTTTATTGAAATTTTAGTGCTATAACAGATTAGATTTAATACGTCATAACATTATCTATGGAGAATTCTGAAAAGCTCGTGGTTTATTACTCGTGTTTTAACTATGAAGTCGATCCTCAAGAATTTCCACATATAGAACTGCTCAGAAATACCTTACTTTCGCTTCTTGGCGAAGACTGGCGACTTGCGCTTCAACGAGAACTTGAATTTTTGAACATAAGGCTGGCGAAATATTGTCTAGAAGTCTTGATTGAAATCTTCCTCAGCATAATTCAGAGATCCTATAGTATCGATTTCGGCACATTTAAGCAAACTTTCAAGGACGAGCTGTCTTTAAACTCAATTTGGACTGAAGCCAATTCAGAATGCGCTTGCCTTGAATCATTGTTATATAATTTCTTTTTAGCAATGATGAGTTTGCAAATCGACATAAACCTTCAGCAGATTGAATTTAAAGTTCTGCCAAGTGCTCGGGTTAAATCTCAACTACAGCCTCTTATAGTTGCACAAGAAGAAGTACAAACTTTTGCTTCTAGAGTTTGTAAAGTACTGAAAAGAGCCAGTTTGCCACTTGAAGCGATTATAGGCCCAGAAACTCTTTCATCTCTTTCACGATATATAACTCCTGAACCTATATAGATTTCACTATAAGCCAATCCCAAATAGACGATTAGCTTGCATTAACAGTCTATATCTAGAGAATGAAATAATTTGCCATGAACACTAAGCACTAAATTTTTTTTATATTTAAATTTAACTAAACTTAACCCAAAAGTAAAGGAATTTCTATAAAAGGCAAGTTTTATTACCGAAAAAAGTTAAATTTTCTTAATTCATGCTCAAAAGCTCTTTCTACATGTGAATAATGATCCTGCAGCTCAAAATAAGATAATCTGCAGTAAGGACAAATCCTTATAGAATCGCAATAGTATAGCCAGTGAATGGCTGAGTGCAGCAAATTGTGTACTTCAGTCCCGGACGACTTGTCAAGCAAATTATGTATCGAAGGAGTCTTGAGTCCTAAGAGACTGAGTGAATCCGATCCTAAGGAGATCAAGCGAAGGTCTCTTCAGTGTTTGCTTCTAAATACCTTTTCAAAGTGCCATTTTCCTCGCTCTTGGCAAACGAGCTGTCATTGCTGCAGTGAGAAGCGAATTCATTATCCGACAGAATGACTTGCTCTAGGACTCTCTACCTGTCTTGCTGAGTACTTGTCTTGTCTTGATTGAGACTGAAAAGAATGCACTCTGGCTCATAGCAGTAGGCCAAGGCCTTAAGATAATCCTTTCCGAGTCGTCTATTTAATTTTACATGGAAAACAGGATTGTAGGATTATGGTTGAGTGCCATTTCGAGTTACTGCTTTCTAGTTCCCTTGATAGGAAATTACGATAAAGGGAGCCTTTATGCACTTATATTGCATATAGGCTATTTTATTCCTGATATTTCGCTTTGCCCAATCCCCTTTTTCGCATCTGCTTACATATCGACCCAGCCACTTCCGATTATATCCCGAATCCAGCTTCAACCTCTAAGTGAGCTTGAGACAGTGAAATCTAATTTATTCTTACTTCTTGACTCGCTGGATTTTGTTGTGTTCGTTCCATTTTTTATTGTATATTTTGACAAACCAAATAAAAATTGAAAATGGAAATGAATAATCTTGCAAACACTCAAATCTAACAGCTCAACAAGCAGACTTGCTTGCCCCTTTCAACTATGATCGAAATATTTTTGTTAAAGCATGCAATATAAGCCTAGTTGGCTATATAATGATTCCTTAGATCAAAAGATCTCTGAAATTTAAGTAACCAAGCTCAATGCAAAATGAAAATTTTCGCAATGCTGACTTTTATCATCAAATAAAAAAAGATTTAGTTCCTTATTGTTTTTATAATAAAAAAATTACATTAGAAAAGTTTATTTTAAATGCAATTAATATGTACGATTTGACTTGAGTGATTAATTAACTTTTCTATTGAAATTTATACTAAAAAAATTATGTAAATCATTTAAATATTGTTTTATTAAAATAGACTTTGGGCATTTGAAGATATTTAATAGATGTGATAGTGCTTGATATACCTCAAAATGAGCTGGAATCTTAAGCGTTGCAAGTTCTCAATATCCGATAAATGATCTTGATTTCAGAATGTCTCCAAACATCATCGCCCTGGTGCACAGCTCGGAACTTTTTTTGGATCTATATATAGAAAAGACATTTTTATTTGAAATTTGATAAATTCAATGTTCGATAAATGAAAACCCAACAATATTGCACATCTCAAAATGAGCTGGAATCTTAAGCGTTGCAAGTTCTCAATGTATGATAACTGATTCTGCTTGTAGAATGTCTCTACCATTACCGCCCTGGTGCACAGTTCGAAACTGTTTTTGGATCTATATATATAAAAGCCATATTTATTTGAAATTTTAGAAATTCAACGTTTGACAAGAAAAATTCAATGGTACGACATGTCTCAAAATAAGCTGGAATCTTAAGCGTTATAAGCTCTCCGTGTTTGACAAATGATTCTGATTGTAGAATGTTTTCACGCACCATCGCCCTGGTGCACAGTTCGGAGCTTTTTTTTGATCCATAAAATCCTTTAAGTTTTCATAGAATCTTCACCACTTTTTGCAACAGTTCTTCGCAATGGACTCCTTTAAGAGCTTTTATAGGGATGCTATTATTAAAAAAATATATTTCTCATTGTCCTTAGCTGCTATATCTATTACTCAGCATCTTTACATAGATTTCCCGAGGTTGTCGATAAAAGTTAAATAGTCCTATTCGAAATATTTACAATTGAAGTTTTTCCTGAATGATGATTGTGTTGCAAGTTTATTTATTTCCATTTTCAATTTTTATTTGGTTTGTCAAATAATTTGGCTTGCAAATATGCAATAAAAAATGGAACGAACACGACAAAATCCAGCGAGTCAAGAAGTAAGAATAAATTAGATTTTACTATCTCAAACTGCAGGAAATCACGATAAAGGGAGCCTTTATGCACTCTATTGCATATAGGCTATTTATTCCTGATACTTTGCTTTGCATAATCCCATTTTTTGCATCTGCTTACATATCAACTCAGCCACTTCCGATGAGATCCCGAATCCAGCTTCAACCTGCTAAGTGCAAGGGAACTAGAAAGCAGTAACTCGAAATTGCGCTCAGCCATAATTCTACAATTATCTTTTCCATGCAAAATTAATTAGGCGACTCGGAAAGGATTATCTTAAGGCCTTGGCCTACTTCTATGAGCCAGAGTGCATTCTTTTCAGTCTCAGCCAAGAACAGAACTCAGCAAGAGAGTTAGAGAGTCCTAGAGCAAGTCATTCTGTCCGGATACTGTATTCGCTTCTCACTGCAGCAATGACAGCTCGTTTGCCAAAAGTGAGGAAGAATGGCACTGTGAGAAGGTACTTAGAAGCAAACATTGAAGAGATCTTCGCTTGGCTCTCCTTAGGATTGGATTCACTCAGTTTCTGAGGACTCAAAACTCCTCCCATACATAATTTGCTTGACAACTCGTCCGGGACTGAGGTGCACAAATTTGCTGCTCTCAGCTATGCGCCAGTTCTGTTATTATGATTCTCTAAGGACGTGTACTCACTGCAGGTCCCCAATATTTTGAGTTGCAGAATCATTAATCACATGAAGAAAGAGCTTTGAGCATGAACCCAGAAAATTAACTCTTTTCGGTAATAAAACTTGCCTTTTATAGAAATTCCTTTTTACTTTTGGGTTAGGCTTAGTTAAATTTAAAATTTAAAAATAATTTAAGGTTCAGCGTTCATGGCAATTTATTTCATTTCCTCAATATAGTCTGTTAATACAAGCCAGTCGTCTATTTGGGATTGGCTTATAGTGAAATCTCTATATAGGTTCAGGAGTTATATTGATTCTCTATCAAACAGAGTACTTTCTACGTTCCAAGTGACAAGCCAGTTTGTCACAAATATTATTGAAGTGAATCCTTTTAATATGAATGTAAAAGTAAGAGTTATTCAACCTGCCAGGGACTTTTATGATAAAGCGATTGAAATATGACTGACCTTGGGGGAACAGCTTAATTCTACAGAGTTTGTGCTGTCTATTAAAGCAAAAATGGGTGTTTGCTGGACAGAAAAGCTATTAAATCCTGCATTGCATTTTTATGAAATTGCGAAAGAGGAATGAATCAAGTCGAAAGGAGTAGGGATTGATTATTTTACACGAAGACTCAACGAAAGGCTCTGGGAAATCTGGAGACAGTCAATCATTGAAGCTTCTAAGACTTTCCAAGAGCATATGATTCCAAAAACCGTAATTTAATGTAAGCATTTATATAATATTTGTTAAAATATCATGCTAATTAGGGCTTGAAAAGGCTTGATATACAACTCTGACGCTTTTCATAAAGTCCAAAGTTTTCCTAGAATATGAAGGAGCCACCAATTTATAAATTTTATTGTCAATCCTAGCTTGATCTGTTAGTCTTGACACTTCATCCTTTATTGAGATCACATCATGTCTTATTCTATTATGAATAGATTCTTGATGCTTTCTGACCAATGGATGATCAATTTTACTGGTCTGGCCATCTTGAAACAATTGAATTGCAATTTTTTGTATTTCAAATGACTCAATTAATTTTTGATGCTCCTTAAGCAGCCTAGGAAGGCTGAAGTTTCTGCATTTTAATGATCTTTCACAGCTATCATGGACACTTTCAAGCGATTTCATACGTTCTTTTTGAATCTCTTTTTGCCTTGGCGATGCTATCATTCGAAATTTAAAATCGTCTTTCTCTGAGCAGCAAGATTTCTTGGAACTTTTTCGTTTAATTTTTATTAATAATGAGTCAGTGTGAGTTGGAGATTTTTCTGGCTGAGATTTTGGGGAAAAGTTTTTGATACTTGAAGTTCTTAGAGCTGCTTCATTGAATGAGTAGCCTTTTCTGAGAGATTTCGGAGTATAAACTTCTGAAAGTTTATTTCAGCCAGATAGCTTTGAAGTTTTTAAAGGATTTGAGTGCCTCTTTCTTGTCCATCTCTTGCTGTCTGAGGCTGGCTCGATGATATTTATTTTTGACATCTCTAAATTCTGCTAAAAATAGGCGAATAAATGGCTTTGATTATATAATAATTTCTTAATTATCTTGATGTTTTTTCACATCTGAGCTTGGGAAATCTATAGTTCTTTATTAATCTACCCAACTAAACTTTGAATTATAAAACGGATTAAATTATGAAAACTTCAAGAAAATCATTAGGCAAAGGAAACACTCAAAAAGAAAGGACTGACATCCAAAAAAGCAGTGAGCTATCTGCGCTAATTCTCAAAGGAGATGCCTACTGACGAAGAATCCCTGATCATTATACCGATATTATAACGAACCATCAAATTGTCACAATTTTTTATTTCGGATTAGAAGAGGACTGCAAATCTTCGAATCCAAATGAATCAATGGTATCTTCTGACGACGGAAGAGGAGTTGCCAGACTTCTAGAACAAGTTGACAAAGTTAATGAATTTAAAGGCTATGTAATAGTCTCACTTGCAGATCCCGTCAATTTTATATGAGGCCCCTTGGAAACGAGAGAAAGGAAAGTGATAAATTTAAATGAGTATTACTCAGCTCTTGTTGCAAGATCTGGAGCTCCTAGCAATCCTCAAATAAATAAGATGAACAATTCTAAGATGTCAAATAGCAAGATTGAAGAAGAAGAAAAAGAAAACTCTATGGTAGAGCCGATAGAAGAGGAATGAAATGAAGAATATAATGAAGAGGAGCTAGAAGACGGTGTCGTCGAAACTTCATTTGCAGGAAGCAAAAAAAATGAAGAAAACGTTTCTGTACAAGAAATAAAACCTGCTGATGAAGGGAAAAAGGCTCCACCAGCAGAATACCTCATAGGGTATCCTGCGTGGCTAAAATTATCATATGCAACGGATTCTGCAGAATTGTATGATCATGAGAGTGTGATTCTAATAAAATACAAAAGCCTGAGTTTATTTTTAGTTTTTGAAGACTTGCGTATAGCAAAAGATTGGGGATTTGGGATGAAATTTCTTTTAAAAACAATGGATATCAATTATAGAGGAATTAATCACATGCTATCAGCTGAAAAAAAGAACATTGCAACAGAACTTACTAACCAAGCTTTTTTTCCTGCGAATATTAATTCTATAACTGATGATTATCGAATTTTACTAGATATATATGACCCAGATAAAGATGGGAGAATATGAAGAGATCTTAACTCCCTTCATGAGTGAAAAATTGGATAAATCCCTATTTTCTGAGTAAAAAGCCGCCATTGTGAATGAGCAAAAATTTTTTTAAAAATATATTTTTGATATATACAAGTGATAATTAGAATAATAAAATCTAGCTAATTGTTTTGAGCCTGCTGCGTTTTATAACATAATTTTACACAAATTAAACTAATTTTGCTTCCTAGTTTTTTGAAATTTCAAAAAAATTAATCACTCTTATGAACGAACAATATTTTTGCTGGCTCAAAGAGGGGAGTAAGTATACCTTTTGGAGCAAAAATGGGATATATGACCAATATGCTATATATAATAGATTTTACGAAAATATTGATGAAATTATTGCACAAATCAAAGAACCTATCAAAGACCAGCATGTCATTCCCACTATGATTTTTAATGGATTTTTGGATCAAATTCACATAGATGAATTTAATAGAGAGTGCAACAATCTTTATCCTGCATTTGTTGAAAGAACCAAATATTGGCGATTTACGAATGAGAAAGATACAACTGTGTTTGTTTCTGACTTCAGTCAAAAGTTTTGAGATATTCGCAGAGGAATATTAAAAAATTACAAAAAATCTGATGGAGAGAGATCGCAGAGTCTCTTTGATATGATTATTACGAGTGAGAACAATCTTGAGATTATATTAGATTAAAATTATAGCGGGTCGTTGGGGTTTATTTCAGCCCCTTTCCGTCCAACGGATAGCTTCGCATTGGCGCTAAGCGCTATCCTCACACAACCTTTTTCCCTTCCGATGTCACCAAAAAATGGTGACGTCGAAGGTCTAACGGGGAGACACCCCTACCGATCAGTATCACTGGTCCCATAATTCAGCAAAAGACTCCCTTAACCTCTGACAGGGCTCAGGGTATAGGTGAATCGTCTTTCGCCTCCTCCATGGTCTGTCAGAGCCTTATCGCAGGCTCGAAATTGCTCCCATGGAGTGGTATTGGGACTTTGCGCCGGTAGGGTCATCATTTAGGTAAGGAAAAAAGATCTAGGGTCAGCCCCTAGGCCAAAACCACCCCCGAGAATTATCGCCATGTGGCTCGCCTTTCCTGGGCCCGGATCAACTCACAGGTCACCAGGAGTCCACGTCAGATCATGCCATTTTAATAATTCTACAATCTTGAGAAGATAATGAAAATGATCTCAAAAAGGCTTTCAAAATATTAGAGCTTCAAAAGCATGATCTGAGGCTAAATCTACATAAAGACGCAAAAAACGTAATAATTACTTTCTCTCCATTCATAAAAAAATATATTTTTTGATAACATAAAATTTTCAAGCTGAAGAATTTGTTTTTTAAAAAAAAATGATATATATTTTTGCTACGAAATTTCATTTAAATTGTGGAAAAGTTTAGAGAGGAAGAAAAAGAGGTAATAGAGGTGGGAAATGGAGATCAGACAAGGCTAAAAGAAAAGAACAACGAAAAGCCAGAGATGTCGAGAAAAAAACAAATTTGGTGCTAAGACTCATGATGTTTAAAGAAAGTAACCCCGAAATCTTACCAGACGAGTTTCAAAAGCTCAGCAAAAGCTCATCCAAATCCTACCGAGACAACTGCACTTGCAAAGCATTTTAATAATCTAGCTTTAACAACTATTCATCTATTCCATTCCTCCCATAAATTATTTTTGATTTTTCAAAACAGTTTCCATTGTTCATAATTCAAAATGGCTGAGCTACCAGATATTCATCATAAGATGAGCAAGAAAATTGCTCAACTTACCAAAGTAATTTTCCATCTAAACACCAAAAGTGATGAAGCAGCGCTATATCACCAAGCACAAGCAGAAGCATATGAAAAAGAAATTGACAGGATAGTAAGGGAGGCTAATAACATCATCTCAAAGCAACGTGAAATTTTGGAAAAGCACAAGCAGGCAGGTGATGTAGGCGCTATGATAGCTCAAATCCAAAACCAATATGAAGAATCCAAAGGAAAAGCCCAAGCAGATTTAGCGTTATTAAGATCAGGCGCTGAAGAAAGAGAAGCTTCGTTGAGAAAAGAAAGCAAAGAAAAAATCGACCTGTATAAGCGAGAAATTGGAGAACTTAAAGCAGCTTTTCAAAAGCAACTGTCTCAGTTTGAAGGAAAGCAGCTCACATCTGCAGGTGCCCTTGAAGAGCTAATGAGGACTCATAAAGCAGAAATGGATGCTTATGTAAAAGAACAAAATGCAAAATACTCAAAATTGCTGCAAGACAAACTTGATAGTGAAGACAACTTGAGAGACGAAATGGATAAGAGATTGAAATCATTAAATACTGAATGGGAAAAGAAACTGAAAGATGAGATAGCCAGAGTTAAAGCAGAAGAAAGAGCAAAAGCCCAGAAACTATTTGATCAAGCTGGGTCTGATTTTTTGAAAAAACTTGATCAGGCTGAAGCAAAGATCCAGGAATTGACTGCAGCTAATACAAGTTTAACTGCAGCTAATAAACAATTGACAGACCAAAAAGCTAAACTTGAAGCTTTAATGGAGGATTTGCAAAGGGAGCTTAAAAAATTGAATCAGCTGGTAACTGATTGGGAAAGAAAATACCAGAAATTGTATGCAGATTATGAAATGGCTGAGAATTCAAAATATAAGACAGGGGCTGAAGCAGAAAAATTAGGCTCAGAACTGTCAGGAGCAATCCAGAAAATTCAAAATTTGACAAGAATGGTTCAAGAAAGAGACAAAACTATTCAAACAATGACCAAAGAGTACGAAGACATGGTAAACAATTTTAAATCAGAAATCCAAGGCTACAAGCAAAACATGAGCGAAAAAGAAGCCTTTTTGAGCAAAGAAATTGAAAATAAAAATGAGCGAATTCAAACTTTGCAGCACCAGCTCGTCTTAGCAGAACAAAATTTAAGTGAACTACGGGCAAAACTTCAGGAAACTGAAGATAAGCTAGCAACTGCTCTTCAAGAAATCAAAAGTTTGAGGGCACAAATTGATAGTAATGACAATATTTTTAGCGACGAAATTAAAAAAAGAAACACTGAAATTGATAGTCTGAAAGGAGAAATAGACAGACTTATGAGAGATATTGATGGACTTAAACAAAACAGTTCCTCACAAGTGAAGCAGCTTCAAGATGAGCTAGAAAGCTTGAGAAAGCTAAGTGCACAAGAAGTGCAAGATTTAAAGAAATTGCATGAAAAAAAAATAAATGAGCTATCAGCTGATCTGGAAAAGAAAAAAGAAGATGCATTGAATAAGCTTAAATCTGAACACGAATATTATAGAGGAGTTCTCAAAGATGAATTTACCAGTAAATTAAATGATCAAAAAGCTACTTATGAAGAAGAGATTAGGAAGCTAAAAATTGACATCACAAATCTGTCAGGGGAATCAAGCAAGTATGCTCAAGATCTGCAAAATAAAATCAATCTGCTTCTGCAAGAAATTCAGGATTTGAAAAAGTCAAAGTCAGATGTCGAGAATAGGCTGGAAACAGCAATAAATGATATTTCTTCTTTAAATAGAGAAGTAGCTAGCAGAGATAGCAGAATCAGAGACTTAGAAATAGAAATAAGCAATTTAAAACAAAATGGAGAAGGACAGAAATTGCAGCTAATTCAAGAGATAGAAAACTTAAAAAGAGAAAACTCCAGGATTATAAGAGAATGGGAGCTTAAACTTGAAGAAAAAGCAAAAGAAGACGAAAATTATTTAAGAGTCCAACTTGCGGCACTTGAAGAAAAATATAAAAGAGAACTTGAAGAAATGAGAAAGAGAAACCAAGAAATGGCTGCCAAGTTGCAAGCTGATTCTCAAAATATTAGAGAACAGTTGGCTGCAGAGTTGCAACAAATACTTAATGAAAAAGATAAGCTAGATAAAGAATGGACCCAAAAGTATAGAGATTTAGAAAATTCTTCGAACACAAGACTTAAAGAATTAGAAACAAATCACGCAAAAAGATTAGCTGAGCTGGATGGGAATAGTCAAAATTCAATAAATGAGTTGAAGGCAGCACATGCAAGAGAAATAGAGAATCTAAAAAGAGAATTCCAAGAAGAAATGGAAAGATCATCAAAGCGTTTTGAAGAGCAAAGGAAAAAAGAGCTTGATTTTATGGCTCAGCAGCAAGAAGAAAAGCTTCAAAAATTCAGCCAAGATTTTGATATTCTCTTTTAATTAATTAATCTATTAATTATTATAAACAATTACTTTTCTCAGTTAAATTTCATAGGGTATAGAATTTTGGCCCAAAAATGTGTCGAATATGAAAAAGAAATCAATGAATTAAAACTCTCAATAGAAAAATTAAAAAAAATGAGTGAAAATGAGAAAAACAATTTTGAAGGAGTCATAGAAAACTTGAAGCGTGAAAAAGAAGCTCTGAGTAAAGAAATCGCAAAATTAAAATCAGATTTAAGCGATGAAGCTGAAAAACTTGCTCAAAAAGAAAGTGAAATGAAAGCGTTGGAGCTTCAAATTAGCACTATCAAAAGTGAAATGCAAGAACAATTAAACGCAAAACAAAAAGAATACGAAAAGAAAGAAAACGAGCTCAGATCAAAATTCAAAACTGAAAGAGACAGCATACTTAAAGAGCACCTAGATGAAATGGCCCAACTACAAAAAGATTTCCAAAATACAATTGAAATGATGGAAAACAGGCATAACACTCTTTTAAAGCGCTATGAAGAGCTTCAAAGCCTTTATGACAACAGGCCTTCTAGAGAAGAAGACATTGCTTTAATTAAGCATTTACAAGAAGAAGTAGGTATTAAAGATGAAGCACTTAAAAAAGCATATGAAGACATGAAATTCTATAAACTTGAGCTTGTAAATAGAGAAGAAAATTATAATAAACTTTTTGGAGCCAACCCAACTGTGGGAGTTTTAGATGTTTTGGGAAGCAAAAAGAAAGATAAAAATGGAATGACTGTAACTCAAAGAGGTTCATCAGGCCATAGCAATACTTCTCACAACTTGAACCGCAAAGCATCAAAATTATAATTGTATCAAATAAAGATAATAGCATTTTAACAAACATAGTTTAACTAAACTAAATACATTCTTGAAAAAATTCAAATAGGTCTTCAACTTCAATTGTTAATTTTGCCCCAAAATTGTTAAATCGTGTGAAGATTTCAATCTTATTACTGAGCTCTCCTATTATATTATTAAGGAGATTAGATAGAAGGAGATCTTCATTTATGTAAACGCTGATGAAATCTTTGAGATGATCAATTATTTTGCGATTAGTTGGAATGAGAGAAAATGGGGAAATATTCCGGAATTGCATAAGGGATTTTAATCGAATGTCTATTTTGCCTGATGTTAGTAATGCGAGTACTGGAAAAAACTTATATAAAGAATTCATATCCATTATGGATGCTATTGTGTCTGCAAATTGCTTTCAATGAACGAAAGTTAAAGTTAAATTTAAAGCATCGAACAAAGAACTTGTATCTTTATTTCTCAATCCTTCGGCTAAAAAATATCAATATTTTGTTAAGCTGTCTTAAATTTAAAAATAATTAAAATATGGCGTCTTCGTCTGGGCATGGCCTCCCGGCCATGCAGCCTCGACTCATATTTTAATTATATCCGGCAAGGTTTTACCATTTCAGAGATGGACAGCAATGCTAGGTAAGCAATTCTGGTAGCTTTCAGAGCCTAGCCCTAGTCTATTCTCAGGGGTGGATTTTTCCTCGTGGGAAGGAGGGTGCAAGGTTGGAAAGGGGAAGCCCAGCAAAGTCCTCTGGACCATTCGGGCAACTCCCTAGCGTGAAACTGGGCGTTACGTCCCAGGCTTTGCATTTTTCCTTTTTGCCGATAGCCGACCAGAAAAATCCATTTTTTGGGTTTTTCGGAAAAGCAACCCATGTACAAGCAAGTAGCTCATCCATGAGCCGTCGAAGACGTGGACATTTGCCCCAGAAGCACCCTGGTGATCGAAGCGAGTTTGTCTCCAGCAGACTGGTGGGCCCGATGCGACGAAAGGCGAGTGATAAACCTGGAGTTGTAACCCCGTAGTGGACGTTAAGCGATATAAATTCTAATGTAATGTAATGTAATGTCTTAAATTTAAAAACATTATTCTGACCCAATAAATATTTTCAGTACTTCTTAATAATATATTTGATATATTTTTTAGTTTTCTAGATGCAAAAATATTTTTTTTTAAAATTGATAATTTTATTCATCATTGGAGAATTAGTAATTCTTTAATTCCATTTCGAAAAGTCAAGGAAAGATCAAGAAAATCATCAATTGGGGATCTGAAATGATCTTCTAAAAAATCAATGACTTTCATTACTTTTTCAAGCTGATAATGAGTGAAGTCAGCCCAAAGTCCAATAAAAATTTTATCCGCAATTTTCTTAACTTCAATTCCTATACAGTCCTTTATAAAGCCGCCATCATAAGAAGAAGCTAATCAGGAATTTAAAATGGCTTTAAATGTATCTGATATCAAATTTATAAATCTCGTCCCATTTTTTGCTGATAAAGTGATAGAAAATCAAGTTTCCCTCATATTAAATGAAAGAGCTTTATTGACTTCATTTAAAATTTGCTCTCTTTTAGCACTTTTGCCTAAAACCAATGAAAGTTTGGATTTAGGATTTTGAAATTCAGGACCAATTTTTATAGAAAGCTCTTTTGTCAGCGTCGTTTTGTCGATGGAAAAAAGACCGTTTCCAAGCAATTCTAGTGAATCAAGAGAATTCGAGAAATTAACTGCAATTTTAGCAAGAAATGACAGCAATGACTTTTGAATTGATAAGCCGCCCTGCTTGCCTTTCTTTCATCAATAATTGAACTCTCTTAGACTAGCGTTTCCTTCTTTAATTCTTTTTAAAAAATTATTGAGCCCATCTGATCCTGATTTTAAATTTTCTTGAAATAATGATATAGAAATTTCCCATAGATGGCGCTGTTTGCCCTTGATTTGCCCATGAGAAAAATTTTTTGGTTTGACCAAACCATATGGGACTGGTCGAACCAAAAAATTTCCCCAGTGGGCAAATCAAGGGCAAACAGCGCCATCTATGGGAAATTTCTATAGTATTTTCTCTTGGTCTGAATGATAAAACCAATTTTGAAGATCCTCTTGTAACGCTATATCATCTTTATGCACCTGCTCTAAGCATTCTCCTAAAGATTTAAAAATTGGTATCTCGATGATATACGCTCCTGATTGAATTATAGAATATAATTCAGGATTAGGAATAAGAGCAATCTTACTCCATGCATAATTGCACTCAGATTTGAGTCGGTTAATTTCTTGCACATCATTTAAATCTTCGATAATGCATATCATGGAATCTACAACTCAAGGCTTACTCCTTTGCTTTTCTGAAGAAACTGGAAAAATGTTAAACCTCAGCTCAACTGGTCCATCATCAGTCACAATTTGGTGTGTCTCCAATGGCTTAATGTTTGTCTTTTTTAAACTGCTTTTGTTCTTTACCCAAATAATTGTATTATACGTATATGGAATTTCAAAACACGTTGAAGGAGAAGTTTTTCCACTTTCTGAAGTTGAGTCGTCGCCGCTATTTTCATAAATAGTATCAAAGGACCTCATATATAGCAAAGATTCCTCCTGGTCTTGAAATTTATCTATGCATTGTTGCTCCAAAATCTCACGAAGAGCGTTGATCTTATCAGTTTGCGTTTTATTTTTCCTTGCTGAGCGCTCCTTTATATCATCGAACGGGAATTTCTCATCATGTAATAAATTCGGCTCTAGCGAATAGGACCGAGTTTCGAAAAAATATGCTTCTTCCATCTATGCTAGTTAGAAATAAATAGCCTAATTAGGATTTTTTTTATTTAGCCAGAAATTATTTGGCTTGCCAAATTAGTTGAAAAGCTATAATATATTTTAATTTATCAAATTTAAAAATGACTAAAAATTACTCATTAGTGGGTTATTCTTCGTAAGGAAGTATAGCTAATTAGATTAAGTATTAAGTCATCTATCGGTCTATATTTTGTAACCCCTTTTTTAAAGATGGTAAGCATTGAAAATCGAACAAATAAAATTAATGCAGCTGTATTTTGAAACGCTCTTCATTTTCTGAGCAATTTGATATATCTTGAGGTGATCTAATCATATAAATATGGAAATTTTATATTAAAAGTTAAAAGTTTTGGCATTTTTAATTACTATTAATGTGATGAAGAGGGTAGTAGCAAATTTATATATTATCATCATTTTTCATTTTTAATTACACTTCTAAATATAGCTCTAGCTTCGTTTTGGCTCTGGCTGTGTTGGAGTCTCCCGGCATCATCCAGAGACTTGGCATACTAGCATTTGTTGGTAAGACCAGCTCTCTGGTTAAAAATCCGCTTTTTACTTGAGATTTGTCTCTCAGGAGTAGGTTTTACTGGCCAATGTTAGTTTATCAAATCCCTGGGTGATGTCGCAAGATACCGACACAGTCCGAACTAAAAAGAAGCTTGGGCATGCATTAGTAGTAATTCAATTTTTTATAGTAAGCAAGAAAGAGGTTAAAAAAACTTCATATCATGATTTTTATTTCATTTTTGTTTTAATTTAATTGTTTATGCTTAATCAAAAATTGCCAAAATATTTTCTATCAATAGCATATTTATCTTCAGAATTAATCTAAAAATTAAAGTTATTTTTCTATTTTAAATAGATGACTTCATTAAATTTATCAATTCGCATTTGATTATTGAGGCTCAATCATATGCAGATTTTGATTATATGATACCTATGATTATCAACAATGATAATAAATTAATCAGCATAAATAAATATAAAATGTCTAAGTAATGAATTTAATTTTATCATATATTAAAAATGCCGCCTAAATTAAAATTTGAATTCATTTTTTATTAAAAATAATACGAATTTGGAGTGCTTGACTAAAGTATTTCTGCTCAGAATAATGCTAATAATAATTAAATGGAACTTTTTAACTTATCGCAAGACGATTTGAAAGAATATTATCAGTTCATCAGCCATATCAATGAAGAAATTTTAGAACAAACCAATGAAAAATCTTTAAAGTATGATTATAATTTTACCAAAGAAGAGGCAAGCAAGCAATATCAACGATATCATTGAAACTCGTCCAATCAAGTAGAAACGAGAGAAAACAAAAATTTGAATCTTGACAATAAAAATTCCAAGCTTAAGAAGCAAGACAATGCTCCCTTAATTTCTTAAACTAATTTGCCATTCTTAAATTTAACCCTTATGCAAATATATATTAAATAATCAAAAAAGCCGCCATTTTATTTGGTTAAAATTGATTACTAATAAATATTTTTCGTTTATCTTAATTTCTAAAAATCACGTATATGAATATAAATAATGATTTATATCGATAATTTAGCAATTAGCTTTTTGCATGACTTTAATGGTTAGGATGCCTATATTTTAAAATAATATTTTTATATTAGAAGATTCTTGATATGGAGAGCTTTCATAGCTTTTATTTGTAATTATTTCGATAAAGGATTAAAAATAATTAGCTAAGCAAATTACTGATTTGAATTGGGCTTCCTTGATATGCTTTTTGTAGTAATGCTTTGGCTTTATCTAAGAGTTTAGTATTAACATCATCTGGCTTTCCTGATTTAATAAAATTGCAGCACTGATACAATCCCCACATTGCTCTGGTGCACTGATTATTGAGTATAATCGCTTGCATAAAATATTTCCTTGCCAAATTAACTTTCTCTAATGTTCCTATGGAATATAACATTTCGGCATACTTTAATATCACCCAGCAGTTTTCAGGAGAGCTCAGCACAATTTCTTCATAGCAATATGCAGCTTGTGAAAAATGCTGATTAGCTAAATAAATATACATAGTCACTCTACTCTAGTTCTCTGCTATATTTATTTATAATCCTACACCAATAAAATTCTTTTCTACTAATTAGCTTCTAATCACTATAAATATCTATATCAGCTAATTCTTCCCAAGCTTCTATATCTGCTTGAAATGTTTCAAGATAAGTATTCAAAGTATTAATTGCCTCATCTATTTTCCCAGTAGTTCTAAAGAGTGCAATTTTTCTCTTCCAAGTTGCAGCATCCAATGGATTAGTGGTAAGCATTTCCTCATAAATTTTCATTGCCTCATTAAATCGTCCTGAATGCTCAAATAAAATTCCTTCCATTCTCATAACTCTTACAGTCTGGCCAAATTGTCTTCTCAGAGCTTTGATGGTAAAATCAGTTCATTCTGGAGATAAAGTATCTAAAGAAGCGTAAAATACATCTTCACATACATTCCAATAGTCAGTTCCGAGCCTCCATTTGTGTTTGGTAAGAAGAGTTGCTCCATATTTCAGAACGAGCTCTGGTTTGTGCAGTTTTAGGTTTCTGATTTCGTTAAGAGCGTTCAACTTATTTGTCCAGCCTTTTTGGTTAGAGAAGGTATCACTATCCATCTTTTATAGCTAGTCAATATGTGAAATTTAGTTAGGTTGAATTTAATAAAGCTTGAAGTCATGTAAAAATATTTTATATGATGGTTGCGATAAGGTAACTATATTATCGAAAATTTTCTGATACAAATACGATAATCCAATTGAATTTAAAACATAAGTATTTTGCACAGATGAATATTTACAAATGAGATAATCTCTTTTAAAGTTTGCAATAAACACCGCCAACTCTATATTTCAATAATACTTAATTAAGTAAATGCAAATTTTACATGAATATGATGGCTCTTATCATGGACAAACTTGGTATAACTTAAAGAACGGGTTCGGAATCATGAAATGACATAATGGAAGCTCTTATGAAGGTGAATGAAGGTCAGGTAATATGGATGGATGAGGTTAGTTAAGTTTTATAAGGCCATAAACAGATAGACAGTGAGCTTGCATATCTGGTGTAAACCCACCTAGCCTAATTATTAGCTCCCTAGGCTAGAGCCACCTCTTGGGGATGCGCCGTTAGTCCCGATAAGCAATGACCAAATTGGGAGGCAAAACCTATCTAGCCCATTTGGCAGGGACATGAAAGCCTTCGGGAGAGAAATAAAACTTCCCTCTTCGGTAGGCATCTCCGGACCCAAAGGTCTATTTCAAAAAGGATAGAGGTCCTGCTTTCAGCTTCATCAGAATGGTTCCTTCATGCTCCATAGGAGTTCGCCTTGTAGCCCTATTTCCTTCAATATCACCATTTTAGTTCTATGGACTGATGAGATTAAGATCAAGATTTTAGAGAGCCATAAGCGGGATCCTCACTAGCCGGTACCTTGCCTCCAGGAAAAGTGGCCTACGGTGGGTGCGTGTAAGGCCCAAATGAAATTTCCACCCTCTTGAATTTTCTGGCGAAACCCACATAGCCTAAGGATCAACTCCCCTAGGTTAAAGCCATCCTCTGTAGGGGCTGAGATAGTCCCAATAGACGAAAACTATTGAGAGACAAACCTGTCTCACCTACCTGGCAGGGATAGGAAAATCTTCAGGAGAGAAACAAAACTTCCCTCTTTGGCAAGACTTCTCTAAGCTGAAGTCCTACTTCAAAAGGGGACAGATAACCTGTTTTCATTTTCATCAGGATGAGTCCGAGCTGTTCCATAGGGAGCGAGCCTTGGAAACCAATTTTCATCAACGTCACCATTTTATTTCTATGAACAGATGAGGAATTCTTAAATTGCACCAAGGAGGTGAATTTGCAGGATGTTTCAAAGAAAATAAATTGCATGGCTTTGGCAAATGCGATTTTCCAAATGGAGACAGATTTATAGGCCAGTGAAAAGAAGGTCATACTTTTGGCTATGGAGTAAATTATATTCAAGAGACTAAAAACTGAGAATTAGGCTACTGAAGACAAGGGAAATTGATAAAAACAATTAGAAAAGGCAATGGGAAGCCATATCAGCTAGAGCTGAGTTTAGAGTCTAAAGAAACTGCTGGGGTTTGTATAGAAATGAAAGAAGGAAACAAGTATATTGGCGGGATTTTAAACGGAATGAGGCATGGGGATGGTGTTTTATATATTGATGATGGAAGTCGGTTCGAAGGAAAATGAGAAAATAACTTGCCAAATGGCATTGGAATCTTTTATCATGTAGATGGTAAGTATGACATTGGAAACTATGTCAATGGACTATTAAATGGGTTCGGAAAAGCCAATTTTGCAAATGGAGACATCTACATTGGAAGCTTTTTAAATGGAGCGATGCATGGGCATGGCAAATTCTACTCTGAGTCACAAGACCAAGAAATAATTGGCGAGTTTGATAACAATGAATTAATAGAAATTTCAAATTTAATTTAAATATATTATGCTGCCTGAAGCTCAAAATAACCAAAACCCCGGCCTATTTCACGCAGAAATCGAAAGAACCCAAAAAGCTATATACTGAATGTCGGCAATCTTAGTGATACTACTCATAATATTCGCAGAGATAGGCTGTATATACAGAACAATTTGTCACACATCTGAAGACATTGACATTCCAGCCTATGTGTCACATATATTTTTCCCAGTTCTTGTAATAACTTTGGCAATGACAGTATTAGGCTATGAAAGTGCAGAAGTTATATACCATGACTGCTTAAAGCCTCTTAGATTTGTTATGATTATTTGGGCAATTTTAGTAATTGTGCTGTCTGTTGCTGAATGGATTGCCGGAATGGTAATTTCGGGGTCAAGTGATAGGACAGACAAATGGAATGAATTGACGCCTTTATCACAGAAGTATTATGATAATGATGTAGATAATTTAAATGAAGATTATAGGATCAACATGTCAATTGTGTGCATTTTTCAGATTGTTGCTGCAGTTATTTTATTGGCGATTGGGATCTCAATATGGATTTTGTATAGCAAAGCGCCAAGTGGATACTTGCCGAGGCCGATATATGAGAAATTAAAAGATAATTTGGCTCAGCCTGTGAATCAAATGGGAAATCCTTTAATTCAGCCTCCAGAATTTGCGCCTCAGCAAGAAAATCCACTATTGCGCGCTTCAGATGCAAATAATCCAGAATTTAATCAGCAAAGATATCAAAATCCTTCTCAAGATTTCAGACCACAAAGTCCTCAAGAATACGATCAGCAAAGATATCAAAGTCCTTTAGAGCGGTCTCCGAACCAATTTAATCAGGAAATAGAAATGCAAAGATACCAAAGTCCTTTGGAGAGATCTCCTAATCAATTTCCTCAAGAAAATGAAATGAGGGGATATCAAACACCTCCTCAGCAAAGATACGGTGACTATAATCAGCGAAATCCTTTACTCCTCTTTAGTCAGTGAGCAAGACCATTAGAAAGTTCCCTATTTTCGGCGAAATTAAGCTCCCATCATTACCAAGCAAATAGTTGTTTTAATATAATTTTTTGGCATTGGCTATATTTAAATATATATTAATAATAAAATAATAAATTATATATAAAATTTTCAACGGTTGATCTTAAAACTTAAAATTTGCATTTAAATTAGATTTTTATTACAAATAATACTGAATTTGGTTTTTTTAAAATGCAACTTAATATAAAATTAATGAAAAATTAACCTTTTTTTAGCAAGCAAGATTATTTTGCTCGCTATCCAAAGAGGAGTTGGAGCCTAGTCAAGACCAAGGATCTTATAATTAAACTTAAATGAATAAAATATAAGAAATTATAACTAGCTATTAGATGTGAATTCTCTAATTCATGTTGAAATAGATATTATGCTTACAGCCACAAAAGCATAAAATGCCACGCTAACTCTTTACAGTATATTAATAACCTTCATAATTAAATTTGCATGCAAAATGATACATAAATAATGAATTTATATCAAAACTTATGATAATAATGCTAATTTACAAATAAAATATCTATAAAATTATTTAATTTGAGGAACAAGTTTTATGTAGAATGCTCATTCTTAAATTAAGAGATACCTTAAAAATTATTTAATTTGAGAAATACATTTTATATAGAATGCTCATTCTTAGCTTAAACGCTAGATTCCCATCTATTTATATATCATTAAAATTTGAATCCTTAATCATCTATTTCACATTAATTTACCAAAGAATCCACCATTTCAGCTCACGTTATTAATGCCATCCATCAAATTATCTTCATCCGACGCTATTTAGAATTAAAATGGCTAAGCTTATTATCAGCTTCTTAATTATCTCTTGTATCGAAATTTCTGCAAACAAAATTTCTCCTATAACCCTCCAAGAGGACACTGAGTCATCTAGCGAGCCTGCCGAAATTGAACCCCAAGACCAACCATCTGAATCTTCAGTATGTCCTAAATACACATGTCTAGAAGAAAACGTAGACACTTGCTTAACATCATCTGCCGCATCCTATAACCTTGGCGACTGCAAAGATGACTTCTATTGTCCCAGCTTCAGCCTATCTTCCCCTCCTGAGTCCGTCGAATGTGTCAAAGAAGATCCTGACTATGAACCTCCCACAATGACTTGTGTAGCATACTCCCACAAAAATGAGGTCTGCAACCAAACTAACCCTTGCCACCCTGATTTTTATTGTAAAGAAGGCTTGATTTGTGTTGAAAGGGTTTCAAATGGTGATACTTGTACTTATCTAGATGAATGCGAAATTGGAAATGTCTGCAATAAAGGAATTTGTATTGAGTACTTCTCAGTAGATGCTGGAAAGCCTGCAGACTCTAAACTGGCGTGCTCTTCTGCTATTGTTTCGGATGGAGTTTGTAGTGTCCCTTCAGCCACTATTAGTGATGAATTACCAAAGAAGTGTCATAGTGATGATGATTGTAAAGCAACTGATGAGACATCTGGAGAGTGTGTTTGTGTGCCTAATAGTCGTGGAGACAGATATTGCAAATTGCATGATTCTGATGAACCAGTGAAAGACTATCTTGCTGCTGTTAACGATGGGAGAATTGAGAGAAGTAGATATTTGTTGTATTATGAATTGAATTTTCCGGTGATAGAAAAAGCTGAATCGTGCTATTTTAAAGATGCTGAAGAGTTAATCAAATTTAAACAGCTCAAAAAGTGGGCTAATAAATGCTCGGCAAGCTATTTAGTAGTGATTGGATTATTAATAAACTTGTTTTAAGTAAGTTATATTTAAGTTTAAAATCAGAAAATAGAGAAAAATGGGAATAATCGAAGTTTGGTTTTTAGTTTGGTCTTTTTATATTAATCGCTTCGATTTAAGCCAATTTCTTCATTTATTTTTGCTATAGCTCAGGGCCTGCTTTGGATCGCCCTGGGCTACACACGTTACTGATTCAACCTGTAGGGTTGACTTGTGTCAGTATATATTTTTCACTTGTCAGCTTGTAGGGTTGACTTGGCAACTGATGTTACCCGAGTCAGCCCCATCGGTTGAGGCAGTGATGAGTAGCCCAGAGCGATCTAGAGCAGGCCCTGCGCTATAGTAATTTTTAGAAATTGACATTTTATTGGGACAGTTTTTTTTCCATTACTCGCCTTAATATCAATAATTATAAATTTATTTAATTTTTTTGCTTTAATGTAAATGCTTCCGTTTTATTATAATAAATGGAGTCCAGGAGGCTTCAAAAAGAGTTTGAAGAGCTTTTCAAACTGAATGCTTCAGGTGCTCAAAGTAACGTATCTGCCCACATGGTTGGCAGTGACATGCATCATTTGAAAGGCATAATTAAAGGACCAGTAAGTGATTATATCAGCCAGACACCCCATATAGTGGAGGAACTTATATAGTCGACATTGCTATTCCTCCAGATTACCCCTACAAGCCTCCTAAAATGAAGTTTGATACCAAAATTTGGCATCCTAACATTTCTTCTCAAACTGGCGCAATTTGTCTTGACATTCTTAAAGATGAATGGAGTCCTGCATTGACAATTAGAACTGCTCTATTAAGTTTGCAAGCCTTATTGTGTGCTCCAGAGCCTGATGACCCTCAAGATGCAGTTGTTGCAAGCCAATATAAGAATCATCATGCAGAATGAGAAAGAACAGCTAGACAATGGTGCCAAGAATATGCAAAAGATATTGAAGAAGTGCATCAAGAGCAAATCAGGAGGCTAATGGAGATGGGATTTGAGGAAGAAGTGGTGAGAAAGGCATTGGAAAGTGCTGGGTGGGATGAAAATGCAGTGATTAATAGTTTGCTAGGCTAATAATATTTAATGGATAATTGCCTGGGATTATTAGAGTGAAAATAGAAGTAATTCGGCTGCTTTAAAAAGAAGGCTTTATTGAGCCGAAAAAAATTAATTATGTAGATAGCTATTGCATATTGCTAAGCAAAAAATTAGCTAAGCATTTATTTATAGCAAGTTATAATATAGCGCATATTTATTAGATAAGCAATTAAAAAAGAAGCAATCAGCAATCGAATAAGATGCATTCATAAACTTTATGATGTCCTCATATAATGTAAAAAATATCCTGCTTTTATTTGGCGGCATCAAAGTGTTAACAATCAAATATTAATCAATATACATAACTTCTTGTAAAAGAGATTGATTAAATATTTGCAATTAATTATTTCAATTCATATATTCCAAAGCAATGGCCATTAATTTAATCAGAATTCAATTTTTATTCTGACATTAAATGAAATCCAAATATTCAAAATAATGAATAAAGCTGTATCAACTATTTTAAACAAGATTCTAGGAAATTATGTTGAGGATCTAAACTCTAAGCAGCTCAGTCTTTCAATTCTAAAAGGAGAGCTCGAGCTTGACAAAGTTAAGCTTCGACGTGATATTTTCAATGATATCGGGTATCCATTTAATCTTAAATATGGATACATAGAACATCTAAGCATCAGAATTCCTTGGACATCTTTAGCTTCGAGTCCAATACAAATAGTTATTACTGGAATTTTTGCACTTATTACACCTTTGGATTCATCGGAATGGAACGAAGATACTGAAAGAATAAATCAAGATAAGAACAAATTTAAGCAGCTTGAGGATTTTGAGACCTCAATTGCTACGCAAATTTCAATAAATAAAATTCCTAATTTCGTGCAAAGGCTGGTAGGGAAAATCGTAGATAATATCCAAATAAATATAAGCTCCATTTATATCAAATATGAAGATTCTATAACAAGTAATGAGAGCTATTCTATGGGATTTTTACTGAAAGAGCTATCTGTGCATACAACAAGCAAGACTGGAAAGTTGGAATTTACTTCTTATAAAGATAGCTCTCACAAATTAATTCTTCTGGATAATGCTTGCTTTTTTGTGGATTATGGGAATGAAAACGTCATCACTAATAGACTAGAAGATTTTGAATTAATTGCAAAGCTGGAAATGGAAATACCCCAAAAGCATAGATTTTTACTTACTCCCCGTGAACAAAAAACTTTTGTTCACTCACGGAGGGGGTTAATTTTTTTTTTTTAAAAATTTATATATAAATTTTTTAAAAAATTCTCACTTCTATAAAAATTGGAAAGCAAATATTAATTTAATTTGTAAAATTTATGTTTTTTAAAACGCAATTTGTTTAAAAATTAAACAGAATTAGCTCGAGATTTCATTATACTAATTATCACTTATATATCAATTTTTTTCCATAAAAAAATTTTTGCATTAAAAAAATTTTTGTTCACTCACAGAGGGTGGATTTTTGTGCAAAAAATAGGGATTTTTCTAATGGTTTTGTTCACTCACGGAGGGGGAGTTAGACCTATAAGTTTTAGGGTCACTCTTGATATCAATAAAAATAATAAGCGTTTAGATGCACCTCAAATTAATGCAAACTTAATCTGTGGAGGAATAGGGGTTGCTCTTGAAGCCAAACAGCTGACTCACTGCTTGAAGCTGATGGAATTTTTAAGAGTCTTTGATAACTGGCAAAAAGGGATTGAAATTCATAGGCAGGAATTTGACTTTACATACTCTGAAGAGTTAATGTATAGATTGGCTTATAAAAAATGAAGAATACATCAAACCGATGAGCTCAGAAGAAATTTAGATGAATTCGAAAAAGGCCATAGTTTGGAAGCGATATTAAACAGTAGAAAAGCTGCATCTCGAGAATTTGATGAACAGTGAGCAGAAAAAGCAGCAAAAGAAAAAGTGTCTGATAAAGGAACTTTGTCAGCAATTAAAGATTTTTTCACTGGTGAAAAAGAAGAGGATAACCTAGATGAAGAAAACAAGCTTGTTGACAAAATGCTTAGCGAAAAAAACCAGCTTTCTACAGAAATAGAGACATTCGTAATGGATTCTGATATTTTTCATGATATGCCAGATGATTTTATAAGATTCAAATTTTCAGCTCATGTGAATATAATTCTTTTTTCTCTTCGAGATGAAGAAAGCGAATTGACTCTCTATACAATGATGCACCCTAGTATAGAAATAGGGATAAGACCTCTTACAAAATTTCTTAAAGCTAAAATTGAAAGTTTATCACTCGAGGATCGATATTTAAACAGTGAGCATTTTCAAAATATTTTAATTGGCGAATCTTTATTATTAGAGTTTGATCAATTTCCTTCTGTGAGGCTTAAAATTGATATAAAACTCCTTCAATTTTGTGTGAATTTTGAAACTTTACTTAAAATCGCAGATGAATTTAAAACTAAAACAGGAAGTGAAATAGACTTCAGTCCTTATATGAAAACTATTGAAACAAAAACCCAAGAATTAGCTGAACAAGGGGAAAAATACGTACAAGATTTATTAAAAACAAAAGTCCCGACTCCAATAATTTTAGATATTTCCATTAAAGCCCCGATATTCTTTATTCCAATGAACCCTAGAAATATATATAATTTTAGAGAGATGGGAAACACAACTTTTGGAAGGGTCTAGTGAGCCACCGGAAGATGGCTATATGAATTTTAAAAGAATTCTTATCTACTAGGGTCCCTTATCTCTTCATAAATACAAATCCTCTGTAATTGTCGATTGTGCTGTAATTTTTAGCACTATATCTTCTAAGGCTTCTGCTATATCTGTTTTTATATCTGCAATATCGAGTATAGCCGGTAGCGGGCTATATGAGACAATCAAATTGGTCTGTAGAAATTTTATTGTAATAACTCACAAATCTGTTGAGTTTCAAATCAGCTTGAGGGCTCATATTTAATTTTATAAGCACCCATCAAAGGATTCATTTTTAAATTTATGGCAAAGCCTCCTTTTTGCTAACGGAAAATATTTTCCCCTTTTGACAAATTTTTTAAGAGGGCCAAGTTTAACTCCTTATAAATATGAACTTGAAACCAATGCCATAAATGCAGGAGCAAAATGGTGTCCACAGATCCAGTAGATGTTCTCACGAAGTTTCCTGTCAGCCTTGTAAAAAAGGAGTATTCTCTTCGGCGTTGCTTTACCTTTATTTACTAGAAGGGGAATATGATAATGGTTCTCATACTCACAGATTTTTGGTTACACTATCATTGACCGTTCATCTTGAATTAATACAGCCAAATCTCAGTTTCATCAATCAAAAGCTCAAACTAGACTCTCTTGAGCCAAACAGGACGGTTCTTAGTGAAGATCGCTCCATTATCTTTCAAGCCACCCTGCTCTCATTTTCAGAGTTTGCTACCCACAGCCATTCCACCCAGAGTGCATCAACAACTCAGATGAGATCTGTACAAATTGTAGAGCCACGCATTCAAGCTTAGAACAAATCTAAGTCACAGAGAAAGGATCCTTAATGAAGAGATAAGGGACCCATAAGTAAATAAGATCTCTTTTAAGAATTATATGGCCATATTCCGAGGCTAACAAACCCTTCCAAAAGTGGTGTTTCCTGTCTCTCTAAAACTGCATAGACGAAGGAATGATAGTGATTGACATGGGGTATTTAAAAGGCGCAACCTCAGAAGAAAAAATTTCTAATTATGACTTTGATAAATACTTAATTGCGTTAGAAAATATAGAAATTTTCATGGTTTGAAACACAGATAATCTCGATAACTGGCGAAAAGGGAAAATCAAAGCTATTTTGCCATCAGTTGAATTTAATATATTTATATATGTTTGTCATGTATACCAACGAGATGTCCCTGGTTATATACTTGCAATTCATGCTGGATTAGTTTCATTTATTCTTGAGCAAGCAGTATTGAAATGAATTCTCAGATTATTAGCTAAAATAACAGAAAAAACTCCACCAGGTCCTGATATAAAAAAAATTGAAGAGGTAAAGGAAAAAGAAGAACAAAAAGAGAAAGGCAAGCCAGTTCAACAAACTGAAGCCATTAAAGATAAACTGAAAAGAATCGAAGATTCTGCTAGCCTACAAGTCTCAGTTGAGTTTGAAGAGATTTCATTAAAATTGATAAAAGATGAAATAGATTTGGTGTCTTCTATAGTCTCTAGAACTAAAATAGAATTTATTTTCGGCTCACAAGGAGATATTGATTTCGATTTTCAGCTAAAATTTGTAGAGATTAAAGATTTAAGGCCAAACGTGAAGCTTAGATATGCCATTATCAATCCTTTACTTTTTGATCGAAGCGTAGATTTAGACAGCAACATTACATTTTTCGCAGTAAAGTTCAAATTTAAACCAAGAGATGACTTAATCGAGCTTGATGTAAACATAAGTGGAATAAGGCTGATGCCCTCCACAGATTTTATATCTGAAATTATTCAGTTTTTTACTGTCCCAATCCAAGATAATTTTCCAAAAACAGAAGAAAAATATGATTATCAAGAAAAAGAAAAAACAATGGAGAAGCCTCCAGTTTCTAAATATACAACGAAATCAATAATAAAAATATCAATAAATCTTCATAGGTTTGAGTTGCTGATACCGCTTGATATTTATGATATATCTAAGCGTATTGGATGCTTTAGGTTCGGAGTTTCAATAATATATAGCTCATGCCAAGAATACACAAGGATATTTGATATAGAGGTTTCCTCTATATAGCGCTAAAAGCGCAGACATTTTCCCAGGAGCTTTCCAAGTTCGTCGGACCAAATCGCTTTTTGGTCCGACCAAGGCATTGATTTGGTGCAACCTACCGATAAATTCCGATCAGAATTTATCGGCCTTACAGCGCCAAACATAGGAAACTTCTATAAATTCCGTGCAGAACTCTCAAAAGAAATACTACATGCTAATGATGAAGGTTCAATAGAAATAACAGGAATTAGTATATTTATTGGGCTAGTGAAAAACAACTTGGTACACCATACTAGTGAAAATGCAAAAGATATAATAAGTCCTAGCAGATTAAGCTTGGTTTATCAATTTATTAAAACTGATAATAGTGAGGCTGCCATGACTTTTTATTTAAATATAGAAAGCTTTTGTATTGATATTGGATTTAGGGATATATTTTTTGGAAAATTGTTGGTTGATTTGTGATTGATGCTTGACACTGGAGTTCCAAAGGAAGAGAAAAAAAGCCAAAAACCTGAGCCAGAATCTGAAAACCAGCAAGAAGATTGAATTCAGAAAGCATCAAAAATAGCTCCAATTATTAAATTTTATATAGAAAGCGATGCTTTTCAACTAACCTTAATAGATGATACCACAAATAATGCTTACCCTTTGCTTTATTTTCATATGAGCAACTTTTCAATTTTTGCATTTTTAGAAAATTTTGCAATGAATTCTGGATTTTCAAGCTTTTTGTTCATAGATTACTATAACTTGCAGCTAGCTTCGTGAGAACCATTGATGGAAGAATGAAATTTTCAATTAACTGGGGAACAAAGCAATTCAAGCTCGGTCATGATTTTAAAATTTGAATCTTCACAAATTCTTAATGTCAATTTTACTATCGCACTGTTGGACATTGTAAAGATTCTAATGTCACACTCAGATAGCTCACAATGGAGAGAAGAAAAAGCTGCAGAAATTTTTGTGACTGAAGAAAAACTAGCACATGGACATTATTCGTATGAAATTCATAATGAATTAGGAAAAAATATCCAAATATGACTTGACACACCAAGCGAAAATGAAGAAGTATGGACTTTAAACTCGCAAGAGCATCTAACTTCCCACCTCCTTAAGTAATAAAAAAAATTTGATTCGCTCATGGATAAGGGCTAATTTTTATCTTAAAAAAATTATATTAAATTTTATAGTAATTTTTTTTCGAAATTTAATTAATGAATTTGTAAAATTTACTTTTAAAATGCAAGCTATTTAAATTTAACAGATTTAGCTAGAGATTTCATTATATTGATTATTACTTAGATCAATACATTTTCATAAAAAATTTTTGTTTACTCATGGAGAATGGGCTTTTGGCCAAAAATATGAATTTTTCCAATGGTTTTGTTCACTCACGGAGGGGGAGCAAGTTTTGAACAAAATTTAGTTAAAAAAATGGTAGCCCAATCAAGACCAAAAGGAGCTAAACTTGGGCTCCTAGATTTTGGTACACCTTCAACAATTTCTGTAAAAATGGATAACGATAATATTTACCGAGGAATTTTGATTGAATCTGCTGGGGTATCAGGATACAAATTTAAGAAAAATAATGTCGAATTTATTATAGATATTGCTTTAAGTGATGATAAAAAAATTATAAAATGCCAATCAGAAGTGCTAATTGCCAATGAAACTAAAGAAAGCATTAAAATTAATCTCGATGATGAATATATAACTATTGAAGGAGAATCAGCTTTCCCATTACCTTTAACTTGATTTGAAAGCGATAAGAAGCCAAGTATATGCGGACTAGATGAAAAGATTTGAATATTTGAAGAAGGATCATTGAAAATTGGAGAAAATAAATGAATTGTAGTGAAATCAGATTTCTATAAAACGAACACCCATATAAAGCAAAAGATAATTAATATTAAATATCCTTTTACTTTTCGGAATCTTCTTGCATGCCCTGTTGAGGTATACTTAAATAGCTCAGCTGATCCTATTTACATTTTACCTATAGGAGAAGATTTCTCAACACTTAAGCTAGACCCAAGAAATCCAAGCCACTCCTATAAATTTTTGCTAAATGCTGAAAACGAAAAACATTTGGAAACTAATTGATTTTCTTTAAGCCAGACATCAGCAAAAACTCACACTGATTTAAGAGGAAATTATATTGGCAATACCCTTTCTATAGAAACAACTGACTTTTTATATACCCCTTGGGAAAACTTTCATTTGTCACCAAGAAAAATATCTAAAAGAGAAAATGAAAAGGCAGCCCCATTGAATGCCAAATTGGTTGAAATTTATAGCAAATATTTGCTAGTAAATAAGACTGACTTTGCGCTTGACCTTGGGTACTCAAAAATAGTGTTGCCTCCGCATTCGAATGGATTTATGAAATATGGAAAAAAATTAAAAGTTAGGATTGCCAGAACTGATACAACGAGGCCAAGCTCATGGTCTAATAAATTCAGCATAAATGCAATAGGCATATCAGGCGTTATAGAACTAAATAATTGAAAATTAAGCCAAGACGAGCCTGATACCATTATAATTGGGGTAAGCATAATAGATGGCCCTTCTCCTCTTTTCAAATCAAAAATTATTTACTTTTGTCCACGCTTCATAATATCAAATCATTTAGGCTACGATGTCTTTATAAGACAAAGACATAAAAGAGCTGGACAAACAATTCAGGAAATAATTTATGGCAGCTCAATCCCTTACCAACTCGAATCAGCAAAATTATCCCGCTTAATTCAAGTTTCTCGTGATAAATCAGCATGGTCTTCTCCTTTTAATGGGCCATCAGGAAAAAATCTCGGGTAGGTTTTTTCATGCTGCCTTTTTCTGTATTTTTTACGGAGGGCTCTTTCCTGATTTTTTTCTTGGAAAAAACCCAACGGTTTTTCAAAAAGTATACAGTAAAAACTACCTTTGTTTTTTCTCGAGTTTTTATAGGAAAAAAAAATCTTTTTTTGAAAAGTAATTTATCCGGATCTAATATTTTAGCTGATATTTAGCCTGAAGATCTAATTTATAAAGACTTGCCCCAATCTTAATTCTAAACCCCTAAAATGTAAGAAAATGAAGAAAGAAATTGCAGTATATCTTAACCTTTATATTTTTTTTTCACCTCAAATTTTTTTATCCAAAAACTAGGTATATTTATAGAAGCCTAAATTTTTAAATTATTAGTTGTTTAGAGTTTTCTAATTATTGCTGATATATGAGATTTTCTATTTTTATTCGGGTTTTTTCTTACGATTTTTTGGATAAAAAAAATTGACAGTGAAAAAATATATTGGTTGAGATACAATGCAATTGCTTCTTCATTTTCTTACATTTTTAGGGTTTAGAATTAAGATTACAGTAAGTCTTTATAAATTAGATCTTAAGGCCAAATCTTCAGCTGAAATAATTAGATCCAGATAAATTACTTTTCAAAAAAAAAAAATTTTTCCTGGAAAAAATCGAGGAAAAGGAGGTAATTATTTTTTTCTGGTAAACTATAGGGTTTTTTTCCTAGAAAAAAAAATAGGAGCCCTCCGTCAAAAATGACGGTAAAAAGGCAGCAGAAAAAACCCTACTTTTTTCGGTACAACCACCTTTTAACCTTGAAAGGATCGACGATTTTCAAATAAAATTGCCTTCGAATGAAGAAACAAGCGCAGCGGATCATTGATTTGAGCCGAGCCATAACAACTGCTACATGAATTTTATAAGAGTGGTTATATCATCTGATGATGAAGCCTGCATTTCTATTTCTTTGTTGCCCCCAAAAGATCCAGAATTTAGGATCCGAAATTATACTGATAAAGAAATCATCGTAAATCAGCCAAAATTTCCTACCTATTTGGTGCCCCCTGGAGCAATGATTCCCTGGGCTTTTGACGATATTCATGGAAAACGGAAAATAATGATAGAATATAATGACTTAAAAGAGTCTTATTTTATAGACAAAATTGAACAAATGAAAGATTTAGGAGATTGTAAAGTAGAAGTTGTAGCAATCGGAGTTACAAGGGAATTAAAAATTTCTCCAGCTAATGTTAATATTGTTAGGCTGGATACCTTTTTTGACTCTAAAAAGAAAGGCTTTAAACTTCTCATAAATTTTACTGGATTTGGCATGTCTATAATTGATAACGAGCCTAAAGAATTTTTATATATAAGCTTAAAAGACATGTTTGGGAAAATATCAATGACAAAAAAATTAGTAAAAGATGAAGCAAAAAATTTCACGAAATTTTATTTTGAGCTTGGAGAATTTCAGATAGATAATATGAAAAATACCCACAAGCAGTTTCCAGTTATCTTCAACTCGACTATAAAAGCAGAAAAATACCCTTTTATGCAGCTCAAACTAAATAAAATAAACTCGACAAAGCAAATAAGCGAAATCATAAATGTTGTGAAATCAATAGATAACTACTCTTGAATAGAAATTACATTACAGGAAATGGAGACTCATGTTAATTTAGAAACTATTACAGATCTAGCCAATTTTATTGGGAAAATTCAATCAGCTTTAGCAAGCCCTATTAAAAAAGGAGCTGAAAAAGATTCTTTGAAAGACGCCATAGGTGCCCTTGACTATTCCACTCCTGTTTTTAATTATGAAGAATCAAATTTAACCAACAAAGCTTATTTTCAATATTTAAGACTCCATCCTATAAGAATCTTGATCTCATTTAGGGCTTCCAAACAAAAGGTGGAGGTTTCAAACGACCCAAAGATGGGATTTGGTCTATTCAGAGCTTTTGCAAGTGTAGGTAGTGCCTTTATTAATTTTTCAAATTCCCCATTTCGCTTTAGTGAGCTTCTCATCCATCACAGCTTTCAAAGTCCTCAAGAAATTGGCAAACAAATTACCAAATTTTACACCCGTGAAGGAATCTCACAATTTTATAAGATTTTAGGCTCTGTTGACCTATTAGGAAACCCTATAGAGTTTATTGACACTCTTGGAAAAGGGGTCACTGATTTCTTTGTTGAGCCCTCCAAAAAGGTGATGAAAGGCCCAAAATCATTTTCTCGAGGCGTTGGAAAAGGCGTCAGGTCACTTGTAGGGAATACCATATCTGGGAGTTTTGGAGGTGTAAATAGGATAACTGGCAGTTTGTATGGAATTGTAAGGGAAATGACTGGAGATCAATATGGGAGCTCAAGAATTGAAAATGAAGGAAAAGTGCTAGGAAGCTTGTATAAAGGTATGAAAGGGTCTGTACAAGATTTATCTGAAGGAATTACTGGGGTTGTGGTAAAACCTTATAGGGGGGCTAAAAAGAAAGGTGCTGGAGGATGCTTTAAAGGATTCGGGTCAGGTCTCGTTAGTTTAGCTTGCTCACCTGTATCAGCAGCTTTGAGATTAGGAACTGGGATTACAGGTTGTGCAGCAAATGCTGGGACAGTTATAGCGAAAGGGCGTACAACTGCAGCAAAACGTGTTAGGTTTCCAAGATACTTTGGGGTTAAAAAAGTGTTAGAGCAATATAATCACGATATCTCCAGAGCCCAATTCTTAATGAGTAGCTTGCCAGACTATAGGAAAGAAAAGATTGTGTATTATAGCCATTTGATTGACTTCGAGGACCAAATTATTTTGCTTACCATGAATGATTTATTGGTTTTAGTAAATTCTGAGCTAGCACACACTCTAAGTGTAGATGAAATCCAAATATTGGAAATACACAGTTTGAGTAATATATTTGTGTTATATTGTGGAAATGAAGACAATACTGTCTCACTTAGGTCTAGAGAATTTAGCCCATTGGTTAAACTTTATTCTTATATTTCTAACCTTAGCACGTTAAGATCGAGCTTTAAAAGAGAACAAGAAAACGAAGTAGAGCAATAACTGTGGCAAGTAATTAGAAAAATAAAGAATTATACATTAATTTTATTATTACGAATAAAGGACAATATATGCTAATTTATAAATATTAAAAAGCGGCTTATTTTTATACATTAGTTCCACACAAATTTCATTAAAATCAAAAAACTGAATATCTATAATATTTAACTCTATTTAAGACTTAATGGTGCAATGGTAACATCTATTCAGCATCAGATTTTTTCTCTGTCAATGTATCATCGGTGCAATTGGCTATTCAATTTACTACCACGACACTTTCCTGTAATTTTAACTCAGTTGCAACTTAACCTTCATAACATGAATTTATTCCCTGCTTGCTCTTTGCCTGCTTGCACATATCATAATAGCATGCACCAAGACTATGCTTATTTACAATAAATATAAGCATCTAACAACAAAAATCATTAATTCATTATTTATTAGTTTAAATCCTCATGCTCATCAGTTTATCTCTTAACATTTCACATCCCAATTATTTTTCTTGACTTTATAGGAGGAGCAGTTTATTTTATCCTTAAAAGCATTCCTAAATGCTACCGAAGTCAAGATCAGTCAATAATGGTAGGGACTTGTATCATTTTTGTTGGGTTCAATTGTCTCAATTTATTAACAGCTGCCTGCATTATGCTGTCGAAAGTAATTAATATATAGAGGAGACGAGTGCTAAGAAGGAGAAACAATGAAAATTTAAGCTATTTATTGGACCCACCACAGCCTCGTGCTGCAGCAGTTAGCCATGTAAATATTCAAGAAAGCCATGAAAATATAGAAGAGTCACAGAATTTGCTATGGTTTAAAGAGCTAAAAGCAACTCGGGCAATGAGGGAACTCGCTTGTACAGTTTGCTTGGAAAATTTCATACCAGGTGAGAAATTCATTGAGTTGCCTTGTTTGCATCCTTTTCATCCGAAATGTATTATGAGGTGGTATATGGTAGATCATAGCTGCCCAATGTGTAGACGCCGATTAGATTAATTTTAATTTTACTGTTTTAAAATGATACTTGCGAAATCTCCCATATTTCGTCTTGTTGGGGAGTTAGAGTGAAAATCTTTAGGGTAGCCGACAATTGGGTTCTGAGGCATAACTTTGGGGTTGGATTTGGTGTAAAGTCTGTTTGGAAAGAATGTAGGAGAGCCGGTGAATGTGGCTGTTAAATTTGTAGGGGTTTTTGAAATTAGACTAGCGTTGGGCTCAGGAAGTGATTTTCTTTCTTCAGGAATTGGAAAATCAACTGTTTGCAAACCAATATTACGATGGTTTTGAAGATTGCATTGGATGTCGATTTCCTTATAAGTTTTTATAGGCTTTGGTGTCATTTCTGGAGATATAGTATAATTAGTTCGAGGTTTTCTTGCTGAAAATTGTATTAGATTATCTACTTTATTAGTGTTATCAAAACTGAAAAATAATTTTTTTGCGTTTTTTATTTCTTCTTTTACAGTTGAAAACTGATCGCTTGTCATATTCTTTTGACCTTGAAATCTTTTAACACCGTTCTTTGGCTTACTTAGGGACACATATCCAGGCAAGTCATAAGGAGATCTTAATGTAAAATTTTTCATTACTAATTTTGATTAGATAATGTTTATTTAAAATTATAAAAAACTTAACTTAAAATGGCTTCAAGCTAAGTGTATTTTTCAGTTATTTCTTGGGCTTCATTAATCATTGAACTCATAAGAATTTTCTGTAGCTCAAGATCTTCTTCTTCAGCTAATTTCTTTTCATATTCGAGCTTTTCAGCATCCTCTGCAGCTTTCTTTTCAATTTCCTCTTTTTGACTATAGCTAGTATGGTAGTGGACGAAAATATGTCCTTGATGACGACGTACCTCTTTAGGCGCCAAAATTGTGTTTATAGCCTAAACCAAGTTCAGGCCATTTAATCCTAAACCTTAGTTTGCTGAGAGCAACCGCATAGGGCTGGTAAATCTTGGAAGTCAGCTGGTGGCAATTCAAGTCCAATTATTAAGTATTCAGATGGTTTTTAGACTACAGGCTCTTTCCCTGCCGGCTCCGGAGGGCTGTGGCTCTTTTTTCTGGGTGTCACCTCCGCTCAAAGGTGACCGACAGGAGGCATCAGGCTGATCTTTGCCTCCATAGGACCCAAATGATGCGAAGCAAGAGGAATCTTTCTTACCAGTCGAGATTCAGGGATATTGATGCAAATCCCAGGTCGGAATAGACCGCTGTTGAAACAGGGCTCAGGCGACTGAATTCCTCCGGCAATCAAGTTTAGGTTATCACAAGCGTGTGGAAGTATCAAGTCTGGAAGACTTTAATCCCTTTAATCTTAATTTTATATTTTTGACTTTTAAGCATCTCAAGATCTTGCTCTTCCCTAGGTGCAGATTTTTCTTCTTCACTTATTAATTTCTTTTCATTTTCTTTCTGAGCTTCAAGATCTATCATATCAACATCTTCACTTATTAATTTCTTTTCATTTTCTTTCTGAGATTCAAGATCTATCATATCAATAACTTGATGATTGCCGGTTTCTATTTTGTCTTCAACAGAAACAAAATTTTCGTTAGAAATTAAATCCTGCTTAGCGGTTTCAGGTGTTTCATTTGTCATTGCTTCAATTTCGTGTATTTCGAATATTTCTGGCTCCAAGTGCTTAAGTGGGATGTTTGATATTTCTTCTATTAAGTTATTTTCAATTGGATTATTATGATCTCCTTTATCAGAATTTAATTGTGTCAATGGTTCATCTGGTGGTTGCGCAGTAAAGAAACTGCTTGTGTTTTTTGAGAGACTTGAAAATTTTGATATATTGCTGCTTTTTGATTTCAAAACTTTAATAAACCCTTCAGCAGCTTCAGGAGGAAGTTTTACTGCTGGGCTTGGCTTAAATGTTTTTAATTTAATAAGTTTGTCGTCTGCAACAACTGGACCTTTATTGCTTCCGCAACCCATTTATAAATGATCATAATCTTTACATTCTATTTTCATATCAAAATATACATAAGTTTCAATACTATTGTTTAATTAATAGCTAATCTAAGAATCTGATGCAAAATACTTATATAGCTATTTACTCAAAGTCTAATTCAAAATCTTCTGGAAACAGTGTAGATTCTCCTCTCGCTAAGCTTTCAACTTTCAGTATGTCTTCTAACAACAGATTGCTCCAAATATCATTATATCCTTCTAAATCTTCCATATTTGTTTTTGAAATATAAAATCTCACTGCTTCATCATGTAAAAATTGATCTGGTATATCATAATGTCTCAGCCCCTGCATATCTATAAAAAGTCTGAATGTATTACTAATAACACTGCTCTCCCTCAAGTATTTCAAGCCTTCCGTCACATTATTCCAAAAACTTGGGAATTTCGAGGTAGAGATCAAAACCCATGTCCCTTCTGTGGCGCATCTCAAAACAAGCTCAACTGTTTCTGAATTTTCTCCTTTATTGTCTTGGTCCATTTCTGGATCAGTTCTTATTACTTCTAATCCAACTCCATAATAATTTGCTAATGAGCATATTGTATTAACAACATTCATTCCAGGGCTAGAAAACGGCTCCATGTCAAATGACAGTGGATTTTTGACAGTGTACATTTCGTCGAATACATTTGGTCTAAAAAACTTTAATAGTGCGAAATTTGGCCGAAAATTAACGGTTTTTTTTCGGTCAAATGTCTCGCTATCAAAAATTTTCAACAATTTTCGGCCAAAAATATTTCGGTGAAATGGACAGTATCAAAAGGCAATGTCATTTGACTTGCACCCCTAGAAAACAATGCTAATGGAAGAGACCAGCTTGCACATTTTATAAAGTGGCTTAATTTTGCAAATTCTTCTTGATACTCAAATAGCGAATTCAGCTGCTCAAAAATAAATTGTCTTAGTAAGGATTTTAATGTGAAATCTTGATAATGAACTGCAATCAATATCCTTGAAAATACAGGCAAGTTCTTATAGTCCGAATTTAATAGGACTGTTTTAAAAATGGAGGAAACTTTTTTCATATTGCATTTCATTTGTGATATTTTTGCATTTAGTTCTAAAATGCAATCTTCAATTTCAGGATGGGACGGCAGAATTTCTGTGGTCAAAGCCCCGTATATTTCTTTCCAGGTATCGCATGTTGGAACTTCTTTATCCAAAATTGACATTCATGTTAAAGAAATTTTATTTTTTGCAAAAAATTTTCCAAATAAAGCAAAATCCATATCAGAAATCACAGATCTTTTCACAGCAATTTTTAACGCAAAAATTAATGAAAATAAGCAAGAATGCATTTGTGGGATGCCGTTTTTTATTGCGTTAAATATAGCTGGCATTATTTCTCTATTGAAAAAATCATCATCGATTACAACTTGACTACTTTCTTTGGAGCTTTCGATGCTTTGCTCGTTTGCTTCTAAAATTGCGTCTCTCATACTTTTAGAAACAATCATTGATATAATGGTTTTGAAAGTTTTTCAAGAGTAAGTAATATCTCCAGTAATTTTGCCTGTCTGCTTCAATGATAGATATATCATTAAAATATATTCAGAATGTTTTTTAAGGATTTCAAATTTTTTTTTACAGTCTCCCTTTCTAAGAAGCGAAAAATCTTTATAGGGTTATTTTTTAACAATATTATTTAATTAAAAAGTTATTAAAATAATTTTCTAGAGTGCAAGCTGTCTAAAATTATAAGGATATTTTGTCATAATCGTCATTAATTATATATCTAATTATTACCTGCAAAAAAATTTTTTCTTAATAACGAAGATGATTTTTTCCAAAAAATGAGCTAATTTTTTGTTCACTAACTAATAGGAGGAATTAAAAAATTGTGGCAAGAACTCTTCTTATCTTTTAAAAGTTCTTTCATATCATTAAATTCAGACAATATTTTCACTAGTAAGTTAATGTCGCTTTTATCTTCAAAGCGCTCAATTTCTGCAATTTTTTTATTTTTCAGTTCACCAACTTGATTTTTCGCATTTTCTATTTCTTCTTTCATTTTTAATATTATATTGTACTCGTCTGGGTGCAAATGGCTCATTAAAATTTCAATCAGTTTTTCAATACATTTTTTGGTATCAATAGTGCAGATCCAACTAAACAGGCTTGATGAATAAAATATTGATGGAAGGTACATATCAGCTCTTGGCTTAAATAAGTATATCTGTTTTGAAAACGAAGAAACATTTAAAATATTTTGCTCATATAAAATGCAATAAGTAGGATCATCACGAGTGTATCCTGGACCTATTTTTCATGACTCTAAATCTCCTTCTGGATTTATTTCAGAATAATCATAAAGGAAAATTGGAATATCAACAGTAATTCCATCTTTTCATAGCTTATCTGAAGAGCTTGAAGAGCTCACTATCTTAATAGGTTTTTCTTTTGTATTTGTTTCTAAAATGCTATCAAATTCCCCATGTTCATCAATTAATATTGATAAGCCTTTCGAAAGCGATGAAGCTATTAAAGCTTCAAGAGCATTCAATGTGCACAGATCAGAATCATTCAGATTTTTGTTGAAAATTTTTGCGAAACTTTTGAATTTTTGTTTGATTTTGGATTTATCATTGGATCTCCAGCATTCATCAATACTTAACCCTTTGCATTGTAGTAATTCTGCCAAAGCTTTTCATATGTCAAATTTTTCTTCAGCACTTACAATTCCAAGATATAGTTATTGCCCGAGGATGGCGCTATCTTGCGCCATCCTCGGGCAATTTAAAAAATGGCCCCACACCGGGAATCAAACCCACGTATGGGGCCATTTTTGGTGCGTGGAAGTCGATGTTCTCCACGAACCAAAAATGGCCCCACACGTGGGTTCAATTACCGGTGTGGGGCCATTTTTGAATTGCCCGAGGATGGCGTAAGATAGCGCCATCCTCGGGCAATAACTATAAACAGAATTGCATGCTAAAATAAGACTATCTGTCATAAGAGTGCTAGTAAATTTTTCATATATAGATAACTTTTGATTCAATCCTTTTAAAGTTTCTTTTAAACTAGCTGAATGCTCTGGATATTTCAATACTAGATCATCAAATTTCCCAATAGACTGACTAAGATTATCTTTAACCGAATCAATAAAGCTTTCTATATAAGAAGCAATTTCATTAAAAATTTCCATAAGTAGCAAAACCCTTTTTTGGCATAGAAAATCGGGATATTTGTTCTTATCACATAAAGGTTTCTCCATCGTATTTTTATCATTCAAAATTTTGAATTTATTTTCAATCATTTGCATGATATCAGTTATAATCTCATTAATATTTATACTTGATTCAGATTTTTGAAACCCTTCATGATTATTTTTATCGAATTTAATGAATTCACAGCATGAAATTAATTTTGGATAATCTTTTGACAGAATATCAAAATCTTTATTGGATGGTAAAATAAAAACGATGTGGAATCTTCTTTTAATTGTACTCATGATACTAGCTGATGTTTTGCTTTGGAGCTTAGTATTTTTGAATTTATTTTCTTTTTCTCGCTTTGAAATATGCTTTGAAAACGATTTTGAGAACAAGTTGATATCTCATGAGTCAGTTGTAATAAACCAACTAATAAGTTTGATATATTCCTCGGATTTCAAATATTGGAGATCACAAAGAAATATGCAAGGGTTTTCTTGGCCACATTCAAGAGCCTGAATCAAGCTTTGCTCGAAAAAATACCTGAAGTGCTGAAAATCGTTTAATTGCTTAACTTGTGGTTTTAAAATTCTAGAATCAGTTAAAGAAGCTGCAATTTGAAGGCATTCATATGAAAGATTTCCAGGTGAAGCGCACAAAATACTATGAGTATTTTCTAAATAAAGTATCCTACAAATTTTTCATATAAAGTTTGTATATAGCCTCTGAAATACTTTAAATCATTATTGGCCATCCATTTTAATTTCCAAAATTAATTTGTACTTGTCAGCTTTTTTGAAAAGTAAAAACGAAAATGACAAATCTCCGTTTATGGTTTTAAGGGGCTAATCAGACTTATACTGTATAAGGCAGGTGCCCTGTACCATATTTTTTCTGATAGGTATTCTGCTGGGTTATAGAGATCTATTAAGGTGCATGAGCTATATAAGAGTTTTGAAAATATAAAGGTGTCATAATATTTAAGTTTTCTTCAAAATTTTTTTCTAGTTTTTTCATTTTTTCAGCTAATTTTTGTTGAATAATCGGCAATCTTTCTACTGTAATTTTATTATTAAACTCTTTAGAATTCTTTTCTGTGTAATCGAAAAATAGATATGGTTCTTCTTTTATTTCTGTGCGAAGTTTTATATTAATCAAAGCTACTAGGTTTTTATTAAATTCTTGATCATTTGCTACGAAATCACTAAAGCCTCTTTGTATCTCATGCATAATAAGCTCGCTGATATACTCTTTTTCGATAGCTTCATTTCCAGAAATTGTTGAGAAATAATAGAACTGTTTGAAATTTTCAATAATTCTATCTATGCCACAGTATTTGTTATTCTGAAGATAGTTTTTTGTATTTAGGTAAATGCTAGCTATAGGTTTTATGTAGTTATTTATACTAAAATCTGCGCTATCAGCATTTTCTGAAATCGAGGATACCAAAATCTGCTTATAAATTTTGTCGCTTGGTGTCTCAATATAAATTGAAGTTGTATTTTTACTACATTGAATATTCATTTGTATTGTGCTGGTTATAAAATTAATTTTTTCTGAGATGACAAAAGAAAGCTTTTTAGGATCATAAATCCCATTATTTTCAATCCAAAATTTTATTCTTTCCAAAGTAAAATTGCTATCATCTAAATGAACATCTTCTATTATAAGCATTGTGCTATTTTTTTCGCAAAAATTAGATTTTTTAAGCAATATGTCAAAATAATGATAACCTTTTATTGAGGGGTTGAAAGTATAATGTTTGCTATAAAATAAATCTGAATTCTTATGTAAAAAATGCTTAATAAGGGATGTTTTTCCTGAACTTGAAGGTCCTACTATCTGAACATGCTGAAGAAAAGACTGAGGGCTATAATTGGTTGGTGATAAAATAGTATTTAATAAATAGTATGCTTTTGCCATTTCTTCTGAAGGAATTATTATTGAATTTGATGGTAAAAGATCGTTTAAATATACTGAAGATTCTTCATAAATTGGGAGAAAATTAAAATTGTCAAAATCTATAAATGATTCAAATGCATTCAGAGTTTGAGGATAAAAATATTTCAATTTCAATAATTTTTGGGAATTGAAAAGAATTTTATAATTCCCATGAGCGACAAGAAAATTTTGTTCGCTTACGGAAGGGGGTTAATTTTTTTTTAAAAAAATGATATATAAATTTATAGTAATTCGAAATAATTTTATTGCAAATTAATTTGTAAAATTTATGTTTTGAAAAAGCTGTTTAAAATAAAACAGATTAGCTAGAGATTTCATTAATACTTATAACTTATAAATCAAATATTTTTGTTCGCTCACGGAGAGTAGTTTTTGGGCAAAAATAGGGATTTTTCTAATAGTTTTGTTTGCTCACAGAGAAAAGGAGTAAATATTTTTCTGTTTTCACCATTAAGAATTGCACCAAAAGACCATACAAATGAATGAATAATAGTTGTTTCAAGCCGTGATTTCAGCTCATTGATTTCTGGGATTTTATGAATAAATTCTTTATTTACAAGTTTATTCATTTCTACTTCTGTGTATATATTCATATTTTTTTCAAATTCTAATGGAGAAAATATTTCTAAAATTCCTGTTCTTAAGAATACTTCAAAATTTCTTATAAGCCCCATCATTAAATTTTTGCTATTTCAGTGGCTCAATTCTTTGAATTGCTCATCAGCTTCATCAATTAAATGTTTAAGTTTTTCGATAAAAAACCCTAAAATTACTCAATCAATTAAATTAATTTAGCTAAATCTAGTTGGGTCTCTAGTTATGCAGTGTGGGTGAGACACTTTTCTCCCATCTTATCGCTACTCTCTTTCGAGCTCATTTCGAACTTCACAGTTCGGTTCGCTCCTCCTAGTCCCTTGAAGCATTTTGGGAACCCAGAATACAGGAAAGATTATTGGCCTAGCGATTGTCTATTTCTATCTGACTTTCCCAACGTCCGTTCGACCTAAGGGTTCTACCTTTTATATCAGCAAGGAAAGAGTAAAGCACGATAAACAAGGTGGTCAAGTATAAAATTCATCACCATTTTTTCCCTCTTGTGCAGAAGTCATGCATAAAAGCCTAATCCCATAATAATAAAAATTGGAGAGGTAAAAGGAATTCACGGAGTGGATTATCTTTTCATCCGAAGCCATTTTATTATTATCCTAAAATTCACACTCGCTTGTAATCCCATAAGGGATCAATTTCATGCTAATTGTTTTTATCCTTGGGACAATAATTGCTTCCCATTCTAATGATTTATTGTCAACAAATAATGAACTAACTCTTGTAAATAAGCTTGGGGGAGCTGAGGAAGCATTTTCTGCAGTATATATAATCGACATATTTTGTGGTATTATAAGTTGAGTCATAGATGGTAGCGAAATCATATCTTGTCTGCTGGCTATCGAAGAAATATGAGTTAACAACATTTCCCAAGTCTCAAAAGTAATGGTATCTGAATATAATAAAGGTGAGGTCTCTAATATTGGGATAAATGAATCAGCCCACCAAGGCTCTATATTTTTACTATCAAAAACAAGCCATGATGTTTCTTGCTCATATTTTTCACTTACTATTTGCATTATTTTTGTCAAAATCCCGCCTTTAATATTTTTTTCAACTGCTAATGCTCCGAAAAGTTGTTTAAAAGTAAAAATATTTGGGTTCAAAATGTGCTGTTTAATTTCAATTTTATGGAGGTTTTTGAGAGCTGATGATAATAAAGATAATGACGTAGATTTGCCTGACATAGATGGGCCTAATATTAAAACACCTCTATTTATTCTTAATCCATGATAAATGTCTTCACACAACTGAAGCTGAGACTCTTGGATTGTTAATCCTTCTTCTTTAATAACTTTTTCAAGGCCTTTTCTTAAATCATTTTGTTCAAAATCTGGGAATTTTTCAGTTTTAAAAGTTCTCTCAACGCAGCAGTCTATAATTTCTTGCGAATTGTTTAGCTGTTCTTTATTCAAAATTAAATTTCCTGACCTTTGAATCGTGATTTTTTGGTAAAACAGCATTCTACATGCTTTTATAACAGAATTTATTTCGTTTTGTTCTAAATCACATTCACTTATGCAGATATCTCTGAACTTTTTTGCTATTAACACTAAAAGCATGATATCTCTTCTTGTAATTGCCAGCAGATAATCGACTTTCTCAATCAAGTTTTTGGTGAATTTATGGATAAGAACACTGAGGGACTGATAATACCTAAATCCTTCTCTTATAAGCATAACCGAAGAAATCATTTTGATATCAGGCCTGATCATTTCCATGCATCTAAATGACAATTGTAAAGCTGATAAAAGTGCGTTGTCTTTCTGAAAATGATTCGGTGATAGTGAAGCCATAACAACAAACATAGTATTTGGGTATTTTAATAGCGGCCGCTCTTTTATTACAGAATCTGATATTTCATTGCTTGGATATGAATAAGTCCCGACGCCAGACTTCTCTATTAAAGTTTTTGAGCCTGCTTCAGGAACTGGGATTGGTTCTATTACCTGCCTATCTTTTTTAGGAGCCCTCATGCTATCTTCTTGCTGGCTCTCAACTCCAACCTCAGCTATAAGAAACTGCTGCTGAACCATTTGTATTTCTTTTGTCAATACCTGTAGGTTTGCATGATTAAGCCTATCTATATGCTCAAATATAATCCAAACATTAGCTAGGGCAGCCCCATTTAAACATTGCATTAGCATTTGCATTTTTGAGTCTGAACTTATATAAATCCTTTTATTGGCCATCCCACAAAGATTGCTGAATTCTTCAAAGACATCGCCTGCATAGTCATGGCTTGGATTGGTTTTAAATAATACAGATGAGGTTTCTCTGAGAACACTGCTTATGAACACATAATATCTTGTAGTAATAGGAGTGCAGAGTAATCTATATGAAGTCCCCAAATATTCATTGCCTTGAATCATATGCAAACCTCCACACTCAATTTTACTGATACTTTCATTTGCTTTCCAATATACCCTAAACAGTTTTTGCCACTCAAAATCACCAGTAGAGTAAATTTTTTTTTCAATTAAATTTCCGACAATATCTCTTTGGTAGCTTAAAAAATACACCAAAGATCTTAAAGACATAATTTGTACTGGAACCAGCTTCTGACCTCCTATCTGGTCATTTTGAAAACTTTTTATTAATTGGTTTATCCAGAATTGAAGCCTGAGATATAAACCCTTATAGCTTTTACTCTGTAAATATCGCATAAGGTCTTCTTTACTAGGTTCTAAAGAATGAGACTGAGCTGAGCTTCCAAAATAAACCTTACTCCCCCCTCCGTGAGTGAACAAAAAAATTTTGTTCACTCACGGAGGGGGGCTAATTTTTTTAAAAAAATTTATATATAAATTTTATAGGAAATTTTAAAAAAATCCTAATTTGCAAAAATTGGGAAGCAAATATTAATTTAATTTATAAAATTTATGTTTCAAAACGCAATTTGTTCAAAATTAAACAGAATTAGCTCGATATTTCATTATACTAATTACCACTTATATATCAATATTTTTTTAATAAAATTTTGTTTCTATTAAAAAAAATTTTGTTCATTCACGGAGGGTGCAAAAAATAGCGATTTTTCCAATGGTTTTGCTCACTCACAGGGGGGGAGTTAGAAAAATGATCTTCATAAATTTCTGGGATTGGGTCATCTTTGTCAATACTAACTTCGGAATCTGAAGAATTTTCTTTATCTTTATCTTCCATGAGTTCTGTGATTTCATGAGTTAAAATCAATAAAATAGAGGTATATATGATTTGCTGAGGAAAATCAAGCACCCATTCATCTAAGCTTTGTTTTGGGAACGTTGCTACAGCAAAAGAAATCATTTTTGCAAGGGTATCTTTCATTTGGTGATCAACTTCACCCATCCAGCCTTCAATTCCTTCATGAATCCCAACAGCTCTTTCAAATAGAAGAAGTTCTCCGTTATGTCCAACCATTCCTAAAATTTCATAAGGCATCATTCCACCTAATTCTACCTCGCTTCCTCCATATTTTTCTCTCAGTCTTCTTTGTTTCGCTACTATATAATCATCTCTTTCTTCTAGCTGCAAAATTTGTACATTTCCTTTGCTTTCAGTTTCTTGATTTTCTATATTAATTATTTCATGATTTTCAGGGATCGAAAATTCAAAAGGATCAATTATTTCATTGACAGCAGGAGAAAAACAATTAAAAGGGGCGACGTCAAGGTCAACTTCTTCCTCTTCATCTTTAATAGGCTTATTTGAGTTCAATTTTTTGATATAAAATTTAGAAACACCAGGGAAAATTATTGATAAATGCTTATCATATTCTTGCTGGGAATAAATAAGTGATAAAAATTGTAGGAGTTGAGCGTCTGAGAGAAAGAAAAACCTTGGAAAATTTGCTCTTTTATTTTCTAAATAAGCTTTGATATTCTTACGGAGGTCACAAATTTTGGAAGATATATCTTCAAGGACTGTGCTTTTATTAGGCGCCAATAATTGGTTTAGCACTTTTGGTGCTTGGTGTACACTTCACATAATGGACCTTAGTGTAGTTTGAAGATCTTTGAAAGCTTCATACTCATTTGGCATAGTCTCTTGCATATATCCTGAGCTAAAAACTGGTTCAAGCTGCTTTCAAGAGTTTTGACACTCTGTCCATGTTTCTAACACATCACTCATCAGTGTAAGTTTTTCTTTAAGTTCTGTTATATCATCTTGCAAATATTCTGAATAAATTGTTTTGTCAATGCTTTCGATCAATGCTAAATGCTCTTCTATTAAAGATTCAACCTGGTCAATATTTGTCAAAATAAAAGTATCTAAACGTCCTTTGTAGATGTCAGTGGATAATTCTAAGCTTTCCCATAGAGATTTAATCATTGATAAACAAGCAGTCTGCTTGTTTTCTTCTTTGGCTTGCTCAAAAATATGTTTAAGCTTGGACTCATATCGGTCTAAGTTTGAATCTTTGAGGTCTTGCAGCTTAAAAGAAATATTCAATAAATGAGGCTTTTTAATTGCATTTACGATCATCTCCCAGTGCCTTGGCTTTAAAAGTTCACTTTTCAGCTCAATTAATGTTTCAGACATGCATAGGAATCCATTAATTTCTTCATTTATTGATTTAATTATTTTTTCTGCTGTTTTTGTAAACAGAAGGCTTTCATAGCAATCAAATTTTAATTTTTCGTTAATATTTTTTATATCTTCAAGCATTTTGGAGACATTTAATTGTGAAAAGTTTGTTTCCATTCATTTTCCAGTATAAGATTTTCAATCAATGACTATTTTTCATAGGTTTAAAGTGTCTTTATGAAGAGTGTGCAATATATCAAAATCTCCTCTGCATTGAAGCTGAAACGATAAAGGATTACCTGAATTTAATTCTTGTAAAGAAATATAATAATCTACATAAAGCTCGACTTTTTGTTTTAGTGAAAGTAAAGCTTCTCCTCTTTTCTCTATTTCTTTTAATGTGTTGCTTGCATGTGAAATTCTTTGTGTGTCTTGTAGATAATGCAAAATATATTTACTTTCAAACTTTTTGATTTTTTTTGATAATTTATAAGAATTTTCGAGTAATTGCTCTTCTAGGGCTGGCCTCAAATCTTTATAACACTTTTCTATGTCATTAATTTGATTATTAAATAGTTTTTGGTCATACGATAAATCTTCTTTAAGAACATTAGCTGTTTCAGAAATCCCTTCTTTTTTTAAATATTTTATACTCTCAGTAATAAAATCTTTTTTATTGTCAAGCTCATTTAATTTAACTTTCTTTAACTCAGAAATCTGCTTTCAATGCTGTGAAATTTGTGAAATAGATGAATATCTTTCATTGATAAGGTTGCTAAATGTCCTTATATTTTCTTTGAAATCGTTGATTTCATTAACAATTATAGCTGGAAGTTTTTCTTTTAGTAAGCTTTTTATTGAATCCATAAAGCCTTGCATTTGTGTTTTTAGTGATTCGGTTTTAATATTAAAAATTCCTGCTTTGAAGCTTGGAAAAGGCAATTCGTTTAGCTGGCTGGAATAACCTGCAAGAATTTTATAATTTTTCTGAAAAAATAAGCCGATATTGATCTCTTTATTTTCTATATCAGTAATTCATTGTTTTTTTACTGGTATAATTTGTTCAAGGGATTTGAACTTACTGATAAACTTTTTGGCAAGTGCAATATCCTTATTAAAATTTTGCTGAATATTTTTATTTGTGTCTGCTAATATTCCATTATTTTCCAGTATATGTTCAAAGTTAAACATTTGTGCTTGAAAAATATTTGAGTTGATTTCATCATGTATTGCATGGTTAATAATTGCTTGTTTAAAAGCTTCAAGAGATTCTAAAATTTTAGCTGTCAAAGCTTCAGGGTCTGGAACAAAAGTTAAGATATCATCAATAGAAAGTACCAGAGCAAATTTTGGCCTTTTTGAGCTGCAAAATAAAAGAAGTGATCCTTGATATGTGTCTTCAACTAATTCAACAATTCCGCTTTGATATTTAAGATAAATCAGCTTGAGAAATATCTCCAATAATTTTTCTCGAGATAGCTTGCTTTCCTTGGTTTCCCTCAATCTTCTGCCGCCAGAGTTTTTCTTTTCTTCTAAAATTTTGACAATTTTGTTATACACAAGTTTATCCCCAAATTTTGTCTTTAAAGACTCATCCAAAGTTTTCTTAATCCCTGATCCAATTTTTTGCATTAATTTGTTGACACTATTTATGATATTTTTATATGATTCTTCAGCACTGTTTCTATACCAATCTTCATTTAAAAAGCTTTCTTTAATGGTTGCAAAAGTATTTATCTGTTCTTTAATTTTTACATATTCTTTCATTGCAATAACTTGACTCCCCCAGAAATTTCTCACAAATTCATGCCTTTTTCTTACAAACAAAGCACTTTTTACTTCTTTTCTTCATTTTTTAAAATTTTTTCGCTTTTTAAAATTCTTTACAAAAGATAGCGCTTGCAAAGCTTCAATTTGGTAATTTTCTGCACTTATTGTTTTATTTTTCACGAATTTTGATGGTTTTTCTTCTTTAGGAAATTCAATAAACCCATGATCGTTAAAAATTACAGCTCCTGAGGTGTCATCTCTGCTTTCAAAAGGCATAAAAATAATCCTTTTATCTTGTCCATATTTTTTGTCTAATGCAATCGGGGTTGATTTTTTGTGTTGTCTTATAATATCAGCTTGGTCTTTTGGGATAATTAATCCTTCGCTGTGTCTAGATTCTCTAACCATTGGTGATACTTTTGAAATTATACCTGGCTTAATTTAGTTGCAAGCATTAAATAAATGGCAATAATTAAGGATTTTGAGCAGTAAATTCAGCCTGATATAGAATAATTTAGATACAGGCTGAGATAAGTTTTTTGGAGAAGTTGGAAGATATTGTATATTCATATTTGGCGTTGGGGTTTTTGATGACCTTTTCCCAACAGATCTTATAGGCGATTTCGATTTTGAGAGCTTGCTCCCACTTCCTCGTTTAAATTGCCTTCTTCCCGCTCCTTCAAACCGAATCGAACTTTCAGGTTTTTGAGATGGCGGCTTTGGTGTCATTTTCTTTGACGAATTATTCCGATTTCTACCTAAACCTTACATATGCTCAATTTCTTTATAAATTCTCCCAGAATGCATTGGATTAACATAAGTCGCAGTTCTTGTTAATTCTTCGCTGCTTCTAAACGTAGTTTGGTCCATTTTCCTCGTTTCCACGCTTGAATAATCATTATAAGCTCTCAATGGAGAAATTTCTGCTCCTCTATGAGAAAGACTGCCTGAATTCCCCATAGACGAAGAAGAGGTGCTTAACTTGCCACTTTTTTGGAGATTGAATTTCCTTTCTTCCATTTAAATTAATAAAGATGCTGGTTCGACAAATAAGCTTCCTTTCACAGAAGTTTCTTAGGAGACCGTTCACAAGCTTGATGTCAAAAAGTCTTGTGAAGTCAATAGAAAAATGCATTGATGCAGAACTGACTGAATACCAACAAGATGAAGCTATACCATTCTTTCTAAGAAAAGCTGGATTCCGCTTACTCCCCCCCCTCCGTGAGTGAACAAAACCATTAGAAAAATCCCTATTTTTTGCCCAAAAACCCACCTCCGTGAGTGAACAAAAACGTTTTTAATAGAAAAATATTTTTATGAAAAAATTTTGATATATAAATGATAATTATTATAATGAAATCTAGAGCTAATTTTAATTTTGAACGAATTGCATTTTAAAACATAAATTTTATAAATTAAATTTATATTTGCTTTCCAATTTTTGCAAAAATTAGGATTTTTTTAAATTTCGAAAAAAAATATTTTTTATAAAATTTTATTTATAAATTTTTAAAAAAAAAAAAATTAATCCCCCTCCGTGAGTGAACAAAATTTTTTTGTTCACTCACGGAGGGGGGGGGGGAGTTAGTTGATGAAAATAATTCAATATTAATTAAGCTTTTAAAAACAACACAAGAATATGACGTCGAGATCCATTTTAATGCAAGATTGCCTGATCCAATTAAGACTGAAGAAGATGAAAAGAATGCCCAGGATGAAAATTATCAGCCTGAGCAAAGTGTGGATTTTAAGGTTCTGCTGAAAAAGAATGGAACTAAAGAAGGCCTCGTTTATGAGTGCTATACTAGGAATTCATCGATTTGGTGCGAAAACGTGATGATGATTGAAAACACAGATGATTTTATAAGCAATATAGAAATGATGAACAGAAGCATTTATCGAGGGCCAGGATTTTTTACATTGGACAAGATGCTGCAAGATGCAATTTCTGACCATTTCAGAGGGCTGGGGCTAAATGATGATCTTGGTCTTTTCCTCGAAGTTTATTCAATAGATAGAGAACAGAGGCTGTATATGGAGTGGCTAAATAAAATTAAAGAGTTTGCAAGTGAGTAAATCGCTACAAAATTATTTTAAATTATTACATCATCTTGAAACTGCTCGATATTTTTAATAATTGCTTCAATGTCGTCTGCAATTATATGGTGAAACTTTAATTCATCTTTAATTATGCTCATTGTCCTTGCAAACTCATATTGCTTCATGCCAATGCATAAGTTGGATTTCTTCATCTGTTGGCATAGATATTTATTTCTTGAGCCTTTACATATATAATCCATAGCAATATTAATAAAATCACTTCTTGCGTTGAGGAAGATGTGCCCGACATCTTGGTCTGTATATAGTTTTGTCTTGATGCTTTCTATAATTGCTTCAAAACTTTTTGAGTGCCGATATTTCTCAAGAACGCAGACTTCTTTTTCCTTTACTCGCCTCCCGACAGCAGCTAGTCCTCTTACATTGTCATAGTGTTTTGCAATTCTGTCTAGATATTCACCATATATATCTTTTGTTTTTAAGTGTTCTTTAGAGGTTAATGACCCTTTGATAGAGGGAAGCTCGCTTTTTATGCAAATTTTTGGAATTGTAGTGCTTAGATAAGATTTTTTAGATTTATCAACGACATCATTTAAGTCGATAAATAGGCTTGCTTCTGATTTATGTTTTATATGCTTTTGTTCAAGCTGCATTAGTCTTCTGTTCAAGGACTGGACAGAAATATAAGGCTCTGCAACATTTCTTTTGATATTGAGATTTGAGTCATCAAAGGAATGATTTGATGAATAGGAAGGCTTTTTAGAATGGTCTAGATTAGGGTTGAAGTCTGGAGTTAAATACGAAGCTGACTCAAGTTTTATAGGGATATATTCCTTTTTAATTAAGCTGTCATTAAAATTATTTGTATTTTACAGCCAAGCTAATAATGAGATTTTATTAGTAATTCACAATGAGTTTTACGCTTTATAATCCAGCTTGTGTGCTTTGCATTTTAAGAAATACCATTTCCCACAATCGTCGCACATGAAATCCGCAAGCAGCTCCGTCAAAACTCTTTTATCAGATTTTTCAACCTTCTTATTAATCAGTTCGATAATACTATTCAGCATATTATCAATTTCAGCAATTGAATCTGCTTCACAAATTGTAGCCTGAAACAGGTTTGATGACCTAACAAGGAATGCAGCTTGATCATCATTCAGGTCTTCTTTTGACGAAAAAACTTTCAGCGTGCTATACAGGCTAAACGAGGGCCTTTCTCCTTTAGAATTCACTGAGTTATTTCTAGCTCTTTTTAGCATAGACCTAAATGGCATTGAGGGGGAAAACGAAGTCTTCAATAGCTTTCCTGCGAATTTAAAATCAGATAAGCTATGCTGATAAAGCCCAATTTTTTTTTCAGGCTTCTTGGATGATGCAGTTGTTGAGGTGCTTGCTCTTTGATTTCGGGGGATAGATGATAAATTCGTTACTAGCAAGTACTTTGAGCCTTCTTTTGTTTTTCAGTGGACTCTGATTTTGGAAAGGGTTCTTTTTTGTGGAGGAATGAATTGTTGGAGCATGTGCTGTTTTGAGGTGCAGACCGCCCACCAGTGAAGGGATTCTTTGTTATCTTTGCAGACGTGGATATGATTTTCATCATCAATATGGACAAACTTGGGCAGAGAACCATCTAAAGTTGGTAGTGATGTAGAATTTTTAAAGAAGCTTGAAATTGAACTACATAAATTTTACTTTTCATCTCTTCTAATTGAAATACTTCCTTTTGCATTTGTTTTTACATAAATCGCATTTTGATGAGGAACCTTTATCAAAGTATTTGGTATCTGCAAATTAATTAGCTGCGGCTTCTCAACGGTAGTTAAAATGTGATAAATATTCGGCCCAGAAAGCCCTGTATCCAAGAGGTTTTGAATATCATGAAGCTCACAGCTTTCTTTTACAATTGAATTTGTAGGACTTCTTTCTTCGTCGAATTTTGGCAAATTACCAAAATTCTGCTGCTTTGTCCAACTTTCCAGCTTTTCATGTGAAAACAACTTGAAAGGCATAATAGTTTTTGACTTATCTTTGGAGCGCAGAGGGATTTCCATTTACTTGATATTAGCAAATTTTATTATTATTTTAACTGTTCAGATTTTTTTCTAGATGTTTGTTTGACCTACTAATGGATGATCGCGGTCTCCACATAAAATGTCTTGCTTGAAGCAGGGTGTAGTGATGTTATTTGGGTCGTAAAGCTCGGCAGATGGCTCACCTGAAGTCAAAACCATTGATTTCATGCAGATCATTTCGTAAATCTTTAAGTCCATTTTCATAAATATTGAATAGCTGATGTCGTAGCTTGGGTCAGGCATATTTTGATATTCAGAGTCTATATAGTCTGTAGAGCGGCATGCACCTCCTCGTAATGTTTCCATATACCTGGTGGTTAAATTTACCATCCTGATATAGCGATTTCCAGAGTCTCATATAAACATTGAATAATCGTCATCTATACCTACTAGAGTAGGGTGGTAAAGTCTATTAGTACCATATGGACCATCTTTAAAGCCTTCTTCATTACAACTCCCTACAAACTCCCATATAGTTCCAGTCATCAAATCCAATTCTCTAATACAATTATTATATGTATCAGCTATATACACCCTATAAACATCAGTTCCATTCATAGTATCAGAAAAATACACAAGTGAACTGGGTGAATTTAGTAGGGCTGAACTTACATCACCGTCCCTCATCCCTGGCATCCCTGTATATCCTACAATTTTATAAATTTTCCCTCTAGGTGGGCCAAATTCTGTGTATTTTATCATCTTGATTTCATGCATTTTGGGGTCTGCGATCCAAAGGTTCATATCAGAGCCTATATGATAGCCTGAGCTTCAGTAAAATGCAGTCGCTGACGTGTCGTTTGGCAAGAAGTCCTTGTATCATGTTCCATAATAGCCTGGGATTGGATAATTAACTGAGGCAGATACGACAGCAATTAATAAGAAAAACATTTTGAATAGAATTTCTATTAAATGATTATTGGGCGAACTGAATTAAGGAAAGCCATGTATCTATCATGAAGCTCCTGAGTGCCAGCTCCATCAAGAATGGCAACGTCAGCCAATAATGCAGAAACTACATATGGGTCTGAGTTAGAAGCTGGTCTTCTGTCTTCAAGATAACCTCTGCCACTAGATGCAGTAGCTCTTGGTATTCTGATAGATGCTCCACGGTCAGCAACTCCAAAGCTGAAAGTGTTGATATTTGAGGTCTCGCAGGTCCCTGATAGTCTTTTTGCGTTGTCTTTTCCATATCCGTCAATGCAGTATGAGTGCTTTTCTCTTAATTTTTCGATGTATCTATGAATCACATCCATTCCTCCTTCAGCTCTAGTAGATTTGGTTGAAAAATTAGCATGGCAGCCAGATCCGTTCCATTCCCCGATAACCGGTTTGCATTCCCAGTTGACGGAAGTCCCGAAATGCTCTGCAACTCTTAATAATAGGTATCGCGCCATCCAGACGTGGTCACCAAGGTCAATTCCAGTTAGTGGACCTATCTGGAATTCCCATTGTCCAGGGAACACTTCACTATTTGTGCCAGAAATTTTGATTCCTGAGTACAAGCAACACCTATAGTGAGCTTCCATTATTTGTCTTCCAAATGCACAACCTCCACCAACGCTGCAATAATAAGGCCCTTGTGGTGCTGGATAGCCGCCGTCAGGGAACCCTAGAGGTCTATGAGGGTAACAATCATTACGGTAAAGGACGTATTCCTGTTCAAACCCAAACCAAGGCTCTTCATCAGCTACTGAGGTCATCACTTTTAAGCAGTCTGTGCGGAAATTGGTGTTAGTAGGGCTTCCGTCTGGCTTCCACGTATCACACAGTACTAAAACGTTGTTTCCTAATCTGAAAGGATCTGGGAAAAATACTCTTGGCCTGAGAAGGATTTCACTGTCATGACCATCAGCTTGGAAAGTAGAAGAACCATCGTAATTCCAGTCTGGGAGATCGTCTAATGAGTTGACCTTAGGGATTTCAAGAGTCCTGCTTTTAGAGCGGATGTCAAGGCCTCTGCCTCCTATCCAGATGTACTCTGCAATGATATTGCCATGCTGAGGAAGCTTGCTGAACTTATATTCTCCGCGACCAACACTGGTAACCTTATCGGCAACTTTCATATTTATTGTTCTATAAGCCAGCAAAATTTAAAGATGAAAAGATATTTTATTGTACAAAAAATAAAAAATTGGGGAATAATCAGAAGTGATAATGAGATTTTTATATTAAACTATTATTTTTAAAACTGATGCCTTCAATTATTATTTATGAAACCTTGACAGTTTTTTCCATTTATACTTATCAATAAACTGATAACAGATTTCTGATATTGAACAATCAGGATTTGAAACTACAGTGTATAGTGCTTGCACTTAAGTAAATAAATACTTAAATCATAAAATGAGATTTAGGAAAGATTTTGTATCGAATGAATATTTTTTTGATTTTAAAAAATATAGAATGAAATCAAATTGTTCGAAATATTAAAAATTATTAAATTTTTTCAAAATATGGTATAAATATGTAGATTAAATATTTTTCTTTGCTTTAAAATATAGCTCTTTCTAATTTTCCGAAATATATGATCTGTTTCTTTTGAGTTAGTCAGATTAAATAAGTAAGCTTTTTTTTACTTTAAAAATTTGATTGATCTAATATTAATATAAAATGAGCGAATTTTTAAATTGAAACCGTGTTTGTTTGGCTTTTTCTATTAATAAAAAACAATATTTGATTTTTAATCTTTATCTTTTTTAATTTATAATCATAAATTTGTATTTACGGAGGTCGTTTGGTATCGGAAATGAAGTGTTTTTTTTTTATGCAGATAATTTTGTTTTTATTATTCATATATGTTATATAGCTCAAAAATATTACTAGTTAATCTTCTAATCTATTATTATGGTAATTCCAGTCTGGCAGCTGCCAAATCTCTAATGACTGGAAACTCTACTGTATTTTCCAGCTTTCTCTGTGTCCATGATAGTAATTTCATAAACACTTGAAGCTTGGAATTTGGCGGCTGTCCTTGGCTTGTCAAAATTGCCGCGTTAACTTCACTCGCTATCTGCTGCAGACGAGAAATTGAGGCTAAATGACTTACAGGGGAAGTCGATAAATCATTAAAAGCCAGCAATGACATTGCTTTCTCTAATTCGCCCAAATACTCTTTATTTCCTTGTGCGGCTGGTGCCAGAACTTCTTGGCCATATCCCAAAGCTTCACTGATTCGGTTTTCTTTAATATATTCAATAAGTCTTTGCAGGCGTAAATTGAAGAAAAGTGACTGATTTTGCTGTAAAAGTAAAGGATTTGAAGTGTTGATCATGTCAATTGCTTCTTCTATCTGCCCTCTCATAATGGCGTTTCTAATTTTCATTCGGTCTTCTAAAGTGCTTAATTCGACCCCTGGCTCAGTTCCTGATTCTGTGCGGAATTGCTCAGCTGCTGTTTTGTAGCCTTCCAGAACTAAGTAATTCATCACCAACTGGTTAAGCTGTTTTTTTGGAATTTTTAGCTCCTCCCATTTAATAACGAACAAAACCGTAATTTTTTTTCGCTAAAATTTCCTTACTCCCCCCCCATCCTTTATCGAACGATTGACTGTAAAAATTCCTAAAAATTTGGGGAAAATTAATCCCCATCCTTGATGGAACGATTTTCATATCATGCAAATTTTTATATATATAAAAAAATATATTATTTATCAAAAGCTTGGGAAGATGTACATAATGAAGTGGTTTTCAGAGCTTTGAGACGACAGAAAGCTGCGGAATCAACCATCCGAAGTGATTTAATCATTAACATAGGCTTAAAAACTCAATAATCTAATAAAATAGAGATTCTTTAAAATTTTTAAAAAAAAAATTTAATTTAATAAGGAACAAATTAAAATTTATTCAGTTTAAAAGGGTAACTAATAAATCAAAATATTAAAAATTGGTATTTTATGAAATTAATTCAATTTTTTGCTGTAAAAATAATTATTAAATACTCTTAACCTCCTATTTAAAAGTAAATAAAAAATATAATTTTATTTTATATATAAAATGTTTTTCCCAAAAAAATTTTTTTAACCCCCATCCTTGATCGAACGATGGCGAGTCGTTCGATCAAGGATAGGGGGGGAGTTAGGTTCCATTTAATAACGAACAAAATTTATTATAAAATTTATATAAGCTAATTTAGTCTTTACAATTTACTAATTTTAAGTAGGTAGAATAAGATAAGGACAAGCATAATCGAACAAATAATAATAAATAAGAGCTAGCAAGTTGCTAGTGGCTTAATCTTAAGCTGGTACTTTAAAATCTTGCATAATTATGTCCATAACCACCAAATCCTTTATCTGAAATTTTTTTTAAAAAAAAAATAGACATTTAATATAAAATTTTATATATGCTTTTCCCATAAATTTTATAAGTTAGACCTCATTTAATAACGAACACAATATTAAAAATGTCAGTTAGAGATAGGTCCTAAACCCTGCTCCAGCAGGCAATGACCTATTATCGAGATTAGGTAAAGAGGCCATCCTCTTGAGAGTGTCGATAAAGAGAAGAGGTCAATGCTGAGCCTGGCATTGATCAGAGAAGTCTTAAACGGACTTGCTAACCCTAACGGTTCGACGGTTAGGTCGGTCCACCTACCGTTGTTCAGAGCTGTTAAACAAGTTGGACCTCAAGTAAGGAGATAAAGAAAGAGTAATTCAATTAAACTTAAACTTACACTTAAATAACGAACAAAAAAGTGTTCGTTATTAAAATGGGGGAGTAAGTCATCAATACGCTTTTTCCATTCTTCCTCTGTGATTATCTTTTTATTTCTTTCAGCGCTCATTATATTTATTATGTCGGGTTTACATTGTTAATGTTTAATGCTGAATATTTAAAGTCTCTATTTCCAGTAGCGTGTTGGCACAAGCGAATTGGGTGGACTTTCACCTCTGGTTCCTCTGAGTCCAGGCCGAAACCCTGGTTTCTCGGTAGTGGGTTGCCCTATTTGTGTTCGCAGACCCTTGCTGGGCACCACCATTTCCAACTCAGTCCCTTCGCCGTCTAAGGCCAACTGTGCCTACCCTGGCCGGTGTCGTCCTCTTAAAGGACCCTTTGAACTGGAGGGACCGCCTTGTTTTCGAGTCTAGCCTGCTTCCCCTTTTATCAGGTCATCCCTGAGTAAAACCTCAACCACTTCCGTGATTCGGGGCAAATTAATCAAGAGCAGCTTGAGCAGGGAAATCACCCTGCTCCATTTCGGGCACCCGCTGGCTAGGGCGCTGCTGGAAAAAAGGATTCACAATTAGCTGCCCAAGGATCAGGCCACAAATCAGCGGGTCTGTGCTTCAGCCTATCTCTTCTGGGCTCCTGATGTTGCTGGGCCATATCATTCCTCCTGAAAACCATGCCCGGGTATGCATGGGCTACCGTCATGCGAGAGGACGGATCGGACATTATACTCCATTTTATGTATATTCGGGTTTATAATAAGGCATGATATTTAGCATATGCGATAGATTTTCAAAAATAGAGAAAGGTGGTAATCAGATTTAAGCTAAAATTATCAAATGCTCAAAGACAAATTTGAATTTATCTTGAAAATAGATTATCATTCACGTGAAACAATTTTAAAAGAATAAATTAGCTGGAGGAGTATAAGTTTTATTTTGCTAAACAAAAAGAAAAGGCTAATTTTACTTGATGTAATATTCATATATTTTTAAGCCAATGCAATTGTACAGTGCTTCTTTAATCCTGATAAGAATTCTTGCAAGTTATGAGTAGGCTTTCTAAAAAGTTGAATAGAAGGACTAGCCAAAAATAGTTTAATAATAATCATGCTCTTGCTGATATTAAATCTTTGTAAATCGATTTATTTAATGTCAAGATAATAAGAATTTAATTGAAATTGTTTAAAAGATTTTTATGTCCAAATCATTAAATAAGGGCTTTGAAATAAGAGCAATAAATGAATTCACCCATTTCCCTTTATATATCTAACAATAATTGAATAATACTTTAATGCCAATAAATAATTAATTAGATAATAGTTTTAATATTTTTCTTGAAGAGAAAAATATTGTGAAACCTGGACATTTATTTCTCTCCTCATATTTTTCTTCATTTCCTGCTTGACTTTATATCTATATGCTGCTAAAGCAATAGCAAAAAGTGCGATCATTCCTAATAAAATTCCTACTACTGATCCTATAGACGCTATATCTTCATTATTTTGATTATGCTCCATATTAATGCAAGCCTTTGGCATGTTTTCGAAAGATGCACAAATTGCTTCACAAACTTCTTCACTCTCCCAGTTTCCTCTATATGTTTGGTTATTTATTACGATTGCAGGGTAAAATTGAATGCCTGACTGCTTTCATCTATTCCTTTCGTTCCTCAGTAATGTGTTGTCATTGATATAAATGCTATTCCCTTCTGTACTTGTTCGTAACTCTCGTGCTTCTGTGAGCACACAAAAAAAATTTATTCGCTCACGAAGGGTTAATTTTTTTAATATAAATTTATAATAAAATTAAGTTATTTTAAAACAATTCCAATTCAAAATAATTTTAAAGCAAGCATTAATTTAATTTGTAAAATTTATGTTTCAAAATGCAAGTTATTTAAAATTAAATAGAATTAGCTCGAGAACGAACTATAATAATTATCACTTATATATATTTTTTTTGGGTTCGCTCACAGATGGTGGGTTTTTACCCAAAAATAAGGATTTTTTCAATGGTTTTGCTCGCTCAAGGAGGGGAGTAAGCAATTCTGAACTTGATTATAATCCAGACCTAAATTATTCATTAAATCTTTGGAGCAATCATTGGAAAACGACGATCTACATAGCTTATGATAATCCTTTATGTATTTAAACCACAAATCATACTGCTTACTTGTGCTGACGACTGAGTAAAGACATATTTCTCTTAAATCTTCTTCAACTACAAATCTTCCAGATATAGGCCCAAGATTATCTGGATCAACTGCACAGTATCTTCCACCGCTTAAACAATCAGCACGGCTTTTGGTGTAATTTTCTGCTTTGCACTCAGTACATTGCCAATGGACAAATCCAGGCCTAAATTTTACAAGTTCAAAGTCAATTTTATGGATCATGTCATGAAGATCAGATAAAAAGTCAAAAACCTTCAAATTGTCACTCGACATCCACACATCAAGTTGCACTATTGAATAAGTCCTTTTCATTTCAAATTCTATCGAAATTTCTGTTTTAGTTTCTAATGCAGCTTGTCTAAGCTTATTTCCATCGCGATTGTTAACAATTACTGTTGGGATTTGGATTTCATAGCCAATTCCGTCATCATATATGTTTATTTTCTCTAAATCACTGTCATCTGTGTTGATTAAAATTACACAATTGATGCCGATATCTTGGGCATATTTTACTTTTAATGTATTTGAACATTCACCAATATCGAAAATAATGAATTTTGGGACTGGCTCTTCATGAGATGTTGTGTTTATTAAGGTGTGACGGCATCCATAAGGATCATCTGCATTTTCAATCTGCCCTATAATACTGCGCCCATATGGCGGAAGTCCAAAATAGGCTAATACAGATGGAATTGAACTGCTATTGTAAATGGTTTGAAAATAGTCTACTAAAGGCCTAGGGTTAATTACTTTAATATTGCCATAAGTGTAGCTTATAAGTAACGTAAAAGCCAGTGCTATTTTTGAAATTCCTAAGAAAATTTTCATTTTATAAATTAGAAATGGAAAGCAAACGTTGGGAAAAAAAATTGAATGAAATGATGGAAAAGCATCGGAAAACTCAAGAAGAAAATAGGTCTAAGAAGAGAAGTCAGATTTATAAGCAGATGCGTGAAGTAACTGCAGTGCCAAAAATCGATGAAATGAGCGATAAAGTAGCAATGATTATAAAAATGAAAGAGAACGGAATTTTAGAGCAAGAAGACCAGCAACAGCAGCAAGAAGAACACAAATCGCAAGTATATAAAGCAACACTCCAAGCAAAAAAGCAAGACACTTCTCCTAACCTAAGGTCAAGCCAAAGAGACGCGACAACTGTAAGTCAAAAATCAAAATCGAAACTCGCAGAGGCTTCTAAATCAAGGAAGAAGAATGAAAAACCCAAGTTAAAATCACTTGATCTGTCTAATATGAAGTTAGAAGAGTTTAAAGAACTGAAAAAATCCTTTTTAAGAGCCCAGTGTTTGCATACTAGACAAAATTCTGCTCAAGCCTTTTCTCCAAGATTGCACATAGATCTCACGACAGGAGAAGCTTCAGAGCTTTATATAAATGCGAGAGCTCCACAAACTGCAAGAGTAAAAACACCATCAGGTTTCTCCAGCGCTGAAACTATGCAGAGAGGTCTTCTGCAGAGCACTGAAAATCAGCAAAGTAATTCAAAAGAAACTTTTTATGAAAAAAATATGAAATGGGCAACTGAAAAAGAGAGAGGGTTAAAGACAGCCAGAGAAAATAGAAAATCATGTGACTTGAGTGAATGCACGTTTAAGCCTTCAATAGAAAGACTGAAATTGAAAGAAAAGCCTACGAATTGCTCGAAAGAAGAAAAAACTTATTCTGGGCTGTATTCTGATAGAAAAGTTAGGGATTCTTCAAAAACGAAGCCAGAAGGAGAAAAAAGAACTAATGAAATTGAATCGTCTCAATTTTTAGCTACTATAGATGCATCCGCAATTAAACTTGCAAGTGAGTCTTTATTAAAGAAAAGCTTAGCACCAAGCAATATTAAAGTCAAGCGGAAAGAAGGCTTCGATTTGAAGCTATTTATGAAAAATGCCAAGCCAATGGTGAAATACTCTTCTTTAAATTACTTGAATTAGGAAGGAATAAATAAAAGGATTTATTAATTTTGTATTATTTCTTTTTTGATAAGTCAGTTTTGAAAGTGTTAACCTTGACTTCTAAATCTTTCAGCATTTTGGCATTCCTTTCTACCATTGCTTCTAAAACTTCGTCGCTTATTGCTTCATTTCTGCTCATTATTCCAGCACTAGTCATAGGTCTTGATGTTGCAGCAGTATATGGCCTTCTCATTTCATTATTATTTTTCTTTTTTTTATTTTCAAGCTCCACAACTCTAGCCCTAAGTCTTACATTTTCTTCAAAGACCTGTCTTGCGACTGCTCCCATTCCTTCTTTTAGCTTATATCGCAAGTCATTTACCTCATCCAGCAAGACATACATTGAAGCTACCTCTCTCCTTAATCTTTCATTTTCTTCTTTTAGGAACTCAGGGTCTTCCTTTTTTAGCTCTACTTTTTCTTGAAGCAATTTATCGCGCTCTTCTTTGACTTCTTCTAGTTCGTTTCGAAGCTCTTCAACTTCAGCATAAAGCAGCTGCATTTCATTCGCTTCTTGTACTTTTGCACTCGTTCTTAGTCTTCCAACAAAATTCTTAGGAATAAAAGTTTCTAATTCACCATATAAATCATGAGCAATTTGAATGTCAACGTCTGTAATTGCTTCACCATCTAAAAGTTCTAGCTTTAGTTTTATGATTACTCTATATCTGCTATTCTGTGTTTGCAGAATACAAGGATTTCTATCTATATCTAGCTCTTTAAGTTTGGGCAGTTCTTGAAGTATTTTCAAGGAAGAATCTAAGTCAAATAGCTTATTATTATAAATGCTCAAAGTGCTCAGTTGTTTCAACCCTTTCAAAGGTAATATCACTTTTATTTGGTTATTTGAGCAAAAGAGCTTTCGAAGTTGGGAAAGAGACTCAAGAGGGCTAAGATCAGTAATCATGTTGTTGTTAACATTGATCTCTTGAAGTCCTAATAGTTCTGATACTCCTACAATTGATTTAAGTTTGTTGTGTGATAGACATAAATATTCTAGGCTGATCATCTCGCTTAGATCTAAAAACTCGCTACTTTCAAAACTTTGCAGGTTTTTATCTCTCAGAATCAGCTCTGTTATATCATCAATGGTATCTTGTCCTGTGGTTTCTAATAAATAGTCAACAGTCAAAAATTCATTTTTTTCAAGTTTTCCATCTCTTAGCCCAATTTCAGCGGTAATTTCTTCTTTAATATAGTCTGGTGTTTTTATATCGTTTTTTGTTTGAGGCTGAGTATTGAAGAGCTTTTCTTTCATTTTTTCTATTTCATTAATAGTGTCATCTGCTTCTTGTATATCATTTTCCTCTTTGGCTTCAGAAATAATTTCTGTAGGTGGCTCTGCTTCTTGGAAATCTCTTTCGAGATGACGACGAGTTAAATGCTTTCTTAAATCTTCTTTATTGAAAAATCCCCTTCCGCAGTCTTCATATGGACAAAAAATTCGTTCACTCATATTGAAGTTTTAATAGTAATTTTATAATTTAAAGTATCGAAACTCTTTATAAATAGAGAAAATCGTAAAGGTATAAAGATTTTGTGGACATAAGGAATGAAAAAAATGCTATAATTAGAGAAGTTTCAATTAATTAAAAATATAATAAAATATCTGGGTTATTTAAATAATAAAATTTTAAATAAAAATTTATTGATTTATGATCATTCTTAAGCAGCAATGCTCAGTAAATTCATAATTTGGATTTATATTAACTCCCCCCCTTAAATTCGAACAGATTTCTGTAAAATTTCCTTTTTAAATTGAAAATTTCTATAAAAATATTTTATTAATTTTTTTTTTGAAAAAAAATTAGAGTTTTTCAATTTAAAGAGAAGGGTAAGGGCTTAAGCTATATCAGTCAGGAATAGTACCATTTATGCCATCTAGTAAGAAGAGGTTATATAAGTATTATTCATAATAAAGCATGAGTCATAAATTACCACCCAGCAAGACTCTTCACTCTCATGAAAACAAGCATCCAGCTGAGCAATCCGACAACCTAATACAACCAAAGGTCTCACCTTCAACTCTTGGATCTTCTCCATTTAGACAAGGACCAAAGAAACCGCACAACATATTTTTTAATGCGTCCATCTCTATTTCTCAGCTGAAAGTGATGGGAGACATTGATATAATTGATGAAGAAGCGGATGATAGCCCTGAAAACGTCATAAGCTGGGAGCAGAATAAAATTCGAATCGACAATCTCAAAAGCAAAAATTCCTCCATAAGCCCAGTAGACTCTTTAATAATCAAAAAAATTGAGGAAAAACAGCCACTTGAAAAAGCTTCACCTCTACAAGTCTCCCATAAAGTTAGTGAAATTAAAAAAAAGTTTGTATGAGCTGAGGTCTCCTATGACTCAGATTTCACACCTACCCCAGTCAATGAGATCAAGCCAAAAGAAAAGGCAAACCATATAGAAATAAAACAAGAGCCAGTTATCTTGCAGGCACCTCCTCTTAAGCCAGCAGTTTTGAAACGGAAGAAAAGAGGCGAATTTCAAGATGAAACCATTATTCAGAACAGATATACAGGTATCCTTAAGTTTTATAAGCTGAAAAACAGATTTGGATTTATTGCTATGGACGATGGGTCAACTGATGTGTTTATATGTGAAGATGATCTGGTCCTATCAGGAGTTAACCTTAAAAAGTTCAAGCAGGACGTATACAATAAAATACCAATTCAGCTTAGTTTTTTGATAAAAGAATACGAAGACAAAGGTAAACCCAAAAGAAAAGCGGTTGAAATATCTATGACTGAAAATAAAATTCCTGAATAAAATGAGTGAGGTAAGGCACATCTTAAATTAGTCTTATTATGAGAGTCTAGCTTAATAAGTTTAAAAAAAGCTAAGTTTTAACATTTAAAATGGAGGAATTTAATTGTTGAAATTTGGAATCAGCGATAAATCTGCCAAATCACCAAAAAAAGAGAAGTTTAGATATAACGAATAGCATAAACACAGATTCAGAATTGAATATTTCTTATCGTTCTGAAAACAACTCATATATGAGAAATCAGCCTAAGTATATACAGCTAGCGATACCAAGTTTATTTAAAGCAAACTCAATTCAGTTAAGAGGTAGAGGATCCTCAACGAACCCTTCAACCCCTTCAACAAGTTTGTGGAGAAAGCCATCATTAAGTACAATAAGTAAATCAAATATTTCTGCTGAAAACTGCTCTTTATCCCCAAAACGATGCTTAATTCCTATGTCTAAGGTTTCCTCATGTGAAGTAAATTTGCCTATAAAATTCCAAGAAGATTTGCTAAAGAGAACTATGGAGAGAAAAGCGCTTGCACAAGTTGTAAAACTGAAAAATGATAGAGAAATTAGCGTTGAAAGTCATAGGAGACCGAAAGAGGGAGATGATAAACCTCTTAATGCAAGTAAGAAGTTATTTGAAAAAGAAAGCTCGACTTATAAGATTGCTTGTTCTAATAGCAAAGAAATGAAATACACAGAAATATATGCAAGGCAGCAACAAATGAAAGAAAATGCTCTAAACACAACAGTGCTTGGAGTCAGTACGAAGCTAAACATAACAAATGGAGTAAGAGGACTTGGATATTCTCAAAAAAGGAGAACAAAAGGTCAAGAAAACTTGACTATAGAAGTAAAGCATGCCTTTTCATCTAATACGGAAAATGAAATTGAAAGTCCTTTCTCTTCGAAAGATTTAGAACAAAGATACAATAAATTGACAGGGCAGCTGGATTATATATCAAAAAGGATTCAAGATGTTATAGGTAAATGCTCTGATTAAATAAGCTTGAACATTTTTAACTTCGGAAAACGATAAATCAAAAATTTTAATAAAATTAAATAATATAGTGGTTTTCCTTGAAGGAATATTTTTACAAAAATTAATCTTAAAATATGTTTTGCTAATCTATTTATAGCGGAAATAATTAAAATGACTATTGTTTCTCAAATGGCAAGGTTTTTGATGATTTTTGGGCTAATTTTAAGTGGCTTAAAGTCGATTGTGATTGCTTCCCAAAAGTAAAAGCAAATTTAAAAAGCTGACTTGTGTCACGAGCTTTCTCCTTAAAAAGTAAACTTGGATATCTTTTACGTTGGACATAAATTCCAACTAAAACTATTATGGCTCATCCAAATATCAAGACAGTAAGTAAAGGAGTTGCTATAGTATGATCTCGAAGACCTAGCTCAATTGTTGATAATAATGCAAGCCATATAACTCCTATTAGAGTTAAGCCTTGCCATCAACTATATCTAGCGTAATTATAAGGCTTGAATCTAAAAATAAATATAACATAAATGGTCATAATAATGATAAAAACAATTCCATGGCCGATATCTGTAGATCGTTTGACTGTTTTATTTAAAACAATTAAAGTAGTTTGAACCACCGTTTTAACCATCAAAAATAGAGGTACAGCTTTCACATGTAATGCAGATTGCAGTTCTTGTCAAAGCGGACGACAAAAGACCGCTAAAGGTTCATATGCAACTAATGCAATAAAGGCTAAAATAGCATAGACTAAGTGCTCACCTTTCCAACAGTAATAATAGCAATCTTTTGCTAAAAAGCTGTCAGTAAAATTGTTTCCAATAGACTGGTCACATACAAAGATATCAAGGCATATTGATATAAAAGGAATAAAGCAAAGATTCCCTAGTATAGGCATCAAATAGTCAGCTGCAGTTCCTAGAAGTCTAAAAATTCATATATTTTGCCACTTTTCATCAAGTCTAAATAAAACAACTGCACAAAGTATAATTCATGAGACAATTCCAGCATACACTCCATCAACTACAATCCAAAAGACACCGTTTTCCAGTTTTAAAATGCTCCCTAAGCTCAAAGACATCGCATTGCTTAGATCATATAAAAATGAGCTCATAAATGAGTAATCAGGCCCCATAGATGAGAACTGGAAGAATTCTATCGCGATTGTTGCACCTACAATAATATCTTGAAGAGAAATTTCCTTTTTTTCTTTCAATTCTTCAATAGAAATATTCCACCATTTTTTCCAAATTATAAAAGTTATTATTGCAGTCACTAATCCAACTGTAAAGCATATGGCGAAAAGGACAGCTCTCCCTTTATCGAATGTTCTTACTTCTTTGTTAGGAAAAGGGCATTTGTCATTCTCATTTCTATAATCTGCAGGCTTTACTGTTGTCCCATCAGCGTAAACCAAAGGAGATTGGATTGACAGCAAGGTTGTGCTAAATGGTTTTAGCTCTCCTATATCATATATACTTGATATTCCATTTTCATTAACGTCAATAGCTTGTACTAAGTACGCATCAAATACTCTATCATTGCTTCCGTTATCTATAATCACTCTTCCTGTGCAGCCATTAAACTGGACACCTCTAATAACTGTCATCAATTTAGTCGAGTTTGAATAGTCTTGTCCTCTATTAATCATATAATCTAAGCCATAAGCTGTTAATAAAAGTGCATCGAAATAATAACAATTAAATGTAGTCGCAGCCATATGATATGATGAGGCTATCCTTTTTATAGCATCTTGTCCAATATCCCCAACAAACATCAAATTAGAAACTGTTAAAGTAGTGTATCCAGCTTCCAGTCTTTTGTATAAATTTGTGTCATTCATTAAAAAATAGCTAAGGGTATCTGGGACAGCTGCCATTATTACAAGATCTCCTTTTCTTATGCCTAAGTCATAGAGGTATTCTGCGGCAGAATTGCATGATGGGGGCTGAATCAGTATAATAAACAGTCTTACTTGAGAATCTACAACTGCTTGAAACGAAGCTTTATATGAACTAATTGTGGTGCTGTTTAAACCTGTAGCAAGAGGACGTAAATCCTCCGGATTCACAAATTCAATACCTAATGTCTTTGCCGTTGCCAGCATCTGGGTATATACTGGAAAACCTCATCCATTATTTTCATATAATATTGCAGCTTTTGTTCATCCCATTGCTTTTAATAATATTAGAGACTGGCTGTATATTGCAGATGATAGCAACCTTACATAAGCTGGATACTCTGTAGAAGAGCTTAAAGTCGGATTTGAATTGACGCTTCCGATATTGGGTATCGTTATATTTAGCTGACTAAATATTTGCAAAGCCCCAAGAGCAACTGCTGATCCATATGCTGTAAAATGAGCAAGACCTAAATTTTCTATATCTTTTGTGTAGCAGGCTCTTGCAAATGCTTCATTAAAAATGCTTACTCCACAATCATAATCATGTAGACTCAGTTGGAAATTTGAGAGGATATCGCTGCCTTCATTTATTTTATCCATAGCCACATACGAGCCAATTGCACCTAGCTTTTGGTTTGGAACAGATGGTCCTCCAGGGTTAGTTGTTCCACCATTTATACTTAAGGGTAAAATTTTTTTAGTTGATTTAGGAACTGAATATGTCAGACCTGGGAATGAAATATTACTGAAAATTGTAACGACTTCATTAACAATAGAGCCTACAATTATTCTGTTTCCATTTTGAATGTTCACTATAGAAAATTCATTTTTGCTATAATGATTCGGTAGATAAAGTTCAATTAATTGTACAATTTCTTCTGGGTTTTCACTCGAAATGTTATTTGATATATACGTTAGGGTATGAGTTACACATTTAATAAAATGCTCATTTGGATTTTTGTCGAATTCATGACCGAAATCAGTTATGATTAAAGCTCCTAATAAATTAGAGCCATACCCGCTATCTTGAGTTAGTAAAATTCCGTTCCCGGAGTCTAGTAACCGAGAATTTCTCAAAGAATTTTGTAAATTTGCTGATTCGATTGGATCAGTAAAAATGTAATAAAGGGTGGATCCTAAATTAAAAACAACTTTATTGACGAGTTCGTCAATATTTGTCCCAGATTCAATATATATAAACTTCAGTTCATTTGAAAACCTCAAAATTTCATCTTTTATAGCATAGTTGGCAGTATTACCAAAAACAATACCTTCTGTTCAGTTAAAATAGCTTAACAATTTAAAAAATGCTTTCATTTGATCGTTCATGGATGTTGTAATCGAAAAAGTTCATTTGTCTGAGTATTTTATATGTTTATGGTAGATTAAATGCACCAAGCTATTTTCTTGGCTAAATTGAGAAAGGGCAAGCTGAGTATTTAAATCAAAAGATAAATCGAGCAAAATCGAAGAATTTTGATGAGATGTAATGCATTCAACTATTCTAGATGGTTTACATTCATGAAATTCAATTGGAGGGTCAATAATTCTTATTGCTTCAAATAATGATTTTCTATCAAAAAACTTAGTCTTAGAAACCGAATTTGTTTCCTCGAGATCTGGACACGTTATTATAATTTCTAAAGTAAAAATTCTGCTTATAGAAGCAAATAAGACCATCATTGAGGTAAACCTAACGCAAGGCATATTATTTTATTAAAACCTAAAAATCTAAAATAATAACAAATATAAAAATTTTTCCTCCTCCACACATTACTATCAAAAACTCATATAAATAATTATAATATGAATAATTTTAATATAGAAAATGCATAAAAATAAAAGGTGATAGAATAAGATAAAGAAAATGAAATAAGAATTTCAAAAATTTTCATAATTATATTTTCAGAATCGCGCTTTATTATAAATCACCAAAACAAGTTGCATTTAAACAAGGAGTTGAGGTTTATAGCCCAGGGCTATATTAAAGTTGCATATATTTTTTAAAAATTATTGAATTTCCATAATTAATGTCTCTAATAAATGGAGTATTTATTAAATAAAAAATTAATTATATTTCATTTTGTGAGATGAGAAGCTTAATAAATATTATCAATCATATTTAGCTTTTTTCCGGGATTATTTTCGTACTTTTATAGCCTGATTTAAATGTTTCTAGCGATTTCTTTGATTGTTTTCCAAATGTAAAAGCGAATTTAAACAATGTGCTTGTGTCTCTTGCTTTCTTTTTGAAAAGCAAGCTTGGGTATTTCTTGCGTTGTATGTACAATCCAATAGAAGCTATTGTAATCCAGCCAAATATCAAGATAATAAGCAGTACAGTTGAAATATTGTGATCTTGAACTCCTAGTTCAATTGTTGATAAAATAGCAAGCCATACAACTCCCACTAGAGTTAATCCTTGCCATCAGCTAAATCTTGCATAGTTGTAAGGTTTGAATCTAAAAATAAATGCAACATAAATTATCATAATAAAAATAAAGACAACTCCATGGCCTACATCTGATGATCTTTTAACTGTTTTATTTAATACAATTAGAGCCGTTTGAACCACTGTTTTTACCATCAAAAATAAAGGCACAGCTTTTACATGCAATGCTGGTTGTAGTTCTTGCCAAAGAGGACGGCAAAATACAGCCAAAGGCTCGTAGGCAATTAGAGCTATAAATGCTAAAATGGCATAAGCTAAGTGCTCATCTTTTCAGCAAAAATAATAACAGTCTTTGGCTAAGAAGCTATCAGTAAAGTTGTCTCCAATTGACTGATCACAGACAAAGATGTCAAGACATATTGAAATAAAAGGAATAAAGCAAAGATTTCCCAAAATAGGCATCAAATAGTCAGCTCCAGTCCCAGAAATTCTGAAAATCCAAATATGCTGCCATTTTTCATCAAGCCTTAATAAAACCACTGCACAAAGAAAGATTCAAACAGCGATTCCTGCATAAATTCCATCAACAACAATCCAAAAAACTCCATTCTCCAGCTTTAAAACGCTACCTAAGCTCAATGACAGAATATTACTAATATCATACAAAAATGAGCTCATAAATGAATAATCAGGTCCCATAGAGGTATATTGGAAAAATTCTATTGCTATCGAGAAGCCTAATACAAAGTCTTGAAAAGAAATTTCTTCTTTTTCTTTCAGCTCCTCAACAGAAATATTCCATCACTTTTTTCAAATAATAAATGTTGTTATTGCTGTAACTAGGCCTACAGTAAAACAAATTGCAAAAAGAACTCCTCTTCCTTTATCAAATGTTCTGATATCTTTGGTTGGAAAAGGACAATTGTCATTCTGATTTCTTAAGTCAGAAGGTTTGTTTGTTGTCCCATCTGCGTAGACTATTGGAGTTGTAATTGTTAATATCTTTGTGCTATATGGCCTTAATTCTCCTATGATATATATGGCTGGATTTCCGTTTTCATCAGTTTTTATTCCTTGCATTAAATGCATATAGAATATCCTGTCATTGCTGGTTTTATCAATCCTTATTCTGCCTGAGCATCCTGTAATTTCAACTGTTCTGAGAGCCTTTATCATTTTGCTAGAGTCGGAGTAATTTTGTCCTCGATTAATCATATAATCCAAAGCACTCGCAGCTAAATAAAGAGAATCAAAATAGCAGCACATTGATGGTGTTCCCTGGACATTATATTGCGCTAGAATCCTTTTTTTAGTATCTGCCCCTATATCTCCTACGAACATCTTGTTTGCAATTGTTAATGCTGCGTATCCAACTTCTGATCTTTTATATAGATTTGTATCATTTTGTATAAAATAATTCAAAAGCTCTGGGGCTCCTGCCATAACAATGATATCTCCTTTTCTTATCCCAAGATCATATAATAATTCTATTGCATAGTTGCATGCTGGACACTGAACTATCACTAGAAATAGTCTTGCTTGGCAATCTATTACTGCTTGGAAATTTTCTTTTAAGCCTTGCATCGCTGTGCTATTTAAAGACGGTGGAATTGCTCGTGAGCTTTCTGGGTTAATAAATTCAAATCCTGATTTTTCTGCGTTTTCTATAACAAGTTTATATGCTGGTATACCCCATCCATTATTTTCATACATAATGGCTCCTTTTGTCCATCCTAATGCTTTTAGGACAATAATTACTTGGCTATATATAGCGCCATCAATAAGCCTTACAAACATTGGATAAGTGTCTGTAGAAGCCAAAGATGGATCCATAGTTACACTCCCAATTGTTGGCATCTTTAGTTTTAGTTGATCAAATGCTTTTAATACTCCTACAGTTACTGCCGATCCAAAAGGAGAGAGAAAGCTGAGACCTAGTCTATCAATGCCATTTGATATGCAAGACTTTACAAATGAAGCATTATAGATACTCACACCACAATCAAAACTTGTAAGACTTATTTGAAAATTCGCCAAAACATCGTTGCTTTCGTTAATTTTATTTTTAGCTATATATGCTCCAATTGACCCTGTTTTCTGAACGGGAGTTGAAGAAGCTCCAGGATTTGTTGTTCCGTCATTTATGCTTATCGTCAAAATTTTTTTAATTGATTTTGGGATAGCTTCAGTTTTGCCTGGAAATTTTGCTTTTCTAGAGATTGTAACATTTCCATTTATAATAGACCCTATAATTATCCTTTCACCGTTTTGGATATTTACAATAGAAAATTCGTTTTTCTTATAATGATAGGGCAAATATGAATCTAGTAATAATGAAATTTCATTAAAATTCTCAGAAGAAGTTCTATTAGTAATATACGTTATGATCTCTATAACAGATTTCGTCAAAACATCTTCATATGAATTATCAAGCTCATGGCCTATTTCAGTAATTATTAAAGTTCCATCAATAATTGCTCCATAGCCACTTTCCTGACTTAAAATGAGTCCATTTCCTGTGACCAAGAGCTCTTTATTTTTTAAACACAATTGCAAGTCCGCTGACTCAAAATTTTCAGCATATATTAGATTATTAAAACACGCACTAGTCGTATTGCAGATGCAGTACTAAAACCTTCTTTACAGAAGGTTCATTCACTTTTCGATGGACTGCCAGTAGATCTAGCTGTAGCCAGTACTCCTTGTCTTCATGTTTTAATCTTGAATGGATGATTATGGATTTCTGCAATCCTGCATCGGACAATTCAGAGATTCTTATTTTCAGGATTAGTTCTTGGGAGTTGCTTTGGCAGCTACAGGAAGAAACCGTTTCACTATGGTCTGGGCCGAAACCCCTCAGTAGAGGTGCCCAAGGTTGAAGGCCATGAGCACCTTCATTTCCAACTATAGGGCAGCAACTAAATCCTACTGGGTATGCATTTTAGAGGCTGAACTTATTTTTTGGTTTGGAGTCCATTTCAGTTCACCTTAGCCTTAAGTTCCAACTGTTGTTCAAAGAGCGCAGGTTGACACAAGCCACCATTTTAAATGTATATTCAAAATTGTCAGTAAGAATATAATAAAGATTGGCACCGAGTCGGTAAACAATTTTATTTACTAATTCATCAATATTTGTGGTAGATTCTATTGTTAAATATTCTAAAGCTTGCGAATACTGATAAATTTCCTCCTTCATCTGAGATTGAATATTATTGCTAAAAACAACTCCTTCTTTCCAGCCAAAATAGTTTAGCATTGAAAAGAATGCATTCAGTTGATCTGTGTAGGATGAAGAAATTGAATAACTTCACTTCTCAAGGTATTTGATTTCTTTTTGGTAGACCAAGTGAATTAAAAAATGGTTTTTGCTGACTTGAGAAAGAGAAAACTGAATTGCAATATCATTTGATAAATCAAGCAATATTAATGCATTTTTATGAGCTGAAATGCAATCGATAATATTTGAAATGTTGCATTCATAAATTTCTGCTGAAGGCTCGAGAATTTGAAAACTTTCAAGTAAGAAGCTTATGTTTAAAGGTTTATAGTTGGAGCTTCAGCTTTCCTCTGCTTCTTCGGGGTATACTGTAATGATCTCTAAAGAAATAACTCCTTTAAAATAGCTAATTTTCCTTCTGCTGATAGAGCAGGATATTATTCACCTAGTAGAAGCTTAATTTTTTATAAAATTATTGTTGATATCAGAAATTTAAAATTAAGAATGGCAACTATCTAAATCTTATGAAGCTTTAATTAAGTATGATACACAAATTATTGATTTTAAAAAAAGCCTAATCCTCATGAGACATAAAATGTCAACGTCAACGGTAGATAGACTCCGAGAAACACTCCTATTGAGCAGGCATGGTCCAACCTGGTGAAGCTAAAAATAGTCACTTTTTGAAGTAGGTTTTCTGGTTTGGGCAATTTTTGCCCTTTCCCTAAAGGCTTTTCCCCCCTCACTTAGTCTATGCTCATCGGGCCCTAGGTGACTAATCCTTAGGCTAGATAGGCTTACAACAGATAGGCAAACTGGCCTTATAATTTAGGTTTACTGCTCATTTATGAAATTTATTTACTCCCCCCACTCCGTGAGTGAACCAAAAAATTTTGTTCACTCACGGAGGGGAGTTAATTTTTTTTTTTATTTAAAAAATTTATATATAAATTTTTTATAAATTTTTTATTTCGAAAATTAAAAAAAAATCTCACTTCTATAAAAATTGGGAAGAAAATATTAATTTAATTTTGTAAAAATTATGTTTTAAAAAAACGCAATTTGTTTAAAATTAAACAGATTTAGCTTGAGATTTCATTATAATAATTATCACTTATATATCAAAATTTTTTTCCATAAAAAATTTTTCTATTAAAACATTTCTGTTCCTCACTGAGGGTAAAAAATAGGGATTTTTCTAATTGTTTTGTTCACTCACGAAGGGGGGGAGTTAGCATTCCTAAAAAATAAATTCTCACTATATTGTCCGTTTGAGGCGAGGAGTGAGGAATATCAGTAGCATTATAAGCTGATATTGAGGTGAAATCATTTTTATTGTTACAGATGCGGAATAAAAATCAAAACAGCAAGTTAGTTAAAAAAAATATTTTGCGAAAAGTTGTGAAGTTATTTCAGAAGTTAGTAGAAAATAGTTGGTATATAAAATTCATTAAATTTATAGCATAAGAAACTATTAAATAAATGCCAATGAGCATATAATTTTTCATAAAATGCTATTACCATAATCGTTGTCGAAGAATTTAATAATAAAATTCGCTAATTTTAAGCAGATAGATTTTTCTTCTTTCAAGTTAAAAAATATTAATTATTATAAATAAATTAATTTTTGATTTAAATTCACGCAAATAAAATTATTTTAAGTGAATTATAAATGCTATATGATTCAGAATAAAAGCAAAAGACATTAAAAAATTGAATTTTTTTAAGTTTTTTAATGTATAGTGCTTTATAAATATTTTAACACCAAGAAATTTGTCTTACTCATCACAGTCATAAATACTCTATCCAACTGCTAAATAGCAGACTAATTGTGAAGATTAGACAGATTAACTGATGCTCCAAACGCTCACAACGCACTATACATTTTATTTGTGTATATTTATTGCAAATTTTCTAGTTTCAAGAATAAAATATATTTAATTGCAATAAAAAAAAAACATTATATGACTGATTAGCCGTTATCCTGTTATATATAAATAGAATAAAAGTTGCCAGCAGGTCTGCTTTTGTTCACTATAATTAGATATATATTTTAACTCTATACATTAAAATCACCCGCTCTATTAAATTAAAGAAAGATCATGCAGCAGCCATATTAAATAAATTAACTTTTTAAACTAATTTTATAAGAAGAAAATGAAAAGAGCTTACTGAATTTGCTAAAGATAAGAGTAAATTCGATAGACTTATCAGCTATTCTTGATACCTTTAGTTTTGAATTTTTCTAGCCAGATTTTCATTCCCATCTACGCTTCTAAATCGAGGAATTCGAATTGTACATCCCACAAACTAACTTCCTCTCTCAGTTATTTGAAAAAATCTATATATGCAAGAATAAGGTCTCATCAGTTCAAAAAGGCAATTCTGAAAGTGTTAGTTTCTTCTTGCCACTAATAAATTAGTGTAAAAATTTATCTCAAGAACTATCAAGGCATATTGAAGTAAATGGAATAACGCAAAGATTTTCTTATATAGGTATCAAAGAATAAGCTAATCACAGAGAGAAAATTGGCTTCTTGAGCTATTATTATTCAGCATATAGAAATTAAGCAGTGAGGGACTTCTTCAATACTTTCAGATAGCGTATTATCTAAAATATAGAAATGAATCTTCAAACTGATTGTGTTGGACTTTCTTCAAGGGAAGCATCACACTTATGGCTGAACTCCATAATTATCAAAGCTCCGTCAGAATTTTAGCCATATCCGCTTTCCTCATCAAAAATAATCCCACTTCCTCTATCCAAAGTTTCTTACTTTTCAGAGAATTTTGAAACTATCATGATTTCTCAAATCCAGTAAGAATATAGTAAAGCTTTTATGTAATTCAAAATACAGGTTTGTTAACTATGTTATCAATATTTGTCTCAGATTCCAGAACCATAAAATTTAATTTGATGATAGCTTAGCCTTAAAATTGCTATAAGCAGTGCTGGCAAATACAATTCATTTTTTTCGATTAAAATAGCTGAGCAGTGAGAAGAATGCAGCATTTTTTTCTTTTGATGAAGCTATTGAATATATTCATTTGCTTTAAATGTGTGCTATTGTTTTTTAGACCAAGTGAATTAGATCATTGTCGCTGCTAAACTCAGATAGCGATTGCTGACTCTCCTTATCCTAAGTGAGTAAATCCAGCCATCAGTTTAAGCCTGTCAAAGCTTTGAAAGAAAGCCAAAAGCATTACATAAAAAGAGAAATATCAATATTTAGTAAATTAGTTAGAGATTATGAATAATGTCTATAGTTAAGTGATCTAAGTGTATTTTGTATGAAATATAAAAAAAATGGCATACAGTTTATGAGCAATTAGCTCTGTAACTTTCTCTCTCATAGAATTTATTTATGAATATTTATTTTACTTAGAAAGCTGCAACATTACAACAGTAGCTGAACTTTTGCCAAAAAACTGCTCCAAGTACATCAAGGGTGGCCCTTAGTTGTAATCAAATTTTGTATAAGTTTTATTTTTTTCTTATTTAACCACTCAAAGCCATAATTATTTTTATAATTGCGTCAGCTGCTAGGATTGGGCTGGATATTTCCAGAAGACTATGAAAATTGAACTTATTTATTGTTTTATAGCAACTTACAAAATTGCACATCTATATAATAATGATAATATACTATTACATTTTAAGGCACTTTGCATGCAAAAAAAATAAGTTTATGGCGTCTGTATCCTCAATTAAATAATATTATGACGACTAGAGTGCCATTTGAAATTTAAAAACAAATATAGGGCTTTCCCTTGAATAGCCCGATAACGGACTGGCTTCATCCCGTTATCGGGCTATTCAAGGGAAAGCCCTATATATATATATCCAAATTAAAATTATATGAGGCTTCAGGAGTAACTCAATATCATATCAGCTTTCATGACAGCAAATATTGTATCTAGTATAAATTTATTATCATATTTATTCTAATTTTAATTTTATTAATGTTTTATGTCTACCCGGACTCCTGAAACACTAATAACTAGGCTTTTGGATGACGATTATAGTGAAATTATCAAAATTGACGATACCTTACAAAGAAGCTCTAAAGTTATACAAGATAGCATAAATTTGGCTTATCCCCTCCATTAGTAAGCTAGCATTTCTGAATGATTACATAGGATTTTAATTTTTTTGGAAAAGTATTTTCTTCTTATCAAAAATATTTACAGATATTTCAAAGCAAAATGTTAATTTTTATATTTAGAATGGAAGCTATCTAGGGATTTCGCTATAATATCTTCACTTATATTAAATTATTTTGCATGCTAAAAGAGGTGCTAATTCTCAAAACATTAGAATTTTTCCAATAGCACTCCTTAAAAAGGAGGATGAGAGTTATATAACTCAAAAAAGGAAAATTAGATCAAGAAGTAAGCTCGATAAGTCTTTTGAATATATCCCAAGAGAGCAAGACATTGTTCCTAGATCAAGTCCACAAATCCTTCATTCAAACCATATGCAAGATCAATCTCTTATTTACGAAAAGAACAAAGACATGCCTTATTCATCGACGTCTTTTTCAGAAGAAAATCTCTCATGAAAATCTCAAAACGATCATCAATACTACTCACCTTACCAAAAAGAGATTCTACCTCTGAAAGGAGACGAAGAATATGAATTGAAAATTTCAGAACTTATGAAAGTCTTAAAACGAGAAACCGATTTAAAGCTCAAAAGTGATGAAGAGCTCCGATATGTAAATTTGAAAAATAAAGAAATGAAAGAAAATGAAATCAATTTAAGGAAGCATATCGAAACATTAACTGATTTATTAAATAAAACAAAAATTGATGAAAATTACAGAGAAGAAAAAGTGAATAATGTTCAGTTAGAGTCTTCGAAATGTGGGACAGATGGAGGGGTTTCTGAAATAGAGGGTGCTCTAGAAAATCAGAAAGTTTGTAAAATGGTTAATCCAGAGAGTCAAATTAAAGAGTTGAAGGAAAGCCACAGACTAGAAATAATGCAGCTAAAAGACCAAATTCTTGAACTGTCAAGAGAAAAAACATTATTTGAACTAAGGTATAATAATTTGTTTTCAATCCATTCTCAAAGCACAGACTATGAAATTATACAAACTTCAATTGAGCAAGCTAGCAAAAATAATGATAAAGAGACAAGTGAAATCGAAGAACATAAGAAACTAGAAGGCCAAAATCAAGCAGTAATTGAAAGGCTTGAAAAGCATATAGAGAATCTGGAAAAACAGCTAAATTATCAACTAAAAGTAAATAAAAAGCTGGAAAAAGAATTAAGTTCTTTCTATGAAAAAGCAAGTATCTCAAGTTATGACATAAATATAGATATTTTAAGAAGTGCGTCTAAAATAAGTGATCTTGAAGAAAAAGTAAAGAAAATGACAGCTAAGTATGAAAAACTAAGATCAACTGTTATAAATAATGAAAATAGGTCAGCTTCTGTAAACTCTTTCCATAATCATATTGCCCAAGAAAGCCGCATTTTAAAATCAGATTTATCAAGGCCTGATATAAGACCAGAGAGGAATAAAAGCTGTATGAAATGCCAAAAGCGTCCAGGATTATTCAAATCGAAAAGCAAAAAGCCAATAAAAGCGAAATAATTATTATTTTAATTATTTTTTTAATTTCATTACACTCTGCTTTGCAATCTCTATTTTCCAATTTAAACTAATTGAAATAATTAAAAATAGGAAATTTTGAATTAATCTGGCGAATCCGTAACTGCTTAAAAACTTTTGGAATCTTTTTTTTTATTGTTACTGTCAATTCTGTTTTCAATTAAGGCAGCTCTATGCTAATTAGATTAAACCCACAATAGCATCAGCATTGCTTAGAAATATAACACTTTAATCTAAGAAGTATAATATTTCTACCTTTTATAAGATAAACAATTTGATATCATTCTCTATTTTTAAAAATTAAAGTTAAAATATGCGAAATAAATTCTGAGTAATCTTCGAAGATCAATAAATGGTTAAAATCGAAATTAATCGAATAGTTTAAGTTAGTAAAAGAATATTTTAAAATTTTTCTAGTTTAATAGAATTGGCAGGATCGGTATTTTGATCACTCCCCAGTTGCTTTGCCTTTCTAAATCTACAGGTGGTAGCACAGGCATCGGTTTATTTTTCGCATTAGATTTCATCGGCTTGGTAGCTTCCTCTTGTTGGTAAGTTATGTTGATAAGCATAGCGACTAAAGAGGTGGCCTTATTTTGACTTGCTGGATTACTGGCTTAATATACATTAAAATGGCGACGGCGAACTAGCCCTTTTTCTCAGCATCTGTAGACGTAGGCTCGAAAGGCTGCGGGGATCTTGCGGAAGGGAATTGGTACTAGGTAGTATATCCGGCTAGGTTTTAATTGTCTTGATGGAGCGCAATTTCAAATTAGGTCGACCGCAGTTCACTCCAAATCAAGGTTTTCACCTCAGGTGAAATGGGATTTAGAGTTGGAAAGGAGTGGCTCAGCGGCACTGTGGGTTACTACACAGTCCATCGGCACTTATCCAGCGCGATACTGGGCGTTGCGTCCCATATTTTGGATTTCCATTTTGGCCGACAACTCGACTCGAAAATTTTGTTTTTAAATTTTCGGAAAGAGCAACCTCTGTTGACGTACTGCAAGATGGCGCAACTCATCCACTAAAGGTAGCGAGTGATGGATCTCTTCTGTAGGAGCGAAGCTTTGAAGGTCGTGTTACGATTGATGGCGGGCAACCGAGTTGAGTATTACGGGTAGAGGTAGTCCTTCAGGAATTATGTCGGACTTCTGTATAAGTTTAATTAAGTTTAAGGGATTACTGGCTTAAAGATTTCAGGCCTGCTTGGAGAATTTTTATTTGCTGCATGGAGAAGTTCGTGCTCTTTGAAGTTCTGCTTGCTGGAGAAAGCTTTTGAACATTGAGAGCAAACGAAACTCTTTATTTGTAAGTGCGCAGCATTTATGTGGCGACGGAGGTGATATTTCGTTAAATAAGCCTTGTCGCAGTTTGTATAGTAGCATTTAAACTTATAGTTCGCTGCATCTTTCTTCATTGGATTATTAAATTATTAGCCATTCAGGAATTGAAAAGTTTCTCTTTACAAATATGTATTAGGGCATAGTTCTAAGAATTTATAATTATAGTTTAATTCACCATATTAATAAGAAAAACTTTGAAAGGAAGGATTGGTAAACTTAAGTTAATGGCTTCATAGCGTAAATTAATTTATTGGCTTGTAAATTTTTAGGAATTGAATTTATAATAATTCTTAAACCCTCCGTGAGCAAACAAAAAAATTTTGTTTGCTCATGGGGGTTAGTTTTTTTCGAAATTAAAAAAAAAAAATTCGCAAATTGGAAAGCAAATAAATATTTATTTAAAATTTATGTTTTAAAAATGCAATTTATTAAAAATTAACAGAATTAGCGGGATAATTTATTATACTAGCAATACCTTATATATCAAAGTTTTTTCATAAAAAATTTTATATTAAAAAAACTTCTTCATGGAGGTCTTTGGGCAAAAAATAGGGATTTTTCCAATGATTTTGTTCACTCATGGAGGGAATTAGTAGAGAGTTTACTGTACAATCAAAAATTTGAAAAAATTAAAAGACCATGGTAGCTGGAATCAATAGTAAATATAAATTTGTTCTGAAAGTTTAAGGGCCAGATTAAGCATTAAAATTATATAAGGCTAAAAGAAATTAAAATTTGAATTATTTTTGATCAAAGTGCATATGGAAGCTATTAATCATCCATATTTTTAGTTATCTCATATTTGCATTTTAAAACAATATCAGTTTTTCTAAAACTAAAGCTAATTATATCAATTTTTTATATCTAATCACTAGATTAAAGTAAGGATCTTCAAATGCTTCTGAAATAATTATTATAATTTTTATAAACCCAATAATTTTGTAATTTCCAGTATTTCTAAAGAAAATATATCTCTAATGGAAGGCTATTAATTTTTCAACTATACTTAATAAAAATTCAGTTAGATTAAAATATAAAATATCAATATTGATTTGTTGTTTCTTATATAGGTTGTCTTATTATTTTTCTATGTATTGAAATTTCAATAAAAGTTATATATCAGTTTAAGTCTCTGAAAGCAGAGTCTTAGTATTTAAATTTTTCTACACAAATAAGCACATAAAAAATTAGCTATTTTACCTAATAGCTTTCTTTTTAGATAGAAATTTAATTAATTATTTTTCGAATTTACAGGTTCATCATAAATAAATTCACCATTTTCTTTCATTCCAATAACAAAACGATAGTCGTTCATCGCATTTTTCTTGTCGAATTTTTTTGGTGAGCATTTTTGTGTGCCAATTTTAAGAGGGTTTTTCATCAAGTACAATGATTCTTCTGAAAATTTTTGCGAACATATTCTTGGACTTAATTTACCAGGATCTAATGAAGCTCCCTTTCTGGCAGACCCAATTTTTGATTTTTCTTCATCTGATTTTTCAATCCCAGCGATTATTCCAAGCTCTGACTTAACGATATTTGAGAAGTTCCAGTTTCCATTATCCAATTTCTTCTCGACTTTTTGATCTTTTCTTTCATTTTCCAAACTAACCCCATGCAAATCAAGCGAAATTAAAGAAGTTTGAGTATTTCTTCCAGATAGTGGCTCATCAGTAGCAGCTAATTGCTGTTTTTTATGGCTTGATGAATCTTTTCCACTATTCTCTTGTTGAAAAAGATCATATAGATCAGAAACTCTAGAAGTTTTAGGCTGCAGCCTGAAATTCATGCATGAAGGACTGGCAATTGAAGATGCTGAAGGCAAATTGAGGTCAAGCTTAGAATAAGAAATTGGGATCGGAGGATTTTTTATTGGACTCGGTGTTCTTTCATCTTTGATAGAAGGAGGAATTTTTTCTTTTTGTCTGCCTCTTTCAGGACTTCTTTGATTCATGAAGTGTTGACTACTTGAAGAAGGCACTAGTAAATTGATTTTTTGCTTGATAGATGGCTTTTCCTTGACATCAAAGTATCCATTTGCAGCATTTAGCAGCTCAGCTTTTGGAATTGCATTTTCAGGGCTAGTTTCTGACATAATTTGAAGTTCACCTGAACATTTTGATTGCTCAATATTAATAGACCGAGTTGGAGACTTAGACTTGGATTTATAATATGACTTTCTTGGTATTAATAATAGCTGCTTTTTATTTTTTTGGAAAATTGATGGACTAGGCTTATCGATTTGTGACCTGTTTGAAGGTGTATAAGATCTACTGCTGTATAATCTTTGGCAGATACTCTCCAATTCTCCACTATTTACTTTCTTCAACTTTTTCTTTTGGCTTGAAATTTCTGCTCTTGGCGGCTTGCTTGATCTTGCACTTGTCAATCTTTCTCCAGAAGCCATTGCTTCTTCTATACTAAGCACTTTTTTATATCCTGCATTACTTGAGCCCTCTTCGACTCTTGATTCTTTATTTCTTGTCAGCCTTTCCATTACTTTTTGGTCTAATTCTCGTTTAGGATGCAATCTATTTGCCATCCTAACTGCTTCACTGATTTCATTTTCTTCCTTTTGTTCTCTTTTCACCTTTAATTTTTCTTCTCTGATTTTTGCAGCTTCATTCAACCTTTTAATCAACTCTTCCGCCTTTTTCTTATCAAGTAATTTCGCAGTCTGAATCGACATTTCTGACTCTTCTTGAAGCTTTGCTATTTTTTCTCTGGTTTCATAGCTTTCTTTTCTATATCGAGCATCTCTTATCAGGCGATTATAGACTTGATTCGCTTCTTCGCTGGCAGCGTATTTTTTAATTGGAGCTTTTTCTTCTTCACATTTTTCCACAAAAATCTCCAATTTCTTGGAAGCTAGATTTCTTCGATTGGTATCATCAATAAGCCTTCCAAAAACTGCTCCACTATTAGGACTGCTTGTTCTAACTGTTAAATCAGATCTCGACTCAATTTCCTTTTTAATCAGTTCTCTGCGATTAATATCCAAAGTCATCCTTTCTACTAGGCTCATTCCTGATGTATCCAGAGCTCTTAATCAATTGTTTATAGCATCTCTTCTTTTACCATTGGAAACTCTATAATGCTCGCCTTCTTGGGTGGTTTTTTCTTGATACGAGCTTTTGTCTCTGAATAAAGATTACTCTTTGTTTTCCATGCTAAATATTTATTTAAATAAATTTAAATTAATAAGGTGTTAAGTTGCTTTTGAGCCTGAATTTTTAATTATTTATATCTGTTATCAAAGATAAACTAAAATGCTTTACTTCCTTTTAGTCTCAATTGTGAGTGCAGAAACAAACCCAGAAGCCATTATAATAGAGCCACTTCCAAGAGTAGATTCTCAGCCGAGCTTAATAGGCCATCCCCCTTGTGGATCTTCAACAAAAGGAAAGTCTCACTTGTTATCAGATCCGGGTTCCTTGAATCCCATTTCTTGACTTGTTAAGACTCCTTCACCTACAGGAAACTGCACTCTTCGCCTTTCACACGGAACTGACTACTCAATTTACGAAACTTTACTTCCTACCGACAACTCAGCTAACTCAACTGGATATTTCCCATGTGGTCGCAAGGCAAGCTCTACTGAATTTAAAATCGTTGTTTTTCCTTCAAAAATAATTTGTGATTTGTGCACGCTACAATGAATTTGGGAAACAGAAAAAGGTACCCACTATCAGTGTATTGACGTTGAAATATCTAATACAGTACAAAGCTCATGCTTTGGTAAATGCTTAAATGGTGGGGTATGTGTAGATAAAGAATGCCAATGCGTACAAGGATACAGTGGCCAGTTTTGCCAAAAAACTGCAGAGGAAGCAGAAGGGGTCAACCATCTTGAGATTTTCGCAGTTTTCGTTGTGCTGCTACTCCTAGCTGGGATCCTTGGCTTAGTCGTTTATTGGCAAGTCCACCACTCCCAAATTCCAAGATCAGAAGAACTTTTCTTAAAACGGCATATGGGCTGGTGCATGAGAGGTAGAAATGAAGACCTGGAAAGAATTGACAGACAAGGGACCGTTATTTCAGAAGAAAGGTACAAAGCCAATGTTTAGAAACTAGCATAAATTTACTTAAACTTAAAGAATTTTCATATTAGGATTGAAATGTGAGATGATGGGTATATATGGCAGGCAAGCAGTCTTTATAATAAATCAAGCAATGGCGGACGTGCAAACAGAGAAGGCCTATATGAGACAGGATGGTGTATCTCTTAAAAGCAAGAAGTTCTTTGCCAAAAAAACAGCCAAAGGAGTGAGATACTGGAAGAATGTCGGCTTGGGATTCAAGACTCCTAAAGAAGCCATAGAAGGGAACTATGTTGACAGAAAATGCCCATTCACAGGAGAAGTTTCAATCAGAGGAAGAATCCTTAAAGGGATGGTCATTTCTACCAAAATGAAGCATACAATCATTATCAGAAGAAATTACCTTCACTACATTCCAAAATACAAGAGATTCGAGAAGAGACACAAGAACATCCCAGCTCACTGCTCACCTGCTTTTTCTCATGTGAAAGAAGGAGATATTGTCACAATTGGACAATGCAGACCTATTTCCAAGACTGTCAGATTCAATGTGCTCAAGGTCCAGCCTAACCAAATCTTTGGCTCAGCCAGAAAACAGTTCGTCTTATTCTAACTTAAGAGTTTTCTAGCTATATATTTGTATTCCTTCTGCATCATATGTGCTTCCTCTTTGATAATAATTCAAATGATTAGTTTACTTAACTCCATAATTTCCAAATTCCCTGGAAAGTATATATTCTTCATTTCTCAATTCTTTATCTCTATTTTATCATTATTTCATATTAAGTAAAAATACTTGATTATAATTAAAGTTCATCATACTTTGCATCATTAAACTCCTCAGCCTGTCTTACTTGTGCTGCGAGCCTATCCACTTGGCTTCCATCAATCCCGCTGGCTTCCAATGCTGCTTTCAGCTTATCTCTTTCAACAGTGAGCTCAATAATCATTTGCTTCATATTCGACATTTCTTTACTTTCTATATTCTTAATTGGTTCGTTCTGAATAAGTTTAACCCTGGCAGCATAATAAAGAGACATCATAGTTTCTTCTCTATTATAAGAAGCAGGTGAAACGTTTACAAACATTAATGTTTTTGCTGTACCTCCTAAGGAATCACTCATAAGCATCGTAAGCTTATTATTTCTATAAGGTATATGCTGCTCTCCTGAACTGAGAGCTGAAATTACGTCTCCTAGTGCTGCTAAACTTTTGTTAATGGCTCTTCCTTCTTTCAGTCTTTCAGCGGTTGCTTCAGTTTTGCTGACTCTTTCTGAGCCTGCTAAATCAACTAGACTTAGCTTCCCAACTGTCCTTTGCTGGGTTTCATGGTTCATTACGTCAATGAGGACACTGAAAATTAAATGGGAACGCGACGATGTGTCGTTCATTTTTGTGCTACTTGTATGGCGGTTTTGGTTGCCCTCGTAGAACTTGTCCATAAGCTCTTTTGGTGTTTTTATGGTATATTGAAATGCTTCAGGGATAACTACCATACCTTTAGGATCCTTTTTGATGTTAAGTGGAGGAGGGTTTCCTAAGTTTTCTTTCGGGCAAAATAGATCAACTAAGTTGTCTAGGTAGAGCTCGACCATGTAGCATTTGACTTCCCATGAGTAGTGTGATGGCATAGAGTTTAGAATTCTAAATAGTTCGTCAACAGCCCTTGGAGTAACTCCAGGGTTGTCAGGAGACCCTTGAATAGTAAAAGTCTTTCCTGACCCCGTCTGCCCATAAGCGAAAATGCAGACGTTGTAGCCATCAACTGCGCTTTGAACCAGTCTTTTGGTGTCTTCAAAGACATCGTCTTGTGTAGAGTTTGGCCCGAAGACCGAGTCGTACATGAATGGTTTGATTTGACCAGTTTTGGCTTCACAGTTTATAGTGAATTCATCTACAATAGATGTGATATTTACAGAGTCCATTTCAAGCTCTCTACGACTCAACGGTCTAACTCTACAGAAAACTCTGATTTTCCCCTTCAAATCTTCTAGCTGGTTGTGCAGAAGTTTCCTTTGTCTTATTGATTCTTTCAGTTCATTTTCTTTTATTTTATTGTGTTCTTGCATTTCTTTTACAGTCGCTGTAAGCGCTATGACTTGTTTTGAGTACTCTTCAGCTTGTCCTGCAACTTTTCTTAGCTCGTCTATTTCTCTTGACATTTTTGCTTGAGATGCCCCTGCTGCTGCAAGTGCTGCTTCAAGCTCAGTCTTATCTTGTTGCAAATTTGCTTGGTCGTGGGCCATTTTCTTGATGATCCCTTGATTTTCGTTATAAGCATTTTTGGCTTGGATTTCCATTTCTCTCACTTTTTCGTTGTGAGTGTTTTGAAGGGCGAGAATTTGCTGCTGGAGCTTTTTAAGCTGGTCAGAAGACGAAGAAGAACTTTCTTGGATTTGGGACTCAAGAAGCTTGATGTGGGCTTTCAGATGGTCTACTTCTTTTTGATCAGGTCTAGAAGACAATTCTGCTTCTAATTGGGCAATTCTTTGATTTGATTTAGAATCTCCAGAGGCTTGTGCATCTGCAGCTAATCCTACCATTGCAGCTTTTTCATTTGAAAGTCTTTCGTTTTCTAATTTTAAGAATTCTAATTCTTCTTTTAATGCAGACACCTCTTCATTTGATGCTCCAGAAGCTTCTTGAGAAGAAGAACTAGGCAAGACAACTGGTAAGACTGCTGGAATAGCTTGGGAGCTTGAAGACTTCCCAGCATCTTTTAATGCCCTTAGTTTGCTTTCTAATTCTACAATTCTTGCATGGGCTTGCTTCAATTGAGTGTTCAAAAGTTCCAGCTCTTTGTCATCTTTTCTTTCTTGTTTAAGTTTTTCAATTTCTTCTTGCAGCAGTGTAATATGATTGTGAGCTTTATTAAGCTGTTTTCTCAAGCTAGCTTTTTCTTTGTCATCTCCCGACTTAGCAGTCATCATAGCTGCAGGAATTTCAGTTGCTTGTAGTAGCTGCTCTTTTAAGCTTGCAATTTCTTCATTTGCCCTTTCAAGTTCAAGAGCTTTTCTATCCAATTCTTCTTGGGCTTCCAAATTTGATACAGCAGGGGCTGCAACCACACCTAGCTTGCTTAATTCTCGTAGTTTACCTTCTAGCTCAGCAATCCTCTCTTTGTCTTTTCCATCAGACTGTGGCTTAACATTGAGTTTTGCAATCAAAACTTCTAGGTCAGCAATCTTTTTCTTATCTTCAGGATCCGACACCACTTTTGGCGGCTTTGATAAAATGTCTGCAAGTTGTGCTTCAAGCTGACTTACGCGGTCATTTGAAAGAGTTAATGCTGCAGAGAGTTCTGCTTGGCGCTTTTGAGAGGAATCAGCTTCTGACTGTATTTTTGCTTGGTTTGCTTCTAATTCTGCTATTGTAGATCTGTTATTGTCAAGCTCGGTATTTAAAAAGGTTAATTGGGCTTTAAGAAACTGGATTTCTGGCTCGTCAGAGTCGCTAGGTTGGTTCATGTGTCCTTTGATGGCATCAAGTTCTCGTTTCAAGCTGTCTCTTTCTGAGCTAATTGCTGCTATTGATGAGGTGTATAAGGCTTGTTGCTCATCAAGTTGCTTCTTGAAGCTTTCGCGTTCTTCCAAGCTCAGCCCTTCATCTACTCCAGGAGATTTAATTAGCAAGGCAAGTTGAGAGTTATCTTCAGTTAATCTTGCAACTTCAGATTTCAATCTCTCAATTTCACTTTTATCATTTCTCTGCTGTGCCTCCATTTCTGCTAGCATCTGTCTAAGCTCAAAATTTTCTCTGGCCAACTTCTCCGATTCTTTATTATCTACAACAGGAACAACTACAAGTGCAAGCTGCCTTTTCAGCTCTACAATTTCGCGGTTAAGTCTATTAATTTCATCATTGTTTGAAGCAGAAACAGGAACAGGAATCGGCACAGCGACTGCTTTGAGCTGTTCAATATTTTTTTCATGTTCTTGCTTCATCGTTTCCATCTTCATCAAGTATTCATGCTCAACCGCTTTTATAGCTGCTTGTGAAGAGCTTTGTCCTCCCTCTAGGGATTGATTGTAATCTTCAAGCAGCTTTTTCTTTTCCTCAGTAAGTTCTCTGATTTTAGCTTGCAATTGCTTAATAGTTTCATCTGCCCAGTTTTTGAGTTCTTCTTTTTCCTTTTTGTTTTCATCATAAGATGCTCGCAACTTCGAATATTTAAACTCATGCTGCGACTTGTATTTTTCAATGAATTCTCTATATTTTTTGTGGGTATCCTGCTCTATATCGTAATAGCATTTGTCAATTTTATCGAGAATTGAGACATGATTTTTGTGCATTGCTTTCATATCTTCTTCCATCTAAATAGCGGTTACTTTTCTCACGTAGTTGAGGGCAAGATTTAAAGGGATAAAAGGGATATCTTCTCCTGCTTGGATATTTTCAGGATTGATATCATCGTTCCCTAACTCCCCCTTTCTGTTAGCGAACAAAACCATTAGAAAAATCGCTATTTTTTGCCCAAAAATCCACCCTCCGCGAGCGAAACAAAAATATTTTTAAATAGAAAATTTTTTATATATAAGTGATAATTAGTCTAATGAAATCTGTGGCTAATTCTAATTAATTTTTAACAAATTGTGTTTTAAAACATATATTTTACAAATTAAATTAAATATAAGCTTTCCAATTTTTGCGAATTAGGATTTTTTTAAATTTTGAAAAAAAATTTTTTTTATAAAAATTTATATATAAGTTTTTTTTAACCCCTGAGCGAGCAATCACGGAAAGGAGTAAGAGCTTTCCAGGTGAAAAAACATTTACGTGCATGCGATCTGATAAATCAGCTGGCTCGAAACCTCCAGTTTTCGGCATCAGATCTTCGACTAATTGTCCAGAGAGTGCTCCTAATACTAATGCAGGTGCTTCTTGTACTGGCTGCTCTTCAATCTCTGGGCCGTTTTCGTCTTGACTGGGAACTATACTATTAGACATTTTGTAAGAAATTAATATGAAATTTGTGAAAAAATTATGATATCCAAGCAATTTCAGTTATTTTAATAATCTTAATTAAATTTAAATTTTCCATAATATCTTGAGCCTTCAAATCGATGCAGCATCAATGATATATAAGTTTTTAATAAAATGTAATGCTATATTTGCTTATATACCTCTTTAAACTTTGGCATTTAATTATCGAGTTATCTTCTTTAAATTAAAAGATTATAATATGATTATAATTTAAAAACTTTTATTGCATTTTGAAATATGGCTAAAAGTCTTTACGAACTGATTTTCGTCGTCTCCTTGCATTTACTAAGTGCTGATCGTTAGTTCCAGCTTTCATCTGATGAGAAATCTCACTGATTTCTTTATTTAAGTCTTCCTTAATGAGACTAAAATGATGAAACATGTGCCTGATTACTGAGTGATCATAATCTTCAAACTGTTTTAATGTGTCTGTTGTCCAATTAATTCTTTCCGAAAACCTTTCGATTAACTTAACTTCTTTGTTAACCTTTTTAGATACTTTAGGAATATCTTCTGCGTCTTGGCAGACGCTTACAAGTTTGTCCAGCGCGCTACAATGCAGCTCTTTTAACTGATCTTTGTTTGTAGTTGAACTTCTTGATGATTTAATCAAATCAAATGGTATTAGCTTGTTAAAAGTAGGAGAAATTGTTCTTAAAGGAGGTAGTTTAGGGGCTATAACAATTTGAGATTTCTCTAAGGTAAATTAACTTGGTCAAACATTTCAATTGCAATTAAATTTTAAAGTCTTTATTTCACTTCACAATTGGTAGGTCTCTCCGATAAATTAGCTTCCAGGTGACCGAATGGTCGCTGAGCCACCAAACCTAATCACCAACGCAAGCTTCTTCTTCAACGTCCGGATCTTTACACGGCCATACTTCTGGTTCCCTCGATTTCACCAAATTGGATACATCAAGCGCCACAAGAGCCTCAGCCTCCACCGCCTCGGATTGATGGCACAATTTCATAAATTACTATTTCCAAGGTAAATTAACTTTCTCAGTTAATGAAAGATGGTCGTAGTCTGGCTTATCAAATATTCTTTGGTGAAGCTTAGAAGCAGGAAGATAGTCTAGCTTTTGATCATTAGGGGCTGCGACTGCAAAGGAAGTTGAGAATCTGCTATGCTTTCCTCTGTTAAATCGCTTATTCTTTAAGGATATAAATTTGTCCTTGCTTGATAAAGGTGAATTATTTAATGATCTTCGCTTTGGATGGATCTCATGAATGAAATTATAAATTTCATTAGCATAGATGGTTTCTGCTGTTTTAAATGCAGGGTGTACATGAGTCATTTTATTTTAACTACAGGCTTAAATTGCTTGTCATTTTTTTCGCCTAAACAAAGAATGCTCTTATTAAAATTGAATTTTTATTACTTTTACTTAATTAACTGGATTTAAGGTGTCTAGTGGAGCACCCTAATAAATAGGTATATAGCTAAACTAGTGATGTCACCGAGCCATCTTGGAATTGCGGTAGTCAGCCCACCGGCCAAGCCTTCTATCAAAGCTTCGCCCTAGTTGCTGCACGTCTCACCCTGGCGTTACCGTCCCCTTCCCCGACTAAGCTCTAGGGTGTTCCACCTAAGGGTCATCTTCCCGTGAAGATATGCTGAGAGGTAAAATCCTGAGCCTCTTGACGCACTGAGGAGCAATTCCTCTGGTTATCCCCAGAGTTAAACTGCTATTGCTGTGCTCAAGTTCTCGAGAGAAAAACAACCCCATAAATAAAATTCCATGAAAGAGAAAATTAGCATGTGCTAATTTCTCTTGAATCGAATGCCATTTTATTTATAAAATTGAATTTTTCAGGTTTTATTGCTTTTCTTTAATCTTATTCTCTACGTCCTAAATACAAAATGGACCAAATAAGTGGAGACATAAAGGTCATTTCTCTAGGACACAAACAAGAAATCCTAAAAAAGAAAACAATTAAACAAAAATTAGAATCCCCAACCAATGGTGCTCCCTGTAAAGATTCTGAAAAAACTGATACCCAATCAAATTTTGAATTAAGCCAAGACAATTCTCAAAAACCATTCTATGAATATCCAAGTGAAAATGAAAAGATAAATGAGCTTGACCAAAGCAATGACCGCACAAAATGGTTTCAAGTAGTATATGAGATAGAAGAAGTCAGTTCAAATATCAGGCAAGAAGCAATTGCTGAAGAAATAAAAACCGAACTTGAAAAAGGCTCAAAAAGCGACATTAATCGATATTATGAGCTTGCTGGAAAGCCTCTGCCTGAATATACATCGAAGAAAATCAATTGAAATAATGATAGCAATTTAATAAAATTTGACAGTCTTTTCGAAAGTGGAAATCTTCAAAAAGCAATTCGAGTAGATGAGCGTGAATATGTGCTTTTTATTCGGCCAGACACAAGAGCACAAAGCTACAAGCACTGGTTTTACTTTTTATGTAAAAACCAAAACCCAGTGACAGCTAGATTTCACATTATAAATTTTGTGAAATTTGACAAATTATGCTCTGAGGGTATGAAGCCTGTCATACTGTCAACAAAAGCTTTATTGGAAAAAGGAAAAACCTGGAGAAGAAAAAGCTGGGAAACTAGTTTTACGGAGACCAAGGAGTTCAAGCATCTTTTATATGGAGAAGACAGAGATATAGAATGCTACACCTATTCTTTTACCTACCATTTTACCTATGAAAAAGATACTGTAAAGTTTGCATACTCTTATCCATACACCTATGCTGATTTGTCCAATCTTTTAAGTGGACTTACGTTAAATTAATTAAGGGCTTAATGCATCTTACGCCACATGCCGATAAATAATAGGGCTTGAGCCAAAAGCTAGTGCTGTCGCAGGCATTTCTGGTCAAAATGGGCAGACATCCTAAATCTTGCTGTCTCCACTCTAGCCAACGTTTCTCACCAAGCGCATTTCCATTTGCTCTGAACTCAGCTGCTGAGCAGTTAAATCCTTGCCTTCAATTATCTCTTATTAGCCTCAAGGCTGTTCATCCCTCTCTGTTAGTACTTGATGCTGCTGGATAAGTATAGAAGTTTCCTATGTTTGGCGCTGTAAGGCCGATAAATTCTGATCGGATTTTTATCGGTAGGTTGCACCAAATCAATGCCTTGGTCGGACCAAAAAGCGATTTTGTCCGACGAACTTGGAAAGCTCCTGGGAAAATGTCTGCGCTTTTAGCGCTATATAGAGGAAACCTCTATATCTCTAGGAAAACTGAACCTCGTATAATAAATGAGCCCAGGAGAAAACTTTAATAATTGAAGTTTCGCACACATCACAGTTTTAAGTGGAATTACAAAAAAAAGCCCAAAAATTGCTAGGGTCGAAAAATTAGCAGACACACTTGGTGGCCATTCTTGTGATATGATAACAATAACTAATAGAGTTGGAACTTTTGATTTAAATAAGAAAAAAAGGAAAGAAGATGAACATTCCAGTAAAAAAGGAGTTGTAATCACTGCAAGAGTTCATCCAGGAGAAAGTCCTTCATCTTTCATTATGCAAGGATTAATAAAGTTTCTGGTTGGGAGCTCAAAAGATGCCAAAATATTAAGAAAAGAGTTCATTTTCTGCATCGTCCCCATGCTAAATCCTGATGGAGTGGTTCATGGGAACACTAGATGTTCTCTTCTCGGAGTTGATTTAAATAGGAGATGGATAAAGCCCAATAAAATTTTGCATCCAACCATTTATCATACAAAAGAATTAATTGTGAAATTAAAAGAATTGAACGATGTTGTCATGTATTGTGATCTGCATGCTCACGCAAAGAAAAGGAATGTGTTTATGTATGGATGCTGCCCTGGGTCAAAAACTGATAAAATGAAAAAATTATTGTCTATGGTTACACCAGTTTACATGGCTAAAAATAATGCAAAGTTTTCTTATAAAAATACTCATTATCGGCTGGAAAAACAAAAAGAGGCAACTGCGAGAATTGTCTTGTTTAGACAATTAGGAATAGTAAATAGCTATACTATGGAATGCAGCTTTTTTGGGCCTGAGGAAGCGGGAAATCCTTATTTTTCTCTTGAAGACTTAAGTAAAATTGGAAAAGACCTTGCAAGGAGCTGCTTGATGTTTGTAAATAACTCAACCTTGCACAGACACTTACATTTGACAGCGGAATGGCTGAATGAATATAAAGGATCATCTAAAAAAGATAAACATTCAGAAGAAACTACAATAGATAAAGACTTAGAATTTAAAGACAGTCCATCCAATGCAAGAAATGAGGACAATATTTTAATTCAAGCTATTGAAAACGAAATAGAAGAAGAAATTATTTATGCTAATAGGCAAGATCAAATTGATATAAAACAAATTGAGGATACTCTTTACAGTGAAAGCAATCGATATGCATTTACAGCGAATTTTCAAAATAAACTGAGCGACAACTGCAAAGCATCTGAGCCTCTTGCCAGAAGTATGAGTAAAGAAAAGCGGTCTACACAAATTTGTCATACAAAATTCATATAGAAATTTCCCATAGATGGCGCTGTTTGCCCTTGATTTGCCCATGAGGAAAATTTTTTGGTTTGATCAAACCATATGGTTCTGATCGAACCAAAAAAATTCCCCAGAGGGCAAATCAAGGGTAAACAGCGCCATCTATGGAAAATTTCTATATCATTTACTCCAAACATAATTGCTCGCTCAAAAACACAAAATTTTGGAAAAAATCAGGCTGTTAATGCAAGTAGAAAAGTAAGTCTAGAGTCAATTAGTAGAAAATCAAGTCTCCAAACAGAAACAATTTTTAAAGCCATATCTCATACCAATGTACAAAATGTTGTTTCTCCTTTAAAAGGGAAAAAATTAGGGTTTGAGCTGAGTCCCATTGCAGAAAATAAGCTAAAGCATCCAATATCAAACTTTGATTATAAAAGTGATGCAAAAGCTTGCATTTTGCATAAAGGTTTGCAGTGTGGCAATCCTATATTCTCTAAAAACTATTTAGAATGCTTGACTACTCATAGCAGAAATAATTCAGATAACCGAAGTCGGTCAATGAAGGATCTGTCCAAGTTTTTAATTACAAGTAAGTTGCAATAATTTTAATTTTCAACTTCTCTATATCTTATTAAAAATTCATCTTTATAGAATCATTTTAACTTGCCAATGGTCTCCCCTATTCAACCATCAGACTTAGAAAAAATTGGACAAGTTTCTGATTTTCTCCAGAACAGTTTAAAGAAAATTGATCAGAGCTATGAGACAATTTCTAATATAATTAAAGAAACATCAAAAGAAGAACTAGGAAAAATTATTTCACAAGCTCAGATAGAAATAGAAAAGACAGAAAACGAAATAAAGAAATTAGATCAAGGAGATGGTCCAGCACAAATAGGACCTCGGGACCCCCACCCCCCCACCCCATATACATAGCTTTATGTAGAATATTTAATGGTTTAAGCCCAAGTGAAAGAACTAAAGTTTTATACTCTAAGATATAGCTCATACCCCTTTATAGATTCCTTTATCGAGCAAAGTGTACTTGACTATTGAAAGACCAAAACAGACTCTCTCAAAGAGATGAACTCAATCTCTATATCAGAAAGTTCTAAAAAGTGGCATGCCAAAAAATAGTGGCAAGTATGAAAAAAGTTGACTTAAGATAATTAATCATTCATCTCTTTCGTTAAATTGATTTAATAAAATAATATCTACATGCATATTCGACTATGGATTATCTTTGGATTTACATAAGTCAAAATTCTACTGGAGTTTTTGATTGATATGCTTACTGGAGTTATAGCACTTGGAGATCTATTCAACCGTTTACTAAAGAAGCTCCTCCTTTGCATTCTCAATTTAAAAGTTCAGGTGCAATTTCTTCCATACTGGACTCCATCTTTATAATCGCTTAAATTGAAACAAAATTCAGTTTTATAATAAAAAATTTTATAGATAAAAAATTTATAATTTTTATGTAAAAAGTTTCGGTATAAGTTAAATGTTTCTTATTAACTAAAATTAAAAAATTTAGTTATATCTTGCTTTTTTTAAAGAAAAGAACATAAAGAGCATCTTATTTAAATATATTTATTATCTTTAATTGCTATATTTTTAAAAAATTTTTCAACAAAAATATAATTTATTGCATTTATTTCTTATCATGCATATGATGTCATTTCAATTTATTATGTGGAAACCAAATATACGTTCCAAAAAGCAGATTTTAGTGCGCCAAATTAATAATTTAATTTCATATGAAAATAGTGCGTATAACTGCCATAAGAAATTAAGCCAAGGGATTATATTTTTTATTTAAATAATTTTGATAAAAATTTAATGCGAATTCTTTACAAAAATTGAAAATTTACTTTATTTCTTCTTTATTTTAGCAAAAGAGTATAAATAGCCACTTAATTAAACAAAATTAACACTTTGATCGATAAATTTTCTAGAAATTTATTAATCTAATTCGACACATTTTTTAATTTTTTTTTATAAAGAATTTTATATTGAATTTTTATATAAAAAATTTTCTTAACCCTTCTTTTAAATTGGAACAAATATTTGGTTCCAATTTAAAGGGAGGGAGTTAAATCAAAATCCTACTGGAGTTTTTGCACGATATGCTTACTGGAGTTATAACACTTGGAAATCTATACAACCGTTTACTCGGGAAGTTCCCGTTTTGCATTTTCACTTTTGACAATTTCTTTCATAATGGACTCCATCTTTATAATCACCTAAGTCAGGATCCTACTAGAGTTTTTGATTGATATGCTTACTGGAGTTATAGCACTTGAAGATCTATACAACCGTTTACTCGGGAAGTTCCCCATTTGCATTTTTAAACTCATTTCTATAAATTTATCTCAAGCACTTTTTACATAAACAAATAATCAAAAATATTAAATCTTTTAAAATTTATATGTAGCATTTATTATTCTAATTATCATTAATTAAGGCCTGAAAAATAAGATTTTTAGTTATTAATTAATTCCAGTCTAATTGGGTATGTTAAGTTTTAAATTATTTTATTAATAAAGTCATTTTAAAAATTTGCGTGTTTGCTTACCAACTTTTTTCATACTTGCCACTATTTTTTGGCATGCCACTTTTTAGAACTTTCTGATATAGAGATTGAGTTCATCTCTTTGAGAGAGTCTGTTTTGGTCTTTCAATAGTCAAGTACACTTTGCTCGATAAAGGAATCTATAAAGGGGTATGAGCTATATCTTAGAGTATAAAACTTTAGTTCTTTCACTTGGGCTTAAACCATTAAATATTCTACATAAAGCTATGTATATGGGGTGGGGGGGGGGGGGGGGTGGGGGTGGGGGGGGGTGGGGGGTCCCGAGGTCCTATTTGTGCTTGACCAAGGAGAAGTACCAGATGACATAATTTATGAAAAAGTGAACCCTACGATTACAATTGAACTTAAAAATGTTCTTAATACCTATTTTAAAGAATTTAAGATAGTGATGGATAATTTGGAATCTGATGGATCAATTGTATATGAAGTCCCTTTTAATTCAGCAACTATAACAATGCTAGATGTAAAAACAAAAACGATCACAAAGCAGAATTTGCCATATATTAACCATATAGCTCCATCAGTTACCCAAATCAATGATAATGAATTATTGATAGCAGGAGGGATTGCCTATGGAAATTTCCAAGCAAGAGATACAGCGATTCTGCTTAACCTTAGTTCATTGACACCTATTACTTTGCCAACAACTCTTAATTTTGCTCGTGGATATCATACAGCTCATAAGATTGAGAACTCTGTATTTATTTTTGGAGGCTCAAATTCTGATTCTTTTAATGCTCAGCCAGTTCAGCCAATTGAAAGATATGATATCAATACTCAAACATTTACAGTTGTATCTCAATTAATTAATTCAAGAAGCTGCTGTGGAAGCTGCGTCTACAAAAGAAAGATATATTTGACAGGCGGTTGGGGTAACGAAAGAAGTATTGAAGTATAGCCCGATCCCTGCTTTGGATTAGGCTTGGTTGATGTCGGGGAGTCAGATGGGGAGTTGACGAACTAGCTTTTGCTGTCAAAGTCAATTCCCCAGATGGCAAATCTCCAATAGTAAGAAGATTTGCCATCTGGGTGTTGACTTTGCCAACCAACATTGCTCGTCAACTCCCCATCTTATGTCTCCCAACGTAAGCCAAGCCCAATCTAAAGGTGGAATCAGGCATATATGATCCCAATCAAAATACAATTACTATGCTCGCTATCTCTCTAAACTACCCAGGAACTTCTCTTTCTGTACCAATGAAAAATTGCATTTTAATTATTAGTGGTAATCATGTCAGTAAATTCTACCCTGAGAGAGATAGAATCACTGAATACGGAGTGGTTGAAGCACACAATATGGGCTATAGGAAATTCCCGATGATGGCGTTCAATGTGCCATCATCGGGCACCTACGGTAAAGGGCCCACACTGTAAATGGGTTCCACGTGTGGAGCCCTTTTTGACACTTGGAGAAATCCTCACTTTCACGTGCCAAAAAGGGCTCCACACGTGGAACCCATTTCCAGTGTTGACCCTGAACTGTAGTTGCCAGATGATGGCGCATTGAGCGCCATCATTGGGCAACTTGCATATTTCTCAATAGGAACTCCAGCATGCTACGATGGAAAAATTTATATGTATCGGGCATGGAACAATGGACTTTGGTATTATGATTATCTCGCTAATAAGATAGAGCCATTGCCATTGTAAAGATCTTTACAAATTTAATCATAAATTCTCAAAAATTTCTTTCTTTACGCATAAATTAAAATTGAATATAAGAAATGGCAATAAGAAACCAAGAAGTTACGAACTCTTTGATAGAAGAAGCAGAATTATATCTGGGCAGACATCAAATATTGGAGCTATTTGAAGATCTTTGCACGCTATTAGCTTTTGAGAAACCAGCAGACGTAAAAGGTTTTCTTATTAATGAACTTAAAAATCGAAAAGTGAGAGGACCAGCAGGAAATGTTATCTTCACCGAGCAAGAACTAAAAAATGTGTTTACCTTATTTGATCTAAGACAAGAAGGGCTCCTAAATAGAGAGCAATGCAAAGAAGCCTTGAGAACAATCGCTCATTCTGCGCATCAGCATGAAACAGTTGACAAGCTAGATGTCGCAGATCGTGTTGACGTGATGAACTTTAGGAAATTAGTGATGCATGTCTTAGAAGGGAAAAGTAAATAAGATAGCAATTTTAACTAGTTAAAAATAAGAAAAGTTTAATTTTTTAAATATAAGCTCACTCAAGAGAAGAAATTAATTATTCTAAAAAGATAAATTTTTACAGTGACTTTAAGAAATTTTCATGATTTTTATACTCAATGTGCCATTTACTTATTAGCATAGAGTTTTATTATAATTTCGATATTTAACAAAATTAATTTAATCCATTGCTCTAAATTTTGTTTCGAAAAGTCTAGAAATGAGATAAAAAAGCAATAAATGTTATGGAGAGATCTCCATATTTATTATCGTAATTATGGGATGCACAGCATCAGTAGGAAAAGCTAAAATCATTAGGAATGAATCCGAAAGAATAAAGAAAAGTAATAAACTCGTCAAAAGAACACCGAGAAAGCTAAAAGAATGCGAAAAGACAATGGATTGTATTCCACACCTGTCAGTAAAGGAGTTATTCAAAATTTGCGAAGTTGATCCTTGTTTGGAAGAGTCTGGGCAGATACAATTTTCTTGCCGCTTTGACTTGCCTGGCAACTCAGAAATCGAAAAAACCAAAAATTTAACTAATCAATAGCCACGCCAAGAAAATACTGTATATAAATGTGGTACATTAATGCATTTAATACAAAATAGTTTTTTTATAATTTAAAAAAAGATTTTATCATATAACTATCTAATAAATCTCCTGGCATTTTTATTGAAACAATTAGAATTAAATGAAGTGGCTCAATCATATATCCAATAAATACCTAATTCTTCCAATTTTAAAGCCATTATAGCTTTGCACGCTATTAGTGTGCCCTCAAAAAAAGCATTAATAGAAACAAAGCTTTTCTTAACCATTCTGACGTGCAAAGTTCGATTTAACACAATTGCAGCCACAATGGTTTGGTTTTGAGAAATACATAATTTGGCAGAGCATAGCAGAAAGTTAGCGAGCTTGGTTTCTGTTTCGAGTTAGCTCTGAGGGCACGCTAACAGTGTGACTGATGTATATTGGCCTTACAACTAATTTATTTTTATAAATCAAAAAATATAATCTTAATTTAAATTTTTACTTAAATGCCTCTACACAAGGGGCAATTTGTTCTAAAATTAAACCACTTTTTCAAGCACTCTTGATGGAATTTATGGTTACAGGATGGTCAAGCATCAAACCCACCCCCAACCTACCCAGTATTGATAATAAGAAATATAAAGATACTGCACTATTTTCGATTCTTAGCTATATCATGTCTACATATATTTAAATACTTTATTTCATATTCCTAATATATACAAAATTTTTTATTATGGCTTGTAAGTTTGGATCATATTTTTGTATTGAATTTCTGAGATATATTATATAACATATGATAAATGGATTATATCTATTAAGGGCATTAATTTAGCACTATCGATTCTAGATTATGTATAAGTCTATGATAGCTGAAGTGATTGAGTTGATCTATTTGTTCCTATCCTTTTTAAAATAAAATTCGGCTGGATTCATGGGTTAAATGCGATAATAACGCGAAAATAGTATATTATATATCAACTCTCTTATTTATTAGTCTAAAAATTTTTACATATAAAATTTTGTATATAATACAGTATCTAATATACGCAAATATGCTATAAATCGCGCTATAATAGAGTAAGATCGAAATAGTGCAACATCTCTTATATTTTATTATTAAGACAGGAGTTTAGCATGAGAAGGGTGTGCTTCATATTTGAATAACAGGACGCAATTTCGCTTATCGAATCTTTGACTTTATACTCCTCAAAGCATATGTTACAAATCTCTTCTTTCCTAAAGTTTTGATAAGTAACTACATTGGAATTAATCAAGCACTCTTTAACTAGCGATGGCTCAGCATCATAAATAGTGCCTATTTCAAGAAGAATGTCGCTGCAAAGTCAAAACGATTGTCCAATCAACACGATTACTGTCAATATCGAAAACATTATGTAAATCTGGGTAATTCAATTGAATTCGTCTGCCATTGATATATTTTTCCCCAAAATTAGAGCCTGGCAAAAAACGTCTAAGAGGCCGGTGCAGCAAATTTTCCCAATATAAAGTAATATTATTGAATTAATTGCTACCCTGCTGTCCTCAATCCCTAACTCCCCCGCTCCGTTAGCGAACAAAAACATTGGAAAGATCCCTATTTTTTGCCCAAAAAACCGCCTTCCCGTGAGCGAACAAAAATTTTTCGAATTGGGATTTTTTTAAATTTTCGAAAAAAATTTTTATAGATCACAAAAAAATAACCCCATCCGCGAGTGAACAAATTTTTTTTGTTCGCTCACGCAGTTGGAGTAAGCAATCCATAAACTTCTTCATAACTTTTGGGTGAAGGCCTAAGAAAGTATTTGTGATCAAGCAAGCAAATGGGAAGTTTATAAAGGTTTTCTTATAAAATGAGTGGGAGGGTTGCGACCCTTTTGTTACAAATAACAAAATTAGAGGGTTTGCAATATAACTGGTAGCCAAAAAGATGCATGATAGCACCCTATGAATTTTTTTAGCAAAATCAGCGATTACAAGATACATAATTAGAATGCAATCATAAAGAAGTATGATCATGATAATTCCAATAAGCGACAATCGAACAATCCAAACCATTTTTTGTTTCTCTTAATTTAATATAATAATCTTTGAATTTCCTATTAACCATTCTCTTTCATTCAGTTTCCAATTACTATTTACTAAAATATGAAGCCGAGATTTCTTATTACGAAAACCACTAGCATCTTCCAAAATCTCGCTTTTGAAGAGCATCTTCTAGAGAACGTGAAATCACCTATTCTATGCATGTATCAGAATGATAAAACAATCGTGATAGGGAGAAACCAAAACCCATGGAAAGAAATTCACATCGATAGGATGAACGAAGACAATGTGCAGCTTTGCAGAAGAAAAAGTGGAGGAGGAGCTGTATATCAAGATCTTGGCAATACCTGCTTTTCTTTTATTACACCTGATAAATCTAATGTGGATTTCAAAGTGAAGAATAACTCAATTATTTTGAGAGCTTTGAGTGCTTTAGGAATTGATGCTGTTGTTAGTGGGAGAAATGATATATTACTGGACTCGAAGAAAATATCAGGCTCAGCATATAAAATACACACAATAGGCTCACAAACGATTTCACTTCATCATGGAACTATGATGATTAATGTCGAAAAAGATGCGATCTTGAGATATCTAAATCCTAATAAAGCAAAGCTTCTAACTCCCTTATACTTGATCGAACAGATCAATATCGTTCATCAAGATGGGCCAAAATATTTTTGAAAGATGTGAATATAATTTTTTTTTATTCACTGAACATTTTTATATTAAATATTTTTCTTATCAAATATTTCATAGAGATTGAGTATGGAATTTATTATCAAATATGCGATGGATCTCATTATAATTGTTTAGGGCGATTATATGGCATAATCTCTAAGATTTATTATCATAATATATAGGCAGTAGATTTGAGCGGGCAGTCTTGCTTAACTATATGAAAGAGTGTCCAATGAGGATGGGGCTAATTTTCCCAATTTTAAATAATTTTCAACAATGTTGTCTGCTAATAATGAGGCAAGTAAGCAAAGGAATAAACTCTGTTTCATCAAGAGTAATGAACTTAGCTGAAGTCGACCCAACTATCAATCACGAAAGGTTTATAACTGCGATTAGAAAAAGCTTCCTTAAGGAGTATCCAAATGCAGAAAATACAGAAGTAACTGAAATGCCTGAAGATGTAGAAGCCAAAGCTCAAGCTTATTTAAATTGGGACTGGAGATATGGAGTCAGCCCAGTGTTCACCCACCAGCTTGAGAACTATTTTTCCTGGGGTTTAATTGACCTTCAGTTCAACGTCGTTAAAGGAGTTGTGGAAGGCTGCAAAATATTTTCAGACTGTTTATATCCAGACTATATAGACAAGCTTGAAACAATGTTTATAGGAAAAAGATATGGCATTGAGATGTTAGAAGACCTCCAAAAAGATACATCAAATTTCCAAAAAATGTCAGAAGAATTAGCAGCATGGCTAAAAGAGAAATTATAACATAATAATGGTTAGATATTAATAAAAAGCTCTTTGCCTTGAATGGACTTCAAAGTTGTACACTTTGTTATTTCTCTGGAAATTATATGGCTCTTCAAACCCTTGAAAAGCAGTTATCAAATGAGGGCCGCCTCCTTGATCTGGACTTTCTTCAGTTCTATAGTTGTGCTTTTTTAGGTTAAAATCAATATAAGGGTTAGGATTATGTATTTGTGGGAGTGCTCTTGCTGACTGAAAATTAGGATCAGTTTCGAAATTTTGTTTTAGTTGGCCACGAGTGTGGGACTGCCTTTGGAGTCCTCCATCATAAGGAAACTCATAGGTCTGCCCTTTGCTTTTCTTTCTTGGCATATATTTTGTTGAAATTTTGCTATCCTCTTCATGAATATTAAACATTTTTTCTTCGGATAAATTTTTCTTCTTGGTACGGCCATCATCGAATTTTAAGAAGTCCCTCGATCGCTGCTTTTCAAATGTAGGCGGATCGAACTCATTTGATTCAGAAACTAAATTAGTAGTCCTCGTTTTGGCGCGGCCATCAGATCCTTTAAAACCTCTTTGGTCAAATTTTGTATCGTAATGAGGGATACTTTGAGGCTCTTTTATGTGAGGCGTTGATGAAAAAGAGTTTTCATCTTTCGCCCTCATATAAGCGCCACGGTTTTCTGTTGGAGTTGGCTGATTCTTTGGGAAATAAAAACCTTTGGAAGGTTTGACTACATTTTGTAAAGGAATAATTCGACTTTTCGCTTTACTGGTTTCAGTTTTAATAAAAAGTGAAGGAGCACTTTTTTCTTGTGGACTGTGACCTCGTAGATCGTCAAAATATGGATGTTGAAGAGCTTCAGTTGAATTTAGCCTTTCTCGTGGATCCATTGCAAGCAGGCATTTCATAAAGTCAATAGCTAAAGGACCCAGCTTTGCGAGATATTTCTTTTCCAGCGTTTCAAGCCTATTTATCTCTGGAAATTTGAGTCCTAAAAACCTTGGGTTTGTCTGAAATTTTTCCTGCTGCTCTTGTGTCAAAGCTCCGAGAACTCTTTGAATAACATAAAGCTGATCAACTTCATTTTCCCCAGGAAATAGAGGCTGTCCATCTGCGAGTTCGCCCATTATGCAGCCAATTGCCCATATATCTACCTCTTTCCCATAATTCCCTCCTAATAGAAGCTCAGGAGATCTATATCATCTAGTTGCTACATAATCCGTTAATTGGCCATAATTCCCGATTGTTCTTGCAAAACCAAAATCGCAAATTTTTAATTTGTGATCTAGAGAAATTAGTAGATTCTCAGGCTTAATATCCCTATGAATAACTTCTTGTCTATGACAGTAATCTATGGCTTTGCATAACTGATAGATGTAGCTTTTTACTTTTTGGGGCTCAATCCCATTCTGGCTGCTCTCAAGGATTTCTAGTAAGTTTTGGTCGACGTATTCTAGAACCAGATAGAGTTTGCCTTGTCTGCGAAACGCTTCTTTTAAGGCAACTATATTTTCCTGGTTGAGCATTTTTAGGATTTTGACTTCTCTTATTGTAGCTTTTTTTACAGCTTCTTCGTCTTCACTTTCTTTAAATTTTTTGATAGCGACTATCTCACCTGTTTCTTTATTTTTGCACTTTAATACGACTCCGTAGGCTCCTTCGCCTACGACTCCAATAACTTCATACTTGTTCATATAATAAGTTATATAAGAAATTAGCATTGGTATTTTAAATTGAGATTATCAGATTTGGAAGGATAAATAAAAAATTTTAGTCAATGAGTCAGGAAATAGAAATCTAAATGCTTATTTGCCTACTGCCATTAAAAAATTATTGTTTGTTAACTTTTTTCGATAAAAATTAATTGGAGTTGTAATTAATATTAAAGTCTTCTTGGAAAAAAGCATAATTTCGCTTTTGTTTTGTATCTATAATTTATAAATTTTCATAATAAGTAATGTTGGAAAAGGAAGCAAATATTCAACTGACTATTTTTAAAAAAATGAGAAACTGTCATTGATAAAATTTGTGAACTATATTCTTGCTTTAATCATGCGTTTCATTGAACTCTAAGACTTGTTAAATTGCAATTACAGCCACGAAACCCTTATTCCAAAATAATAAATAATATGCATGCAATAATATCTTAAGATGATATTTCATTATAAATTATACATTCATGGCAAAGTATCACAATCTGAGTATGAAAGCTTAGCAGACTTTTAGATAGCATAGATTACGAAGAAATTTCAGCATCCTTAGCTAAATATTCAAGTTTGGGAATGCCTTGCCAAAGAGGGAAGTTTTACTTCTCGGTCAAAGCTTTTCCTGTCCCTGTCAGATTAACTAGACAAGCTCTACAACATTCTTTCCTAATCGGGACCACAGAGGCACTTTTTAGGCAGTGGCTCTGCCCTAAGTGCTGATCCTTTGGATGGGTGGTTACCAAAGTGGCCACATTTTGGAGCAAAAATATGCAACTTCTAGTGGGTTTACCCACATATAGCAGCCATAATCGTTTAATGCTTAGCTAAATATCTTACACTCTGCGTTTGTTTCTCGCAAAAAATTCCTCTTAAGAGCTTATCTTTTCTATTTCATATCATCAATTAATTAGAAAGACAAGAATTGGAAGGATTTGAATTACATAAAACTGCTTATCCTTAAACTAACCAAGCTATTCCTATAGGAATTTGTTCCTATATTATTCCGGCAAAACTGATTATCAAATCAAGCTAAAAAGCAATTTTCAATGAGTTTATTCTTTACTGAATCATGAAACTATTAAATGGGCATGCCTCAGATCAAGTCAGAAAGCTGATAGTCCCAGTAATGATTTTAGCTAAGATATGTAGTAAATTTCATAAAAAGCTACTGTGAAAATGTCAGTTTAAAGATTTTAAAAATAGCTATGAATATCTAGAGAAAAAGCTGAAAGTCTGAGCTTTTTAAGAAAATTGCTATGATGTGCTTTTAAATTCAAAGTATCTTAAAGAATACATTCGAAAACTTAAAGCTCAACTAGTAATGCTTTAGAGCAGAGCTATAAATAGCAGCCCTTATACAATATATGCTCTTATTAAATTAATTTAGAAAAAATTAGCCAATTTTAATAAATCATAAGTTACTCATAAAAAACAACGCTACATCCTCGGTCTTTTAATTGGTTGAGAGTCTCTACATATGGAGTTTTTACCTTTTCATCTTTTATGAGAAATAGATGTACAACTTAATTTTTGTCCTAACAATGCCCATTTAGCCATTACCTTTTCAATTCCTGCTTTCCTTATTTCTTTAATCATTAATATAGTGGTGCGACAAAATATATCAATGTCACCAATGCACCGCTTTGTAGCCTAAACCAAGGTCTAGGCCCCTTGATTCTAACCTTAGGCTAACTGTATAGCGGCCGTATTGGGTTGGTGACCTTGAGAGTCAGATGGTGGCTAACCCAGCCTATGTTTGATTATTGGATGGGTTTTGGGCAAGAGGGTTCTTTTCCTGCCGGTTCCGGAGGGCCACCACACCTAAAAGTGGCAAACAGAGGGCATCGGCTAACCTTTGCCTCCATACCACCTGAAAGACGTTCAGCACGAGGGGTCTTTCTAATTCATCGAAACCCAGGGACGTAGTGCAAGTATTTAGTCCTGTGAGAAAGCTGCTGCTGATGGGCTCAGGCAACTGATGTTACCCCGCGCAATCAAGGTCTAGCGGTCGGAAGTGTAGGGAGGCATCAAATCTGGAAGACCTTAAGCAATTTAATTTAATTTATTTCTTCAGCTAAAATGAGAGCATCTTTCGCTTCAGCGATTGTTAAACCGGAGAGTCTTGCAATTAAATACTCAGGATTGTTCAAAGACGTATTGGGTGAATATGTGTGCATGGGTTTGAGTGAGTTTTTACTTGTTTTATTCCAAAGTTGAAAGTAAATCTTTAGTCTTTCTTCCATAATTAAATACTTACCCATTTCTCAAAAATCTTCACTTTTATTAATCCTATATGGGCGAGCTTGGAATTATTAAAACCTTTTATATTTTAGAAGATGAAAAGAAAAATCAGCTCGAATTAAATTTATTGAGAACAAATTTTCAATATAGAATGAATCCTAACTTCTCATTCCGTGAGCAAACAAAAAACCATTGGAAAATTCCTACTTTTTAGTTAAAAACTTACCCTTCTTAAACGAACAAAAGTTTTTTTTAAATTAATTTTTTTGATTTTTAAATGATAATCAGTATAATCAAAATAAAATCTCTAGGCAATTCTGTCTAATTTTAAACAGCTCGCATTTTAAAAATTAAACATTCGAAAAACAGAATTTTACTATAAAATTAATATAAAATTTTAAAAAATATTAATCCTCCTCTGTGAGCGAACAAAATTTTTTCTTTGTTCACAGAGAGGGAGTAAGAATAATAAATTATTGAATGCTTTGAATAACAATATTCAATTATGATAATCTAAATTTGTCGGATTTACCTTCCAGGAAAGAAAATAAGGCATTCTTGGGGGATTATTTTATAATGTTATACAGAGAATTATGAGACTTTTTCTGGCTCCAAAAAAGATAGATTTAAGAGGTGTTAATCTCAAATATTGCAAACTTTAAATTTCCAATAAATTATAAATGCATAAATTCTTTCAGCTGAAAATTTGATTGCATTACACTCAAATAAAGTAACTAAATCATGATTATTATGAATTTTAGATATAGCTTATATCCCCATATAGATTTCTTTATCGAAAAAATGTAATGGTAAATATAATGATCAAGAAAGACTCTATTAAAGGAACGAGCTGGATCTCTGCAGGAAGAGCTAAAAAGTAGCATGTCAAAAAACGGTTGACAAGTAGAAGATTTTAATTTTTAAAAATTAAGACATGTTGCTTGGCTTTTAAAAGAAATGCATTTTTTGTCTTTTTACTATCTATGAATTCTCCAGCTCTATTTTTTATGAGCACTAATTAATGCAAATATTTATAGATCTTAAATTTATAATGATTATGTACTTTAAATTTAAATGTATTTCTTGCTTGGACTTAAATTCTATTGTGCGATATTTATCAGCGCCAGGTCTAAAATGATATTTTAAAAATAAAAATTAATTTATAATAAAGCCTTTTTAAAAATTGGCGCGTTTGCTTGTAAACATTGTTCACACTTGTCAACAATTTTTTAGCGTGCCAGTTTTTAATATCTTCCTGTATAGTGATCAAGCTCGTCCCTTTAATGGAGTCTTCTTGATCTTTATACTTTCGATTACATTTTGTTCGATAAAGAAATCTATATAGGATTTGGGGTTATACTAAGAAAGTATTTACTTAGCAATAAAAAACTCAGCAATCAGCCACTTATAATCATTCAAATTAGCATCTGAGCATGCTATATATGGCAACTAAGAATTGAATGACGCATTTTCCTGATCCATTACAACACTATCGTATTACAAGCCTTTATTTTCATTTATTTCTATTAGGCATTTAAAGCAATCTTTTTATACCTTTATGCCAAATTTTATTATATTTATACAAAATCAACTATACCTATCCATCAGGCTATCTGAAAATAATAAAAATTTGATTCTGACTCGCAGCAAAAATATGCACACCATTTTGCAATTTATCCGATTTTTACATTCACTGATTAATTAATATGGATATAAAAAATGCTTGCAAGATCCCTATATAAACTCAGCAATCCTATCCGAAAATTCTCTACCGATCTCATTAAGCCAAAAGTAACATGCTTATTCCACAATGATACTAATACAGCTACATATATTGCATCCTGTCCTGAAACCGGAAAATGTGCCATTATTGATCCTGTTTTAGACTATGACCAAGTAGGTCATCGAGTTACAACAATTCATGCAGACTCTGTAATAGCAGAGGTAACAAAAAACCATCTTGAGCCAGTCTATATATTAGAAACTCACGTTCATGCTGATCATCTAACTGGGGCTAAAATCTTGAAAAATGCATTTCCCTCAGCACAAACTGCTATTGGCTTTAACGTTACTGCAGTTCAAGTACAATTTTCAAGGTTATTTAATCTTTCTAACTTCAGAACTGATGGATCTCAGTTCGATAAATTGATAAAAGATGGGGAGTCCTTTTCTATAGGAAAACTCAACCTAAAAGCATTTTGGAGCCCTGGACATACTCCTGCATGCATGGTATATACCGTTGGAGACGCTGTATTTTCAGGCGACACCCTATTTATGCCAGATTTTGGCACAGCAAGATGTGATTTTCCTGGAGGTTCAGCTGATGTTCTTTATCAGTCAATTAAAAAGCTTTTTGAACTCCCAGATGAGTACAGAGTTTTTGTAGGGCATGATTATGGAACTGAAAAGAGAGGTGTCGCATGGGAATCAACCATGGGCGAAGAAAAGAGAAACAATAAACATTTGAATTTATCTACGAGCAGAGATGCCTTTGTCCAATGGAGAAAAGAAAGAGATGGAACTCTCAAGCTGCCTAAGCTTATTATGGAATCTTTGTTAGTGAACTTAAGAAATGGAGAACTCCCTGAGCCTGAAGCAAATGGTATTTCGTACTTTAAACTGCCTATTAATGCTCTTTAATATTGATTAGTTAAATATCGTCTTCGAAATCTTCATACTCAAATTGATCCTCTAATATCAGTTTGGGTGGGGCTGATTTAGCAACTTCAATTTTTTCGTTAAATAAATTTTGGAGAAAATCTCTTTTGTCTACAACTTTTTCAGTACTGCTTTCAAGTGTTTGCTGAAAAGGCTTATTTTTTACCATTTCTAAGAAACAGTGAGTCAGCTTACTGTTGCAGTCTTCAAGGTATAGCCCTCCTCGCTGGCAACTTTGAAGCCAATATCTTTTATTATTTATTTCAAGCTGCTCAATACCTTGCAGTTTGGCTTCAGGAGATTTATAAGATAGACAATTTGCTATCCTTGCTAACCTGTCTTTTTTTTCTCCAATCTCCAAAATTAATTCTAAATCTATATCATTGGTCCTCATGTCTGTGTTATATTCTAATTACATATTACCCTCTATGTGATTTTCACTGATGCCAAACAATTTTGATTGAGTTTCCTGAATCATACCATCTCTATACATTAAAGATCTATCAGGAAATTGTACAAGAAACTGAGGATGAGTAAAATCAAAGGGAGGGTTGTATTTCATCACAGGATCTCTTCAAAATCGACAGTCATAGATCTCTAAAGCGCTATTTAATACTGCAATTGAAAAAGAATAGTCTAAGCAGCTGATATCTTTTGTGTTTTTGACGCTTAACACTTCTGATTCTCTGCTTTCTCGGATATCCCTTAGGCAGATTTTACGAGAATTAAAAAGGAGAGCTTGCCCAGGATGAAAATAGTATTGAAACCCTAAATAATTTTCAATCAAACTAATTGAAAAGGGCTTTTCTTGAAAAACACTAAATTGAGAATCATGCAGGTAGCCTAATTGATCTTGAAAAATCGGGTTTTTATTTATTTCTAATGTTTTAATTTCTATTCTGCTTATTTCTTCTAAGTTTTTGTCTAGAATATGAAGATTAGCTGAAGTTCTAACAGCTATGCCATTTTCGAATTGTTCAAGCTGTAAAATAGTTGAAAAAAGTTCTTTATTTATTGCATCTGGCAAAGCCAATGTAAGCCCATTCAATGATAGCTTTAAAGTTCCTATTTAAAAGATACTTATTTGTGAATTAGCTGCTCACACCACTTGATCTTCATAATTCTCTTTTCATACGCAAATTGTGTTTTTAATACGGCCAGGTTGTTTTGGCTGCATCATTAATAGAGGATAAGTTCTTGTTTGAATTGCCGCAATATTATCTAGCTCTCTCGTCGCACATGATAATAATGGGCTAGCAATACACGAAAAATGGTCTAAGCTTAAAAATTCCATATACTAAAAATATATAGGAGTTTTCCCTATATGGCTCGATAAGGGCTCGGCTCTCCGTGGAATCCCTCTGCTGGTTGAACCAACTAGTGAATTGGTCAAATCAAGGCATTGAGTTGGTTTGACCAGCAGAGGGATTCCACGGAGAACCCACAGCCCTTATCGGGCCATATAGGGAAAACTCCTATATAATAATTTACAAAGTATGGGCGAGGACAATTATACTAAAGCCCTTAAGAAGTTTGATGAACTTAATACTGAAGCCAATCTCGAGATTCTTCTTGATAATACTTACAAATCGAAAAAAGAACTCTTGAATTTCTTTTGGTATAAAAAGTACAAAGATATAAAGAACCTGAGCGAAGTAAATGAGTTTGATTTTGTTGAAACTCTTTATAAGAACTATCAGAGATCAAGAAGGTTTGGACAAGTTGGAGGATTTGCATTTTCTATGATGACTTGGGACACAGTTTTTAAACGATTGAGCCCTTTGACAAAATTAATGATTGGAGGGATTATCTGCTATTATGGAGGAGAATTGAGTTTGTATTATCATATCGATTACTATTATAAGCCTTTGAGTCAGATATTTAATAGGAAATATAGACCTCAAATAGAAAAGTATAATCAAAAGAAAAGATCATTAATGAAAGAAAATGAAGGTTAGCAAACAAGAGTTCTTACTTCCAGTGATAGAGGGGATTAATATTTTTTAAAATTATATATCAAATTTTGTTTTATCAAAATTTAAAGTAAAAATTAATTTAATATGCAAAATTTATGTTTTAAAATGGAAGCTGTTGAATCCAGCAGAATTAGCTAGAGATTATATTATACTAATTATCACTTATATATCAAAATATTTTTTTTTCATAAAAATATTTTATTCGGTCATGGGGTTGATTTTTAGGGATTTTTCAATGGTTTGTTTGCTCATGGAGGGAGAGTTAGCAAAATAAATAACTATCAATAAGAATAATATTTAATTTATATCAATATTCCAATAACTAAACTATTATTTATAAAGTATGGATACATTGACTTCACAATTTGCAGCACTTAAAGGACTTGCTGAAGGGTTTGAAGAATTTAAAGACTTAACCCCAGAAAACGTTGATAACGCAATTTTAATCGCAAACTCACTTGCTCCCCCTCCATTAGCGAACAAAACCATCGGAAAAATCCATTTTTTTTGGTAAAAACCCCACCCTATGAGCGAAAATTTTTTATGAAATATATTGATATATAAGTGATAATTAGTATAATGAAATCTCTAGCTAATTCTGTTGAATTTTAAATATCTTTTATTTTAAAATAAAAATTTTCAAATTAAATTAATTTTAAATTTCAACTGAAATTTTTAATTTAAAAAAATATTAATCCCCTTCATGAGTGAGAAAAATTTATTTATTCATCCACAGAGGCGGAGTTAAGCAAGTAATCGCCAGAGAAGCTTTGTTTTCCTCAAATGAACTTCTAGAAGACCTTCCCACAGAACACATAAAGTTGCTTCTTACCCCTTATTATCATGCATTAGTGTTGCTGAAAAACACAGACCAAGCCAAACGAAAATCAAATCTTGAATTTTCCCAAGGATCATTTGAAGAGTTCTTAAATTACCTTGATAATTACAGAGTAGTTGATGAAAAATTCATTGAAAGGTGGAAAACCCCAGCTGAGCCTACAAGAGATCAGAAAATAGCTGATTTCAAAGCAAAAAAAGCGATAGAGCAACAAATTCAGCTGCTTGAATCCAGAAATAACCCGGACGATCTTCGGGATCTTTATAAACTCCAGCTTCAGCATGCTGCTTCCCATACCCTTGACCAATTAAGATTTGTGAAACTAGAACTTCAAGTCTTAGAGTTTAAAAGCACGCAGGAAACCAATCCTCTTCCTCCGCCACCTCCGCAAAGGCCACCTCAGATCTTAAAAATAGACGAATCCAACGTAAATTTAATAAATCCACTGATTTCTTCAGGAGCTGACATAGCTAAAGCAAGACACAATATTGAGCACCAAGTTTTCCAGCCAGGCCACCGCCAGCCTTTATATACTATTGAAGAATGGGGAGAAATCGAATGCAAGATGTGCATGGAAAGAGAAGAAAAGCAGAAACAAGCTGAATTAGAGAGGAAAAGGGAGCAGGAAGAAAATCCTGAAGATTATGAAGAACAGAAAAGGAAAAACGACGCAGGCTGGGATGATTGGAAAGATATGCATGAAAAAGGTGCAGGGAACAGAAATGGCAGATAGATTTGGCTATTTAATACATAAGTTATGTTAAATTGGAGTAAATCTTCAACTGCATGGAGAAACAGAAGGCTTTGGAGAATAGCTTGATGCAGACTGCAACCGAAATGATCGTGATATTTTGAAATATTGCTTCCTAGGCTGCAAAACGCTATTTTCACTCTTACGCAGTCTATGCAAAAATTTTGACTCGAAAACTGATCTGGACACTTTATATCCTTGTAAATCAGACCTCTTAGGTGATAATTTAAGTTGTGACAGTTTTCTATGAGTGATTGTAGGTGTGCTGCTTAATTTGATTATTCCTGACTCTTTATTGAGATCATGACTTGGTAACCTGAGCAAACGATATGAAGTTAGCTCAGATCTAAAAGATGCAAAAGATTCTGGCGGGGTATCTGGAGCATGTGGAATTGGAAGGTTATGAGAAATTGGCTTTACTTGTTGAGGATTTAAAAAAATCGACTTTTCTTGCTTATTCAAGCTTTTCTTTTCATCACCAATTATTTTTAATAATCTGTCTGCGACTCTATGCTTACTTCTATTCCTCCTATGTGGTAATTGGAAGCTTGTGTTTGATTTGCATTGAATCATCTCTATTTATTTTACTTTCAAATTCCATTTTAAATAACAGAATTTTTAATAAATCTCACTTCACAATGCACATCATAAATGCAAATATACTTCTTTATTAATAGAAATTATTTTTATAATGATGTTACAATGAAACTTTTTCGCTATTAAGCGCTTGCTGGCTAGATTCATTAATAACTGCCATCAGGTATACGCCCTTCCTATAGATGGCGCGCAATGCGCCATCATCGGGCCATGTCGGGAGAGGTTCTCCACGAGGAATGGTTCCACGTGTGGAACCCTCTTTTTGGCTCGTGGAAAAAGAGGGTTCCACACGTGGAACCATTCCTCGTGGAGAACCTCTCCCGACATGGCCCGATGATGGCGCATTGCGCGCCATCTATAGGAAGGGCCTATATTCTTTAAACTGTCCAAAATCAAAAGAATCAGAATTCTCAGTATCAAAATGGCCGAGAACTTTGTTATAATCAAAATCATTTGGTATCTTCAATTCGTTGTCTTTGCAATAAAATGTTATAGCAGTGACCAAGTCGCTATACATAAATAAAATGGCTTTCGCTCAAGCGAAGTTAGCTCCGCTAACTTTCTCTCACTCAAGCAATTTATTTACGGGGTTGGGTTTTTACCTCGAGAACTTCTGCACAGCAACAGCGGTTTAACTTTGGGGATAACCAGAGGAACTGCTCCTCAGTGCACTCAAGACCTGAGTTTTTACCCCTCAGCACACCCGAAGGAAGGTGGACCCTCAGGTGGAGCACGCGCAGGAGCTGATTCGAAATAAAGCCGTGGTGGCAGTGAAGCCCGTCGAAGCCGGAACGCCTATTTATCCGTGTCTTGGTGATCAAAAGGGATCGATCCAGAGGTCCACAGGCCCGACACGTGCATAAATATGGTAGCAGCTCTGGAGTTGGCACCCCGTAGTGGACGTTAAGCGTTATAAATTTTATAAGATAAGATAAGACCAAGTCGCTATACATAATCTTCCCAGTATGCTGAATGTCATACTTCTCAAATGCATCTTTCAGCTTCTGTTCTAATTTAAATTCTTCTGACATCAATTCTCCCATTTTTATTATTTTTTATTGGACCATTTAAACTCTGAGTTAATTAGAAATAAGTTTAATTTTCTATAGTATGCATGATTTTCCTTCTAATTATTTCTTTGTATTTCTTTAAATCAATATTTTTAGTTTTAAATGGATCGATTTTTGTAATTGCATCGTCAAATTCTTTATCTGATATAGGTGGCAAATCGAATTTTTTATAAAACTCGATCGTAGTAGATTTGAGATCTTTGTAATCTAGCTTTCCATCATTATCAATTTCTATGCTTTCTAAAGTAAATAGTAGCTCTTTATCTAAGTTTTGTTCATCAAATATCTTTTCGGCCATTGTATTTATTATAAATAATTCATAAATTCATATTTTTGTCAGAAATATGAATCTTTGGATATAGAGCATTATTTTAATGAGAAACCTTTTAAGTTTTAGTTAACATTTAATAGCACATTGGATAAAAAATGCCAAATTCTGATGAAAATGTTAGTGAGATGAGATTGATTAACTTTTATTAGCGAAACCTAATTCAGCATACCAAAATATTTTATCATTTATTTTTAATCTGAAATCCATGATTATTTATTATCCTTCTTAAAATTTAATGTTAATTTTACATCAAAAGTTGGTAAACATTCTCATTCATAAGGAAAAGTAGTTTGGATGCTTTGCTCTTTATACTCAACTTGCTGATCGCTTGGTGTTAAAGATGTAGAATTGTTTTCTATTCTCATTATTTCATATACAAGATTTTTAGATCCCACTACAATCGGCTCTTGACTGCTTTCTCTTAAATCAGCTGAAAGTTCTTTATTTTGCTGATTCTCTTCTGAAATTTCAGCGTTAAGATCAGAAATTGCTAAAAACCTAGTTAAGAATCTCTGACTGTTATTCGCAAAAGCAAAATTGTTCGTAGAATTGAGCTTTAAGCGATTATTTATGTTTATTGTTGGAATTTTAAGTGGAACTTTTTTTGAAGGGATCTTTATTACCTACTTATATCTAGTGCTTAAGGTGTCCGGTGTTGCACTGTTTCTTGCGAAAGGGTTATAGTGGAACTGGTGATGCCACTGGCCATCTTGCCTCCTACGACATCTCATCTCAATAGCGAACGAGCAAGTTCGTCAATGCTCCGCTACCAGCCCAACTGCACTTCTTATCCAGTTGTTTGCCGTCGCATGAGACTCAGCTCCAGAGTGTGTTCTGCCTGAAGATCATCATTCTCGGATGTAAAGAGTGGATTAAACCTAAATCTCCACGATCCTTGAATTAGCCAGAAGGCTGTGCATCCTTATCTGTTTTAGATAAGGATTCTCTGAGAAAACTGAGCATAATAATCATAATATGGGAGAGAAGAAATTTCTCATACGCAACCATTTTATTATAATAGAGGAATCTTGACAGTTTTATTTAAAAGAGGTTTGCAGCTATCCTCAGATAAAGTTCTACAATGGCAACTATGCCTTCTAGTAACTTGAATCCCGTGTGGTTTGATTTCAGAGTTTTTAACTGTTTCATCATCAAATCCAATCATTAACGAGCTACCTTTTGAGCAATAGAAAGGTTTCACAGAGCCCACTACAATTTCCTTATGTCTTGGACGAAACTTAAATTCTTTCCCTTTGTAATCAAACAGCTGAAAAGAAGACTCCTGCTGATGAATTTTTGTTTTTTCTTGATGCGATTTAGAAAGATCTTTTATTTGATGCTTATGAAATCAAGAAGTTTTTGTATAATAAGTGCACTCAGAGCTAATATTATTGTTTTCTTTTGTGGAAGAAACTAGGGTATTTATCTTTCGGCGTATGTTTTGGCTGTGCTCGCTTAAACTTGCTGCTACTTTTATATTTCCCCTTTTCATTGATATATAATTTCTGCAGTCATTTAACTAACTCTCTCCTTAAATTGGATCAAAAAATCAGGAATTAATTTTTATTTCTGAAAATAAATTGTTAAAATTTTTTTAAAAATTAATTCAAAAAATATAATATTTTTTAATTTTAATTAGAATTAATTCAAAAAATTAATCGATTTAGTCTGAATACTATTTTTGAATAATATTTACATAACTTTTTCCATTAAATTAGGCCAAATTAATTTTATAAAATTTAATATTTTTACCTATAAAATATCCAATTGAAAATTGAATTTAAAGGGCATAAAGAGAAAAAATAGGCAAATAATATGGATAATCTCATCTCATAATAATGCAAAAATTTAAGATCAACATTAATTTTTAAGAGAAGTGATTGAAAAATAAAAGGCTTTATTTATGTAATAAGATAAATTGATTGATTGCTATTAAATATCTTAACGCTCATTTGCCATTCTTATTATACTTATTTGCTATTATTAATTAATACAAAAGAATTATTATCAGTGATTTTTTATGTTCTCAATGAAAGATGTTTTGGTTGTGTGATATATCTAAAAATGAGTCAATAATATTCTAGTATTCTATCTATGATGAAATAATCTAGTAAATTGATTCTTAATTAATATATAAATTAAATTATTAAAATTTTCCCCCTTAAGTTTAATTAACTTTAGAAATCGCACACAATGCTAGAGAATATTTTTCATTGAAAAATTTAAATTAAAATCAAAAAGGAGTTTTAAATTATAAAAGGATCCTTTTCTAAATTTTTCAAGACTTTTTAAGCAATATCAAATATTATTGTAATCGACTATTTTAAAGTTTATTGAACTTCTCAGCCACGACGAGTGGGTTGCTTTCAGAAAGCTTTCGGATTCCTTGACTTCTGTGATCAAATGTACATTGGTGATCTTCAGGCAGTCGGTGCTTAGAACAAAATGAATGTTGGCATTTGCAGGCAAATGAAAGCGGCCCCATTCGCTTCCTGCATGCAAAGCAATGAGTTGGGTCTTGTACTGGTTGAGGAGGTGGAACATCTTGAGGGAGATTTACTGTTGAAACAACTTGGGCCAATGTGCTTACTGCTTCAGTAGCTTCTTTTTTCAAAGCTTCTTTTTTGTGACACTGGGAGCACAGACCTCCAAGACACCCATAAAACACCCTACAGCTCCTACACATTTCAGATTCCATCTTTTCTTTTTTATTATAATTTAAGTTAATTAAGCAAATATGCACTGATGAAGATTTCAATTTTCATATTTGAAAGATTTAGATAGAGAAGGAGATTTAAACAGAACATTTTCTAGTCTTATGATCCACTTACTGCTTGAAAATCAACCCAATATACTCTATATTTCTTAGCTTATGATTGTCAGTAAAATTTAATTTAAAATCTACTATCTATAATATCCTAAAAAACCCGTTTTATTTATTGTGAGAGATCACTAGTAATTTTGCATGCATAAACAATCTATTACTATAGCCAATATTAATTTTAAAGCTTAATATAAATTTTTCAAATAATGAATGCAGTCATTATGTAATCAAGAGCAGCTTTAGATTATATAAATATCTGATTTCATAGGAGCAATTACTATTAATTTTATTGATAAAATTCTCATTGCAATTTAGATCATTTTCTTAGATTTAAAGAATCTTTTGAGATATAAAGTCTGAATCAAAGCTAAAGCAATTAAAAAGACAATTGTAAAGATCGAATATGCCACAACCCTTGAATGAATTGTTTCATTTGTGTTCCTCATTTCTTCCTCTCTCTCCCTAATGTGCTGTAATTCTTTATGAATTTGCTTTGTGTTCTCTTTTATGAGTTCGATCTTTCTTTCTGACTCTCTTAGATCTTTGGTCGAAGCAACATTGCTATAATCTTTGGCAGCAGCTCCAGTCAAGATTTTTACATCTGCCCATACTTCAAATTGTCCAGCATTTTCAATGCAAAGCATATGTGGTCCATCGTCTGTTGAAGTAAAGCTAAACTTGTCATGGTTTATATTTGCTTTTTCGTAAATGACTGAGATATCTTTGAACAAAGCTCTAATTGATAAAGGGCGATAATCAGGCCTCTTATCATTAGTAGAAACTTCTCCCACATAAAGTGTTCCCTTAGAAAGATCCTCTCCGAAGCATTGGACTCCCCTACGTTGAAGAGAAACTTCAAAACTGAATACTCCAGTAAAAAGTAAACACAATAGAAGGGCCATTTACAATTTATTTTGTTGTATCAATAAATTTCACCGAGTTTTCCTCTTACTCCCCCCCCCCCCTCCGTGAGCGAACAAAACCATTAGAAAAATCGCCATTTTTTGACCAAAAACCCACCCTCCGTGAGTGAACAAAAATTTTTTTAATAGAAAAAATTTTAATGGAAAAAAAATTTTGATATATAAGTGATAATTAGTATAATGAAATCTAGAGCTAATTCTGTTTAATTTTAAACAAATTGCGTTTTAAAACATAAATTTTGCAAATTAAATTAATATTTGCTTCCCAATTTTTGCAAATTAGGATTTTTTTTAAATTTCGAAAAAAATATTTTTTATAAAATTTATATATAAATTTTTTTTAAAAAAAAAAATTAACCCCTCCGTGAGCGAACAAAATTTTTTTGTTCGCTCACGGAGGGGGGGGGGGGAGTTAATATATTTTAAAATTGATTTTTCGCACTAAAACATTTAATAATGGCAAACTACCCTTCTCCTATAAAAACAATTAACAATTTGCCGAGCTCTCCTTCTTATGATGAAACAATTCACTCGACTTTTAATTTGACTTCAACAATTTATGATAATTATGATAAACTGCCAGTTATTAATCCAAGCCCAAAAACCACCAAAAATGCTCCAAGAATACTTAGACAAAGTTTAGAAGTCGCCCCAAAACATCAAATTCCTAACCTTGATTAGAGAAATAAAAGAAAGGCTTCTAGACGCTCCAATAAAGCTGAAAATAGTGCCTCACTTTTTGAATTAAGCCTTCAGGGTTTGGAAGGTTTTACCTGTCCCACAAGAAGGTTAAACAGGTTTTGCCTCCCACTTAATCATTGCTTATGGGACTAATTGGGCATCAGCAGTAGGTGGCTCTAACCTAGGGAGCTAATTTTAGGTTAGGTGGATTTACGTCAGATAGGTAGGCTATATCATTATAACACTTAAATTAACCTTGATTTCATAAAAAAGCAAAATAAACTCAAATTAAATGCAAGCCATCATATGATAAGAGCTATGGTATCTGTTGAAGATGAAAAAGAAGCAATAAAAGACAAATCAGCGTTTTCTAAAAGCTTTAAACGTATGTCAGCAGGTATGAAAATTATTATCGGAATTAAAGCAAAAAAACAGAATTTATTAAACCAGGTTACTGAAAATTTACAGCCAGTTTTTGAAAAATCCAAAGCTGTCAACAGTTTCCCAAATAATTCAGATAGAAAATGAAATGAAAATAACAGAGATGCTTGAATAAAAAAGCATGGACTTGAAGCAATTAATAATGACTCTAAAGACTTTGCAGAGTTTTTAAAACAGCTATTTGAAGCACTGGACCATGAAAATATTGGGTTTATTAATTTGACTGATGTAATTGCTGCACTTCTTGCACTCGGGATCAGTCGTGATATTTCTTATATCGAAAAAGCTCTGATGATAATATTTAAAACAAACAACAATTATATGCATAAAAATGGTGACGACAAGCCAAACGACCTCTTGACCCTTTTTCTTCAACACCAGCAAGGCCGGTATCCTTTGTGTATATCGAGCTAGGTTTTTCTTGGACCTTAGGGAGCTAAATACTGGGACTCTGAGTTTTGCCTCCCAGAGCATCATTGGAAAGGCAGAATCAACGGAAGTCCTGAATGAATGCTAAGTCTCTTGAGCAGGGCTCAAGAGGTGACATCTGCCTAGTGAGAAAACTCTGAGTTTCGACCTAGGTGATGGGCCTAAAGGAAGTCAAGATCGGTTGTGCGAACCTTGACTGCAACGGCGAGGAAGAGTGTCTGCTGGGGTCCTTAGTGGATGACGAGCATTTACGGTTGAAAATCCCCGGCCTGTGTAGGACGAAGTCTTAAAACAAAACAATTTATCAACTATGAAAATTGAGAAACAGCAATTTTTGGAAATGTTTAAAGGAGATAAGAAAACAGATTTTTTATTAAATGCATTAAATTTATATTGTAAAGAAGTTGTCAGAGATGAAGAGAACAAAGCATTCTCACAGAGTTCATCAAGCTTCGATAGCAGTATGATGAAAGAAGGTCCAAAAACCTTTAGAATAGATCAATTTGCAGTTCTGCTTAAGCTGTGGTGAAAAGAACTCGAGCCTGATCATGACCTTGTACATATTAATAAAGTCTGCGAATTTTTGGTAGACAAAAATTTGGTCTCTAATAAGCTTGAAGGAAGAATTTTGATAAACAAGTATGTGAATTCAAAACATTTAAGCTATGAAAAATTTGAAAAGCTTTTTTTAAAGCCCATGTTCAAAGGAGGACTGATAAACCTTGTATCATCTTTTAATCTCACTGAAAATAATCTTCCTTTAAGGCTGAAACTTGGTCAAGAACAGAGGAAAGTATTGATTAGTGGAACAAAACCAAGTTTAAATTCATCAGTCAAACATGGAAGGATGGTTTTAGATTCTCTTGATAAGTACAAGCAAAAAAATGGCAATATAGATAAAGATTTTAGTATTAGTTTGGAAGAGGCTGAAGAACTAAATGAAGATAGGCTGCAAAGCTATCTTTATTCAATACGTGATGACGCTAGATTTTTTCTGAATGAAAGGGGAGAGTTGATAAGCAATTCGAAAAACACTTGAGATATAAGAGAACAAGTAAAGCCAGAAAACGATAACAGCATTTTAAATTCAAGCCAAAAGTATAAAAAATCAACATATATGTCTATATTGGAAAATAAAACTGTTGAAGAGGCAAAAAAAACAGCATCATTAAGCCCAAAAGTAAAGCTATTCAGGGAGAACTATTTATGGAAAAGATATAATAATTTGATAAATAGATTTCCTTCTCATTAACTTTTAGTGAAATTATAATAAAAGCGCTAACTAAAGCATGAGGGATGCATATTACTATAGGTAAAACCTGCCTTAATTATTCTTCTATGCTTATCTATTAGATAATACATCACATACATAAATAATAATTTAAAGAAATTTAAAAATCAAATTTATTCTTACTCCCCCCCTCGAAGTTCGACCAAGATTTTTTTGGTCGAACTTCGAGGGGGGTTAAGAAAAATTTTTTTTAAAAAAAAATTATATAGAATTTTTTTTTATATAATTTAGTAGTTAAAAAAAAAAAAAAATATTTATCATATTCTTCTGTATGGTTGAGAGGGTGTAAGGGTGTAAGGGTTAGAAAAAATAGTGCAAGATGGTTTTTTAACGCTTTTTTAGAACTTGAATACAAAAATCGCAAGCTCACCCCCACACATAGTTTAAAATTTTTGAAAAATTGCTTATTTTCCTAGTAAATTTATATAGGTCTTGGTCGAACTTTGAGGGGGGTTAATTTTCAAAAAAATAGGAATTTTCCCTATATCTTGGTCGAACTTCGAAGGGGGGGGAGTTAAGACTAACTCTTACTTAATAAGAGCAATTGCTTTCTGTCTTCTATGCTCTTCTGCCAGCTCTTGCTCAATAACTGCTAACTTCTTGATCATTTCTACAGTGTAAATGCGGGAAATTTCCAAATAGTGAGCTGAAGTTCTCCAGTTGAGGGTATTTCTTGGGAATTTTCTTGAGTATTTAGCATTGAAATAAGCTAAGTGATCAGAATTGTTTTTCATGGAAGACATCATATTGTAGTCATATATAAATGTGTGACCAAACCAAAAGAAAAGTATTAGACGATGTCTTGCGAAAATATAATAAAACTTTCCTGGATGCATATCCATTTCGAATAATCTCTTGTAGAGAGGACCCCATGGGCGCTGGGTCATTGTATAAATCATCATGTATAAGGTGTTGAAAACTCTACCCCAACTTTCAATTATAGGCAGTGGGACGCGGCCAATTCTAAACCATCTCCCAATTTTCCCTTTCATTCCAGCTGCACCTTCCCAGCTTTTGAAAGTTTTTTCTACTGGAGATAAGAGGTACCTATAGACTTCAGAGATGAGCACCATTTCTAATAATGATTAGTGGTTTTAAAAGATTATTTTCTTAGCTCAATCACATATGAATTTTCTTTTTCTTATACTTTATCCATTGATTATTACATTTCGCCTCTCAATTGGATCTCCAGTTGTTGGGTCAATCGCAATAAAATCTTCACCCTCACCGCTACTTGCTATGCTATTTTCTTCTTCAAAAGCATGATTGGCTTCATTAGTTTCTTTATATGGTTTTTCTTCTTGCTCTTGTATATTTGCTGTCATAGAAAAATGCTGCTTAGGAGAGACGGACTTAACCGAAAAGTTCGACTGAAAAAAGGCAGAAGGCCAAATATTCGCAGATGGCAATACTCGATCCTGGGTGGATGGGCTTTCTTTTGACTAATATTCGAGAAGAACAACTACGAAACACCAATCGGGCACTTCTGGAGAAGCATTATGCCGCCTATAAATGACAGAGGTAGTTCCAGAAGGAGGTATCGGACTATCCCTCATATCATGAGTGCTAGCAGGATGTAAGAGAGTCCTTGCTATAATTTTAGTCCAAGTAGTTTCGTTGAGTCCCCGATAGACTGGTGAAGTCATCATTTTTTGGTGACATTGGTGCTGTGGCTTATTGCCTAGCGTCACATGAAGTGCGAAGCTGAAGCTGAAGCTTGGCTGGCTAGGGGCTGAAATAATCCCCGTTTAACTTCTCTCTCTTGCTCTTGTGTATTTTCATCTTCTTCTGCGCATTTTTCTTTACAATACCAAATTCCTCTATTGAAAATCCCATCTGTTTTTAAAAATAAGCTGCCACATTTGCAAGTTATTGACTTAGAAGCTACATGCTTATCTGAGCACTCCTGAGAACAAAATTCTTTCCCGTCATTTGTGGTGCCATCTCCTTTAGAAAATATTTTATAACAATTTCAGCAGGACTTTTTTTCGTTAAAAAGTGGTTTATTTGACCCACTTCCTTCATCAGATTTATCAGGTAGTGCTGCTTGATCAGGCTCCCAAGTTCCACTATAAAATAGCTTAGATCCTCCTTTTGGGAGCATATCAGCAGTTACAGGGTCAACAAATCTGACCTTTTTAAGCTCTTTAGACTCATCTCTTTGGTTTGGATCATGCTTTGTCATGCTTCCTCCTCTACGGAAGTTTTCTAAGGCTTCTCTAAACATAGCGTTGGATTCCGCTTCATTGAAGTCTCCATCAATTAGTCTTCCTTCACTAGAGGAATCTCCTATTCCAGCGTCTCTTGTCTCCCCAAATGAGCTTGGGTTGATAGGCAAAGGCACGAGCTGAGGCTTTTGAGGGGTTTCTGGTATTCGTTCAGATTGGCTTGATGGGCTTTTATTTTCTCTGATTTTTTTTAGGATTTTCAATCGGTGACCAAGAGGGATATTCAAATTATTCAGATGCTCTTCAGTCAGTTCAAGCAAAATTTCAAGCTCGTCGATCCCATTTTCAATTAACAAATTATAGTATTTTTCCATTCCACATGAAGCCAAAAAGTCCATAATCGGATCTGCTTCAGAAGGAAGCGTTTCTTCAGACTTAACAGAGGTGGGCTCTCCAATCAATGCACTCGTAGGTATGAATTCTTCAGTTTTCTGAGGTCGTTTTGCGCTTTGGTTGCTAGGTGGCTTTGGCTTATAACTTAAAACCAGATCCGCATAATTCGCATTTGGCTTATTTTGGGTTCCAGATCTTCATCTTGAGCCATCTTTTTGTTTAGGAGCTTGTTCTCTTTTTACCTTTTCATTTTTCATAAAATCCCTCAGCTGAGCAAGTTTTGCTTCCATGAGTTTGGCTTCTTCTTCCAAAACATCACTGCCGGGGCTGACCTTTTTCTTCAGAATTCCAGCTTTTGAGTATTTCATGATATCTGTTATAATTAAAATGGAAACTTTGCAATTCAAAATTCTGAATGTTCATGCAGAGAATAGTAATGAAATTACTTGCACAATAATTGATAATGAAGTTAATGAAAAAGTTATCTGGCCTTACAATAAAGACTCTATGGTTTCTATATCTGCAAAAGAGGCTCACTCCCCCCCTTAAATTGGAACAAAATATAGGTAAAATTTCCACTTTTTTGGTAAATTAACCCCCTTTAAATTGGAACAAAATTTAATTTTATAATAAAAAATTTTATATATAGAAATCATAAATTTATGTAAAAAGTTTTGATATAATTTAAATGTTTCTTCTTAACTAAAATTAAAAATTTAGTTATATCCTGCTCTTGTTTAAAGAATAGAGTATAAAGAGAGCATTTTATTATCCTTAATTGTAAATTTTTTAAAAATTTTTAAAAAAACATTTTTTTTTTTTTGATAAAAAATGATATTTTTTTATTTAAAATAGCTTTGATATAAATTCAAGACGAATTCTTTACAAAAATTCAAAATTTACTTATTTCTTGCTTTATTTTAAAGAATAGAGTATAAATAATATCTTATTTAAACAAAATTAGCACTTTGATTAATAAATTTTCTAAAATTGTTTTGTTTTAATTTTTTTTTATCAATAAAAATAAATAATTTTTGTGTAAATAGTTTTGATACCAATTAATAGTGGCGTATTAATTAATAATAAAATTTTAGTTATATCTTGCTTTGTTTTAAAGGATAAAGAGTAAATAGCATTTTATTAAACAAATTTATTAATCTAATTCGATAAATTTTTGAAATTTTTATATAAATTTTTTTTTTTTATAAAAAATTTTATAATGATTTTTTTTTTAAAAAAATTTTCTTAACCCCCCTTTAAATTGGAACAAAATTTTTAGTTCCAATTTAAAGGGGGGGGAGTCAAGAAACGAAGATAGATATTTTATTTGGAGATGATTTTGTAGCAGAATTTGAAATGATCACTATTAAGGATGGCTGAATTGTTACTGAAAAAAATATACATGGGATTAAACTTGAATTAGGATACAAAATATTTTCACAAAATAAATTTATGCAAGAGGTAGAAAGACTTAGAAATGATCTGAGAATCAGTGAAACCTCAAGAGTTATGCTGCTTGAAAAATTAAATTTAATTACTGAAGATATGGCTAAACAAAGTGATGAAACTAATGCAAAGTTTTTAGAATATTTTGGAGCTAATGGTAAATATGAGAGACTAATGCAAAAATATAAAGAATCAATTGAAAAATTTAAAGAAAGAGAGCATTATTTTATAGGAAAAATAAAAGAGGTTTCGATGCAAAAGCATGAAATTGAGACTTGTCTTGAGCTACTCAAATCAGAAAAATCTGTGTTGGAAAGCAAACTAAATAGTTTATCAACTGAAATAGAGACTAATCATTTTATTATAAATGATGTTGAAAAAGTAAAAGAATTAGAATTTGCACTTGATAATGCTAAAAGTTTATTAAAATCGCAAATGAAAGTGAATGAAGAAAACCTAGAGCAACTAAGAATATTTCAAAGTCGAAACAGCTTAATGTCAAGCCAACTTAAAGAGTTTGAAATCAAAGCAATCTGCCCTACCGAAGATGAAAGCAATTATAGGTTTACTTTTGGTGCAGATGCACAATCAGGGATGATGGAGGATATTCTTGAATCTGTAATTAAAGAAACTTTACATGAAAAAAAAATGGATTTAAATGTAATTCAAGTATCATCTGGAGTGTTTTATATAGGTAAAGTCAGGGCAGAAATAAAGCTAGACCATGGAGAAGTAAAAGCATATCATAAAAAAGAGTATAATTTATGCATCATAATAGATCGCTATACCCAAGTAGAATACCGACCAGAAAAATATGGTCCAGGACACCTGCATTATACAGTCTAAGTCTGATCGTTTTTACTTTTCAAAAATGCTGATAGGTGCAAATTAATTGAAAATTAAAATGGATGGTCAATAATAGTCTAAAATATTTCAAGGGCTATATATTCCTTTAGATGATTTTCTTGACTTGCAAATTCAAGTCGACCCAAAACTAAGAAGAAGCTTTAGTTCAGGAGTGAATGAGGCCAAATCAAAAACTGACTTTATTAATGAATCTCAGACCTATGAGCTTAATCCATTCGATAGTTTAGAAAGTCAAAGCTCTATAGAAACCCCAGAGAAAAAGCCTTCAGTCAAATTCAGAAATAAGCCTGACATTATGTCTTATAAAGCTTCTCTAAGCCTTAAGCTTGCTAAAGCAAAAGGCTACTGTCCTGTTCTAAAGAAAAAGAGATAAGTCATGCACTTTTCTTCGTATCTTGCAATTAATTAAAGCATTTTTATTAGTTAAATTAAATAATAATGGACGAAGCACTGTCTCCAGAACAGATATTGGCATTCAAAAAAGCCTTCAAGCTATTTGATGACAACGGTGATGATTTAATTCCTCTAAGCGAGCTAGGAACAGTCATGAGAGCTCTCGGCCAAAATCCTACTGACGAAGAACTTGATGAATATGGTAAGGAATTCGACCCAGACAATAACGGTCTCATTTATTATGAAGGATTCCAAGCACTTATGATTAGAAGGCTCAAAAAAGATGACCGTGAAGAAGAAATGCTTGAGGCCTTCCGAGCATTTGACCGAGAAGGAACAGGAAAAGTGAAATGTGAAGATATCAGAGAATCATTCTTAGCTCTCTGCAAAGATCTCACCGAGGATGAGCTTGAAGAAATGCTTAAAGAGATGGACCCAGAAGGGTTCGGAGAAATTGACTATATTAGTGCTGTCAAGAAAATGATCACTTCTCAAACAGCTCCTCCTAAAAAAGCCAAAAAAGGAAAGAAAAAGAAAAAATAAATGCTAATGTTTACAATTCAAAGAATAAAGCTTATTATTTAAGTACAAGTTATATCTTCTCTATCTGCAGGTGAACCTTCGAGTAGCACTTAGGAGAATTATTTGTTATGGTGAGTTTGTTTTTTGGTGGCACACAAAATATATCTCATTGTGAGAGATTTAGGATTGATTCATGGATCGTTATTTGTGTAGAGAAAATTCCGGACATCATAATAATTCCGACAATTCTTGAATTTGTGATGCCGAAGTCAAAGGAATCTCCTGGTTTTAAACTGATGACAATTAGCCGTATTTTATCGTCTTCTCCAACGTGGGCGATTTTTCCTTTGGCTTCTTCATCAGATACTCAGTTTGACTTAGGATAGACGACTTTTTCAAGGACTTCTTTTTTTGATCTTGAGTCAAAAACAGGCAACTCACACTGTTCTTGGGTTACTTGATTTCTTAATTTAGGTTTTTTTGGTTGCCGGTTATAAATTTTGGCGTCACTTCGTGTTAAATATCCTTCTTCTTTGACGTCAACACCTAGGATTCTGTTAGATTCATCATATACAATTCTTTCATTTCGCCAATGCTGGACAGGCTTTATCCTATTTCTTTTCGGATACCTTCGTTGCTCATTATCTTGTGAAGGAGTAACTAACTTTCTCTTAAGACCAAATTTTTCGTTACTACATTGATAAAATCTCTATTTTGGGAAATCGACCTCTTAACTGGCACGAAGATTTTAAATAGAAATTGTTTTACAAGTAATAATTTGGTATGTAGTTAATAATTAAATAATGAGATTAACAAGTTAACACTTTTGCAATTTAAAAGATTGCATCTTTAAAACATAAATCTTCAATACAAATTTAATTTTTTTTATTTAAAACTATTTTATAACCAATTTTTTATATAAAATGGCTAAAAAAATTTAAGCACTAGATTAGAGACCTCGCTAAACAATAGAAGAGCTAGTATCTGGTGTTGCTTTATTAATCTTTTTAGGAGCCTTTCTAGCAACAGAAGGAGCAGCAGAGACATTTCCTTGCCCAGGGTTATAAAAAAATTCTTCATCTTCAGAATCCATTGCCTGCTCATTAGGAATAGTGTCAGTCGACATAGGAGAGCCAACATTAAAATCCGATTCATTTATATCTTCTAAAGGAATTTGCTGAATGATGCTGTTTTGCAATGTGTTCATTCTTGTTCGATGTTCAAGTTCCTCATCTGAAGTATCAAAATTCATTTCATTAAATACAGAAGCCATGCTATCTCTAGCTCTTCTAGGAGGATTAATCTGTGAGCTCTCCTCTTGACTGTCAAAAGTCAAATTTTTTATCGTCTCATTAAAAGGCAGTTCCTTAATTTTCGCTCTTTCCACAATTGACCTTTCAAAATCGCTCAAATCTGCCCTCCTCTTCTGAAAGTCCCTTTCCTCTGCAGCTTCACTTTCTCTTTTCTGCTTAATTTCTATCAAATTTGATTTTTTATAAATTTCAGCATTTAAGTTTTGCTTAGGCTCAATTGGCCTATTTATTACAATATTCTGCTGTTTGTATTGGCCTTCGTTGCTATCAATTCGATTTGGTATATTTTCAATTTGATTTTTTGGAGGATTTGGCTTAAGGGAAGTTCTTCGGCTTGAAGCTCCAGAAAAAACACTTATACTTTCTCTTGTAATTGATGAAGTTGTAGAAGGCCTGGATGTGAAGTTTTCTTGTGAAGAGTCACTTGCATCCCTCTCAAACGCTCTTATGGGGGATTCTTGATCTTGAGTTGGATCACTGAATAAAAGTTACAAAGCCATGAGATAGCTTTTGGGGTGGCTTATTCGTTTTTCGTTGTCTATACTAAATCCCCAGTTTGATACGTCTAATGCTTGTCTTTTTCTTTCCATATTCAATTATGAAAATAAACAATCATTTTTAAATTTACATATAAAGCTTATATTGATATTAGATTCAGCTATTTTTATTCTCAAAAATATCTATTTATTCCAAAAGAATATATACTGAAATTATTTCTTTATAAGCAGCTTTAATATAAATAAAATAGAAGTTCTCTAAATAAACTAATTGGCAGACCATCAATCAGCTTGTTCACTCGCTTTTTTCTAATATATAAAATTCCCTTAATCATTGTCCATACATAAAATCTTGATTTTACAAATTCAATTGAGGATACATTAGAGCTGAAGCTTAAAGCTGCATAGACATTTTCATTTATTATCTTTTCGTTTACAAAAGCTATACCATATTCAATGCCATTTATAAGGTAGCTTAAAGTCCCATCAATTTTATCTACAATTACTGCAATGACGTCTTCGCTTGTGATTTTATCTTTCGTATCTGCATAATGCCTTCCCCAAAAGCTGCTTCCATGCCTTAATGACTGAAATTTCAAATAAAAGCCGAATCCATTTTGGTTGTTTGTAAACGCTTCATTAATTTGGTTTTCTTTAGGATTAATTGCGATCCCTACTATGATGTTTGAAGTTTCTCTTTTATTATTAAAGTTTTTAAACCGAACTTCAAAATAATTGATGGAGTTGTCGGGAAGTGCTTCATTTGAAAAAACTGAGATAAACGTGTTGTTTGTTTGATTTTTTTTTATATTAAGTCTTGACGGATTATCTTGCGGCTCAAAACAGGTATATTTATCAGGTGAATTATTTCACGTCAGCTTTGAGAACTCCCAGTGTGATGGATATTTTCACATTTATAAAATGTCTCAACAGAATTTGTCTAAACTAATCCAAAGCGCAGAATTCTCGATGATTAGTTTAAATACCCTTGGATTAAATAGATATCAATAAAATATGTGAGCAAATACTGGCTTTTACAGACGGGCAAGTAATTTTGCGATAAAAATGAGAGTTGAAGGAAATTGCTTAAAAAGATAATAATGGCAACTTACGCTTACCTTTTCAAATACATAATTATCGGTGACTCTGGGGTGGGGAAATCTTGCTTTATGTTGCAATTTACAGACAGGAGGTTCAAAAACAATCATGATTTGACTATTGGAGTAGAATTTGGCTCACGAACGATAAAAGTAAATGACGTATCTGTCAAACTGCAAATGTGGGATACTGTAACTGTAATTTAGGCTGGACAAGAAAGCTTTAAGAGCATCACCCGTTCTTATTATCGAGGAGCCATTGGAGCACTTCTTTTATTTGATATATGTAATCGGCAAAGTTTCATAAATCTGAATAAGTGACTTGCAGAAACACAAACAAATGGAAACCCTGATATTGTAATTACACTAGTGGGAAATAAAACGGATTTAGAAGCTCAGAGAGTGGTTTCACAAGAAGAAGCCAAGGCATATGCAGATTTAAATAATATGATTTATATTGAGGCCAGTGCCAAAACGGCTTTTAATGTTGATAAAACATTTGTTGATTCAGCTGGAGCGATTTTGGCAGCGATTGGGGATGGAAGAATCAATTTGTCTGTAGAGCATGCAGGGATTGTTGTAGGGAAAAATTCTCATAGAGAGGATTTAATGAGAAAAAGTCTGGCTCAAGGACAAAATTCGGGATGCAAATGCTAAACGAAGCATGCTCTAAAAACCATATAATATTTATCTCATCTTTTAATATGGTAATTTTAATTGAAATTTATAATCAGGAGAGCCAAATAATGCCAAAAATTCATGCGTTTTTTTATCTGTTAATTTTTATTTTAAATAATTACCGAATAAAATTTCAATTAAAAATTGCTTGAAGTTATTTGTCTGCGAGCTGCTTTATTAGCTCTTCATTTTTCTTTTTTTCTTGGGCAATCAATTCTCATATATTTCCCCCATCACTAGATTCCTTGATTGCAGATTTTCTTTCTCTTACTTGTGATAGCACAGATTTACTCCTTGGCATGGTTTCAACAGACTCACTTCTATATTTATTTAACTCCTCTGATTTATCAATAACTTTATTCATGGCTTCTTTCAATCCTTCTTTTTCCTCCAATAACTCTTCAAACTCTTTAACTGTATTATCCAATTGCAACCTTAAATTATTTTCGTTTTCCTTTTTCTTTTCTTTTAATTCTTCTAACGCACTCTCAGTTTGTCTGTATTTCTGTATCAAAATATTTAATTCATTTTCTTTTTCTTTTCTTAATTTCTCTTCTTCAATTCACTTATTTTTGTATTCTTTCAGCTGGTCTTTTAAGGCTAATAGTTCTATTTCTGTATCTTTTGATTGGGCTTTCTAAATAAGAATTACGTTTGGCAAGCCAGAAACTTTTTCAAGCTCGCTTATTAAGCTTTGGTTTTGAACTTTATATCTATCGATTTCGTTTAAAAACTCCCTTCTTTCGTGCTTTATAATTTCAAGTTCATCTTCACTAGCCTTTTGTGTCTCTTTCTGAATACTTAGCTCTTTATTAAAGTATTCCAAGTCAAGCTCATATTCTTTTAATTGTGCACTCATATCTTCAATACATTGAAGCAAAGATGATCTGTCTTTAGCCAAAGTTTTATTCTGCTCTGTTAAGGCTTTTATTTCTTGTTCCTGCTTAAAATTTTCTGTTTCCACTCTAACCAGCTCTACATTATTAGCCTCTCTTACCAATTTTAGCTCCTCAATGTGTATAAGCGCTCTTTCCAACTCGTTTTCTTTTTCAATAAGAATCTGCTTCATTTCTTCTTCACTTTTTTGGATAAAAGACGCCAAATTTGTAGAGCTGTCTTCTTCTTTTGCACTTGTGTAACTTAAAGCTCTTTGAAGAACTGATAATTGGTTTTCCAAGTCTTTATTTGCTTGGCGTAGCTTCAATATAACTGTATCTTTTTCATTATTTTTTGATAGAACTTCTTCAAGTTGAGTTCTCAGCTGAAGGTTTATATCTGAAAGAAACTGTCCTTTGGTTCCTGATATAAACTTTTGCTCTAATTTTCTGATATATTCTTTGCTTTCATTTAATTCTTTGTTTAGCTTTTGCTTTTCTGAGTTTAGCAGCTGGACTGTGCCTTTAACAATTGATAGTTCGTTTTCTTGTTTTAGCATGTTTTTCTGGGATTTGGCGAGCTCTGTTTTTAAATTGTCAAGTCTTGAAACATTTTTGTTGAATTCTTTTTCAAGAATGTCATATTGAATTTTTAAATCACGGAATTCTTTGCTGGATGAATTAGATCTTGGGGTTGGGGTTTGAACTGGATGTGCTCCGTAGGTCTCTAATCCCCTCACAAAAATTATTGGTAAAAACTTTTTTTGAGTGTGAAAAATGTTTAATGCAAAATATTTTGATACATAAATAATTATTATTTTTATTATCTAGAATAATTCTATTGAATAGAGAGCTTGCATTCTCATAAATTAAATCACATTTACTTATTTTTTATTTCAAAAATAAAATTTATTTATAAAATCCAAAAAACACTCCATTCCGCAACCAAAAACTTGTTCATTCAGAGAGGGGAGAAAAGTAAAGATCCTTCTCTTGGTCGAGGAGTTAAACTCATATTTAAATATTCTTTAATTTACTAATATGCAAAGAAATTTATTGCTACTTCCTATTATGGCAAGTCTTATAAATCAGTAAAAAATAAATTAATCTCCGCCAAGGCTAATTTTTCTTGCAATATTTGTCAAGTATGTTACTTCTAGCTTTCAAATATTTCCATACAAGCAAATTATTGTATCTAGTAATTGGAAAGAACTGAGCATAATAATCCACATTGCTTTTAAGCGGGAAAATTCTATTATAATTCCCAATCCTATCCCATTCTTCTTCGCAGTCAATCAGCACATTTAAATCTTCTTGATTTATATCATAGTCTTCAAGGTTTACACAGCTAAGCAATCCAGATAAGTTTCTGTGGGCAATTTTTGCAGGTTTTTCAAACCCAAGAAGTCTATTTGTTTTCATTTCTTCCCTTTCTTTTTCCAGCTGTTCTCTATCAAATGGTACAACTCCAACCATATAACCCAGGAACCCGTTTAGATAGCCCTGGGCTGGGAGAATGCAGCGCAACTTCTGACGAGCCAACTTGGGGAGTTGGCAAATGCCTTGTACCAGGGTCATTTGTCAATTCCAAGAGTTGGTTCGTCAACTTGAGCTGGAGAAACCACTCCAGGAGTTGCGCTGCATTCTCCTAGCCCAGGACAATCTAAACGGGTTCATGGGCTATAGTGAAAATATCGCACATAAGTGAAGTCTTAATTCTTTTATCAAGGGGTGAGGTAGAACTTAAGGACGGAAGGACATTGACTTCAATTAGCCAAGGTCTTAAATTTTGATCCAACATAATATCAAACCCAAAGGTCTCAAAACAAATATTTTTTGATTTTGTTGCCTGACCCATACTATTTACAATATCAGGTTCTACAGAAATAAGAGCCTTTATGACTACATCATGAATTTTTGCGAAAACTGCTTCAAAGTCTATTCCTTGCTCATTGAAGTATCTTCTTAATGCAGTCAAAGACCATTTGCTGCCTTCTGCATCTTGGCAAGCCTCAGTAGGGTTAACAAATTTGTCTGATCTCTTATTTACACTGAAATTTGTGAGGTGAACGTATCTCTTTTTTAATGTTTTTTTATTAGTAGAATACTGCTCTGTTGCGAATCTCACAAGTCCTTCTTTATATATATAGACTCTCAGAGGATCAAAGCTCGTAACACTGATGTAAATCCTTAAATCATACTTGTAACCGTTTATAGTGTGAGGATTAGCAATATATCTTGAGATAATGTATCCTCTCCTTTTATGTATTTTTGTTTTATTAGAAATCACTTTGATACCTCTTCCACAAGACCATGCTGCAGGCTTAAGAATTCATAAAAGATGGGAATTTTCTTCTCTGTCCATCTCAAACCTTGAAAAATCTTCTGGCAGAATATATAGAAATTTCCCATAGATGGTGCTGTTTGCCTTGATTTGCCCACTGGGGAAATTTTTGGTTCGACCAGTCCCATATGGTTTGGTCAAACCAAAAAATTTTTCTCATGGGCAAATCAAAGGCAAACAGCGCCATCTATGGGAAATTTCTATATGTTTGAGGGCAGATTTCATAAGGTTTTCCGAATTTTCTCCTTTGCTTTAGGACATTCCTTCATAAATTGTCTTTTCTTCCAATTTGTCATATTCCTGGGAAATGGTTGATTTTTTGGTAAGGATTGAATTTCTTCAAAGACTCTGGTTTTGGGACTCGTGAAATAGAAACATTGAAATTTGTGGAAGAACTTGTCATTTTGAAGCCAGCATGCTTAAAAGCAGTCATAAAGCAGGCAAGCTTATGAGCTCCTTCCCCAACTCTAAAGCTAAGCGATTTTGCTTGGACTTCGTCATCTGACATAATATAAGTCCTCTCATCAACTCTTGAATGCGCTTGGCAGCATCCTGGATAGTCAAAAACTACAGTTGCTGGCCTTCCACTGTAAATTGGTTTTCTTAGAAGTACCGTTCTCGCTCTGCTTGTAATTTCCTGTATAATTGCCTTACTCCCCCATTTTAAATTGGAACAAAAAATCCTGTTCAAATTTAAAGGGGGGTTAATATTTTTTTAAAAAAAATTATATTTATAAAAAAAATTTAAAAAATATAATTTGAGCATAATCTTCGAATTTTAATATATTTTTATGAAGAAATAATTAAAAAATTTACCGATGCAGTGTGAAAAATGTTTAAATAGAATTCTACTTGCACTTCTTTCATTAAATTAACTTTAATCTTTTCTTTGAAAAATTTTTTAAAATTTAAAAAATATAAATTGAGTATAATGCCTTGAATTTTAATTTATTTTATGATGAATTAAATAAAAAAATTAATCGATTAAGTGTGAAAACTGTTTAAATAATATTCTATTTGCGCTTCATCTATAAAATTGGGTCAAAATTAATTTTCTAAAATATTTAAATTTTCATTATTTTATAAAAGATTAAATTAATAGACCCAGTGTTAAATAATATTCTAATAAAATTTTCTTATTGAGAAGCAAATCTTTTTCCAATTTAAAGGGGGTTAAAGCAGCTAAAATCCAAATTTTACCGATCTTTTATTCCAATTTAAAGGGAGGAGCTAGTATCTACTTCATTTCTACATTGAAAAACTTTTAATTTCGGTATCGGACTATCAGGTGAGAACTCTTGTGTAAGTGACTCAGTTTTATCTTCCTCTTCAAACTCGCTGCAAGCCTCCGAAAGCTCGTCTTCTCCAATGACATCATCGTCACTTTTAAACTCCTCCTCAAATTCCTCATTTTGGCTTATATTATCTGTGTTTTGCAGTTGAATTATTTCTTTATTAGTGCATAGACATTTCAGTTTTTTGCATGACTGGCACATCCTTTCTTTAAATGAAGTGGGCGATTTTGAAGTGACCCTTCTTTTATATAGCAGACTTTTTTGATCTGCATTTTCTCCTCCTCTTTCAGATACAATACGTGAATTAAGAGGCTGCTGAGTTTTGTGCCGAATTGACGCTTGGGCTGGCAAGTTTCGCGATATAGCACGGTTTTGGTCTGGAGCTGCAAAACCTGATGACGAAGAGATGGTATAGGGTCTTTCTTTAGCTTCAGTTTTAGGGTTAATTGAGAAGGATGCCAGTACACGGCTTTGCCGCTGGGTTTTCGGCAGATTTTGGATTGCTGTTCTTGGAGGGATAATAATTAAAATATGGCGTCTTCGTCTAGGTATGGCCTCACGGCCATACATCCTCGACTCATATTTTAATTATATCTGGCAAGGTTTTTCTAGCCTTGAAATGGACAGCAATGCTATGGTAACCAATTCTGCAGGTAGCAGGGCCTAGCCCAAGTCCAACTTCGAGACTGGTTTTTACCTCGAATGAAATGAGGGTTCAGATTTGGAAAGGACAAGCCCAGCAAGGTCTACAGGTAACCCCTAGACCAATTGGACAACTTCCTAGCGTGAAACTGGGCGTTACGTCCCAGGATCTGGACTTCACACTTCTGCCGATAGGCTACCAGAAATTCCATTTTTTGGAATTTCGGAATGCCAACTTCGTACCCCTCAGCCTCAGGAGGCCGCACAAACCCTTAGACTGCCCACTCAATACTGGAGTCTTTTACAAGAGACAAGGAGGAGAGGCCCGACGAAAGGAAGGTCGCAAGCGGTTAAATCCCACAAGGGATCTTCGGTGATTGCGTTAAAATTAAGGGCGCGAGCCCGTCTACATAATGTAATGTAATGCTGTTCTTGGAGGGATTTTTTGAGAAAACGGTGCAAATAAATAAGCAATTTGTTGTCTGTTTGAAGCCATTTCAGTTAATATTACTTAAGTTTCACTTATTATTTTTGAAAAAATTAAGTTGTGTTTTCAATTAAAAGAGTTAATTAGCACAATCAGGGCAGACCTCCAAGCTACCTGTATCATTATAAATTGTTGTATTGCAGACGTAACAGCAACTTTTCTCGCATTTCTCACAAATACGTCGACAATATTCACAAATATCTTTGGAACAGCCTTTACAAATATCAATAGCGATAGGGTAATGATCTGGCTCTGAGCGATGGCCATTGAAGTTAAGCTCAATTTTATGTGTGCATAAGCTGCAGTATTTTAGGACAGTTGGCGATATTTCATTGACTCTTTGGCTTGTGATCATTTGCTGGAGAGTTCTTTCGTATGGAGAATTTGATTGAGTTGGACGGTGGGCGATTGGCTCTTCTGTGTATGGATTTTTTCTTCGTAAAGCGGGAACTCTCATTTATGAGATCTTAATATAGATTTAGAATAAAATAAATTCCAATTTAACGATGACCCCCCCCTCAATCTTCATGTCTATTGCAACAAAAATGCAATTTTTTAATATAAAATTTTATATAAAAAAAATAATAATTTTCATGTCTCTTGCAACAAATTAGATATAAAAAAAATAATAATTTTCATGTCTCTTGCAACAAATCATATATATTAAAATGACACGTGTCACCCTGCCCTCTTGGCGCAGCATTCCAGACCTTATGGCTAATGCGAACTGGGACGGACCCCAAGCCGAGAATCAGACGCAGGCTCAAGAAGTGTATATCCGAGCAGGTTTTGGCTGCTTTCCTGTGGTAGGAAATAGATGCGCTCGACAACGTCCTTTTGTTCCGAGGACCCATGGGTATTCCTCTATCGAGAAACTGGGGTTTTTGCCCAGGCCACAGGGGAACAGTCTTTTTCGTGTAGCTGTAGAAGGAAGTACTTTGACACCCGATAGACTCTAAGGAGCTGATCCTTGGAATCAAGCTACTCCAATTGCCCGTAGCAGGGACGCAGAAATCCATAAGCCGCCCACTCAAGACTGAAGCCGCAAGGCAAGGAGGAGACAGAAGGTACCGGAAGGGCACTCGTAAGAGGAATAGACCCTCTGGGCTGGAATCGAAAAGCGGTAGAACCTTCTGCACGGGAGGTCTTTGGTGACTGTGTTACAAATATGGCTAGCGCCTGTCTGTAATAATCCTAATCCTCTTGCAGCAAATTTTAGATTCGCATCTTAAATTTTTCTGTACTTTTTAGCTAGATAAGTTTAAATAAAATGGCGAGCAATGACAATAGCCGTCCAAATCTCGATGAGAAGGTCATTGACACGCCTACAGCAGCGCTGTTTTATGGGGTTTTTGAGAAACTCACCTAGAGAAAAATGCATTAATTCTTTTTTATAAAAATTTTGTGTTGCAGTAGGCATGAAAATTTTTTCGAAAAATTTTTGTTGCAATAGACATGAAGATTGAGGGGGGGTCATCGTTATAAATCATCAAATTTGGCTAGAATAAATTATAAAAATATGAGCTTTACATTCTGTAAATTGCTCTATTGAGATAATTTATATTATCAGGATTAAAGTAAATAAAGGCATCTTATTGTTTACGAAGGTTTCATTCTTGCTAACTTTCCGTAATAATTGCTGTTTTGTATTTTAAATATTTAATATTTAAAATGTTTCAGTTTTTAATATTTTAAAGGGGATAAAGATAATTTATAATATGAAATTTCAATCAAAGTATGAAGCATTGAAGTCTAAATATGATGAATTGTATGATGATGCCAAAAAGAAGGGAGCTGAGTTTTCAAAAATAAAAAAAGAAGAAAATGCATTAAAGGTGAGCATTGCATTGAAGAAACTTCAGCTTAAAAGAGAATTCAGAAATTCTGAGAGGAAAATAAAAGGCTGGGTTATGGAGAGTTGGGAAAAAGAGCTTGAAAAGGGATGGAAATGCTTTACTGTTCCTGAAGAGCCTGAGAAAAAGCGCGAACCGAGTCCTAAAATTGTCCCAGAAAAAGAAGAGCGAGATGAGGAAGAAGATAGTGACATAGAAAGAGAAATACAAATAATGATGAAAAACAGTTCACGCAGCAGAAGGATGAAGCAAAATATGGCTTGGGTTCCTTAATTAGTAAATATTGAGCTTTCTTTTTAGACTAATTATAACAAAGTTTATTTAGATTAAACATTTTTATAGGCAAAAAAAGATTAGAAAAGTATATCTTAGAGATTAGAGCCATATAGAGAGCAGACTAAAAATTAAAGATTGCTATTAATTGAATAAAGAAAATTATTAGTTTTTAATAATCTAATTTTGCTTCATCCATTTGTAAGATAGTTAAAAGTAGGAAATTTTAATTTCCCTTAAAAAATAATTTTAAATGTATTAAAAACACTTTCTCTTAGAAAATTTATCTTTTTTATTTCAACTTAGTCTGCAATTAAATTTTTAGCTGTATTAAATAACTTTAGCTTATCTGAGAGTTTGTCAAAGTATTTGCAAATGCTTTTAGCGAGCCAGCATAGCTTTTTATGCAATTTTTAGTGCATTCTACATCTTTTCCACAATTTTCGCTACAATCAGAGAGTTTGCTCTAAATATGTCTCACAAATGATGCTTTATATGTTTCTTGAATCTTACTCCTTAATGGGTTCGATTGTTTTCTGCAAGTTTCCGCGCATGAATCTGATTCTTCAATATTTGCCTTCGGATTTTGATAGCAAGCCATTTCACACATATAGCTATCAACCTGTATAAAATTTACAAAAGCAGGAGACGCAAGCTTTGAGATTTCTTTATAAAATGCTGTGTTTATTTGAGTAATTTTTTGATATAAAATTTTAGGATCCGTCGCCATATTTTATTAAAATCTAAAGAATATTTAGTTATAAAATGCTTTTTTATTTTAAAATAAAAGATTAGATAGATAATTGTTATTAAAATAACTATTATTAAGCTATTTTTATGCTATATTGAGTTCAAACTAAATTCTCTTCATAAAAGTTGATTGATTAATATAAAATTCTTTTCAAGTTCATGCTCTTATTAATAGTTTAGCATTATTTGTGCTATATTGATGCTGTAATGCAAGTAATAATCTTATTTTGAAATCATTTATGCTTATTTTTTTGTCTTCTGTAAATATTCTAATAAAAAGATGCTATTAGTTCAAGACAATAACTTTTTTTATTTTATTAGCTTTTCCTTTAAATTTTAACTAAAAATCTCCTTCAATTAAATAAAATTTTTTTATTACGTATCGGGAAAGCGCCAAATTGTTTGAATAGCATTAAAATTGCATTCCAATCCTTGAAGCAGAAAAATGGAATATTTAGCGACATAATTTTTTTTAATTAAATTGAGAGTAAAGTATGTATAAATTTATTTAATAATCTCAATTAGATCATAGTCTTTTTCAAATTTATATTTGCCATTTATGCTTTCAGCAATAGTTAATAAATAAACCTTACGCCTTGATTATCAAAAAAAATGTATGAAAATAAATAAATCTCTATATTGATATGATTAAAGGAAAATCTCAACAAACTCTGATGCCTGCTTATAACTTGGTTAATGGAATAAAAAAAAGAGAACTCAAAGCAGAACAATTTGATAATAAAAAAATAAAACTTTCATGTAACAGCACACAAATAAAAGAGAAAAGCCCTAAGCAAAATCTCAAGGTCGAACAAAGTCCGTGCCACAAGGAGCAATTTGAGCTAAGCAAAGGCCGGTGTTTTGAGTCATTGTCAAATCTTAGGATGAGAAAAAGATCTTTGAGCTCTACTTCATTTTTCATCCTTAACATGCCTCAAAAGACGTCAAAAAGAGATAATATTAAAAGCATTTTAGATTTCCCAAATGTGAATACAATGAAAAATGATTTATTGAAAGAAAATATATCTATGGTTGCACGAAAGGTTATCAGGACAAATAGTAATGCGGTGACCTTCGCAAAGTCAAAAATTTTATCGAATTTGAAACAAAAAGTCCTCAATCCAGGGCCTGCTAAACCATTTTTTTCTCGTCAAGGTTCAATTCATTCACATATAACAGAAGATGAAGAGAGCTTTAGGCCAAAAGCAAAGTATTGCCACATAGAAATAAAATAAGTCCTTAGTAAGTATGAAATTGCAATTTTTATTATTCAATTTTTATCCACATATTTTTTAATCTAAAAAAAAAATGAAAGCATATAAAGATTTAATAAATTAAAAGAGAAAGTGATTTTTTATTTATATATACAAAATGGGTTCTTGTAGGTAATCCAAATTTGTGAAAATTTATTGCAGAATAAATGTAGATCAATTTTTATTTAATACAAAAAATTCCAATTATTTTCCTGAAGATTCAATTTGCTTGCTAAAATAGCTTCATTAAATGCTTTAAATTCATAAATGTTTAATTTAATTCCAAAAAGTATAAAACTGCTAGGAAAGCTTGGCACAAATGAAAATTTTACAAATAGGAATAGTCTTAGGGGAATTATTCTTAAAATATATATAATCAATAAAGCTAAACCTTATTTTAATTTCAACAAAATACTTAGCTTTGGGCATTTATAAAAAATCTACTTTTTTATAAGAGTTATTTAAACTTCATCTTGTCGATTTCTAGTGATCTCAAACACTCTGATTGAGCCATCTCCACTTGCCACTGCGAGCTTATTCGAAGCATGAGCAAAATCAATTGAGTACACCGCATTAGTCAAATTTGATAGCATTCCAAAAGGTCTCAGAGTATCACTATCATAGAAATACGCTTCATCACTTCCAGATCCTCCTGCTGCAAACATTGATCCCATATCTGACTTACTAAACTGCGCAGTATAAAGCAAGCACGGCCTATTATTTGAAACTACAGTCTGAGTAAAGATATTGTGCCCATCATTCAAATCCCACAGCTGCAACTGATCTTTTATATGATAGCTTCCAGTTAGCAGTCTATTTCCACAGATATCCATAGCATCCCCACATATGTGAGGTCCAAAAATAGCTCTTGCAGCTCTATGCGCTCTAACATCCCAAATGATGATATTATTATCCCATCCAGCACTAATAATTGTATTTTCATCCCTCCACTTGACAGCGAAAATCCTATTCCCATGCCCAATCACATCTCCCCATCCAGGAGCCATTTCAGCAATGACGCTCTTACTCCCCCCCTCCGTGAGTGAACAAAAAAATTTTGTTCACTCAGGGAGGGGTGTTAATTTTTTTTTTTTAAAAAAATTTATATATAAAATTTTTTATAAAAAATAGTTTTTTTTCGAAATTTAAAAAAATCCTAATTCGCAAAATTGGAAAGCAAATATTAATTTAATTATAAAAATTTTATGTTTTAAAAAGCAATTCGTTAAAAAATTAAACAGAATTAGCTCTAGATTTCATTATACTAATTATCATTTATATATTCCATAAAAAAAATTTTCTATTAACAAAATTTTTGTTCACTCACGGAGGGTGGGTTTTTAGGCAAAAAATAGCGATTTTTCTAATCGTTTTGTTCACTCACGGAGGGGGGGGAGTTAGTAGATTCATCATAAACTCTAACGAACATATCTTTGCAGCCAACTGCAAAATATTTCCCCTCCACGTCATAATCAACACATAAAACTTGATTTTCTTGCTCAAACCTGATTGTATGCAAAATTTTGCCTGAAGTTGCATGCCAATGAAGTATTCCGCCATCAGCTGTGGTCGCGACAAGCACGTTCTTTGTTTTTGCAAGTGAAGTAGGAGGTCTCCACTGAAGTGCTGTGACTGGCATTGCATCTGCTGCAAGCCTACAGTTCAATGTCCTAATGAAATTCCCACTTGTACTGGCATATATTTTGACGGTGCCATCAGCACAAGCTGTTGCTAGATGAGAGTCGTCTGGGTTCCATTTGACTACTAGGATGTCTCCGCTATCAACGATAGTGTGGAGATGAGTAATTACTCGTTCTTCTTCCATATCTAACTTATCAATATAACTATTTATTAATGCCTTTGTCCAAGAGCTTCTCTTTCCATCCTTTCTCTTCCCCTTTCTCTGAACTGCTGAATCAGTTCTGCCAGCGGTGCAAGCTCTTTTTGATCGACTAGCTTAAAGCGATCAATAAAGAAAATGAAATGCTTAAAACAGGTGTTCAAATGGTACTCCATTCCTAAAGTCATAATATGTTGGAAGTGGGTATGGTATATATGAGCATAAACTCTGAAGAGTCGCTTGAAAATCACTTTAATTGTAGACGAGAAGTTCTTTGGGAAAGGAACTCCAAGCTGGGTTGGGAATAGATGCTCATTGTTGAGCTGACTTTCGACCCAAGTCATCAAGAAATCGATATACTCACTTGCAGAAACTTTTAAAGGAGTCTTCACGTTTTGTCCGTCTGCCCATAAGTATTCATACTTAGGCCCAGCTGACATAACAGGGCACGATTCAGGAGTACAGAACTCAGTCAAGGCTCCGTAGATCAGGTTAATTTCATTATAGAATTCTATAGTATTGACAGCAAACCATTCGTTCAAATCTTCTCCTACAGGAACTTCAACTGCCAAATCCAAATTCCCTGACCCAAGTGTCATCTTAGCTATTTGTTTGAGACCATACCCACGCTGACCTTTTTCAATGCGCTTCTTTGGGCGGAAGCTCTTGTTTTTGTCGACTTGCATTTTTAAAATTATATGAATATGGATTTAAGAATCTTAAATTATGCCTTAGTGCGCTTCTGTCTGCGTGCTTCTTGCTGTTCTTTGAGATTCTTTTCACGAATGGCGTTGGCTTTGGCTTTGAAGATGGAGTCCATGAGCACTCTCTTGTTCTTGTACATATTTCCTTTGGCACCAACGTAGAAATCGTGGTATAAGGTCTTGTCAATTTTTGTGCTGGCTCTATACTTGCGGAGGAGTCTTCTGAGAACTCTTTGACGACGCATCCACATGATTTTTTCAGGCATTCTGGCTTCAGCGGTACCTTTTCTCTTTCCAAGTCCTGTGTGTCTGCCTTTTTTAACTGACTCTTTGAAGAGATTGGCACGGACTCGGGAGTGGATGGCTTGAGGAGTCTTTACAATAAATCCGTCTTTTACGAGCTTGCGGATATTTTGACGGGAATTTGCCAAGGAAATTTCTTGAATTTCGTTAGGATCCATCCAAACACGGCGCTTTCCGCACTTAAGGACGCTTGCTGCCAAGCGCTTCTGAAGTCTTAGTGTCACCATTTTAATGGTATTTTATAAGAAGGTTATCAATTTGTTTAAATTTATAAACTCACTTGATTGACCTAAATTCCATGATTTTACCGATTTATTTTTAAAAATACCCTAATTGTCTCATATCTTGCTTATTCAAAGGCTTATATCTATTAATTAGTGTATTAATATCATTTCAAAACTAATAAAAATTAGCTCGACATTTTGTTAAAGATATATGGGCCAAGTCAGTTGCTCAGATTGCAATTGCAAAAAAAGAGAGAGCGAAACCAACCAAGAAATAAAACTCACAGACACTTTAAAAAGCGACAAAGATATCGCGAACATCAGTGCAACTGACATTTCAAAACATCTTGGAATTGAAAATTTAGATCTCAGTACTTTTCAATCTTCTCCAAATCAGACAAAATTCAACGCAGCTGTTCCAAAAGTAATAAAAATCCAATCTTTATGGAGAGGATACCAAACAAGGAAAATGTATTCCTTTATTTATAAAGAAATAGTGGTGAAGTCGACCGATATGGGATCTGAGGAAAACAACCTCAGGAGTAGGACCATCATGATGAAGCCGAAATAGTGCTTCTGTCACTTTTGAAGCAGACCTCCGGGTTTGGAGATACTGAAGAGGTAAATTTTGGTTCTTCCCTGAAGGGTTTCCCCGCCCCAGCCAGAAGGGATTGACAGGTTTTGCCTTGCACTTAATCTTTGCTTATCGGGACTAATGGGGCATCCATAAAAAGTGGCTCTAACCAAGGGAGTAATCCTTAGACTAGGTGGGTTTACACCATATAGGCAGGCTATTGGCCCATCCGCTTATAACTTAATTTTTATTTATAAACCAAAAAGCAAATTTTTCTCAACTGAAAATAAAGTATCAAAACATAACGTAAAACCTCCATTCACTTTTAAAAGTGGCTCTGTCTATAATGGAGAGTGGAATGGGAATGACAGAGAAGGAATAGGAACTCAAACTTGGCCAGATGGGACTAAATATGAAGGAAATTGGAAAACAAACAAAGCAAATGGTCATGGAAAGTTTTGGCACATTGATGGAGACATTTTTGAAGGAAATTGGCTCGATGATAAAGCTCATGGAAAAGGAGTTTACCTCCACAAAAATGGAGCAATGTATATCGGAGATTGAAAAAATGATTTGCAAGATGGTTTTGGGATTGAATCGTGAGCAGATGGAAGTAGATATGAAGGATTTCATAGAGGAGGAAAGAAAAGCGGGTTTGGGACTTATATTTGAACCGATGGAAGTATATCGTGTTTTCATCAATTTTATACAAAAAACTATAATTAGAAATCTTCTTATAAATCGATAAAGGGTAAGCTATATATCCATCACATAGGTATCTGCCAAGCAGGGTATAAATATACTGGCCAATGGGCTAATAATTATATGAGTGGAAGAGGGGTTTATACCTGACTTGACGGAAGAAGATACGAAGGCGAATGGCTAAAAAACAATATGCATGGCTTCGGCATTTACACATGAATTGATGGCCGAAAATACGAAGGAGAATACAGCTACGACAAAAAGCATGGGGCAGGAACTTACACATGGGCTGACAATAAGCAATACAAAGGGTCATGGAAAAACGGCAAACAAGACGGTCAAGGGGTTTATATTTTCCCTGACGGCAAAGTAAAATCTGTTCTATTTCGAGATGGAAAGAAAATTGAATAATTATAATAATAAAATGTCTCACATATATGACAAAATTATCAATTTTTTCAATAGCGAATATCAGAGACAAAGAGCAGCCCATGCATCTTATGAGAAAATCATGGAAAACCATTTATTGATCTCTCGATCATCTGAATTAGATAAACTGAAAAAATCCGAACCTTTCATGATTTTAGGAGGGGTAGTGGTGTCGTTTTTGATAGGTTTTTCTTTATCAAAGAGATGGCTCCTTCGATTAACTATCACAGGAGCGGGGATGGCCATAATTAAAGGATTAATACATCCTTATTACACAGCAAACACTTTAGAATCTTTGGCAGAAAAACCAAATGATGTGGGGCAGACAATCCGAGCTATTTATTTGTTTAAATACCCAGAGTATGAAAAAAATAAGCACTTTGAAGATTTATCTAGAAAATATAGGAAATTCATATTTAAGAAAGCAAAAGAGAGCGAGAAAGAAAATGAAGAAAATTATGAAGATGAAGAGGAAGAGGAAGAGAATAATTAAAAAATCATAAAATTCCTAACAATTCCCATTATTCTCCTATGAAATTTCCTTATTTTCAGTTTCGATCTATTTTTATGCAAGGACTCTTCTGAATTCTTTTTTTATGCATTTTCTATAAGCTTAGCTCCAAAATCCTGATCTCATATTTAGCTAATTAATTATATTATGGAAAGACTCATAGAAGTCCTATACAGTTGTATTATCAATCCTCAGCACTTATCTCAAGGCTCAACAATACTAAAAGAGTGAGAATTCCAAGCTGGATACTCCCCTGCACTTTCAAAAATTTTGCAAGGATCTATACAACTTCCTTCCCAAATCCCAGAAAACATGAAATTCTTTATTAGGCAGTTTTCAGGGATTCTCTTGAAGAATTTCATATCAGACTATTGGAATGAGTCTTCCCACATATCATCGAATGATATGAGAGAAACCAGACAAGTTTTAATGCAGTGCATTAAAATTGAAGAGCCTAAATTGAAAACTTTAGCAGTAATTGAGATATAGGTTTTGGCGCTTTCAGGAATAGTCCTAAGGGATTTCCCAGATCAGTGGCCAATGTGTTTTGAAAGCATACTGAATTTGGGTGCAGACCGTGATCTTGTAACTATTGATTCAATTCTGCTGGCCTTGTCAATTATTTTTGATGAATGCGATGATAGACTATCTAGAGCCACTCATCTGTTGTTCCCAGTAGTTTATGAGTTTTATGGGCAAGCGGCAGCTGCTAATAATGTGAGAGTAAAAGAAAGATGCTTAGATGTGGCGGCGAAATGCTTAGAAAGTCTGTCTTGGGCTGATGGAGTTGATCAAGAGCTTGTAAGTTCTTCATTGGATTCATCATGGTCAAATTGGTTCTATCTTTTAATTGAAATTATAGGGACTGATGAATCCTCTATTGAAATGAAAAGACTAAGCCTCAAGATGCTGACAAGCTTTTATAGAGACTTTACAACCTACTCTTTAAGCTGGTATTACATCATTATTCAGCCAGCATGAACATTATTGCATGCACTTGTGCCATTGTATCAAGAAAGCGTAGTTTACTCCAAGGAAGTCCTGGCAAATGACCAGATTGAAAATGAGATTGGAGGAGTTGAAGGGCTTACAATCCAGCTGCTAGAGCTAATAACTTCAATAATTATCCGTCCAGTGATCGGCCCTCAAGTTGTGGGCGAGCTTAAAGCCTTGATTAACACATTAGCTTGGTATCTTCCTCTTACAGTTGAGCAAGAAGAACTGTGGAGCAACGACCCAAACCAATTCATATCTGAAGAAGATATAGAAGAATATTTGAAGTCATCAAGAATATCATGCTTGAAACTTATTTCTGAGCTTATAGACTTATTTGGCGATACTTCTATTGAGTGCATTGTAAGCGTTGTTGAGTCAATGCTCACCAATATTTCACAGCAATCCTCCGCTCCTTTGTTATATTCATCAAACCAAGACATCCAAGCCATTAATGATAGAATCAATCAAAATCTATTAAATATTGTAAGAAAATTCCCAACGCAGCATATGTGGAAAACTAAAGAAGCTGCAGTTTTATTGCTAGGAAGCATAAATACTGACATTATTGGTTATAACTCAAGAGTCAAAAAATCAGGAAAACAGCCACTGGATATCGCAAATTTCTTTGGCTCAGTGATCCTATCTGACTTAACAGGAAGTAGCAATGAAAATGGAAGCGAATTTTTGAAAGGTAGAGCACTTTGGTGTACTGCCAAAATTTCTGAAATAATGGATTCAAGCCATCCTGACTGTGTAAGGGTTTTCAAAATCTGTTGTAATGCATTAAACCAAAAAGAGCCAGTTGCGGTTAGACTTTCAGCTTGCTATGCTATTCTAAAGCTATCACGGAAAGTCGTCACCAATGTATCAGAAATTAATGAAGTCCTGCCGAATTTATTGGTGAATCTGGTTGCTCTTATTCAGGCCACTTCTTCAGACACCCTTCATCTAGTCCTTGACACTTTACAAGAAGTCTTAGCTTTGAACCCAGAAATGAGTAGCGTAGTTCCTACTTATGCCTCTAATGTGTTTTTGAAATTATTTGCAAAATATTATGGAGAAGGCAGCATAATGTCAAAAATTCTTGCTATTATAAGAATATGGTGCGATTTAAATAAATGTATGGGATCACTGCTAGACACGTTTTTACCATTCATCATGAGCTTGCTTGCTACTTATCCAGCTATTAGCAAAGAAAAGCCGAGTTCGGCAAGTTCAACTAGTACAATGGGCTCTCAAGTAGAATCGTTGCTAATACTTCCAAGCTCATTAGAGCTTATGACGCTCTTTTTGAAGAAATCAAGCGCTGAGAGTAATGAAAGGGAAAGGCTTATGGATATTGTAGATCCCCTGCTTGATTTACTTGGAAGAACAGAGGATATTTCACTACTTTTGCAAGGAACAAGCTGTTTAAGGGCTTTTTGTGGATATACAGCCAATGAAGTTGTAAAACGAGGATTAGAAGAAAAGGTTGTAGAAACTGTAGCTAGTTTGCTAAATCCTGCTAAAAATGAAGCTGGAGCCTTAGGCCTAGGATATTTGGTTATTCAAGTATTCTGCAAAATTTCACCGAAAATAGACGAAGATTTGCTTATAGGCTGCTTAAATAAGCTTCACAGATGTAAAATGCCCTCAATTGTCCAAGGACTTGTCCTTGTATTTGCGCGCTTAATTCACTCTCACAGCGCAGAAATTATTGGCTTCCTATCCAATCTCACAATAGAACGAAGGGTAGCACTAAAGGTTTTGCTTGATAAGTGGCTGATCCACCAGCCTTTAATTCGAGGTCGATATACAAAGAATGCAACCATCGCTGCTTTAGCCAGAATTTACACACTAAAAGACCAAGGAGTCGAAAGTTTGCTCGTAGTTGGGTACAATCCGTCTCATTCCAACGCTTGCTCAGAAGTTTTAGCGCCTTTCAAAATTTTGTGCACTCTTATCCGATGTTTAGATAATGAAGCATTTATGCCTAAAAGAAAGCAGCAAGAAGAAATAGGATTAAATGAAGAATTTCAGACAGTCGTGGAAGGGTCAGGAATTGGGTTTATAGGAGACTATGAAGAAGGGGAAAGAATGGACACCATCGAAGATGATAAAGACAGCGTCCAAGAAGACCATGGAGACCGCGAAGACCCAATGGAGTCGTTGAAAAATGACTTGCTAAAAGAAATCAAAGAAGACTATGACATAAGAGATTTCCAAATCCCAGTCAGCAGGTCAGTGCCAATGGATCTGAATTTCTTTATGTGGTATTTCCTCGGATACTTTGGCCGAGTTTTATCCCTTGATAAATTTGATAGAATTTTAAAGGTTTTTTTTCCTTGAGCAATTGTCCCACGCGGAAAATTCTCCGAGGAAATGTCATACAAGGAAAAATTCTATCAAATAACTGGCAAAGAGTCAGCAAAGATAAAGGCCTTGGGGACTATGAAACAGGCTCTGAATGTTTGATGTCAGATATGCTTGACTTTGACTATGAAGACAACGACGACGTCAGTGACGATATCAACGAAGATGACATGTACTCACTTGGAGACTGGTACGGCGGCATTACACTGCAGAACTTTTTGCTGGATTTCTTTAATAACTTGATAACGAATGACAAAGAGTATCTTTTGGCATGCATGAAACATCTATTGCCAGAAGATATCGCCCTTTTCAAGAAGCACTTTACTTTTTAGACGCTAAAACTTTATATCTAATCATGATTTTACAAATTTAAATATAAGCAGACGACTAAAAAACTAAAATATTTAGAAAGATAAATAAAGCATAGCCATATTTATAGTTCGTGCACTCATTTTGCGTGTCTTTAGAGCTGGCTAATAGCCGTAGTCAAGCCTGTTGGCTTTTCTGTCCCATTCTGAGAGCCAAACTCGATTTTGCGGAACTAAACCATTATGGTTTTATTTGCCAAAATCGAGTTTGGCTCATCAGATTGGTTCAAAAAGCCAAGATTCTCTTCCCTGCTCTCGATCAGCTCTAAAGGCACTCCAAATGCGTGTATGAACTATAAATGTTGACTGCACATTTCAAGGTATTTAGAACTCCCCTAACTACCTCTCAGTGAGCGAACAAAAAAATTTTTGATATATAATGAAAAGTATAATGAGATCTCTAGCTAAATAATAAATTCTACAAATTAAATTAATTTTTAAATTGGATTTTTTAAATTTCATAAAAACAATTTACTAAAAATTTATATATAAATTTATATATAAATTTTTTTAAAAGCAAATTAACTACTCTCGAGAGAATAAAGTTTTGTGTTCGCTCATGGATTAGGGAGTAAGAAGATGCTTCACTGGAGGAAGTGATCCTTGGTACAACATTTCTCATTCCAGCCAACTTCGTGTTATGCATACCAACCAATGGCCAATCCCTTACTACAAAAGGTCAGGATGTGTCCCAAGAACGCTTTATCCAGAAAATGACTACAATGTTACTATCCAAGGCAATACCCATACCAGTCCTGATGATTCGAACGTCTTTTATACTCAAAGATTTTTGAAGCAGAGCATGTGGGGAAGAGAAGTCCTGGAAGCTGTGAACAAAATGGGATTGAAAGGCAGCCTCAACACTCGTATTGAGTCTCCTATAAGCTCAGCCAAGATTTACATGAATGACTTGCTTAAGCACATTGACTACACCAAGAAGGAAAATGAAAGGATCTTAAAAAAGCACAAGTTCAGCGATGCTTTCAGTTAAACTTTAACTAAGAACTCATCGTAATGGATTTAGATGGTTTAACATTAAATTGGGAGTTTGTGATATATATAGATCATATATCTAGATTATTCTAAAGGCTGAATATTTTATTAAGATTATCATTTAATCGTTGATTAAAATATTATTCAAGCATAGATAGTTAATCTATTGCTTCAACATCTGCAAACATCACAGGAATTCTCCAAAATGCAGAATCATAATAGCCATACTCTTTATCAAATGCTTGCACAGGTTGAGCAGCAACAGCATTAGTTTCTGGTTTTGCATCATCTTTAAAATCCTCAGATTCTGGCTCGTCTTCTAGTACTTTTGCTTCAATTTTATCATTAATCTGTAAATCAGGATTTGGTTCTTCATCACTTGTGCTGTCATTATATGTGCTATTATTCTCGCCGAGTTCTCTTGCTTCTATTTCATTCTGCTTTACAATTTTGGCCTTTATGAAACTTTTCCAGTCTTCAAGATCTCTACTGTTTATTTGACATAGGTCAAAAATTTCGTATCTGACTAATAAATTTGCAAGCTTATGTATATGGCCCATTTTTCCCTTTCTTATATCTGGATTTAATTTAGCTATTGGATGATATCCGTGCTTCATTAAAATTTTGGGAAGTCCAGCTTGCAAAATTAAAGCTTCTTTAAGCTTGAGAGAGTCGCTTAAAAGGATAATTTTAACAAAATTTAGGTAAGTGCAATGAATATGCATATACATAAAAATGACGTGGGTAACCAACCCAACCTCCTAACACCTGTAGTTGAGGAGACCCAGGGACCTTGTGGAAGGGAGGATATTGTTTAGGAATGTGTATCTGGCCAGGTTTTGCTTGGCTTGGTAGAGTGCAATGTCCGGGCTTGAGGACCGCACCTCATTCCTGGCCAAGGTTTTACCTCGGAGGAAGATGGAGTCCTGGGTTGGAAAGGGATGTCCCTGCAATACTAATAAGGTCCCTCCTGGTCGATCGGGAACATTCCCCAGAGCGGTACCAGGCCTTGTGTCTTAGACTACGAATTTTCAACTTGCCGGCAGGTGACCGTAAATTTGTTTTTCGAATTTTCTAGAAGCCAAACCCAGTTGGCATATGGCACGGTGATCCAAAGCTTCAGACTAGCAGGGAGCATGTGCAGGCCTATGTCTGGTAGGAGCAAGATTTTGTAGGTTGTGATACAATTATCGGTTAAGCAGACAAAGTGGAGCGTTATGAAAGGAATAAGGATCTTGGGATCCCGACAGGGAGTTTTTAAAAATCTAACTAAGTTTAAGGTTAAGTGCAATGAAATATGCTATTTCAGTCATTATAGTCAAATAATTCTGTCAAAGCTTCAGCTGCTCCTGATTCAGCGATTATATCGCATAAGGTATTGTTTTCAAAACTTATTAAGAGATTCAGAGTCTCCATTAATAAAATTCTTCCTTCACCAATTGGTTGCGCATAGAGGCCCGCTTGGTTTTTGACATTTTCATTTTTATTATTTCGCAAAATATGAACAATTACATCAAGGTTCTCTGCATACGTTTCTAAAATACTGACTCCAGACGCACTTATCAATGTTTCTCCTACCGTTTGAAGCTCTTTATTTTTCATTATCAAAAATTTTAGAACCTTTGCAGAAGGTTTAAAATTTGTGCAGGTTTTAAGGTTGTCAAAAAGAAGCTCTAATACCTCAGGGCTGCTTAAAAACTTTATTAGTAGAAGGTGATTTCTAACAGAAATTGATTCGGTACTAATGATTCTTGTTATAATCAGCTCAGCATTAGCTGGAATTATTGGATATTCCTCAAATCCTAGCTTTGTAACGAGGTGTTCAAGGATTTCAAGACGTTGCTCTAAATAGTCTTCTCCTGAATTTGAGCCTAATAAACATTTAAAAATGACGTCGCTTGCGCTTCGGGACTGAAGCTGGTTTAGCATGAATTTTTCTAAAATAATACTTCCAGCTTTAATTTCTTTAATCACATTAATGTGAATAGGCACTCCTTCTGGTTCTTGCTCATGCTTCGTGAGTTCGTTAAAACCTTCATACGCTTGTGAAAGTTTATTAAATCTTATAGCTGTAGCTAAGCGCATATTTAAAATTTAACTGAATTCCATTTTTTGAAAAATTTGCATAAAGAGGAATCATTGCAAATATTTTTTAGCAATTTTAATTAATTTGTAGTTTGATCGAAAAATAACCAAATTAGATTATATTTAGATGATTAATTGATATTAAACTTCAGCAGGGAAAATAGCCCAGCATCCCTTTGAATTCCTAATTGGTTTAGTGGTTATCTTAATATCCAAGAATACCATAAGTCAAAACCCAAAAGGGCAGGCAGCCAGCACGTGCTCGACCTAAAGATACCCTCCTTATATATGCCAAGACATAAAGCCCTATGCCTTTCAGCTCCACTTCTTCGTGAGCGAATAATAATGTTCGCTCACAGAGCGGGTTAATATTTTTTTAAAATTTATATATAACTTTTTTTGCAAATTTTTTTTTAAAATTTAAAAAAAATCCCAATTCGCAAAAATTAATTCAATTTGTTAAATTCATATTTTAAAATTCAATATGTTTAAAAATCAACAGAATTAGCTACAGATTTCATTAAACTAATTATCACTTTTATATCAATAAAAATTTTTATATTAAAAAATTTTTTGTTCGCTTTGTAGGGGTGTCATTAATGGCCTTCGGATCAGGTACTAGGACTCTAGCACATCTGTTGACAGTTACTTGGTATAGCAAAATAAAGATTCACTGTAAAAAACTGAACCTAATAACAATGAAATTTTATTAGGATAGAAAAATTCTTGACGAGACTATTCAACGATGCCATTTTATTATTTTGATCGAAAAAATAACAAATGGTGGAGGTTATCCTATCTTAAAAGCTTTGATGTGAAAAAATTTTCTAGATGGGATTGCAACGAGGAAAAAATTACTATTGGCAGAATCTAATATAATAGATCAGAACACCAGTATTGATGAAAAAGGGTTTTATTTTTTATTTATTCAAAGAGTAATCGTTAAGTTAAAATACCATATTTTTACTGATGAAATTTACATAGCACATTTACTTATGGATAAAATCTTAAATCTCTCTTTATGTTTAAAAATTATATATCTTCCACTATATTATATATGAGACAATTTTAATTCAAAAAAAGCGTTCACGCTTATGATTAATTTCTAACCATACTGGTTCATTTGCCATAAAAATATTTTGAGAAATGACATATTAAATCTAATACTGATGATAACAAAATAAAATATAAAAATTGAGCCAAATTCAAATCAATTAAATCTGAAATGCTAATATCCGGCATGAATTAAAGACTTTTTTAGTAATATGGCTATGAACAAATCGAAATTATTGATAAAATACCATAATTATCATCGGAGAGATTCCAGAAATTTTTTATTTCTGCGCACACAATTTAGCGTAAAATATCAAATTTTAATTCACTTATAAATTATAAGCTTGAACTCCGTTAATACTCTATAAGCTCATTTCGGCAGCAGAGCTAAAATCCTTAATCTGCTTCTTCAGGTCAGGTAGGGTTATTAAAAATGCGAGCTCGTGCTCTTTCCGATGGAATGACGAGCTTGTAGATACCGGTGTGCATGGATATGAGCTTTTCATAGAATGAAAATCATTACATGTGTTAAAGGAGCTCTTGTAGTCGTGATAGTCTTGAATAGAATCAAGACTTATATCGCTGAATTCTTCAACTATCTCTTGATGCATATTTTGATTTTCGGCAATTCGAGATCCATATGCTTTTACCTCAATTTCCCATATTTCGTTATGAGATTCGCAGCAGCCCATTTTATAAAATATAATGGCTGTTTCAAATTAATTTTAAATAGGCATAAATATGAATTTTAGGAGCAAGAGTTTATAGTTGTCTGAATGATTCCAAAATTAGTAATTATTTTAATTTGGCTAATATAACGCTATTTGTGAGAATTATTGCTATTAAATTTTATTAAAACGATTATAAATTTATTTAAAAGGTGCATTTTCTAAATGGAGATTGATTATTAACATAAACCGATTAAAAGAAGTTGCTTGTGATAAAAATATTTCAGAGAATAAAATTATAGTTTTTATATGAAGATCTTAATTAATTATTTTAATGCTCTTGAATTATCCCGAATACAAGTTTGTCTATTCTACCCTTATAAATAAATGGAAGCGGCACTAGAGCAATATCTTGTTCTCGCCAGGACAGCTAAAGGTAAAGCATGCGAAGCTCTCATTATGCAAGCAATAGGTAACCCTCACACTTTTGTTTTCGGCGAACTCTTAAGATATGTTGAGCAAGCTGGTGTTTCTCCTGAATACCTAAATTTATTAGAAATTTTCACTTATGGTACACTTGCAGACTATCAAAAGGCTCAGCCAAACATTCCTGAACTCACCCCAGCGCAGCTAAAGAAATTAAAGATGCTCACGCTTGCAACTTTAGCATCTGAGCAAACAGTTCTTCCATATAGTCATCTTCAACAAGTGCTCAATATTTCTTCTGTCAGAGAATTGGAAGACTTGATAATTGATTCAATATATGAAGGCCTTATTAATGGAAAAATTGATCACAAGCTTTCAGCTCTAAAAGTAATGTCTGCATTTGGAAGAGATGTCAGGGCTGATAAAATCCCTGACTTATTATCTAAGTTCAGCAACTATATTCAATACATTGAACTTGTAGAAGGACTTATAGAAAGGCAAGTAAAGAATTTTGCAGCAGATAATGAAAAAGCCAAAAAGAGAAAAGCGAAATTTGTAGAAAATCAAGCAAAAGCAGCCGAAGAGGCAAAGGCCATGCTGGAAGCCAGTGAGAAATTTGATTCAGGAGAAGGGAAAGAAGGGGGGAGAAAAGGAAAATCATTTTTAAAAGCCTTTTGGTAATTAGAATAATTGATAAAGATGGATTCTAGAAGACTCGAATTGCAGCAGGACATTGCGGAATTAGATAAACTAATTTCTCAGTCAGCAAGACAGAGTGTTCAAGCACGTCTTTTAATGTTCAGAGCTGAGCTACAAACTGAACTAGACTCATTAGCGCCTCCACCTCCTAAGGTCACGACTGAAGAAGTAAAAATTGATGGTCCAGAGCCAAAAGACAATTTAGTTTACAAACCTATTGAAAGATTTGCCTGGGACCAAGAAGGAAAAGATGTCAAAATTTATGTCACTTCTTTAGGAGATCTCAGAGGGGCTAAAGATAAGGTTACTATGACCCATACTCCAGAATCAGTTGATGTGAAGATTGTGGATCTTGATGGACTTAATTATCGCCTGAGATTCGCTAGACTACATAAGCCAATTGCGAGCTGCAGGATTTCATATAAATCTAGTGGGTTTTCGTTAACTTTGAAGAAGAAAGAAGATGCACATTGGGACAGTTTGGAGTTTAAAGCTCCAGTTGTGGGTAAAGGTGAAGAAAAAGATCCAGAAGAAGATTCTAAAGACCCTGGAGCGAGCTTAATGAAAATGATGCAAGATCTTTATCAAAACGGAGATGAAGATATGAAAAGGACCATTGCAGAAGCATGGTCAAAAGCACAAGAAAAGAAATAATTATATTAAGTAGAAAATGAATGAAATGGGATATTAGCATTAAAACAAATGATATCATAGTCATACTGGAGCATTGTATATTATATGCATACTGGAGCATTGTATATTATATGTTGTAAAGCAATTTATTTGTCAAGAATAAGGGAAATATGAGTGAGCCCCGCTAAATCGATTTTTCCAAATAAATCTACATAATTTAGATATCGAAAATTAAAAAAGAAAAGATATAAATATATGAATAAAAGAAGAGGCGGCATATATCATTATAAATAGTCAATCAAAAAGTTGTGAAGTTTCACAAAGCTTAAGAGTAAAAATATAAAAAATTGACTATCATGTAATAACAATCCTCCTTTTAATTTGTTAAAATTGTCAATAAGAAATAAGGCTTTCACGAAAATTTTAAAAATATGATGAATCCCTCTTCAATGACGAGGATCCAGCGACTCAAAAAAGAGATTGCTGAAATCGACCAAAAACTTGAATCTGCTACAGAGAGGCCAACTCCGTCTCCTATTCAATCAAATTTTCCACTTCAAATTTCTACTTTGAATTTTAAGAAAAATCAAGAGAGGGATGAAATTCAACAGCGAATTAATTTACTAAGAATTTCAGTTAGCAAAGAAGAAGCATTCAATAATCAGCTCACCGAAATCCAAAACAAGCTTCGATCTCTAGGCAAGCAAAAACAATTCGAAGTTCAGAACTGCAAAATTTCTAGAGATCCACTATCTCAAAAAGCAGCAGCTCTCAAAGATCTCATCCAGCAGCTTCATGATGAGTACCAGTCTACATCAAATTCAGTCGCTAAAAGGCAAAAGCTAAAAGAATCTGCCCAGCAAGGCAAACTTCAAGCATATCAAAATTCTTTGATTCCCCTTGAAGCTGAATCCTCCACCCTCCTTAATAAAAAGCAAAAATTAGTTACAAAGCAGCAAGAATGCTCAGAAGAAATTAAGCGAATTGAAAATTGTATCAAAATGTGCAAAGAAGAGCTGGACTCAAGATATATCACAAGGGCCGAATACATAGCGCAAAGAGAAGAAGATGAAGAAGTCTATGAAAGGTTGAGGCTAGAATATGCAGATGAGCTTGAATATTTTGACGAAGAAGTCGACTTAGTTGAGCAATTTAATTTTTTGACCCAACAAAAAGAAGGATATATCGAAAAAATTCAAAATCTGGAATGAAAATTGGGGGAAACCAATAGGAATATTCAAGAGTATAAATCAAAAATTGAAGATTGCAGAGATTCTATTAATCATGTTTATTCAAATACCCCAAATTTCAAAGACCAGCAAGAAATCGAAAAACTGGAATCGTTTTTAAATATCAAGTGCAGAAATTATGGACTAGAAACGCTACAGGAAGTAATTATGAGGGTAAATTGCAACGAAAATTTTGATATTGAAGAAGAAATATTAAGGGTCCAGCTTAAAGAAATGATAAAGAACCAGACAAGGATGTCAGAAGAATGGGAAGCAAAAGAATCATTATTAATGGAAAGGCTCAAAGGCGAAGAAGATCCAGAAACTGTTTACAAGCTGGAAGCAGAACTAAATGAGCATCAGCAAAAGTACAGGAATAGAATGGCAGCAGTTGAACAGTGAAAATCTGAAGTAGAATCAGCCTTAGGAAGACCAAGACCTATAGGCAAAATAACAGTCCTCGACAAAGCAATTATTGATGAATTTAAAATCAGCTCTCTCAGTCTAATCGATGACTTTGAGCAAAGAAAATCTCTTGAAAATTTAATAAATATTTATATACAAAAAATAATTTCAAGAGAAAAATATCTAGTAACTATCAATGCAAAACTTGAGGAAAAAAGAATAAATCAAGCTAGATTCGAAGACTGTCTGTATAAGCTCATACAAGAAAAAGCAAAATTTGAAAAAGAAAAAATCGAAATGAGGAAAAATTTGATGAAATTTATTATGAAAGAAAAAAACTTAACAAAACGACTTGATGGAAGTACCACTTCTGAGTCTGGGGCTGGAGATTTTAGACTAAAGCAGCAAGCTCACTCTCTGCACCATAATGTTCAGTTTTGGGAAAAATTGATTGCAAAGGAAACTGCTACAATTGAAAATTTCATAAAGCCAGCGCTGTTGGAATATGAAGAAATGCTGAAAAAAATGAAAAAAGAAATTTTGCAGATAAATTTGCAGATTAAAGAAACAGAAGATGAGTATCAGTCTGTTGAATGTCAGATTGAAAAAATCCTTGAATGCAAAAGACAAGATATGTTAGACTCTTTAGAGGAAATTAATAATCAAATACAGCAGCAGGAAGGAGGAGAAAACAAACTCTTTGGCATAAAAGAAAGCATTGATGAACGAACAGGGGAACTACTAAAGCTCCAAGAAGGAATCGACGCAATTGATGCTGCAAGTGTCAAAGTTTTATCTGAATTAGAGCAAGAAGAAGCTATGCTGAGAACACAGAAACAGGTATTGGAAACATCTTTAATAAAAATCCAACACGACAAAAAACAATTAGAAGAGCTAGAAAATAAAGCAGGGAGAACTAATGAGTCTCAGCATACCTCAAGATCTCCATTTAAACCCGAAAACCTGAATGAAAAAAGCAGATCAAGAAGCTTCGGAAAAATAATAAAACCAAAATCTCAAGATATTCCAATTCCACCCACTAACATTCTTCAGTTTGATATTCCTGAGAAGCCTGAAGACTCTCCTCAAATAGAGCCTAATCCTTATTTTGAATTTGTAGAAAAAACACTTGGTAAGCAAGCACAAATGATTTCTGAGAGAATTCCCTTAATTCCTGCACAAGTCAGAAGCCAAAAGAAATATTATAGATTTAATCTTGAAGACACTACACAGTCTGAGAAAAACTTTTATGAAAGAATAATGCCATTACTCGAAGGTGCTGAAATTTATAAAAAATTCAGTCAGCATAACTCTTTGAAACTCCAAGCTTTTGATCCTTTAGATTCAGTGAGAAATCCTCCTGAAGCATGTGGCTATGGAATCAAGTACTTCAGGCTTCATAAATCTTTACAAAGAATCGATATAAGACAGCCGCTGAAGCCTGGCTTTGAGTCTAGCATTTCTATTGACCAAATAATGGCTCCAATAATCCCTCAAATTACCATGACAATTCTCAAAATCCAAAAGAAGCTTGGGCAAGAAGACTTAGAATTCACCAATTTTACCAAAGAAACACAAGAAAAATACGATCTCATGAAGGAAAAGGGATACCTTGACCATCAAAGCCCAGCCTTTAAAGAGATTTGCAAAGACTGCGCAATGTACCCTTTCCATATAGCTCTGATACAAGGAGGGAGAATTGAGCTGATTGCTAAAAGTTATGTTACTTTTAAACAATGGATTAACGGGATTAATGCACTTATAAGAGCTAAAAGGCAAATCCCCAAGCTGAGAAGAAGAATTGAATCTTACACTTCCGTATAATGTGTAATAATCATATGATTAATAATTTCAATAAAAATCAATTAAAAATTGATAATCGGCTTTAAAATGCTGGATAAAAGAAACATTTCTATAGGAAAACTCCTTACATCACCTAAATCAACTATAATTCCACCTTCCTTTGACGAGCTCAGCTTAATGACCACCACATTCCAGCCAGCTAAAGCTGATGTTGGTTTGATTGATGTCCCAAAAATCCTCACTCCCTCCCTTCCTCCGTGAGCGAACAAACCATCGAAAAAATCCCTATTTTTATGGTAAGTCCACCCTTCGTGAGTGGACAAAATTTTTTTAAAAAACAAAATTTATATAATTATTATAAAGAAAAATCTGAGCTAGTTCTGTTTAATTATAAACAGCTTGCATTTTCCAACAAAATAAATTAATATTTGCTTAAAATTATTTCGAATTGGGATTTTTTTAAATTTCGGGCTATAAAATTTATATTTAATATTTTTTAATTAAAAAAACTAACCCCTCCATGAGCTAACAAATTTTTTTATTCGCTCACGGAGGGAGAAGGGGGAGTCAGGGAGAAAAAGGTCATTTTATCTCCTCCCCGAACTGAATTCAAAGTGCCAATATATCCATTGAAAAGAATTAAAAAAGGCCTTTCTGGCTATGATTGAAGCAGCTTAAATCCAAATTTTGAGTCTGAAGAAAATAAAATATCAGTTACGCGTTTAGGAAACTCCCCAAGAAAAGACACCTTTGCTTCTATGTTTCCTTGCAGAAACCCAAAACATAAAGCTTTAGTACGTAACTTTTCAGAAGACGCTTTCCATTTTGAGACGATAAATAAAGAATTCAATATAAAATCTGACGACATTGTAAAATATAGAGAAGCAATGATCAGGGCATCAAAACTATTAGAAAAATAATTAAAGTCCTATTTATTTAAAGGCTTGTAAGCCTGTAATTGCTCTTCCCAGGATTAAGGCGTGAACATCAGCAGTCCCTTCATAGGTATTGACAGTTTCTAAATTGACCATATGTCTAATGACATGGTATTCGTCAACAATGCCATTGCCTCCTATGCTGATTTAAATAAATGAAAACTTCTTTAGCATAGAGCTGGGTAATAACGGTAATCAATAGAGAAGTTTCCATTTATTATAATTAGCATAGCATATCTCTGGCATCTCTTGCAATTTGCAAAGCTTTCAAACATGAATTTCTTTTGATCATTGAGATCTGTTCAGGAAGCACCAATTTTTTCTCTTTTAGCCTTGAAACATGAATTACTGCATTAAATCCAAGTGATAGTTCTGTTGCCATATCTGCAAGCTTTTTCTGAATTAACTGTGTTTGTGCAAGCGGCTTACCGAACTGTTTGCGGTCTAACGTATAATTTCTCGCAATTTTGTAGCAAGATTCTGCAGCACCTAATGCACCCCATGCGATGCCAAATCTTGCTTGGTTTAAGCATGACATTGGCCCTTTCAGTCCTGTAACCTGTAAATGGTGGCTTTCTGGAACTGCTACATTGTCCATCATGATCATGCCAGTAACACTAGTTCTTAATGAGATTTTCCCTTCAATTTTAGGTGTGGTTAACCCTTCAAATCCTCTTTCAAGTAAAAATCCGTGAATGTCTCCACCCTCTTCTCTTGCCCAAACAATAAGAACATCAGCAATTGGCGCATGTGTGATCCATGTTTTTGAGCCATTGAGGATATATTTGTCACCTTTTTTAACGAAGCGAGTTTTCATTCCTGATGGGTCAGAACCAGCATCTGGCTCGGTAAGTCCAAAGCAGCCTATTAAATCTCCAGAAGCCAAGCCAGGGATAAACTTGTCCTTAACTTCTTTTTTTGCGTACTCCATAATTGGGTAGATGACCAAGCCATTTTGTACGCTCATTGCAGATCGATACCCGCTGTCAATGGATTCAATGGCACGGTTCATTAAGCCATATGAGACTTGGCTTACTCCTGGAAGACCATAGTCAGTCTGAGTGCAGCCTAAAAATCCTTGCTCTCCGTATTCTTTCATGATCTGCTTGTCGACTAGCTCACCTTGAAATGCTTTTGTGACTTTAGGAAGCAGCTTGCTTTGGCCAAATGCGATGGCTGATTGGTAAACAAGCTGCTCATCCTCAGAGAGAAGTGATGTTAAATTAATCGGGTCTTCCCAGTTGAAGGTTGCGAATCTTCGGGCGACTTTCCCAATTCTTGTGAGCATTTTTATAATAAATTCAGTAAAATCGTGGGTTTAAATTTAAAAATAGTGTTAATTTAAGGATGCAAGAAAATAAATAAGATTTATTTAAAATAGCGATTTTTCTGTTCTTTTTGCCTTCTTTATATCGCCAAATAGTGAGTTGCTAGTAGCTTGCTTCGGTTCAACCCTTGGAGGTTCTGGCTGTTTTACGTCTTCAATTATTTGAGAAGTTTCGGTTGCTTTTCTGTTTCTTTCTTGGTTATCTAATTCTTCTTTTCTTGCCTTATCTCTTTCCTTATCTTCTTCTCTTTTCTTTTTTTCTTCATCCCTTTTCTTCTTTTCTTCTGCAGCAGCCTTTAATTCTTCTTCTTGCTTTCTGATTTCGTCTTCTACCGACTCAGCTTGCATCGCTAGCGCAGGATCATGCTTCATAATTTTTTCTGCCTTTCTAAGAGTTTCTAACTGGCCTTTAAGCATATTTCTTTCAGCAGTTATATGAGGAGGTTCACTTACTTTTGCCAAAATTGTTTCAGTCATATTAATTCTTTCATATAATTCCATCTGCATTTTGTCCATCACCGATCTTACTAACTACCCATTAAATTTGAACAATATATTGATAAATTTTGCTTTTTCGATAAAGCAACCCCCTTTATAAATATATAATTTTTATAGTTAAAATAATAATTTAAGTGTAAGTAGCTTTGGCACCAAATTTAATGTGGCGAATGCGCTCCAAAATCTGAAATAAGCCTATATTAAAGGAAGGAGTGTAATTGGAATACTATACACATAAAATTTTTACCTGAATCAATAAAAATGTTTAATATATAAATTTTAATAAACAATTTAATATTTTTGTACCATAAAAATTTATATAAAAAAATAATGCTTTAATTTGTGCAGATTTTTTGGTTTCAATTTAAAGAGGAGACTAAAAAGGTTCCAATTGCTTTAGGAACACTATCTCTTACAGTTCTAATCACAAGTCTAAAATAGCAGTCAATTCTGTTCCTTATTTCATCTACAAACATTACTTCTGAACTTTTTGGTCTTCCATCAGACTTTGGGACAATATCAGTTCTAGATGTTAAGTAATCAAGATCATTAGTAAACACATAAGTTTCTTCAGAATCGATCATTTTTTCTACGATTTCTCTGCATTCTTCTCTCTCTTTTACTAAAACATGAGAGGCGAGTTCTGCAATTTCTGTAGATAAAGCTGGAAATCTGTAGAAAATTCTTTCTATCAGCTTAGAAGCTAACTGATCAAGGTAAGAATGGACATTCATTAAGCAGTCAAGAACTGGCTCTCTTAATTTTTCAAGCTGAGGCTGAAGTAAGAAAATGAACACGTCAACCGAAGGAAAGCCAGGAATAGTGTCTCCTTCATGAGAAGCCATTGCATGCTGAATATCTTCGTTTGTATATGATTCAGTCACTTTATAAGTATTTGATGAGAATTCTGAAAGTAAAGAATTAAAGTAACTTTTAATTGTGGCACCTCCAGCTAAATCTTTAGTAATTCGTGATGATAATTTTCTATCATATTTTCCTCTAATGGTGTTTTTGAAAATTTCGCAAAAATCGGTAACCATATTCCAAAGAAGCTGAACTTTATATCTTGGCTCTTCAGGGGTACTTGGGCCGAGTTCTTTTAGTTTGTCGTCACACTCCTTGATCCTAAACATAGTTTCTCTCATTATTTCTGGTAAGAATCCTTTAATGTGGTTAAACATCACATGAGTTAGTTTTTGGGTAAGAACTTCAGTCCCCAAAACACCTTGCGGCATTGTTGAATATACAGGATGGGAAGCGAAATATTGCTTCTCTTCTTGCAAGGCGTTTTCTACTTTAACCTCATTATTAATGTCTTCTTGCGATCTATTTTTCACACCAACATAGCCAAGTCTTAATGGAATTTCCTCGCCTAGAAGAATTTTTTTGGCATTTGTCCCTCTGTCCATAATATCAATTTTTGTTATCACACCAATAGTCCTGATACCAGCCTTATCCACCTTCTTTGCCATCAGTAAAGACTCTGAAGTGCTTAAATCAGTATTTGCAGGGCACAAACATAAAATGATAGTCCTTGGGTCAGAAATATACCTGAAGCACATCTCTTTCGTGATTCTTTCAATATCTGCAGGATGGTCACTCCCAGCTAGCGGAATTCTTGTTATCCCTGGCAAATCAATGAGCGTTAAATCAGGACAAGTGCTTGAATGAATCGTCAATATAATGGGATCATCCACAATCCCTTTATTCCTCCCCGCTTTCTTATCAGTCTGTGCTAATATCATTTCTTTAACTTTGCCAAAATCAGTGAACTTTTCTTGGACTCCTTCGAACTCAGCCCAAGGTTTTGTTTCATTTTCAGTATGCACCAGTCTCAGTTCAAGCGGACACCTCGTGCAGATCCCTTCACTTCTCGGCAAGAAATTTAAACCCACAATTGATTCTAGAACTGAGCTTTTACCACTGCTCTGAATACCAAGTGTAACAATACGAGGGAGACGAATATACTTTTGCAAACCTGCATCTCTAAGATTATCAGTCAAAGTGACGATCGATCTGAGATTGCTATAAAAGCTGCCAGCGAAATCCTCTCCAGACTCCATTTTATAATTCACCTTTATTTATTTCATATAAATATGAGCGACGATAATTACTACCTCTTCAAGAGACTGGTCCAAGTCGGCAAAATGAAGCATTTGTATGAGCCAGGGGAAAGGCCTCCATATCCAATTATTATTGAATCGCCGTTTTTTAGAGATGTTATCGCTAATATGAGACTTCCTGAGTATATGCCATTTTTCTATTCAATTCCTTTTGGAGCTGTGCTGGGATATGCGATGACTGCAAATTTGAAGAGCTTTCCTTTAAATAGAAGAAGGGCTTTTACAATTGTTTGGACAACTACAATGTTTTTTGGCTGGTATATAGGATTTAAAGGCTCATACTACAAATTGATGGGGTTCGAGGATAATGGACTCAAATGGAAGTTTTCTGATGAGAAGGTTAAGAAATATGTGTTCACTGAAAATATGCATGGATTTCTTGAAGACGCACTTAAGAGAAAAGATATTGATAGCTCGAGAGCGTATTAAGCTTTTAAGCTAACTCTCTTCTCCTATTGAGTTTCGAAGCCTTGGAAAACATATATTTGGTAAAACATACCCCTCTTCCGTAGGCAATAAAAAAATATTTTTAATATAATTTGTTTATAAGATTAAGATTAAGATTACGATAACACTTTGTCGACCCCCACTTAGCTTAGGATCTGACAATACAAGCTCCTCCTTCATGAATTCCATCCACTGGCAAAACAGCTCTGAACAACGGTAGGTGGAATCGGCCTAACCGTCAAACCGTTTCTGTTGCCTATGGCCCAGACGAGTCTCTCTTCGATTCTTGAATGTGATTCAAGTGTGGTTGGTGTTGCCGAAGCAGTCCCAACCCTCAGATTTCCTTCAGAAAGTCGAAACTTCCCTCACTAGGAAAAAGTATAGGGACTGTGCCCTAAACTTCTGCCTTCCATTTTTAATTGTGTGTTTATAAGAAATATGTTGGTATTTAACGATAATTATTATAATGAAATGCTATCTAATCTATTGAGTTTTAAACAGCTTGTATTTTAAAAAACATAGATTTTACTTTTCTATTTTTAAATTGGAATGCTTGAAAATTCTACAATTTCGCTAGAGCAAAAATTTTGTTAGCCAACTACAGGAGGAGTAAAGAAATAAAATAAAAATATGAATCCTGTGTGTTATTATAATTTATTGTAAACTGATATACTTGAGCATCAATAAAATTAGAACCACTGTTTTAGATTAGATGTCAGTTAGTTACTTTGAAAAATTTTTAAATAAGTAAATTTTCAAATGATGAAGATATTTATTACTCAATATAGCATACGACTATGTTTAAAAGTCTGAATTAATCCATTAAGAAAGGAGTTCTACAAATAGGACAATTTGAATTGATTCTGAGCCATCTCTTTATGCATTCTTCATGGAAAAAGTGCCTTGGATCACATTCCATAACAATGATTTTGTCTTTTTCTGCGTATTCGACAGCACATATAGAGCAAGATGTGTCTCCTTTGTTAACTGATGAGTCATAATCAACTGATTTCAGATCTTTTATCATCCCTTCTGTAGCTGGCAATTGAGAAGTATTTGAAATAAACATCAAGAATATGATCGCAACTGGTAAGCATGCACATAAGCAGAGCACAAGCATTGTTGGAATAAGTAAATAACAGTATCCTAAAATAAGCAAAGCAAAAACGAGAGCTGTAAGAACAGGTGCATCATTGTAGCAGTCTTTGCATCGCCAATATCAAATATTTCCAGGAACCAGCCAGCAAAGATATAAAGCTGTTTGGAGCTTAAAAAGGAATCCTAACTCCTATTTGGGAATTAAAGACATTTATGAATTATTATTTTTATTTTATAACTTTAAAAAAATATTTATTTAATTGTGTAAGGCTAAACCTTCATTGATTTCTCCTCCGTCTCTAACTATTTTTACATGTGGAATTCTAAAAAAGAGCATTATTAAGTACCCAATTTCCAAGACCATGCTAACTAAAACCCAAAGAGTCAAAGGAGCATTGCATGAAGCTGCAAAAAACGAGAGTACTATGCCGCATGATAAGATTTTAAATGTGCTGACTGCTAGCCGAAATGTCATTAAGATATATGAAGAGTATAGAGTTCGTTGAATTGTATTTCAAAGGTTTTCTCGAACAATCACCTGAGACTGGTTAGGGCTACGATTCTGATTTTGATTTTGGACTAGCGGTGATCTCTCGTCCATTTAATTAAATGTATAATTCCACAGCAAGTGGTAAAAAACGCCATTTGATAAGAATTAGATTTGAAAAAATGCTTGGAAATATAATAGAAAGTAAAACATATAATTATTGTGCATAAGTAAATAAATTGCATAAAAAACTGCCAAGTAATAGGTAAAAATTGGTAGATAATGCTTATTCATCTAAGATTTGAAAAATATGAGAAGAATTTTACTAACATATTAGCTAAATATAAAATCTATCCAAATTATTGCACAACTGATCCGACAGGTGCTAAATGAGGATAGTAACCAACATTATTTGCTGGAACAGCACCATAGGGCTGGGCTGCATACATTTGCACGTAGTTCTGGGGATCTGGCAAAGAGCTGTATGCTAAGGCTTCGTACTCTCTTGATGTGCGGTATAGCTTTCTCGCGCAGAATAGGAAGGATCCGATAACTGAAAATACTATTGTAAGAGCAATCATCCCTCCAACAAACCCGTGCTTTCTGAAGTGCTTGCCCTCGTGGTGGTGCTTGTGCTTCTTATGATTTTTGCTACCTTTATGATTATGTTTGCCATGGCCTTGAACCCTTGATTCAAACTCATTGGAATCCTCATCAATATCATCATAATCATCAACATCATCAATATCGTCAATATCATCATTGTTATCGGCATCATCAAAATTATCCATGTTATCGAAGTCATAAAATCCATCAAGGTTCAGCTTATTTTCTTCCACATTTGCATCATGCCAGTAATCCTTTGGTCGAGCTTCAAAGAAATCTTCAGGAGAGACAAATGAAACTCCTGCAACTGGCTTATCTGGCTGGCTTTCTTCATTAGCTGTGAACGAATAATCCTCGTTTTGAAGTAAACTCGGATTTAACTCTTCTGGCTCCTCTGCAGGCAGGTCGTTAGGGCTCCATTTCCCATGATCTTTTTTGTCATAGTGGCCATGTTTTCCCCCTTTAATTTCTTTCCAATGGCCATATCTTTTTCTTTCTTTACCTTCACCATAATTTCCTCTAACTTTCCCCGTATGTACAAGAGCTATTGAAATTCCAATACAGACTACCATTACAAGAATGAGTAATACTAAAGCTTTAAAATAGAGTTTCGCATGTTTGCTGCTCTTCAACCTGCCAGCTCTGATGCCAAGCCATGCAACAAAAAGCATCGTGGATATGATGAATGCTTTCAAAACAAGCATTTGAGGTGGTATTTTAGGCTCCTGATCTAAATTGAATAATTTGAAAATTAAAAATGAAATGTGAAGAAAAGAGACCATCATCATGAAAATTGATGCACAAATGACTCGATTTGCCCAACGGTCACGGCTGGCTTTCACCTGATGTAAGCCTGCTGTATTTGGGATAGACATGGCTGGGAGCTGAACATGCCCTTGAACTTGGCTTGGCTGAGGGATTGGAGCCCCAGGCATAAGTGGTGTGTAAGCAAGTCTCCCATCGGGCCCTAATTGTATGTAATTCTGGTTTGGCTGATGTTGCCTTAGAGGCTGATTTCCTATGTTTTCCATTTTTTATTATAAACTATTCTCGGATAATTTCATTTAAAATTCAGTAATGGTTACGATTTTAATAATTTGTTTTCAAAGTCTTAAAACCTCAACTTATTAAAATTATAAAAAATTCAATTCGCCTATATGAATGGCTCTTATAAAACTTGAAAGCTTTAATAGCAAAAATCGTTGACAATATTTTATGGGGTAATCTAAAATCCCTAAACTTTTTGCTATAAATTAATTAGGATATGATTTTTATATAGAGAGCTTGCACTCAATAAACTCGCCTATAATTAATTTATTCGACAATTAAAATCAATAGTTATGATTCTTCTTTTTACATTCCATAGTAAATTGGAAAATCTCACTTTTTCATTTAATTATCCTGCAATTCGTTTTCCGAATAATTTCAAAAAATTCACTCACATCGAAAATCTAATTTAGTATTATGAAAATAGTTTAATTGCATATGGTAACACAAAATCCAAACCAAGCAGATGAGCTGATTTATACAGGATTTAATCAAGATTATTCATGTTTTACCTTAGGAACAGACTCAGGCTTCCGTATTTTTAACACTTATCCACTCAAATATTGTTTTCGGCGAGATTTCCCAGGAGGATTTGGAATTGTCGAATTATTATATCGCTCCAATATCGTAGCACTTGTAGGCGGTGGCAAATCACCTCGCTACCCTCCAAATAAAGTCATAATATGAGACGACCACCAAATGAGGCCCACAGGAGAGCTCTGCTTCCGAACTGAAGTAAAAGGAGTCAAACTAAGAAGAGATCGTGCTGTAGTTTTACTAGAAAATAAAATTTACGTCTATAGCATGCAAGACCTAAAAATTCGTGATCACATACTAACAGCACCAAACCCGAAAGGGGTTTGTGCACTTTCTTCTGATAATGATCGCATTATTCTTGCAACTCCGGACAGAGAAAAAGGGAAAATCAGAATTAGCAACTATACAGAAGATCGATTGATACAGATAACCGCTCATGAGACCTCTATAGCCTGCTTAGGCATGAATCCACAAGGAACGATTCTTGCTTCAGCTTCTGACAAAGGAACGACTATCAAGGTGTATAACATTGATGATGGGAGCTTAATGCAAGAACTCAGACGTGGAATAGACCGAGCTTCAATTTATTGTTTGTCTTTTCATCCTTCATCTTTATGGCTTGCGTGCTCTAGTGATAAAGGAACCATTCATATATATTCTATTAGCCAGCAAAATTCTGCGAATCCGAGGTCTGCGTTTTCTTTTATGAAAAGTATTTTACCAAAATATTTTGACTCAGAATGCAGCTTTGCCCAACTGAGAATCAAAGATTCTAAGTCAATTTGTACGTTTGGAAGAGAGCCAAATACGCTCATTGTCATTAATTCGGATGGGAATTACTGTGTGGCTGAGTTCAATCCAGAAGAAGGAGGAGCCTGCAATATAATAGATCAGCAGCAAATAATGGATCTTGATATCGTTTAAATTAATAACATGATGAACAATAAGTAAAGAAGATTTTGTAATGACTATTCGAAACGTGCATAATGAGATTTATCATAACGAAATTTTTTTCTTAGGCAGCAAGAAATTATCTAAATTTAAGAAGATTTAAGCTAAAAATAGTTATTAAGGAAACCTTAAACTAATCTCTTATTACATCTTCCCAAAAACTCCTGATAGAAGTTAGATGAGCAGAGTGAATTTCTGAAATTTTTAACGCATGCTCCAAGTTATGCATTTTTTTTTCAAGGTCTTTTATATTTTTCCTTTGCCTTTCGGCTTCTTTATCATGCTGCTTAGCGACACATTGCAGCAGCTGCTTTAGATCTGAACAACTGTATGTAAGAGAGTCTTTTTCGCTTTCAAGTTTGTCTACCATAGATTGCAACAGATCAATTTTTTGAAGCAGCAGGATATTATCTTTATTGTTGGGTTCAATCGGTTTTAGGGTTTCTTCGGGTTCAGGCATGTAATCTGATAAGGATTTTGTTGACCAATAGTTAACAGTTGTTGCCATTTTCGAAATTTTTATTGTTTATCTCAGATCAGTGTTTAAGGACTACTCTATACAAAATGGTATGTGAGTTAATTTATTTTATCAATTCCTGACGAGCTTGAAGGTATCAAGTAGGAAAAATAGCAATCAGCAAGCGCATCTGGCAATATTTTGCTAACTGATAGAGTGTAGCGATAAATGCCCTCTAGAAAAAAGTGATCTAAGGGGGGTTTTTGCCTTATTGGAAGTTATACGGGAGCTAAAAAGGATAAGCTTAGCATTGCCTATGTGATGGCTTTAATACAGATTGTTACTCTGGGTACTGAGTCTCAGACTGTCTGCACCATCTTTGGTTAATAGTCACATATTTCAAAGTCCTGGCTTGCAACTCACGTTGATGCGTGATAAAATAAAAATCACCTATATATCCATTTCTATGATTTTCTGTGGATTTTGAATTAGCAATCTTCAATTAGCAAAAATACTAAAAAACAATTGAAATTTAAACCTCTATAGATAAGTTACATATTTCATCGATTTAATTATCTCTAATATAAAAATTAATAATGGGCTGCAAAGCAAGTGTTTGCACTGATCCAAACGAGTTATTACTTTCTCAGCATATTCAAGAAAAAGATACTGACATTTCAAGCCACGTTTCTCAAAAGTCAACGCTTTATTCTCTCAATACCCTAATTAGAAGAAAAGAAGAAGCTGAAAGCTTTATTAAGCCTCAAGAAAAAATAAGAACAACAGTCAAAATGATTTTTAAATCCTCTCAAAATCGAGCTGATTTAATTGAAATTCTAGAAATTTGGCTTAACGAAGTCTATACTTCACTTGAAGAGTCAGTTTTTTGCAGTCAAGACCTCAAAAGCTATTTGAGCGTTGACTCAACAGGCTTAAATATGACCATAAAGCATGACGTTGATGGAATTAGGTCTTATAACTGTTTAAAAAATTTTTGCGAAAAACTGCGCAGGCTTCCATCTTGCAGCAATTTAAGGTTCAATTCTCAGCTATTTTCAAGACATGAGGAATTTTTATTGTCATTATGTCCACTAACAATTTCATTTTACCTTAAGCTTGGAGCTCAAATTGACTGTGGGTTTGGGGTTGAAAAACCAATGGATAAAAAACAATTGTCACAGTTTTTGCTTCATTCCGCTGAAGCAGAAAATGTTGCAAGATGGTCTAATCAAAATTCTCACCCAATTCCTATACAATTTAACTACTCCTGTTTCAATGATGCGAGATTCTGCAATTTTTACTTGTTTGATGGGCTAAAGTCACAGAATTTTGAAAGAGGAATTTCTATGTTTGAGTGGTTTGGAGCACCTGTGTCTTCAGATGTAGCAAATATAATTAGAAGGGCAAAAGGAGAGGAAGTGAATTGTATTATAGAAATTGATAAGGAGTCGGTTATTTCAATGGCAATGCAAGTACAGGAACATGAAAACCCTTCTGCTATAGCGAAAGAATTGGATACTGCGTTCGATAAACAAAAATGGGTGAGGTTTCAAAAACTTCTTCAGCCAAAATGGGTGATTTTAGAGTTAAACAGAGATGGGTTCAGACTAGTACAGATGAGTGCTATAATGTAAATCAATTGCGATTTATTTTTTTGATTTTAAATCTTTGTTGGTATGAATAATTTTTTTAACATAAATTATATGGGATGCTAATAATCTTATTTCATTAGAGTTGCACTATTTAATTACAGCTTTATCTTATTAAATTAGCAGGCCCAAACTGATCTGTGTGCTGCTGCATATGGCTGCCCTTCTTAACCCCATTTTGTAAAATTCTCAAATCCCTCCTTTCACTTTCTGTCAGCATTCTTAGAGCTGCAATAAACTTTCATAAAATTCTACCCACAAGGATATCAATTACAATAACTAAAACCTCTAAAGTAGTAAGCAAAGCATCATAAAGAATTGCCATTAAAATAATTCTCACTATAGCTAGCAGCACAATATAAACTAAATATGTAACCGCAAGCCAAATCTTATAATATCTTCCTGCAAGGAAGCCAATGACTGGAACAATAATTAAAAACATCAAAAATTTCATACCATCAGGAGCAATAAGAAAAATAAAGGTAAACAATGATTCTAGGATTGACATTATTCTGATAAATTTCGCATATCTAATACATTGAGTGAACTTAAGATCTCTTTCACTTATTGGAATTATCATAGGAGTAGATAGCTGCTGAGGAGTTCGAGGTGCAGATTCATTTGTTTGAAAGTTGTTATTTAATGAGGATGAGACAGATTTAGGTATGTAAATAAGACTTGGGCGAGAAGGGGAGGATTGGTCTTCAATTTCGATTTCTTTAAAATCTTCATCGTGAAATTCGAAGCTAATTTTTCCTTCGGCCATATATCTTGATAATATTAATGGCAATATTTAAACTTATTTAGAGACTTAGCTTCATTTAATGACAGAGAATGGGTCTAATATTCTTCAAAATATAATTTGTGTATTTCTGTTGCATCAGCCAATTAAAAAATTATTTTTCTCATGAAAATTTCATTGTTTAAACCATGTTAGAGTCATAGATAAAACCCAACCTGTACAATAATTGGGCATATTAGTTGAATGCATTAATTTATCCTTTTTCTTATATCAGTTATTTAAACTTAAGCAATAAGAGTAAATTGAAATATAATTAAGCTTCTTTAACTTCTTCTTTTTCATCTTCCAATGATTTCTTATTTTTTCCTTCACACTGCTGGATGACTAACATAAAATAGTCGCTGACATTGCTAATAATAAGCTCAGTATCCTTTGAAGTCCTTATACGGATGGTTTGTAGTTCAGTATCTTGAGGCTGCAGCTCTAATCTCCTAATGTTAGTCTTAGTCCTTAACAAGAGATCATAAATGAGCGCTCCATACTGCACGACCTGGGCATATTCGATTTTTTTATGCTTATAAGGGATTGCCTCTGGGCTGTATATAGCATATCCCAGTATAGAATCTGAGTCTGTCAGCTTCTTCATGGTTTCTTCGATCTCAGCCTATGTAAACGTTACTATAGTGTTTGCCATTTTAAGTTAATAAGAAAAGCTTATAATTGAGAAATGGTAGATCTCACTGAAGAAACCCAAAATTATTTAGGGAGATTTAATGCACTTTTAGACGTTTTACAGAAATCTGAGAGCCAAGATGACATAAAAGAAGGGATATCTAAGCTTCTGTACTTAGCGCCACTTGTAGGGAGCATTTCTAATCTTCACTATTATGTGGAAGTGTGTAAAAAGTTTATGTCCCATACAAATCCTAATATCCGAGCTTTAGTAATTCAGCTAATTTCACTTGCATGACCCTTAAACGAGCCAGATTCCCAAGAAATTTTATATTGCTTTACCAAAGATATTGATCCTAAAGTCAGATCTATAGCTTTAGACTCAATAAAAACGATAAATCCTGACTTCTGTTTACCCTTTTTCGATGACATGAGCGAAGAAGTGCAGATTTCAGCTATGAGGTGCTATTTTAGGAACAAGAGAAACTTAAACGAAGATTATGTAATGCATACATTGTCTCCTATGGTTTATTCAAAGTTTAGAACTGTTATTATTGAAGCGTTTAAGCTGATTGGGCAGCTAAGACCTTCTCCAAATTCATTTTACCAAGCTTTGACAACTGATGAAAAACAGCCAGCAAACGGATTTTTATTGATTATGTTGGAGTCAGAATTTTGTGAAATAAGGCTGGCGGTGCTGGAAGCCATTAGTAAACTGCTTCATACAGTGATAAATTCTCATCCCAAAGAAGAATGCAATTCATGCTTATAATAAATGCCAGATGATGGCGCTCAATGTGCCATCATCGGGCAAACCAGAAAAGGGCTCCACACGGGAAATGGGTTCCACGTGTTGACAAGTGGAGAATCCTCACTTCCACGCACCAAAAAGGGCTCCACACGTGAAATCCATATCCTGTGTGGAGCCATCATCGGGCAACCTGTATATATAAAGTCATAAAAATTTCCCTAGACGCAATCAATGACGAGTTTAGAGAAGTCAGAATTTCTGTTTTTCAATTATTATCTGCATTAACTCCTTATTTTGGGCTTAGAAAAGTAAGAAATAAATAGAAACCTGATGTTGATTCTTGCATTTTTAACTTAAGAGACGCTGATCTTGTCCTCAGACATGCAATTTATGAGTTTTTCTGTAGGGTTCGTATTGAGAATGGGCAGCTTGCATTAATGGTGCTTGAAGCTTTATTTGCGTCTTTCCAAAAATACCCAGAAGATACAAATTACATTTATTTGGTGACTTCACAAATGGGAAAAAATAATTATAAGCATGGCAAGTTTCTCGTCAACAAGCTGTTAGGATTAGATAAAAGATTCCTTGCAAACGAGCATGACTGGAATGACCCTATATATGTAGCGAAACTAATATTTTTAGTGAACGCTCATAGTTATGACAAAACTTTAGAAATCCCAAGCTCTTGTGAAAAGCACATCAATTATATCTCAGATTTATACCCCTCATATATGCCTCAAAGACAAATTTCTATGATTCTTGATCTAAAATTCCCAGAAGAAGGAAACTCTGAATTCGCATCACTATGCAAAAATTTAGTTGTAAAATTAAATAAAATGATTTTACAGCCTCATTGCTATCTTCATGACCCTGAAGTTAATTTAAAGACAATTTTGTATAAAACTTGTGAGTTACAGCATGCGTACAGGATTGATATGCCAGCTAGTTTTAATGAATTTATTGTCAAGTGCAGGATTCAGATACATATAATTTATCTTCTCTCCATGCTTTCTGACTGTTACACTGGTAGAAACACTCCTTGGACTTTAATAAAAAATCAGATAGAAAATATATGGAAAGCAGGATCTTTTATAAAAGATGACAAAATCGTTAAAACTTGTTATAATGCTATAAATGATAACGAAAACCCTGACACTGATGCATTGTATACAGAATTCAGCTCATTTCTGAGCGTTTTGAGTTATAAAGTGCATCAATATATAAATGTCAAGAAAAAGCATGCAGAGATAACCTTTCCAACAGGAGAAATAGCTGTAAATGAGTGTGATGTATTGAGTGTACAAGGAAGAGGTGACGAAGATTTATATTGCTTGCTTGAATTTCCTGATGGCAGTTTGGAGAGCGCAAAAGCTTATTCACATGCAATGAATTTAAATTCGCATATCAGAATCCACAGACCTAATTCACCTGTGCTGGTACAACTTTGTTTTGCTGCGCTGTTTAGTCAGTCAGATATACAAAGCGGACCTGGATTTTTCCATAAGACAATGATAATGCAATCTCATGTGCCAATTTCTTCATATACTCAAATAATGCTTAAGCCTTAGTTGTCCAAATTTTAATTGTTATCATTATTTTCGTTAATTAAATCTAAAGATTTTCTAATTTTTTACTTGCTTTTGCTATACTTTATTTTCGAGGGTAATAAAGCATAATTAACCCTAAAAAAGCATAGCTATTATTCCAAGCTCCATTTTCACATAAATTGCTGATAAAATTTCTTTATCTTACTTAGCCCTTTCTTAGCAAAGCTCTTAAAATTTTAGTGTTCTTAAAAACTATATCTCATAATATTTCCATAATTATATTCAGTAATATCACAGAAAATATTAATGGTATTTATGAATAGACTAAAGTTTAGATAAAATCTAAATCCCCCCCCTCCGTGAGTGAACAAAACCATTAGAAAAATCGCTATTTTTCGCCCAAAAACCCACCCTCCGTGAGTGAACAAAAATTTTTTTATGGAAAAGATTTTTAATATGCAATCTATTTATGCGTTATTTCGTAAAATTCCAAAATTCCTAACATTATCTAATATAATTTTTAGATCAGCTTAAAAAATTTGAAAGTAATGGCATCAGAATTCACTATATTGAACCGAGAGTTTTGGATGCCTGATTATTCAGGTAAAACTTGCTTTAAGTGCGAAAAGCCGTTTAACGCTGTAAGAAGGAGACACCATTGCAGATATTGTGGCTTGATTTTTTGTGCAAACTGCTCATCTCCAAAAAAGCAGTTGGAAAATGGGAATTGAATCTACAGGTCATGTGAGAAATGCTTATTCCAATAAGACTGTATTGAAAAAATCTATTTGGCAATAAATTGAAATTAGAAATATAAAATTTACGTTTTAGAGCTAAAGCTGCTTAAATTTAATAGAATAAGCTAGAGCTTTATTTATATTTAACAATTTTTGCTATAATATTTTTTGTATTCAGAAATTTTTTGTTGGAAGAATTTCCTAAAAAAATATATATTTTTTTCATAGACTTTTTTTCTTTATAGTGGAGAAGTTAGTTATGCTTCAGACACCAAGACCAAGGCCTTCTATGCACCTTGCAACCCCTTCGATGACTAGCCCTGAAATATTGCTTAAAATGAACGAAGACTCCAAGTTGCAAGAATCATCTGAATTAAAATCCAAATTTATTGAAATTAAGAGAACTGAATCAAAAGTAAAAGACTTGCTATCAGAATTGACAACAGACTACCATAAAGGCTTCAATGAATACTCCAATGAATTCTTAGAAACCAGAGCCCAAGCTCTGCTTTTAGAATTAGGAATCAATCAGGCTTGAGAATCCACCATTATTAAAATTGTAAAGCAAATTGTCAGCACTCTCTGTCCTTCCATCAGATACAGGCAAGATGCTATGAGTATTGCCTCTTATTTGAAATTTGTTCTAGTAAAATATTCTGACGATTCCTTAACGAAATACATAAATGGAGTCATTATAAAGAAAAACACTGCAAATAAAAGGATGACCAAGGCTTTCGACAAGCCTAAACTTTTGATACTCTCAGGATCCGCTGACTTTGGCGGCTCAGAAAAAAAGTTAGTCGCAATGCATAAACTTGTAGATCAGGAAGAAAATTATACAAAAATCATGGTAAAAAAAATAAAAAGCATGGGGCCGAATATAATTTTGATAGAAAATAGTATGCCGTTAAACGCTCTAAACGAGCTGATATCGTTAAATATCGCGACTTTTGTAAAAGTGAAGCTGAAAGATTTGGAATTGGTCGCTAGGTGCACATTGGGGAAAGTTTTAAATTCGCTTGACCAGAGCTCAAATACAAGTATTTATTTAGGAGATTGTGGGAAGTTTTTTGTGGAGGCCATTGGAAAAGAAAATTACGCTCATTTTATAGATCCTGAGTACCCCACACTTGTGAGCACGATTATTTTGTCTGGGCCGAGCATAGAAATGCTGAAAAAAATTAAAATTGCAATTAAAAGACTATCCGTAGAGTACAGAAATATTAGAATTGAAAGAAGTTTTCTGATCCAAGGGTCAGTAAATGTAGTTCCTCATATCTTCATTAATTTTTATGCAACAAATGCAGACTATAAAATGATTTCTGTTTGCCAAAATAAAATTTGCCATAAGACTAGAAAGCTGAATTTAGATTTCTATGGGAAAAATGATAGAACCTTGGGTGAATTTTTATCAAATGCTTCCAAAACAATCGATGATTTGTGTGAATATGAATGTGGGCAGCCTTTGAAAAATCACGTGTTTTACTATATTAAAGGAGACAGAAGAGCAAAATTGGTGATTTCTAAATCAAACTCGGGGAGTAATGATGAAATCGTTATGACAAGAGCATGCAAGCATTGTAAAAAATTAGATGAATGCTCAGTTTTGTTGAGTAAGGCGACTTGGGAGTACTCTTTTCATAAATTTATCTACAATTTTTTCATTAAAGTCGCTATTTTTGGAAATAGTCTATCTTATCTTACTCCCCTCCCCCCTTTAAATTGGAACTAAAAAATTTTGTTTCAATTTAAAGGGGGGTTAAGAAAATTTTTTTAAAAAAAAAAATCATTATAAAATGTTTTATAAAAACAAATTTATATAAAATTTAAAAAAATAAATTTCAAAAATTTATCGAATTAGATTAATAAATTTGTTTTAATAAAATGCTATTTACTCTTTATCCTTTAAAACAAAGCAAGATATAACTAAAATTTTATTATTAATTAATACGCCAATATTAATTGGTATCAAAACTATTTACACAAAAATTATTATTTTTTTTTGATATAAAAAAAATATTTTAGAAAATTTATTAATCAAAGTGCTAATTTTGTTTAAATAAGATGTTATTTATACTCTATTCTTTAAAATAAAGCAAGAGATAAGTAAATTTTGAATTTTTGGAAAGAATTCGTATTAATTTATATCAAAGCTATTTAAATAAAAAATATCATTTTTATCAAAACAAATAAAATTTTTTTGAAAAATTTTTTTAAAAAATTTACAATTAAGGATAATAAATTTATTTGAATAAGATGCTCTTTATACTCTATTCTTTAAACAAGAGCAGTATACAACTAAATTTTTAATTTTAGTTAAGAAGAAACATTTAAATTATATCGAAACTTTTTACATAAAAATTATGATTTATATATATAAAATTTTTTATTATAAAATTAAATTTTGTTCCAATTTAAAAGGGGGTTAATTTACCAAAAAAGTGGAAATTTTACCTATATTTTGTTCCAATTTAAAGGGGGGGAGTTAGGTAAATAATGAATATTAATAGAAAGTGTAAAAGTTAGTTCTATTTATCCATAAAAGAGTAAGATGTCACCATGATTTCTATTCATCAAGATTTATATTTTATCTGTCTGGAGCTCGCATTTTTATAGAAAGAGAAGAAAATCCAATTTATGAGCTTGTTCCTCAATTGACTAGCTTTGAGTATGCCAGCCAATCGTTAGAAAGCGACTTCAATCAGCTTAAATCAACCGTAAAATCAGTTCTTGATCAACTTGACCATATAGATAGAGATCTTACTCCCCCCCTCCGTGAGTGAACAAAAAAATTTTGTTCATTCACGGAAGGGGTTAATTTTTTTTTTTAAAAAAAATTTATATATAAATTTTATAGAAAATTTTTTTTTCGAAATTTTAAAAAAAATCCTAATTTGCATAAATTGGGAAACAAATATTAATTTAATTTATAAAATTTATATTTTAAAAAGCAATTCGTTTAAAATTAAACAGAATTAGCTCTAGATTTCATTGTACTAATTATCAATTATATATCAAATTTTTTTTCATAAAAAATTATTTCTATTAAAAAAATTTTTGTTCACACACGGAGGCAAAAAATAGGATTTTTCTAATGGTTTTGTTCACTCACGGAGGGGAGGAGTTAGAGAAAAAATCAAAAGAGAGGGCCAAGAAGAAGAAACTGAATGGGACGTGCTACGTGAAAAGGCTAACAGCATTAAAGAAGCAATTGATAAAACTACAAATAAGCTCATGAAATCTCAGCTTTCATCTTATCCAAGTCAGCTTTGCCTTGAAAACTATAAGCGAAGCTTATTTTTTAAATGTTGTGATATTATGGATTGAAAATTTTTTTCTAGGATTCCACTTTTTAATAGTATAAAAATGCTTATAATACTGAAATCCCAGAATAAACATAAATTCATAAGAAAATTTCCAATCTATTATATAAAGGTCCAACTTGAAACTACTATAAACAATATTCTACGCATTAAACTGGGCTACAAACTAGCAGAACCAGAAACAATCCGAATTAGAGAAATGGCAATTGATGCAAACCTCAGCCTAAAAACCCTAGAAGAGCCTACATCAGTTTTTCTCTCAGCTGAGCCTTTTAGTGAAAAAGATGCTTTCCTTGACAGCCCTTCATTTAAAACCCTAAGAAACGGAGCAATGACACTGCCATTAGGACAAGGCGGACAATGGATATCAGTAGAAGAAAAAGATAGGCTCTCAATTGTAGCTTATACATTGAACTCTATCTCATATCATCAGAGTATCATAAATAAAGAAGCTCAAGAAGATTTTAATGAATATTTTGAAAATGAATTATTGTCAACTCCAGACCCTCATTTTGTATTTGAGGTTTCCAACTATGAAGAGGCAAAAAGGAAAGAGGACTTGAGGATTTTGTATGGAGAAAGGCTAACTATAACAGTCACTGTTTATTTTGCTAAAAAATTTGAAGCGCTCAGGAAAGCTTGGTATGGACTTGGTGATGAATTTTTACAGTCAATTATAAGATCCGAAAGGCTCGACGACTTGCCAGGCAAGCGAAGGAGCTTTATTTCGCATGATAAAAGGTTCATATTAAAAGTCTTGAGTGAGTCTGAATTTGCTATGTTCTTAGAGCTAGCCCCGAACTATTTTAGACATATGTACAAGCATTGTTTTAAAGGAATGCCTTCAAGGCTCATGAAAACGGTTGGGGGCTACAAAATTAAAGTCACAAACCATAGCACTGGGTGAACCAGAAACGAATATCTTATATTGATGCAATATTTAAGGTATCAAATGCCTGAAGACTCAGAAAGTTATGATCTTAAAGGGGTAAGCAAATATTGCCAGGAAATTAATTAAATTAAGATTCTTAACGTCTTCCAGATTTGATGCTTCCGCATGCTTCAATTAGCACCACCCTGCTTGCCGGGTGGAAATTCAGCCGCTATTTAGAACAGTGATCTTCTTAAGGAGCAGGGCTTGCACTCGATCTCCAAGATTCTCGATGGGCTAGAAAGACGCTCTGTCAATGCGCCATCTGGTGCTATGGAGGTAAAGGTTGCCCAGATACCTCCTGTCAATCGCCATTGGGAGATGTGACACCCAGGAAAAAAGAACTGCGTACCCTCCGAGTCGGAAAGGAAAGAATCAGTGGCCCAAAAAAATCCTGATGACAAATACTGGAATGACTGCAGCAAGGCCACCCCCATATGGCAGCCATACAGCTATCTTAGGGTTAGAATCAAAGGGCCTGGGCGTTGGCTTAGGCTATAATGCCGTTTTGGCGTCCACAGTAGTGCGTTTTCGGTAAGGATATATTTTCTCGCCACCACCATAGTAATTATTCCAGGAAAAAGGAAAGGTTGATTTGAGCTTTTTAGAAGACTTTAGAGGGTTGCCTATTTGTTTGAATCAAGAAATGAGCGAAGTTCTGAATGCTGGGATTTGGAATGATACTATACTCTTAGCAAAACAAAACATCATTGATTATTCACTCTTATTGGTGGTTTCGAAGTCAGAAAAGAAAGTGGCTGCTGCAATTATGGACTATTTCCAGCTATGTGATTTAAATAAAGCAATCACAGGAAATGCTTTGAAAGAAGACTCCAATCCACCTTTGCTGCCACTTGCATATAAAGAAAGGTTTAGGCTTATGATCACCCAAGGCTATTTTTGTTGTGCAGAATAATTACTTATAAATATTTTTCTATCATTTAATTTCTCATTAAATTATTACTTTAAAAGATCTGCATATAGGGAACTCTTATGTTTATGATAGATGCTATATTTTATTGTGGAAAATTCATTTTCAATATATTTAATAATGGATCCTTCAAATCAAAGAATAGTTATTTTAGGTTATGAGCCAGAGTCTGTAAACGAGTTAGTCGAAGCTTCTCAAACTGTATTTGCGATAGCAAATCCGTGGTGAAACTCTTGGTGCGATTATGTAGGCTACTATCGAGATGCAACAGGTCCTTGCCCAGGTCCAATTAGCAACGAGTCTTTGTTTGAAGGCTCGTCTCTCAAGCTATCTCTCAGTATAAACGATATTATGCTTATTTCAAGCGCATCGTGGAACGCCCTTAAACTATGATATCAAGGTGGCCCTGAAGTAGAACTTTTTATTGTTGATGGCCAGCCAGATCTGACTCCAATCCATATTTTAGTCTGAAACTCTCAAGACACTAAGTATGCAATGATAACGTGAAAATCTCTTATGGTTTCATCAAAGATCACCTTCAAAGATCTAAAAGATTATTTAGGGAAAAAATTCAGCATTGATCCGGAAGTAATAGAGTTGAAATTAGAATCAAGCACTTCAGAGACACGAAAACTAATAGGGTATGATGATTGCACTCTTAATGACTGTATGATTTCTGATGGAACAAAAATTATTGTTGCCAAAAAAGACAAAAAAAAAGTACAACTTCTTGATATTTTGGAAGAAGAAGATGATGATCTTGAAAAAGCATTAAAAGCTTCATTGAAAGAAGAGGAGAAAGTAAGCTATCCAAAAAGTGGGGAAAATTTTGACATTGAGATGGAAACTATTCACATTTATTCAGATCCAAATAACGAGGCTGACTATCGATTTAGGTCTTCTAGGTCAGATGGAGCAGCTGTTGCTGAAAGGATTGAGAAAAGTATGAAAGAAGCGAAAAAGCCATTAGCTGTTCATCACTTGAGGAGAATCCAAAAAAATATTATGGGAATATGAGAAGATTATCTTGCGTGGCAAAAACAGCAGTAAGATGCTGTTTCAATATAATATTAAAGTAATGATGGATGGATATCAGAAAGACTCATGAAGTATTCATATCATTATTTTATAATAACTGATAATTAGTGGCTTGAAATTTTATTTAATAAATAGTTGGATTCCTCAGCTCCAGTGCACATAATCATTTTTCGAAATAATGATGATTCTTGACTCACCAACATTTTAGGTGAGTCTATCTCTTTGCAAGCTCCTCCATCCATCACAATTATTATATCAGAGTCTACAATTGTCCTCAGTCTATGAGCAACTATAAGTAAAGTGCTTCCTCTAAACTTTTTCTTAATTTTTTTCTGTATCAGCTTATCAGTTTCTCTATCCACATTTGCAGTTGCTTCATCCATCATAACAATTTTATTCTTCCTAATTAAGGCTCTTGCAAGACAAAATAGCTGTTTCTGTCCTGCTGATAAGTTTCCACCATCGCCTGCTAAAATATGGTCGAGACCTTGTGGAAAAGCTGAGACCAAATCATATAGTTTTGAATGTTTTAAGACTTCATCTATTTCTTCATCAGTATGCTCATGAAAAGGATCAAGATTATCCCTAATACTGGCTAAAAATATAGTTGGGCTTTGTGGAATCACAGACAACTGTTTTCTGAGTTGATGAAGTCCGATTTCTAAATAGTTTTGCCCATCAATAAAAATAGTTCCAGAGCAAGGGTTTACTAGTCGAAATAAAGCATGCATTATTGAAGATTTGCCAGCGCCCGTCCTTCCAATTATTCCAACCTTTTTTCCTCCTTCAATTTTTAAGTTTAATGATTTAAGGACACATGGCAAATTTTCTCTATATTTCATATAAAGATTTTTGAACTCAATGTGGCCATTTGTAATCTTAAAATCAATATCTGACTCATAATCTCCCTCCTTAGGAATTTCAGAATACTCCAGCAGCCTTTGTGGAGAGGCCATCAAATTTTCAGTTTCAATCATTGTTTTTGCCCACCAATTAGCCCATCCTGATGTAGAAATTGTAAAAGATATACTCATAGCAGCAACGCTGTTGCTTATGTTTCCTTTATAAAGTATCAAAATAATGACATTTAAAATGCTTACAATAGTAGCGCCAAGCTCTGAGTAACCTTGATAAAACCTGAGCATCATATGATAGGTTAGATAAGCTCTTAAGTTGTGAGTGACAAACTTTTTCATTTCTTTAGTGAACTTTTGTTGAAGATCAAGGCAACGAATAACTGGCAGACCGCTTAAAGTAGAATTTACTAATGATAGTATTGGACTTTTAGAGGCAAGCTCAAGACGCTTTAAAACTGTAGTTAACGGTACTATGGTTCTTATAAGAATGAAAAGATAAAACAAAAAGGCTATTATTGCTGCTAAGTTAGGGGGAGCAATAATAGCAATAACAGTAACATTTCCAAGTAAAAGTATGGTTGTGCTGATAAATTCGATAAAAAATGTTATAAGGGTCTCATCAACCATCATTGTATCTTTGGAAAATCTTGCAACCATATTACCAGTAGGATTTTTATCAAAAAATGAAACTTCTGATTCTGTTATTCCTTTTAAAGCTGAGTTATGCAATTTTTCAGCATTTTTTAATAAACCGACTCCGAATAAGAATCCTCTTAAGTAAGTAAAAAGATACAGGCATAAAATAATGACTGCATAAACCCACAAGTAAAAAGAACTCCCTTGATCTGATGGATCTGCTTTGGATCACACTGACAGCCACCATAATGTCATGCTGTAAAGCGCTTGAGTCACTGTTAAAATGGCTAAAAGAATTGGAATCATCAATCAATTTTTGCTTCCAAGTGTCAAAAATTTATAATAAATTTTAAAAGGAATTGTCATTATTGTTTTTTCTTCTTCTTGCATTAATGATTTACCTTTTGCATCAGTATTAAACTCAATATCGCGTACTCCATTTACAGAAGATTTTTGTTCAGCTTTTGGTTTCTGATGGCCAGCTTCTCCAATTAAATTCATGATATTTTCTTTTAGTTTCAAGTCATTAAATTCTCCAAAAAACAGCTGTGAGCCTGAATTTAAAACCAAAATTTTATCGGCTTCAGATATATAATGAGTCTGATGAGTTGCTAGAATTACTGTTTTCTCTCTTAGAAAATCTTTTATGCATTTTTTAAATAAATGAGAACTGACTTCTGCGTCAACTGCACTTAAAGGATCATCAAGCAATAATATATCTCTATTAGTGTAGGCAGCTCTAGCTAAGCTAAGTCTTGCTTTCTGTCCTCCACTTAAAGTTATTCCTTTATCCCCTACTCATGTATTATCACCAAATTTGAATTTTTCTATATCTTTATCTAACGCACAAGCTGAAATGACCTTTTTATAAAATTTTTCTTCATACTCGAGTCCCATTAAGACATTATCTTTGATAGTCCCTGAAACTATTCATGGGTCTTCTCCTGCAACAGCTATACTGCCATTGATACTCATATCTCCACCAATCAGCGGAATTTCTTGCATTAATCCCATAAGCAAGCTAGTTTTTCCACAGCCAACTGGCCCAACTACAATTACCAGTTCCCCCTTTCTCACTTTAGCATTGACATGCTCTAGCACTATATCGCCATCATAAGTAGTTACTTCTGCGTCAATTTTTAACGATTTTCTTGAAATTCCCCGGATTTCTCCAGCTTCTTTCCATGAAAAATTCGCATTGCTTAACTTTATCGCATAATCTTCTGAGTTTTCGAGTGAAACTCTAGTATTATTTTTAATTACGAGAATTTCGGTAACTCTTTTCATTGCGATTATGAATAAAAATAATTGAAAAACAGCTAACTCCGCCCCACATCCATAAAACAAACATTGGAAAATCTCTATTTTTTGTGTAAAAACCACCTTCCGTGAGCGAACAATAATTTTTATGAAATAATATTTTGATAAATAAATATCTAGCCGATTATATTGAATTTTAAACAGCTTGCAATTTAATACATAAATTTTATAAATTAAATTAATTTTTTCTTTCCAACTTTTCGATTTTTTTAAATTTCGAAAAAGAAAAATTTTATATAAGATTTAATTAACGCCTCCCCATGATCGAACAAAATTGTTTTTTCCCTCATGGAGAGAGGGAGTAAGGACCCTATATAAGAGACCATAGTTTGGGTCATTAGCAATATTGTGGCTGTCGAGTAAACTATGCCTGGTTCTAGCTCATTTCCTAAATAAATATATATAAGAAAGGTAATAAAAAGGGTTAAACCGATCCCGCCATTACTAAGTGTACGATTTAGACTTAAAAAGCAGATTTTTTTATAAGCAGTTTTAATTTCAAGAGCTCTCTGCTTAAAAATAGTTTCTAAATTAGGGCTTTCCCATCCATATAATTTCACAATTCTTATCCCTTCAATTAAGCTCGTGATCATCTTAATCCTTACATCTCCTGCAATATTCACTTTAATTCTAAAATTCCCTGCTATTTTGCATACCAGCATAATTGCTGGGAAATGCAAAATCACTACGACTAAGCCAATAACTCCAGCAACTCCTGTAGTAAAGCCTATAATAAAAAATGCCCCAATTAAAAAAATTGGCAAGGAAAAAAGCCAAACTAAGCTGGTCATCCCATCTAATATTTCAAGCTCGGAACCAATTATATTCGCTATTTTGCCTTTAGTGTTGCCTTCTGATATTGCTAATTGAGATATATTTACTAGTTTTTGATATAAAAGGCAAGGAATCATTGATTTTACTCTTGCAATTAAAGTGAAGACTTTAAAAGCAGAAAGATTGAGGAAAAAGTAAGAAAAAAGGGTTGATACAGCATAAAGAGTGATATATAAAACCCCATCCCATGGATCCGCTGAGCTCTCTTCAATGTATCTTGTTAGATAAATAACTAAAAGTGCTTGTGCAAGACCAAGATTGTACCCAAAAATTCCAGGCAAAAAATATTTGAAGATATCTCAGCCAATTACTCTTAAAAGAGCTTTTAGGAAGCTTGGGCTTGGCTTTACTGACTCTTTTGCCCACTCTTCTTCAAGACTTGTAAGAGAAGTATCAAATTTTACCCTTTTAGGAATATTTATCAAATTGTCTGGAGATGGTATGTTTTTTCTATAGAAACTGATAACTGGGAATGTTCAGGACATCATAAGATCATGAAAAAAGTGTGAGCTGTCGTATTTAAAGTCTGGAGACTGCATGATACAAATTATATGAAGAAAGGATATGTATCCAAAGTATCATAGAGGATACGGAAACTAGGCTTCAGTGAAAAACTTCGAGTGAGGAAACTAAAGGTAAAATCGAAAGATAAAAAATGATTTATATTAGTTTAGTTTATTAAGAAAATGGCATTTCTAAATAATCAAATCTTAATTTTATTTTAAATTTAATTTGTATATTCCTATTTTAGAGCTCTGAACATGTAATGCTAAAATTCTATATATAAATTTACTATTATAATAAGAATTTTATAAAACGATTCAATAGTAATAATATAAATTAATTTTTTATATATTGATTGACAGGAATTTTTTTCATTTCATATTTTTACTGAATTCTCTCCAATGCAATGCCTTTTATATCCCACTCTATTTTGTTAATGAAGTAATTAATTATGTTCATCAACAGCTCTGGTAGAGAGCCCTCAAAAGGGATTTCTCAAAGCTTCATCAGAGAAATGAACGAGCGCCTTTCAAGACTAAAAGAAATCACAGATGAAAATGGGATGGAACTACCTTCATCTCTCCTGACAACTGCTAGAGAACTTTCCGAAAATGCAGCCCAAAGGTCCACAATTCAATATGATTACTCTGATTCCATCATATGAAAGGAGAAAATAAAATTAACCTTGACTTTGAGGTTCTCTCTGTGATGCAGGTAGGACTCATCCATATGTGCGGAAAGATGAGTTCATAGGTCGCTTTGAGTATCACTTGGGTGGTATATACCTTGTTTTATTTCTCCCCGAAGGTTTTCCTATCTCTACCAAAAGATGTAGACAGTTTGCCTCTCACATAGTCTTTGTTTATTGGGACTACTTAGCACCGGTCAAAGTATAGCTTAAAAATATGGAGTTGACTCTGAGGTCAGATTAGATGAATTTCGCCAGAAATTTCAAGAGTGTGAAATTTTGGTTTAGACCGTGCATATATTTACCCCAGCGCAGGCCATTTTCCTGAGCCAAGGTTGCCTAGCTAGAGGGATGCCACTTATGGCTATAAAAAATCTTAATCTAATCATATCAAAGTCCTCACAAATCTGAGTCATATATAGGAGTTCCATCTCCTCAAGATTTCGAAAAAAATTCCAAAGATCTTTCAGACTTAAATCATAGTTTTCCCGAAAAAAGCTTTTCAAGTGGTGATAGCAGCTCAAGTGATGAATCAATGAGCACCACAAATTTAAAGCAAAAATCAAAAAACCTGCTGAAAGGTGTGAAACAGCAATAATTAATTTATAAATTATGGTATATATCCTCAAAATAGTAGTATATTTTTAACTCAGAGTCTAGAAATATGGTCAAAGCTCATGCACACCTTAATAGATCTATATATCCCAGCAGAAAACCGACCAGAAAAAAATATGGTACAGGGCACCTGCCTTATACAGTATAAATCTGATTAGGTACCTAAAAACCATAAATGGAGACCTGTCATTTTCGTTTTTACTTTTCAAAAAAACTGACAAGTACAAATTAATTTTGAAAATTTAAAATGGATGGCCAATAATGATCTAAAAAATATTTCAGGGTTATATCATTGAAAGGCTATCAATATTAAGCTAAAGAAATATTAATTAAATAGAATAAGACAGCAATTAAAAAATTTTCGTTCAACACAAAATGAGTACTTAAAAGGTAATATCAGAGCCGAAACTGAAGCAGCAAGCTACCAAAAAGAACTGTTTTATATGAAGAGAAGTGCTAGTGAGGTTTTGCAAGAAACTAGCAAAACAAAAAGAGATTTAATTCAAATGAGAGAACAATTAGACAATGCATGCGAATTGTTAGATGCTAAAAATGTAAGTTCAAAGCCTGAATACACCGAATCAGATATTAGTTCAATTAAGGCAAATCGAGAAATTGGAGTACACTTGAATGAACAGATAAAAGAGTTGAAAAAAGAAATCGATGAAATGAATCGAAGAATTGTTTTTGGAGAGTCAGAAGATTAAGATTAAGATTAGCCGTTCGCACTTGCAGGGCCGGGATTTGCACCCCTTCACGCTCATCGCCTATGGTGAGGCCTCGGCGGACACTCTCCTTGTTGCCTCAAACAAGGGATTCGCACCAACGTGGGTTGTCTTTCCGAAAGTCCATAAAAAAAAAAATGGACTTTCTGATCGACTGTCGGTAGAAGATAGAACTCGAAAGCCTGGGACGTAACGCCCAGTTTCACGCTAGGGAGTTGCCCGATTGGTTGTGTGGACTCTGCTGGGCTTCCCCTTTCCAACCTCCGTGCTCATCTTCCCCACGAGGAAAAAAAACACCTCTGAATTTAGACTTGGCTAGGCTCTGAACACAACCAGAATTGCTTACTTAGCATTGCCGTCCATTTCTGAAGTAGTAAAACCTTACCGGATATAAATAAAATATAAGTCGAGTATGCATGGCCGGAGGCCATGCCCAGACGAAGACCCCATATTTTATTTATTGGAGAGTCAGAAATAAAGCAAAAAGAGACTGAAAATATGGAGATTAAAGACTTAATAAATAAATTGAAAGAGAATGTAGGCGATAGAGAACAAACAAGGCTTGAAGAAGATGAGATTAGTATAAGTTGCAAGTCTTGTATTCTGTTTTAATTAGTATTTTATATTTAATAGTGGATTATATAAATATTAACTTATTTAGTCTGATATTTTTTCAGATGGTGTCATCAAAATAGTAACTTCATCAACTATTGCGGAGACTTATATCACTTTAAATTCAGGGGTAGAGGGCCCAAATTCCTACTCTAGAGGATAAAACTGAAGTGACAGTCTGGGCCTGCTTTATACCAAGCTTCGCACAAAGTACCGCAGTACCCTTAATTTTGTATAATCGAAACACAAAAAAAAGGCTTTCTCTCTCCCGCCCTTTAAAACGAAAAAAAAAAAAAGTTCCAATTTAAAGGGAGTCAATTATCTTTTATAAAAAAATTATATTCAATTTTTCTCCGTAAAAAAATTTTTTTTTTATAAGATTTAATTGAAAAAATTAATCGATTCAATTTAAAACTGTTTAAATAGCACTTCTCATTAAATTAGTTCAATAAAAATTATTACTTCATAAAATTTTCATATTGAAAAAAAATTTGTTCCAATTTAAGGGTGGGTTAAAATACCCCAAAAAATGAAAAATTTTACCGATTTTTTTTCGAATTTAAACGGGAAGAGTAAGAGCTTCGTATAATAATAAGGCTTGAGTGCAGATTGCAGTGCAAAGGGTAAATATGCCCTAATAAGTAATTTAAATAATTAAATCTACATAGGGCAAAATTAATCAATATATGACCAAAAATTAGTATTTATAACTGCTATAAATAAGAAAATTTTAAAAGTGTCTGATAGAATCCATAAAAACAACCCAAAATAAATGCAATTTGTTTTTGCAAATCATATTTCAAAGTTTATTTCTCTGGGAGCAGGCAAATAGCTTGTTAATTTTATTCTAAATTTTTAAATTAGAATATTTATATATGAAACCAAATCCTTTAATTAAAATTCTTTCTTATCTTCCTTTTGAACATCCTCAAACTAGTGTACTCAGACTTAGCCATAATATCAGATTTCGACATTTTAGGGATATTCCCTAGCTCATCATAAAGTTTTTTGTCTTCTTCATACATATCAAATTTATCTTCTGCACATTCTTTTATATGTCATTCAATAAAATCATTGCTCCGCTTTCCAATAAAGAGCTTGCAGTAAGGACAATTCTGAATTTTATTTTTTTCATCATCCGAAGAGTCACTGTCGTTAGTTTTTCTAATAGTCGGAATTTCAATAATTGGCCTTTTAATTTCAGGAATAGCTGGACTGGCAATTTCTTGAGTTTCCTGTCGCTCATCTCTTTTTTTAAGTTTTTTTATAGCTCTCATCGAGTCGTGATACTCTTTAATATCTTCTACCCCATTTCCATCCACACATGCATTTACGTGTTTATTCATTTCGACTTCTGAGAAATCTTTGGGAAATCTTCATTCACAAAGGGGGCACTTTTTTATTTCTTTGGGAGATTCATCAATTGTGAGAATTTCGGCTCTTTGGCGTTTAACTGGGAAAACTGGCATAGGTTCGTCTATAGGTGACTTTGGCTTTGGTTTTGGCTTGTGCTCTTTTCTTTTTTCAAGTTTAGCTGGTTTAGGGTCTGGAAAAGTTACGGCAACTCCAGATTTTTTTATAGGCTTTGGCTGAATTGCAGGCATTGGGGCTTTTGCAGGCTCATTATAAATTTCTTGTCTAGATATAGCTGGAACGTTTATTGACTTGTTGAATGTCATTAGATTTGGATGGGTAAATGTTACTAAATGTCTGATCTCCTTTAGCACCTCCTGCATTATTAAATATTATAAAAAGCCCCAAAATTGTTAACTGTGCTTTTTTTATAAATAGGGTATTTAATTATAAAATATTTTAAATTAAAAATAACTTTAAAAAATTGAAAACAGTAAGAACGATTGCTATTTTCCACCTACTCTCCATCCTTAATCAAACTGATTGTCATGCTCGACCAAGGATGGAGGTTTAAAAATTTAATTATTTTTAAATTTTACTCTTCCATAGAAATTTTTAGTAGTAATTTCTTGTGCATATAAAACCGTTTATATCTTAGACTTACTTAATTACATAAATTTATGCGTTTAACGTCCCCTACGGGGTTGGCACGCCCAGACCTTCCGCTCACTCTTCCATGCATCGGGCCCGCAGGCCTCTGGGGCTACCTGCCTTGATCTCCAGGACACGCATGAAGCGAGTGTTGCTGGCTTTGACGGCTCATGGATTAGCAACTGCCTTTGTAACGTGAGTTGCCTGCATGGAAAATCCAAAAAATGGAATTTCTTGCCGACTGTCGGCAAAAAGAAAAACACGTAGCCTGGATGTAATGCCCAGTTTCACGCTAGGGAGTTACCCGATAGACCTAGTAGGCTTTACTGGGCTTCCCCTTTATAACTGCCTTGTCTTCCTTCCCCACGAGGTAAAAATCACCCCTGGAATTCGAACTTGGGCTAGGCTCTGCCTCCTTGCAGAATTGCTTACCTAGTATTGATATTCATTTCCTGAACAGCAAAGTCTTGTTGGATATAATTAAAATATGTGCCCAAAGCTGCATGGCCAGGAGGTCATACCCTGACTGAGACACCTTATTTTAATTATGTTTATGTGTTAGACACAAGATACAAAGCATACAAATTATGCAATATATTAGAAAGTTCTAGAAATCGTATTAGATTGCTAGGAGCAATTGTATGGTATAACCTCTAAGATTCACTATTATCAAGTATAATCGTTATATTTGAGGCGTGAATTTTTTTCATCATTGGCTTCAAAAGAGATCCTTTTAAGGATGGGAGTTAATTAATTTCTCCCAATTTCTAGGAAATCTTCAATTATTTTGTTTGATTGATGATGGCGAGGAGTTATAAAAATAATAATTTAAATTTCAAACACATTAAAATATTATTTCTAATTATTTTTTAATTTAATATTGTATTTTATTAGAATCAAATTACTAATAAGACTCCGAACAAATTTCTGTTTTAATTTATATAAGATTAATAATTTATTATGGAAAAACAATTGAAACTTAATATCCCTCTTTATACCTTGAGAGAAAGGCTTAAATTTATTGAAGATAAAGGCTCAGCACCAGCTTCGCCATCACATACATCAAGACCGAAAAAATCTGCAAGTAACTCTACCCTGCCTGATATTCATAAAAGATCAAGCTCATCTAAATTAACCCCATTAAAAACTGATGAAACGCAACAAATAAATCTCCGAGATGTTTCTTACAGACTTGAAACGCTAAAAGAAATCAAAGGAAGAAATGATATCAATGAAAATCAATTGAAACAAATAATATCCGGAAAAGAATCAGAAATAAAACTACCATTGCCTACAAATTTGAGTGATCTTGAAAAGGAAGCAGAAAAAGTAAAAGCAAAGCAAGGCAAAACTTTTAATAGCACTTTTTAGTGACTCTCAAAAATAAACTAGAGAATTGCGTTAAATTGCTTCCGCCTTCTAGGAAGCTGCCCCAATAAATAAAAATAAACTAAAATTGAGGAAATGAATGATTTTATGTTGCTTTTACTGTTAAAAAGCTATCGATTTTTTAATAAGAAAGTATAAAATGTATATAAATCAAACCACTTTTTCAGTGAAATTGAAGAAGCAAAAAAGAAGCTTTCAAAAAATCAAAAGAAAAGAAAAGAATTTTTTATTAAAGAAAGCTTGTATTATTATAAAGCACAATCAGACTGGCTATTCAACAAAGTCGCTCAAATCCATGAAAATCCTCCAGGTTCTCCTAAAGTCCATAGCCGATCTCATTCTCAATCTAAACTCGAAGATAGACCTCTACAAACAGACCGGCCAACCAAAAACCGAGGAGAGCTTGATCTCGGAGCACCTTCAAGCCGCCTAGTCAAGTATGAAACCCATCCCCAATCCTCAATGCCAAACTACCTAGTCTTGATAATACGAAATATAAGAGATATTGACTGTTTTCGCTTCTAATCTATTAAAACATGATTTATTATACATTTACAGATACTTATTTAATATCTCTAGTATATACAAATCTATAGAGGATATTTTAGTATTAAATGATAAATTTAAAATTGAGGTTAGGGTTATGATAGGTATTATAGCCGAGCTCAGTGAGAGGAAGATTTCTTGAGAGTCTCCGCTCAAAGAAAAATGATCTACACTGAGGTTGGTGTGGATAGAGAAGTCCAAGAGGTTTGAGGATGGAAACAGGTTTAACGGAAGGATGACCTTACTTACCGCTACTTAGAGCTATCAGTCCAAGTTGAGACCACTGAGAACGGAATTGCAAGAGTAATTTTAAACTTGAACTTAAAATTGTATTAAATTTATAAAAGATAATATGCTTTATATGCAAAACAAGCTAGATAAATAGATTATATCTTTTAAAACGCGTTGATTTAGCGCAATCCATTATATAATATGATGTGTCTATGATTGATAATTATATTTGAATTTATATATTTGTGTTTATTTGTTTTCAAGCAGAATTCGGCAGGATTCATGCTTTTAATATGGAAAAAAGCAAAATCCAGCGTATTTCTTTGTTAACTCTCTTATTTATATTAGTCTAATTTTTTTACCGTGTAAAAATTTTGTAATATACTAACTTAAGCTACAAATTAAGCGAGCCATAGTCAGAGTAAACAGCTAGCCTTTGGCTTGTCTCAGCTATAAAATCCAGTATCTATAGTACGAAATAGAGAAATGAAATGATTCCATTTTTGATTTCTGGCATGAACCACCTCCAAGGGATTAGCTCTCTATGTTAGAGCCACAGCCTGGATAGTACTCCAATGGTCCCAATAAGACAGAACTATGTGTTCGGTAAAATCGGTCAAGCCATTTGGCAGGGACAGGAAAACCTCGGGGAGAAATAAAACTATCTCTTCGGCAAGGCATCCCAGACTCGAAGGCCTACTTCAACAAGCTGCAGAAGCCCTATTTTTATCTTCACGAAATGCTCCATAAGAATTGTGCTTCGGAGTTCAATTTCCATCGGTGTCAAAATATTATTTCTCTTCTATCATTCCAGGATATAAAAAAAAGTATTTAATGTTGGAGTAAATATGCTATAAATCACGTTTTAATAACTTAAAAGGAATTATTGCAATATTTCCTATATTTTTTATTATCAAAAATAGGTAGTTGATATCTAGAGGTTAGGTTTTCATGCTCCATAAGCCGCAGAGAAGTAGAACTACTCAGATATTGGCTTGATTGCATGCTTGATACTCAAGTAATCCAATCAGACAAGCCAATCGACCAAAGGGTTTCTATCGCACAATTAATTTACACAATTTGTTTTAAAGAAATAATCCGCCAAGTTAGTGTTCACTGCCTTGAAAGAGGCCAACTGATGGAAAAACTCTGGAATTCGCAGCTAGAATTGTACAGTAAATCTGATGACATAAGTCTAAAAAAACTTGAAGAAATGCAAGAGCAGCACATAGAATTCATAGGAAGAGCTGAAAAAAATTGAGAAGAGGAAATAAAGAAAGAGCAAGCAAAAAATGAAGAATTACTGAAAGCAATAAAAAGCAAGGACAAAAATATTGATGAATTAAATAACGAAAAAAAAGAAATGAAGCTGGAAATTGAAAAAATAAGAAAAAGAAGTGCGGATCTTGGAGAAAGCATAAATGAGTCGTCATCTAGAAGATTTGTTCTTCAAAAAGATAAGTGTGTTTCTGCAGTTCCTGATGCTTTTGATGAAAGTTCACAGACGGAAAACATTGATCTTGAATATGAATTAGAAAAAACAATTCGAATTAAAAGACCTAAGTCTATGAAACCAGTCATTATGGCAGGATATTTTGATATGCAGGACCAATTCCATGCTCAGCAGCTATTTAGAAGACATAGCTCAGGAAGAGTAGAAAGCATTGATTTGCCTGATGAAATTATAGCTATTGTTCCTAAAAAAAATAAGTCAACTTGAACAGAAGAAATTGCAGAGGTAGCTGCTGATGCCACACCTGTAAGGCATAATTTTATTGATTGAAAATCAGAAATACCAAATACCAAACTTAATTTCGGATTGTACGCTATAAATATGGGTACCTTTGGAATTGACAGAGGAGTGCAAGCCCCAGAATTCAAAGCAGACTTAAAAATTTCTATTATAAATGATATTGAAATAAGAAAAAGGTTCATTCGGAAAAATACATCAGAAAAGAAAAAAACCCTCACAAAAGAAGTTTTAGTTACAAATTTGAATAAGCTTGATAAGCACATAGACAAGCTTGATAACGCTACACTTATTACTTCAGTTGCTTCTCAAACTAATAATTTTGATGTTAAAAAAGTCACAAATGCAACCAAAAAAGCATCCAAAATTTTGAGAAAGGATAGAAATATTATCAAAGATGTCTATAATGCGATTGAAGACGAACTTGTAGATACTGTTATACATGAAGCTAAGGCAAAGAAAAAAATAGCAAATAGGATTAATGAGAAACATAGAGAACAAGAAACCCATAGTGAAGGAGGAGAAGATACAGCCAATAATAGCAGTACAAATGAGCATCAGGAAATTGATGAAGCTTTGCCAGCGAAGCTTGTAAAAAATATAGGGAAGTTTAAAAAAGTCCTATCAAAAGTCCTAATTAAAAAGAAGCCAGCAGAAGCCCTGATTAATAATGACAAAGCAAAAAAATATGCCCACAAGCTAAGAATAAAACTGGACTCAATGTACTCCCAAAAAACAGATAGAATTCAAACTCCAATAAAAAGCCATTCCACAACTCCTATCAGCGTAAGATCAAAAGAAGGTTCACGCTCCAAGGATTTATCTCCTATCATAGAAAAAAGCATCAAAAAGCCCCTCTCGCAGCCAAAAATCATTCGAGACCGAATCAAGCTTGCACCACCTAAAACATTTTTTGATGCTTATGTGCAAACTGATTTATCAGGAGACAATATCTTTCTTAAAAATATGATGAAAAAAATGGAATCAGACGAAGACGAAATAAAAGAAATGTCCTTAAAAACCAGCGAAAAATTCCACTCTAGCAGTCGTAGAATTAGCAGGAAGTTTCAAGAGGATAATTCAGGATCATTTACACAAAGCCTTCCAGAACTTAATGATGTGATGCCAGTAAAACCTAAAGCTGCTCCAAAATATATGCCTAAAGTAAACCCGAAACAGCTATTAATTGTTGAAGCTTTTTTATTAGGCCAAGTTCAGCGAAAAATTCATTTAACGCACCCAGGGCAGAAATTATTGACAAAAATTATGGACTCTTTGAGAGAAAATAAAGTTAAACTGTCAATGAGCATAAAGATCTTAATGAAAATTATTAATCAGGTGTATGCAGAGAAAATATCGCTTTCTAGAGAAAGTGCTGACCATAAAAGCCATGAAGCTTCTATTGTCCTTTACGATATGCTTATACATAGATATGGGCTTCGCTCAGTAGCTGAAAATAAATATAAACAAGTTGTTCATGCAACTATTTCGTATAGCGAAAAGTTTATAAGGATAAAAAATTTCTATAAATTTTTGGGATTGGAAGGGAATTTTACCGTTGAAGATTGGAATTTTTATTTATATTCTTGTGAGTTTATGGAATGCTGCAATATAGGTCCTTATATTTATAATGAAGATTTTTCTCCTGACCATTTTTCACCCTATGACAGGGCTATTCATTGTGCATCAGTATTTTTTGAAAAGAAATTATCTCCCGTCCTATTTCAAGGGCTTTTAAATAGAATCAATATGATTAGGATTCAAGAATCGCCTAAATACTCAGGTAGGGTTGTCAGAGTACTTCAAAGAAACACAGAAAAAGTGAATACTGACGAATTTTTATCACTTTTATTAGAATATTACCAAGTCTTGAAAAACAAATTATCTAAAGCTCTTTGACCGACAGGAGAAATCCCTAATTCGCTTGAACTAGAAGAATTTTTAGCATTAATGAAAGGACTTCCTGATTCAAGCTTGGTAGAAGAAGAACTAGTTAAAATTTTCGAGGATCATTCTGTTTATACTAAAGGGAAAAATGGCGACATAGTTAAAGCAATTATGCACGAAAGTATTTTGAGCTTTGGAGTTGACAACAGTATTATTCCTTTTAATGATATTAAGGCTCCTTAAGATATATACTCATCTTTGGCGTTTTTTGATTAATTTGCACAGTCAATGCCAAATCTTTTACTCCCCTCGTCCGTGAGTGAACAAAACATTAGAAAAATCGCTATTTTTTGCCCAAAAACCCACCCTCTGTGAGTGAACAAAATTTTTTTAATATAGAAAAATTTGTTATGGAAAAAAGAAATATATATAAAAGTGATAATTAGCATAATGAAATCTAATGCTAATTCTGTTTAATTTTTAACAAATTACTTTTTAAAATATATATTTTATAATTAAATTAATATTTGCTTTCCAATTTTTGCAAATAAGGATTTTTTTAAATTTCGAAAAAAAAATTTTTTTATAAAATTTATATATAAACTTTTTTAAAAAAAAAATTAACCCCCTCCGTGAGTGAACAAAATTTTTTTGTTCACTCACAGAGTGTGGATTTAGTAAATAATTTTAATTTAATACAAAACAACGCTAGTTATAAATAAGAATGCCTTGGAATTTCTGACTTCCCCCCCCCCTTTAAATTGGAACAAAATATAGGTAAAATTTCCACTTTTTTGGTAAATTAACCCCCCTTTAAATTAGAACAAAATTTAATTTTATAATAAAAAAAAATTTTATATATATAAATCATAATTTTTATGTAAAAAGTTTCGATATAATTTAAATGTTTCTTCTTAACTAAAATTAAAAATTTAGTTATATCCTGCTCTTGTTTAAAGAATAGAGTATAAAGAGCATCTTATTTAAATAAAAATTTATTATCCTAATTGTAAATTTTTAAAAACAATTTAATTTTTTTTTTTTTTAAAAAATTTCAAAAAAAATTTTATTTTTTATATAAATAGCTTTGATATAAATCCAATACGAATTCTTTACAAAAATTCAAAAATTTACTTATCTCTTGCTTTATTTTAAAGAATAGAGTATAAATAACATCTTATTTAAACAAAAATTAGCACTTTGATCGATAAATTTTCTAAAATTTTTTTTTTTTAATTTTTTTTTATCAATAAAAATAATAATTTTTGTGTAAATAGTTTTGATACCAATTAATATTGGCGTATTAATTAATAATAAAATTTTAGTTATATCTTGCTTTGTTTTAAAGGATAAAGAGTAAATAGCATTTTATTAAACAAATTTATTAATCTAATTCGATAAATTTTTGAAATTTATTTTTTTAAATTTTATATAAATTGTTTTTTATAAAAAATTTTATAATGATTTTTTTTTTTTAAAAAAATTTTTCTTAACCCCCCTTTAAATTGGAACAAAATTTTTAGTTCCAATTTAAAGGGGAGGGGAGTGAGAAATTAATTTAATATGTATTTTCTGATAATTTTAATAATATATTAAATATTTACATATATCAGCGCATTTAAAATGTATAGTCAACCATAGGTTTTGCCTTTGTAAGGAAAGGTTTCAAGTTGCACCCAGATCTGAATCTGTAGTTCTTATTGCAAGGAGTCAATTGACTATAGAATGGTGAAAGTATTGGAGTTGAAGCGCCTTTTGAGCTTGCTTTACAAGGCTGAGATGATAGCGAAAACATAGGGTTTGGAGGAGGAATTCTCATAGGAATTGCCGACTTCAAAACTGGAGACTCACATACTTGAGGTCTTTCTTTATTGGAATTTATCGACTTTGATGCTTTTTTCTTTTTATAGGAGCTGTTCCTTGAATACCCTGAAGCTGACGACTTTTGGTCAATAGTAGAATCTGTAGCGCTCACAAATTGAATCCTAGGTGTCAATTCTGGGTGAAAAGTGCACCCCATCAGCTCTTGCTCCTCAGTCTCTTTTCTTTGATTTTCTATTTTCTTTTGCTTTTCTTCAAGCCAATATTGGTTTCTTTCTGTAACACTCATCTTTGAGTATTGTTTTTTCGGAACTGGCTCTTCATGAATTAAGCTTATCCTTGAATCTAGCGATTTCTTTATACTTTCTAAGCTAACTAATGAGCTTATTGCTCTAAAAGATTGACGTCTATCATACTCAGTCTTTTCTTTATTTTTTTTCTCTATAACTTTTTCCCTCACTTCACGTTTTCCAGCAATGGTCTTTGATGTAGGGTTAATTTTTGGCTTATCCCGAAGCTCGAAGCCTTCTTGCCACTCTTTTTCTAAAATCTTAGAATTGAGTTTTGCCTTGTACTCAGCTTGTTTAGCAAACAGCATATCTTCTACAGGTTTTTCTGAAGAAGCTGTAGAGGTCGATTTCCTGAAGCTTTCAGATGTTAGGTCTAACTTGTTAGGCTTTATGCAGTCGCACGAGGAGCCAGGTCTTAAACTGACACTAATTCGAGGAATCGAGCTCGAGTCAAGACATGGCTGAGACTCTATTGTAGACATAGGTAGATCTGCTTCAAATCCGTTCGATGTTGACATTATTTTATTATTAGCCGATAATCAGTGAAAGATTATGGCTTTTTTTATAATTAATCATTAACCACTAACGGCAAATAGAAGAATTCTGGAAGATTATAATAGATATAGAGAAGAATATCGAGAAGTTCAGTTTCATTAGAAATTGTAATTATAAAGTAACTTATTTTTTTAGCTGATAAATTTTTATTCATAAAATAGACAGAATTTCAATATGAATCAAGAAGACTTAAGTTTACTGCTCAGAAACTCATTAAATAATCCAGCCACAGAAAGCCAAATCACCCATATCGCTGAAATTGTTTCCAATTCCACTAAATCTGCTTGTCGAAGCTTTGTCAGACGTCTTAAAAGGATCCTCAAGTCCCCAAATTACAAACCATCTTTTAAGCTTCATACTTTAAAAATCATCCAAGCCTGCGCAAATACTGAAAACATTTCATTTATTGTGTATTTATATAAAAAACTCCTCAGCAAGCTAATATACCTTGCTGAGTTTAAAAAAGAATCATCAGAAGTCTATCGAGGACAGCTTCTTTTTGGGGCGACATCCCAAGAGCAAAGAGTTGCTTCAGCTGAATTTTTGATTTTATTCTTGCAATGCATAGAAAACTGAGCTGAGAGATATGGCAAAGATGTTGATGGAAATCCTACTGGGTTTGAAGAAATGTATTTATCATTAAAGGAGAAAGGAGTTGTATTTCCTCCGGCAAATTATATTATTGAGATGCCAAAAGAAATAAAAAAAGAAATCCATAAGTGTAAAAGAGTGATTAGAACAGTGTTAAGCATGGAGGAGAATAATGTGGACAGTCAAGCTATAAAAAATGATATTTTGGAGCTCAAGAAGTTTAAAATATATTTTGTAAATGAAGCAGCTGGGTTTGTTGAAAAAGGAATGGAAAGGCATGTCCAAGATTTATATGCTTTAGTTAATAGGATTTTATTTAGACTATATATAAATTGATAAAGCTGATCCCTTCTGAAAACTCACATTTATTATTAAATAACTTAGAGCTTATTCTAATATGGCACATGAAATTATTGATAAAATTAGTATAGTGATTAATGACTTTAAAGAAAGGAAAAACTGCAGAAAAGTTGTCCATAAAGAAGTAAATATCAATAAAGATCTTATCCCAATGAACGTTCTTGGAATTAGGCTTACCAATGAAATTGATGATGCCTTGCCAAAGTTCGTGCCAAGAGTTGACAGCCCAATCGACTATTTATTCGATGACTTAGAGCAGCAAGAAATGTCTTTTGTCAGAAGTGAAATAAATATTTCTTTTGACCAGGAATCTCTACAAGAAGATTGATCACAAATTAACAACGAATACTGCAATGTAAAAGATAAACTTGCAGAATACGAAGATCTCATACAAAGTTATAGCAATGATTTATTAAAATTGCAGGAAAAGTATTTAGAAGCTGTAGAAGAAAGAGAAGAAATAAAGCTACGAATCGGTAGCATCATAAATGAAAATGTTGAGCTTCATAATGAAAATAATTCGTTAATGGAAAAAATAAAGGCTCTTGAGGTAGAAAATTCATCTAAAAAAGAAGAAATTGACGCTTATAAGTCACAAAACCACTTTTTAAAATGCACACTGAAAGCATTGCAAGAAGAATCATTAAAAAGTGATAAACAAATTGTAAAATATCTAAAACAAATAGATCATCTTGAAGATATCAATAAATCCCTAGCAAAAGATAACGAAAAACTTCAAGCTGAGCTTGTAAAAATACACAAATTTGATCAGGAATTTAAATTGAAAACCACTCCAGCGAAATTTATAGTGCCAGAAGCACAAAAATCATTTAAAGAAAGGAGCCAGTCTTGTGAGCATATTGGAAATCAAGCAGAAAAGGAGTTTTATAAGCATAATTTGCCATTAAGAAAAAACACAATGCAAAAAGAGCAATCAGGAAGAGAAGAATTAGGAGAAAACGATAACTTTAAGGGAAGTAAACAATTTTTAATATAATATTTTTTACATAAATTATTTTTACATAATTAATAATTCTATAGTGAGAGCTTTATGTATTTTAACTAAATTTTAGACAATTTGAATTATTAAACTTAAATTTTATAAATGGAATAAATTAAAACCCTTAAGAGCGAACAAAAAAATCTTTGCTCGCTCTTAAAGAAAAGTGTGTAGGGAAAAAATGGCAATTTTACCTAGAAATATAGCAAACAGAAGTCCTGAATTAGAGGAGGAAGAAGAAAAGAAGCAAGAGCCAAATGAATCAACGAAGCCAAAATTAAAATGGCAAAATGAGGAAAAAGAGAAATTGAGTACTTTTGAAGAGGGATTTAATGAAAGTGTAGAAAAAGCGGGATATAATGAGACTGTTATAAGTATAGCAGGCAATCTAGGGTCTGTGAGTGATGGCTAACAATTCATAAAAGTATTAAAAGATTGGTATTATTTTAGTTATAGTAATATGCGTATTTTAGTAGGTAATGACTTTGGATAAATAATAAGCATTTTATTCAACATTTTATTATAAATTATAGATTTATCAGATAAGTTAAAAAATAGATAAGTTGATTTATTATATCTTATATTCGATCTATAAAGTGAAAACAATCTTCCGCTTATTAGTTAAGCAGCAAAGCCTATTTTCTTTTCCCAGACAATCCAAGGTCTTTAATTATTATGTCCTTTTTTAAATGCTTACTCCCCCCCCATCCTTGATCGAACGATTGACTGTAAAAATTCCTAAAAATTGGGGAAATTAACCCCCATCCTTAATCGAACGATTTTCACATCATGCAAATTTTATATATATATATAAAAATATATTAGTTATTAAAAAGCTTGGGAAGATGCACCTAATTAAGTTGTTTTCAGAGCTTTGAGACGACAGAAAGCTGCGGAATCAACCATTCGAAGTGATTTAGTCATCAACCTAGGCTTAAAAGCTCAATAATCTAATAAAATAGAGATTCTTTAAAATTTAAAAAAAAAAAATTTAATTCAATAAGGAACAAGTTAAAATTTATACAGTTTAAAAGGGCAACTAATAAATCAAAAAATATTAAAAATTGGTATTTTATGAAATTAATTCAATTTTTTGCTGTAAAAATAATTATTAAATACTTAACCCTCTTATTTAAAAGTAAAAAAAAAAATATATTTTTTATTTTATATATAAATTGTTTTCCCAAAAAAATTTTTTTTAACCCCCATCCTTGATCGAACGATGGCGAGTCGTTCGATCAAGGATGGGGGGGAGTTAGCATTTTTATATGTCATTGGCTGAACCAAAATATATAGAGATTTTTTATCAGGAAATAGATCTTTTAAAAATTAAAAATCAATCTTTGATGCATTTTAAGAAAATTAGTAAACTTCTTTAATAATTTATAATGCATATTTCCAGTATTTCTGAATCTAATATAATTCTGGATAATAAACATCATGTTGATATATCAAAGCATTATTTACGTGATCAATTGCATTTTACTCTTTTAAACCAGCAAAGGCATGGTGAAATCTTAATTATTACATAAGAACATTAAAAGTCTCTTTAATTTTGCCTCATGACTGATACCTTAAAAAATCTTTCATGATACTCATTTAAATTATTTTATTTCCAGTTTAATTTCTCTGCTATGATTTTCACAAATTTGAAATCAGTTATTTATGTTTTATTAAAATAATTCGATGGCATCTCCCTTTTACCATCAATTTCAAGGGTTAGGAGACCAAACCCCATCGAGATCTACCTCTGCCCCACCAATGTTGGATGAAAATATGCTATTTGCGTTTCCTGTGGCTTCAGATTATACGGTTGCTTTCTCAGATATTCGAAATGACCAAATGTATGAAGAGTTTTATGAATGTTACAAAGAAAAGTTAAGCATGCCTCCACCTCTTCAAGAGCCACTTTCTCAAACCCAATTCAGAAAGCTTTCAACGATTTCAGACAATGAAGAAGGGCAGCCTAGATCGAGGACAACAAGTTTCTTACTGCAAGACCTCTATATTTTATTTATTTTAATTAATTATTTTAAAACAAAATATATTTTTTAAACGAAAAGTTAGTGAATAACATGGTAGATACATGCATCAAAGAAGAGGACCAGCCTTCCCAAAATAACTCCACCAGCAATATCCCATACACTGGGCCACCTGGATTTTCCACTCCAGCTTCAGCTCCTCCTACAATTCCTGAATTCGAGCCTACCTACGATCAGGGCGAATTCTTTGGCTATTCTCAATTTACTCCTCAGCATGTCTATACCCAAGCCCTTGAAATGGCAAGAGACCAAGTAGGATGTCGTCTCCTTCAAAAAAAATTAGAAGAGCGAAATCCATTCACGATCCAAGCAATTTATGATCAAATTATGCTCCAGATTGGAAATTTAATGATTGATCCATTTGGAAATTATTTAGTTCAAAAGCTTCTGGAAGTATGTGATGAGCCTATTCTTGAATCGATTTTGTCACAAGTAACTCCAAGCATCACACAAATTTCACTTAACCAGCACGGAACCCGAGCCATCCAAAAATTAATTGAAGTTATAGCAAAATATGAACAGCATATTCCCTCTGTTATAAGTGCAATAAGAAACCATGTAATTACATTAATAAAGGACCTCAATGGAAATCACGTTATCCAAAAATGCTTAAATGCTTTAGGAGCTACTTATAATCAATTTATATATGAAATTTCTAGCCAGCATGTAATAGAGATTGCAACACATCGTCATGGATGCTGTGTACTCCAACGATGTATTGATGCAGCAACTCCTAATCCTCCCTCAGTGGAAAAAAAAATTTGTTCTCTTGAGAGGGGAGGGTAATTTTTGTTTTAAAAACATTTCCAATTTGATTTGCAAAAAATGGAAAGCAAATGTTAATTTAATTTGTGTTTAAAATGCAAATAGTTAAAATTCAATAGAATTAGCTAGAAATTTCATTATAATAAAACCACTTATATATCAAAATATTTTTTTCATAATGCTTTCATTCACTCATCGAGATTGGGTTTTTGGCTAAAAAGTAAGGATTACCCAATGGTTTTGTTTGCCCACGGAGGCGGAGTAAGCAGCTTGAGCTTCTAGTTGATTACATTGTGATTAACGCTGTAGAATTAGTAAAAGATGCCTTTGGAAATTATGTTGTCCAGTACGTAATTGACTTAAATTCCCCTAATATCAACGCACGACTTGCTTTTATCTTCATTCAAAGCATGCAGGAACTTTCCACACAGAAATTTTCATCAAATGTCATCGAAAAATGTTTACAACAGAACAGAAGCGAAGTGCAGCAAGCAATGATTCAAGAAATAGGCCAGCCGAAGAATTTGGCGAGAATGCTGCCAGATCAATACGCAAATTATGGTAAAAAATAGTTAGTTGTCCAAAGAGCATTAAGCTTAGCTGCCCCAGCACTGTTAGAAAGAATGATAAAAGAAATCAAGCCACTTATGGACGACCTAAGAAGAAGCCAGTTCGGGAAAAGAATTTATTCAAAATTAGCTAAAAAGTATCCAGAACTAACTGAAAAGCAGTAAGAAATATGCAGTGGTAACAATTTTAAAGGTTTTTAATTTAGCTCTTAAGATAAATAATTATTTTTGAGGAAAATTACCAATTAAATTAATAAACTTTGTTGAGGGATACAATCAGAAACATACTTCCGATACTTATAAGGATACCCAAAAAGAATATTGAGATTGTGATGCAGATTATACTCTGCAAATTAAATGAAGGAGGTTGAGGTAAAGGCTCTTTAGAAGGGCCTGATTCTTCGATTTTTGTTGTTTCAGACTTGTAAAGAAGTAGTTGTGTTTCGCCTTTAGTGGCAGCACGGAGGGTGAGTTTTAATAATTTACAATCTGTGATCAGTTTTTTGTTTGTTAGAGTTAGTTCATGAATAAATTCTTTTTTTTCTTTGAGTTCTTTTCTTAGTCTTTCAAGTTCTTTAGTCATCGCAACAAGGTCGATACTTTCCATAATTAAATTTAAAATAGGGGTGTCAAAATATTTTATAATAATATTTGAACTTGCGATGCTTGTTTTAGCATTTAATAGGCTTGCTGGTAATAACAATTATAGAATAGGTGATTAAATCATATCACTGTGTATTAATTAGATTAGATTAAGGGGGTATTTATAGTCCCCACTTCCTGAAGTATTGAGCATATCGCAGGCGAAGCTTGCAGGGTGGGCTCCCTCGAGAAAGCTTGAGCCCAGGTCGAAACTCCGGTTTCTATTTATAAGCATTTTCCTCCTGATCTGGAAAAATCAAGATTTTGTCAGGAAACTCCATTTCCAATCCAAGTCTCAAAAAATGCCAACTCTAAGTAACTTAGGCCTGATCACCATTGAGGGATCGATTAGACTGGAGAGACCAGCCCTGAGATCTTCGTCTAGCCTGTCTTCCTTTTTCTCAGGATTATCCCCGAGGAAAAAACTCAATGTGCTTTTGAAGATTCGGGATAGGCCACAATCAGCTTAGGCTGGTAAACCCCTGCCTCTATCAGCACTCGCTCTGGGCCTAGTCGCTGCTGCAAAAAGATGCCAAAAACTGCCTCTCGAGCCAGGCCACTAGTAAGCGCAAATATTGCTGGACCTCTCGCTTCGAGGCTAGCCCAACCCTTGGGCAGCTCTTTGCACCAAAAATAAATCCGGATATAAATAAGGACGCCGCCACTGTGAGAACGGGCCTCTAATCACCGGCCATATTTTTTATATACTGTGTATTAATTATTTATATTAATAATTCAGTATAAATGGGTGTTTTAGCAATTCTTCTGCTGATTTTCTATTATCTGGGTCTCTTTGTAAGCAAATAAGTATGAACTCACGTCCATACTCTGAAATATTGTTAGGAATTTCCGGAATTTCATCAGTCCTTGCAATTTTCATCATAGTTGCAAAATAATTATCCATATCAGGCCAAGGTGCTTTTGCAGTTAGCATTTCTAAGACAACACACCCAAGGCTCCAAATATCAGCCATTCTTCCATGGCCGCACTGTTTCACTACTTCAGGAGCCATCCATGGCAAGCTTCCTCTCATAGACATAAGTAGCCCAGATTCTGCTTCAGTTGATTCATACTTTCTCGAACACCCAAAATCGCTCAATTTTACCCTACCTTCGCTATCTAACAAAATATTTGCTCCTTTGATATCTCTATGCACTACACCATTCGCATGTAAATATTTTAGACCTTTCAATATTTGACGTGTATATGCTCTTACTGTAACTTCTGGAAGTGGCCCAAGATTATAAAGCAGCTTTGCAATGCTTCCTCCAGGGAGGTATTCTAAATAAATACAGAAATTATCTTTAATGATTTCACTCCCTAGATATTTCACAATATTTTTGTGTGAAAGATTCTTAAGGACATTTATTTCTCGATTTAATGTATCAATGAACTGTGTCTTTGCTGGATTTTCACGATTAAAAAAGAGTCTTTTGACTGCGAAAATTTGCCCAGATTCCACGTCAAAAGCTTTAATGACTTCTCCAAAGCTCCCATGGCCTAAGGTTTCCCCGGCTTTCCACCTTCTTAGTTCTCCATTTATTCCAGATTTTATGGGATCTTCAGTAATTAGCTTAAACGTGAATTCGTTATTTTTCAAAATAATCTTTCGATCTTCTTTCTCAGGCTTTTTTTCTTCTTTATCATCATCTTCCGCATGCATTTGTAGATGTGGCTGAATATTAAACGCATGAGAATTGAAAATTGTTTTAATTTTTTCTTTGGAATTTTGCTCTTCTGTCTCATTTTCTGTGCTTGAGTTAGGAGTTTTATTTACTCCCCTCCCCCTTTAAAATTAGAAAAAATATTAGAAAATTTTAGCTTTGAAAATTGTATAATTAATCCCTTTAAATTGAAACAGGATTTTTTTTTCCAATTTAAAGTGGGGAGGGGAGTTAGGCTTAAGCTTTTAGAGCTCTCATTTTGGAAGCCAAAAGATCTGTCTTGGGTGGAAGAACTTTGAGGAGTCCTTTGGGATTTTATGATTATTCTCTTTCTGCGAGAAGGATCAAAGGTTTTTGATTTTATTTCATCTAATCCGATGTTTTTGCCACTGCTGGATCTTGCGCATTGTTTTATATCTGCAAGTCGAGATGAGAGATTTCTTTTCCCAGTTGGAGATGATTCACGAGAATTAGCTACTGATTTTGAACCATTATAAGAGTTGATGCCTGTATCGAAGTCAGGGACTATTAGGGAGCTCATAGGAGAATTGGGGATATAACTTGCACGCTCTGTCAAATGGTTGTCTTGGGTAGAAAGCCTGGGATAAGCCACTTGATTGCGAAATATTATACTAACTCCCCCTTCATGAGCGAGCAAAACCATTGGAAAAAAAACTATTTTTTGCCCAAAAATCCAACCTCCATGATAAAAAAAATTTTTTTTAATTAAAAAAGATTTTGATATATAAATGATAATTAGTATAATGAAATCTCTAGCTAATTGTTTAATTTTAAACAATAGCATTATAAAACATAAATTTTACAAATTAATTAAATATTTGCTTTCCAATTTTAATTTCCAAAAAAATATTTTAGAAAAACAAATTAATTAATCCCCTCTATTTAGCGAACAAAATTATTTTGTTCGCTCACGGAGGGGGAGTAAGTTTAGCTTACATTGGATTTATTGAGTTTGGATTTTTTGTGAGACTCTCTGGTGGCACAATTAAATTTCGATTATGGAAATCTATCACTTTTCTCCTTGACTTTATTTCCATTTCTTTATAGTCGTTTATTACTATTCTCCACAAAGAGAAGAATACTAACTCCCCCCCTCAGTGAGTAAATTTCTTGTTTGCTCACAGAAGGAGGCTAATTTTATAAAAGTTGTTTAAGGTTTTAAAAATAAATAGAAATAATTTAATTTTTAAAATTTATGTTTTAAAATGCAAGTTGTTTAAAATTAAAAAGAATTACATTGAGATTCATTATAATAGTTATCACTTATATATCAAAATATTGTTTCATTTATTAAAACATTTTTTGTTCGCTTATGGAAGGTGAGTTTTTGATCAAAAAATTATGATTTTTCAATGATGATTTTTTCCTTCATGGAGAAGGGAGTAAGGAGAATCGTGGGCAATATTATAAGATACTAAAACATATTATAATGAGAAAAATAAATTTCTTTTAGTAGTCATCAGATATTTTTATAATATTTAATTAATAGCATAATAAGTAAAATTTACCAAAATGGAAAATGATAGCTTGCTCAAACGAATTTGCAATATTGATCAAAGGACCCTTTCCGAAGCTTATCAAAAGTTTTGTTTTTCAGATAAATATGCTCCAGATATATCTTATATTGAGTTTTCAGCACTAAGGCTTCTTATAAGTGCAAATAAATCTGAAAAGAAATTCTCAGTACCGCCTTTCCAAAATCCTATCTTTTTAAAAAGCTCAGTAAAAATTCAAGAACCTCCTAAAATTCATTCATTAGCTGAAGAATGCTGAGGCTCTATTTAGTTCCTTGCTCGTGAGTATACAGACGAATATTTTTCAAAATACAGTTTTTTTGTAAACTGTGCCTTGATAATTTCCCTATTCTTTGCAAAAGTGTATAATTTTTGTCAGAGTCAGTTAAGAACTAATGATTCTACCTTGATGCATATTACTTCAATCGCTTCATTAGTAGACATGCTGATTTAGCTTTTATTCATGCTCTTATAATTACTTTTAGCAACTACTCCAAAGAAATAAAATAAAATTAAGGCTTTTGTCGGGTCCAAGTCACAAACTCGTCGATTAGAACTGGCCAAGGGTCTTCAGGGTTGTAGTTATCAAAGCTGTTTGGGTTTTTCTTTCAAAATTCAAGAATTCCCATCCATTGATCTAAATTCAGAAACTTCTGCTGTTTTGTTCCTAAAAATTCAATAAATCTTGGCATTCACCTGAAGTGAGGAGTTAATAATAAATTTAAAAACCAAATCACATCATTTGCATCAATATTTCTAGCGCCTGGCTCTTTTGTTAAATCAAAGACAAGCCTAAAAAAATTTCTGAAATCATTCTGAAATGTGTCTCTCCCGAAATCTCTCAGTGCATTAAGCCTAGTCTTTAAATAACTCAACGAATCAGCTCTTACAGCAGTTATCGTTCCTGATTGCTTGATTTGGCATTTCCAAACAAATACGAGAAGTTCAACGTCAGTCATCGGATTTATTCGTAAATCATCGCAGAGGCGTAATCAATTTCTATATGAGCCTGGCTACAACAGGATCCAAATAGATTTCCAATGTTGTCTGTGATGGAAGGTGGCCCTGCTTTTTTGGCTGGTTTTGGATCTTGTGGAGATGGGCTTGCAGGGTTTTCCTGCAGACTTGGCAGGAGGCTCTTTTTGAGCTGTAGACTTAAGGGGAGCTTTAGCAGGAACTGGCTTCTTGGAGGTGGTGAGGAAGATTACCTTTTTTCATATTAGTTTGTATAAGAAATATAGATGATAGCTATTTATAATCATTAATATTAATAACCCAAAATTTAAGGATAGGGAAGCAATTTTACATCAATAAACATTTCGGGCATGCCTTTTTTTCTTCAGCTAATATCGGATCATTTTTATCTCTTGACTCTATTGCTTCTCTTGTATTCATGACACTTTCAATTAGACTTTCTCGAGCAATGTGCCTTACTTCCCCTTTAAATTGGAATAAAAAGCTTTTTCCATTTTAAAGGGGGCTAACTTTTTTAAAAATTAAAAATCTAAATTCAATTAATCAAAAACTTTAATCAATTCAGTAGAAAACTGTTTAAATAATATTCTGCTTCGCCTTTTATATTAAATTAGACCAAAACTAATTTTGTTAAAAACTAGTATTCCCATATATAATTTTCCTATTTTAAAAACAAAATTTTACCTATATCTTGTCCCAATAAAAGCAAGGTTAGCAGCACAAGTATTTGATCTTTAAACTTCTTTTTAATTTCATTATGGCAGTTTCTGCATGTGATAGTCCTTAACTTTTTATAGGGAATCATATTTTGGTTTTTATTCCCAAGCTCACAACTTTCTGTATCAAGTTTTTCTATGTCTTTTATATGGTTGTCGCGGTTTTGTTCAATATGTTTAATCTCAGCTTCTATAGAATTCAGCCGATCTCTGATAACTTTTTCTGAGTTTTCTGAACTTATTATAACTTCTTTTAAATTTTCAATGGTGCTTTCGACCAGATATGTTCGGTTTTCTTCTTTTTCTATTTTTTCTTCTATTGCTTTTATCTTCTGCACGTACTTGCTTTCATTAGTTTTAAGTTGTGATTCCAATCTTAATATAGTTGATTTATGTTTAGCAATTTCTTCCCTTCTCCTAGTTTTTTCATCTTGATATACTTTGATATCACTTCTTAATTGCGTTAAATTATTTCCTAATTCTCCATTCAATAAACTGGCTTTAATTTCTTCTCTTACACAGTTTACGCAAATCCATGAATTTTCATCATTTCTTCGTGCATGTTTTTTGCAAATTGCAAGCTCACAGATTGAGCATTCTATCACAGAGTTTGCTCTAATTGATATATCTTCACAGATATAGCAAAATTTGTCCCTTTCTAAGTCTTGTTTTTTGCCTATTTTCGATCTTTTCATGATTTATTAATAATTAGTTCTCCGTTTAGTTTCACTAAAATATAATAAAAATGCTAGGAAACCTTAATAGTGTTAACAGCTATATTGTCATTACTCTCATTGGCGAGATCAAATAAGGAGAATCGTGACAATATTATAAGAGACTAAAGCATATTATAATGAGAAAATCATTTCTTTCCGCAGTTATCAGATATTTTTATAATTTTAATAAAAAGCATAATAAGTAAAATTTACCAAAATGGAAAATGATAGCTTGCTCAAACGAATTTGTAATATTGATCAAAGTACTCTTTCCGGAGCTTATCAAAAGCTTTGCCTTTCAGATAAATATGCTCCAGATATATCGTATATTGATTTTTCAGCACTAAGGCCTCTTATAAGTGCAAATAAATCTGAAAAGAAATTCTCAGTACCGCCTTTCCAAAATCCTATGTTTTTAAAAAGCACACTCCTCTCTTTGCTAGCGAACAAAGCATTGAAAAATCATTTTTTTTGATAAAAACCTGTCCTCTGTGAGCGGTCAAAAAATATATTTTTACGAAACACTATTTTGTATAAAGTGATAATTAGTATAATGAAACATCTAACTAATTCTTTTTAATTTCAACAGCTTGAATTTTATTTAAAAATAAATTTTACAAATTATTAATATATGCTTCTAATTTCCGAATTAAGATTTTGTTAAATTTCGATAAGATTTACAATAAAATTTATATGAGTAGGGGGTTAGTAAAAATTCAAGAACCACCTAAAGAAAATATTAAAAATGCACAAAATATGATTATAAATAATGCACTAAAGCCAAGACAAGAACTATTAGTGAAGCAAGAACAAAGGAGTAATCAAAAACCTCTAGCACAGCAGCCCACGAAAACTAAAATAGACTGTAACTGAAATCCAATTGGATATAGATATAAAAGAAAAAAAGAAGCTGATCCTGAAGAAGATGAAGAAAAGCCTGGCTTTATGACTGCAAAAGATTTTTATAAAACCAATCAATTTTCAAATCAACAAGCCCACCCTAAATTTTCTAATTCTCCAGAGCAGCCAGAGCCTCAGCAGCGATTTCGATCAACTGGACTAGTAAAACCTTTTGCATGCCCTTTAAAAACAGGCAATAATAGCAATAATAATCAAGCAAAGCCTCAAGAAGAGTCAAATAAACTTACAGGTATTGAAGATAAGCTTATAGAAATTATTGAAAGTGAAATTATTTCAAGGGATCCAGGAGTAAAATGAAACGATATTGCTGGCTTACAATTCGCTAAAAAAGCAGTTCATGAAGCCATTGTTTGACCTCTACAAAGGCCTGATCTCTTCAAAGGGCTAAGAGCACCTCCAAAAGGGCTTTTATTATTTGGGCCTCCTGGGACAGGGAAAACTATGATAGGGAAAGCTATTGCAAGCGAAGCAAATGCGACCTTCTTCAGCATTTCAGCAAGCTCAATTACATCTAAATGGGTAGGAGAAGGAGAAAAGCTGGTAAAAGTGTTATTTTCATTAGCAGTTAAATATCAACCTACTGTGATTTTTATTGATGAAATTGATTCTTTGCTAAGTGCAAGGAATGACTCTGAGCAAGAAGGCAGCAGGAAAATTAAGACTGAGTTTTTAGTACAAATTGATGGTGCTGCAACCAACCCTGATGATAGAATTCTTCTGATTGGCGCCACAAATAGACCGAATGATTTAGATGAAGCTGTGAGGAGAAGACTTGCAAAAAGGATGTACATTCCCCTTCCTAATTCTGAAGGAAGAAAGCAGCTAATTGTGAATTTAATGCAATCAATTTCTAACTCTCTATCAGAATCTGATATCAATGTCGTTGTAGAGAGATCAAAAGGCTACTCTGGCTCTGATTTGAAAAATCTCTGCACAGAAGCTTCAATGAATCCTTTACGTTCCCTTACTGATATAATGAATATTGATGCAACAATTATTCCTCCTGTTAGTCTTCACGACTTTGAGTTTGCATTAACTATAGTAAAGCCATCTGTTTCACAAAAAGATATCACATTTTTGCTGGATTGGAATCAACATTAACATTAACATTAACTAATATTATAGAGAGGCCCGTCCTAATAGCTAGGGTTTCCCCTGCTCTACCTTCACCATTCACGCTTCACTCGGTTGCTCACCACCAATCGACCACGACCTTCAAAGTGTTGCTCCTACCGGACTAGGATCTGCACTCGCTACCCATAGTTAGATGAGTTACAGTACGTCAACAGAGGTTGCCCATTCCCGAAAATTTGAAAAAACAAATTTTCTGGTAGCACTGTCGGCCAAAATGAAAATCAAAAGCCTGGGACGCAACGCCCGGTTTCACGCTAGGGAGTTGCCCGATTGATTAGGAGGTACATTCCTGATGCCGTTGAGCTTCCCCTTTCCAACCTTGGAAACCATTTCCTCTGAGGAAAAAACCTTGGTGTCAGAATGAGCTGCGTTCGGCCTAGTCCGACGCTGCGCTCTACTGTACCAAGGAAAAACCTGGCCGGACATAAACCCGAGCGCCTATTTCCCTTCCACGGCTGCGGGTGTTGAGAAAAAGGGCTGGTTCGCCGTCGCCATTTTAATGTATATGGATTGGAATGAGCAGTTTGGTAGTTTTCAGTTCAATATGGAAGAGCTAGATACTTAACTAAATATCATTAAAAGAGTTATTTTTGTATTAATTCTATAAGTTTTACCAAAAACTGGGTTATGCCTGCATAGGTTAAAAGACATAAGTTTCTGTTCCTAAAAAACTAAATTTTTGATAGATATTTATGAATCTTAAGAATTAAATACAATAATAAAAGCATATAGGCTTAGCAAAGAATAAGTAAAAATTAGATAAAATTTAAGAAAAATGTATATGATGAAAGCTCTCATTATTTAATAACGATATTATAATATTTCTTGCAAAGCATATTCAATTTAATTCAAATAATCAATAAAATTATTATTAAATAAACTTCCTATAAAAGAAGTGGGCAATTTCAAACTTCATTAAAGATGGTGGATATTTTCATTTTCTGATATATCTCTTCAGTAGGTTTCCTGTTTATAGCAAAATAAGCTGGATAAGCAGCCCGATCATTTAAAATCAGTAATAAGATGAACACAAACCTTATGCATAATATCTTAAATAAATTAATTATCTGAGAAGGCTAATTTTATATGAATGTTTTATGTTAATCCATTTCTGATAAGCTATTTATGGAATCTTTTTATGATAATGACTCCCCTTTTAAATTGAAACAATGCTTCTACTATTTGGTAAATAAACACATTTTAAATTCAAAACCAAATGGATTTTTATAAGTAAAAATAATAATGTCTATGTAAAGAGCTTGATACCCATTTTAAGGTCACCAACACCAACCCTATTGTTAATGAAGGAATTCAAACAGAATGCAATTTAACAAAGTTAGCACTTTAAATTTGATTTTATATTTTTTAAATCTAAAATTTCATAACAAGAATTAACCCCTCAAATTGGAACAGGTTTTTTGCTCTAATGTGAGAGGAAGGAGTATACAAATACAGCGGTATTTGAAGTACAGGTTTCCCTAAAAATGCAATCGAAGAAATTTTTGATCTCTATGAAGTAGCAGCTGAAATTACAGGGAAAATGTATTCTAGCTTGCTTATTCTTCCCTCTGTGAGCGAACAAAAACTTTATTCGCCCACGAGAGCTTAATTTATTTTTATAAAATTTATTTATCATTTTTTTTCAAAATCCAATTACCAACTAAAAGCAAAATTTAGTTTAATTTATAAATTTTCAAGCTGATTCAAATTCAACAGAATTAGCTAGAGAATTCATTATAATAATTATCACTTATATATTAAATATTTTTTTCATAAAAAATTTTTATATTAAAAAAATCTTTTGCTTGCTCACGAAGGATGATTTTTATCGCTCACGGAGGAGTTAGCTTAATCTGAGATGCAGGAGAGATTATAGTCTTCAGAAAAAAACTAGAAAAGGCTAAAACATGAAAGGAATGGAGAAATATTGCTGAAAAAATTGATTATATCGAAGGTAAAGAAGCTTGAAAAAAGAGGGAACAAAGCCCGCTTTATGACTACAGACTCTTAAGAAGACGTCTAATGCTAATCCGAAGCTTGCGTGAGAAAAATGACATCCAAGCTTTAGTCCATCATTTACGATCAGGACTATATCGAGGCTTAGGTGGAAGCTTAAACCCCCAACTTTATCAAAAATGCCTTGTAGATACCAAATATTTAGTTATGGAGTACCAAGCTGAAGTGTGTAATTCCCTCAAATTCATTTTGAACTCTCCACAATTTCCATTGAAATCTAAATTAACTTTTTTTTCTGACTCAAGATATGCCTTTGGAAAAACGGCTTTACTTATGAGCGGCGGCGGAGGCCTTGGAATGTATCATTTAGGTGTTGTAAAAACACTTTATGAACAAGATTTGTTGCCAAAAGTCATTGCTGGAACCTCAGCTGGATCATTGGTGGCTGCATTTATAGGGACAACTAAATGGGAACAGATCCCTGAATGGTTTAAAAGGGACAAAATAAAATATGGACCATTTTCAGGACTCTTAAAAGGCTCATGGAAACGAAAAATCGCCAGGCTTTGGAAAGATAAACATATGATGGATATAAAAACATTAGAAGTCTTTTTAAGAGGAAATATAGGAGACTTGACCTTTGAAGAAGCTTACGAAATGACAGGAATTGTTCTGAATATCACTGTTTGCGAGTGAAATAATCATAGTGACTATAGACTTTTAAACTATCTGACAGCGCCACATGTATTAGTATGAAGCGCAGCTTTAGCTTCTTGCGCGATTCCTTATATTTTTGAAGCAGTCGAGCTTAAATGCAAAGACCATAAAGGAAACATCGTCCCATTCCGCTCATCTGGGATGAAATTTATTGATGGCTCAATTAAGGCTGATTTACCAATGCTGAGACTTGCAGAATTGTTTAACGTAAATGCATTTATTGTTTCGCAAACTAATCCTTGGATTATTCCGCTATTGACTGCTGATGATGGGGGAGGGAGCTGGGGAGATTCTTTTAATTTTAAGGTTTATAGGCTCTTGAAGAAACTGATAGTTATGGAATTTCGACACAGAGTTAAGCAGATAAGCTTAGTAGGTTTACTTGATTTTTTGACTTCATTTTTAGGGATTTTTACACAGGAGTATAGAGGGCATGTAACAATTTGGCCTGTGCCATCAATAAAAGACTATTTAAATATATTATCAAATCCCACTGATGATGATATACAGAGAAGCATAAGAAAAAGTGAAATCAGAACATTCCCAAAAATAAACATGCTACAATCAATCATGGCGATTGAAAAAACGTTTGATAGCTGCTATCAGCAAATAAGAGCTAAATTAAGATTCAAAGATTTAAGATTCACTGTTGCGCTTCATGGACAAGCTGAAGATTTCACGATCAGGGAATCTCCTTTAATTCCAGGAACGTCATTGATGCCGGACTCTCGATATTATTTTGAGCATCATCTAAATTTATATGAAGATATTAATTAATATACTAAAATCGTTATTTGATGACTTTCAGGAATCGGAAAGTTAAAATATCATCTCTAAGAAGTGGGAAAATATGCAGAAACCGTTGAATTGCACTTAAAGAGATAAATAAATTAGCTCTCTGAGTATCCATAGAGAATCGAGGCTGAAAAGAGACTTAGAGTATATTAAATTAAAATTAGCTAAAATAATAATATTTACTAATAATTCTCTATTACTAATTTTATTAAGTCCCATATTCCTCCATTGCTGGCGACTCACTACCTTCCTCTAATTTTTCTTCAGCATTTTCTCTTTCTCTACTCTGTCTTGAGTTTTCTTCAGAATCTCCTCTATTTCTTTCCTTTCCTTCTTTTCTCTCTACATTTCGTTCCCTTGACCTCGATCTTGAAGCAGTGCACTCTCTTTTCATATGTCCTTTTTTCCCACATCTATAACATTTATCCCCATCTGTAATGAATTTTTTATCATTTAACGATATTATTGTATGAGCACGCGATTGGCTTGCTATTCTCTGATGTAAGTCGGGAGATTTGGTTTCCAATTATTTTTTTAAAAACTAACTCAATGAATGTCAAAACTATATATATGCTACCGAGTAGATTTTTTTAAAATGAATTTTCTTGAGTAAAAAACCTTAAATCTCTTGAGAGATGTCACTCGCCCATAAGGGCGAGTCGGTGGGGGTCGGATTTCCGGTCTCATTTAAGTAACTCCATCCCCTTACTCTTGAGAGATGCCAGGAGTAGACCGAGCCAATAGCTAGCCAGTGCTATGCAGCCCATAATAGCAAAATTTTATTTTGCTAAATGAGCATATCTTTTTCAGTCTCCTTCTTTGCAATTATTTGCCCTACTTATAAATTACCAATGGCCAGATTGTCCGCAATTAAAGCAGGTACCATCGTTAGCTTGTGCTCGGTCTCCTCTGCCTGATCCAGCGAACTCTACGATAATACGAGAACCATCAAATCGTCTGCCGTCCATATCCCTCACGGCATCTTCAGCATCTCGAGATTCATAAAACTCCTATGATCTACACCTACAATGAATGCATAGTCGCGCTTCAACTCAACGTCTCGAATTCTACCGTAGCGCCTAAAAGCATCTTCCAAATCGCGAGCATGTGTGCGGCGGTCTAAACGGCCAACGTAAATTCGTCTACGGTTATTCTTGGGCATATTTATTTATGCTTAGAGGAGCTATTATGGTTTTGAATGAAAATTAAGAGTTTTTGAAAGTGATTTAATGTAAGTTTAGTTATTAATAAGAGCTAATTATAATAAAGAAGTCAGCAGAAAAATTTTGGCGGATAGTTCTTATTGATTTAAACATTTCAATTATTTTAAAACATTATTTCTCTATATAGTACTTTAAACCTATTTAAAAATTTTATTATCATTGAATAAGAGTTATGAAGTAGTTATAAGTATAGTACTTTAAACCTATTTAAAAATTTTATTATCATTGAATAAGAGTTATGAAGTAGTTATAAGGAAAAATAAAATATTTCGTGTCTTCATACGACAATATTTCATAAGGATTATTTTTTGTTGCTTATTTTCTTTCACCTGCATTTTTCACCTATTTTTACTAATTAGTTTGGTCCATTTGCTAATTTCGAGGTGATTTTCAATCAATTTTAGATTATAAATTTTCAGCATTAAAATAATAGTCGCTGTGAAATAGGCATCGTGTGAAGGAGCCAAAATATTTGCATTAGAACAAGTTCTATCATAAGAAAAAACAATCTAAATTTTATTCTAGATCATATAAAAACGATAGAGGAAATTCCTACACCCCAGCAGAGAATAATATACAGGGGGTGACAAATCGAAGGAAGGAGGCTGGATCTCAGTAGATCGTAAGACAAGCTTACTCTCGTACGTACAATCCCTCGTTCCATGTAAGTGGTCTGCAAAAGATTTGTCCCAGTCACTATTTGGTGCATTGAGAAGCCGTCTTCAGCATTTCGCCTGGACAAGGATCTCAGTTGGGAGTGGGATTATGGTTTCCATAGGTGACTGGCGGACGTCGCGTTCCAGCATTGATTCTGACTTAGAGGCGTTCAGCCATAATCAAACAGATGGTAGCATCGCGACACTTCCTTGTCAGGAAATCGCATGAACCAGTGATCTGACCCAACGGTTCCTCTCGTACTGAGTTGGATTACTGTAGCGACATCAGTTCATCAGTAGGGTAAAACTAACCTGTCTCACGACGGTCTAAACCCAGCTCACGTTCCCTATTAGCGGGTGAACAATCCGACACTTGGTGAATTCTGCTTCACAATGATAGGAAGAGCCGACATCGAAGAATCAAAAAGCAACGTCGCTATGAACGCTTGGCTGGAAAAAAATTATTATTTTTTATAATAATTTCCTATAAGAATTTTCTAAAAATATTGGAGCCTCCTTGGCTGCCACAAGCCAGTTATCCCTGTGGTAATTTTTCTGACACCTCTGGTTTAAGACTTTTAAAAAGCAAAGGATCGATAGGCCACGCTTTCGCGGTTTGTATTCGTACTGAGAATCAAAATCAAGCAAGCTTTTCCCCTTTTGGTCTACAAGAGATTTCTGTTCTCTTTGAGCTTGCCATAGGACACCTGTGTTACTGTTTAACAGATGTGCCGCCCCAGCCGAACTCCCTACCTGGCTCTGTCTCTCGCTTAGCAAGCAAAGCTAGAACCACGAATGGTCGCTACCTCACGAGGTAAGTAAAATGACATCAAGAGTAGTGGTTTTTCAAGGTCGCAGGGCTCCCACTTGTCTACACCTCCTACGCCATTTCACAAAGCCAGACTAGAGTCAAACTCAACAGGGTCTTCTTTCCCCGCTGATTCTGCCAAGCCCGTTCCCTTGGCTGTGGGTTCGCTAGATAGTAGATAGGGACAGTAGGAATCTCGTTAATCCATTCATGCACGTCACTAATTAGATGACGAGGCATTTGGCTACCTTAAGAGAGGGACGAAAAATAAAGCATTTTTATAGTAAATTTATTAGTAAATTTTTATAGAAAAACGTTGGTCCCAAAGAGAGTCATAGTTACTCCCGCCGTTTACCCGCGCTTGATTGAATTTCTTCACGTTGACATTCAGAGCACTGGGCAGAAATCACATTGTGTCAACACCTTTTGAGGCCTTCACAATGCTTTGTTTTAATTAAACAGTCGGATTCCCCTCGCTGCTCCAGTTCTGAGTTAGCCATTCGCTGTCCTGGGTTACTCCTGGCTCAACAGTCGCTAACGCTGGTCAGGTCGCCCCTTCCTGCGAAGCTATGAAGAGGTCAAAAGGCCCAAGACCTGGCCCTCAGAGCCAATCTTTTTCCCAAAGTTACAGATCTAATTTGCCGAATTCCCTTATCTACATTGTTCTACGTACTAGAGGCTGCTAACCTTGGAGACCTGATGCGGTTATGGGTACGGCCAGGCGAGCGATAAGATTTCCCTCAAATTTTCAAGGGCCGAAGGAGGTGCACCGGACAGCACAAAGGGTGTGCTGCTCTTCCAAACCGATAGCCCTCTCTCGTCGCAAAGACCTCCAGGGCAGCGATTTGTTAAGAAGAAAAGAGAACTCTCCCCAGGACCTCGCCCCGACGTCTTTGAGTTCAGTTGTGTTGCCACTCAATACCCACCGCCTGCTTGTAGAATTTTAACTACATTCCCTTTCGGCCTGGACGATGTCGTCGCGGGATTACCCCTGGCCTCAGGACCGAGTCACTCATGACCAATTGCTGTTCTCATGAAACCCTTCTCCACTTCAGTCTTCAAAGTTCTCATTTGAATAGTTGCTACTACCACCAAGATCTGCACTAGAGGTAGCTCCAACCCTGTCCACACAGAGCCTTCTGCGCTGCCTCCACGCCCTCCTACCTGTCCAACTGTCATCAAGCTGGACAGCAGGGTATCGGCTGGCTGCTTAGCGACATCCATTTTCAGGGCTAGTTCATTCGGTAGGTGAGTTGTTACACACTCCTTAGCGGGTTCCGACTTCCATGGCCACCGTCCTACTGTCTAAATGAACTAACACCTTTTCATCTCATTAGCTGCCAATTGGTCGCCTCAACCCTGCCTTAGGTTGAACCCTCGTCGCCAGTTCTGCTTACCAAAAATGGCCCACATGGAACACGCATTCGGCACAGAGTTCAATGAAGCAACTCTGCGTTCTTACCAATTTAAAGTTTGAGAATAGGTGAAAGTTGTTATTGGGAGTTATAATATATATAATTTAATAGGAATTGTTTAGATTTTTTCTTATATTTATTTATTAGAAAATACAACTCCCGAACCTCTAATCATTCGCTTTACCCGATAAAACTGCACTGTTCCAGCTATCCTGAGGGAAATTTCGGAGGGAACCAGCTACTAGATGGTTCGATTAGTCTTTCGCCCCTATACTCAGGTTAGAAGAACGATTTGCACGTCAGAATCTCTACAAGCCTCCACCAGAGTTTCCCCTGGCTTCGCCTTTCCCAAGCATAGTTCACCATCTTTCGGGTCCCAACATATGTGCTGAGCTCGCTGACGCGGCCCTTGCTGCTAGTTTGGCAAGGCTCACTTTCGTTGCGCAGTGTGGTTTATACTATATTTAATTAAATACAGCACATAAATACTATTAGGTAATTTTCTTGCAAATATAATATATTCTGGTTTAAAACCCTACTACTTGCACGCATGTTAGACTCCTTGGTCCGTGTTTCAAGACGGGTCAGTGGACACCGCGACTCCGCCTGAATCCATTGTGCTGGCTCTGTGGGCTAACAGCCTTCAGGCACAGCACGAGGACGCAGACGGAGTTGTGCTGTCAGCTGCTCCAACGACGTGTCGTTAGTTGTACTGCCAGCGCTGCAGAGCCCACTGCTTCCTCCTCAGCGATTTCAAGTATTTTAACCCTTTTTTCAAAGTTCTTTTCATCTTTCCTTCACAGTACTTGTTCGCTATCGGTCTCTTGTGAGTATTTAGCCTTAGAAGAAGTCTACCTCCCACTTTGGGCAGCAATCCCAAGCTACCCGACTCGTGGAACACGACCTCTCACTTGGAACAAGTGGCACGGGACTATCACCCCTGGCAATTATTTTTTCTATAGAATTGATTTATAGAAATTTTTTCTTATAAAATTGATAAATTTTGTAAATAAATAATAAAAAAATAGAGAACCGATCACCCTCTACGGTCCAGCGTTCCAACTGAGTTACACCTGCTCCGCTGTGTAAGGTCTATGTCTCAACTGTACAACTCGCCGAAGCGATTTCCAGTCTGGGCTGATGCCGGTTCACTCGCCGTTACTAGGGCAATCCTTGTTAGTTTCTTTTCCTCCGCTTAGTAATATGCTTAAGTTCAG